AGTAGAGCTTATAGAGAAAGTAGTATATCCTTAGTTTTCCTATCTCTTAAACTTACTATCTATAGTTCTAAACCTATAATATTAATAAAACCTTTACTATTATAGTAAGGGCTAGAACTAGAGGTAATCTAATCCTAGTTAAGGCCTAATGTTATAGTTTAACACTATAACTATACTATAACCCTATCCTAGGCCGGCCGGCTACTAAGGCTAGCTAGAAGCCTTCCTAGCTAGCTTCCTACTACCTCTTTACCTCCTTATCTACATCTCGTTATAAAGCTTAGATCCGTATCTATGTCTTACCTATTATATCCGACTCCGTCCCTTAATAGCTTAGCTTAAAGACTTATAATATATAGCGCTAGAGTAGAAGGACTTACTAAACTTATTATAAGCTAAGTTAAGTATAATGGGATTTACGATAATTATTATTATATATAGAGCCGTACTCTAGGGGTTCCGCTAAGAACTTAGATCTTTACTTCTTAAAGTGCTACGCTATAGATAAAGTATTAAGTATTACTCTACTTCTTATTCCGATAGACTAGATATCTTACTATATAAAGAAGTAGTATAATATATATCGAGCTAGTCTTTAACTACTATTAACGTAGTATAAGGTATAGCTACCTACTTTTACGGTTAGCTATAAATAGTATAGACTAAGCTAACGAATCGATTAATCGGTCGGTTAGTTAGTTAGTCGATTTCTATAAGTACTAACTAGCTATAAGTTTATTATATTACGAAGTGTTTCTTATCCTCGTTCTACTCTATAGGCGTATAGTAGTAGCTTTACTATACGTTACCCGCTATAGCTAGGTCGCTACTCTAGCTATTCTTAATAGGTAAATTAATTCTAATCTAGCTATATCGTGTTATTTATGCTCTACACTATACTAGGTCTATAGAATATTTTATTTCTAGCTATATACTATATACGTTTAACTATATACTATCGCTTTTTTAACTTTATAGATATCCCTAAGGGAAAGTCTAAGGTCTTATAGAGTTCTTAGACCTTTAGAGCTAAGAGAACCCTTCTAAGCTCTATTATTAAAATCGTATATACTACTAGTAGTAATTTAAGATATTAATATTTATAACATCGACTCGGGCGTACTATAGTATATAGCTAAACCCTCTTCTCCCTCCCTCCTTTCTTAACTTACTAACTTACTTACTAACTCTCTAGTTTACTCTCTTCCTCTATCGTCTAGGGTTATTTTTACTTTATAATAGTTATATAAAATAAATGTAGTGCTAGATAGTAACTACTTATCTAGAAGAATCTAATGTAATAGTAGTATTAGTAAGTCGTACGTAGCCTAAAAAGCTATAGTTTAAGAGGTTTTTCTACTCGAGGTTATAAACTAAGAAGCCATTACCTAAGAGCTTATTACCTAAGAGCTAGTTACCCGAGAGCTCGTTACCTAAGACGTTATATACTAAGAACTCGTGCTCTAGGAACTTATTATCCGAAATATAGTACTATAAGTAGTCGTGCTTTATAAGTTCCTAGACTAAGTATCCCTAGCTTAAGAACTTATTATTCGAGATATAGTGCTATAAGGGGTTATGTTTTATAATGTCGTAAAATAAGGAGTTATACTAGATAATATTATACTCTATAAGGTAGTATATTAAGAGGTTATACTTTACGAGGTCGCGCTTTATAAGGCCGTACTTCGTGCTATTCTAGTATTAGGGGATATTATATAAGTCCTATTAATAGTTTAGTAGGATCTATAAAACATATAGGCCTCTTATTCCATGGTAGCTTAGGGATCTATATTAATTATAAATAAGTAAGGAACCGAGTTATAGTTCGATTTATTATATCTACCCTATAAATATATATAAGTACTCTATAACTATCTTAGATAAAACATAAACTTACTACTATATAAATACGGTTTTTAAGTAGATCGTATATTATTAGAGTGTCCTAGTATAGAAATATACTATTAACTCCTATAAATAGCGTAATAGGATAGGATATAAAACGCACTTTTAATAGCTTATTCTTATTAAGAATAAGGGTTAAGATTAACTATATTAGCCCTTTAGTATCTACGCCATATTAGATAATAGGGCTCGCCTAAGGTAAAATTAAGCTAAATATAATAGTGTTAGAACTATTAAAAGTAAATCTATAATCGTCGATAACCTTTAATAAAGTAATTACTATACTCTACTTATTTAATACTAGATTATAGTATACTATCTTTTCTTTATAGAATAGAAATACCTTCGGCCTATCTTAATTAGCAAATAGCTTCTTCTATTATAATATATTACTAAGACTTACTTAGACTATAATTTAGTATATATAAGCCTATCCCCTCTCTATATATCTACTAGAAAGAGCGTATCTAGGATCTTTACTATTTTGTTTATTATATAGTTAATAATATATACCTCTACTATTAGGTAATATATATTATTCTAAAGTCCTAATAGGAAAAGTTAAGAGTTACTATATAGAGTAACTAGATATATGTTATTTTATAACTTTAATAGTAATGCTTTAGCTAATACTAGTACCTTAACTTCTACTAGATAGTTATATAACGCGATATAATCTAGGTTAATAACATATAGACTTAATACTTAAGATAGAAATCTATATAGTAAACCCTTACTCCCGCTAAAATAGGTACTAATCCCTATCCTTTATATAGCTATTATAGTAACGATGTTAAAGGTACTAGTAGTAGCCTATATAGGTATTAGCTAAAACTCGGCTATATCGCCTACTAGCGTCTACGTTTATAGGGAATCTTATCCCGAGTATAAGGTATCTCCGACATTAAGAATGTTCTAGTCTAGAGGTATATTTATATTAAGAAGTAAAATGGTCTAGTTTATTCTAGACTATAAGCTTACTACTATATCGTTATAGCTCGTTCTTAGAAGGGTTAACGTCGAAGAGATCGTATATAATAATTCCTAATAGTCGATACCTTTACTAGAGCTATAATATATAGTAGTAAATAGAATTAGAAATAGCGAAAGGTTACCTAGAAGAAAGACCGCCGCGTTACTAGCGACGGTATAGTTATATCTAAAGATATTATTAATAATTAAGCCTAGAACATTATCTACGAGTAACCTAATAAATATACTAATTAAAGCACCCTCTAGCCTAAAGGTTACCCTAAAGGTAGCTCCGATTATTACCGGACTTAACTTTATAAGTAGTTTAGTCATTAAATTACTAAGACTATTAAGAATGCCTAGCGCTCGAATTAGTAAGGATAGGTTAGATAATGCTAGATAGTATATACTATTAGCATATTTAGTATTATTAGAGAGCTACTATAAGTTACCTATAAAGGTATAGTTCGCGTTCGCTAAATTAGTTAAGGACTATATAATACTAATGTTACTCGTACTAGGGGCTAAGAACTCTAGATCGAAGTTAATCTAGTCTCCGGATCTTATTCGGCTACGTCTCATAGAAATACACTCTTCCGAGTAATTTCCAGTCCGCTAAGCTAAGTTACTATAGTAAAAAGAGTTAAGGTATTAGCTTTAGGACTTATTATTAAGTCGACGGTAATGCTATTAACGGTCTATTTATAGTTATTATTTATAGCCTATATAGCCTATAATACTAGCGAGCTAGCCGCTTAAGTATATCTTAAATATAGAAACGAAGATATACGCTATAGGGCTCTATACTCGCTACCTATAAGTATCTCTCTAGCCTCTTATATAAACCTAGGTTTATAATAGTTAATACGGCTCTATATAAGTAAGGAGACTAGTATATCTCTAGATCGAACCTCTAACTTCAACTCCTAATAACGAGTAATCTTTATAGAAGAGATAACCCTTTATTTTAAACGTAGGTCTAATCGTCTACGATATAATAATTAACCTTAGATAACGCGTATTTATACCTAATTAATAGGCTAATCGTATAGTATCGATAATAGGTATATATCTTAATATCTTTCTCTTAAAGGCCCTTAAGTAAGCTATATTAGACTCTTAGTCCGGTAATCCTAGCTCTAGTAGCTCTAAACGATTAACGATATAGGGTACTACGAAACTTAAGATCGATCTACTTTAAAATTCTCTTTATCTTTAGAACTAGTTCCTAAGTACTACTCTATACTAGCCTAATAAAAGTGCTTCTTTTAGGACTATTAGCCCCTTAAAATACTTTAGCCTAATTAATTCTGCTTTTTATTCTACCTAGTAATGTTATGAGGCTTCCTAAAGGGTATAGAGTAAGCTCTATATCGCGAATAGCATATTCTAGGATAATAGTTAGCTATATATATAGTATTAGTGCTTATACTATTACGACTTAAAGGAGAGCCTCTATCGATTCTTATATTATAATAGAATGTTAATAATATTAGATTATAGGAGAGTAGTTAGGGTACCCTTATCCTTAACTAGTAGTATAAGATAAGGTAAGATTAAATTTACCCTAAGAATTGTTTCCTAAGCCTAATAGAAGCTATATAGTTACTAACTAAGCTCCTTTAACTAGTTATCTCTATATACTCTATATACTACTCGATTATTCTTAAGCTAACTACCCCGGTTATCTAGCGATAAATATAAGTAGTCTTTATAGAGCGACCTAGTTAATAGTCGGTTTTTTTCTTTTTTCCTTCTCGGCGTATTTATAAGCATAGTATAAGTTTAATAACTAGAACGTGTTATTTACTTATATAAGACAATTATAAGGGTTATTACCCTACCGGACCTAATCTCTACTACTAATTTAATAGAATTACTTACATCTCTCTATATGCTGTTTAGTTTATATTATATCTTCTAGCTATACGACATTAGTTACTTCCATTACGCTTAATTAAACGTACTGCCACTAAATCGAGAAAGACAGTGCCGGAATATATAATCCAGATCTCTAAGAGTGAAATCACCCTTATACACTAAAGAAGTAACGCATCCGTCGAAAGGAGTTGTCGACTATATAGTGTAACTAGAAGTACTTGCCCTAGACATGGATACACTCACATCATATTCTTTAACGAACTTAGCCGTTGTTCCAGCTTCTCGTCCATGCCCCAGCTCTTGTATATCAGAAAATCAAGATGAGGACATGCTGCGGCGAGATCAAGCAGGATTTTGGACCCCTTGACTGCGCAAGGGTTAGTCATGCCAACAAACTTCTTGTCCCAATTATGCATTTGACACGGCATTTGGTGAGTATCTTCCTTGAGATAAGTCCACGGGTGATGGACGAAGAAATCGGTCCGGAGTTGACCATACTTCGTCGCGTAGTCTTTGATAGCGACAGAGACACTCCCAATGCCGTCAAGTTGGCGAAGAAGAGTGAGTTCCTTTGGTGAACTATTCATGCCAGGCATGCCACCAGCAAATGGTCCAAATGGCAATTGTTCGGCGGTGTGAAGAACAACCACCCGAGAGATGTCCAGCCCAGGCAATTCAGAGACGCTTGTGGCTTGCATAGAGAGGCCGTCATTCGAGACGACGTGTGTGGGCAAATATGCGATGATTTCGTTTTGTAAGAAAGATACGAAGTCAGAGAGGCGTGCGGATAAAATTCCTTTCTGCGCCAGAACAGGATCAGCAAAAATGATCAGTACAAGCCAAAACGAACGGATCTAGGTGTGGTATGTCTCGTTACCTCGATATACTCGGCAGTCTCTCTGGATATCTCCTTGTGTAGATTGTCTTTGCCTCCAAACGCGGCGTCAAATGCTTCTTTGTGCAGTGCAACAATTTCGACACCATCCTTCATGGTCAGCTGCACAACTTCCACATCCGCTCCAGAGCGCTCACAACCGCTGCTCAGGTGGAGGATCTTCTTGTGCACACGCACTTCGTGCCCACTCTCGGTCGCCATCTTCTGAACATAGTCCTCAACTTCGTTGTGATGGAAGTAGCAGAGTTGGCGGACAGAGTGGCCACGAGATGCGAGATATCGCAACAGACAGATATTAGCTTTGTAGCCACCTGACGAGGAAAACAAACCACGGGCAGTCTGGATGAGAAACACTCGCATGAACTCGCATCCTGAACTACTGAGGGACGTTGTTGAAGTTTCGGTAAGGACAGACGAAAGTGATTCAATCGAGGAGCGCGAAGGCATTGTCAGTTGAGGAAGATTGACAGAAATCGGATGAGAATGGTTGACTGACAAGCTGGGTAATAGGATTGTGCCTCTACTTGTAGTGGATACCTGTCAAGATCTAAAACCTCAGTCTCAAGCCTATATCGGTCTTTGCCGGCATCTTGACCAAAGACCAGAACGATGCGCCAAGAGTGTCAAGTATATCGGCTTGCTCTGGAAGTTTTCTTTTGTCTTCGTGAAGCTTTTCACTTGCAGCACCGACCAGCACATACGCGAGACTCCCTCCATGCACAGCTGTTCCGTGTTCAACCAAGAGTTATGCGCCAAAGAGATCAATCTAGTCTCGTACCGTTGGTTATTTGGCTCGCGTAGTGACAAACGTGCCATTTTCGAAGGATCGTAGTCCTACGCAGCTTGTGCAATTCTGATGCAAACTTCATGACCGAGAGCGACAACGATTACGGCAGCTTCGTTCAGAGACTGGTGCAGGTACGGCAACCACACCGCAGAGTCGCTCTGCAAGCCTTCATGCATGCGAACTTAACCCCACAAAACTTGTGCTGAAAAGGACGACATCTCTGCAAGTCTTGACGGACGCAGCCCCAGTATATATCTGTCAAAGTGGAGGTAGCTCCGGTGCTGGTACGAGAACATCAGGGTCGTCTCACCACTCCAAAGATCGACCCCGGTCGATCACGCTCCAAGTCTCGCTGGAAAATATCATTCTTACAGCATTCTAGGACCCATAATGGACAGGACGAAGCCACTGAAGCCATGTCTCGCTGCCCAAGCCCCACAATCATCTTGCGGCTGCAGTTCCTTCGTTAAAGCTCGACTATGAGTACCCGCGCAGTGGATGAAGGCACCGCACTACCAAGCGATTTTGACAGGCATAGATGCTGTCATAATTTCTATCTACCTGAGGTTGCAGTTCGAAGCGTGCGATTTCGCCTGCGGATGCCTGTCTTTGAGCACCTATGATGCTCTGGTGGCGCGATCACACAATAACCAACAAAAAGGTTTACATGAACGAGAATCGTGTTCGTGCACAAGAGCAGCTGAACAATCATTACGTCGAGTTGAAGTCTCACAACGCGCAAGATTTCAGAACATAAAAGCTCACACAGGCTCTTCGAACCAGCTAACAAACAACATCACTCGATTTTTCATGTTCCGATTGAGCACAATCCATCAACGTGAAGCATGCCTGAAGTCGCAGCCAGGTATATCATGATCTCCCACCCGTTTAATCGTCAACGAGCTGACCGATGTACAGTAACGTCCTTACCACCGACTACAAATCGCATCCTCATGACACCATGAAAGCGGCACAGTGGATGGGTTCNAAAAGGATTGAGGTCAATACCGTTCCCAAACCTGTCGTTACTGCCGCCAAAGATGCCATTGTTCGGATCACTCATTGCACCATCTGCGGCTCCGATCTTCATATGTATGTTGGCGAGCTCAATCAAGCCATGCAGAAAGGTGACATCATGGGCCACGAGGCCATCGGAATTGTCGAAGACGTTGGTCCGGATGTTGAGACACTCCAGAGAGGTGATCGAGTCATTATTCTTCCCGTTATTGCTTGTGGAGAATGCTTCTACTGCCAACGACAAGAGTATTCCTTATGCGACACGACGAACCCTAGCAAAGAGATGGAGACCATGTGGGGACACCGTCTCTCAGGAATCTTCGGCTATTCGCATCTGACTGGGGGCTATCCTGGCAATCAAGCAGAGTGGTGTCGCGTACCGAACGCAGATCTGGTCTGTGTCAAGACCGCCATGGATGTCGACGCCAGGAAACTGGTCGCTCTTGCCGACGTGACACCCACAGCATGGCATGGTTGCGAGCTGGCTGAGGTCTCCAAGGGAGACGTCGTCGGCGTCTGGGGGTGTGGAGCGATCGGGCTCTCCATCCAAGCACTGTCGATCTTCCGTGGTGCGAAAAAGGTCTACGCGATAGANAAAGATCCTGCCCGTCTTGCCATTGCTCGATCTTTGGGCGCCGTTCCCATCAACGTCAACGAGCATAGTGATGTCGCTGACTACATCCTCTCTATTGAGCCTCATGGGCTAGACAAAGGCATCGAGGCCAGCGGTTTTCGTAGCGAAACATCTGCCACTCATACTTTGATGCGCAAAGTCGATCTGGAGGGCGACCAAGGCGACACCGTCACATCTGTCATCAGGGCCACGAGAAAGTGCGGCAACATCGCTCTTATCGGTGACTTCTTCTTCAACACCAATCAATTCCCGACCGGCATGCTCATGGAAAAGACCATCACACTTCGCGGTGGTCAACTGATGGCTCAGAAGGTCTGATTCTCACTTTCTGCAGTCGAACGATACTGACTATGTTCATTANNGTACTTCCCGTACCTCCTTGACATTACCGCCAAAGGGCAATATGACCCATCATTTGTCATGACTCACACAGGTAATCGTAGCCACTTTAAAGATGCGACAGATTAGATCATTGACTACTCGACAGATAAATTCGAAAACATTGCAGAGAATTATGCTCTGTTCAATGAGCACAAGATTCCGGGTGGTCTCAAAGTATGTTTAGCTACTGAGTTTGGTGGATCTTTGGGCACGTCTACTTGAGACTACTCAAGCGCGAGTTGTGCCGATGCTCACGTTTTCTGTGGATCAAAACTTTCTTTGATATCTTTGAATTCAGTCGTGTTGTATAGCTCGGAATCACCCCATGTCATGCTCAACATCGATCATCACACAAGACGATCTTGATACCTTTAGATTCAACAACATTACTGCAGACACGACTCATCCGCCACTGACCACATCGCCTAAGTTGGACATCGATCGGTAGGTATTCGCCAATGTTCTCGCGAGCACCACCTCAGGGATACAATGCATCCTTCTGCCAATGTTGCTCGTCATCCATAATCTTATAGCGCAGTCGCTGGTGCATGCGGTCGGTCGCACCTTGCCAGAATTCGACGCTGCGAGGCGCTACAGCGAACACAACCCATGCAGGAGACACATAGTCAGGTTCGGTCTTCATCCTCTGTTTAGCATCGTGAAACCCTTGTTGCAGCTGTTCTGCATCTTTCAAGATCTCACTTTGCTTGGATGCCAGAGCTGTGATTTTGGAACCGATGGGACGTTCAGCAAAATCTTTAGCGCTTTCTTCAGCTGGAAGCTGATTGGCAACGCCTCTGATGCGGATCTGACGACCGAGATGAGGCCAGTAGAAAGTCAATGCGACCGCAGGGTTGTTCAAGATTTGTCCGCCTTTGGGACTGTCTGCTTTGATTGCAAAATGCCACCCACGATGGTCGAGGTTCTTCAAAATCAGCACTCTGGCGTCAGGCCATCCATGTTCGTCGACAGTGGAGAGAGTCATCGCGTGGGGTTCCTTGATGCCGTTGTCGATTGCATCCTTCAGCCAGTCGACAAAAGCCTGTTGAGGGGTAGGTGGGAATGTGCTGAGATCTAGCGGTCGAAATGGGCCCTTGAGCGAAGGCAGGCTCCGAAGAAGAGCTTGAGTAGTAGTTTCGGTAGCAGACATGATGGTCAGACTCCAATAGCAGTGGTTGATGCAAGTGACAAGTGTCATACTGTCCACAATTAAAAGGCAATGCTTCCGTCTGGGGTAATCCGAGGTGAGTCATCGTCGCCCATCTCCAGCAGGGAAGTAATTCGACAGTCTCTTGGCCTCTTGAAGACAATACTGACGTGCGAATTGTACAAAACGTGATCGGCTATCTTCTTGTCAAAAGTCGGAAGTCGGTGTCAGAACAATTGGTAATCTCGAGGGAGTCAAACCTCGACCTATACCGATTACCCCGCCTGACCACCGGAGGTGAACTCCCGCTGACAGCGGCCAGAAATCCCCGATATTATGACACCTCGCGGAGCGGGAAAAGTTTGGTTGGAAGTTGTTCATGAAAACTGATTGTGAAACTACCACCATGCTTCAAATTTACTCGGCGTCCCCCAATGCTCATTAAACAACCTTGCGATTGTCTCTCGTAACGCCAGAAGCTCGGTCTCGTTATCGGCTGTAACATCGTCATTGAGACAGAGTTGCCCTGCTTGTTTCTCAGGATCGGCAAGACGGTCAATGAGTCGCACTTGGACTTGCTCGGCGTCTGTGACCATCGTGAACAATGCATCTGGCTCCACAACTACGTAAGAGTACCGTTTCAGAGCCTTGAGGACTGTTTCCCTGTGCTCGGCATCTTTCTCTCTATGCGGTAAAAGTGGCGATAAGCCTTGCTCGACACGGTTGAGAAGCAACTTCGTCAGGCAATCGCCGCACTGAGGATCCTGTCTGGCTACTCTATCGAAGATGGCAGCTGTCGAAAAGACAGGATTGTCGGATCTGTCGTCCCAGGTCGGAGAGGAGAATCCGGGTGCCAAACACTCGTTGACATTGAACTCGAAGCAGTCAATGTTGGCAATGGTAGCAGGACCGTCAAGGGATGTCCAAGTCGTCTCAACGTTAACCTTGGGTGCTTCAAGTCCTGCATCCTCAAGTGACTTTGCCACATAGTAGTACATCCTCTTGCGGAATGAGTTTCGACCTTCATTGGCTAGACCTTCCTCGAGATCGCTGATGATTGCCTGTCTCTCCTGCCAATTGAGGTAACCATCTCGGTCAGGATCACTCCTGATCATGAGGTAACTCCAGAGAAGAGCTTCACGGTGTCGCTCGATAGTGTAGTGGAAAGCATTGTACCACGAATACAGTTGGAAGCCAGTTTCACCTCTGAACTTCTGGCAAGCACTCTTAAGAGACGGTCGAGGAAATGCTTCCATTGCCTCTTTGTACACGCTTCGGGACAGAGAGTGGCCAAAGTGGACCTGTCCTTTTCTCTTGCGAGTGCCGAAACGTCTGTTTAGCATCCACGAAGTGTAGATCAGATATGGCTTTTCGCCGAATCGAAGAGCATCTTTCTCGGAAGGTGGCACAATGGTGTTATAGCTGTTAGGCTTGAAGCCCATTACCGTGCCGAACAGAGGCGAGTATACGTCGGATGCAGCGTGGGGCTTACCGAGAAACATGTCATCTGACATTGCGAAGATCTGATGGCTGTCAGTGAGCGACATCTAGCGATCAAGGTACAGACTCAGACTTACTCGGTCGGTATCTGAAGGCGTATTGTGAATTTGATTCTCAATGGTCAACGAGTTGAAAGTTGGAAGGCATTTTGCTTCTTCTTCGCCAAAGAACTCTTCTTGCGACAAAACTTGGAGGTCATCTTGAATCGCTGAGTCCTCTTTCAGCCACATGGGTCGCTGTTTTGTCATTGTGCCGTCAGCATCTTGGATTGCGTTGACCAAAATTTGGATGTTGTTGCGAAATGAGCTAGCATGTTTCTCGACACTTCTGATGGAGTAGCGTAGCTCGTCCCAGTCACGATAACGATTCACACCGTGAGAAGCGATCCATTCACCCGCATCATCGTTCAGGCTCGAGTTCTGCTCATATGGTCGCATTACGTCTGCAAATCTGGTATCTGAGCCATTCACCCCTACAGATGTTGATCAGCTCACAAATCCAGCACATACAAACTTAAACTCACAGGTGTACACAAAATCAATCTTAGGCTCGTTGATTTTGCCATGTGTGGCAGCATCATATTGGGCATGTGCAAACCATTCTTCTTCCCAGTCATCCAGAGTTTCATTCTTCACAGCCATGTGCAGTGGGATATGCACAAAATCAGGAAGCTCGTCCGCCAACCTGTTGAGCCTGTCGAAGTTCGAGGGGGCTGGAAAAGCGTATCTCCCGGGCTGAGCAGCAGAAAGCATGTTCTGATCCTGGTCTTCGGCGGGGTGCACAGATTCCTGGGACAATCCCAAAGATGATGCGACGAGACTGGAGCTGGGGCTGTCCAAGTTTTCAGACGGATTGAAAGCTTGAGATCTGGACAGGTCTGTCAATCTGCCGCCATCTGCGACGACTGGTTGAAGCTCAGACACATCTTCCACCAATGATTGTTGTTCTTCGACGTCTCCAATGTCATTGACAGAGCTGCCCCTGGTAACTTGCACAGCATTTGGCAACACGTCGTAAGGTTGCGGTTTCGTCTGCAATTCAACGGGAGCCTTAGAGATGTCCGAAGGCTTGACGATCGCCGCAGTCAGCTGTTCTTCTTCTGCTGTGGGCTTCTGAACTGTGATTGGATCTCTGCTTGTTTGGATTGTAACCAGTCGATCTTCCGAGCCTCCAGCGAAGAAGTTTGGTGTTGCTGGCACTGATGGTGTGAAGCGATCTCTCGAATCACCAAGACCCACACGAACAGTCCAATAGACCAATGTGCAAAGGATCGCGAAAATCGCTAAAGACTGTCTTCGGCGTGACCTGGTGTATCGCGTGAAGGGTAGAAGAGGGACGCCGCGTCTGCCATGTCGAGTCTTTTGTTGTAGGTACGACATGATAGAATTTACTCCGAATGGGATTCCCTGGATACAGAGTGAGTCGAGAGATTGACTTGAGAGTTTTTCAAGAGATGGAAAAACAACACAGTCTCCAAGGGTGTCGATACTTGATCTCGGCAGAGGGCATAGACATGTGCCCCTCACCACAAATCGAATGTCTCAATCGTCTACGAGCCGCCTATCTCATCAGAACAATAGACGGGTCATGGCACATGAGTCGAGCACAACAGTCGCCCTGGTAGGATGCAGCGCCAAGAGAAATTCGTTGCCCGGACTTTGTCGGTGGGCTCAATGTGGCAGCTGGACATGCGACAGCGGAACTCGCCTTGGTACAGCATCCTTCAGGAACTGTTGATAGCAACGTCGATCGGCACTTGGCGATGTGGAGAGTCGTGTGGAGAGGGTTGTAAACGACACCGTTGAGAATGATGGCGAGTGGTGCCTTTTCTCGGCAGTCGCCGGTCAATTCGACCAAGCCTTCCGCCGACTACTCGGGTGGAGGCAACGAACCTTATCGCACCACACGCGCTGCTTGAGCACCACAATAGACGACACCTCGAAAATCTTGTGGCGATCAAACATATTCGAAAGCCCCACTCAAGCTTTTCTGTTGACAGAAGCAAATTCATCATTAACCTCTGTTAACCGTGGTACAGATCTCGATGCCGTGCTTGTCACTAGCAACGTCTTACAAGCCCCTACATGCAGCCCATGCTTGGTACTCAAGTGCTTAACCTGTTCCTCTTGCAGATCTTCGCATTATTCTCGCGATCGAGATACACATGAGAAGTACGGCTTGGGAGTTCACGTCAGACTATTGAATATAGCTGTTTCACCTGGATCGTGTGCAGTTTCCTTGCACTTCACGAGCAATGATCGCGTGCTTCATGTTTGTGGGACACCAAGAACATTCTATCGATTGAGACTGTGGACTAGTCACTTGGTCGGCCTCGTGTCCGGTCCCATCACACGCGGGTGGTATTGGTGTTTCCAGAGATGCCACTCTGGACACCGCACCTTGAAAGGATCACTTGGCATAGTTGCCTTAACATCACATACTCTGCTTACTTCCTACTGCTCAATGATGATGCAGATGTGCCTAGCATCAAAGCTGAGACAGTCCGAAACGATGGCAGACCAAGATACGAGCCCAATCATCTGACATCGTACTGCAAAGCTGTAAGTAGCGAGCAGGTACTGTTAGCTTGCTTGGGACACGGTAGTAGAGACGCTTACTGTCGTTTGCGGACGGCTCGCCTTCGGACTTGATCGCTAGTCTCGCTGTTGATATCCGCGAGTCGGCTCATTGAGCGAAGCACAAAAGCAATACACCATTCCTCTGAACATCCCCGTTCGATATACCACCTGCCTACACACCACCACGACTCCATACCACATCGTCAGTGGCTTCCACATATCGATGATGTCCCGTTGGTTTTCAATGAAGTCGACACACAATCCTTAGACACCTCACCGTCCATTGAAGCAATATCGTCGTCTAAAATTGGAATCAGCGATGATCAGACGCAAATGGACGATGCTTGATCGTTTCGCGTCTATACAACTGCGTCATTGACAACTGACTGAAGCTGCTGAATCCTATATCTATGGCCTCAGTTCTCAGACCTTGACACATCATCTCATCACCGCTCCCAATTCCATCGTTTGAGAACCCTCACTACTCTATACCTTCGTTCTTCGATCAGTATCATGAACCCTTGGATCCATCTCACGAGCCTCCTCAGCTTGAGTGCTGTGGTTGCAGCAGCTCCTCGTACCAAGACCTGCTACACCAGTCCTCCCACTACCATCACCAAGTTCGTTACTCCGACTTGTCCAGCTCCCAAGACTGTCTATCTTGACGCAGCGGGCAACACCATACCATCTCCTGCCCCTACCAACCCTGCAAGCTATGTGACCACTCTCCCGGCTGTCACTAGAGTCACTGAGTTGGTGTACCCTTCTTCTTTGACTTGCAATGGCGGCGAGACTGTCACTATCAGTGGAGCTCCAACCGTGGTCGCAGGTCCCACAGTCCTCACGAACTGTCCTTGCTCCACTCGCACCACTGTGATTGCACCTGGTCCAGTGATCACTCTCCCCGCTGCATTCGCTCCGGGTGCAGCTTCTGGCAATGCTGGCGGAGCTGCTGGTGGAAACGCCGGTGGAAACGCCGGTGGAAACGCCGGTGGAAATGCTGGTGGAGCTGCTGGAAATGTTGCTACCACCGTCGTCAACACTTATGTTGTCTACCCAAGCGCCTTCGTTGGCAATGGTGGCGAGACATTGACAATCGGCGGTACCATCACGGTCGTTCCTGGACCTACCGTCATCTCTCAGTGCCCTTGCACTCAAGCTACCGCTGTCACTATTACCGGCCCTACCGTAACTAACACTATCACTCAATTCATCCCCATCCCAACTGTTATTGCGGGCGCAACTGTCACGAGCACAGCCACTGTCATTTCTGGTGTGACTGTCACTCAAACAACCACTGCCACTGCTACATCTGGCGCGGGAGTGCCAGCTGCTGGTACCTTCGGAACTACTGTCGATGGTGTCACCTTCCTTGTCGAGGAACAAATCAACTACGATGGTACTCCGCTCGCTTTGCCCGCCCGTAAGAATAAGCGTCAGCAGACCTCTGTCAACCTCCAAGTCTGTCTCGAGACTTGCGCTGATAACGAGGCATGTGCTGGCACTTCTCTGAACACTGAGTCGTCGACTTGTCTCTACTTCAGTGCCATCTTTGCATCCACCAGACGTCGCGATGTCACTATCATATTCGCTACCGTCATCAGCCGTGTCACACCTACTGGAACTTCCAGCTTGAGCAGCTCCACTACCAGCTCCTCCTCTAGTTCTATGACTTCCTCTTCTCTCATCACCACAACTTCTGCCACATCCACCTCTGGCACCTCAACTTCTGGTACTTCCACTTCTGGTACCTCCACTACTGAGAACGGAGGCACTTCAACCTCTGGCACTTCCACTTCTGGAACCTCCACCTCCGGAACATCGACCTCGGGCACTGCCACCACCAGCCAGACAGCCGACCCTTCATCTGATCCTTCCACTGACGCTCCCGCTGAGGAAGAACTTGTTGCCCGTGCCGCTGCCCCCAAGCCTGCTGGTCTGACTCTTCGTAACGCCGACCGCAACAAGGCTGGTGCCGTCGTCCGTCGCGGTGGTGTCCTTCGCCGCTCCAATGCTGAGCCTGCTGCTAAGCATGCTCCTCGCAAGGTCGTCATCGAGCTGTAAGAAGCTTCAATTGATGGGTGATGGCTCAATTTCGAGATTGAGCATGTAGTTGCTCGCTTTTACTATGATTTGCCGCTGTTTGTCTGACTAGTACCATGTAATCGATAATGTCATTATATCTGTTCCTTGTTGATGATCATGTCCCATCTCTTTATCATGTGCTTAATTCATGTAAATGGTCACCCAAACGATTGTCTCCATACTCGTAGATCGTGTGGCTATAACCTTCTTTTCTTTCTCGGAAGCTAGATAGAGGAATGAAATTGCAATCAAAGCGCTCTCTTGAGACGAACATATGTGCTGACAGCTTCCGAGCGTCGTCCGCAAGGATTGTATACTAAACGTTTGCGAAGTATTTACAATAATCAAAAACTCATGACGTCGACCAATAGTGATCGTGATAGCTAAAAAGTTCTTCTATTGAAAAGATATCCGGGGAACCTCTCGAGTCAGTCATTTCCTGCTGCAGATGTTGTGTGTTATCGACATATCACAATGTTTAGTTGTTAGGGACAGGGTGCTGCTCTCAGGAACGGAGAGAGTCATGCCCGCCGATGCACTTCTCCACGCCAAGATGGAAAGCGTCCCGTTTCTGGAGTTCGTTCCGTGATCGGGTCACAGTGATCTGCATGCAAGACATCGTTCCTTTCGAGATGTGCAATCGCGCGATTCCGAGTAGTCGTCTCGGGCTGGGCAAGTAAGCAGTGGACATATTTGGCTGCTCGTTGAGTATCATTTCGGGAGAACATGCGACAAGATGGCACGCGACACCAGGCCAGGACTCGAGTCATGGCTCCGAGCAGATCTTTACCAAGCATGGAGAATATTGGTTGCCCATCTGTCAATGACAAGCCCATCCCGCCTTGTGAACTCCCTTCGAGTGTCCCGCATCCTGCTTGGCACAAACAGTGGAAGGGACGTTTGGTACATGCAGCGGTGTACTCCATTCGCCAAGCGAAATCGCAGATCCCATAGACGGAAAGCGGCAGTGTCGTTCATTCTAGGGATACCGTTATGCTTGATAATAGGGCTCAACGGTGTAGAAGTGCAACTTGAGCCGTGTCCGTTTCTTGGCATATAGTGGAGCACCATTCACCGTTATACATGCCTGCACGCTTATGCATAAGCCTGGCTCGCACGTTTGAACTTGCTATCTACTGATGTAGGTGGAGGCTTCTTGTTTCAGAACTTGGTGGAGCACTGGATATTTCAAGCAGGCTTTTGGACGGTCGTGTGAGAGTGTCTCAAAGTCGACTGGCACGATCAGACGCTGTAGTGGATTGATATGGAGACCGCGATCGGAACTGCTGGCCGTAAGCGAGCCCTATTATCATTCGATTGAGAGATGGGGTGATGGTAAGGTGGTAAACATGACGAGAAGACTCCATACCGAGCATTCCCCCTCACCATTAGAAGCGTTTGGCATAGCGTCAATGCAGTCTTGGTTGCCAATCGTGTGATTGTGCTTGGAATTCCTGATCCTTTCCTTCCTTCCGACCATTGTATGTCATTTAACACATCGCTGTCCTTACATGATTCTATCGACCATCGCCACCATCAAGTTTCGGCGAAATCATGCATTCATCACATTCTTCCAACTCTGGCGACGATCCTGAGGACGCTCATCTTCTTTCGAGCTACGACGAGAAAGAGACAGTACATGATGGCTATGGCAGAAAGCCATCCATATTCGCCAGACATCTGCCTCGACTACCATCGATGACGAGGCCGGGCATNTTTCGAGCATCCAACTATGCAAACTATGGCAGAAAGCTCTCNTTTGCCATTCTTCCATCTTTCGTACAGCACAGACTGCGACCATCGACGAAACAACACAAGCCATTGCATCCGACAGGGTTCTTGGATGGTATGCGAGGCGTTGCGGCATTTCTAGTCATCGTGTTTCACCTCGTCGTGTGCTGTTACGATGCAAAGCACGGCTATGCATCAGGCAAAGACGGGGAACACCGAGAGTTTCTCAAGCTCCCTTTCATCCGAATCATTTACGCTGGGCCAACCATGGTCTCCATCTTCTTCGTGGTGTCTGGTTATGCGTTGTCCTACAAACCAGTCAAGCTGATGAGGAGCAAGAATTGGCAGAGTCTTTCGCGATCTCTGGCATCATCAATCTTCCGTCGTGCTATCCGCCTGTTCTTACCTTGTATCGTGTCAACATTTTTTATCTCTATCATCATCTGGTCGGGTTTATACAACACAGGTGCAGATTTCGCAAAAGAGAGAGGTCATTACAATGTCAAGCACAACCTCGACTTCCCGAAGTACGACTCTTTGGCTGCCCAGATGGCTNNTTTTTGGGCTAGAGAAACGTCCACGAAACTCATGAACCCTTGGTCTTTCGCGGCGAAAAGCACCGAGGTTACCATTGATGGCCATCTCTGGACCATACCAGTTGAGTAAGTGAATCTCAAAGGCCCATGAGTAACAATATCAGCGTGAAGGAAACTTGACTGATGTATTTCTTGTGCAGANTTCCGCTCATCTTTGGTGTTGTACCTCACCCAGGCAGGACTTGCGCACCTCAAGAGCAAGGTTCGCATGATCATTCTCGTTTTCATGATCATCTGGGTTCACCAGATGGGCCGCTGGGAGATGATACTCTTCTACGGCGGTTTTCTGTGTGCAGACCTCGACTTCCACCGTTCTTCAGCCACGAGCTCCGCGCTGCCCATTAGTGACGCGACCATCAAACCGAGGACAAGCAGATTCAAGTCTCTCATGTATGTTTGCACCTTTGTCTTAGGAGTCTACCTGGGCTGTCAACCTCAGAAGAGTGCGAACAAGACTCCTGGCTGGGTGACGTTGTACAGCATGATTCCAGGCCACGTTGGAAATCCAAAGCGATACTGGCCAGGCTGGGGTGCAATCCTGCTTGTCTGGTCCACTTCCTGTTATAAACCACTGCAACGCCTTTTTGACAACAGACTCGCCCAGTATTTGGGAAAGATCTCCTTTTCGTTGTACATAGTTCATGGTGTTGTGACTCATACCATTGGTTATGCACTGATGAACAACCTTGATGGAGTCTTGGGAAGAGACGATGCTATCAACCGGGCGATCGGCTTCGGCGTGGGATCTGGCGCGACTCTGTTCTTCACCATCTGGCTTGCTGATCTGTTCACGAGAGCAGTCGATGAGCCCTCGGTCAAGTTTGCGAGATGGGTTGAAGACAAATGCAACACTTCCATAGATTGAAGCAATTAGAATCATGCACAAATCGAATTGGCAACACTTGCAGCGTCTGATCTTATCGATTGCCATGTAGAGGACTTACTCTCGCCGTCCAGTATCGATCCAATTCTGGAGGCTTAAAGAGTTCAGTAGTTCGCTCTTGTCTAAGCGCCACAATATTTCTGTAAAGCGATGCAGGTATTCGGTTGCTCTGACTGCGACGCGATCGCCTTCTTCGAAAGGACAATTCAGCAATGAAACAGCCACATCACGAATCTTACAGAACTGTATATTTCGCATCAGACAGACGCTCATAGAATGTTTGATGATGATTGAATGGAAGGATAAAAGAACACTTACCGTATGGTAGCCATTCGGCTCGAGTGGTTCATCCGAGAAGCTATGCAAGACATGCAGCATCTGTCGAGCAACTTCTTCACGTCTGGACCATAGAGTCTTTGGGTCTGGTCCCGAAAGAGAAGGGTTGTTCAGCCGCAGGCCATCGATCTTGTCTAGTATCACAGATTGCAGCCACAGATGAGTGACGTGAATGTTCGCCCGGAGGACTTCCATCTGGGCATCGACAACATGAGTCCTCGTCGTGCGGTGTGGAGTCTCATCGTAAATAGGTGCCCAAGGTCGCAGCCGAGATGGACATTTGTCGAGCATAAATCTTAGCTCTTCAAATCTGTCTTCGAGCGACTGAACTTGGAGTGTGACCTCAAGACATTCACAACCACAACATCGGTCGCTGTCCGCGCGAGATGGGTCAATGCTTGTCGAATCAGCGACACGCCATAATGGCATCAGTGCTGTACAGAAGACTTTGGAGTGAATGTTGAAAGCGGTGATGATGTTGGTGTTATTGTCGTCTTGTGGCCGTGGAAGTATAGCATCCGGTGTTATGTACTCGTCTTCAACCTCAGCTGGCAAAAGAGCTTCGAAATCGATTGATCGCAACATCGAGCAGTCCAGGTAGAGAAGACGCTCCCTCCGAGCAAACTGTAGTTTGTTGTGCACCAAGCTGTAGAATATCAACCAGAAGGCCTTCCTTCTTAGTTGGGCCTCGATCAAGTCGAGACCTTCGTACGTTGATGCGCGGTGAAGCTCCAGCAAGCGTGCCAACTGCATCGACTCTATCTCGAGCATACGCGAACGATTGTGATGCCCGATCTGAAAGAATGCTGTCACGAAGCAGTATGAGACTGCCCATTTCTGATGGCTGACTTGGTCGTAGTAGCTAGCCCCTCGATGGCAAACCAACAAGTCATAGCAGTGATTGATCATAGCCTCTGGTGTTTGGAAAGGTAAAGTTGGATCAACGAGTCGATACTGTTCAAACCTAGACGAGCATAGTGCCAGCGTCACGGCACAAATGCCAACAAGAAGCAGGAAGAAATCGGAGTCGCATGCGTCTCTTCCCGCGGCAAGATCTCGTCTCAATGAGGGACGATGAACGACAGGTACGACCGGGTACATGATATCAAGATAATCGCTCATGATACGCTCCAGAAGGTCACGAGAGCATAGACTATCAGTCTGATAGGAGCGGTGGACCGGAGTGTTCGTTGCGTCACAAGCATTAGTATCGCTTAGCGACGCTGGCGTAGTGGATAGCAACGCGTTCACCGGAGCACTATCATTGTTCAAGAGGTCAGAGATAGACCTAGACGGCACACTTCTGCTCAACAAATCCACAGACCCTGATGGTTCGAAAGCTATGGCTTCAGGCCGGCGCAAGGATCCNNAATTCGCAATGCTGGTAGGGGTATCCGATTTGATGAATTTCCTGTCGATGTTGGTCCTGATGATGCAGTGGCAGTGTTGTTCTTGCTTAGTTGTCTTTAGCTTAGAAGTCTCAGTGTCAAAGTAGTGTTTAACGACGCACCCGACATCGTCTCGACGCCTCCGGGGCCCACGACACTTCTGAGGCAGAGAAAAGGTGCATTCGATGGACAGTCGCAAACACCGCTGGCACGGATTACTGGCGGCATTCGTAGTTTGGAACGAGACGTCGTAGATACACTTCACCTTACGCAGCTTACACGCATCACACGCCTGCTTGATCAATGTCGATTGCCTCCGTCTTGCGTCGCCAATCGATCGCGCATCGGGCATGATGCAGTCGCCAGTGTTTAAGGATGGTGCGGAGAAAGTAAGCAGGTGCGGAGAAGGAAGCAGGAGCGGAGAAATGTCGAATCTGAAAAATTCTCCGATCGAGCCCCGCACGTATTCCGCCTCCTCAATATCTTGGCATATTACCTTCTCCTTGCCATTGCCGAAGTCGCCGAGGAGGCTCCAAGATAGCACAGTCATCACCACACCTTCCTTTCTACCGCGATGGACCTCGCTACTATACACATAGAGGATGGAATTGAGAGTTCCTATGATGATAAGCATTCCGTCAAGGCACAGGAATGGAAAGTGCTTGTTCCAGTGGCTACTTCATGGATCGTGATCGCCGGAAAGCCAATCTACAAGATGTGTCTTTATGATCAAGGGGCCGGTCAGAATCTCCACAACAAGAGAATCTGGAACAAGCCAAAATGGGAACATCGGAAAGAACAGCTTCGTTCCTTTCAGAACAGGCATGACTTTGTTGAGAAATGCCGCGGGTATACAACCCGAGCTCTGGCAAAGATGGTAGAAGTTGAGAAGACGTTCCAGCTCTGACTGACGGCGTATGACTGTCAGATCTCAAGTCTCGTTGAGGCTGACTGGAGACGATGCAGAGTACTTCAACAAACCGCGATGACGAGGCCAGGAGTGACCTCTATACTCTCGGTCTTCCGGGCAAGCCAGCTTACGTTGAAAATATCATCGAATGTGGATGTTTGATTTGATTTGATTTGATTTTCTCAAGCTATTTACCCCGCAAGGGGTATGAGCTGTCGCTAGTTACACCATATTCTGACCAATAGCAGTCATCAGATTCAGTAGAAAGGAGGGTAATGGTCGCAGCAGACCGTGTAAAACATCAACGCCGATAACTCCTAAGTGCCTTTTTAATGAGTGTTGTACACGTCCTTCTCTCAGTGTTGGGGACCGGTAGCCTCCTCCATAAGGGTTTTTCCCTATGTCGCGTACATCCTTATCGGCCGGGCGCTGCATGGAGGCAGTGTTGTTATAGTGCTTACCTGCCAGACCGTCTGGCAGGTCAGGAATAGTCTGGCCGGTTATTTGACAGGTTGTTCGCCAGACGGTCTGCCAGACGGTCTGCCAGACCGCCTGCTAGACTGTTCTGTGCTTCCTGCCTAACTACCTGCCAACCCACCTGCCAGGCCGTCTGCCAGGTCTGCTCTGTAACTGTTTTGCTGAGATGATGATCATGTCTTAGTTATTCCCTAGGCACTTCCTTCTAGTTTGTCTTTCTCACTCCTGATATTGCAGTCTGCCTGTCGCCTTTGCAAACTCAATAGTGGCCTTTACTGCCTGCCAATCTGGTCTCCACTTGTCTTTCTCACCATCTACGATCTTTCCGTGTTCCTTGTGATCTGAGTATCCTCCTAGAGCATATGATATGTTGCCGAATCTCCTGCCGTGTGCTGATCTCATGTCTTGTCTCTGCTGTCTCCATAGTGGGCAAAGAANCAGGAAGTGTTGGACTGTTTCCAACACTCCACATTCGCATCTATCTGTTTCTACCACTTTGATCTTGTGCAGATAGGTGTTCAATCTGGATATGTTCGTCCTCAACTGTGCAAGGATAGCCGCACCTGTCCTGTTAAGTGCATTGTAAAGTTTTCTTGTATGCTTTCCTGGCAAGGCTTTGTCGATTCTCTGTAGGAACTTCCCAGTTTTGGCTCCATAGAAGTCCTCTTGATCAGGTTTAAAGCATTTTGCCTTTGCTCTTGCGTAGATCGTCGATATGGGCACTGTTGCAGCAGCTGCTGGCATCGGTTGTAACTCTGCCGTTGCCATTTGAGCTAACTCATTGGCTCTCTCGTTGCCTGCAATTCCTTCGTGTCCAGGAACCCAGTGGAGGGAAAATGTTCCTTTCCTGATCTTCTCCCTTATTTTCATGACTAAGTTAATACTGTCGTTGATCTTCGGGCTCTGTATGCTTTGCAACGCTCCTTGACTGTCTGAGAACACTCGTACCCGTACTTGGCTATTCATGTCGTCTGGGATGCCTTTGATTGCCATCCATATTGCTAGCAATTCCGTGTGATGAACATTGGTGTCTTCTTCTCTTCCTACTAGCTTTGATGCTTCCCATGCTGTTGTCCATATGCCAATGCCTGCTCTACCGTTCCTTACTGACCCGTCAGTATAGAAATCGACTGTTGCACACTCTGCAACTGTGGCTTGTTTGGCTTGTTCCTTGTCTAGTATGTACACGCGGGGTTTTGGCACCCACGGTTCACACCCGACAGTAGGGATCTTGTCTGCCTGCCGAGCCTTGATACTTTTAAACAGTACAGCTGCTTTACGTAGTGGAGATATGAAACGCTTCTTGCCCTTGTACTTGGCTAGCTTGTGGTGGATGTGAGATTCATCTAGCTTCTGGATGCCGATCCAGAATCTGAGAGTCTGCTCGTGCAGTCTCTGTCGTGTTGTTGCAATGCTTGCCTCCATGACTGCTGTGTTTAGGCCCATGGTTCTAAATCCCCCTATGATGGCCTGTGCCGCGACTCTTTGGGCTTTCTCTAGTGTTGCAAGAGTTTTGTCCGACACTGCTAGATACCATATAGGCGATGCATAGTCCATAACTGGTGCCACTGTAGCTGAGAACAATTGTCGCATACTTGATGGTCTGAGTCCTTGCAGCCTTTTTAGCGCTAACGCTGCCTTATAGGCTTTATCGGCCTTTCCTGCAACATGTTCCTTGTATCGTAGTTCTTGATCCATGGTGACGCCCAGGATCTTGACCGATTGGCTAGGGCTAATTGTGTCTCGCTTAAATTGCACGGGCATGTCGCTATCCCGTTCTAGGGATGTGTTCCTAGTGAAATGGATAAAGGCTGTTTTCGATGATTCGAAAACAGCACCACTTTCTCTTCCCATTTCTCTAGTTGCGGTAGTATCTCTTGCTGGATTCTTCTTGTGTTGCGCTCAGCTGAGTCTCCTACCACCCACGCCGTATAGTCATCCACAAAGGCCATGGAGCCCCCTTCCTTGATCTTGTGCTGTACAAGGTTGGCGTTAAAGAAGAGGAACAGGATCGGCGCTAGGGGTGACCCTTGCGGCAATCCTGCCTGTGGCAGATCCTCCACTTTAGACGTAAACCCATTGACCATAACACATGCTTTTCTGTTAGTGCAGAAATCCTGTACCCATCTAACTATAGGTTCTGGAATCCTTCTCTGCCTAAGTCGTTGCAGTAGCGGTTTAGTTGCAACATTATTGTAGGCTCCTTTGACATCAAAGGAGACTAGCGAGAGCGTCTTCCTTCCCCCTCCATGCATTAAAAATGGATTCTTGCAGGTATGATATGGCATGTATTGTCGACTTTTGTTTCCGAGCTCCAAAGTGGTTGTTTGGTAGCAACTTGTGGACCTCAGTAAGGTAAGCAATCCTCGTTGCTATTACCGCTTCCATGATCTTTCCTAAAGTTGCAAGAAGAGAGATTGGGCGATAGTTCTTTGGGAGCGTGTAGTCGTCCTTGCCTCCNNCCTTTTTAAGAGGGATAATCTTTGCGACCTTCCATTGCTCTGGTAGTTTGCCTTGCCTTAGAGATGCCGAGAAGAGCTGACAGATCTGCTGTTGCAGAACTGGCCACACTTCCCTCCATACTCTAGTCGTTAGACCATCCCTTCCAGCCGCACGATCAGGGCTTGTTGCAGACAGTGCTCTTTCTATCTCGTCGATTGCTACTCCTCTTAGCATGAACTGTTCTGCATTGTCGTCTCTAATTTCATCTGGTTGCTGAGGTTCTGGCGGTGGTGGGAAGAAGCTAGCTAGGAGTTCTTTGCTATGCTTGGTTTATCTTGTGTCAATTCACCACTTTGGCCTTTAATTGCCGTGATCCTGCTAAAGCTTGATCCTGTGCCTGGGTCTAGATATCTTGTTGCTTTCCATATGTTCTTAGTATCATCTAGAAACTCGGTCCAGTGCCGTTTCTTGACTCTCTTGATTGCGTGATGGAAATCATGTCTTGCTATCTTTGTTGCAACTTCAAGGTCCATGTTCCGGTTTCCTTGCCTGCGCCTTGCTCTTGCACGGTTCCGCGTCCATGTGTAGTTCTGACGTAGAGCTGTTAGATCTGGTGTCCACCATCTCTTCGCATATGCTGACGGCTTTGCTTTAGGACAATGTTGCTTGATTGCATCCTCGGTTGCATTCTGAATGTACTGTTGCATTTGCTCTATGTCCGTAGTTAGGAATGGTGAACTTGTAAGCTTCTGTGTGATTGTCTCGCGAACTGCCTTCCAGTCTGCTTTCTGAAGAAGGTATCTCTCAGCTTGTTGTTGTTGTTCTTGGTCCTGGTCCATGGAGAATGCTGTGTGTACTGCTCTATGGTCGGATCCATACTCGTTGTCCCATGTCTTGCAGTTAATCCTGTCTTCGTGCAACCGTTCGCTTGCCATTACTAGATCAATGGTGGACCTTTGCTCATTTCTTTCCCACGTGATCATTCCTCTTGGTGTGAGCATTTGTAGGTTGTTGCACTCTAGGAAGTCGAGGATCTGAACTCCTTCTCCTTGTCTTCGCCCTAACACTACCTGGGATCCTCCCCACAAACTGTCGTGCCGGTTGAAGTCGCCTGCAACTATGATTTCCAAGTCTGGATGCGTGGTCTTCTCCTTGTCGATTATCCTCTGAATGTCCTGCATGCGGTCTGCAAGTTGCTGTTCGTTCTCCTCCCTGTTTGGGGTATTAGGGGGATGTAGACCGATGCAACTAGGATGTTTCGGCCTGCTCTCTGTACTGTGATTACTGTGATGTCGCTACTGGCTGTCGTGTGTTGTATGTATTCCATCGTCCTACTTGCCCAGATGCATGACCGGATCCTCCTCTCCTGGTCATCTTGTTGTGTACTTTTCGGTTTTATTGCTTCAAAGTTCGGTCCAGTTCCTGTGATATGTGTGTTGTTGCCAAAGTCCAGGTAATGTGGCTCCTGCATTAGTATGAGATCAAAACTCCATAACTCCTTATCGTTGTATAACGCATCCTGAACTCCTGACATCTTTCTCAAGTTTGCTTGAAGGATATTGAGTGTACTAGTCATGACGGCGTATGTTGATGGCTCTTTCTTACTGCTTCCTATACTCTGGGCATTTCTTGTATGTCGCTGGATGGTCTCCTCCACAATTGCTACACTTTGGGTTGCCTATCTTGCAGTTGTTATGACCTGTTTGTGCGCACCATGTACATCTAGTAGCATTCTTGCACTCCTTCTGGATGTGTCCGAATTGATGACAGTTGTAGCAGCTCCTCGGTCCCCTGTTGTCATGGAAACTTGATACGTTGACCATGCATCCGAACAGCTGTACTTCTTCGTCATCCGCTTGCCTCTGGAGTAGCCTTTCTACCTGCTCCTTTGTTGCAAGTTTAGCAACTGCGGACGCGTGGGAGGCGTATTCCTTCGGCCTTCCTAACCATCTCATCATCTTAACCTCAACATCATTCTCCTTTGAGAAGGCCTCTTGGGTTTCTTGGCTGATTCTTCCTGTCTCCAGGTCTGTAGCTTCCCTTTCATGACGAAATCTACTTTGATTGGGTACCAGGTGGGTTCTATGAGTCTTGCTCCTTTTAGGAACATGTCGATCCATTTGTCTGCTTGGGCCCTTGCTATTTTCTCCGCATCTTTGTCAATCTTGAAATAGGCTAGATGGACGTCTTTGTTTGTGTGTCGAATCATGAATTGGTTCAACACGACCTTGTCGAGTCCTTCGTTAGATCTGATTGCTGCTAGGATTCGATGCCTGGTTCGCGCCATGAGATTTGCTCCTGTGCGTCCCTCTGTATCAAGATTCTTTATGTCTATCACCATGTCCGCTTCTTGTAAGTGCTTTGTTTTCTTCATTGCACTTCTAATTGATGTTCCTACAGATAATGGTGGCGATCTTGGAGGGCTGGACTGATCCGAGAGGTCGAACGAGACTGACGTTCTTGGTGATCTGAACGGCGTTCTCACCGCTTCCTGGTCCGACAACTGTACTCCTTGGGCAGCTACACTTGCATATGAATCGGCAGTGCCCGTCTGCTGAGAAGATGACTGGAGAGAGCCCCAGTTCGGGGCTGCCTCTTGTAGACTCTTAATGTCAAGTACCAAGGTTGTAACTGTGGTCTGTAGTTGTCTTATCTCTTCTCTGTACTGCTCTTCCTTCTCTTGGGCTCTCTTCTGGGTGTCTAACAAGTGCTTCATTATGTCGTTCATTGTTATCTCCCTAGGAGTGTCGTTGCCGGTACCGCTAGGTGTTGGGCTGCCTTCGACATGGATGGCGGTCTCCCTACTTGTAGCAATGCCTTCTTTTCGGCGCTTCTAGTGACCATTCTCGTTGCGGTCGGCGATGGTTTCTTCCTAGGTGTCGCCTCTACCGATGTAGAGTCGGACTCGTAACTGTTCGCTCGTCTCTGAGGACTGTCTTCGGCTCCGCCTCGTCTACCATCTCTTTTTCTCTTTTCTGGGTGTCCATCATCTCTCATGAACGTGTCCTCATCCCCCTGTACCTCCGCGCTACCCTGCGACAGCAACTCAAACCTCCCTCCTCTTGCTATACCTCCACCTCTCGCACCTCCTCGGCCTCTCGGAGCTGGCATCTCGACCCCGCACCGTGGCGCTTCGCTGGAAATTCGAGGGAATCACCAGGAGACACTGCTCCAGCTCGTAGTTCAATAATAATTGGATGTTTCAATCAAAAATTCGGTTTTCGTTATTCTGACCCTCGAATGTGGATGTTGCAAACTGGGGTGCTCACGGTTAAAGATAAAAGGGTCAGGGTGTGATCCACAACCACCATGCGACGCCCTTCGGGGCCGCATTCTTGAATAAAACGAGTTTCGAGACTGCTGACAATTCTCCAAACAGACCGAGGATTTGGATTGGTGATGAGATGGATTGTTCTACAGGTGTTGAACACAACTAACGATTTATTGTTTACAACCCTGACCAGTAAGTTGTCTCCTTGTCGATGACATCTTCTACCAGAAAATCGCTGGCCGCACTGCTGTCACCCACCATGATCTTATAAGTACCAGCCTCACTGCACCACTTATCCTCAATCTCATCCCAATAACTCGTTGCTTGCATCAGGTCGATACTGAAATTGACTTCCTTGGTCTCTCCAGCTTTTAAAAAGACCTTGCAGAAACCCTTCAANNGCTCCTTGACGGGTCTTGCGACCCGTTGTGATTTAGGTGCTGCGACGTACACTTGAATGACTTGTGCGCCAGCCTTGACGCCGGTATTCAGGATCTGGCAGGTGACATCGAGGTTGGACGAATCATCTTGTTTGACTTGTAAGTCGCTGATCTCGAAGGATGTATACGACAAGCCATGTCCAAATGGGAAGAGAGGTGCAGTCTCAATCTTCTCATACCAACGATAGCCAACGTAGATATCCTCGCCGTATAGAGTGCGCCCACCTTCGCATCTGTAGTTGATGTAGGCAGGGTTGTCTTGCAGGCGGCGTGGCATGGTCAGGGGAAGCTTGCCGCAAGGGTTGACATCGCCGTAAAGCACATCTGCGATGCCGTTGCCCGTCTCGTTACCACCAAACCAAGATTGAATGATGGCTTTGGCCCTGTCAGCCCATGGCATTGCAACTGGCGTACCGCTTTGTACAACAACGACGGTATTGGGATTGGCATCCAAGACTGCAGAGATGAGCTCATCGTTGCCGGGCGGAAGGTTCATGTGAGGACGGTCTTGTCCTTCGCTCTCCCATTCGCCGCTCAATCCCGTTAACAAGACAACTTGATCGACAGTACGAGCGAGGTCTGCTGCCTCTTTGATAGATGTCTCGAAGTCCAGCCGCTTGCAGCCAGCAATGCGGAATCCGCCATGACCGAACAGAACGACTCCATCGGGTTTGACTCTGGTGCTAGAGTTGGCACTCGCCCATCGGACGAAGATATTGTACTGTTGGCCCGCAACCAGTTCTTTCGTACCAGTCTCCTCAACTGTTCCACAGCCAATGAAGGTTGGTCCAGCACGCTGGTTCTCGACGTTGTCGACAATGAGCTCGCCATCGATGTACAGACGGGCGGTACCATAGACTGCAAGACCGAAGTCGTAAAGTCCAGTCTCAGGGGCAGTGAAAATACCTTCTGCATCAGCATGCCATATATACGCAAGATCTTGACGATCGAACCCAGCGAAGAGGACGTTAGAATTTGTGAGGATTCGCTCTTCGAGCAATTCGCGGCGTTCTGCTTCGGGAGGATCGTTGTAAAGCTTGACTGTGAAACCTTCCCTGCCGTCATGAGTATGCATATGTTCGCCAATGGTTGGTAGCGATTGATGACTGTAGACACCTTGTGCCCAGTCAACACCAGCAGCGGCCTTGGTCGATACACCTTCGAATGGAGTGACTGTGTAGTACGGTGTCAAAGAAGCGCTACCGCCGCCTGAAATGGTAGCAATCTTGGAGTTGGGCCCGATGACAGCGATGCGCTTATCTTTTCGGAATGGCAGGATATTGCCCTCGTNTTTCAGAAGGACTTGGGACTGAGCTGCGACCTGACGAGCCAGCGCTCTGTCTTCGGGACGGTCGAGTGGCAGTTCAGGAGCATTCTGCGGGATGCCAGAACGTAAGCCCGAATTGACGAGTCGAAGAATGGCTCGGACGCGATCATCGAGTTCGCTCTNTTTGACTTTGTTGGCGGTCACGGCGTGCATCAAAGCCTCGCCACGCCAGCGTGACGGACCGGGCATCTCGAGATCGAGTCCAGCCTTGATTGCTCCGGTCGTACTATAAGTACCGAACCAATCACTCGTGACAAGGCCATCCCAGCCCCATTCGCCTCGTAGAATGTCCTTCAAGATGTGTTCATTCTCAGCTGCGTGAACACCGTTGATCTTGTTGTATGCGGTCATGACGGCGCCAGCCTGACAGTGCTTGAGCGCGATCTGAAAAGGAGCCAGATAGATCTCCCTCAAAGCTCGCTCGGTAACGATAGCATTGAAAGCCATGCGCTGGTCTTCTTGATCGTTGCAGGCAAAGTGTTTGAGACATGCAACGATGCCCTTGTCCTGAACGCCCTGGCAGTAATGACCGGCGAGTACACCTGCAAGGAATGGATCTTCTGAGTACGATTCGAAGCCACGACCTCCGAGAGGTGCTCTGGGAATGTTGATTGTAGGACCAAGGAGCATATGAGCACCCTTAGCTCTGCACTCGTCAGCTAGTAGACCTCCGACCCTCTGTAGCAAATCTTTGTCGAATGTAGCACCAAGACCAGTGCCACAAGGAAGACACGTTGACGGTACGGCGTCGAAGAAACATGTGCCGCGCACACCGTTGGGGCCGTCGGAGAGGCGGATAGAAGGTATACCCAGACGAGGGACCGGTACAGTATGCCAAAAGTCTTTGCNCTACTGCATGTCAGTACGAAACCCGACTAATCGGTATGGTTGATGCTCACCTGCTGTAAGAGATACCTTCTCCCCGAGTGTGAGCTGTGTTAGCATGTGCTCAATGTCGAGCTCTGGTTGTTGCTGTTTCGTTGCATTCTGTGACAGAGAAGCATTGTCATGGATGTTCTTGGTGGTCGAGACCCCCATGATGTGGCAGTGCTGAGGAAAGCAAAGAAAGCAAGGAGAAGCAGTATTATGCACTAGAAAGTCAATGCCAGACAACAAGCTACATATACTTATCTCAAGCGACCGCTGCTTAATCGCCGCATTGGGCGTCCCGGTGCATTTCGCTTTATGTCTCCGCCATCGAGTTGGCGTGTAAGAGTGTGAACTATGTTCTCGGTCGACGGCCCGTCAATCCGACGAGAAGCAGGCCACGGTGAATGGGAGACAAGGGGAAGGCGCACCTGAGGCGGAGCTGAAACGATTCGTAGATGCCCCACTTCGCTCATATGCTTGGCAATTTCTCCGTCTCCGACGGCCGGCCGAGTTTTTCTTGGCGGAGCTCTTGATCTCTCCTTCCTGTTCCTCCGCTTCTAAGGCCCGTCTAAGTACCCCCGAGGCTCCATACTCGACCATGGCTCGTAGGACATCGGAACGCGGGATTGCGCGCGCCTAGTATGTTATGCCTACTCAAGGATTCGTTTCTGCTCTTGAGTACCTTGCAGTCTCTGCGCGCTGCAGCTGTGACTCACAGCAAAACCGTGCCTGGTACCTTGCAGCTCGCGATCATGGATCGATTGCGAATTGCTCACTGCTGGCCACTTACTCATGGCAATTTTCATCCGTTCATGACCCTCAATGCCGTGAAAATATGTCGGCATACTCATCTCTACTCGACTGCCGATACCTCTAGTAGGCAGCCCCTATAGGCTATCGTCCAAGCCTTTTTCTCGGCGTTCTGCTAGTGCAAACTGTTTGCCAACCTTCCGACCTTTTTCTCCGTCTCTGAAGGTTCACACGAATCTCCGCTTGTAGGTCACGCTCCGCCTTTGCGACAGATTTTGTATGAGGCTCTGGGATGGGCGACACGAATCTCCTGACATGGCTAACGACGTACTCCACAATGATCCGCAGCATCTATTCGGGTAAGTTCTTGACACCAAACGTGGAGAGCCTGGGGTCTCCAACCGTTCTTCTTGCCTGTTTGCAGTGAACCGGCCTGTTCGCCGGCCTCGGATCTCGTCCGAGTCGAAAGTCTATATATACTACCTGCCCATCCACCTTGTTATGGCCATACCATTTCGGTTCTCATCCAACAACATTTCTATCTCTTCTTTCGGTTCCATCCGCCATCGACATGGGCAAACCAGAAACAGGTGCCAGAGCCGCTGTTGGTGATGACCTAGCCGCCGTCCTGCCAGCAGGCCCCTGGCACAAGAAAGCTCATCTCATCAAGCTCAATTTCGTAGTCGCCTGTCTAGTCCTTTTCTGTATGTGAGCGCTTTTGAGGTCTGTGATTTCCAGGGCACTGACACGCCTAGCTTCTGCCAACGGATACGACGGATCGTTAATGAACGGTCTCCAAGCATTACACCAATGGAACGACTACTTTGATCGTCCTGCAGGAGCCTTTCTCGGTTTTCTCAATGCCATCTACTGGATCGGTGCGGGTTGCATGTACCCTGTTGCTGCCGTAGTTGCGAACAAGTATGGTCGCAAGATGCCCATCTGGATTGGCTATGCCTTCCTTGCTCTTGGTGCTGGGCTCCAGACCGGTGCCAACAACGAAGGCGCATTTGCAGTCGCGCGTTTCTTCGTTGGAAATGCATCGGCATGCTTCTCTACGTCTATTCCTCTGCTAATCAACGAGATCGCATACCCCTCGCATCGCGGTATCTGTGGAGCTTTGTACAATTGCGGATGGGTACGTTTACTGTTCTGTCTGTGTGAAGCATTCTCTGACAAGCGATCANNGTATGTGGGTGGTCTCATCGCCGCTTTCCTGACCTACGGCACTCGTAACATGGAGAACTCCTGGTCTTGGAGAATCCCTTCCCTGCTCCAAATCTTGGTGCCCTTTCTCGCCTTGCCCGGTCTGCTTATGGCGCCTCAAAGTCCTCGATGGCTCGTCTCCATGGACCGCACTGAAGAAGCACGTCAAGTGCTGGTGAAATGGCACGACGGCGGTAACCAAGATTCACAACTGGTCAACTACGAAATGATCGAGATCACCACAACCATCCAGCAAGAGAAAAGTGCAAACGCCAGCGCCAGCTACGCTGAGATGTTCAAGACCCCTGGAAATCGCAAGCGCTTGTTTATCTCCGTGACCTTGGGTATCTTTGGTCAATGGGTCGGCAATGGCGTCGTCTCGTACTATCTGGCCCTTGTCTTGGAGACAGTCGGCATCACCAGCGTCACCGACGTCACTTTGATCTCTGGATTCCTGCAACTCTGGAATCTGATTTGGTGCGTCGCTGCCGCATTCTCAGTCGACAGACTCGGTCGTCGACCTTTGTTCCTTGCATCAGCTGTAATTATGGGTGTTTCTTACGTCTTGGTGACTGGCCTGTCTGGCTCGTTCGCATCAACACAAACTCCTGCTGTCGGAATTGCAGTGATCCCGTTCTTGTTCATCTTCTTTGCTGGCTACGATATTGCACTGACACCCCTCCTTATCTCTTATCCTTGCGAGATTTGGCCTTATCGTCTGCGCTCCCGTGGCTTGACAGTCACGAACGTGACTACTGTGCTCGCCATCTGCTTCAACACGTTTGTGAATCCAATCGCTCTCGAGAGTATCGCATGGAAGTACTACATCGTCTTTGTGATCGTTTTGATCATCTATGGCGTTACGGTCTGGTACGCGTATCCGGAAACACGCGGGTTTTCGCTTGAGCAGATGGCTGTGGTGTTCGATGGCGATGCAGCTGAAGTTCCTCATCCAGCAGATACGGTTGAGCGGTCTGCCAGTATGGCATCAAAGGGTGGAGAGAAGGAAAGCGTAGTGAGAGTTGAGAAAGTGTAATCAAAAACAGAGCAGTTGATTATGGTGAACAAGCTCATTTCCTACAGCAAGATATCTCACTTTTCTTTTCGATTCGATAGAGTGCCAACATGGGCAAACCAGAGACAAGTGCCAGAGCCGCTGTCGGTGATGATGTTATGTTTGAGCATTGCACGATAAAGAGGAAGAAAACGCCTTGTTGATTGCCCAGCTTAGCAGCCTGAAACTCGTGGTCAAGAACGGGCACGGGATCATAGTTTGGCAGCAAACCAAACCCCGCCCCCACCACCACCCCGCGCTGACAAACAACAACACGATCTTCTCAAAGTTGTCCTTCACTTCTCATCATCACAAGATCCAACTTCTTCCAAGCGCCTGTCTCTTCGTTCATCTTCCAACCTCCGCCAGCAGCTCGAGTTTATAACAGCACCGCACCGCCCGCCACCTCACAGCATCAAAAGGATGGAGAAGAAGACATGGAAAATGNNCTTGGTAAGTGAACATCCATCCTCGCTCCAAGTTCGAGCGTTGATCAGCGACTCATGCACAAACACTACGCCAGAAAACAACCCAGACGTCATGAACGCCCTGGCTGCGAAATTGGAACTTTCGTCTTCACTCCAATTCTACGATGTCTACTCTTTAGATGATGCTGAGTTGCTCGCGCATATTCCTCGTCCTGCTTTGGCTTTGCTCGTGATCATCCCACTCACAGCCGCGTGGGACCAAAACCGCAAGACTGAAGACGAACACACACAAGACTATACTGGAAGTGGTGCTCAAGAGCCTGTTGTTTGGTTCAAGCAGACTATCGGTCATGCTTGTGGGTCTATCGGTTTACTGCATAGCTTGATCAATGGTCCTGCTGTCGAGTTCATCACACCTGGCTCTGACCTCGCAAACATACGCGATCAGGCGATTCCTTTGACTATGGACAAACGTGCTGAAATGCTGTACAACAACAAACCATTCGAGGTTGCGCACAAGTCTGTCCAGGAGGAGGGAGACAGCCATGTCGACTCAAGTGTCGAGCGCAACGGAGGACATTTTGTCAGCTTTGTCAAGAGTGCAGGTACACTCTGGGAGCTTGAGGGATCGAGGATGGGACCGTTGGACAGAGGGAGTCTGGGAGATGAGGAGGATGTTCTTAGCTCAAAGGCGCTGGAGATGGGGATTAAGAGGATCATAAAATTGAATGCTGGTGCTGGTGGAGGAGATATGAGGTTTAGCTGTATTGCTCTGGCTCGCAAAACGTAGGCTCTGCATTGGGGTCAGCGCAGATCTTGCGTAAGGGTTTAATGTGAATGGTCCTCGGAGTATCGCATCCGCGTTAGTCCAACGCATGAAGGAATATGGAGCAACATGGAGGAACGGTTGGTGAAGTCGTTACGAGCGGTGCGAAAAAAGTTTCGAGCTGATGTATCGTAACGAATTGCTCTCTTCTCTATCATACTTTCTTAGCTCTCACCACCCCAACCCAGATTGCAGGGTTGCAAGAATCCAGAGATTAGGTTGATGTTCATAACGCTCGTCCGTCTTCAGGTTAAGAATCGTACGGTGTGTGACAACATCAATGCTAAGCTATGTAAGCATCAAGACTTTCCCTAGGTCAGTCTTCTTGTTCCATGCCACGCAGGTTTTTCTTCTATCGGCAGCTCTGCTGTACATCTTTCCTCAAGCCATTTGGCAAGTTTTACTGCTGGAACATCCACCAATCGCGCGAAGATGTCTGCTAACCATATAGTAGCAGCGAGCACGCAAAATGCTGCAAACACGAAGCCAGCTTCTCTTCGGAGAGATGTAGCTGTTCCTGTAAACCTCCAGAATAAATCGAATAAACCGTATCCCAAGGTGTGGATGATGTTCCCATGAAGTAGATACATTGAGAAAGATATCTTGCCTAGGTACTGCGGCACCCGATTAGTAAAGATGCGCTGTAGAAGCAGAGAGCTCGATGTCGACCAGACAAGTAAAAGTGCACCCCATGTCGTCCAATACCGCGCTTTGTCCTCGAATTGAGCCGGTATCCACGAGATAAGGGTTGCCCAACCAGGTGCCTGTTCCATTCGTCTTTCCGGTTGGGCGCCCAGATACAACGCAAACAGGAACGCCAAAATGTAGAGCAAAGACCAGACGTCTTTACCTATTGGGCTCTTTGCAGTCGCTCGCTCAGTCCGACGGATTTCAAGCTCCGCCAGGAGAAACCCGCCATAGAATAACATGATTGACCAATGCGCTACCTGGTGCGCACAAAGAATCAGGCACAGTAGGCAGAGCATTCGTACCCTGGCCGAAACCCGACAGAGTCCAAGTTGCGTGACATATAGAACGATGGNAGTTGATCTGAGAGAGGCATTTAAGCTCCAGCGAACGGGTCTTGTCAAATGCACAAGTGAGTGTGGCTGAGAACTTACATATTCTATGGGGATCGTCCACAGATGACCATCCAATCGCCACAACTCGATGCGCCTAGATGTGAATGGATTGACAAAGGCTAAGATTATGCGAGCCCAATGGGAGACTTGCTCGCCTGTCGTGTTGGTGCGCTCAGGATGAGGTTCTCGATCTGCAGGTAGACGCATAGGATCATAAGCGATTTCTCTGGTCCATTCGTAGAGTCCGATGCGAAGGAACAACACGATCAACAGAGTAGATGCGACACACGGCAGGTAAAGACGAACGGCCCGCCGAAAGACAGAAGACGATAGTGTCTGTACCAAGGCGTCTATCTCTCCATTGCGCATCTGTCTGACAGGCTTGTAGGAAAGTGCGAAACCGGAAAGCACAAAGAAAATCGCCACCATAAAGGCACCGTCATAGAAGAAGCGAACAAAAGGTAGTCGCAGGAAATGGTTGTAACCGGGTTCGGGCGTCCAGGCCGAAAAGACGTCGTGTACTGGGTACGAAAGATGCTGCACAAAGACAAAGAGAGCGGCCAAACCACGCATACCGTCTAGCCATGCTGTTGAGTGAAGTGGTTTTCCGGACTCTGTATGCACCGAAGGCCGTAGACTGCTCTGCACGAAACTTGGAAGAAGAAAGAACAGAGCCTGTTTTGTCAATCGAATAAGCGATGGTCGACTCGGAAGGACGTTCTGCATCAAATTCGCTCCAGGGACTCGTGAGTCAGTTAGACCGGTCTCTGGATCTCTTGGCTCAACCTGGGTGATCAGGCACTGGTCCTCGCCCATATTTGCGGATCTGACAAAGGGATATAAGCGGAGCGATTCGTGGTATTGTCGAGTTACACAAAGGAGACAGAGAAGTTACAGTTTCGAGAATAGGGCATGCTCCTTATTCATATGTCTTGCTGATGCCAATTTTCCCGTTTCTTGATGGGTTTGAGGCTGTGGCCGTTTCAGGGTTAGTACCGTATACTTGTCGAGGCAGGAGCTGAGAAGACTGCCTCTGCTGTCCCCGAGTACCTTACATAAGTGAATACTTTGTTATCCATGTATCTTTTGAAGGATTCCTAGTCCGGAATCCCCTTTACATGACTTACTCGTTATGTGAAAATAAGGCGCATTCCCATCGAGCCAGATTTCAGCTACCCGAAAACTTCTCGATTTTCTTAGGCAAAGGATCAACTATGCCAGCTGATGGCCGTTATTCCCACGCCGTACGCTAGATGAGGCAATACAGTATTAGTGCGGAGTCGAAAGCCATGCGCAAGAGGTGTGCTTGGTTCACTCGTGCAACGTGAGCTTCATTCTTCTTGAATGAGCGAGATTCTAATCTTCAATCTCAAGACAAGACAGTGAGAATTTACAGCAAACAACAACAAAGACTGTATGAGCAGACGAGGAATTCGCAACTAGTGTCTTTGGTATCATAGCGGTGTATAGCAATAGGCGCAAAAAGAATCACACGATAACAATAATATACAGATAATGCCGTTTGCTCTTTCTTCCCTCCTCGACTCCTTTGCTCTAACTGGGATTGAATCTCCTCTCTAATCCGCTATTCCTAGGACTCAAGCCTCTCTCCTCCCAGCTCCTTCCAGGACTGACCTCAGGTAAAGAAATTTTAGGGGGACTGATCAAGCTGTTGATGCTCCCCATACTCATCGGACTCTTGACGCCGCCAGGGGGACTGCGTCCACGTCCCAACCATCCCGATCTCTTCTTGTCGCGGCCCTCTCCCTCTTCGAGCGCATCTTCAGAGACCTTTCTCAAAGACCCAAGACTGATCCTCCGCAGATTCGTAAGACTGGTTTTGCGTGCCGCTGTCGTCACGAGATTTTGTTTTTCCTTCTAAGATTGTCCTGGTGCAGAGGGTGTGACGCTTCTTTCTCTTCTGCCCATGAAGCTTCGTCGTCCGATACTGCCGCCTAGGTTTGCGCCGCCAGGGCTACCTCTAATAGAGCCAAGCATAGACGCGGAATCTGCAGTTGAGGGTCTCCAAGAGCTTCTCACAGTTACACTACCACTTCCAACCTTGACTTCCTTTTCGCCGCCGGCGCCTTGGTCGTCGAGGAAGAATTGGGCTTCTCCTAATTCGGCGCCGTTGCCGAAGGTATGGTGGTCAGAGACCACGATTCTGAAGGATGAATCTGCGGTGCAGGAAAGTTTCTTTTCGAGACGGAGGTCAGACCAAGATACCTCTTCTCCCTTGGTCTTGAGCGGCTTGGTGCGAATGATCTCTTTCAGACCTTGAGGCCCATCGTGCATGATCTTGACTTCGACCTTTGTACCAGCAGGNNGGAAGCCAGCGGCTGACAGAACACTAATGGATGCGGTGCCTGTCTCGGTACTGGGTGGTGATATCGTGTTGTTGCCAAAGCTTCGGGTGCGGGAGTGTGGTGTACCTGGTCCTTCGACATTGACAGTATACTCAGGACTCTGTTGTTCGACGAGTGGTGCACTAGTGCTCATGCCAGGCATGGGTGTATCGTCAGTAATGACTTCGTCACCATCTTGCTCAGCATTCGACTTTCTGCGACGGAAACCACGGCCGAGGAAGGAAGCGCCACGGACGACGTTGCCGCCAACAAAGACCGCACCTTTGCCAACACCCTTGACAGGTGCGCCGACAATCTTGCCTGGTGCTGCAAAAGTGCCGTGGAAGGTGGATGAACCTTGACGAGATCTGGTGACATAGTCAGGCTTAAAGAGCATGCCTAACCTGATGCTTCCACTCTTGCCATCGAGACCAAGAGTGACTTCCTGTCTACGGAATGGCTCGAGAATATCAAGATTGATGGCTGCCTTACCGAGGAAGTCGGCCTTGTCACCAAAGTCCCAGTCGTACACATCGACTTGGAAGTTGGCAGCTGTTCTGGAGCGGATGGGGACTTCGAAGAATTCNNCGTTCCAAGCGGGGTGAAGAGTCTTCTNTTGCGTCTTGCTCTTGAAGACTTCCTTGCCGTTGAGTGTGAACTTGGCGTAAGGATCAGAGTAGCCATTGCGATCAGCAGCGGGAAGATCAGCGGCATCGAGGACTTCAACACGGAGATTGCCTTGGTTGTTGATGCTCTCAGAAGGATCGAGCTTCATCTTGACCGGCAGATACTTCAAGCTAACGGTGACAGTGCTGTCACGTCCATGGCTGTCCTTGAGTGTGAGCTTGGTTGGCGTGTACAGCGCAGACTTGAGAACCTCCAACGTCTGTCCAGTGACTTTGGCCTTGATGTGTTTATCGTGGTCGTCATCACCCTTGGCATCAACCTCTTCCACAAGGCGAAGTGTGATTCTGGACAAGTCAAGCTCGCGGACCATCGCATCACCAGTCTCGTTGAAAGTGTAGTGTTTTGAGCGAGTCTTTGATGATGTGTAAGATGCAAATAACATATCGTCCATGATGACTTCGAGATGACAACCAGGTGAAGCAAGGTCGCCATCAATGATCTTGAAGACAAGCAGGCCAGATTCTGAACACATGATTAGTGCTTGACCACAGACAGAGTACAAATCAGACTTACCATAGTTTGCGAGATCTTCCGCACCGATGCGGACCTTCGGCACTTCCTTCTTGAGAGGCAGGCCATCATCTTGCTTGTTCTCGTTTGCAGCAAGTTGTTGACGCATCTCAGCAGCTGCAGGGTTGAGTTTGAGGGAGCCGATCGTGCCTGCAGTGTTACTGCGAGCGCGTCCTTCCGGTCGTGTTTCAAGAGTGGGAGTAGGAGGCTCCTTGGTGGGTTCAGCGATCTCAAGACTCGGCTTCTCCTCCTTCTCCTCATCTTCAGGGTCGATGACATTGAGAGTGGGGAAGAATGATGCAGTGAAGTTGAGGATACCCTTGGCTGAGCCTGTAGCACCAAGACGCAGGCCTGATGACAGAGACTTCTTGGTGTCGTCGACGAGGTACTCGCCGGATTCATCCTGGTGAGCATAATCCGATACGGCAAGCTCAACCATACCAAGCAATCTGTCTTTGCCCAACTTCTCCTCATCCATGACTTCAAGGCTGAGCTTCTCGCGAGTCGAGTGAACAGGAATGTAGAGAACTTCGTCGAAATCAGGATTGAGGTTGTTCTTCCAAGTCACTGTTCTTGCCCTCAAGATACCTGATAGCATGACACGGACGTAAGGATCAGATTTGCCGAGAGTCTCGAGGTTGCGCAAGTCGCGCGCATTCTGGAAGTGAAGACGCATGACACCGATAGGGGTAACGTAACCTCCAGAACCACCAAGAGCGCCCTTGAGAGCCACAGGTTTCCACTGCAGCAACATCTTGGCACGACCAGTCTTGACACCACCAAGGTTGTACCATTCTTGGCCTCTGTGCATGAGCTCAAGCATGTCATCAAGCTTGAGTTGATATGTACCAATGATGGGGTCAGCAGCCATATCTCTATCATCTTTGATGACAAGACCAAGCTTTGCTTTCTTGCGGTCGGTGATAAGAAGTTCTTTGGAGGCGTCGGGGAAGATGGGATTGTTCGTTCTCTTGAGTTTCTTGCCGACATGGATCTCCTTTCCATTGAGAAGAAGGACGGGGTAAGGGTTGAGTTGACCAATCATGCTCTTGCTGCCATCGAGCTCCTTTGCGCTTTCGATAGTGAACTTGGCGATACCAGTGTTGCTTTCCGGAGGAGGCTGAACAGTACCATCTGGAAGCTTCTCGCCTTCGAGTACAGGGAAGAAGCGAATATCAGCTTGAATGACACCGCGAGCACGTCCGTTGGCCATGACTTCGAGCTGTTGAGCCTCGAACTCGGTTTGGTTTTCCAGTTGATCAAGAGCGAAAGTAGCAGCGCCCAGTTCCTTGTCCTTGCGGAACTCGTTGTAGTCGAAGACTTGCAGAGTGAGAGCGTCCTTGAGACTAGTGAGGACGACATTGATAGTTTCGTTCCAGCGAGGGTTTGCATTTTCATGCATAGTCTTTGTTTTGCCCAAGACGTCGCGATTGTTGATGGACACAGTACAGTATGGATCAGGAGTGCCAGAGAACTTGTCGGGATTGCGGAGACCTTGAGCGCCATGGAAAGTGATTTGCAAGACACCGATGGCCTGATCAACAGGGTTTCCAGCAAGCATCTTTGCGATTTCGATTGGGAAGACGTTGGGTTGGTACATCATGGGGCCCAGATTGGCGTGGATCTGTTCCTGGATGAAGCTTTCCAGACCGGGAATGAAGTTGATGTCGAAGCCAAAAGTATCACCACCAAGAGGTTTGCAGACATAGTCGATGGTGGGACGTTCGAGGAAGCAGATTTCGACCTTTTCAATGTGAGGGAAGGGGATTTGAAGCTTCATCTTGACACGCATGAGACCAGAGAAAGCCATGTCTTCAACGATAATGTCCATGCCCTTGCTGACCATACCCTTACCCAGACGAATCTCAAGAATGACCTTGGGGTTGATCTTGTTCTTGATTTGGCGAGCGGTCAAATCGGCAGTGTCGTTGGGAGTGAAGCTGAACTTCCAGTCCATGAGAACAATGTCGTCCTCAGCCTTGGGGTAAGTCTTGACGTGTTCGAGACGAGGAGGCTTTGTGCCCAGAGTGAAGAACTTCATGCGCATGCTGTCAAGGAAAGCGGGAGTCGAGGTGGACAAAACTTGGTCAACTGAGCTGATGATGGTACTGCAAATGACGGGGGCGTAGATGGGCCAGAACTTGACGAGGAAGCTGTTGATCCACTCGAGAGATTCGACGTCCGTCTCGATACGGGCCTTTGCCATTTCACGGTTGACGTCGTCACGGAAGTTGCGACGAACCCTGCGGATCGAGGTGCGGTAGTAGGTTCCACAGACGGCCATGACAATGAAGACCCAGCCGAGACCACCACCCAGCACAGCAACAACCCAAGAAGAAAGACAGGCAAAGATGATGACACCGGTGTTATGGTACCAATCGCCAAAGTACTTGTCGTCCAGCTTACCTTCCAGCAAGGTCTGGTGGTCGAGTAGGTTCTCTCCTTGGACACTGGCGCTGTCAGGCAGCTGGCCGAAGCGAGGAGCCCAGCCAACCTTGGCCCAGTCCTCCTCTTTCTCAGGGCTGTAGCCATTGGCAGATTCAGCAGTTGACTTGGCGGGCGAGGGAAGGGCAGCACTCAGGGGTGCAGTAGGAAGGTCGTAGGCAGGTTTCTGAGAGTCATCTTGGTCGGAAGCGAGGACGGCCGTCTGGTGCTTGCGGATGTGTTGCAGCTCGGGCGGCAGTCGCTATAGCGTGTCAGTGGACGAACAGCAGCGTGTACAAGGACCAAAACTCACGGCCTTTGCCTGGCGGGCTTTTTCGGTAGCTGAAGCGTCGGCGTCGAACTGAAAGGCAGCGGCACCTCCCTNTTTGGACTCTTCGAGGATCTTCTGTTCGGCGTCTGCAGCTGTGACTTTGCTGTGTGGGTCTTGAGCAGCTTCAATCGCGCCTTGGGACTTGAGCTCCTCCTTGGAGTGGCCGTTGTGCAAGCCGTCCAACATGGTGTCTGAGAAGTGCGTGGCAGCTGCTGAGATTGAGGGGCCCGCTCAAGCTAAAGCCTGACGGGGATTCGCGAGATGATCCAGATAGGCAATTGCGCTTGGTTGAGAGCTTGTCTGGGCTATGGATTTGAACCCCCAACACTGAACAATCGTGTATATACAAGAGTAATAGACAGCTAAAGGAGTAGGTTAGGAAGTCGGCGGGAAACAGAGTTGGCAGTGAACACGCAAGCTCCAGGCACAAGCACAAGATCGTCTTGAAACACCCAAACCTTTCCCCACACTGCCTGGGCCCAAAGCCACACCGCCCAGCCACATCATCCCCCTATTATTATCTCCTCGACTCATTCAGATGAACAAGCACATCATCACTCTCGTAGATCCCCGTCATCACCAATTTACTCTACAGTTCACAACTAAGCCACTCTCTTCTCGCGTTCAGACCTGTTCAAACCTGGCTATGCACACACCGCTCATTCACTCTCCCAGACCCAGGCACACTGCACAAGTCCACGCGCTTATCGCAAAAGTCTTGGCTGTAAGAATCGAGACCTTCCCGCTGACGGCTCGGCCAAACGCCTTCAGGGAAAAGCAGGGCAGCCTTTTGAGCGTCTCGCTTGGGAAAAGAACAGGGTCTTGACCACGACATCTATTTTTCACATGTTATTGCGTTGTCGGAGCCAAGGCATTGCTTGGCGGATTTGGTATATAACCGTGCCGTGCGCCAGTAGTCTAAAAAATCAAGTTCCTTTGGCAATTACACGCAACTTGAATATATGCGCACCATGTACGAAATCATCTGTAAACATAAAAATGTTGTTTATAGCTTACTAGACATCGGTGAGATCAATGACTGTTCAACTTCGTAAAAAAAATAACGCGTAGAGAAAGCAATTCACCAGATCCATGTTTTGCAACTGCAATCGTGTTCAAATGGCATGTATCACATATGGTCATCTGTATACAGACTCGGCCGGATACTTTCTCCCACTCAATCCTCCAACAGGCGAATCCTGAAACCTAGCCACTTTTGGCCTGGTGCCTCTGATGCTTCCTCTATTGCTTCCTACCTCACTGCCGCTTCCATCTCCAGAATGCCTCGAAAATTCGGGTACTTCGGGACTACGCGCCGAGGGCGGCCGAGAGTGTGAAGATGGTCGATGCCCTTCTCGCGCAATGTGCGTAGCAAATAGTGGTGATACTGAAGGCATGAAGCCTGATTTCTGCGGGCTCGCTGATCGTGGGTGGAGATGAGTGGCTGAACTCGATCTTCGCATGTTGACTTCGTCGTCGACTGGAGGAAAGTATTCTCGCGGACTGGTCGGATGCGTTCGTCTGGCGCGTGAGTTGGGGTCGTGATATGTAGGACTTGGTCGGAGGCTTGACGGTTCATGGTGATGAGGACGATGGTGGTGATGTTCAGGCGGCGATTCTTGAAGGGATCCTCGTCGGCTGTATTGCCGCCCGTCGTCATCATCAAGGTCTTGATAGTGATGCTTGTCCGGTAGACTCTTGCGGCGACGATGATCACGGTCTTTGTCCTTTTCCTTACTTGCTGCATGACCATCCCACAAGTGTGGACTACCCACATTTTTGATCACGTTACCGAAGGTCGATGCAACACTCTTGCTTCTGTTGACAAACGAGTCACGAGGGCTGAGCGGAGGTCTCCGACGGCTGCCATTCCTCACGAGACCAGGTCTGCCGTCAAATGTCCTGAGAAGAGGGTCGCGGAAGTAGGCAATAGCAAAGTTCTTATGGTCCGGTGGCGACTCGTCATCAGTCAGAGCATTGTCGGAATATCTGCTGATCTTGCGATGGTGTTTAGAGTTGTTGGGTGTGTCTGGCCGGTCTTCGATGGGCTGTACTCGGATGCGCTCTTGCTCTTCGGCTTCGCGGCGCAAACGACTGCTCATGCCCTCATACCACTCGACCATGCTGATGTCTGGGTGAGAAGGGAAACAAGATCTTGGCAAGATCTTTGGAAATGACTCGCCAGTCTCTGGGTTCTTGATGTCCCACTTCTGCACCGCCTGTCTCATGAATTCCGAGTGCTCGTCAGGTCCAAGCAAAAGTTGCACAGTCTGCCACATGATCCATCCTTCAACCTTCAGAGACGGTACAACAGGGTCGGAATAGCGGTCTCCGAGGTTGGCTGGAGGCTGCAGACTGTGCAGGCAGCCCAAGTNTTTGTAGATGAATGCGATAGTTGAAGGTGGAGTCGAGAGGAAGAGTGGGTCATAGTTTCCGTTGACTGCTCGGTAGAATTGAGCCAGCTGAGAAGGAGTGACATCTGGTGACTCGGATGGGTCGAATGTTGTTGTCTGCGATGAACAGTCAGATCTCGGGCGAGCGGTGAATGCAATCTTACCATGACTCACTATAGTTTTGTGTATGCCGCGAAGCAAATTCTTGAGCATATCAGTACCTGTGCGATCCTGCTTGAAAAGGTAGCCCCAATACTGGTAAGCCTCTTTCTCTTCTACTTCTGAGTGAGAAGAAGCCATGATTGAAGTGACGGGTGGAGATTGGCAACTGCGCTGATTTATATGGGCGGAAATGTGGTTTCTCAGGAATGCAAGTAAGACAGGAGTCAGACTGACCCCTTGTCTTGATTTGTGTCTTGACTGAACAAAGACTTGAGCCTTGTTATGTTGTGGTTTCAGCCGACGTGTTCGCCGTGACAGGAAAAGCAACTTGGCGGGGACTGCAGAGTTGCAGGCTTCAAGGAGAGAGACAGACTATATACACGCGTCGGATTGAGCGATTGGTGGGCAAGTAAGGCAGCACTGCAGTAAATAGTCTGAGTAGATCAAGTGACTTTCACAGGCTAGACAGATAGAGCGACCGAAAGCAGCAGGCAGCAACGCGCAAAGTGGATCGTGAGTCGTAAAAGTCGTCGAGTCGTAGAAACAGCGCAGCAAGTCGTCAGAGCGGCAGCAAGAAATAAGGATGCGACAGGAGTGCAGCAGCAGCACGAGGGCGCATGGCTCGAATTAAAGAAGCAGCAGCACAAAGCGACTCTTTCTCCTTCCCGCGGCGGTGAGCGTGACCACTGCCAGTTGCACGCGCATGCAGAGTCACCTCCTGCAGAAAAGGCGCACACTTGGTCGAGAGCGACAAGAGGAAAGGACGATCTGACATCACCCTGCGCGCGTGGTGCCCTGTGATTTGTCGATCCTGATATGCTCGTTGATCTCTCTCGACTCATCTTCATCTAATCTAATCCATCAGACAACCACTTTACGCGCAAACACGAAAGTCGAACGCTTGGGCCCATCGGGGAAATCGAGCGAGGGTAAACAACAGGAAACACACAGCGTCGTCGCAGCTGCACACAAACCACACATCACATCATGGACGGCCTTCAATTAAGAGATGAGGCGGTGCGCGACCGCATCAGAGCTGCTGAGGAGTTTCTCGACCCAAGTNNATGTCGCTGCCCCTCGACTGCAACCACACACAATCGCTGATGTTGTTGCGCCAGATGACCCCGAGCACGCAGTTACAGAGCAGACATTCTGGTCATGCTTGGTCGCTCATCACGGCGACTTGCTGTATCCCTCGATGAGATTCGGCAGCACAGCACAGAGATGGCCGAGGGCATCCTCAACCAGCCCTTTGACTTTTCGCAAGCCTTCGACCGCGCCGTCAAGAACATTGTCAACACCCTCCCTGGCAGACCGCCCCACGAAACAGACGCAGACACCATGTACTACTGCGCTTTCTACGGCAGCTTCGGACAGTTCGCTACCAATCCTCGTACTCTGAGCTCTCAGCACCTCAACCACATGGTCTCACTGGAAGGAATCGTCACAAAGTGCTCCCTGGTCCGCCCCAAGGTCGTCAAGAGTGTCCATTACAACGAGAACAAGTCATCCTTCCACTTCCGCGAATACAGAGATCAGACCATGACCATGAACGGCGCCGCCAGCACCTCCGTCTACCCCACCGAAGACGACGAGGGCAACCCGCTCGTCACCGAATACGGCTTCTGCACCTACCGCGACCACCAGACCATCTCCATCCAAGAGATGCCTGAACGCGCTCCTGCAGGTCAACTTCCCCGAAGTGTCGATGTCATCATGGACGACGACATGGTCGACAGAGTCAAGCCTGGTGATCGCATTCAGCTCGTCGGCATCTACAGATCGCTCGGAAACCGCAACGCTGGTTCTGGTAGCTCGACCTTCCGTACTCTGGTACTCGCAAACAACATCATCCTCCTCTCCTCAAAGTCTGGTGGTGGCATTTCTGCCCCCACCATCACCGATACAGACATCAGAAACATCAACAGAATCTCAAGGCAGCGCAGAGTCTTTGAACTGCTCTCTCAATCTCTGGCTCCCAGTATCTACGGCCATGACTACATCAAGAAGGCCATTCTGCTCATGCTTCTCGGAGGTATGGAGAAGAACTTGGACAACGGCACGCATTTGAGAGGAGACATCAACATTCTGATGGTCGGCGATCCATCTACTGCAAAGTCGCAACTCCTCCGCTTCGTCCTAAACACAGCTCCGCTAGCCATTGCCACAACTGGTCGTGGTTCTTCCGGTGTTGGTCTGACGGCTGCAGTCACTTCGGACAAGGAGACTGGTGAACGCAGACTCGAGGCTGGTGCCATGGTTCTGGCTGATCGTGGTGTTGTCTGTATCGATGAGTTTGACAAGATGTCCGACGTCGACCGTGTCGCCATTCACGAAGTCATGGAACAGCAAACTGTCACCATTGCCAAAGCTGGTATTCACACTTCTCTCAACGCCCGCTGCTCAGTTGTAGCAGCTGCCAATCCCATCTACGGTCAATACGATACTCACAAGGATCCTCACCGCAACATCGCCCTGCCCGACTCTTTGCTGTCTCGTTTCGATTTGCTGTTCATCGTGACAGACGATATCGAGGATATGAGAGACAGGCAAGTGTCCGAGCACGTTCTTCGCATGCACAGATACCGCCAGCCTGGAACAGAAGAAGGTGCACCAGTCCGCGAACAAGCAACTCAATCTCTCGGTGTAGGTCTCGAAGAAGAGGCCGATGCTGACAAGACTTCGGAGATTTACGAAAAATTCAACGTTATGCTTCACGCAGGTGTCACGGTCACAGTAGGTCGCGGCACAGGTCGCAGGGTCGAAGTTCTCAGCATCCCCTTCATCAAGAAGTATATCCACTACGCNAAAACAAGAGTCAAGCCCGTCCTCACCTCCGGAGCTGCCAACCACATCATCGCCACTTACTCTGCCCTCCGCAACGACGAGATTGAGAGCAACCAGCGCAAGACTTCGCCCATGACTGCGCGTACACTGGAAACTCTTATTCGTTTGAGTACTGCACACGCCAAGTCTCGCCTCTCAAACCGTGTCGAACAGAAGGATGCAGAAGTTGCCGAGGGTATTCTTCGTTTCGCTCTGTTCAAGGAGGTTGCAGAAGATGAACGCAGAAAACGCAGAAAGACTCGCGCAACCACCGAGCCTCTTTCATCTGATGAGGACTCATCTGACGATGACGACATGGATGCAACAACCACAAACCGCAGCTCTACACGTCGTGGCACTACACCGGCAAGAAGGAATGCAAGAAGGAAACCGGCAAATGGAGATGATCGTACTGCTTCAGGTGCTCTCCCAGATGACGAGGACGAGGATCTATACAATGCCACGCCAAAGGCTACCAGGACAAGACAAACACAATCTTCAGCCCCACCACCTTCGTCCTCACAGTTCTCTCTCGCCTCATCTCGTCCTGCATCACAATTACTGGAATCGCAATCTCAATCCGCCGCTCCAGAGTCACAGGAGATTGAGGAGACGCAAGAAGAGGGCATCTCTAGCCAACGTCTGCAAGTGTTCCAACAGGCGCTTGGACAGCTCATCGATTCTCCATTGTTTGCTAACGATGCGGCGGATCTGTATCCTCTGATGGAGGCAGTGAACGCAAGGTTGCCTGCCAGGGAAGAGCAATTCGGCGAGCAAGAAGCCGAGCAAGCGCTTGTGGCGCTGAATGATGCCAACAAGATCATGTACAGTGGTGGCATCATTTACAAGATCTAAGGCAAATGATACTGGACCGGTGCGGGGTGTTTTGGCGTCGAATGGGTTGTATGGATCTTGTAGGGGATGTCTTTAGATAATGTTCAACGATTCCTTGCTCTTCCTGAGTTCACACAAGACGATGCTGATTTTCAGAGATTGCAGGAAAGTGTGTTGTGTCATGGGAATGGCAGTTGATCATTGCTGGACCATTCTCTTGATGCGGTCGAGCAGGACGGTACTCTCTCTTCCGAGCTTCCTTTGACCATTCTTGCCGCCACTCCTTGCCTTTGCCATTGCCTTTCTGAACCTCTCTCTTTCCTCGGTCTTCTCAGCTCTTTCTCTTTGCGACTTCTCATATGCAGCGCGACGTTCCTCGGCCTCTCTCTTTTGGCGCTGGGCAGCGCGATGCTCCTTGGCGAAGGGTATGATTTTCTGCCGGCGACTGTGGTGGATTCCCGACAGGTTTGAGGTTGTGTTGTCTGCTGGCGTCTCCCCGACGGGATCTGGCGATGCAGATTTGTGCTTTGGTTTTGCTTGTCGCGGTGCTTTTACTTCTTCTTCAACGACGTCTTCCTCTTCCACTTCTTCTGGTGAGTCTTGTGCATCGTCGTCGGTGGTCGCGTATGTGGATGGTCGTTTAGGTTGGCCCTCGTCTCCTGTCTGAGCTTTTTGCTTTGCGTATTCCTNTTTCAGTTTTGCCTTTTCGATCAGGTTGCGCTTGATTTGGANTTGCTGTGAGCAAGTGTGTTAGCAGATGTTGGCGCAAAGTGCGATGGGGATTTGCGTACTCTTGCGGCGATGGGTGCCGTCGGGTAGGTTTTGCGGACCGACGACGAAGCCCTNTTTGTGTTTCTTTGCGGCGCAGTCGGTGGATGCATCGTCGCGGGGGCGTTTTGTTACTGCCATGGTCGTGGGTTGTGGTTGTGTTGTGGTTTGTTGCAGGTGAAGGTGAAGCTATTTCTTTGACGGTCTGGCTGGTTGATGATTGCGGGAAGTCGCGAGTTTTTCTTTGACTGAATTGCGGGAGAAAAACGGCCCCGTCGGCGCTTGCTGAGGCTTCGATGCGATGGCATCAGATGACTCGGTTCAAGCGTCACGACGGCTCTTTTCTTTCTTTCCTTATCTTCGAGTAGCTACTGCCTATCGACCTCTACACCTGCGACATTCTACGACAAGACTGCTCTTTCCTCTCGCTGACACTCTTTGCGCCCTCTTTCCTGAGCAACGTCAAGTCTGGCCCGCATCATCTTGACGTCTCTACTGCTGAAACCATCAGGGTCCTTTGGAGTTTACACCGCCCGGACAAAAGGCCACACACGACACCTGCTCCTTCCACCTCTGGGCACTTTCCTCGACTGCAAGCAGCTTGGAGCTGGTCCAATGTGCTCTGAGCTGCAGAATGCCCCATTCCAAATACGACAGCCCCGACAATAACCCTCAGAACTCTCCGCACCTCTTCAACCCATTCTTCTCCCCCGACGCCCGGCATGGCTTCGACCGCCAAATCAACGACAGGCAGGATATCATCCGGAGACTGAAAACACGACCCAATCTCGACCCGGACCAAGACTGCCCGCCCTCACCCACCACAATTCCCTTGGACCATGAAGCCAATGCACTCGGTCTCGACATTCCCCGGCCACGCTCTGCCTTGCACCGTGGCGACTTCAGAGAAGACGACGACTCTCAGCACACCATTGCGACCTCNCCCATAGTCCCATGGCATGCCCAACCACAGCTGCTACAAAGGCCAAGAGCCGCATCTCAAGCTTCGTTATCTGGCAGTTTTTCTTATCAGCCNCCCACAAGCCCGCTCGTTCACCAAGCCAACGCCAACGACATGTCCGACCATGACTCGCCTCACTTCATGCCAACACGATCCTCGTATGTCCCCTTGCACCGCCATCCGTCGTTACGTGCTTTCCCATACCAAGCACATCAACCCCGTCGCTCAATCAGTTCAATATCCTACCTCTCACAATCTCCGTTCCCTTCGACTCGTCGCCCTTCCATCTCGGATGCCTCTCCCTTGCAACATGCTCCCATGGTCGGTTCGTACGAGGAGAGCATCCTCAGAGGCCGCATGTCTACCACTCCTTCGAAACCTCTTGATTTTGTCGCTCAAATTGGTGTCCTCGGNAAAGGCGACTGCAAGGCCAGTCTGAAGTGTCCACCTCATGTCTCTGTACCCTTTCCTGCTGTCTTCTACAGCTACGCTTCCGGTACAACCACAGACCCAGAACCAAGTCCCTATGTCGGCATGCTTGACCTGGAAAATACCTTGAANAAGGCCGAAGATCCCGAGCCTGCTGCGACCCGGCGAAGGCGGAAACATCACCATGACCAGGAACACGGCAGAAATGCCTCCGAGAATTTGACTGCAACCAATTCCATGGAACACGACCAGACAAGTCGGCGTCAACACAAACTTCACAAACGATCAAGCACAGCAGCTCCTACCGGTTCATATCGCATTCCGGAGATCGGCCAACTGCAAATCGTTATCAAGAATCCTAACAAGACCGCCGTCAAATTGTTCCTGGTTCCTTACGATCTTTCTGACATGCCNCCTGGCACGAAAACATTCATTCGCCAACGCTCTTACACCGCTGGCCCTATCATTGATCAACCTATCTCCAACCTGACACGATTCCCGGATGCTGGCATTCACGAGAAGCCAGTTCTTAGATACCTGATTCACCTGAATATCTGCTCGACGCANAAGGGACGATACTACCTCTACGGCGGTATCAGAGTGGTCTTCGCCAATCGCGTACCCGATGGCAAGGAAAAGCTGCGCACCGAGATGTCAATGCCCGAACCGAGATTCTCCATCTGGAAACCAGCATCCGCCACCACAGATGTCGCTGATGTTGCAGCCAAAGCAAAGGAAGCTGCGAAGAGACGTCGTAGTGCCGTTTTCCCCTCACATACCTCTTCCTTCGACATGTTCCCTCAACCCTCATCTGGCTCGGTCGACAGTACGGCATCTTTCACACGTCTCTCTTTCCGGGATAAACACCCGCATCTCCCTACACTGGAGAGTCGTCCAGAGAGCCGTGGGGATATGGACATCGATGTTGAGCCGACCAACTCGTTCCAGAGTCTTGCATGGCAGAGGGAAGAGAGANNGGGGGAAGAAGCATTCGTCTTTGGAAGACGTGATGGGAATGTTGATACGAAGACACGACAGGAGAGTCTGCTATCTAGAAAATTACGAGATTTGGAAGTCAGGGGTCGCAAATCATGATTGGGTCATTCTTTTTAACATATTCATGTTCGCTCTGGCAGCGAAGCATTTCGGTCGGGTTGGAGTTTTGGTTCATGCTGGTGGGTAAGTATATATCGGGGTCTGCATTGGCGCAGCATTTGAGGAGTCAGGACTTTCGGGATTTGAGCGGCGGGCTCAGGAGTTTTGCGATTATCAACATATCCATACTATACTGTATATGCCGCATCAGGCAATATCTTCATCTTCGTCCGTGCACTTTCTACGCGGCTGAAGTCCGGATGCTCGCATGTCTGGCGACTTCCTTCCCTCGACAGCATGTGGTTTCTTTTCTCCCCAAGAACGGATTCGCCATCTTACTCACTATCCGGGCAATAACAGGCACGGAATTCTTACTAGCGACCATGTGACTGCAAAGAGTCTCGGACTTCTGCACCGCAGGCCACCAGCTTGGCCAACGGTTGCTTGTGTATCCTGCAAGGCTGCGTGCATTCTTACCGAGAACCTTGAATGATCTTCGTTTGCCTGTCGATGATTCCGAAACTTTGATGCTCTGGCGCTGAAGGAAGCAGTTTCAGCGAAAGTAAGTACAACGCATGAACATGCCTGGATTTGTTATGTCTTTTCTGAGGACGTTTGACGAAATGCTGGGAAAGAACGAAGGGTCGCGTTACCTACATGGACCGAGCTGTTGAAAGCTGTCACCATCACATCAAAATTGGTCTACCTTATTTCTTGCGTCACTACCTTTGTCATTAATCCTCCAAAGGACTTTATCCATGCGAAGGAGGCTGCCAAGCTAGATTCGGGGCCGAAACAAAGCAGAAGGGCTACTACAGGGTGGTTTCGCAGCCGTTGGACAGCGCGCACATCAGTGCGTCTGCATACCAAGGATTACAGCGAATCGCAGGTGTTACCAAGGTCGAAATTGCACACTATCCAACGGACGCAGACACACCCTGTATCATGACCAGGCTGCATGCATACAAGCCATTCATGCAGTCAGCACAACGATAACCAGGACCATCTCCAATCAACAACAACCTTTCCTTAAGCCACGACTAAAACTGGAATGCTCGGAATCTGTGCAAGGCTATCTCAGCAATAGTTTCATGCCCACATGAAGATTCGGGGATTGTTACAGATAGAGAATCGCACCAGTTCCTGGAGTGGCGTGAGTGTCTGTTTCGACCATTTATTATCTGCATCTTTCTTTCTTTGGACGGTTGGTTCTATGAACACAGGGATCGTGCTGACTCATCTGCTAGATGCATCTGTCAATACTTACAAGAGATTGTTTTCCTATCGCTATTATAGCAGTCCCGCCAGAAATCAAACATTCAAGTCCCGAGAAGTGACTCTTTGCTTCTTCTGAGTCCTCTGGCTTTCTCTTTTCTTCGCAGCCGCCATCTTTTCGCTTATCTGCTTCTCAGTGTATGAAGAGATTTGAGTGTCCCCATGAGCCAATCTCGCCTCAAGCCAAGCCCGAAAAGCAGCAAACCCACCACCATTCTCGCTATGTCCTGTCACGAAACGTGATAAAGCACGTTCTCTCTGCCACACTCCTACTTTGGTCTTGTTTCCTCTTGCTGCTACCAGAAAGTCGAGTTTCGCATTGTCGACGGGACATAGATAGGGAGGTTGACGCAGGTCTTCGGGAATGGAATTGCTTCCTTGCATGATGCAGGCGTAATACATGCAGTGGTCCATGCCTAAGCAATGTCCGAGTTCGTGGCTTGCGGTGCGGCAAACTCGTTCCAGCCACGTCGATGTTGGAGAGGGATTCGCGGTTGAATGTGCTTGGATGGCTTTGGTGAGAGGCTTTGATGGTTGTGCTGGTATGGCAGCCTCGGAACCCGGTGTTTGCTCAGAGGCCTCGATAAACCTGTCCACCTGCGCTTGCACATACTCAGCACAATGGCTTGCTGGCCACACGTGCTGGCGATCGAGTTTGATACTCTTGTCCAGAGCGGGATTGTACCTGAAACTCGACACTATGCACACATGACTGTAACCATACGCGCGTCCGCAACCGAATTCGTCGTCGTCGTCTTCGTACATGTCGAAATCCATGAGTAGTAGTAGAGCCAAGGCATCGTTGGGTAATACTGCGATAGCAGCATCCAACACATCGTTTAGATTCAGCTGGAACCCGCGCGTGTTGTTCGTCATTGGTCTTTCTCTGATGCGGATGCTTTCTTTAGGTGTTTTGAGCGCGACGAAACAGCCGTTAAGGTTTGAGTCCTCTCCTTCGCTCCAGTTATCGAAAACCAGCGTATCTTTGGGCAACTCAACGACGTCAAAACCAGTATAAAACGCAGCGAGATATTTCAACACATGTTCATATCTGGGTGGTACAGGATGTGTATGTGGCCACTGCATCTTGTCCAGTTCAGGACACTCCTTGGTAAACCCTGGAGGAGCTGCAACAAAGATCTTCTTGCGCTTGTATGGCAAAATGCTAGGTGTGAGAAGTTGCTTCCACTCCGAAAGAGTTTGTGCGGGATACTTTGGGTCAGAGTCAATCTCATCGTTTGGGAGGACAAGTGGTGCTGGAAAGTCGTCATCGTTGAAGTTTGAGTCGTCTGAGTATCCAGCTGCTTTGGCTCTTTGCGGTTTGGAGGGGCGGAGGTAACCAGTATACTCGGCGACGATTGATGGCTTAAAGAGGTGGTTGGAGTGGTTGCAAGTCATTGTGATGGATAGTGGTTTAAACATAGGAAAGCAGGCGGTAAGGAGAAGTAGTGGTTATCTAATGTACAAGAGATGGACAAGGCAAGATACGAATCATCAGTATTACTAGATGGCAGATGCTGTCTGGTTTTATCAGATTGTTACCAAATGAACCCTGACAACCAGAGTTACATGCAGAGTGCCTAGGCTACAGCCTAACACGCGTCGATCGGTCAGGTAAGAGGAAATGGCGAGGAAGACCCGACGAACAACCGTAGATGTGCCGAGCTCTTCTCTTGTGCTTAGCTACGCTGTGACACCTTCGGTCTCTACCTCGAGACAAACAAGTCAGAGAACGCTGGACTGATACGTCCTTCTGCCAGCCTCCTCCAGTCCAAGTATGACGACGACTCCATACCTACCGCACTTTGTTGACCCAGCTCACCGAGTTTGCCATCGAGATAGGTTGTAGAGGCTATAATGAATTTTCGCTAGGATGATGTTCGTGGCAGCCAGCTATCACACGTAAACCCGCTGTGGATCGGGTGTCATAACACTCACAAGTAGATCACTGTTTGGCCGATCGTGACGTAGTAATAACATTACTAGGGCCGATCTTTTCGAAATATCAAGACTCGCACATCAATGTTGCCTAATTTGATCCTTGCGTGGAGCATAGTTTTTATACGGCCGCAACCCACGGTCATGCAAGCCCAAGTATGGCGGTCTGCGTCGGCTATATATGCCACAAGTACTGGCTGCATATGCACCTATGTAGAAGATCCATGTAGCAACAAGGGATCAACGCTTTGCTTTCTGAATCTATCTATTCTTTCGCATCTCCAAAAGCTTAAGATCTGCCTCTGAAATGTTAAAGGCAATGATAGACCTGTACAGAAGCTGATTGCAGACATTAGCCTGCTGAAGCATCCTTGCGCAACGTATACAGAAGGGACCTTTTGTTGGCAACACCGTCCCAGAAGCCTACATCAATCGGGGTCCCCATGACAAAGGAAATTGTCTTTTGAACTCAAACAGTGTGTCTTACCAGCCGGCTTCTAGCCTGGGCTATTCTGAGATGATGGCCATGTGAGTCGACTGGCTTTGTTTTCAAGAGCATCACTTTCTGACCGCTCTAGCTATCCTGCCTATATTGACCTGGTATGCCCGTCCCCTTGCTGAGTTTTTGTGATTCTTGGCTGATAGCAGCGGGGGAATGCCTCGTTACCCAGGCCTGGGAGTCGCGAATCACCGAGCTATTAGTAATTATCACGCTAACCAACAACAATCGACAAGCGAGCGCATCAAAGCCAAAGAATATTTCAAACGGCTATTTGAAGATGACAAGACTGATGACAAAGACTTTGGTGATTGGGCTGTAAAAGGCTACAGTCCAAAGCTGCTGGTCGCGGAACGTTTTCTGGAGCAAGCCACTGAGGAGTTATTGCAAAGCCATATGCGCCATGGAGGATCATTGATGCGCCATCTTCTAACCGACTGGGAGAGTGTCAGGAAATCTCGTGATCTATTCACTGACCGCAATGGGTAATTATCTCATGACCACCTCGTGCAGCCAAATTGACGAGAGGTAGCTTCAATATGCAATGTTCTTTGAGCGAGCCTCTAAGTTCTGCCGATGTTACAGATGCTGAGCAACGACCAAACACGCTCGCCACACCGCAGTTCCAGAGACTGGCCGCGTACAAGGCGCCCAATTACAAAGCTTTTGGCGAAAAAGCTCAGGCTGTGGCTATGGAAGAGTACAATCCTCAGATATCTTTTGAGGTTGAACTCGATCCCGGCAAAGATATATCTGAATTCCGCTTCGGCCAGGCAAGTGCCCAGGCCAACGAGGACTTTCCGTCTGGAAGGTTCTCCTTCGGTGGTTCGTCATCATTGGATACCCTGGACATTGACTTAGAGAGTGGGGAGGTGTCTATCACTGTAACATGTGACGATATGCAGCTCATTGCCATCGCTCCTGGCTCTTGGTATAGGAATGAACGGGCGAAACATTCTAGCACTATCTGACTAAGCCTGTTAACAGGAATATCGACACGTCGAAGTACAAGCTACGACCAGACGCTACCGACCAGCTAAAAAAGCTCGCAAAGCCGAGCCGATTCCTTGCAGTGTCGCGCATGGGCTTTATCATCACTGTTGGTGAGAGCATTGCAGACGATTTTGATGAAAAATTCGAGAGGACCGCGTTTGGAGGAGGTAGCATCAGCATCTTTGGTATGCTTGTCAGTATTGCTGATGACGGAGAGAGCTCGACCGAAACTACCGAGCATGTCGGTAACTGGGATCGCGCTTCCAGGACCTTCACTGTCAAGCCTAAACACGGCGCAGGTCTGGCAACCATTGTGGCTATGGTCGGCCGAAAACTGGATGCATGATTTCCCTATGCTCTCAGAGTGGGTGCATATCAGACTTATGCACATGGCAACATGGAGCATGGAGAACATCCTTTCCAATGGACGAGTTTGACGTTAGGGCGTGGTGGCTAAGCAAGCGTCTACATGTCAGTAAAGTTGCACAGGATCTTGGATGACACTGCAAGATTGCTAAGCCACGTCATGACGACGCCAACAATGGCAAGAGAGGAGCTGCCATGTATAGGAAATACAAGCTTGGAAAGGAGCTGGCATGAGAAAGGCTTGCATCCTCGGGGTGGAGGGCAAAGAAGCATTTCAGTCCTAGCTAGGACAAGAACATGGTAGATAAGGGATGGGGAGGCAGGGACAAGGATAGCGAGAAAGAGTATGTACATTATTGTTATTCTTGAACCTCTCGTTTGCCCATTCCTATACTAGAGCAAGGATCCGTAAAGTCCTCAACGTTTCTTTCGCTAAGTCCGGGATCTTGTTGTAACGTTCCAGCGATTTGCTCGAAGCAAGATCCTGTTGCCTCGAATATTTCGAGAATGTCATGGTCTAGTCATAAGAATGCAAGGAGGTGACTAAGACCGGCTTTGTCAAGCTCGTGGGTCAAGTCTTGTTCGCCATCACCGTAGCTGAATCAGGTATATGCATTGCCAGGAGAGAGGTCGAGTGAGGAGTAATTTCGATGGGAAATGTCGTCTGCGCTCATCCGCGTTTTGTAGCTCAGGTCGATAGGTAAAGAGAGAGTATTTAAAGTATCTTGCTGCGATCAAATCCAGATGTGCGGAAGCCGGGCTCCTGAGATGAACTTTGGCTTGGAATGAGGTGCGTGAGCTGGGAAAGTGGTAGAGCCGTACATATAGCCGATATGTAAATCCAGCTTGTTACCAATACTTGTACGTATTGCGACTCTCTGCTTGGCTTTGTGGTGCAAGTTCATCACATTCCCGAAATGCTCTTGCTGAAAAGCCCTAAAGACAGATGAGTGAATCATGCTATTGGAAATTGGCGCAGTAACCCCATCAACCCTTATGTTCCATCCGTATGGGGACCTCGGCGACCGTTGAATGCGGACCTGCCGATCCTCCAGCTATTTCCTCGTTATCCGCGGGGACCGAGAACCCTGACATAACCTTAAAGTAACTGCAAGCAAAACTTAGCGACGAGATTCTCATCTTTATAGGACGATGAATCTCATGAATTCTTCGGGGACCTGCTGATCAGTAGACGGCCATTGCGTCACCTGCAGGAGCTACAGTCACTAACATGACTTTAAGCAGACCTCATAAAAGATCAATTGAGATGGGATCTTGCGCGCGTAGGAATTCAACGTCAATCTGCGAACGAACACCGGAACGGTGCAGGTACCTTCAGAGTCTGAGACAATCTCAGCCAACGCTGTGAGTTTTGATGCTGTGCAATGAGGCCGTAGTGATTACCGGTTTCGATGAGGTTAGAGGAAGATCGAACTCCAAGGTCAATCGGTCATCTCTGCCGTGCATACACGATAAACTGAGTTGAACACTTCAAAAGCATCTGGCACCACGACTCCAATCGACACACTTGCTGCGGCTTCCTGGAGTAGGTTTCTAAGGTAAGAGCCACGGAGGAGTGTCCAATCACAACACATGAATCAGAATGTGGGCACGGGTTGGAAATCAGAATAACGTGTTGATTGAATGATACAGACAGGACTCTGGCTCTATAAACAATTAATAGCTGATTACACACGGTTTCATTAGCCGAATGTCACTTATCCCCCACCATCTCCATAAGTTGCCATTCTGACACAGCAGTCCGGATATGCCTGACATATCAACGCTGGATCAGGGTCGGGCGACTGCATGATCGAGGATCACTGGTCGCTGGTCAAAAGGATGCCACGTTTCCTCAAGTGCAAGAGGGAGGTGCAACGTAACCACTCAGATCAATCATGTTTGTGCCGAGACCGGGTCCACTGACTTGGAACTGAGACGATGCTGGCAATCCATCGTTACCGTAAACAACACGAATAGGGTAGTAGAATCCAGCAGTCAAAGTCATGTTCCTGCAGTCGGCAGTACCATATTCGCTGCTGGCAAACCAGTATCGCTCATAAGGTTCGGCGCCACGGGGAGTAGCTGCGTTGGAAGAATCGCCACAAGGGAAGGCGGCGTTGCTTCCTATGTAGAATGCTTGTTCATTATCTGCTCCATCAAGACAGAACTGATAACTTCCAGATTGCTGCGGCACGAAATAGCCGGTGTACACAAACGTGAAATTGTTGGGGTTGTACTCGAATCCTCCGTAAGTAGCTCTAGTATCGGCCCAGTACGGAACCTCATTTCCGTTGCCACCATCAACGTACGTCTCATTGCCCGAGCCGTAGGTTGCTGGAACACTCATGTTGTAGGTACTTCCAGTGGCGAGAAGAGTTAGGTTCTGGTCAAGATAGTAGTCGGGTCCAACACCAGAGTGACCATCCTTAGCTGCGTACGCATTTGCAAGGACATACGTGTTATTGTACTCTTGAACGGTCAATGGACCCAAGCCACACTTCGACAATGAGCAAGCTCCGCTAGGAACAGGTGTCTGAGATGACGTGCTAGAGCTGCTTGATGAACTGGACGAGCTGGAGGTAGAGCTACTAGTAGGCGATGGGCTCGAGCTACTAGACGACGATGAATTGGGACTGCTGCTCGAGGAAGATGACCAAGTGGAGCTACTCGACGATGATGGCATAGAACTACTTGAAGATTGAGTAGCGGAGCTACTCGAGGGTGAGGAGCTGGGGCTGGAAGAGGAAGAAGAAGACTTGGACGAAATCACACCAGGTGCCGAAGAAGTAGGGGGAACCAACTCAGTGACAGGAGTGGAGCAAGTAGCACAGGTCGGCTTGCCAGTGATGAAAGTTGAAGATGTCACATTGGCCGTCTCAGTTGTCGTGTAAGTGCCCGGAGTGGAGGAAGAAGGAACCAACTCGGTGACCGGAGTCGAACAGGTTGCGCAGGTTGGTGTTCCAGTGATATAGACAGGGGTAGTGACGTTGGTAGTCTGAGTCGTTGTGTATGTTCCAGGTATCGAAGAAGATGAGACGGATGCGGGAACCAGCTCAGTGACAGGAGTTGAGCATGTGGCGCAGGTGGGCGTGCCAGTGATGTAAACCGGTGTGCTTACGTCTGTAGTCTGAGTGACTGTATAGATTCCGTAACGGGCAAAGCCGGTAGGGACAAATTCGGTGACAGGAGTTGGGCAAGTGGCGCATGTTGGCATACCAGTCTTGAAGACAGGAGCGGTAACATTGGCGGTCACGATGTTGGTAGTGTATGCTCCAGGACTAGAGGAAGATCCAGGAACAATACGTGTGCTGTTGACCGAGTAAGAGAAGGTTTCAACGTATGGAAGAGATGTGTTTACGTACGTAGATGAGGTAGACAGAGTTGTCTTCCCACTGCAGACTACCTCGTAAGGATAGTATTCGACGAAAACCGTGGTGGGGTCGGCGAGAGTCAATGAAGGCACAAAGGCCAGGAGATGATAGAAGAACGAAGAGGAACGCATTTCTTATGAGAGTAAAGCAGATGAGCTTGTTCTGGAGATGATATCGGATTTGGGCAGGCTTTGGTATCTATTTATCATGAAGATGACTGAGGACCGACTGCGAAGATCTAAGGTATGCCGGAGAAGGAAGGCTTCGTCACAATTGACTGATATTCTCCACAGTACGCACGATGAATGACAAATTGTAAGATCTGGTATGGACTTTGGTTTATCGAATGTTGAAAAGTATTGATCCCCAAGTAATGGTATGCGTCAGCAGCCAGTCTGAGTGTAGCATGCTTGGGCAGACTTGACGCTGATCTCTGGGATCTAACACATTGTCTCAATGTCTCAGAGTCTGTTTGCTAGTCATCATTCCGGTATAGGACCCCGCGGTGATTGATAGCTTCCCCAGGTGGTGGTGTTGAGGAGGATGATGTGGTGATCATGTGACTGGTAAGCCATAGAACTCTTCGCCGTTGGTGGTTTCAGATCTGATTTGCGGTATCAAAGCTGTTAGGGATTATTGCTGTCAATCCCAACGGGCGTCGATACCATTGTCCGTATCTTCGACAGTTCGCATCTTGACACTCAAGATGCCATTGAACAGATGATCCATGAATATTAAAGTGGAGTTGTCCTTCTGTCAAAAGTATCTGTCCAGCCTCCAAAAGTCTACTGCAGGAGCATCATGAAGCCCATTCCTGCTTCTCTGGTCGCGGTATCCTTGGCCGTTGGCTTTGCCAATGCTCAAGACTACAGAATCTCGACTGTCACCAGCACCACTACCTATTCTACACAAACCATCTCCAGCTGTACTTCGTCTGGCGGCCCTACGACTGTGACTAGCCTTCACCCAGGCCAGACTGTGTCAAGCTGTCCTCCTTCTGGCACTTCCACCGACAATCCTGGTGGCAACCCCAATAACAACCCAAGCAACCCTGGCGGTGATCCTGACGGCATTCCTGGTAATCCCAATAACCGCACTACTCTGACTATCTCTGTCACCCCAACCCCAACTTCTTCCGTAAGCCCTACCACGTCGCCTACGGGGTCTCCAGGCTCCAACAATGACAACCCCGGTGATGGATCGGGTAACAGCAACCCTTCCAATCCAGGCTCAAACAACAATGGTGGCGGTGCTGATACCCCAGGCTCGAACAACAACAATGGTGGTGGATCGGGCAATTTTACCACTACCGTCACTCTTTATCCAACACCTACCGATTCTCCCGACAACGGATCAAGCCCGCCATCTGAAAATGGTTCGGGTGATGGTGGAAACCCAGGCTCCAACAGCAACCCCGGTGGCTCTGGCAGCGGAGGAGATCCTGGTTCGAACCCCGCAGGTGGCTCTGGTAATGGCCAGCCTTCAGGCACAGGCTCTAGCACTGGTAACGGTCAGCCATCGGGCAATGGTTCTGGCAATGGCAATGGTAATGGCCAGCCATCGGACAGTGGTTCAAGCAATGGAAATGGTCAGCCATCAGGCAACAGTCAGTCTTCAGGAAACAGCAGTGGCTCCGGCAACGGTCAAGGCTCAGACAATGGCTCGGGCACTGGCTCAGGCAATGGCCAACCTTCAAGCACCGGCTCTAGCACTGGTAACGGTCAGCCATCGGGCAATGGCTCTGGCAATGGCTCAGGCGTCGGTTCCAGCAATGGTCACCCTCAGGCAGTGGCTCTGGTAATGGCCAGGGTTCTGGCAACGGTTCAGGCTCAGGCAATGGTCAAGGTTCTGGTTCTGGAAACGGCCAAGGCTCAGGTTCGGGAAATGGTTCAGGCAACGGTGGAGGCAGTGGTTCTGGCAATGGCTCCGGCTCCAGCTCAGGGCAAGGGGTAGGCGCTGGTAGTGCCAGCTCGACTGGCGGACAAGGTAGCGGCAGCGCCACTGCTTCATCCACCATGGCCGTCTACACCGGCGCAGCCGCTCATGACGCTGCCCCTCGTATGGCTGCAGGCTTGCTTCCAGCTCTCCTCTTCTACGTGGCTCAATTTCTCTGAGTTACCTAGCTGCTGAGATTCGATCATTGGGACATGTGTTAGAATTGATGTGATGGCGGTAATGGAAGTATGTTGTGAATGTAAATAGGAGTAATGTTTTCGTAGATCCTTGTTCATCGTGTGAGAGGCGAAAGGTCGGTCTGTGTTCAATGGAAAAGATAGAATTATGCATGTTGTAACCCACAGTATACTGATTTTCAAAACGAGAACTACTTCGATCTCATATGTCCATCATTCTCCTGGCCAAATCTCACTTCTGAGTTGACCTGCTCGATGATCCCGTAGGGAGTCTTACGCCGCTTATTCGTTTGTACAGCAGACAAGGGGTATGATCACGAGGAGAGAGGGGTCTCACCTGAACCAAAAATCTGACTCAACGTGGTTTCACTTAAGCTACTCTAATCACGAGAAGCATCCAAGACGAAGATGGTGTCAAGATTCGGAAGCCAGTCATCGCGGGGCCAGAGATCATCAAGATGACACGGCCGTACGCTCGACGTCTCGTGTATCCAACAGCCAAGTGATTGTTTGGATGTCTGGCGCCGGGATTGCCGTAATATACCGACTCTGCTTTATGCTTATACCGAGGTTCACCAAGATTCGGACCGAAGCTCTGGATGATTGACTATGCTGGCTTGGATGGAGGAAGTCATTGATCATCAGATTAAGTTGAACTGATTGGTATTACCGAGGTACAACTCTGTGCCTTGGGTCAAGGCCGATACTTACCACCACTCGGGCCGAAGCTACGATCAACTAGATATGCTGGAGGGAGTTGGGGTGAATGTTGTTACGAGAGCCCCAGGCCTGTCATCACCCACATGGGCCGAACAAAAGCTCCCCCAACGTTGCTCGGATCCGGCATGCACGGCCACGTTATTCCCCGGATTACGAGTTTTGTTCCCGTGGAGACAACTCTCCGATCCTTGGTAAACTCGGGGGAAGGTCTGTGTGTGGGAATCACTAGTGTTGCCTATGCAGCCTTACGCCCGAGCCTCTCCATGTTGAGTACGAAGAGACATCAGATTTACGTACGCATCTTGGAAGTACGATAGAAACAGATTTTGAGAATACGAGACAACGAGGATGGGATTGAGAAGATTGGGAAACAGCATGATGAATTGTTCCGAGGGTTGAGGATATTGGAAGAAAAATAGTATGTCATTGCTTTCGTTGGGGTATCTGGTAAAGGGAGGAAAGACTTTTCTATCTATTAAAGAGAGTATGCTGAATATAGTGCTTCAAGAAATAACAACGCTGTCGTCCCTGTTGTACGCGACTGGTTGTCAAGCACAATGGGTGGGAGTACCAGGATACGAACGAACAGTCCAGTCGAAAATTTCTGGTGAGTCAGAGTGCACCAAAGACGGCCAGTAACAGGACAGTGCCTCCCAGCTGGGATCAATACCGTTGTTGGGATCTGACTGTGATCGAGAGAGTTGGGGGATTGGTGCATTAGCAGCTGGTGTTGGTGATACAGACTCGTGGCTTGCACACCAACTAGAATCTAGTGTACTGTTGATGTTGCCAAAGTCTTGTTGGCGCTGCTCATGCAGAGAGTCTTGCTCGGCATCAGGATAGATGAACGGCGTTGGCATCCGACGGAGGCATGATGCTCGCGTGACATGTTGATTTCTGGTCCATCGTCTTTAGAATCGGGCTCCACAGAGCGGACATGGTAGGATCCATGTCAGGTTGGCTCGTTCTCGCTGATGTCGTCTGAGATTGCTCCTGGACGAGAACGATCTGCCATCACAGCCATGGTCGAAACATCTGTGACGGGTCGAAGATTGGGCGTTCAAGGAACCTCGGGGTGATCGTTGACCTGGTAAGACCAGCGCATCCATGATCGATGAGTCTTTCAGGTATGATTCTGCAAGCCAGGATGACGGTCTGGAGGTGAATGATCCTTGTAATTGCCCTGTGAGGGGTGGGTGCGCCATATTCAAGACAGGAAGAAGTGATTGATTGTCCATGTCCGTGGGTCCAATGATCCCATCGCTAGGCGTGGTGTATAGTGTGTTAGAAGCCGTGTGATCTGGGAATTGCTACGTGTATCCATAGGACAAAGGCCCTGTAGGCATGGCGTAGCATGGTGTGACAATCGAGGGAAGACCTGGCGTATCGAGGCTAGTCAGGGCGTTATGGTTTACGTCAGCGGTGAATTGAAGTACACAGCAGATATCCTTACATTGTCTTGAGTATGTTCGATGTACTGTCCTGCCAGTGGGAGAGCCATTGCTGAATCAAGTCTGCGAGATGACATTATGTGACTGTCCTTGGGGAGGCTTGATGGCCGAGTTCTATAGTTTTGCTATGACTCGAAGTCGTAGTCGGAAGTCGTAAGGCTATATATAAGCCAAAGCATGCTTTCCCTGACGCAACGTGGGCGCACATAAGCGCACGTAAATTTTTATAGAGTTGCACTCAGATCCGTGCAAAGGACCGACCAAGAACATTGACAGCTTTGGAAAAATGTTAAAGTAGCAATGGTTCCGCAGCGGACTCCTGACGTTGAACTTAAACACTCTGGGACGAGGTTTACAGAGTTCATGACGAGTTGAGCTAGGATATCGTCAGCCACGAGTTGATGTAGAACAGAAAGCTCATCTTCAGCTTTCTGCTGATAGCACGATCTTACGAATGGTGACAGATAACGGATGTCTCCAAGCCGATGGCTCCGTGACAGAGGAACATACTGGTATTCCGACACACTTCACGGAAGATCTTCCAAAGTATCATATGGAGTACGGTGCACTTAGCAAGCCACCTAGTGCAGCTCAATGGGGAACGACTTGAAGATCGTGATCTAGACGCCATGTTCGGCCGAGAAACGGTACCCGCGGACGGCGCGATCTTCGCTGTGCTTGAGCGCTTGGCAGAATTGGGGGACAGCGCCTTATCAAACCCCTCATCGAATTCTCTGCAAATTCGGTTCAACTTTTCGAGTTGACTCTCAACGGCATTTTGCCGGCGAGGGCCTCTAGTGTCCGAAGCTTCCGAAACAAGTTCTTTGAGGTCTCGGGCTTCATTCTTTTGACAATTTCGATTGGTGAACCGTTCAGTGAGATGAACATCTCAAAACGCATAGCACTCCTGAAACCACAAGACAATGCGCAACGGGCCTCGGAGGACTCGACTTGGCGCAAAGGCTCATCTGTGCGTAGAAGTCTCGATACGACCACTCGATATCCAGAATGCGAACAGGGCGCGATTTGACGGTTCAGAGGGTTAATGCCACGAGGTTTCCAGAATTGGGTGAACCGCCGACTGGTAGGCCCCTGCATAGGCTGGGAACTGCCACGAGGACTGTTGAAGCATTGGGCACAACATGGGCGATGCTGACATACACCTAAAAACATTCCCGGGGTCTCGGAATGGATTTTCGAGACATGCAGGATGATCACGTACATCGAAACTGCCCGTTCAGCATGATTGGGCGCGTTGCATGCAGTCTCATTGGAACTCACAGGCAGAGATTTATGCAATCCTGTAGAACGTCATATTGTACAAAACTTGCCAAGAAAGCTCAGAAAACTCTGCGGCAAGTCCTGGCGCGGTGCCGCGAACCTACTCCCGAAGCATTGAGTTTTTGCTCTGATGTTCTGTAGAAGGCTGTGTTTTAGAGTCAAGGTAGTCAAGCCACCCCGGCTCTCACCGACGTCACGGCACGCTCTCACTGAGCACAATGTCAGAGCTCCGTACGTACTGAGCTTGGAAGGTGCGCTCTTCCTCAGCAAGCGATCAAGCTCCATGCGTGCTGAGCTTGGGAGACAGAGTGATTCACGAAAGCATCTCGGTCTGATTTTCGGTATGTGGCGAGTTCAGGGATATAGACAACGAGAATGAATCGGACTTCGCATGGATGGAAGATTCGGTTGATCTGCACTGAGGACGTTTGTCCTCGAGAGGGCGAAAGGAAGCCACTATGCCGGCTGGGGATCATTGTCTCTCGTCTGAAACCAGGCCGATGCGATAGTGATGTCTGTAGGATCCGAAGGTTCTGAGGACTATTGATCCATGAGTTGCGATGGCAGCTGGCTTCGCTTTCTATCGGATCATACCCCATGATGGCACGCCGTTGGTTCAGGAACCAGTCGCCAAACATAACCTCAGATTTAGATTTAGCGTAGGGCGTTGCAGCGAACGGCTTAGCCTCTTTGAAAAAAACAGAAAGGGCAACAGTAGCCAAGCCGCCCAGGAGGGGAAGAAACAGAAAGAGCAGAAGTTGAGCCGCTGCGCCGCAGGTAGTCGACAAAGAGAATATAGTGGCTATTCCAGAGGCAGTTGTGACAGAATCTCTCAAAGGCCGTGATGTTCAAGGTGATTCTTTAGTTTACAACCATTGGAAATTGTGAGGACGTGTTCGGTGAACGCGACGTCGACTCCATGCACCAAGGTTCCTGTACGCGCCGCTCTCTTGCGATCGTATGGTCCATGAATTTTCTCTAGGCATGCGTCAAGCCTGTGTGTTCAGCATCAGCCATCGAAGACGTGCGTGATATTGACAATCTCGACTATGACCCTCATGTTCGGACCCGGCGTAAGAAACGGATCCGCGTCAAGAGCCCAATAAACCTGGATTTACCGGACCGAGCTTCAGAGCGATAACTTCCCACCTTCCGACGGGGCTCACGATGTGTTTTTGGCAGGTCGTGAACCGGGCCGGGAGCCGCAGCTTGTCGTAAGATGCTGAGACCTTCGAGAAACAAATTCGACGTTGAGATAGTCAACCATGGATATCACAACGTACCCATAGGTAAGTTATCAAATTGCGGCCAGAAATCCATGGTCAGATGATTGTTGTCCAAATCCTCTGCCATCAATTCGGTCCATAGATTCTCATGATTATTCATCCATAGTGAATCCGTTCCCGCGAGCGGACCGATAGAGTGATCGGGAGCATCTTGATGTGTTTGGACTGCGGGGTTTGTGGTTTGATAAGCATTGTCGTTGTTTCGCAACTGTGTCGTTGACACAATCTGCGCATTCGAAGCTCTGACCTGGTGCGTGGAGTCATTCGTTTGGAAAGCGATATTTTCGCCAGTTTTTGCAGACAGGCTCTCAAGAATAGGGCCGTAACGCCAGACTGGTGCACTCTTGTGTCCTGCTTCGGCTAGATGGCCCTGTCCCACCATTGCTAGCTCGTAAAGATTTTTGACGGTCATTGCTTCGCTCTCGTGTGAGGCTGTGTCGAAAACGTTAGTGGGGATGCGATGACGGCTCAACTGGATGATGTAGATGTGAATGACTGAGATGGCAGAAAAGGCAATGTACTGTGAGAACCAGAATGCTGGGTACAGCACCCGGTTTCGTGGTGAGCGACTAACAAGCTCTACAACTTCTCGTGCTGCGCGAATGCAGGCACGCAGTTGATCTCGGTATTGTTTGGCCTCAGGCTCTTGCAAGTCGAGGGAAAGATTCCGCAAGAGAAGTGGCCGCGTGACGAAGATGATCGCATGTAAACGTGCCAGAGTAAGAATGGAGTGTTGACGCCTGAAACAAGGTATCAGACTGCTGGGATGAATCGCGCCAGACAGTATCGGTGGTAACCTCGAACGCCAATCATGAATCTCCGAGCCTCGCCGAACAGCTGCATCAACATGTGAACGATCAGTGACAGTCGGCAAACGAGACTGTTCATGCAACGCTTTGGCTAGAGTGATACCGATCTCGATATGGGCAGCGGTAGCGTGAAGAAGACAGTCTCTTCCATGATTCGAGACCTGCTGTGAAACGCCTTCGGATGTAAGGTCCTCATCATTCACAACCATCGGCAGTGCTTGATTAGTGTCGTCGATATGAAGCAGCGGCATGCGACCCATGATGATGCTCAAGTACTTATCTAGCGTGAAAGCACACCAGAATAATCGTCTGTGCATTTGTATCGTTATTGAGTCCAGAGTTGAGCTGCCGGGCTTCGCAGTGACCTTACGATGCATACCTACGGCTTGCATGAGCTGGACCATGGTACCGAAAGTGAACAAGGCCTTGTTTGGTCTTGATGACGAGAGCAGATATTGAACTGCGGCAAATCTAGCTTGAACAGACTCGAGTGTTGGTGGACCCGTCTCTTGTGAGAGCAATATTTCTGCTTTCTGGTAGTATATTTCGCTCGACTGCCAGCCCTGGCGGCTAGCGTCGATCGTGTCACCATTAGAGCTGATAGTAAACACGGCAGCCGATGCAAACATCGTCAGAATACATGCTTGAGCAGAAATTGAGACATCAGCTTTGTCGTAAATTTTATCCAGCCATCGATGCATGGTAGGCTCATGCATGTATCGATATGTTGGCGATGCAAACTCAAAGTGCCTATCGAGAAGCTCAATAGCAGAACTATGACTGGGCCAAGCGAAATTTGCAATGTCTGGCTGATCAATTTTCGCGTCACCAAAAGATAGGGTTGACGTATCGACCTCGACACTTGATGAGGGGCGTGTGAGCAGGGCTTGTGCCTGATCGGAGCGTTGCAATGCTTGATCTAGGAAAGACTGAGCGCTAGAGGGTCCGAGATACTGTCCATGAACAGCCTCATCTGATTCTGACGGCAGTCNTTCGGTATGACAATAACGGTTCTGCAGAAACTCTTGTTGCATCATGGTTCACTTGGCATCGGGCAGGGGTGGCTGGATCACCACGTATCTCATATCCTGGTTCGGCGCGAGTCGGGGAAGTGTTTCTAGAAGATTGTCTTCTGGCTGGGGAAGCCGTTGATCCGTATTGAGAAGAAAGTGAGGNNGGTGGGTCATGACTCGATTGTATGATGCAGGAGATCTGTGGGCAGATGAGGCTTGGTCCCCATGCTGCAAATATGTTGAAGGTGCTGGGGAAGGAGGAATAGCGATTCCTTGATCGACTCAACGTCAGCACATGTAAGTGATTCGGATCTGAGACGACCCAGATTAAAAAGTCGTGTTCGAAGAGTATAACTTTTCCGCGCTATCACAACGCCACGCAGATTATCCAAGTCGCGTTTGTTGATGCAACAACAGAACCATCCAGAGACACTGACCACGTACCTCTGTTATACTGAGCCTCATAAGTGCATTTACCTCTCATCCTGACGCATGAAGCACATGGTTGATCGCCGGTGCAGCGCTTCTTTCTTGTCTTGCAAGCATCGCAGGCTCGCGTGACCTTCTGGCGCTTCCGCGAGCGAGTCGGCTCTGGCTCAAGACCTGACTCTTCGTTCTGATGCGCGATCTGACCAATTGCGTCTGCCATGTCGAGCCGCAAGATGACACCCCGAAGTTTTGTCGGATATGTTGTCTGAGTCTGCGCAAGGAGAAGGCGGAAGCGGAGAAGTTCCCGAATCTCGTAGGCGGAAAGAGCAATGCACAGACCATCCGAATATTATATACCTATCCATCATGCAACACAACGTTTCTGCTCGAGGCAAGTGCGATACTGTTATGACTCTCAAACTGATCCTCATGTTCAGAATCCGATTCGATCGGATACCATCGTGATCAGTTTGACGGAAAAGATATCTTCTTGGGATCAATGTGATGTCTGACTCCAACACAAGACCATCTCTTACGTCTAGTGTGCGACATCATATTGGACGAAAGATGTAACCATGTCAATCTATGCTTCCATGACCATCATGATAATGACATTCCCAGAGCGTATAGCCCATCATATTTACAAGACGAATTGGATGAATACTGTGGCTGCAGGTAAAACCCTGTCTCGATCTCGCTGACTGTATGTCAAGCATATCTGGAAGCCAGGTCATGTCAAGCAAGAGCGACCAAACACGCAACTCACGACATCAAAACTGCCAGAATCGAAGAGAGATCCGATTAGTAACGAAAAATGAACCAATGAGCACATAGCACATCAACACGCTCGCTCGCATTGTTCACCAGACTTTGGTGACATGCAGTGCATCCAGCCTCCAGCCTCGAAGTCTTCGCGGTCAGCCGTCTTTCCAATACGGAAGGTCGTTGTATGCACGAAGTACAACGTGCCCCAGACGATTGGTCTGAAACGCTCGATGCAAGAGGAGACAAGCAACTCTTCCCCAAGCCTCCTTCGTCTCCGCCCAGTGCCAAGTCTTGGCACAAACCTCCACTTTTGTAGAACAACACCTCTCTCACCAAAAGATATCCCAACCTCTAAACTTTGTCATCGACAAGACCACGCTGAGAGCGCCTCGCTACTTGGCACACACGGCAGGAAACAGTAGACTGTTCCTGCTCGCGTCGCCCACCACGCGATGTCAACGTGAAGGCGCAGTTCTTAGCCTGCATGGCACGACCTGTTGAACTCATTGGCTAGCCAGGACGAATGCGCCGTTACGAGGTGTTCAAATCGTCGGTATAAAGCTGCTGCGAGCCCAGGTATGGTGAGATGTAGATCAGGTTCGTTGTCTTATTTGCATCTCTGTTATTGCTTCACCTCGTTTCGAAGATGCGCTTCAGTACTGCTTGTGTCGTGTGCACTGCCGCCGTCATCGGCCAGGCATCTGCTCAGACCTTCCGACGCCTCGGTGCTTGTCCCACACTGGGTTGTATCTTCCCTCCAGACCAGAGCGACTTTCTTCCTGGTCAGTGGTTTGACATTCGCCTCGAGACACATGCTCCTCAGAACGGCAGTGAAGTCGTTCCCGGCTACTTGACTCCTGACGAAAAGTTCACCTTCACCATCGCCAAAGAAGGCAAGCAGAAGGACTGNCAAAATGCAGCTACCTACTTGAAAGTTGACGAGCCTGCCATTGAGAGATGGAACTTTACTTGGTATGAGGATCTGTTTGCCGAAGCTGCTAAGACACCCTCAATGGTCAAGGTTGCTTCCAAGGCTTACAGAAAGGTCGCTCTTTATGAGCCGGGTAACTACATCGCGACTCTCACCTATGCCAACGGTAGTGTCACCCAGGCCAACTGGACTGTTCGCGATACCAAGATCTCGCAAAAGGCCAAGAATGTCATCATGGTACGTAATCGACACTTCAATGATCAGCAATTTTGACTATGTTCGTGTCCCTAAGATCACCGAGCTGTGCTGACTGCGGCATCTCAANNGTTCATCGGTGATGGCATGACTACTAACATGATCACCGCTGCTCGTCTGATCGCCCACCAGAGCGTCAACGGCAAGTACCAGACTCGCATGGCCATGGACAAGTTCCCTGTCTTGGGCCATCAGATGACCCACTCCATCGACTCTTTCATCACTGACTCTGCCAACTCGGCCACTGCTCTGTACACCGGCCACAAGAGCACCGTGAATGCTCTTGGAGTCTATGCCGATTCCTCTCCTAGCCCTCTTGATGACCCCAAGATCCAGTCTATTGCTGAACTCTTCCATGAAGTCCGTGGCGGTGGTGTTGGTATTGTTTCTACTGCCTTCATCGCAGATGCTACTCCCGGTGCTTTGACTGCTCACACTCGCAACCGTGGCCAGTACGGCAATGTTGTTGACTCTTTCCTCAATGGTATCACCAACTACACTTGGCCTGCTTGGGACGGTCCTGATGTTCTTTTCGGTGGTGGTGCTGAGCAGTTCATCCCCAGCAGCAAGTCTTTCCAAGGAAAGGACTACTACCAGGAGTTCAGAAACAAGGGCTACAAGGTCATCCAGAACAACACTGCTCTTCAAGCCGCATCCAACACTGAACGTACTCTCGGTATCTTCTCGGTCTCGAATATGGCAAAGTGGCTTGACAGAAATGTCTACAAGAACAACACTCAGATCCCCAAGACTGCTCCTGATGGTAGCAGCGCCGCCGCAACTGACCAACCCGGTCTGAAGGAGATGACCCTCAAGGCTGTTGATATCCTGCACAAACGCAACCCCGACAAGGGCTTCTTCTTGATGTCTGAGGCCGCTTCCATTGATAAGCAAATGCACGTCCTCGACTACGACCGTGCTCTTGGTGAACTTCTTGAGCTCGATGACACCATCAAGGCCACCCTCAAGCACCTTGAGGAGATCGGCGAGCTTGACAACACCCTTGTCATTGTCACTGCTGATCACGGCCATGGCTTCGATGTCACTGGTAGTGTTGACACCAAGTACATGGACGCTCAGACCAGTGACCGCAGNAGGCGCGATGCCGTCGGCATTTACGAACAATCCGGTCTTTCTCAATACATGGTCGCCAACCACTCTGCCCCCATCGGCAGCGACCAAAACCTTGTATACTCTGCTGGTGTCGACTTCCCTGTCAACTGGGACCCTCGCTACACCTTGCAGTCCGGCCTTGCCACTTTCCCCGACCACCGCGAGAACTACCGTGTCCACAAAAACGGACCTCGTGTTCCTGCTCTCAACATCACTGGATTCTCGTCAAACGACTACTACGTCAACTACATTGATGCTGTCACTGGCTTCGTCGTCAACGGCACCCTTCCTGTTTCGGCTGATCAGGGTGTGCACTCGCTCACCGATGTTCCTGTCTTTGCTCAGGGACCTTGCCAGAGTGCTTTCGGAGGTGTCTACAACAACGTCGACATCTTCCACAACATTGCTACTTGCTTGCGTTTGCAGAGAACCAAGGCTTCCAAGTAGAATCTCGAGAGCAGGACGATATAGATTTTGGGTATATTGTTTGGATGTAGAGTGCTTCGAGGGCTCAAAAATGTTGGTTAACTTGGAAAATTATGTATAGTAAAGTTTTTGAATCTGACCCCCGAAGGTCATACCATCAAGTTGAAGTCTGAAGATGAGGATTGCTATCAAACCACCTTAACACGTTTTCGACGATTGATACAAGCCTAAGCGGCTTGAAGTGGTACGATGATCCTTCTCTGCATCTACGTTCGCATGAAAACTCCTTTACATGCCGTTCATCAAAGTCTTGTGTCCTACCGACAGTCGGTCGGTCAAGACTTGGACGATCTTGGATAGACGTGCGAGACGATTGTGTCTGAGTTGCAAGATGCGGGAACGGTGGAGTTTGACTAGTTTACGCAGGTCAGCATCGACGTGAAGCAGGTTGGCAAAGGAAGGTGAGGAAGAGCTTCTGAGGTGGGTTTGGCTCAGTCTTACGATTGAGGTTCAGGAGGATTGGAGATGAAGGATGGATCGTCAAACTACTCCAGCCATCAAGCAGCTAGGCAACAGCTGTGACAGGGTGCCCACAATTTTGTTTGACTAACATATGAATGAGGCACATGAAGTTTGGTATACGATCTCTTTAGTCGCGGCGAACATCCATCGACCCCCCTCTCCCCCGTCAGATGAATTACCAATCATGGCATAGCTCCCAAAGCCTCTCTTACAATTTCCCGAGTTCCTTCGTCTAGGTCTTTGTCGCCTTGAAGCTCCTGCAAGCGCTTCTTCCAAAATTTCCATCGTTCAAGACTCGAGCCGCCAGAGCCTTGCCAAAGGTCGCGTTTGTCCTTACTGACAACATGCATCTCATGCTTTGCGATCATGTCTTTGATGTCGTTGTTGGAAAACAAGAGATAATGCTCGTGTGGGGTCTTTGACATATCGTAAAGTTGATCTCCCGCCTGTACTAGCCACTCCCTCACTGCATAGATCTCTATCTCGAAAACAGCTTTCCTATCTTCGAGCGTATCGCAAAGACGAGAAAGGCCTTGGTATCTGACTAATTCTCCCAAGATATTGGTGTGTGCAAAGAGTGCTTCGGCACGAGATATATTGGTGATTTGATCGCGTTTCTCTGGCGAGGTGTAGAGGTGCGGTTTCTTACGCCATTCGTTCTGGTAGTACCACCAGTTACAATCGTACCAATTATTGGCGAATGAGGAAAGATCATGCCAGAGAGAGCTTGAGGGTCTTCCAAGTGGGCCACTGCGTTTTTTACCATGAAGGTCGAGATCGAAATCCGGTAGATTTTGGATGTTGGAGATCAGATGGACGACCTTTTGTTGAGAGTTGGGCAGCTCAATGAGTGCATCTTGTAGAACACCCCACAAATTTGGTAGGTCGGCACCTGGATCTTCAGAGGACTCTGTAGGCAATGTGATGAGGCGCGCAGCTTCTGTTACCGCAATTTCGTCTTCGAGGTAGAGTCTCAGAGCTTGTGCTTCTTCTGGTCGACATCCATCTTCTGGTTCACCGTCAGGTGCGATTGCTCTGTCGTACCAAGCTTGTGACATTGCGCCGGGCTTTTGTACGAGATAGAAGTCTCTTCCGGATTTGATCTTCGAAAGCGATGTGGAAGTTGCGTGGCTCTGAAGATGGCACGAAGCATGTAGGAAGCATGTAGGAAGCATGTAGGAAGCATGTAGGAAGCATGTAGGAAGTAGACCAAGTGGCCAGGTCATGCACAACGTTAGAAACCCACTCTTTAGCACTTCGAAGGATTCCGTAATGACGTAATGAGAATTGGAAACCTGCTCACAAGAACAGTAGAGACCGAAGGTCGTAAATGGTACAACCAAGCGTCGATAGAGTAGGCAGGAACGTAGGAGCAATGGGGATGTGGAACAACGCAAGGTAAACACGAACTTTCCCACCACATTAGTTGTACATTAAAAATCCTCGCTATCTGCGAAGTATCACTCTTAATGGCGGACAAGTTTGCATTCGATAGCAGAGCCCGTGATTAGTGTGCTCTGGTAACTAAGTCAAGAAACGCAAGTGACCTTCGACAAACCCAGACTACTTGATATCAGCGGTTCATGTTCTTTTGGAAAGGTTTCATCAGCAGTAAGTGAAACAATTTGAATTCCGGATTGATCTGGCACTACTGTTGCAGATGTAGTGGGACATCGGCAGGATAGCACGTATGGTGGCATCCTTCGATGAGGTTACCCTGTGAGTGCTCAACAGCTATCATCACTTCTCGATCTCCTTGATTATAGTCTCAGCCCCAACGATACCGTAGCACATAGCAGTCAGCGTAGGGTTGCAAGCAATATGTGTAGGAACGACGTTGCAACCACCAAGGAACAGGTTCTTGAAGCCATGGACGCGAAACTCGTTGCTAACGCAGGGATCTTTAACATCTTTGCCGACACGAGTGGTGCCCTATCATTGGCTCAGTATGGCCCAGCTTTGTATATTGTGGAAGACCTACGCAGATGTGCATGACCGATCCGGGAGCCATGAACTGAGTGTGATCGACGGAGCTTTGTGGTATGAAGTCATTCTGGCAATGATTGTTCATGCGCATTTTGGGTCTTGAATTGGATCACCAGGCTCTTCAAGATCTCGTATGTGTCTCCGCCGTGGGGTTGTAACTCGTCATTAAATTTACGTGTTAAATCTGTCAAGATGTGTTTGTTTTATTGGCAGTAGCGGAGATTTCTTGTGACGAGCAGAATCTCTGATATGTGTACCTGTGCTTCGTACTCCTGATCAAGGTTCCAAGCTATGAGTACCTGCTACTATTATGCGATCTCATGTCAGATTAGGAGCTTGTTATCCTGATTCCTTTTCCAGGGAGGGAAATTCTGTACTGGCCAAAGTAGTCATGCAAGGCAACGATGCTGAGTCCATCGAGACTGATAGCTTGAGTCTGACCTCCTGACCGACAATCACTAGCGCTTCTACATGAGTGTAACAATTGCGTCCCATCTGACACTTGATCTTATACTTGGAGCTCTCGGATTCACTGGCTACAGTCTAGAAGAATTTGAGGAATATGTAGAACGATTGGTTGGGTTCTGTCTCTTGACATGATCGCGCAGCTTGCCTAGACCGCCAACTCATATATAGAAAACAGACTCAGCCATATCTATCACATGGTCGAACAATCGAAATGAAATTTGTGCATAGTTGGGCTATGAATTGTAGTGACAGTATACAAGTGTATGCAAGTTGACTCCACAACCTGATATTCCCTCTCGCCTCAAGCAATCGAAAATCACTTGCGCTGATCGTTGACACCCCCCTTGCCACAGCTTCCAAATGAGTAAGAGGAACCGCAGTAGAAGCTGTCGACATCTGTTCCAGCGGGAGCAAGAGACACGTAGCCGGTCCAAGTTCCACCGTGAGTGAGCTGGATGCAGTGAGTTCCGCAAACGTCACTACCAACGTCTCTCAGATAGTTATCGATAGCACCGGCGATGGTACCCAGCTGAGCTGTGGTGTCGCAGTTCCTGCCTGTTGCGTACACACGATAGGTGACATTGTCGACTTGGCCGTCCTGAGCAGTGCAGTCGTGATGGTCGGACTTGCCCTTCAAAGCACCTCCAACAGCAGTCCCGATTTGTGTAAGTACACTCGCGACGGCGATACAGACACCGGCCTGGGCTGTATTAGAGATACAGTACCTGATGTCCAGTCGGCGCTGAAGGGCAGAATTGGTTCCGTTGGTCCACTCTGGAGGACTGTCTGGGACACCATCGTCCAGATTAATTGCAGCCTGATAGTCCGCGAGCTGTTTTCCCTCGACCAAAGTTGATTTCTTCGTCAGAGAAGTGGACGGCAGCGAAAGCGCCGCAGCTGGTGATAAGGGTAAAGCCGCCAAAGACAAGGCCGAGATCAAAGTAGTGGATAGCATATTGTGCGAGAAAGCCGCTAGTGATAACGATGAGTTTTTGAGAAGACTGAGCAGAGGACATGCTATGTAAGAAATCGTCAAACATGAGAAGCGATCACCCTTACTTATAGCCAGGACCTCGTTATCCCCAAGATGATCTTTGGTCTTCGAATTGGCATAACCTACGACTGATCTGCTGCCACTGGCACATCCTACTTGTCATAGCCCCATCTAGTGGTCTGCCGCTCGGAGTCAGGTTTGACGAAGGTTGAAGATACACCCGTACATTCTCTGGGTAGGATCTATAATGCTGATCTGGCGGTTGGACTTGACCTCATATCCGCTGTCTTAGGCAGGTCAACTGCAGCGATCAGAACCAGGAAAGAACTTAGAAGAAGATCCTCCTAGCTTGGTCCCACTGCAGTATGGATAGGAGAGACCACTCCGAAGCTGGGCGTGGTTCCGGACATCTCTGGTGCAAAGTCATATTGTGTTTTTCGTTCATCACACAAGGCTCATTGGCGGAGTTTCCAATAAGTGGCTCTGGAGATCATCCATCTTGTCGAAGTGACACACAGATTCCAAGGTTCTTCAATAAGGTATTTTGGCTGCTAAGTTCTACCAGGTTTTTGAGTTCGTCAGAAGCAGTAAGGCGCTCGTAAAACGTCAGTCTGGGCAGCGCTTGCGATTCAATCGCACGACTCGGAAAGAGTTGTGTAGACGCTATACCACTTCGAGAGCTGCTTCCAAGCTGGAACTGCTTCGGCAAAGCAGAAACGGCAGAGTTGTGCAAATTCATAAGGATACGCTTGCGCGAGGTCAACTTTGCGATTCAGAAGCTCATCCAATTAGCTAGCTTGGAGCCGCCGATACCTCCTGCTTCCGGACGAGCCAAAACACCTTAATAAAGCTCACACGAACTTGGAGTGAAGTCCAAAGGCGCGTGACGTGGGGACAGCCGTGAGCCGGGATCCGCACCCTGTGTATTGTAGATCTGATTGTAGCCTTAGGTTTGCTAGAGCGACCAAGTTACATCCATTGGCACCTATATCGTTTAGCCCAAATTCAACAGACAGCGTGACCTCTCAATCAATGGTTCACGCAATCCTACGCAAGGTGGTTGGTAAATCTCCGAGGCCGAGCCCTCTCGTCCCTGTACACACCTCTCGACTGACTCTCAGTGGTGAGATATCCGCGCAAGTTTGAAATTACGGCCGAAAGTTCGTCGACTCTGTATCAGCAAAAACATTACTCATGTAGTGGCGTTGTTTCGGATGGATTGACATATCAGGTTTGACTTTGCGCCCGTGAAGCCGCGGGATTCCTCAAGTTCCTCGAGTCATTTGGAACCCTTCTAAGCTCTTTCTTAACTTCGTTTGCAACTTTAAAACCTGCGCGGGTCGCATTCCTGGGTCGGCCTCTAGAAAGCTTGCACTTGCCCTCCGATGATGTCGGTATGTCTTGCTTGGACGGGTGCAATACCAGATAGGAACTAGTGTTGTGCAAGGTAAGTGGTGCTTGAAAGAAAATTATTGTGTGAAAGCATTGACTGCGTAGGGAATATCAAAAGGAGGCGAAAAGATCAGATCAATGCTATAGAGCAGAAGCTGTGGTCGAGATAAATGTCATTTCATGGTACAGAGATCTTCCAGAAGGTACATGAATATATGGGCAATACAGATTAGAGATCGAAGTTAGGCATGGCTATGTGATATCCATTTAGTCCCGCGCTCTAAGCCCATGCCTGCATTACCGCGACTTCTGATCAAACGAGTAAACCGACTATCGAACCTGTTAGCACGGTTTCCGGTAGTAGCGAGTCTTCTGTTTCCGGACCAAGTCCCGCACCGTGTAAAGAGATAAAGTGAGTTCACCATGAACAATTTCGTGGTACAAGACTCAGACGATGCTACTAAGCAAGACGCAGATGATTCCTCCACTGGTTGGCCCGATGTTGACTCTATTCCTTGGTCATTGGTTTTCCTGATCAAGGCTGATTTCTCCTTCGTTGTTGGAGAAGTGAATAGCGACGAGAGCGCCACAGGTCGCCAGACCAGCAAGCACGCTTTGGAAAACGCCGTTGTCGAAGTAGGTGATGATACTTTGGGCGACAAGGCCACAGACAACGACAAAGAATTTTTGGTGAGTTCGAGTAGACATGGTGTGGAATGAGATATCTGACGAAGTGTTCGCGTGGAAGATGAGGCGGGAGCACGCAGACATTTTTATAGATCTCTTGCTTGAACATCGGCCATTCAAGCTTTGAATAATGTCGCGAGCCAAGGGCGATCCTATGATCGGCGGGTACGTCCGTATGCTGGTGAAGCAGAAGGATTCATTCCCGGAATGCCTCGGCAAATCCTGGTCCGTTAGAGGCTCTAGACTCCAACCAATGGTGCTCAACTTGTGGTATTCGCGATGTTCAATAGCTAAGACCTACTGGGACATGGAATCGCTTTGAGCTTGCGAAAGAGGTCCCGCGTATACGGGTAGTCCATTATATGTATTAAGGATACGTGTACCGTAATGTACAAGACAAGGCAAGAGAATTACGAAGACGCTGAGTGGTGATTCGTGCAGACTGGTCGCGATCCGAATTCTTTTGAAGGGACTGAGTGTTTGCCACAAGGCACAGCTAGACAGTCCGCCAGAGCTGCAGATCTGTACGGCGCAGAACATACAGATGGTGCATGACAGGCGGTCTGTGAACAGTGTCTTCAGGATTCGGCGGCTGCTCAATCTTCTCATGCCTTGCTATTGTCCAGAGCTCGCGCGGATGCGGCAATCCTTCTATGTTGTCTTCATCGCTCCAATGCGAGAAGCGTGAGGACGAGTAACTCAAGACAATCCATTGGCAACCAGGGTTCGCAAGGTACGCGAGGTGTACGGCTAGTATATCTGGAGGGAACACAGTTTCTATCGTCGTCGAAGAGGTGAATTGGGCCGCGCAGATATTGCCTATCTGATATGGTAGCTCGATCGTTACATCTTCGGCGCAAGTTATAGCGTCGGACGTGGACTTGTCGATAATAACATCGTATCTATCTCCTGAGGATCCAAAGTCCAAGATCTGCGATGCTGACAGGAGGTCCAGTGTCGACCAATGACTAGGTTCAGTCGCAGACGAAGGGCCCAGCAACTCGACTTCGCGCTGGCGATTGCGTTCTATGACCACGGACGAGTAATCCACATTGTAAATCTGCCTCGGTGAAACGACCAGTTTCTTGAGTTGTGTCGACAACGCTGAAGATCCACATCCGATGTGCAATATTTGGGGGCTGTCATCATGGCCAGAGCTCTCAGCGATGGCCTTCTTCAACCAGGATTCGAGAAGTGCGAAATCAGCCAACCAGTCAAATTGTTCTTCTTTGGTGAAGCGATTGTCCCAATATTCAACATCACCAAACGAATGGGTTGTTGACGGCATATTTTGCTGGCTTGACAAAACTCGTCATGAGGCTCTGCGAAAGGAAGTGGCTGCAAAGCAAGAGTGGCCAATTTTCTGAGGGTAGTGGGCCAAAAGTCTTGGTCATCATGTCCTCATGTCTGGGTTCCGCGATATCGCACCTCATCTGACACGCGCGGTGTCCTCGATTAGCAAGCTCTGAGATGTCCGCGTAGGTATGATCAACTGGTTCTATATCATGTGCCGGTGAGCCGCGATGTAACACGCGATGAAGGCAAGATACATGTTGCATCTTACCCGTCTCCAGAGGCGCAAGACTCTTCGTCCAAAGCACTCTGCTCTGCGACATACCAAGTTCAGGCACCGTTGAGCGCCATCAAAAATGTCGAACGACAAGGAACTATTCCAAAGCCTCTGTGACCTCGAAATTCCCAACGCAATCGAATTCTCTTCCGATGGCCGCGATGTCTTGTATTGGGCCGCACTGACGTGGGATCACCGTAAAGGCTCCTGCGCAGTTTCTACTCTCTGGCTTGCTGATCCTGCACAGGGAGGAAGACACACGGTGTGCGGTATCTAATGCTTGGGGTATGCGTCGAGCCCTCGAGAGTCAGAAGTTGCCGTTTGAGCTAGTCACATACCCTCGTCAAGGTCACATTTTCAGCGAACAGAAGTTCTGGATAGACTTGGCTCTGAGGCTCCGGAGATGGTGCGATATATACATTGGTTGAGAGGTTGTATTACCAGTATTGCAAGCTCTTCACTCACATGAGTCCCGATAGGTCTCATTGAACGTTGAGTGGTGTAAGAACATTTAATGATCACTACTCGTATCGTAGGGCATGAAGAACGATCGATCTGTTTATCGTGGGGTGCTTCGGTGGCTTGGACAAATTCGGTGATTTGAAAACTGACATAGCAGACGACAACACTGCAATGACGACCAAATCTCGTGCTATCTCGAAGACAGATGATAAAGCTTACTGGCCCTCAGTCGCGGCCATGATTGCCTGGATGACCCATATGTTTTCAGTATATTGGAAATAGTGGCCGCGAGGACAACCCTGACTTTGTATAACCGGGCGTCGGAGAAACAAAACTCCACTGACGCACTCGAATCGCGATCGCAACTGTCCATCCGGCCTGTATACACCTGTACAACGAAACGAAGAGTCTCGCCGCTTGACGATCGGAACGCCTGCTCATATTAGACGGTGACAAGTCAGCCAAAACAATGAGTGAATATTCGCAAATTGCATGCGAGATCTGCCGCACCAAAAAGCGCAAGGTAGGTCCACGCATAATATGATCAGCATTTGTTCTGTGCAAAAGTGCTTAATGGCTTCTGTTCTAGTGTGACCGCAAAATGTAGGTTTCAAACTGCATGTTGGTCGCGAAGCGACTGACATTGTCTAGCCCGACTTGTTCTCAATGCGTCCATGCCAGTCAGCCCTGTACATATCCAGGCACTAGTAAGAGGTAACAGACCTTTGCAAGCTATCATCTCGAGACGCTGACAATGATCGTCAATCCNAGAGGCTTACCATCCGGCTATATAGCAAGTATCGAAGAGAGATTGGCTCAAACAGAAGCGGCATTACTACAGGCTCTTTCTATAATCTACGCATCCCAGATAGATGGGTCTGAACCGTTTCCAGCCACGACCGAAAGGCCTCGTGATATGGAGTACAACGAAGTCAGAATCGCTAAAGTCGAAGAGTGGCAGGGATATCCTCTGGATACGGAGGAACATCAGCGAAACTGGATGCAGTATAAACTCGCTACAGACCCAGCGCAAATCGTGTTGACGACTTCAAAGCATCAAGCAGATCATGCTAGTCAATCGAGCGACAAGCGACAGTCACAAGGACACCAAACACGGAAACGGCAGAAGACCGCACAGGAGTGGCGAGGAATCAGAGACACTTCGGAAGACTGCAGGCCAGGATCCGATCCAGACGCAGTGCCGCTCACACGACCACGAGCCTCGCAGGGAAACGGCGATCTGACGACAAACATGCATCAAGGCGAGCTTCCTCATCATGATGACGAGACCGGTATATCGACACCTTGGCGGCAAGGCACTACCACCAGGTCCTCAGAATCGTATCGTGCCTCGGATGCGTCGCGTGTGCCCATGACAGGAGATGTCTACAGCGTGGAAGTACTTCCTCCCTCGGATCAAATCACGAGCAAAGCCAAGAGGCTTAGCACCTTGCACTCACGGAAGTACTTCTGACCTTTCATCTTGGTCACCCAAGTCATCTTGGCCTACGCAAAGGTCATGTAAACCGAATATCTAGATTTTGTGCTTCAAGCGAATTCTATATGTTAGGGATCGAAATTTAGGAGAGACGAGTATTGATCATCACCCATCCAGAACGGAATATCGAATTGTTCGAAGAGATTAGCGCTAGTAGCCGCAGCTGCGTCGGCTCCGGATAGCCAAGGTATAGAGAGCTGTGGTTCGAATGCTGATAGGGATGGACCTAACATATTCATGGCGTGATCCGAGAGACTGTGTTGGTTATCCGTCACACTTGACCCGGTGAGCGGCTCCAAGTTGCCACTGTGACGTGGCGCTGCGTCTTGATGAAGTATGTTTGAGTTAGTGTTCCGCCGAGGATCAATATTGTGTTGCTGCTCTGTATGGTTTGTGTCCATCAGTGGGGACTGCGGCGTCGTGACAGTGGAGTCCAAGAGCAGTCTCAGAAACAGATCATTGATAGCAACCGCGCAAACATTAGGCCAAACACTTCCTCTCAGCGCCAGGTGCCTGAGAATCTCCACACTGTTATCCGCAAGGTTTCTTGCAACATGCTTCGGCATCTCGCCTTCGATTGCTGCATGAAGCACGATGAATGAACTCATCCACACGCACCACGTCAATGATGGCCATAGTAAGGGTGCTGTTGATGGTCCATCAGACCGCTGAATCAGTCGGTAGAAGAGGTACTTGTAAAGGGAGGAGATGATGATGTTAGAGGCACGAATACAAGTCTGTAAAGCGGCCATATACTCTGGTGTATGCTTTTCCAATGCAAGCAGAGGTCGATTAAGTGATATGATTAATTCATGTTGCGAAACCAAAAGGACGACCTCATGTAGTGTGCCGAAACGACCTGGTTCATTGTTCTCGGCGGCATCCAGAACGTACTGTAGATCGTTGGCCCACTTATCAATTCTTGCTCCAATTAGCGTGGCGAGATCTCGGTTGGCAGTTCGCAAATGAATGGACTTGTTGCGAAGCTCCACGATCTGACCTTTGATCGAAGCATGCTTGGTCAGGAAGTTTAGTGTTCTCAACCGATCATCCATGATTGTTTGGTGATGGCCGCCAGTTGCATGTTTCTCCTGGTCGAAGTAACAGACGTCCACATCATCGTCGCGGATGGTCAGTGGCAGGCCCAAAGACTGGCAAAGATGGCGATCGATACAGTATATTGTCCAGAACAGTCGACGACGAAGTTGAGCTTGTTCAGTGTCAAAGTTTGCATACCTCGTGGGGCATCTGTGCAAACCCATTTGGAAGGCCATTCGTACAATCATACCGCCTAGTCTTGATGCCCCGTTAAGACGTAGCATGGAAACGAGGAAAAGCTGTACTGAGACGACCGCTTGTAGTGCTTCAGTGGAGCATGGCATGAAAAGCATGTCCTGTACGCTTTCCATGGCTTCTCTGAAGGACGTGAAGACCAGGCATGCCGGGATCAGCTTCTTGGACTGCTTTCCTGATTGCCTGCGGTCGGCAAGAGAGATTGACATCACAGAGCGCAGAAGTGTAAGCTGTGGAGTTCGCTGCTCGCATAGTCTCCGCAAATTGTCTGGTCGAACGTGTTGCTCAAGATATTCGAGCATTGTGGGTGCATGTACAAAAGGGTAAGCAGTGTGCCAATTCTCGAAGTAGCTCTCGCTCCACGTCTGCAGATCATCGAAATCAAAAGCACCGGGCTCCACAGCGATCATTTGTGTTTCGTCGGAGGACCAGATGGGCTTTGAGCTGTATGGGACTGCATCATCCAGCTGATCCTCTTCACCAGGCACGATGTTCTGATCGGGCGTCGCGGGTGGTAGTCGCACGCGCGACTTTGCTAGAGCGTGATACACAGAACGAACGAAGTGAATGCCACTCGAACTACCCACAAAACTTGGTGCATTCGCACTTTCGTTTTGTCTCATCAAGCCAATCTCACGTCGCTGACGATCTTCTGATTCACGTCGGCGCCTCTTTGATGGAGGCCCATCGGCATTGCCATCAGCTCCCGATTCCAAGATGGATGGTCTCGTTTGTGTGTGACTTGATTCATCTGGCATCGATGGCGCCTGGTGAGTAACAAAGAAATCAAAGAAAGGAGGATGAAATGTAGAGCTGTTGGTGGCAGCTTGTTCGGGAAAGTGTTCGTCTGCGCGGCTGCCGTGTTGGCAACAGGTCTTGGCCTCGCTGTGTCACTTCCTTGTTCTCTTCTCTCCCCACCTGTTCGAGGAAACAGAAAGCTTGACTCAACAAAACCTCTTCACACACGCCAACAACATCATGCCGCCGCCGCCAGCACCACCCAGACCATTGCCTTCAGGCATGAATGTTAGGACTCTCGGCATGATGGCTGTCGTCTATGTCGTTGTCGCTGCCACCTTAACTGCGAAGCCTGATGAAGATTTCAGCTACAATACGGCAATTGTCGGCATCATCAGCTATATCATCGTCGAGGGCGCATCCCTGCTCAGCGAAGCTTTGAGAGTGTATTCCCTTGCTCATGACGGGAATGGTGCTCAGGCTCAACCTGTTTACGTGGGATACTTGACAAAAACTCTCGCTGGCATGATCATCTTTGGCGGCGCTTTTGGGAGAGTTGACGTAGCTTGGGAGGCTGTCAGCATGCTTCGAACCTACCTTTCTCAGCTGCAATCAGTATTCAGCGGCAAGCCTTGACTATGGACGACCCACCTTACGACGCTGAACACGTCTCGATCTCTTCGACAGTCGCACTAGTAAACAGAAACTCTCGCCATGCCATTCTCGACATGCTCATTTCGCATCTCGAGCATACGGAGCACTGTGCGCACTTTCCCCGCTGGTTCTATGTTTGCAGAACTTTAATTTTGGATAGTGGCTTGCAACGGTCGAGCTGGACCGAGGCAGCAGGCAAGCCGTGTCTGGCAAGGAGGGGTTCAGCTGATGAGAGATGGAGCTCTACAAAGCCTCCAGGTTGGACTTCTAGATATTTGGATCCAAGCGAAATTCGTTTTCTAGATATCCAAGATTCCATCTTCCAACTTCGTCGACACGCGAACATATTTGGGAAAATCATTATCAAACATGGCGTTTGCGTACGACCCTAACCCAAGCATCGGGCGAGCGACCTTGATGGATAAGCTACAATGCTTCGCACTCCTGCTTGTCTTACCTTGGGCGTGTTTCGAGGTGCTTTCACGAAGGGCTGTCTGGACAAATAATGATCTCAGTCTCAAGGCCGATTTCATTTGCACCTTCCTTCGCTTGTTTGTTTCATTATAGCATCAAGTTAGTCTCAATCGCTGACAAACAGCACAGNNGGCACAACCCTACCTGCCAATGAGCATACTGTGAGATGTAACAAAAGATTCAGAACCCAAGTTTGCAACTTCTCGACGCTTCGCAAACAACAAAAAAGAGCTATACGANAAAGTATCTCGAAAGGGATTTTCTGGCCACTGGATCTGTAAAGGCTACCCTGGAAAAACTACCGCGGCTTCCAATGTAGACTTGGTCCTTTTCTACCTCCACGGCGGAGCCTATCAGATCGGCCACCCAGCCTCTGCTATTGCACCATTCTTGCGTATCGCGGAACTCCTAGACAGGAAAGGCATATCCATCGCTGTCTTCGCGCTCGACTACTCCTTGACACCAGAAGCACAGTACCCTACTCAAGTCAACCAAGCAAAAGCTGCCTACCGCTACCTGCTAGAGGACCAGAATATCGACGCCGCAAAGATTGCTCCAATCGGGGATTCTGCAGGCGCGCATCTGATTCTGAACTTACTTTCCAATTTGGCGGACGAACCATCACTCCCAAAACCTGGAGCTGGCGTGTTCCTGATCGCGCCGTGGATTGATCTGCGATGTTCCAGAGATGGCTCATTTGTTCGCAATCGAGACAGCGATTATCTGCTCCGTGATCGTCTTATTCGGGCCGGACTCCAAGTCATGCCGCGTCACCTTGATGCTACAGTGCCTCACATCATCGACTTTTCCCTACCTCGGCCTGACAAGCAGTCCTGGGCACAGACACTACCTAACAAGGTGTGGATGGGTATAGGCTCCAAGGGAGTCTTGCTAGACGACGCCATCGCTTTCGTCAACCGTGTCGAAGCTGATGGGATGAATGTTGAGTTCCAGCTTGATAAAGGCAAGGTACACGACTGGCAAATAGTCGAGGATCTCTTGGATGTTGACCAGTATTTCGCTACAATTGGTGAGGTGCCTCAGGGGTTGATGAAGGGAGCTGCGAACATTGCAGAAGCTATCTTTTCGGCGAAGTCTTGATTGCCACGTTCATTGGTTTTGTTGTGGTCACTTCATAGCCCATTATACCTAGTGCTCCAGCGATGAGTCGACTTCTGGCTAACACAAATTCGATATGTTTTAGTCACATGTGGTTAATACAAAAGGGAATTCCACCAAGGACAGATCAGTTTTACCCATTTTCTGAGATGCGCCGATGTAGAAACACAGATTTTAATAAAGCGACAAAGTACAGTCCATTGCACGGAAGAGAAAAAAACTTCTCAGAGGAAGAAAAAACCATTTCCAGCGCAGCAGAAACAAACAACAAGACTCCTACAGCCACACCATGACAGCTCAAACCTTTGTAGCATCAACACCTCTGTCTTGACAATACTTAGCAACCTCCTTTGCCAATTTCTTCTTCTGGTCCACCGCATTATCCATGATATCCTTGATCAAGTCGAATTCCTTCTTGGTCAAGGATGCCTGAGCACCGCCACCACTCCAAACACCTTCAGCAAGCACAGCCCAAAGACCAGAGCCCTTGCAGACATCTTCCATCAGCTGCATCACTGCCGAAAGCTGGTTGGGCAGCCATGTAATGATGGGACTGCCGCCAGTGGCGACGGGGTGCGAGGTGCGCTTGATGATGTACTCGCGAGTGAATTGCCAGTGGCGCCAGCGNNGGAAACTGCGGATGTGGTCGAGTACACGCAGGTACAAGACCACAGCACTGAAGTCGCCGGTGTTGGTAAGGAAGTCGCGAACGCCGACCTCAGCAGCTTTTTCACGGATGGTGGTCAAGAACTCGCGGTGAGGCTTTGGTCTGTATTGACGGAATTCACGAAGAATATGGGTGAGTGGGTTCTCGGGCATGGGGATCTCGCACACGTGGTCGAGGAGAGGGATGATACTGTCATTTGCACCAGATTCTCCACGGAAGAATTGAGGTTTGTCGTCATATTGGCCCTCGTAGATGACCCCGTCAGGGAACATGGACTGGTTGGTGATGCCGTAAATGAAAGTGCGGTAGGTCATGTAATCCTTTGGCAAAGAGTTGGCCCACATCTTCTCCATGTTCGCTTCGATGATAGTCATGGCTTGGAGGATAGACTGAAGGCCAGCTTTAGCGTCAGCAATAGCATGCTCATCTTTCTGCTCGTTGCGGGCTGCAGAGACTGCGTCAACGACATTGGCAGCTCCTTCGATCAATTTGCCAGTCTGAGCAACCATATGAATGTGAGTCAGAATGAAACCAGCTTCGGAGGACTTTGGGTCGAGACCCTTCTCAAAAGCACGGATCAGACGCAGGTTGGAGTAGTCGTCGTGGCCCTTCGAAGGATCAACGAGGTAGTAGTTGTACAAAGCATAAGAAGCAGCGTACGACATAAAGGCAGGGATGTCAAGNNACTAATCGCAATTAGCATAGAACACATCGTGAGATATGACAACGACTTACATTTCAGCACACTTGACAAGAGGCCCAGCAATACACTTGGGCAAGACTGGACGACCAAGCCCATATCCATCCTCGGCATTGTTGCTGTATATCTTCCAGCAAGGCTCGAGTAGGTAGGACGATGCGACAAAGCTATANNTAGATCAGTATCTACATGACTGAACACACAAAAGAATCACTCACGAGTAGTCGCGGAAGGCAGCAGTGATAGCAGCCATGTCGATCTCCTTGGTGCCAGGAACAACAAGATTGTCAATCTCGGCAGTGAGGTCAGGCAATGCTCCAGAATCAATCAGTGGACCAAGCTTGAAGGTTGCAAGCAGACCAACGGTTCCATCCTCCTTGAGAATAGGCATGTCATCAAGAATATCGCTCAGTGCATCAAAGGCTGTGGGCAGTCTGCGGAGTGGCAGATGAGTAGGGAGATAGCCATTCTGGGCAGTAATGAGGAAAGGATCAGAGCCGGCAGGCAGCTCAGAAGGATCATGAGGAATAGAAAGAGAAGAAGGTTGAGTAATGATACCAGGCATGATTGGTAGCGTTGAAATCGCAAGAAGTCAGATTTGTTGCCTTGAGTGGTGAAAAGGGAATTTGGAAGATGTGGGCGAAGCGAAGCCCTTTTGTTCTCGTGGCCGGAATGATTCCCTCTGATAAGGACAGAACATTGTTGAACGAGGAGGCATTCCGGCCTCAGACCCACTTACCATCGCTCTGTCGGCGACATGGTCGACATGGTATACAAACGCGGCAAAGTGCTTGTTCGGCGGGGCTTTTGGCAGATAACATGTACCATGTCGAAAAACCTACAGAAGCAACCTGGACTCATGACACCAGTCATGTGGCCCACAAGAGCTGCGGTTGTTGGCATGTGTGAAATAGATGTTCTCCGTGGCCGGAATTTGGACCTCTCGAGCCTCTAAGGCTTCGTGTTTCTTGCCAAGAGGCCGGAATGCAGCGCTCTCAGTCATCGTCGGCGACGTTGAGGTCAAGCACGTGACCCTTGGCAAACGTGGGCAACTTTCGAGACGAAAGTTCCAGGGAACCTCGAGAGACCTGTATAGATAAGCACAGCCGGCAGTAACATGCAAAGGCTCGCTCTCCATATGCAGCACGCTGTTTCCACGCGACTGTAACGATGCACAAGTCTATGCATGTCGGCAGCATGTCCAGCGAGAGTCGCTGCTCCATGATGTCCCTTATCCGCACACACAGGATCCTTGAACCCTCGAACGATCAGCCCTGCCGTACCACCTCGATTCCCGTCCGACGTATTTCTCAAGCACGGCTCTTCGTTTCAATCAGTAGGTCGCAGGACAAGAAGCGAGAAGGTCGTGAGCAGGAGCCAAGCCTCCACAAGGAAGCGTGAACAGCTCAATGAGATTGATCTGTGGGACGCGCTCGAGGCTGAGAAGGGTCACACGAGATGGTATCAGCCGAAAAGGAGGACAGACCCCTTGTAAAGAGAAAAGAGTCTGTGCAAAGAGCAGGAGAGATACAAAAGAGGAAGAGACGATGAGAGGCGTCTGGAAGCTGCAGATAAGAAAGATGGAAGAGCAATGGCGACTTACGACTTGCGACAGATGCGTTTGAGCGAACCGAAGTGCGTGCATACTTAGAGAAGCCAGAGGCGAGTAGATGTCTTGTCAGATGAGTAGGAATACCGGATGTCATTAATAGAGCCACGCTTGTGGCGATCGTGTGAGTTTGTGGTCGTATACGCTCTCAGACTCACAGCATGAGCAGGTTGTCTGCCCCCATCGCCAGAACCAGTACCAGTATCCAGTTGATTTTGGTTGTGGTGGATGTGACTTCTTCGCTCTTCAAGCTGCGGTCGAGTCATGCGCTCGCGCACAATTGTTCTGTGGAAGACACGAAGTTCTCAACCAGACCCGCGACTTACTTATTATTCGTCTGACTCGAACACTCCTTCCTGAAAGAAACAAGGCCGCAGCGATGTGCCCAGACATTTCGGACGGAAGCCACGCCCTGCTTGATCACAACGTTACGCCCTGCTTGACATGACTCCTCCACCACGCCCTGCTTGACATCTGCTTCTACGCCTCAATTGGCACAAACCCCTACGCCCTGGTTGACCACACGAATTTTTCTCACATAGTTATATAAGAGGCACTCGCCCAAATAGAATGGATTACCATATCACACTTTACTCTCTCGCCACAATACGATGCACGACCAAGAAAAGCGACCTCACACAAATCGTGTGACCCATATCTCATCAGATACCCGCGACTCTTCTATTTCAATGACAAATGAAGCCGACCTTGTCTATCCCCCCTCAAGACGGTGGTAAAGGAGCCTGGATGTTTCTTTTCGGCGCCTGTATCATCGAGATAACAGCATGGGGTATGTGCGATCTCGTTTATCTCCAAATATAACCTCAGCTCGCTGACTGTTAGTANGGCTTTCCATACTGCTATGGTGTCTTCGAAGCATACTTCAACAGTCATCCACCCTTCCAGGGCCAGAATCTCGTCTCTACAGGCGGTGTTTTGTCGAATGGCGTCTTGCAGTTGTCTCTGCCTCCTGTCATGTATTATGTGAACAATTTTCCCAAGCATCGCGTGCCAGTCATGTGGCTTGGGTGTCTGATTTGTACATTCTCTGCGATTGGTGCGGGTTTTGCAAGGACGGTATGTCTGAATCAGCTTCTAGTTTGCCTCTTCTCGGCTAACTGGTGACTCAGNCCACTGCAACTCATCATGGCAATTGGCTTGTTGTACGGCATTGGAGCTGGGATGTTGTTCGGTCCTTCGATTCATCTGATGGCCGAATGGTTTAAGGTAAAGAAGAGTCTAGCATACGGTTTCATGTGAGTCTGCGAAACCTGTTGGTGTCAACCACCCGCTGATACATTTATAGTNTGTGCGGCTGGCGTAGCGACAGGAGCAGGACTGCCACCTGTCTATACAGTCTGCCTGAACCATTACGGCTACAAAGTGACACTCATCGGATGGGGTCTCATGACTTTTGTCGTCACATCCCTCGGACTGTTGTGCGTACGTCCTCGCTTGCCAGATTCGGCTAAGCCGCCAGCCCCTTCGATGAGAGACTTTGACTTTACAAAGAAACCACTCTTTCTCATCATGCTCCTCGCAACGATGGTACAAGCCATTGCCCATTACGGCCCGAGTCTGTATCTGCCTTCTTTCGGAGCCGACCTTGGAGTGTCCGCTTCAGAAGCGGCCATGCTTGCCAGTCTTCTGGATCTAGCCCAGGCTATCGGACAGCCTTTGCAGGGATGGCTTGCGTAAGTCTGACCAAATGTCGCCGCCAATCTTACACTGACCGACAGCATAGTNGACTGGCGCAAATCCTATTACATCCCCATGCTCATCGGTACCATTGGCGCAAGCCTCGAGGCTCTCCTGATTTGGGGCTTTGCTCGCTCTCTCTGGTCGCTATCCATTTTTGCGCTAGCATTCGGCAGTACTGCAGGTGGATTCGCTGTACTGCGACATCGTTTTGCAGCCGAAATCGTAGGCGATCAAGACGAGCAGGACAACCAGAGTTTGCTTGTGTTTGCTATCCTGACAGCAAGTCGTGGTTCTGCAATCATTGGTTCGGGCTTCATCATGAAAACTTTCGTGCACGAGGGCTGGTCGAACAAAGGTTGGGGAGGAGGTCCGGCATGGTCGAGCCTCGTAATTTACACTGGCGTCATGATGTTCGCTGCGAGTTTCGGTGCAGTCGGCATGTTCGTGAGTCCAACTAGGCGATATAGTAGAACAAAGGGTCCATGCAGCGACGGGCCACTGAAATGTAGCGTCAACAACAGCGAAGGCGAACTTGCCCGAACTTGCATGGAGTTTCTGTTCAGCACGACGCAATGCCAACACTCAATCAATAGTCTCGATTCTGGGTTCGATTTCGCTTTGAGCTTTGTGCGATGAGTCAAGGCTCTGAGCCCAAGGTAGCAGTAACCCATCATAAAAGATATTTTCATGCTCGTCTTCCCTCGGTCCATGGCCATGCGATTGTGGTTTCCAGCGCGACAAGAGGCCAACCAAGCTGTACTCCCAGAGTTTTTCGAAACACCCACTCGGCAACGATCAACGCTTCTCCCAATAGTCCCGCGTCAGGCCAGGGACCAGAGATTGTTTCAAACGGCAATGCCTCCTGAAGAGGAACACGCAAGGCAGAGAAGCGTCGATATGCCTTTGGTATAGGTCCATCATTCTGGAACAAGACAAACAGCGCGGAAGATTGTTGTTCTTGCGTCAAAGAAGGCATCGCAATTCCGAGGTCATGGTATACTTCGAGGTCTTCAGCTGTGGTCTGTTCCTGTCCTTCAGTCAAGCATGTCAAGATATCAAGGCTGTATGCTTTTTTGAAAAAATCCAGCCACTCCGGGTTGTCGGCTGCAGTGTTGATATCAGCAGTAGTGGATCCATAAGTGAGGAGACGAGCTTCATCCTGCAGGTCTTGATCTGAAACGGGATGACTTTGTGATGTTCTACGCTTGATCAAGCGATGCAGACCTGCCACGAGAAACTCCCAAGATCTGGTGTGTGGGGNAGCAGGTCCTCGTTTTGCATTAGATGCGCTGAAAGGAAACGGACGCAGACGTTCAAGGCCAATGAGGAATGGTGGCATGGCTGCCGTAACCTGAGCGGATACCGCGCAATCAAGTCCTCTACAACCCTTCCAGATACCCATATGGTAGCCGTCTTTGAAGTGGTTTGCGAGATGTTCGTTCCTTTTGTTCCACATCGTAAAGCGCTCGCCACAAAAGCCACAGCGGCTGTTGACCCAGACTGCCTCCAGAAGCCAGCCCTCCATATGCGGNNGAAGCATATCGCATTCATGCACAGAGCACAGATGCTGACGTAGATGGTCTTTGCGAAGGAAGATTCTAGCTTTGGGGTCTCTTGATTAGCAGTAATCATGGTTGTGGGTTGCGATGTGTTCTGGAGTCGGTGACACGAGGGTGCAGTAGGCGCAGATATGATTGCCAGTGTTTGCGCATTGCTGTACAGCAGAAAAGGGACAACATATGTAGCGCTTCAGCGGGAGATGACAAGAAGTTTCGTGTCTAGTCCAATCGTACTTTGTGCCAAATGTGTCCGTACAGAAAGTGCATTGAAATCTTTTCTCCCGAAGCGATAGAGTGGCATCTTCCCCAGAAACACTCAACTCCAGAGCGCCTGATCCAATTTGTATTGAGTCCGTTAGGAGCTGAGGTATTGAAGCTGTCGTATTCTTGGTTGCGCGTCTAGCTTGCTTCCTGCGGCGATAATTTGCAAACCAGGTGTTCAGCTGCCGGGCGTCCAATCCCGTCAGCTGTTGTAGACTTTCCTTTTCAGCAGCGGTCGGATACGGATCATCCTGATGTTCATGAGTCCATTTTGTCAATATTTCCGAGACGGCAGGTGAATGTCGAAGCAAATGTCGCGCTGTCATGTTTTCAGCTCCGTCTCACAACTTCCACGCGGTCACTATGCATTGCTACAGCTGATATCGGTCGGACGGGCTATTCGGAGACTCATGGCAAGTCGAAAGCGAAAACCTACGAGCATAAAAGGGTGAGTGGTCCAAGTATGGAAGTCATCAGAAGAGGGTGTTTCTGTTATGAGATGCGATTACGAATGAGATTCTCGACGTGGGGAGGAAGTGGCCCATGCGCGGGCGTCAATGTCTCGAATTATTGTGCGCACAACACACATAGAACTTTCGTTCGCATTGTCGCTATGATATACTGTGGCATGATACTGTCGCGGGTCGCTAACGGACGAGTAACACATCTGGACCTGTGGATTACTACGGAGTCGACTTGGACCTACAGATGCTTTGTCAACCGTCGTATCCATTCGCATCGCCCAAGCCCTCAGCAGCTTCCGCACCCTTGCGATACATGTCCTTGAGGTCTCTAGCCAAGTGCTCAGGCTTCTCCCAAGCAGCAAAGTGACCACCGGTGTCATAATCGCTCTCGAACACGACCGGTCCCATCTCCCTCACCCATGCCTTTGGAGACGTCTCCATGTCTTTCCAGTTGTACATGACGCCCAGCTTGACACGCGGAACATGACCAGTCGCCGCCGCCATGATACTCATATCATCACCACCTCTTGCATCGTGCTTGGCCTCATAGTAGATGCGAACATTGGCTGCAGGTCCAGCAGTCGAGAACCAATACAAAGACACCCAAGTCAAGATCTCGTCGGGAGTCCAGGGATAGTCGTCAGTCCACTCGTGGAGCTTCTCGAGAATCCAGGACAGCAAAAGAGTTGGAGAGTCTTGGAGTCCATAACCCAGAGTTTGGGGTCGAGTGCCTTGCTCGGTGCTGTAGCCGGCTCCGTCTGCCCGGAACTTGGCTAGTCGCTGTAGAGCTTGGTATTCTTGCTTGCTGAATGATGACTTGTCGTTCAAGGCAGCAGTAAGGTCCTTGTCCATGGCTGGTGGGGTCATGTTGACATGTGAAGCTTTGCATGCTTCAGGGTAGAGGTGGCCCATCGTTCTCGTGATCCAGAAGCCCCAGTCTCCGCCTTGAGTTGNCTGCACAGTGTCAGTGTCCTGATGACGCGCCAGGGCGAAGGTACGCTTACCATACTGTGTGTAGCCCAGCTTCAACATCAGCTTGTGGCACACCTCTGCGTACTGCGCAAGCCCAAATCCTCGCTTCTTGACTCCTTGCGAGAATCCAAAGTTGGGAAGTGAAGGTGCGACAACATGGAAAGCAGGCGCATCGTCTTTGGTATCAGCCAGTAATGGCAACACCTTCGACACCTCGGTGAAGTTTCCAGGCCCTATTTGATCATCAGCAAGTTTGCTCAAGCACGAACGCCGACAGTACTAACATCCATGGCAGAACAGAAGAGGAACAGCATTCTTGACCGAACTCTTCTGATAGAGGAAGTGTATTTGCGACTCGCCGAACCCATCGACTTCAATGCCGGTCATATGGTTCGGCAGCTCATTCAGTTTTGTTTCGTGTTTGCGCCAGTCATAGTCGTTTTGCCAGTAAGTGATGAATTTCTTGACTTCGGGCAGAGATGCGCCGTAATCCCAGCCAGCGTCATCGAGCTCGTCTGGCAGGTCAATTACAGCGAGTTTTTGCTGTAGGCGATCGATTTTCGCCTGAGAGACTGAGATGGTATAGGGTTTGACGTTTGACATGTTGTTCAATGCGATTTGATCACAGTGATTGACTGATCTGCAATGGATATGGTGAGTGTTTATATCATGTCGAGTGCTGGGGTGATGCGGGGAATGTTTGCTGGTCCTCCATGCCAAGCTGCATTGCTCACACACAGATTACAAAGCATCCTCAGGCAACAATCACTCGACGCGTCAATTGTCTTGTTCGGGTCTCGACGTATGCCGCTGTTGCACAGGTGTGGGATCGATAGAATGTAGCTCGATGCCCAATCGGTTGTCAAAGCTTCGAGTAGATGACTCATGTATGAGAAGCCAGGCAAGTACAGCCTCCATCACAGCTCCTTTGGGACGCCCTTACACTTCTGTTCCATGTTGTCTTCTCTCTGGGCTACATCTTGATTTTGTTCGATCCTTGCTGCACGTCATCACATACAGCGACACCGCATATTGGAGGTGGGAGGTGGTACAAACTCAACTTCCCGCCTTCGACAATGACTGAATGTATTGGAAGCAAGTCGAGGTTAGGCATGACAGTGCTGGAGAAAAACAGTTTGAGTCGTGAATGATTGGTAAGAAGGGTCAAGCTGCACGAGCCTGAAATTTACATTCCCATGCTTGAATCGGCTGTCTCTATGGAGCAATGGCTGATATAAACAGTATCGTGCATTTATGCATAGCTTTTCTTGATCTCCTCGCAGACTGCATCGGTTACCTCCTTTGTGGTTGCTTGACCACCCAAGTCGCGCGTCAGGATACCGTTCCCGCACACGTTCTCCATGCATTCGAGCAATCTGTCCGCAGCGACTTCTTCACCCAACCATCGTAGCATCTCACTCGCAGTCCAAAACGTTCCTACCGGATTGGCAATGCCTTTTCCTGTGATGTCGAAAGCGGAACCGTGGATCGGTTCAAACATACTGGGGTTCTGGCGTGTGGGATCGAGGTTGGAGGTTGGTGCTATGCCGATTGAACCTGCGAGTGCTGCAGCTAGATCGGACAGGATATCCGCATGCTGTTCATTGAGTCAGTTGTCTGCTCTTTGCTGGGCGAAATCGCAACTCACAAGATTTGTAGCGACAATGGTATCTAGCGATTGTGGCTGTAGCACCATACGGCAGGTCATCGCATCCACCAACATCTTCTCGACTTTGACATCGGGAAACTCCTTTGCGACTTCAGCTGCAATCTCATCCCACATGACCATACCATTCCTCTGTGCATTGCTCTTGGTGACCACTGTGATGTGTTTCTTGTCTCTCTTCTGCGCAACCTCAAACGCAAACTTGATAAGTCTGGTCACGGCGTGCCGAGTGAAGATGCTAACTTCGGTCGCCGTTTCCCAGGGCTGGCCTTTGTGGCTGCGACCTCCTTGGCCGGCATATTCGCCTTCGCTGTTCTCGCGGATAATAACCCAGTCAAGATCGCCGGTCTTCGCTTTGCGGAGGGGTGATTCGGTGCNCACTTAAGGTGAAGATACAGTTAGCATGTTTCTTGCGTATGGAAGGTATAAGCAGCAGTCGAAAAGCCACCTGATGGGTATTGGGGCCATCTGATGTCGGTTCACATGCTATTTGTACCATTGCCTTACGTACCGGAGGATTTTCGTTGGACGAACGTTCGCGTATTGTTGAAAGCCTTGACAAATGGCTAGACGCAGACTCCAGAGTGAGATATGATCAGGGACATCNNTATTGTAATACATTAGTCGAGATTCGTCCCCATTATATCGAAGAAATTCAGTAAGCTTACCTGGAGCACCCACAGCACCAAAAAGAATCGCATCATGCTTTTTCAAGTCTTCCAATCCATTGTCTGGAATGTATTTGCCAGTGTTCTTGTACGTTTCAGAACTCCAATCGTAGTGTTCAAAATCCAGAGTAAATGATTTGCTCGCCGCGCTCAAAGCTTCGAGCACTTTGACTCCAGCATCGATGACTTCCGGCCCAATGCCGTCGGCAGGTATGCAAGCGATCTTGTAATTCGTGCTAGGCATATCGTTTCAGCAATTCTATATTCGGTGATTAGTGACTTTGCGAACTGCGAACACATAAATATTTATGTTTGTCTGGTTTAGGAGGGGTAGAGTGGAGTTGTGTTTGTCCGCCGGACTTGTCTTTGTTCTCGGTGAGGGGGATGAGGGGTAGATTCTCTCCACACGCTTCTACGTTGGTGCCAGTTCGTTCGGCCACGATTTGCGGCTGAAGCCTAAGAGGCATGCGGCTGAAATTGGCGACTCTACAGAGCCGCAATGTCGACCAAGCAGAGTACCACTCCAATTGACCTACTTGATTTATCAAAATTGTCTCGCGGAGGTGACATGTTGCCTCGATCGAAATTGAATTAGCGGACCAGAACTTGTGACCGCTGTGAGAGTTGTGAGAGTATTGAGGACCTGAGCTGCGTCCGAGCAGGAGCTCATGCAGCTTCGGCGACTTGACCTGAAATCAAACTGTGAAGTTGCATTGAGAAAGACCACGGCGTACCCGTAATCTGCAGCTCAGGTGCGTGTGCGAGAAGCTGTCAGCCTTCTGCAGGCTCATCGTCGCGCCTGCTTCGAAAGTGCACACCGCTGTCCAATGCAGCAAGCGCGATCTGGCAGACTTGCAGGAAAGCGGTCGGTCTCTTTCCTGGCTTGCTGGCTGTCAATGCTTGTGCACTGCAAGTCTTTCATCAATCCAAGGCAGCAGTGCCCTTGTGTTGTAGAAGGCAGTCGCTCAATCACCTCATCCTCAGACGGCCAAACGTCACGTCGCTTGCAATCACCTCAACCACCCACACCATGACCACTACACTCTGTAGGATCGCATGACAAAGACGATTGCATCTGTCTTTTGCTAGCTTGTTGTCTCTCCGTATTGCACATCTTGCCAATAGTAAACAGATCGACCAGGATTCATGATGTCAAACCACAAACATCGAGAAGCTTCAGGCCCCTGCATGAAGCACTTACCACGCAAACAGCATCACGAGGGACTTCATCGTCAGGTCAATAGTGGAGCGAAAACAGCGCACTAAACTGCAAACTGCATGTTCATCTTGTTCGGTGTTGCCCACGCGGCTGAAGAAGCTGAAGAAGAAGCGATTGAGTTCAAACTGTTCAACGAGATCTGGAGAACGGTGGAGACCCATGCGGCTGTGATGATGTTGACACTTTTTTTCTGGCGTCGATTCGGCGCGTCATCATGGCGCGTGCTCGGCCGGGATTGCGAAACCACTTTACGCTCGATTGGGACTGTAATAGCGTCGTTTGCCACAATGAAACAGAAACAACCCTGATGGCGATATCTGATCGTGATGGAAGATCACTCTACGATCGCGACCAGGCAATGCTCAAAGTACATGCATACTGGACAAGTAATACGCACTGGAAGTAATCAGCAATTTGTCTCCTTTTCGCTGGCTTCAAAACGAGCTGCAGCATGCTATAGGAGATTACCTTGCCCTGTCAACAAAGGATCGAATCTGATGCGTCTAACGCGGGGCTTCATCACGGCGATGACACGCTCCAGGAGTTCAATCAACGCTGCTTCCGGTAGAAGATCAGCTGTATAAGCGTCATTTCCAACAACCAGATCTCGATCCACACAGGTACGACGCAAGCACGATCTGTGGGGAAAGCTACCCGCCTGCATGTTCCACTTAACGCTTTGCTCAATAATGCTCATCCTTTACACTTTCTGGCATCATCAGCTCATCTCACTTGCGAACTTCTGACGCAAACCGAAGGAGGATCTTGTCTTTGCATGGCTGACAAGTGATCAAGCTGCTAAGCGAGCAAAGCGATGGAAAGACGTATAAGTACCTCGTCCTCTGCTGCCTCTACCTCTCCTTCTTCATCAACAACCAAATCACTTCGCTCTTACAGCTTCTCGCACAATCTCACTCCACATCGCACCACTTCAGAACAAAGTCTTTACTTTATTCAATCTATCAATATGTCTGGAACCTACAAGCCCACTGAGCACGGCGGTCTCAAGGGTACGACTTCTTCTGCCTTTTCATACATATCCAGTGGCTGGAAGCTGACATGATTACAGAGGACGGAACTCCTGACAAGAGAGTCGGAACTGGTCAATTCGCGCAGGGCGCTGTCGATCCCCACGAGGCTGGCAAGCAGGGCGGCCAGGCTGGTGGCAGCTCTGAGGGATCTACTGGCTCTTCTGGTGGCTCTTCCGGCGGCAACGGTCGTAAGTATCTCGTTTTCAACCATTTTACACCTACTGACAACCTCTACAGAGTTCGCCGGCGGCAAGGTCGATCCAGTTGAGGCCGGAAAAAGGGAGGCCAGACCTCTCACTAAGTGCATACCGTCGAGGATCACTTCTTACGATACCATGGCTATATCATAGTCTTGTAATATTATCATGACATAATCATACTACAATCTATACCAGATTTACCATAACTATTCTTGCCTTTTATTATGTTTGTGAAACAGTTTCTCTTGTGTCGATTAGCCATAAGATACAAATGTCAGAAGTGTTTCGGGCGTCTATCATACCAGTTGAAGGTTGCACCCCCTCGGCCGAAGAACAACCGTCGGCGTCGAACTCGAAGCGCGAGTCGGACGCTTTCTGTCCTTCGTCTCACCTGCACCGTCTGACAAATGACAAACACAAAAATATGGAAGCAAAGGTAATGGGAGGGGTCTAAGTCGCTAAAAATGAATTAAGCGTATACACACCCAGGTTCTTGCACTTCTACTACCCTTTTCTCTGCCTCCGCACTNNGGCGCCGTGACAGACAGGTGCCAGGCAGAAATCNTGGTGTTGAACCATCTTGGACGTCCTTCAACAATCAACACTACTTTTCCTCAGTCTGGCCGAACTCATTGCCACCCTTCTGCCTTCCCTTCTCAGTGTCTGGCTTGGTGCTGCCAGCCTTGATGGCCTCGCTGCGAGCCTTTGTGACTTCTTCAAACGCCTGCTTGGCAACAGAGAGCAGCTCATTGCCAACTCCTTGACCGCCGTATTTTTTAAGGCCCCACTGAGCCTCTTCAACGGCTTTGGAAGTATGCAGAAGATTGTCCGTGGGTCCGTAAGCAAGAACCTGATTGTGTCAGCTCCCATTCCAAGTCGCAAGCGCTCGTATGGCTATAGAAATGCACAACAGTAACAGAAATAGGAAGACGTCCACTGACAAGCGACAACTTATCGGCTCTCGATGGACGTGCCTCCTCTCTGGAAAAATCTGTGCCTGCTCATAGTGTATATTTTGCTCGACAAAGACAGCAAGGTGGGAAGAGGGAATACTTACGATATGTGCGTAGGTGCGAATGAGGCAAGGAAGACTTCTCAGTGNCAACAGTTCGGTAGCTATGGCCTCGGCAGCCTCGCTGTCGCCTTCATCGAACATGTCCATCATATCGGCGAAGTTGTTCTTGAATGCGTTCTCCAGATTCTCGTTGGCGTTGTGGTTGATGCCGGGGTACATCGGAAGATCATCGTTCTCGCCGGGCTTGGGGTAGCCTTTGTGATTGTAGCCACGGTGCTCGGAAGAAGAGACAAAAGGACCAGCGGTCTCGGCGGTAGGCATTGCGGTCTCTGCGGGAGAAGCAGCGCCTTGGGTAGCGTTGGGCATGACAGTGTCGTTCTGAACGGGATTGTCTGTGACGGGAGCGTCATCTTGGTGAGTGGGGAGCATCTCGTCGTTTTGCTGAGATGCCATGATTCGCGATGGTATGTGGTAGTCGGTTGCTCTGACGCAGCGTTGGTGAAGAGAAAAAATCGTATGCTTGCGCAGAGGTGAATCAAAGGAAAGGCCGTTATCGTCGATGAAATAAGTGAGCAGAGTTGCTGGAGATTCGCGCATTCACTTTCGTATCAGGATCAGTCGCACGCGCAGAGCAAACGACCTGTCGCACACGCCCACCGTCCACATTTCAAAATCGTGACGACTCTACCGCTTCTTCAAAGGTCGGAAAGACAGCTTGCATATCCACGTGGATTCTAACAGATCATGCAACAAACAACGCACTCCCTCTGTAGCAAGACAGCATGCGCGCTATGTGTGCATATAGTGAAAGAAACCAAAGTCCATAGACCGGAACCAAGCATAATCACAGGCACTCGACACCCGTCGAGGTGGGTCGTAAGGGTATTCAGACCTTCTACTAAGTTTATTCCTCAAGGATCGCTTCTCGAGATATCATAGCTATATCCTAGTCTTGTAGTATCATAATAAAATAATTATACTACAATCTGTATCAAAATTAGGTACTATAACCCGTGTTGCCTACTTCCTTGCTTGTGAGCCTATTTTCCGTTACGCCGATTACAGATGCCTCATCTTTACACTCGGTGGCGTGTACTGATAGATATTCCGACTACTTGCAAACATGCTTGTCAAGCACCGTTGCCTCAGGAAACTGCTTGGCCATGTCTCCAGGGAGCAAATCCTTCGAAGTGCCCCTCACAAACTTGTAGAACTGACCAACAAATGCATTGATATTCTCAATAACCGTCACTCCATCCATGCCACCCAGAAGCTGTCCAATCTCCGCACTAGCCTTCGCCGAAAGCCCAAGAGTGTCAGCCAGCAAAGGCAGATCAGAGTAGAAACCATGAACCGTGCCATTGAGCGTAACAGCAAGTTTAGTGCCCGTGACTTTGGGCCAAACTTGCGTCCAAGAAGGATCAGTGCTTAGATTTTTGCCGGAGTGGCTCATGATCATGGAAGGAGATGCTAGGCCATCGTTCAAGACGTCGCCAAATATAGTGCCATCGAGATTGACAGCAGCAGCTATACGGTTATCGACTAGCATTGCCGCTGCAGCTGTTGCACCGCCCAGAGAGTGGCCCATCATGAGGATCTTGTCCAAAGACTTTCTGCTTGCAATGTCGTGGAATAGCTGTTGTCTGATTGAGCAATTATGCAACTGATCAATGAGAAAAGAGACATCGCGCTGGCGAACAATTACGTCTTGTGTAATCTGCTCAGTGGTCGAGATATTGGCAGACAGTGCAACAGACTTGTCGGGATATTCGACAATATTTGCGTCGTAGGCATGATCCAAGGTAATGACCACATACCCATGACTAGCCATAGACTGAGCCATTGCGCCGTACAGAAGTCGAGAATTGCCCAAACCGGGTGAGAACAGGACAATAGGGAAGTCATTAGAGCCACGACTGCGATCTTTGCGGTCGAAGGCGCAAGTAGAAAGTTCAAAACTGCCGAAAGTGCCATTGGGAATACCGAGAGGTGCGTACATCTCGTCGTACACAGCTGCGGTAGCAGGAGGCATGTAGGGGATTATGACGGGTTGACATCTTTTGATGGAATTGGCCGGGTAATAAGCGGAGACCATGATACGTCGAGGTTCTGGTTTGAGAGCATAAGTGTCGTTTCTCGAAGTGTCGACAAGCTCCATGGCGGTCGAAGCAACGCCATACCTTCCATGAGGAGGATGAATAACAACGGCAGATGCCAGAGTCGCAGAACAAAGGAGTAGAGAGAGCTTCATGATAGACAGAGGAAAGTGGGAAGATTAGAGTAGAAAACAAGGAAATGAAGATGTGGTTGGAAGATGATTTTCAATATGTCATGTCGCCATATCTCTTTATACTTGCATCGAGCTACGCAGAAAGACCTACCTTGGAGCGACATAGGTTACAATAATCGCTCGAATGCTTCCTCTTACAGCAAAACGATTGTTCAAGATCTTGGCTGATCTCGTACACTCATGGGAGAAAGAAGTCGCGACAAGTTCGAACGAAGTCGGAGGATTTTGGAAGCCGCCGTCCGTGCGTTGCGGAGTTCATCTCGCGCGAACACTTCCTCTTTGGGTATGGTCAGCTTGGCTTTGACCTCGTGTTCTGTCCTCGTCTCACACCTCGTTTCGACATCCAAATCATCATATAACATGCCAAAAACTAGTCTCGCCCGAATGTATCTTTTTCCGGTCATATTCGCGCGAAGAGATGCGTCTCGGACCGTTGGACCGCCGCCTTAAGCGAAGCAGATGCCTCGCATGTGCGAGAAGCCATTTGAAGGTGAGTCGGTGGTAAGTATTGGCCATGAGTCCTTTGCTAATCCATGTTAGNTGTTCTGGTGGTACACCATGTACCAATTGTTCCAGGCGTAATCTCGCATGTGCCTATCCTCCAAACAAGGTAGCAGCTATGGGAATACAGCTCTCCAATCCACAGACGACGCAGAGCGAAAGCATGGTCTGTTTAGGGATACCACAAAAGCCAAGCATCGATCATGACAACAAGATCTTGATGACGTTTCTCACCAGATTTGTGAACGAGAATGACTTCACTGGACATCCTTCGACCTGGTTCAACGATATCCAGACTCACTTCGCGACGGAAAAGGCAGTGCATCATGCAATAAAAGCATTGAGTGCATTATATGCCTGCCANAAAGACTTCGCAACCCGTGTTCAGCATCAGAGACACGCACTGGAATCCTACCAGACTGCAGTGCAATCAGTACAGCAAGCAGTGAACGCTGACAACGCAACAATCGAGCAACCACTGCTATCAAGCACATTCCTTCTCGGCTTGTTTGAGGTAACACTTCCACCCTATCTTGATAGCACTATCTTGACAAGATACAGNTTAATGTACGACTCCACCGGTCAAGGCTGGATCAAACACACAATGTACGGAACCTCTAAAATACTCCAGCACTTAGGACCACAGGCATTCCGCTTAGGACTGGGACTGAGTTTCTTCAAACAGATGAAGATGTTTGAAGTCTCTCGCTGTCTCATATTCTCCGAATCTTCTTTTCTGATTGAGAAGCCTTGGATGGGATTAAATCATAGCAGTAATACACAGGACAGTGAGAGTCATCCTCTAGAAGAGCTTCTGAGCTTGATGATTAGATGCTCGGATCACTGCGCTAGAGCATTGTCATACCTACAAGGCGTAAACAAGTATTCCTTATCAAGCGACAACATGCAACAGCTACGAAAGTTTTCTCAAGAAGGATTTAGACTCAGATTTGCCTTATATGAGATAGAATCCCGTCTCTCAAGACTACCTTCACACCTCTTCAATCACAATTGCACCATCATCGCAAAGATCTACTTCTCAGCAACCTCAATCTTTCTGTCGGGAGTTTACGACTATCGCTCTATATGGCTACAAGCCATAGAAGCCACACCAACACTATCACAAGTGGTGATCGAACACCACGTAACCACCATACTCGAAATGACAGAATTTGCACTGCGGCAGACCAATCTTTCACAGTTGTTGTTTTTGTATCCGCTGAGGGTTGCTTGTGCAAGAGTGTGGATGGAAGAGCAAAAGATCGTTTGAGGGGGGATGTTTGAGGTGATAGAAAGCTGTTTTGCTGTTGCACATGTGTTCAGAACTGAAGTTGAAGAGCTTTGGAAAACGCCAATGTGGGATCGGTATACTTGAATGGTTTGATGTTTGTCTATGAGCAGTCGCATCTAGCTGTGATATGACACTATCTCTTGTTTATCTAGAAGACCCGCGAGGGAGAATATCAATTGCCAGTCCTAGGCACAAAGCGCACAGCACCATCTTCCGGCCTTTTGAAATGCGCACTGATGTTGAAATACTTGTCGTCCAAGACACTCAGCAAGCGCTGTCTAGCCTCCATCTCCGACTCATGTCCTTGCGCGACTGCCTCCACGCGATACCTGGAAAGTATGTTTGCGACCAGCGCCACAAATTCAACTTGGGAGAACTTTTNGCCAGGACATACGCGCGGTCCCCCGATCCATGGGAAGAAGAGCACGCCATCGGGTACTGCGACACTTTCTGTGCCATCTGGAGCATTGACGATGAAGCGCTGAGGTCTAAATTGTAATGCATCTGGGCCCCAGCGAGGCGACAGATGCCCTGCGTACATGTGCCATCCTACTTGGACGCCAGGGTTGACGACCACTTCGCAGGAACCGTTTGCTGTGATGACAGGCAAGGTTTGAGGCGAGGTAGGGGTACGCACGAGTAAAGGAGCAGGACTTGCCAGACGCATGACTTCATACATCCAAGCAAGACATCTAGCCATCTTCGGGAAAGTCTCAGTGTAGTCGCTGTCTTGGATGTAATACTTGTCGACCTCTTCCATAATCCATCGCTGGACTTCAGGATAAGCAGCGATAAAGGGCAAAGCGAAGGAGAGGGAAGAGGCAGTAGTCTCGTAGCCCGCCAGGTTGAAGACGAAAAGATTGCCGTATAATTCCTCTTCTGTCAGGTATTTAGGGCGACCCTGGACTGATTTCTCGCCGGTTTCATTCTTGGCCGCCTCATTGGCAGAGACCATTGCCGATAACAAGGTCGCACGCTTTGTTGACGATTGCGTTTCGTTACGAATCAATTCTCGCATGTAGACTCTGAACTCCGAAACAGATAGCTTGAGCCGTCTGAGTTTACTCGGAAGCGTCCAATCAGGAGCTTTGAGACTGTTGAACAGCAGAGTTAGAATGATGTTCTGCAGAATGAACCCAAGAGAGTCCATAAAAGACAATTCATGTCCAGAGTGGATTTTTGTCAGTTCGGCTTGTTGCCCGAACCCAACAATAGCCAGAATCTGCATCGCGACAACATCGAAAGTCCTACGAAGCCCGCCTAGAGTGTAGGTATCGCTGAACTCGAGTGATGCCANCCTTTTACTGGTCTCGCGCCAGACTTCATCCATGGCGCGCTCGTTGAATGCAGGTCCGACTATCCTACGATGGCGCTGCCACTCTGCTCCTTGAGTTGACGAAACATTCTGTCCGAAGAAAGCAAAGAGTTGCGATTGTGCCGGTGGAACTATCCAAGAGCCATGATCGCGAGATGTTTGAGAAACTGCTGGTATGTAACATGTAACGAGTTGGATGCAGGTAGGTGAGCATAACACAAAATTCTCTCCCAGTCTCGTCGAAGTTTTACGGCCATCAACGGTCGGCCAGCCCATTTCGGTGTAGACGTACCAGACCCCGAGTCCGAATGGTAGATTTTGTACCCATGCGAAGAGTGGTCGTAAAGGCAGCCACCAAGCATCTTCGTAAGAGACGGGAATGAGCACAATGGGCAGGCCAAGTCGACGCGCTTCCTTGTAATTATTGATCCATTGCGAAAGCCGTAGGATAATTGGTACGAAAAGAAGACAAATGATGAGGCCAAGCAACATGTTGCAAATGGGGTACAAGTAGCGAGACAGTCGGCATTAAAACGATACCAAGCTTTCACTGCCGAAAGCAAGCGGGGTGCGAGCTTTATGAGGTGGTTGAAGCTTAGGCCACCCACGGCTGCATGAAGGATGCGATAAGAGGCAAGCTTACAATCCGTCGCTTGTTTATCATTCTGGCAGTGGTTTGATCGTCCCGACAGGCGACTTGAATTGAGTAGATAGGGTGGTTGAATGACACTAGGAAAGTGAAAGAAAGGTCGAGGGATGTCGAGTGAAGACGGCAAAGCCTGCGAGGTCAAGAGCTGTTTCCCGAATGGCCATAAGTCGCGGCTTCCCATCTCGCACCTCGAACGTATCAAGCAACACGTATCAACTTGCTGCACAAGGTCTCAGGCGCTCTCTCCCAAGAGTTCAAAGAGTCTCGTGGTTTGTTTGAGATTTATTCCAGGCCAAACACATCGCCAAATCACTTCTTCGTGCCGGATCTACTTGCTGTGTGGACCACCCTGCTCTGATGAGAGAATCTCTTTAGCTTGAATGCTCAGAGTTGGAACTACAACTTAACAACCTGATGCAGACTGCCTGAACCAATTTAGAGCCAGAAGTACGGTAGAATGGCACGTACAAAACTCGTCTACACACAGCCAACTCGCAATCCCAGCGCAACACCACTCACCTTATCTTCCAAAGCATGGGCAGAAATACTGAACCCAATATGTTTCGTCTACGAAATCAAATCACCGGGATACGACAATACACTCATCATGATACCCGGAGGTCGTTACCCCTACGATGGCGATGTATCGAACGATGCAGATTGGCTACACGAACCTGAAGCCGAGCTGGTTTGGCGAAACGTACTGGTGTATGAGAAACTAGACGTGTCTGGTGCGGAGTGTCAAAGAATTGTGAAGTATAAAGGCAAGGATGCAGCTACAGCGTTTCCACTACTGGAGAATCCGAGAGGTGGGACGTTGAAGGGGTTTCTCGCTGCGAATCGTGCGAGGATGTATTCTAAGAATGAGTTCGAAGGTGTGGTGGCTAGCAAGATTACGACGACATATTTACCTCTGGTCTATCGCTGGGCTTTACAGATCCTATCTGCTCTATCTGAGATACACCGCAACGGTATCATTCACATGGACGTCGTAAGTCCAGATTCTTTCTGGCTGTACGAAGACCTGAGCATCGCACTGGTTGGCTTCCAATCCGCCGATCTCGTCAATTTGAATGGGGAGAGAGTTCAAGGAGATGCACATTGTGGAGAGGAGTTTCGATGTCCATGGTCAAGGAACTCAGAGCATGAGCGACCTACTGTGAAGGTCGATCTGTTTGATTGGGCTACTCTGGTTTATGGCTTGATGACGAATGAAAGTCCTGTTGATGGTAGGATACGAGATGTTGATGTGGAGGAAATGGTTAGGACTGGATCTTTGCCGGTACTTGAGGAGGAAAAGCTTGGGCACTTGGTACGAAGATGTTGGATGGGCGAGTACGAGTCTGCGGTGGATGTCATGGCCAACCTCAAGGAGTTCTTGACAGATCGTGGAATGAAAGTTGAGGGGGATGACATTCGTGGATACGATTTTCGTGCATGCCCGTGAATTGTCGAGGGTTGAAGACAAGGCAGGCTGCAGGACAGAGCTATGAGGAAGGTGCGAGGATGCTCTGTCATATACTGAATACCTTGATGGCGATGAACCAACGATTACGTGGTACAACTTCATCAAAAGCTTTGACAATAGGGCATTCCTTCATACAGGCTGATTCAGATATGAATGGAAGTCAATAGAGCTCAGAACTGTTGTGCCCACTTGGCTTTCTTCCATGTCAACCGCTCGAGTTGTTTTAAGGTCAAGCATCAACCGGCAGGCGACGGTGAGAAGTACGGGACTGTGGCAAAGAGAGTCACGGACAAAGTCAAGACCGGCAGATTTGCAGAAAGCGGCAGCAATTGCAGTGCGCGAGACGGAGATAGATATGTGGCATTCGGCACGATGAGGTCGGATGACGTTATTTCGGGTAATTTGGCGAGTCGGTTGAACATCTCCGCGCCCCATATTACCCCACCGGGCCAACATATGAAAGCCCCTCCTTCCTCGATATTTCTTGTCAATACAATCTCACATCTTCTCTCTCTCCAACTCTCAATTCCCCATCTCAAATTACACATCATGTCTCTCGGTCGCACAGTCAAGCTCAACACCGGCGCTTCCATCCCGTGAGTCCTCATGCAGCAGCTGAAGTCTCGCATCGTCGCTAACACCTTATCATAGNNTCAATTGGGCTTTGGTACCTGGCAGGCAGAGCCCGGCCAAGTCGAGGCAGCCGTCTACGAGGCTCTTAAGGCTGGTTACAAGCACATTGATCTTGCCAAAGTCTACGGCAACCAGAAGGAGATTGCAAACGCCTTCAAGAGAGCTTTCAGCGAGGGCATCAAGCGTGAGGACATCTTCATCACCTCCAAGCTCTGGAACTCGCAGCACAGACCCAAGGATGTCGCTCCCGCCCTTGACGACTGCCTTGCTGAGCTCGGCCTCGACTACCTCGACCTGTACCTCGTCCACTTCCCTGTCGCCTTCGACGAGTCGGGCGATGTCCACCAGAACCTCTTCCCTCTCCGTGACGACGGCGACGTCAAGATGCTCGACAGCGTCTCGATCGTCGACACATGGAAGGCCATGACCCAGCTCGACAAGAAGAAGGCTCGTGCTGTCGGTGTCTCCAACCACACTCAGGAGCACCTCCAGGCTCTGATTGACGCCACTGGTGTCACCCCCGCTGCCAACCAGATCGAGCGCCACCCTCGTCTCCTCCAGACCGACTTCGTCAAGTGGTGCGGCGAGAAGGGTATCCACATCACCGAGTACTCAACCTTCGGCAACAACATGGTCGGCGAGCCCCTCCTCATCCAGCACAAGACCGTCAAGGAGATTGCTGAGCGTCTCAACGCCTCCCCCGCACAAGTCATCCTCGCCTGGGCCCAGGTCGGTGGCCACTCGGTCATCCCCAAGTCCGTCACTGCCTCCCGTATTCGCGACAACTTCAAGGAGATTGACCTNCCCAAGGAGGACTTTGAGAAGATTGAGCAGATTGGCAAGGAGGAGCGCCGCCGCTACAACATCCCTTACACTGCCAACAAGCCCAGATGGCCCGTCAACATCTTCAACGAGCCTGAGGAGAAGGACGCTCCCCACAAGGTCATCGTCTAAGATGCTTTCCTCTGTAATAGAAGTAAAATTATTAGATACCCTTACGAATAGCAATAATCAAGATTGTTCACGATCCATCAACATTCTTTGTCTACTGGTACATGTTGGGAAAGAGTTCGCAACGCACATTGGCACTCTGAGTGAGTCGAGACAAGTACTGGCCAAAAGTCATGTTCAAGATGCTCGCTTACGTACTGTGGCGCGCAGCGGCCCTTCCTCTACCACTTTCCTTTGATGACCGTTATTCAGCTTCAACGCCTTTAAGCAGGTGTTGTTCTTGTTCATTACCTACCAAATGATGAAGCTGCCGTTCGCAATAACATGCAAGGAAGATTATCGCTAACACATCTCTGCCTACTTATAGTCATCCCGTCTTTTCCTATGTATTTCGCTCCGCAAAGCTCTTTTGAGTGAATATCTTCGAAGATGGCACCTCTCATTCTCGCTCCCTACAACGACTCAATGCAGCTTGGACAGGGCTTCAATTCATTTCTGTACACGCCCTGTATCATTGACGCTGTAGAAATATCACGAGATACTGTGCGAACGCAAGCCATGCACTCTAATGGACCCGAAGACGCCAGTCAAGAAGTATCATACAGTTCGTACTTCGTTGAGAAGATATCCGAGATCGTGCGCAGTATGAACATCTCGGCGGCATCAAGCATCAAGTCCGGAACTATCGAGGTGTCAGGCAACTCCTTGGTTGTCGACCAGGCAAGTTTTGCTGCTAGCGATCTCAATGCTGTCATTAATGTCAAGGTCATTAATCGTAAGTCGCTGTCTTTGCGTAAGATATGGAACCAGCCCCAAGACTTACGATAATGTGACAGAGATGATCTCGACCCTCGAACATCCACAATTGTCAGTTGATCTCCTATCCTATCGAGCCTCTCAGATATCAGAAGGTTAGCAACGAGGTTAACATGGATTATGTTTTACAGTCGTCCTATGGATCGTGTGAAATTGGATTCACAGAAATTCCTCGAAGTCTACGGGGATTGCTATATCTCGGGCAAGTGACGCGTGCATGTGCTGATGAAGTTTCAATCAGCTGACAAGTTTGCGACAGGATTCATCGAAGGTGGTGATCTCCATGGTATAGTTTCTGTCAAAGTATTAGACCAAACCAAGAGGTCTGACATCGAGGCGAGGTATGTTGTTCGACATTCATTGGCATGTAGTCTTAGCTTACCAGTTCCCAGCATAAAAGCCAAAATAATTGACGCTAAAGACTCTAGAGAGTTCATCTTAGGTCAAGACAGCGCCATAGTAGAGCTCTCTGCAGCACTTAGCCAGACTGAAACCACAATCACGGTCAGCTGGTCTGGTGGTGGTCAAATTAAGCCCGACGATCAAGAATGGACTATAGATTCGCTTGTACAGGCGGTATCATCCTTCCCTTCTCGGGTAGCGAAACATCCACAACGTACACACGCTATCCTGACACGATACGACAACAACCGCAGCTTCGTCGAATGGGCAGACAAACACGATATCAGGATTCCAGACTTCAGCCGCATCCAACAAACTGCCAGAGACCTGCTTGACAGCTTCCTGGGTTACAAGAACACTCTAGCACGGCTCGATCTCCTTATGGCCAATCCAGTGTGCTTCGAGCTATCTCCACACGACAATCCGGTGCAGCTAGACATAGAAGCTCTCGTCACTGAGCGAAAGCTTCTAAAGAAGGAAATGAGCAAAATCGGCCTTGCGATAGATCATCTCAACGAGAACCCAACTCAGCCGCTGTCTTTTCCAAATCGAGGATCCAAACGTTTGGGCTCGTCGACTAATGATACCATGAAACTGCGCATCGAGCATACAAGTCGTAGCGTGTCGATTATGGCTTGTCGGAGAGCACTTGGTCTCTTGACCAAATTCTTACCTGAGGATCTGATCTACCAGCATCGATAGCTTAGCGCAGGTTCCAAGCATTGGCATGCTTGTTGTTGTACTGCGATTGGAGCGAGTCATGAAGTTTTACGGCCGTGTCAGTGGACTCGGAATCCATCAGGATCCACTGCCAAGCACGAAGGATTCACCACCTTGTCGGATCGTCGTCGAACATATCAGGAATTCGTATCACGAGTCACTATTCCTGCGGAGATCGCATCCCATCTATTCAAGCATTTGCGACCGACGTCATCTCTGGAAGGAGTTATAAAAACCAAGTCGTGTTTCCGTAACATCTGTCGATGTAAGACAACATATCCATCATGCATTTCCTCACACACACCGCAATTTCTATCGCTCTGACCAGCACCTCGGTCTTCGCTGCTTCTTGTGAAACATACACACCAGCTGGCGAACCATATACCCAACCTGCGGATCGAACGTTCATTGTCAGCAAAGGCGAAGTCTGTGAATCCACTACTGGCGACTGTCGTATTCCAATCGGCGGATATGTGACTGAGGGCCGTACCTTGAACGTCACAATCGCCTCTCCAGGACCTATCTACGATCTTATCAGCGACACTGTGCGATTTGTGTTCAACGACACGGCTACGACTTGGGTGGGCGGGCCCAGCCCTGGTGAACCGCAAGAGTGGCCAATCCAGAATGGAACTGCCGCCTACGTAGGATTTACTGCCAATCATCGATGCACCTCTGGCACCTTATCTGGCTGTGATGACTCTGCCATCGAAGGCGCCGCTGTTGAAGCTTGCTCGCCTTATACCATAGCCGATGGTCTTTCTGGCACTTTTCATGCTATTGTGTCAGATCGCAGTAGTGTGGAGGCATTGACGTGTAATCCGGCCAACACTACCGCGGCGAAGAACGGCAACAATCCATCCAACTGCTCGGATGCTAGTTCGCAACTTCCTATTGGAGACGCAAGTCGATTTGGTGGAGTTTCCACTATACTGCTGGTTGGTTCTTTGGGTGTTGCTGTTTTCGGATTTGGGTCCCTCTAGAAGGCTCGATGAAGATGATCTAGCCAGAATTCCGAATGATCATAACGCTGAACATTGCTTGTCAGAATCCCGGTCGCTTTTAAAGCCTTAGGCTAATTTGTGATCCGGAGACAGAGCATCTCTTTCCTCCCNCGTCAACTCAATCCCAAAGATATCCTTCAGAGCCTCGACACGTTCATCTTCTGTCTTACACTCCTTGACAACTTCCCGTTCACTGCCTCTCTGCTCTCTGATGGTGTCTTTGAACAAAGTGAGACTACCGATAATCTTTTCTTGCTCAGCATCCATGAGCATCCTCGTCGCTGTCATGTAGCGCGTAAAGAATGAGTTCGCGTGTGTGGAAGTGTACCACGACATAACTTCATAATCCTGAGGCAAGAACTCCATCTCCGTGAAGCAGTAAGTAGGGATCCAGTTGTTCTGTTCCCCGTGTGTGGGATCGTAGCAAACATCATAACACCACAACTTTGGAGCGTCTTCCATGGCATAAGATTCGCTGATTGCGCGTCGCTGAATGCGAATTCTTCTTGGTGCTATGCTGGTGGTTTCGAAGTTGTCGCGTAGAGGGTATGGCATATTGGGACCCATAGCACCCATGCCTACGTCCACTACATACCACTCATCCTCGAATCGCACGAGATTGAGCATATGGTTCAAGCCATCATAGGTATGTGCTTGGTTCTTGCGGACCTCTGGGAAGGGACTCATCGCCCTGCTTACCCTGCCACCGCAATTGCGTACCTGGTAGCCTAGTGACCGCAACACAGTGCCAAAGAAAGTATTGCTCTCCATGCAGCGGCCGCCGCGGCGCTTAGTCACAAACCAAGCGTAAAGGTGAGAAATCTCGAGGTTGACTTNTTTGCTAGTGGAGTAGTGGAGGATGAGGTTCTCGAAAGGGACATTGCAGGTGTGATGGCGGCATAATGCCTCTAGTAATGGAAGCCCATGCTCCTTGGTTCTTGCAAGAGCGCTGTTGGAAAGAACAGGAGAGGAGAGATGTGCGGCTGGAATATTGATCCTCGCAAAGTAGTTCTGCAGTTCGGCTGCTGAGTAGAAGCAACGGATGGCTTCCTCTGGCAGTTGAGTGAGAGAGGTGGGTGCGAGGTCGGACATCGCTGCTTGGTACGACTGATTGATCGGTCGTTATGCTTATGTTATTGAACAAGGGATGGAAAGCAAGCCCGTCCTTGTTATTGTCGTTCCGGTGCGAGCGGTATCTGTCCACAGCTTTTGGATGGTCGACGAACGCGGTCCAAGCAGAGCTGGGCAGTCATCGCAAAGACTTGTAGGTTCGCAAGCTTGAGAAGACCTTTGTTTGGACGTGCACGACATCGTCGGCCCGACTGTCAGATCTGAGGCCGAGGAATAGCCTGGTGATACCTTGCATCTTCTCGCATCCTAGATGCCTCGATGCATGTCGGCCGAGACTCCGATGGTAGGGATAGAGATTGCCGTAATCCATCAGTTCGGAGATCCATCGAGCCAATATCGACCATGATTTTGTATCGCTGACCATAGCAAGCCACTAGCGAGTAAATCGGGCGAGCTGTGTCTACTTTGATGTCTCAGCGGCATCGAGATCAGGGATGCGGAGAGAGGAAATAGGTACGTAGCTGTGCTCCCCTGTCAGCAATTTCTCATGCCGGAGAAACAAGCATTTCTCAATACAAGATACTTTCCGTGTCTGTAACCAAACGACAGGGTACTGATTCTTATAAGAGGATGACAAGGCTGATTTGATTGTGCGGGCCCTCCATACACAGACCGTAATGCTCGAAGCAGCCGCGTCCAGGTGAAACAAAGTCAAGTCAGGACTAGCGATTGCGAGAACAACAGCAATCAGCTCATCAGAGCTCAAGACTCAATTGGGGAGCCACAGATGCTGTGTTTCGCCCTGAGGCAGATACTAGCTGGACGATGTGTTCGTTCGATGTGCTGTCACGCGAGATGGCTAAGGAGTACGTATGAACCGAAGGACCACACGTCTACTTATCCATCGGGATATATTTGCATTCTGCCCTTGCCGAAGACCACTTTTCAACATGCGAGCTTCTTGAGAAGGTCTGGCAGATCATGCTCAATTAGGTTAATGGTAAGATAGGCACAGCAGGCGTAAACTTTGGGGAAGCTCCGGGAAGCTAGCTTGGTGCTGAAATGAAGCGGTTCATGGCCAGCAGACATGCTGTCCTATTTTTCGTCCTCCGTTCTCAGACAGTATCGTTGATATACATCAAGCACGTTGACAGACAAGGGATCGCTGGATATAAGCGATACAATGATGGTCGTTTGAGAGAAGGCGTTGGTATCGGCCGGCTGCTGTTTCCCTTGATCCAAGCGGTTTGCAGACCAAATACCTGGGGCGCACCGTCTGTCGAATCAGATCCAATGGGTACTCGGATCGACCTGGCATAGGAGATGCCTAACACTCCGATTGGTACAGAAGGAATGTTTAGAGTTTCGTAGCTCGAGTTCAACATCTTCGTTCTGCCTAGTGCAGGACCGAATGCGGAGCGTAAATGCGGAGCTGAAGACCGCATGTAAAGGGGATCTGCTTCTCAAAAACCCAACGACGAGGACGTTTCGAAAATCAATCATAGCTTGTACAAGATGCGTGATGGTGAGCGCTTCGTATGGGTGAGCGCACTTGGCGATCCGAGACGACAACCTGCTCGTGTACGCACGATCATTCGAAAACATGTCATGCGAGACATTGGTAAATCTCGTCGCAAGAGCGAACGAAAGGATATGTCGGACACGGGCGGCAACAATGCTACCTTGCGAGCTGCTGACAGCATTGCTGCTACTCCGACGAGCGAGAAAACTGATGCGCATCTGGATATGGCGCTCTACCTCTGTCGGAGTCTGTCTGATGAGTACACTCGAGAGCCACTTTCAAGCAGAAGTACAATCAACACATTCCAATATTGGCAGCAAGTTCAATTAATCATACTCCGATAGTGCCTGCTTACTTTGATACTATGCCGATCCGAAGAAGAGTTCATGGGCACCTCTGGCAGGACTTTTTCCATCTGGATTACTGTACATCTTACCAGGTCGATTTAATGCTGGCAGTCTTCTTCAGTCGCTTTGAGGGTTCTCGCACATTCGATGTCGATGGACCGTCCGTGACGACACTCAGAGTAAAAGCTCTACGAGAGACGCAGAAGGCGGTCGAGGATCCAGATCGTTGTATCGGCCTGGGTATGATTGCGGCGATCATAGCAAGCATATTTGAAGCCGTAAGTGTTGCAACTGTCGAAGTATGCTTTAACTGAAACACGAGTCAGTTCGTTCGTGGCGACATGGCCATTTGCAAATTACACCTCGCTGGTCTTCGAGCAGTGATAGCTCATCGACAGCGCGTGCTCGGGACATCATCATTGTATGATAACTTTCAGATATGCATGCTGATCACATCGTAAGTGTACACCTTGTCAGGTCTTAGTATTTAGGTTTCTAATCGCAAGGTTGTCTTAGANTGCGAGATAACACTGTCAAGAGCACTCGGTATATTACCTGAATTTCCGTTCCCTATGAGCTACTTCCTGCCTTCTGCTGATTTTGGTCCACCTCGGTATCCATCAAGATTCTCAAAATTGGTCGATATAGCCTGGAGTCTCGATCCTAAAAGGCATGAAGCCTCGAAAACGATTTACGATAGTATCATTCCAAAATCCAAGATCCAAGAAGACAAACAGCCACCTCGTCGCTCATCGAGTTCAGCAACGTTGTTTCCTATGTTGTTCGAAGACAAACAATGGGTAGTATCATATAAGACGTCGAAATCCCACAATCATGTCGATCCTGTTGTGGATGCGGTCACAAGCTGCTTGGATGAGATCCTACCTGATGCTTCGGGATCTACGATACCGGATTTGCGGCCTATGGAATTTGCTGGGGAGGATGTAGTCAAGCTGATGATACTCGTTCGCGGGATTGGGTCATGAGCCACGTTATATTGGTATGATTCCTCCATAAGATCACGACGTAAGACCCAGCTTTGAGTCTAGGTCACGAACATGAGTGACGAGTTGACTGTCCCCGGATCGTGCGTCTTGCTTCAATCCTTTGAATTGGTCTCCCACAAGATATGCTGGTTTCACATGGAATCTACTGCTGCCATGGGGCCACCTGTCACAAAGGAGGAGCCTTCCAGGACGGTCTCGAATCATCTCGGATTATATTCCGCGAGGCATCCCATTGATTGTCGATACCTTGCGCCTATCGAGAGCCATCATTTGTCGATGCATGTCTACGATCACTTGGATGCAATCTTCCAAACTCACGTTGGTGGAGTAAGAGTCCTTGCTAACATGAAAATATGGCGGTGAGAAATTGCAAGAGACCCCTTGGGTCTCCAGATCTCTGATCAATACCGACACCAGATCCACCTATTGGGTACACGGTACTCTAACGGGGATCTGGTCTTGGAAGCCATGTACCCCTCAGCTTGTGGCAATTTTTGTTCGATTTCAATGCCAGCCAAGCATAATGGGTTGATGGCATGCTGGAACTTAATGCACTGTAAGTAATGATTGACCCACAGAGTCCTCCGGAGGGATCCCTACAGTCGTGGATCTCAAGGTTTTCTGGAATCATTCTCCTCTGCTCGATGGTACATCTCAAATGTTCAGTCGACGCAATGAAGATCTTGTTTTGAATTCCAGCATTAATTGCCTGTCTGCTCTGATATGCCAGTGGTCCAGCTCCAGATTACCCCTCACGGCTCGGGTAGTCCGCTGAAGATAGCCGGATCTGCACAACGGTCAGGACATCAACCATTCCCAAAGTCTTTCAACTCCGAATTACTGAGCTGTGATGGCCTTGAAATGCCAACATGGCGAGCGTGAGACCTGCATGACTTGCGGTGAGGAAAGGATGCCGAAAGATACGGCTTCTCACTTTGCCTGGACGTGCAGTAAAGCGAATAGACCAGTGTGAACGTTATCACCAATTTTACCGAATGTCCCTCCGACATGTTGGAGACCACGGAGCGAACGAGCTGAAGCCTGAACAGCATCTTGTTGCATTAAAAAGTGTCAACACACGATTCAGATACAACCCTCGGAGCGGCCGAGATGTTGAGAAAACCGACCGTTGCAGCAATACGATACACCCGCCAAAATCCCCAAACTGCTGAACCTCAAACGTATGAGCACTCCGACTGAGTGACTATATAATCCTATGTTCGGCAGAGTCGGACAGAGTTCTCCACCTTTGAAGAACTTGTATACTTTCCATGAGACTCCGCACTGTGTCCGAAAGCATGCCGCGAAGGAAATTGGTTACAGCCGTTATATGCAAACGGCGAGACAGAACCATATCTCCACCACCGTTATTCTACATCCTCTATAGGAGAGGACACTCCTAGAACTACTGCACTTGAGAACTGTGGCTGGCTGAGCTTGCGACATTTATGCTCGAAGTAGGCAATGGCCTCTGACTCGGGTGATTACTGGAAAGAGGATCTTAAAGGTACAGGACTCTAGAACTTCGACCGTTCTCACCACATGTTCAACCACAATGGATCATGTTGCTTTAATAGGGAAGCACGCACATAAATTGTTGACTGCCGCCCGAGGATCAGTCATAAAAACATCTTTGTCTTTTGGTTCTCCGGACCAAGATGTTCTCCCAACCTGGCTTATGGGTACTATGCCTATCTCTTGGGCTGCTTCAAGTCATCTCAGCGTCGCCTTTAGTTGCTCCACAGCCAGCCGCTACTTGCTCTGCACGCGACCTTGCTATTGTTCGGCGTACGGTTTCTGACCCTGTATACTTCTGTAAATGGTGGCAAGCCGAGTATGAATTGAGTCTCTACCACATGAAGATTGGCTCTAATCAAAAGCAGTTTTCGTACAAGAACTCCTTTCCTGGAGTTCAGTGTACACGAAGTTGACACACTCTGCACGTGTATCTCGCCCATCTCCAAGGCTCCTTCAAGCAAGCACAAGCGAGCCGAGCCGACGGAAATAAGTCCTGTCTTCTCAAGAAGCGGCACCACTGCCGTTTGCAGCCTCAAAGTGAGCCGGGAGTTTACAGAGCCATGGCACTTCTGTACCTTCTTCAACGCCTAGTAAGTCACTCTGCCGCTTTTAATGGAAGCATACTGATAATCGAACAGTCCAAGGACTACATCCCCTTTTAGAGCTTACAACGCTAAAGAATTGAAGACTCTTTGCGATTGTGTCTTGGGCAAAGTTGTCTCATCAACAAGCAAGAAGACATCCACCAGTACCCACAAGACATCCATGACCAGCAAAAGTCTATTCAAATTAGCACACGATCATCTTCGAGCACCAGAAAATCATCTTCGAGCACACGACCATCTTCGAGCACCGGAAAATCATCTTCGGGCACCAGAAGATCATCTTCAAGCAGCAAAAGCTCATCATCAACTGTCAAGACCTCAACTTCCATGACCACCAAGACACCAACAAGCTCAAAAGCAACGTCTTCCAGCATCAGGTCATCCAGCTTGTCAAAGAAAACTTCGAGCACTCAGGCGGCTTCTGCAACCTCAGAATTATCATCAAGCACTCGCAAGGCCTCTCTGACAAGCTCGAGAGCCACGGTAGCTTCGACGCCGAAATCATCCTCTAGCCATAGAATCTCGTCGAGTTTGATCTCTTCTAAAGTTTCCGACAGCATTATCCTGCCCAGTCTGATTATACAAACAACGAGCTCGATATCAACGTCTCTGTCATTGACAAGGTCTCCAAGCTCAAGCGCATTGATCTCTTCATCCATCATCAAAACTCCCTCGACAACCCAGACCAGCTCTTCAAGTGATAAAAGCTCAACTATTGATGGTCTGCCGACAATTGCCGCTTCTGTGACTCTTGTCACTTCCAGCACTGCCAGTGTCAGCGTCAACGGTAACAGCTCAGCTCCCGTAACATCACTTGCAGTCACTCCCATCACTGCTACAAGCTCTGTTCCTGAGTTCACAACCACGTCAGTCAGCTGCGATGGTCTTCTTTGTGTCTCAGTAGGCATTGGTTCTTCCACGACCAGCACACTTGGTGCCATTCCAACCGATGACACCGATCCTGCAGAATCACCTGCTCAGCCTACAACCACAGAGACGTCGACGATTGAGACCAGCCTGCCTACCACAACAACAAGCTTAAGCCCTGTCTGTACTCCAACCCCAATCAACACATCTTGCGATGACGGCGCCAAGTTCTATCTCATGGCTTCCAGTGGTGACTTGGGGGTCAACGGACAATACGCTATAAATAATGCCGGAACCATGGAGATTACCGCAGACTACACCTCGGCAGATGGGTTCTGCCTGGGCAGTGACAACAGTCTCCAGTGGGCCATTGGTATAGGCGGTAGCGGAGGACCTCCTGCTGTCAAGTCTACCGGTACAAATCCGATCGAGTTCGCCACCACGGGCACCTCCTTGAGTTGCGCAGCTGTCTCGAACGAGGATTGCACTTTCACGCTACAGTGCAACTGGGAAAGCGATTATAGAACGGTTGTGGACGGCTACAACTTCAACATGCTGTATTTGACCGATGACACGGACGATGATTATGGGGGTGATAATCTTTCGACACCGGTAAACCTCATTATCCAGGCCTGATAGAGAAATCTGTTTGGAATCAATCTTTGTTCGGTTGGGGCACTCGATGCATAGAGCAGACCTCATTCACTCCCTCGACAGCCAATAATCAAACCAGTCTACGAAATTTTTAAAGCATTGTTCTTTCGCCCACTTCGCATGTGGGTCTTCTAGATTCGCGCGTGTCTGTTTGCACAAAAACGTCAGTATGATCTCTAGGCATACTCTTCATCTTCCTTACTCCCTTCCATCGCAACCAACTAGAAAGAACGAAGGAAAAGCTCACCGCAAACCCATGTCCAACACCCGAGTATACCTGCATAGAAAACTGCGCTTTGCCCTTAGCGAGGATTTCTTGTGTGCGATTTCGTAGGTCGGGTGGAAAGAGCTCGTCATCACTTGGTGCCACGATATACAGTGGAGCTTTGACAATCATCAGTATGCGGGTCTTGATATTGCATCTGAAAGATGAACTAACCTTGCACACCAGCCACATGCCCTTCACTCAAAAACGACGGATGAGCAATAGCTCCCACTTTACAAACTCCTCTCTCAGAAAGCTGACCACAGACAAATCTCGCACCCCAACTGTATTATTCCAATCAGCAATGTCACAAAAATCCAAAGGCTCCAGATCAACTTACCAATATCCCACACAAGCAAACTTGGTGTCTTTGCCATACTCTGCCACAACAGCTTTGATCCAAGTCTGTGCAAGAATTTCCGAAGAACGCAGGTGTTTTTGCGTCCAAGCTGAAAAATCAAAGGAAGGATCGTTGAGGGGTGAGGTAGTGTGTTTGGCTACGGAGTCCTGCGGACCGGTTTGGTGGCTTTGGTTAGTGTTTTGCTTTTTATTGCTGCTGGAAGGGTCTTGTGCATGGTTTTCTGACAAGTTTTGGGACTCGAAACATAAGAATCAAGACTCGAAGAAAAGAGAAGATACAGCAAAGAGAGAATCGAAGGGACGGCAGGAAGGAAGAAAAACAAAAGCCGAGAATAGAGATAGGGAAAGGAATCCACGAACGAGAAGAGACCGAAAAAAGAACCAAAAGCAAAAACAATTCAAAGACAAACAAACCAAAGACAAACTCACCCCTCCAAAATAATCACATCCCAGAACCACCCACCCCTCTGCTGCAAACCCATCCATCATGAGAAAAGCATTCTCATATAACCCAAACGCGTCCGGGAAATACAACAAAACATTTTTATTGCCATTCCCACCATCATCACTACTCCCAGTACTCTCACTATCCTCATCTTCTGGCATCGAGACATAAGTATTTATCCCTCCCATCTTCGCAATCTTTCCCCTAGGACTTCCAACATGGCGGGAACCACGCATACAGCAGGTCGAAGACGGTTGAGCGAGGATTTCTTGATCCATTCGAAAGATGTTGGTAGGCGACTAGAAATTGGATATTTGATCGCGTATGGATGACACAAAAGAAGTATTTGGTATGGCTTTGTGAGATGGTAGGATTTCGATGGGTGACTCATGGTTGAGTTGATGGTTCGTTTTCGCGCCAAAACCGGTGATTTCTCGGCAAAGGCAGGGTCGTGTACCTAACGTCTGGCCTGTGAGAGTTGAACGTCTCCTTGCTAATCTCTTGTAGCATTACTCTACACTCGAAAGCTACTGCAAAGGTATGACTCCAAAGAGCGAGTACAGACCACCGACCAAAATCCAACGCCCTCAAGAACTTCAGCAGCACTTGGAAGAGATCCGCAACGACCGCCAGATGAATGAATAATCACAGCAAGTTTTTGACAAAAGTGCATTAGACAAGTACTTTTGGTCATACGTCTTTTGAATCTGTCTAGTCACATGACAAGGTTAATGTATCAAAGTGACGTGTAAAGGGACCAGGCGTCAACGATCCTTCATTTGCTTTGTTGCATGCATGCATGCATGCATGCATGCTAACTGGTTGACCGGTTAAGTTGTACGAAGCCAAGGGCCAAGAGGCATGCACAAGAGTAAGAGGATTTGGAGAGGGGCTGCGCTGCCACCATGATCATCACCTCCTTCAAAGCTGCCTGCAGGCTACAGCTTTACTCGGAGCATGTAGAGAGGTAAGCAACGAAGCGAGATGCCGAGATCGACATTTCAAGTCTCAGGGATTACAAAGCAATTTCTTCGGACAAAGCATATATTCGACCTTTGAGTCTTAGTTGCATGTTCATTGACTCGGTTGGATATACACCCTCCTACAGCACACAAACATGAAGCCCTCAGAAGTACACTGGGCAGACCCAATCTTTCAACCACAGAGAAGACTCAAGGTCATTTGTATTGGCGCAGGAGCATCTGGCCTCTTGATCGCCTACAAACTCCAAAGGCATTTTGCAGACTTTGATCTCACCGTATACGAAAAGAACGAGGATGTGAGCGGCACATGGTTCGAGAACAAGTATCCGGGGTGTGCATCTTGCGCCTGTTCCTCTTGCTTCTTGCTTGACCACTAATCTGGGCACAATAGATGTGCTTGCGACATTCCTAGCCACAACTATACCTACTCGTTCGAACCTAAAGCCGATTGGAGTGCAACTTATGCGTCGTCTGAAGAGATCCATGGCTACTTCAAGCAGTTCGCGGTCAAATACGGGTTGAAGAAGTATATACAGCTGCAGCACACTGTGACTGGCGCTCGATGGGGTGAGAAAGAAGCCATGTGGCATGTCACTGTCTTGAACACAGTCACTCAAGAGATTCTCGAGGACACTTGTCATGTCCTAATCAACGCTGCCGGTTACCTCAACACCTGGAAATGGCCTTCGATACCCGGTTTGCAAGATTACAATGGAAAATCCTTGCACAGCGCATCCTGGGATCCCTCTATCAGTTTGCAAGATCAGGTTGTCGGTGTTATTGGCAATGGGTAAGCGGATCCAGGCTTTAGCAAAAGTCCTGATTGACGCTCCGTTTTTGTGTTTCTCTTAGANTCATCAGGAATACAAATCATCCCAGCAATACTCGAAAAGGTCAAGAGTTTGACGGCATTCAGTAGAGGCCCTACTTGGGTAGCTCCTCCCATCGGCCACGAACCCAGAAAATACACACACGCAGAGATTGAACAGTTCAAAAGTAACCCCGAATCCCATCTCCAGCTGCGCCGCGAAACCGAAAATATCCTTAGTGGTTCTTTTGGAACATTCTTNCGCGGCTCCAAGGACCAAGATCTGGTCAGACAATACTTGCAAGCACACATGGACTCCAAACTCAAAGACAATCACGAGTTGCAACAGAAACTTGTGCCGGACTGGAGTGTTGGGTGTCGGCGTCTAACACCTGGTGTTGGCTATCTCGAGGCTCTGCAGTCCGANAAAGTGCAGATTGTACAAGGAGACATAGCGAGTGTGAGTCGTCGAGGACCCGTTATAGACAACGGGAAAGAATATGCAGTCGATGTTCTCATCTGTGCAACTGGATTTGACACTTCCTTCAAGCCCAGATTCCCGCTTGTGGGTAGAGCAGGCAAGGCTTTGGCGGATGTCTGGAAGGGCAAGTATACCTCTTGGCTTGTGTGGTGCAGGGGCAAACTAACAACGTTGTANGATGAAGCACGAGCTTACTTTGGAGTCGCCGTCCACGACTACCCAAACTACTTCATGACCCTTGGGCCAAACAGTCCAGTTGGCAACGGACCGCTACTGATCGCCATCGAGGCACAAGTACACTACATGCTCACCTTCCTCGCAAAGTTCCANAAAGAGAATCTAAGGTACAGCTTCCCTCCAAACGATGCCCATCTGTATATGCAAAAGAGAAAAAAAGAAAAAAACTAAATGTCCATGGAAAAAACCAGATCATTCACCGTGAAACAAGCACCCATGGACGACTTCAACGACTACAAAGACGTCTTCATGACGAGAACAATCTGGACCGAAGACTGCAAATCCTGGTATAAGAACAACGCCAACCCAACAGGAAAAATCTCCGCCTTATGGCCTGGAAGCACACTCCACTACCTCGAATGCCTCGCCTCTCCTCGCTACGAAGACTACGAATTCAGCTACTTCTCCGCTACAAACCGATTCGCATACCTCGGAAATGGATTCAGTTCTGCCGAGAAACGCGAGGGGGGCGATATGTCNTTTAACATTCGTGATCGAGATGATTCTGCTGTTGATCCTTGTTTGAAGGGAGGGCTTGTGGAAAGCACAATTGCTGGAAGATGCTGCTGAGTCGGATGATAGTATATTGACNNACCAAGAGACAATAACCATGGTCAGGAAATCGCGGCTGTGGGAGAAACCGTAGCTATACTATAGTTGCAAAGTGTCAAAGAATGGTAGATAGATTGCTTGTTATCGAAGGCTGTTTTCGTTATAAGGCAGATGGTATTGATATTGCTATTCAAAAGCTATCTAACACAATCCCTCATAAATAGTACTAGCCACAAAGCTATTAGTGTCATACTCATAATCCAACACCAATCCCGACGAAACCTCATGACCAGGGACATCAAACTCCTTGCCGGAGAACTGTACAGCTTCACCACCTACCCACCCGATCCCTCCCGGTCCTCGTTTCTCATTCATCGCTCCAACTGTAGCACCCCTTCCCTCATCACTAATATCCCAATAAGTATACCTAAACTTCTGCGGCTCATCTTCAAAAACGTCACCCAGAAACGGTAGTGTTGGGAATTGTCTGCTTGCCAGATATTGGTAGAGATTTCCGTGGAGGAAGCTACAACCCATTCGATGGTTAGGGTGCGGTGAGGCGCGGTGCCTTCAGTGGCGTATTGAATGCCTTGAGTTTGATTGGAGGTGGGGTTTGTGATGGTGTTGTTTACAGAGTGCGGGCTCCATAGCACGGCAAAGACGTTGCCGGAGTCGAGGGGTGTGCCTGGGAGGTGAACTTTAGGCTCGGGGGATAGGTATCCGCCGTTGGGAGCTACTATGGAGAGGCCCTGTGTATTGTTCGTTAGTGCATGTGCGCAGTCAAACAGTAAACCTGGAATCATCAATCTACTTACGCCTTTGACGGAAGCAGACAAGATGTATGTCTTGTTGTCATAGTTCTTATCAAGAGTGGAAACATTGCGGAACCTAATGGGCCATTCATGCTGAATAGGCTCAGAGAAATCCAGAGGTTGATCCTCATACTCAGGTTGCCGCCATGTGATAGGTGTAGGTGAAGCCAGATAAGTAGGGTTGACCTCAACTTTAGAAGCACCAATGTGGGTCTCGTAAGCAGTGACGGAAACAGTGACGGTGGGAGTGACAGTGGTGTGGAAGATGTCCGTCAATGTGTGCGTGACAGTCTCGGGAGGAATGCTCAAGCAAGAGCATGCTTCTGAGGTCTCCTGCTCAGGCGACAAAGATGTCTCGTCCCTCTTCACGTTGGTGGGTCTGGCATCACAGAAGGTCAAAGTGCTTGTGGCTCTGCACAGTATCAGCATCTGTTCAAGAAATGTATCCGGCTGTAGGGATCAATATCATACACAGTCTCAAAAGCGGTGGAAGGAGTCGTGATTATGGTCGAAGTAAAGGTAGGGTCGTTCACAAAGACATAGGTTGGCCTGGTTGCGATGCTGATGTACGAACGACAGAAAGGAGTCGGATCAATGCCGGCGGGAATGGCGGAAGCAATATCAGCACACGAGTCCGCATTGCCTGCAGGCGCAGCAATGGTGATGGGCACACAAGCTACCAGAATGGTTGACAGAGTCAAGAAAGAAGGCATCTTGAGCTTGGGTGATCACAGTAGAGCCTGAAAAAGAGTGCTGCAATGGACAAGCCCACCTATTTGTAGGCTCCATGTAGTTGTCTAACCCATATTCTCGAGTCATTCATCGTATCCTGCTATGCTGCATGGCGTGTGTTTTCTATTCTCGTCGAGATGGTTGCAGATCATCCGAGGAGGATTTGCCAAAACCCTGAGATCGACATTGATGCCGGTTACCAAATCCGGTGAGTTTGCTGAACAATCCATAGATTTTTAAGCGGCAGGGTCTTGTATAGAAGAACGTGACCAAGGGTCAAAGAAAATGTCTCACATCGACCCTCAAAACATCACAAAAAGCAGACACTCCAACAGACTCATGGCTAAAGGGACGGCTCGCTAAGTGATGCACATCAGCACAATTGCGTACGCCAAGCAGGAGCGGAGCGGCGGAGCCTACAAATAGCATGAGAGACCGTCAGACTCCTGCACATCGAGTCACTATAACAGTGGGGCCTAGGACACGAACACGAGCAGTGGAAGAACGCCTTTTTTTTGTTGTGATACGACACAGGATTTCACACCGGTCGACTGGCATGCACGTGAAAGAAGATGTGCATAGCTAGCGGCTATTGCGCGCTAACAGAGCACATGAAAGAGACGAAGTTTAGTATATGTCTTGATTCATGCCGACGAGCTATTACAATGCTTCAGCAAACCCCTCTTTCGTCTGCCATAAGCCCTGCATTCTATGTATGCGACCAGGTGAATGGTCAAACAGCAATTGTGCGCCTAGCAGGGTACACTCGTAGCAAAACCAGAAGCAATAATCGTCAAAGCCCTTGATGGCAACGTGACCCTCTTCTTCAGCATTCGCAACAAAAGTTGCTCCCATACTCACTTCTTGGCCCTTGGCTTAGCAGGTGCCTTCTTTTAGCAGCTGGCTTTGGCTTCTCCTCGTCATCATCTTCGTCTTCACTGTCTGCCTTTTTCTTTCCCTTGCCTTTTGCAGCGGGAGCCTTCTTTTCTTGGGTTTGGCAACGTACTTGTCCTTTGAAAGGTCCAAGTCTTCCTCTTCTTCGGCATCGTCTTCGGCTGCTTCCTTGAGAATGGCTTCATCTTCCGAGTCGTCCATGGCTTCCTCGAGATCGGGCTTGTCCTTTGCGATCTTCTTGGATGGGTTGACGACGCTGGAAGCCTTCATGAAAGGTAGAGGGTGAGACTGTGCATTGTACCTGTGAAAGAGATGAGTCAGTGTGTGGTTCTCAAGTAAGATAGACAGTGCAATGATCACTCACGTCCTGGTAAAGGTGGCCTTTGTCTGTGTTTCCAGCTTGATCTGTTCCTGGTCCATGGGTCCCACGCCAAGTTCCAGAATGGCATCAAAGTCATCCTTAGTAAGGAAGTATTGATCCATCAGCTGGATGACTTCGGGAACTGCACCTTTGCCTTCAACTTCCAGTTTCTTGACAAGGTTTTGCCACAATGTGGGAAGATACTGCTGTCTGATCTCATGTCTGTCTCCAGAAGTGCGCAGACGCATGTGACCTTGAATTTCCTTGACTTGACGGCTGAGTTTGCCATAAGTACTGTTCTTACCCAACCACGTTGTGAAGCGGGTCTGACTGCCAGCTTGAGAGCCTGCGATGAATGAGGCTGGACGAACAAAACTCATGATGGCGTGTGTAGGCATCAAACTCCACTGCTGTTGAGAGCCGTGAATCATTCTGTCGACCAGATCACCGTCCGAGATACTGTCGGCTGCTTGACTTGATAGCTCGAGCGTCTTGAGGTTGGCCATCTTTGCATTAGGAGCGTCTGCAGCTAGGATCGGCTTTGTACCAAGATAGTTCTCTTGCAACATCAGAGGGCTGAACTCGTGGTCGTTGAAGTATAACTCGATCTTGTCGTTGAGGGTTGATTTGCTGGCTGCTTGGAACATGCCACCCCGAGAATCTTGCTCGTAATGTCCCACGGCTTCAAGACAACATGCTTTTCCCAGGCCTTGGACATCTCCTTGCCCTTGTCGTAGTCCATTGCAGACTGATCGAGCTTTGCTGTAGAAATCATGTTGACAACCTGGCGAATATCTGCTCCCGTGCCTTCAATCAAAGCGTTCATAACGTTTGGAGGCATTTTGAGACCTTCGCGATGGGCGATTGTTGCGATACGAGCACGGATCATGTCGTTGCTCGGACGGCGGAAAGGCATGTCGAACGTGACAAAGTCGAATGGCTTCATCTTGGGGAGCTTGCGGTCGTTGCAGATGAGAATCATCGGCACCTGGGTCTTCTTGCAGACAGCTGCGAGCGCACCGACACCACCGCGATCGCCAGCAGACATACCGTCGACCTCATCCATGATCAAGACCATCTTCTTCTTGCTTGCCTCAACCTCGCCAGAAGAGAAGTAGCCCATGAGAGAAGTTGTGCTCAGGACACCCTTAAGACCACTTTCGACCAACTTCTTGCTGCGAGTGTCACTGGCGTTGCTTTCGACAATATCAAAACCTTCAAGTTTTGCGACCAGATGTGCTGCTGTAGTCTTGCCGATACCGGGAGGGCCGTGGATCATGACGGCTCTGTAAGTACCACTGCCATCCTTTCCGGCCAGCTTGAAGTCTTTACGGGCGTTCTTGTGGAAGTTGCGCAACCAGTTGCTCAGCTTTTCTACTTGACCTTTGTTGCCACAGATCTGACTGAGCTGAGTGGGAGCATATTTGACAGTCCAGAGTCTGTTGTCAGTGCCGTCGGCAGCAATGCCCTTTGGTTGAGATGCAGTACCCTTGGCAGCCTTTTCCCGCTCTGCCTTTTCGATCTCTTCGGCGGCTTTCTTGATTTTGTCGGCTTCCTTCTTTTGCTGTTCCGCGAACTTGGCGCCGGCAACACTATTGCCGCCGTTGGGAGGGAGCTTCTTGATGAGAGCGCAGAGGCCTTGTTCGTCAATGACTTTGAGATTGTGTTGCTTGATGGTAGCGAGTTTCTTGGGACCAGCCTCAGCTCCCAGCACAACGTAATTGGTGTTCTTGCTGGGGGCTGTCATGCACTTTCCACCATAACGCTTGACCAGATTCTGACCCTCTTCTCTGGAAAGGTATGTTAGCTGGCCAGTGAAGACAAAGCTTAGACCAGCAAGACAGTTTTCATTGCCCTCGGGAATGGCGAGACTACCGGCTCCAGGGGCGGGATTATCATCCTTGGGTCGATTGTACCATTTCTTCTTGCCGGTTGCCTCATCATCACTGGTGGATCGGGTGCTTGAATCAAGGGGATATCATCGAGGATGGCCTTGAGTTCCGCGCTGTCTTCGACTGGTGGGTCCTTCTCCTTCTTCTTGGTAGCACGAGGTTTCTTTGGCTTGGGCTTTTCTTCTTCGTCCGTGTCGAGGTCCTTGGACTTTCTCTTTGCGCTGGCCTTGGGCTTTGATTTTGCTTTGGTGGGTTCTTCGACAACCATGTCGTCGTCATCATCGTCGGGAGCGACAAAGTCATCATCTTTCATCTCAACGTCGGCGTCTTCGTAGTCTTCATCTTTGATCTTGGTCGGCTTGGCCTTGGTGGTGGCGGCGGCACGCTTTTTGGGAGGCATGTCTTCGACAGGAGGGTCTTCTTTCTTGATGTCTGTTGCGGGAACGTCGTCAAGGTCGTCGTCAGGGAAGTCGTCAGGGTTCAGGTCATCTGTAGAAGCGGGTGGAGTTGTTTCTGATTTGATAGGTTTGGCAGGAGATTTCTTGGGAGGAGCGAGTTGTGATTTGGTGGCGGCGGCAGTTCGCTTTGGCTTGTTCTTGCTGGCGAAGTAGGCGGCAGTCGTTGTTTCCTCGCCTTGTGGTGATGCGGCGCGTTTCCTAAAGTATGTCAATTGGGGAAGGAGCAGGTCGCGGATCAGGCAGACACGCTTACGCTGTTGCTGCTTTTGTCGTGGTTGACTTCTTTGGTACTACCCTGTCGCAGTATCAGCATGTGATCAAGGATAAGGCAATCGAGTCACACACTCTTCCTCGTCGTCGCTGTCATCAACGACCTTTCTAGCTCTTCCCTTTTGACAGGAGCCTTCTTTTCTTCTTTTGCCGGTGGTGTAGCAGCCGGCTTGCCACCGAAGAAACTACGAATATCTGCTGGCATGATCTGTCTCTATTCAGAAGCAAGATAGGTGGATAATACAATTGATCCAAGTCAATTGCAGCTCCTAGACAAGACGCGCTCGGCGTTCGCGCTCACTCGACCGCGCGTCATCAATCAATCCCGATTAGGCTGCACTCCCGCGGGAAACGGAACAAGCCGAGCTCGACTTGGAGAAAGTCCAAGGGACAGTGATCGAGCAGCCTCGAATAGAGCGATATACACACAATAACATCAACCATGTCGGCACCACGAATCCGCGCGAGCCTTGCCTCGCATCGCAACACTCTCTTCTCCTTCGCCCACACCTGCAGTACGCCAATCAACTCTTTTGGTTCCTTGCGCAATCAAGACTAAACTTTACTCCAGCANCGGCCACAATTCCTCCAAAGCCAACCACCTCCAATCCTCTCGTCCCTGACCCGCGCATTCTCTTCGACACCTTCTTCACAGTCTTGGCTACTTCCTCGCGCCGGCGCGAACAAGAAGGACCGCAAAGGACGACCTCGCGTACCCACTGGTGGCAGCACTCGCGGAACCACCGTCGTCTGGGGCGATTACGGCCTCCGTTTGCTCGATCATGACCGTCGCATTAGCGCTGCACAGCTCAAGATTGGCGAAGATGTCATCCGCAAGCGCCTGCGTGGAATGAAGTACCGTCTTTACACCCGTATCTCTGCAAACATCGGTGTCTACACTTCTGGTAACGAGTCGCGTATGGGAAAGGGAAAGGGTAGCTTCGATTACTGGGCTTCGCGTGTTGCTGTCAGCAAAATCATCTTCGAGCTCAAGGGAGAGTTGCACGAGCAGGTTGTCAAGGATGCTTTCAGATTGGCTGGAAACAAGTTGCCTGGACTTTACGAGTTCGTGCGTGCTGGAGATCCACCAGTCATGGGCATCACAAAGCTCGGAAATGGTGTCACTGAGGAGTCGCTCAGAAGGCCGAGACGTGAGCTGCCACCTCCTAGCATTGATCAATCCGCCAACCGCATGCCCGAATCTCCTTCGCCGTAAGGTATGACGGCATCTTCTTGTTTCTTCCTGCTCTGCTGGCTGTATATGATATGGGGGACTCACAATTTTGGGCAGTTTCCAACGGCGTTTTCACCATGGTTTGTACAAATACTCAAAAGAGACTCTTTTACGATTCATTCATTTATCCTTCATCTTTGTTGTTTTCGACGATTATGAGGGCACCCAAGACATACACACGACAAGCTTGCGTCTTCTCCACTACGAAATCATTCTTGCAGCTGCAGCGATGTGTGGTTGGGTTGTAGAAGTCATGATTGGATGTCAGGCACCACGACGCGGCTGCTTTTTACCGGCCGGAGTTTACTCAGTCCGAATGTTACAAGGATGGTAGAGAAAATCTGCCGTCGTCAATCTCCACTTCTTGACCTATCACATTACCGCGTCTTGAACATGGCTGGAAGGTACCCAGCTTGACGTGCAGTAGTTCTTTTGCCATATGCAAGTGCCAGATCTATGGTATGCGTGAAGCCGTGCGAAGTGGCTGGAAAATGCTTCAACATTGCTTTCAGACTCATTGCTTCCCCGTTTGACACACCACGTCATTGTTTAACACTTGTAGCGCAGTAATACGAATATTCTTGAAAGGCCATCAATGCGCAATAGACCTGCTACTTTCGCTAGAAGTCAGGTTCCATGGCTAGACTTTTACGGTTTGCAACTTTTTCGGCTGCTCGATCCCAATGCAGGTGGCTGCAAAACGGCGGTCACCACGGCTATCTTGACGATATCAGACTAATCGCATGCACCATGTGCGAGTACTGGAAGACTAGCATTGCGGCGTAGAAAGTGGATATCGCACTTGTTGGCTGTGAGGAGAGTTCGCAAATCTCCATGTCGGAAAGCCCCGCTTATTCTCGTCCAACCAAGTGCTCATTGCCAACCTCTTCCCTTGTTTGACACAACTTGCATGACACTTGATCATCACGAAAGAGGCGCACGTCACCGGTCTTGAAGCGCCTCTGAGTCTCACACGGATGGACACTGGCATCCGTAGGGCTTTACAGGCCCATTCTGTCCGTTTGAAAGTCGCGTCGACGGAACAACAGGACCGTTGGCTAGAAACCCAGCCGTTGGACACAAGCCGAACCTCTTTCTCCTACTCCAAGCAAGGGATATCCTAGGAACCGAACCGCTTGAATCGTCTATGATGCCAATAACTACCGTTGTAGCGCAGGGCAACATTCTGAAAAGATCTGGCACTTTTGTTCCCTTTGTTCAATCCCAATCGCGCTACTCCTCCAGGTCGAGACAGTGATTCTGTTCTGGATTTGTGGACCAGGCTTTTCCCCCCTACTGTGAAGCACCCCTTTTACGCGTTCTACAACGCGCCTGCATGGACAACTCTTCACGAGGACCTGTCAGGTCAGTCGCGCCAGCAGACAAAGACGTATCGATCGTGACTTTAATACCTGTCATTGAAGGGTCCGTCCGTGCACTTCACCTGGGTTACACTATCTTCCTATCGTAGAACGTTGACCTCTATCACGCCCTCCTACGCAACCACATGTCGGGTTTTGCACGTGTAGGCAGTTCGAGTATTTGACTGCAAATGGTATAAGATGGTGTGCGCCTCCTTGCTTTCATTGTTCCCTCACGCGCACCAACAAATCATTCGTGACACTCATCCCGGTAACCAGGTTAAATGCAGCTGTAAAGGTAAAAAAAAAAATCTTTCCGATTCACTAACCCCTCCAGCCCCTTTACAGAAGCACTCGATCCCAGGTTTCCGCGAGCGCCACACAGGCTAAGTATCCCACCCTCCTGATCCCTACACTACCTTAATCCGTGCTTTCTGCAGCCAACCCTGCTTGCCGACAGCCTAAGCTGTTCGCGTCTGCACTGATATATATCCAGGTCGCTGTTTGCACATTTTCACAGAACCAGGTTTCTCACTCTCATTCACAACAACACACCTCACCACACTCTTTACAATGCGCGTCACTCAGGTCATCGCAACTCTTGCGCCTATCGGTCTTGTCGCCGCTGGACCTCTACATGGTCACTCTCGCCATACCCACCTTCATCATCTCCACCACCGCTCTCTCACAAACGGCACTCTAGCCAACTCCACTACCACAGATACTGCCAACTCTACGATCTTCGCTGATCATATTTCATACGAGACTTCTACAGTCAATGTTGCTGCTAACTTTGCAGATGGTACTGATGCCAACTCTGCTAGCTCAGAGGTAGCTTCCAGCACCATCTCGGAATCAAGCAGCATCTACTCCTCCACGACTGCGCAGTCAGAAACTGCTTTCCCAACTTTGTCACTCACTTCCGATGGTTCTTATGCGAGCGGGTCTCCTTCGAACTCATCATTGGCTCTGAACAACTCAACCGCCATTCCTTCCGATGCATCTGTTTCGGTTGTTCTTGCTGTTGCAGCCACCACACCTACTGCTGTTGGCGCACTTTCTCAGACTGTTGATACCACTACCAGCATATCTGTCGATACTGTCTACAACACCGTCACTGTCAATGGAGCCGTCACTACTGCATCTGCAAGCGAAAAGACTGTTACCGTTACCGATGTGGTCACCAACTTTGTCACCGCCACCTTCTCTGCATTGACACCTTTCAAAGCTCCTGCCATCAAGGTTGCTGCTCTCTCCTCCGGATCTTCTTGTGCCGCCATCAAGACCAGCATCGTCTACCTTCCCGCCAGCCAGTCCCCGACTCTCATCGCTGGAGGTGCTTCTGCCAGCAAAGTGTCTTCCTCTTCTTCCTCCAAGGCTACCAGCCACAGCACAGTCAGGTATGTGTCTCAGTCCTCTTTGNNAAGTCAAGTTCTTCCTCTGTCAAAAGTCGAGCACATCTTCCAAAAGACGAGCACCTCTGCCAAGCTTCCCGCGACTGTCAAAATCGTCAGCACTTCTACCAAGAAATCGAGCACATCTTCCAAGAAGACTAGCTCTTCGTCTGCTAAGAAGGTTTCTAGCACTTCGTCCAAGAAAACTAGCAGTTCCTCTGCCAAGCCTACTTCATCGTCCAAGAAGTCTTCTACCTTGATTACCATGTCTTCTTTGGTCCAACATGGCGTTACCACCAAGTCCATCGTCACCTCTTCCAGTATTCCTGCTTTGGTTTCTGGATCCAGTTACAAGGCATCCTCGTCTGCCATGTCTTCAAGCAAGGCCGTTTCGTCTGCCCAGTCTTCGAGCAAGGCCGCTGCATCCAGTTCTGCAAAGGCTAGCTCTTCTTCCTGCGCTACTGTTGCACCTCCTGCTTCCACACAGACTGGTATTGTGTCTGGCTGCACAAAGTGGTACACTGCCAAGTCTGGCGATTACTGCTATGTTATTGCTTCTGCAAACGGCATTTCTACTGATACATTCATGGCTTGGAACCCTGCTGTCAACGCACCTTCGTGCAACAACATCTGGTGAGCCTTACGACTGCTATTTCTCGGTGATTTCAAGAGCTAATATATGCATAGGGTCGGATATGCCTACTGTGTCGCTGCAGGCTGTAACTCGGGTTCCAACACTCCTTCCTCTGCCGCAAAGTCTTCAGTCGCTGCAACATCCCCTGCCGCCTCCACTGCCACCACCGCAACCCAGACTTCTGGATCTGGCTCTTCTGCCTCTTCAACCTCAGTCCCCTCCACCGCATACAAGATGTACACCGGCAATGGCACCGTCGCTGCAGGCTGGCCCGCTCAATCGCAATGGATGGACTTTGACTCCATGTTCGCCGCCAACATCCCCATCATGCAGCAATCGTGCGCAAACAACGGTTGGGGCGCCAACGACTCTCCCACCGAGATTGCTGACATCAAATCCGCCATCCAAAAAGTGTCTGCCTCTTCGGGAGTGGATCCTCGCTTCATTCTCGCTATTGTGATGCAAGAATCTAATGGATGCGTTCGCGTCATCACCACCTCCTGGAGCGTCCAAAACCCTGGCCTCATGCAAGACCACGCCGGCAGCGGCACCTGCAACTCAGGCGGTGTGATCCAAAACCCGTGCCCAGCCTCTGAAATCGAACAAATGATTACCGATGGCACTGAAGGCACTGCCTCTGGCGATGGACTTGTGCAATGTCTCAAGGAAGCCGCTGTCACGGATGTTAGTATGTATTACCGTGCTGCTCGCATTTACAATGGCGGTTTGGGCGGCTACCACGCTAATGATCTGGGAACTGGGTGTTGTACGCTTTGCTATGCGAGTGACGTTGCCAATAGACTTACGGGATGGAGCTCTGGACCTAGCGCTTGCACCTTGTAGATCAAGGAAGCGTGTTTGAAGAGGAATGAACGCTGGCGTTTTACTATATGATGCAAGGCGTTTGTACAAGAGGAGGGAATATAGGATATGGCTGGCCGATACTGGATATCGACTGCAGGAGTACACAGAGATGGATACAGACAGCAAAAAAACACACCCACGACATCTTTTTTTCTTTTGTTTATATAGCTGCTACCAACACGAATACCAAATGCTCATACACAAGGAACCGTACTTGCCTCTGCCTCTCTCCCTGTTTCCAAGCTCTCTTGATTTGTTAAAGTACCGAATATAATTTCGAATAAAAGGTCCCAAAGATAATGGGTTCAGAAACTTTTCAGAGGTAAGCTTAGGTCTGTATCGACTGACCGATCTCATCATCACTCCTTGAATCAATCCTCCCCATGTGCTAAAGACAGTCACAGTTGTAGCTGCCGAAAAGCACGATCTTTTCGCAAAACTATGGTCCCCATTGAGAGAGCCTTAATGAAAGTTTTCTCACTGGGCAGACTTGTTCTCAAGTCAAAACCATGCATTTCGACAGCCTATAACAACCCTTATAGCTCGGAATGGAGAAGCGGTCAGGTGTAAATTGTGACTGTCTTTAGCACATGGGGAGGGTATACTTCCTCACCTCCCAGAAACCAATCCTAAGACCCAATGTTTCAAGGTCTGACTTGTTTCACTCTCGTGACCGAGTGTTGCTTCCATTATGGGTGCATCATGTGGCTCTTTCTCAGCAATCACTGCGTGTATCTTTGCTTTATCCTGCTTCTGCTCTGATAATCAGTATATCCCCTACCATTCTGTAGTGGTAACATCACACACCTTTAGTTTGTCTGTCATGGCTACTATGTCATCGACCAACACCTCATCTTCCCCTGCAGTCACCAACACCTCTGTGACTGGAATGTTACTCCACCATTCGTGTGGTGCTGACAGAGGATTGTTGTAGTTATCCATTTCCGCCTCTTGCAGGAATTCTTGAGTCCAGTGGGAGAGCGCCACAGCACTGATGCAATCTCTGTCTTTGTTCCGTTGAAACGAAGCAGCGGAAACAGAAAACGTTACCCATGGAGACACCAACACTAGACCTTTGAGGTTGGTGTCGGAGGGGAGGTGTAGAGCAGGGATGCAAGGATGGGGATGACATAGGTGGGACACAACGCCCAAGGCGAGGTTTCCTCCTGCCGAGTCGCCTGCTAATATAATNNCTTTGCTTACTTATCAGTATAGCTGGAATCAAAGTCGGTAGCGGGCAAGGGATGGACGGACTTGTTGAGCAGATTTTCCCATGTCTTCGATTAGGTAACGTAGGGCGGAGATGGCTTGCTCTAGTTGTCTAGGGTATGCTGACTGTGAAGACAAGTCTAGAAGACCACAAACTCTGGATTAGTATCTCTTAGGTGCTATGGCAGGATGGAGCAACTTACCGTATTGGATGATCAAAACATTGAGCTCTCGCCCATGACTCTTGGCTTCGTCTACAAGACCTGCTAGTAACTTCATGTGGTCTTTTTGAGCGGGAAACGCATAACCTCCTCCNNTGGTGGAAACGTGCAATTAGTACCTTACCATCAAACCAAAACAAAAAGCAGATGTAAAAATATCAAAACCCCCCTTACCATGAAACCACAAAACCGTAGTCTCGGCTTGAGGATCTCCAATCCATCCTCCCTGCACAGATTCCGTATCTACGAAAACTGGCTCGAAGCCTTNTTTCCTTGCAAATGCTTTGTAGACCTCTGATGTGGAGGGGGGAAAGCGTGCTGCCATGTCAATCTCATCAGCTCTATTGGGATGTGGGGTGGAGGGGTCTTGAAAGGTGGAGACCTGCCTCAAAAGTCGTCCGGGTAGGTTCGAGGTTAGGCATTTTATGGCAGTAAACACTACATGCTGTTTATATGTTCTTGCGCTGTCGGGGCCTCGGAATGGGCCTGTAAGGACTGCAATGAGTGCTGTCCAGACTATGGACCTGTTAGTGTAGGACAATCTCAGAAGTCTACTCACAAACATACTTGTTAAACTAAACGCCCGGATGAGTGTAAGAATGTCCCTGTTGGTCAGATTTGGCTTGTTACTCATTGCGGTCGTGGTTTGTCCGATGTGTCGCTACGTGCAGACGGGGTGAGTTGAGCGGGAGGGGTCTGGTATACTGTCACCAACTTCGTTGACGGTCATGGATGTATGACTTCATCCGATGTCGTCGGGATCATGAACCTAAAAGCATATTCACGTTATTCCCAACTCTGCCGAGCTTATGCCAAAGCTCTTGACAAGTGACTCATCAGCAAAGGCTACATTTGACGGACTTTGTGCTACATAACGCTTTCTGCATTATAGTGATGATGTTCCGGTCGTGGTGGCAAGAGATCAGGGGAAACCCTGCTCCAGAGAGTAGGCCCCACTGTTATAGTGACTCGACGTGCACCCCAATGGCCTTCCCGTTCTATTCCTGCTTTGGCGTACGCGATTGTATGCATTAGCGAGGCTTTCTCTTCCTATGTGCTTTGCAGCGTATATAACTTCTACCATTACTCCGAGTATGGCTAAGAGCAAAATGTAGACTGTAGAAAGGCATAATCAGTTTAGAAAGTAGGGGCGTGTCCATAGAGAGTCGATGATTAGGTTCCGCAATGTTTTCTACTCGTTTGACAAAAATTGTGATGATAAGATATACTATCTTGTTCTGCTGCTGTCAAACGGCGTGAGTGGATTCCTGACTTGCCTTGCTGGCATGGAAAAACTATGCAAAGATCTGTTTTGAGGATATGTATCTGCAGATCAATCTTTTGTGGTATTTCTTCTGTGGGAAGGGAAGCTAGATGTATATTCGTGTTTGGAGATACATTCGTCCTCCTCTGCAATTCCCAGTTTCTGAAACTTCCCATTCTCTGAAACTAGATTTGTGTGAGTGTTGGTTTTTGCTTCTTGTTCACTCTTCCAAGCCAAAGTTTTTGTCTCCTTGTTCGGATGAGATATCTTAATCTGAGATCTCTTCGTCGTGGTCTTCGTTTGAGATTCCTTCGTCGTGTCCTTTGTCCTCGTCGGAGTAGCTGTGATCCCATAGCCAGTCTCCTGGATACCAATCTAGTGTACATTTGACCTCTTGTTTGGCTTGTTCAACTTGTTCGTCTCCACTGGCATCCTCTGCATTGTTTCCATCTCCATCTTTCCCATCCCCATCCTCACTCTTCTGTCTCCGTGCCCCATGCACAAACCCCTCAGGCGGCTGCACAAAACTAATCGGCTGTGTGAGTGCATGCAAGAACCTACACTTTTTCTTCCTTTTCCTGCTTTGGCTTTCCTCCCTTCTTCATTGGTTTTGTCGTAGGGACAGATCCCATGATACCATAAGAAACACGTTGAGTGGATTTTGTTGTGGGAAGAGGCTTTCACACCAGCATGGGTGGTTAAAGTGGCGGTGTAGGGAACTATGTCTAGTGGTTTTGCGGTGGCGAGGAGGGATTGTTGGGCTTTGAGGGCGGTGCGTTTGGTGAGTTTGGTGTGGGTGGTAATGGCGGTGAGGTTTGTGGAGTTAGGAAGTTTGGTGGTGCTGGCAGTGGAGTTGGTGAGGTTGGTGGTGGTGGAGTTGATAGCCTCATCACCATATTTCTTCTTATCGTTTTCCAACTCTGTAGTTTGTTCAGAAGAACTGTAACTTAAGCTCTGCATTGAGTCTCTAGCTCCCCTCTGACCCTCGTGACTTGGCTCCTCTTGTCTAGCTCTCTTGTTCAAACGCCCTAGATCTGTGGTTTCTGTACTTTGAATAGAGGCTTTACGTTTCAAAGGCAAAGATCCATACTGCCCTCTTTGCAATCTTTGTCCTTTGGCATATCTTCCCGCTTTAGGACTTGGAGGAATGCTTGTTTTGCTTGTTTTGCTTGTTGCTTCCACTTTATCAGCAGTTCTCGTATCCCTGACTGCCCTTTCGACTTCTCTTAGCTGATCCGACTCCAAAGGTGTATACTCAAAGCAACCCCGAGTACTGGCGTAAAGATCAGGATGTGAAGGGGAAATTTCAGAGGCAGGGCTTTGCAGGCTTTGCTGCAGGAAAACGGAATCACGCATTCCAAGGATTGAAATCAGGATATCTGGGTACATTGCTAGGCCTTTGAGGACTTGGTCGCGAGTGAGGGTTGGTTCTTGGGTTTGTGATTGTTGCTGTGATTGTTGCTGTGATTGTTGCTGTGATTGTTGCTGTGATTGTTGCTGTGATTGTTGCTGTGATTGTTGCTGTGATTGTTGCTGTTGAGGCTGTTGGGAGTTCGTTATGTGAGGGTGAGCTGCACTCCTTTGCTGATCAAGCAATTGTCGAGGACCCGCCTCATAAGGAGCTATAAGGTATTGCCGCAGCAGATCCATGTTTACTTCTTTTTCTCGAATGTTTATGGTTGCTTTGTGTTCCGATGCGCAAGTGGCGGTTGTGTTGATTTCATTCGGTCCTAAGATCTTTCTGGATGCTCGGAAAGAATTTATATAGAGCGTTGAGATTTGCAAGTATGAATGTGTGACTGCCAGAGCTGAAAGTTTCTGCAAGGACGAAAAACACTCAGTAGAGAGTGTGGAAGTGAAAAGAAGTGGAAGCCAGTAAACGCTACCTCTGCATGGAAGTATGTGAAGGAAATAAACGACTCGCCATGTCGAGCGGAGCAAAAGATCGTGATTTGGATAGTCAATGAGAGAGACGGCTGACAACCAATAAGAGAAACAAGTGAAGTAACATGGCACGTAGCGTCCTGCAGCTAAACCAAACGAAAAACAATCATCAAACCTCATGAATATGTATGCTCCCTCTAGCTATACCCTCTGCCACCCAATCCTTTGTCACTTTCCCCAGCTCTGTTTTTTTTGTCAAGTGTTTGCAATAAGAGCATAAAAAAGTCCTCACTTCCACTGCTTAGAATCTGGATGTTGAAATCATTGTGACTTTCTGCAGTAATCTGCGGTAGACCTTGTTCAAGTGGAGAACGAGAAGCCAAGTCACAAACATTCAAAAGATCTTGTCAAAGATGTAAGACAGACACCCTGCCAGCCGAAAATCAAAGGTTGAGAACTCGTCAATCAAAGGATAGGCTGCAGCGTGAAATCCCCAAATCTAGGGAGCAAAAATATCTTTACGACAATGATGGTTCTGATGGCTATCAACAACCTTTCAATCTGCTGATGTTAGTCCTAGATTGTGCGTGTCCAATTCAAGCCACCATATCTGCTTGACATATTGCCGCTGAGTGAAATCTTGGAGGTCGTTTCTTCAACTACAATTTTCTTGTTTCCAAAACTCTTGTCTTCATGACAGCAACAAAACAATCTAACAAAGATGCAAAAGACGAAAAGAAAAAAAAAGCACAATTATCAAACCTTTCTTCTTTTCTTGTCTCCTCCAGTGGTTGCAGAAGCCCCACCCCACCCCCGACACCTCCTCCTTCTTCTTCATCTTCCTTATCAGCAACAGCTTGTCGAACATTCGCAGCCGCACCTTCGACTTGCCTCCAATCTCTGACTTTGGCTTCAATGTCATCTGCCATTTCACGTGCATCCTGCACCATACCCTCCATACCAGGATTGAACATGACAGCATTGGCAAACATCCTCATGACTTCCTTTTCAAGTTGGCTAGAATTGACAATCGCACGAGGAGGGATCAAGTCTGCTGTTTTGTCGAGCAGAACCAGAGAAGCTGAGGAAGAGGTAGAAGGTGTAGCAGCCGGAGAATCCGTAGACGAAGTAGCGGCATTGATGGCGCGAGATCCAAAAGTTATAGCTGCCTTTATGGATTTCAGATCTTGGGGCCGTTTGATGATGGAAGTGTAGCCTTCTGCGTCTTTTTCGCGGACGGGTTTTTGGAATGGTCCTGCATGTTTATGTTGAGTGATATCGTTAATGATCACGTTGGAAATGCGTGCGAAATTGCGATGTGCTTGAACTTTGTTTCTGAGAGGAGGTCCGTAAGCTGGTCCTGTTTGTTCGGGTTCAGAAGATTCTGCGACAGGTGGTTCTGAGGAAGGAATTGGAGTTGCCGAACGAGCCCGCTTGCGCTTGTTGCCCGCGAACCGACCACGTTTCGACCTGAGTTGAGAAGGTGGATCAGAGGTTTCGGCTTGAAGAATCTCTTCCTGAAGCATGTCGGCAGGTGTCATTGGTTCGTCCTTAACAACACGCGATGCAGCCAATTGCTCTGGGTGGGGAGCTTGAGCCTCGATTTGAGAGAGCACCGATTGACTCCTTGTTCTGGCACGAACAGAGCTCGCAATGGCAGAAGAAGCATTGCTCGCAGCACGATTGCGTCTAGTTGATTTGCGACTAGACTTGGCAGGTTTAGGAGTTGGTTCTGCTTCTTCCTGCTCGACTTGGTTTGGATGTTCTTCCACAGGTTTGGGCTTGATTGGAACCTCTTTCGCAGTGCGGACAGGCGAAATTTCACGCGATGGTGGAGGTGGGCTCACACGTTCAGGTGCAGGACTTTCGACGCCGTCGATGAATGGTCTGGACAGCATGGATGGTCTTTCACGTTTCCAAGTTGCAACACGAGGATTCGAACGAGGAGTCATTGAACGAGAAAGAGTTGAGCGAGGCGTCTTTCTCAAACTGCTCAAAATGTCCAAGGGATTTGCAGCATCCGGACGACGAGGATCAGAAGGCGCAGGATAGGCGTATGGCGTGTGGGGAGAGTAGGGAGCAGGAACATGCTGACGGGCAGGAGTAGGTGGTTGACGAGCGTGTTGTTGGGCGATATGCTGTTGATGCATTCTGTTTGGATCCTGGGCAGCAACTTGGAAGGGTGGCAATTGATAACCTCCTTGGTGAGGCGGACGAGTTGGATATGCTGGCTGCTGTTGAGGAGGGTAACCTGGCTGTTGAGAGTATGGAGGGTATGCCTGGTTGTATGCTGGAGAGTTTTGAACGTGAGATGGTCGCGGGGCGGGCTGGAGAGGAACTGGAGGCATACGCTGCGTTGGCGACGGATATTGAGCAGGACCAGCACGAGCCGACAGAGCAGGAGAATGTGGGCGAGGTGGCATAGTCATGCCAGGAGGAAGTGGCAGAACTGGACGAGGCGAGGATGGAGCAGGACTGTGACGAGGACTCGGCTGAGCGTTGGGTCGAGCAAACTGAGGGGGGAAACCATTCTGCTGTATGACTGGAGACAGACGGTAGGCAGGAGCTGATTGCAGATTTGGTAGCTGTGGAGAGGGTTGAGATTGCTGCATGTGCTGTGGCAGAGGAGGAGACTCTGGGGCCATCTCGGAAAGAGGTGGCAGGGAAGTGGTCGACAGCCTGTGAGGTACTGCAGGAGGGGCATACTGCGACTGTGAAGACGATGGAGGCAACGGAGGCGTGGGCGAAGCTGTAGGACGAGCAGCGAAAGGCTCATGATTGATGACAGCGTCAATTTTTGCGCGATTCAGTCGTGCTGGCTCCTTGGGATGCTGCGACGCGTTTTCTCCAGGAGTTGAAGCAGCGGATGCATTGGTTTGGGCATTCGCATCTGCTGTTGGAGTCGGCTCGGTAGATGAGAGTGTGGCAGCTTGTTCGCTTCGTAGTCGGTCGTCCCATTGTCCAGCCTCTATTTCACCAATCTCGCGCGTCAAAGTATCGTACTTTTCCTCCTCTTTCCTAATCTCAGCGACTACACCCTCCCTGTAGCGAGTGTACAGGCGATGAACAAGACGAGGGATCAAATGGGAGTGTTTGGCGGCTTCTTCAATGCTAAGAATGGTCGGGCTGAGTTGTCTCTTCTTCCTGTCGTCATGCTGATCCAGGCTATTGCGTGCTTCGTCCTTGAGCAATCGCAGACACAAGTGTTTCAAAGCATCTTGGTGCAAACGAGCGCTGTCGTAGGATGGGTCGTTGCGCACGAGCGGTATGTTGTTTAGCTGCTCTGAAATTTGGCCGAAGTGAATGGCAGTCAGGCCATCGCTGCGCAAGGCGTGCAAGAGCAGAAGCGACTCGAGCGGAGTGTGTTGGGCCAGACTGACGTTAGTCATTTGTCGCAAGGTCTTCGGCTTGTCGGCGACCAGAGTAGCGTGTCGGGTTGTGATCGGGCCAGGAGTTTGGATAGTTCCAGTTCATTCTTGTGTGGAGGTTGATTTACGCGTCGTGGCTCATGGTGGTTGTTTTGCGAAATGAACCAAGGCCTGAGTGATGAATTTGAGCGTGTTGTTGGTGGCCTCGTGCTTCGTGTCTGGATGCTTTGTGCTGCCATGGGATTTGCTTCAATTGCAGAGCGGCGCCTCTTCCGCTGCCGTCACCCGTTTGCTTGGCTATTCCGAAAAGCAGCTTTTAATTCATCTGCCTTAACGTCTATCTTGGAATAACACAGCTATGCCTTGACATGCTAATCATGAGAAAAGCCTCAATTCCTGCCCAACAGTCCTGCCTTTTCTTTGACATGTGTCCCACAGAGCCAACTGATCCATTCTGCTTGGCTCAGCGAGCATATCCATCAGCCACAAGGCAGAGTACTATTGTGATCTAACCACACTAGAATCAGCTCTTCTCATCCACAACACAATTGTGCTGTTCTGTTGAAGGATACATATAGGTATACATTCCTCGGCCTGCCTTGACGATGCTGCAAGTAATCGAGGCTTGGCGGGCTGGTCTTGCCTGAGTCGAGTTACTGCGTACGCACCGACTTGTGGTCATGTCGCAGCGTGCATATGAATGAGACGATCCTCCTTTACCACTCAACCTATTTGCATTCACCAACACCCCGCCTTCTGTCCACTTTTCCATCATCTGTCCCTGTTACCCTAACTGCTCTGCCTTACCATCGACTTGTCTTGAGAACAACCCCATCATCCCTGTCATACAACGTCATGGAACATACNCCTCAACAGCGGGCCAGACCCGAGTCGTACGCTGAGTTCCATTGACCTGACTGCTAGCCCATCCACTTACAGGCTCATAGCATTGCCGCTCGCAACTTCTCAGATGATCTGGATTCTCTCTTTGGCTTGAACTCGGGCACAACTCTCGGCAACCTCTCATTCACCGTCCAAGAGAAGTCAGCATGCCATTCCATGAACCAACACCATCAGCCCAAGCTAACCCGAATACAGNNAAAGCGCACAGTATCAACCCGAGAAGAAGAACTCGCTGCCATCGAAGCACGCCTACGCGAAACAGAGGAACGTCTAGCAAGAGCTGCCCACAGTCCCGACCACGAATTCACATCACATCAATCTGCTTCGGGTGCTCAGCCATCCTATGCCTCAAGAGAAGCCGCTCCCAAACAAACATCTGGCTACCAATCCTACTCGGAACAAGGATACCAATCAAGACCGCCAAACAACAGAGAAGAGTCGTTTCAACCTCACATTCCTGGTGCCATGCCCAAGACCCCTACACCACACTATGGTCAGGGACAGGACTATGTGATGGTCGATCGTACCAGATGATAAGCTGAGAACAGCAACAACAAGCATACGCGGTATCTAGAGGTCATGCTGCGAGGGAGTTTTGGGATTGGTTAAGAGGCATTTTCGACAAAGGGCTAGCAAGCATTCAAACTTTTACCCTAGAACAGACTTGATTTCAATCGTCTGTTGATGGAATGGGGGTTTTCTCAAGAAGCGATATTTTAATTGTAGCTCGATGGTTGAGAGGTAGAGCAGTGCTTTTGCATGGGTTGAGCGAATTGATTCCTATTACCTTTTGAATACAGATGTGAAACACTTGTCTGTAGATGTCATTTTAGGCACCATCTCGGGCATGTAAAGTACCTAGTCAGATACTAATGCCGAGCGGGCATAATCGGTAGATGGTGGAGTGATGAAGGGGTTGATCGGGCCGTGTTTGTCCTTTGCAGATCCCGATCAGTTTTATATATGGACACTTGGTCGAAACATGGACAGAGATTGAGCGAGGATGCGTGTGAAGCAGCAATTAATGACAGCAGTCGCATCAAATCATTCATCAAATGCATCTTGGGTTGTTTAGATACGGGAATATGGAACGGGCTTGGCAGCGGGCCGCTGACCCTCGACCGTCGCGACTGGATGCCGACCGTCATTGCACCTCGGCCGACGCGTATACCAGAGTGCGAAACCTGAAAGAGCTTGGAGTTTGCATTGCAGTGACTGCTCCGCCTGTGGGAAAGATCAACCGAAAATGACCGACGCCGACACGAAACACGACGGCAATGGAACCATGAACGACACGAAACCCACCAACAAGCACCACCAGCAGAGCACGAGTACCAACACGACCGACACACCCAAGTCGCAGGAGAGATCAAAGAGCACAGCCACCGTCGACAGCCCATCAAGCCCTCCCAGAAAGAANNGCGTAGAAAGGTCAACCATGCCTGTGTCTACTGCCGCCGATCACACATGACATGCGACCTCGAACGACCATGCGCCAGATGTGTCAAACGCGACATTGCCCACCTCTGCCATGACGAACCACGAGAGCCTGCGAAAGGCAAGAAGCCAGACACCGACACTCCTCCTGCCGAGACCACCACCAACCAAGACGAGCGCCGAAACAGCATGAGAATGGATCCTCCGAACATCAAGCAACAGAACCAACCTCAACCTAATCAACAACCCTTCTCCATTGACGACTGGAACTTTGGCTCGACTAAGCAACTACACGACATGCGCAACCTGCATCCCAACTACACATTCAACACTTCCGAAGTAACAGACGAGTACAACTTCCTCGGCGACTTTCTTAACAACAGTCTGCTTGACGATGGCGCAACCTACAATCTCGACGATTCAAACCCCATTTTCAACGACCCTCTGTTGGCAACTGGTTCCCTCTCCACCTACGCCAACAACATGAACCTCTTCAGCGGCATCCACCAAGCACAACCAAACGTACCACAACCACATAAACAAGACCATCAAGTTTCTGCCGCCAACCAAATTTCCCGTCCAGCATCAGTCATGCCCGTCGACACAAAAGCTCGTGACAAATTCTACATGACAGCCGCCGATCCAGCAGGCAACGATACCCCAGAAGCCCGCATGCTCAAACTGCTGCAAGCGAAATACGACGCCGGCATGTTGCGTCCCTTCAACTATGTCCGTGGCTACTCACGCCTAAACACATACATGGAATCCCACATGCGGCCACCTTTGCGCCAAAAGATACTCCGCCAACTAGAGAAATTCAGACCAAAATTTAGGGAAGCCATGCATAATCTTACAGACATCCAACTCATTCGAGTCGAGATGTGGTGGGAGAGCACATTGATGGAATATGATCGTGTGTTTGCTAGTATGGCTATTCCTGCCTGTTGTTGGCGGCGCACGGGAGAAATCTTCAGAGGCAACAAGGAAATGGCCGAACTCATCCAAGTACCCATGGAAGAATTGAGAGATGTGTGTTTTTCCTTTTCTCCACCCTTAATCCCTCTCATTTTTCTCTCTTTCGCTGCTTTTGCCTCTTTGCTTGCAAACCCAAACTCCTCGTGTTAGAAAACACTGCTAACCAAAACCTTTCCAAAACAGGGAAAACTCGCCCTCCACGAAATCATGGCCGAAGATTCTTTGGTCTCTTACTGGGAAAAATTCGGCGCTATTGCTTTTGACCAGTCTCANAAAGCCATCCTCACATCCTGTACACTCAAAAATCCTCATGACGATGATGATGATGATGATGACGATGAAAACTAAGACAACGACAACAACAAAACCGACAAATCCAAAGATGGTGTTGTTGTTGGCAAGAATAACGTCAAGAAAGCTCCAAAAAGGCAGAACCACAGCAGCAAGGATTGAGGAAATGCTGTTTTCGTTTACGATTAGGAGGGATATACATAACATGTGAGTTGTTTTCTTTTGATTTTCCTTGCGTCTGTGGTTTGGTTTGGAAGATTTGTGATCGATTTTTGCTGACGATATGACAAAAACACTAGTCCTTCGGTGATTGTAGGTAACTTTTGCCTATACTATAAGCCTTTTGCGTCCTTTGCCAAAGTGTACAGAAGTCAAAACCACTTGATATATATCTTTTTCTTCTTCTTCTTCTTCTTCTTTCTTCGGAACCAAGCAAAATCCAATATATTCGATATACGATACCCGAAATCTGCTTTTTACCTCCCTTGCTGTCTTTTTTTTCTTTTTTTTTTTTTTTTTTTTTTTTGCAAGCAACTTTTGTACCTCTTTTAGATGGGGCAGAGTCATGAAGGTGGCTTTTGGTCTCTAAATATTTCGTTTCTCAGGCAAAAAGATGTGACTGCATTTTAGAAAAGTTTGTGGATGCTGGTCGCTTTCTTTCTACTAAGATTTTTTCGTATGTGATAGTTCTTCGTAACCTGAGCATGGAAGGGAAAGGGCGGGTGGTGGGGGCTTAGTAACGAGATGTATAGTACCCATCGAAACTGCAGAGTTAGTGATGTAGAAGATGGTTGTGTGGTTATTTAAGATGGCCTTTTGCACCCTAAGTTGTCTTGTGGAGATTATATTCTTTACTTTATAAAAGCATTTCTATGTGTTTTTTAGCTATACTATTTGATTTAACTTGTCTTTTAGGGATATGGAAAGGTAGGTGCCATGTGTTTGTAAAAACAAAAGACCTGTATACTGTTTTCTTGGGTTGGCACTACACGTATGATACATAAACAACCTTGCTATATGTCTCTACATGCGTTATCTATATACTCTACCAGTCTTATTGTTAGATTCGTCGATATTACCGTTAGGAACAGCAAACAAAGAAATGCAAAAGAAGTAGAAAAAGTATCAAAGAGTATGCATAGTTAGCGAAGAGATAGAAGAATATATGGTCATTACATTACCACCACCTCCCTATACTCATCCACCGTACGTAAATCTACTTCTACAGACTTGTGGAACAGTAGACAAAGAATCTATCAATTTTAACATGTTTATTGCGTAATATAGACGTCTTGGTATTAGAGGTATAGTGATTTAGTGGCTTGTATCTCTAGATTCGAAGAAAGAAAAGGTACTGTACCTGGTACTGTTTATGCAAATCAAAGTACTAGCAAAACAGAGGAGTGGGAAAATGCAAACACTGCTGATGTATATTTAATCGCTAAAATACCAAATGATAGAGTAGAAAACACAAAATGCAAATGTAGACGTTGGCACTTTTTCCGCTGTGAGAGAATGGAAAATAGGAAGCGATACTGACAGAATACAAGCACCCGTGCTTCATCCTGGACAGAGACAACACTGCTTGGATGCAGGTCATATCAGATTCCCCTGCCTGCTGCCTTGCCCACCTCGACTCTTTTCTCCATTGCCACCTCCACTCTTTTCTCCATTGCCACCTCCACTCTTTTCTCCATTGCCACCTCCACTCTGCCTCTCTTTCAACTTCCTCATCTCCAAATCCCTTCTATCCATCTTTTCCATCTCTGCCAATTCTTGCCGTACAGCCTCGACACAAACATCCATGACATCGCCTCCAACCCTCCAAGTCCTGAGCACCACACCCTCTCTCTCCATAATAGCTTTCGCCTTTGCCCAGCGTCGTTTCCACAATTCTTCTTTTTTGGAAAGTAGAGGTCCGCCTTCGGGATCATAGGGGTCGTGGAAGGAGGAGTCGTTCCACGCGCCGCTGAGACGCGATGCTGCGGCTGCGGGGTAGGAAGATAGGTTGCGGCGGGGAGGAGGGGGTTTGGGTCGTGTGTTGTTGGGCTGGGTGGTGGAAGAGGAAGAGGGGAAAGCAGCAGAGGCACCATCACGCAGATTNNATCCATCGAGCGTGTTGCAGCCGAGGAAGTGAGTGTTCGTTGTTCGGCTGGTGTAGAGTTGCCGCTGCTCTCAGACGCCCATGTGGGACTGCGTTTGGTAGACGAAAAGTATGTGGTTGTGGGTGAGAGCTTTTGCTTTGCCGAAGCTAGGTAATGGCGTTTGGGTAACGGAGGTGGTGCGGTGGCACTTGCTGGAGACGGCTCCACGACTTGAGATNNAAGGGTGAAGGCACATTCGTCGTGTTGACAGTAGTGCTAGGTTTGCGAGGTTTGGGTGGTGGCGGAGTCGATGATTTCGCCGGAGGAGGAAAGACTGCATTCTTGCCCTCGCCAGATGGTGATCGCAATGCCAGAGGTTTAGGAGGTGGTGGGGAGTTGCGCGCTTAGCAGGTCCTTCGGTGTAAGAGCGTATAGCTGGTCTTCTGGTGAGTGATGTGCTGTAGGCTCTTTTTTGAGGTTCGTTGGACAGTGGTGAAGTACTCTCGTCATCACTAAAGTCGATAAGATTCTCCTCCACTGCAGAGGCTTGTGGTGCAGGAGGATCTGTAGGGCGTCTTGGTGGCAATGCAGGTCTTTTCGTTGGCTCGACATCTGCACCAAACAATGATTTTCTGTCCGGCTCGATGTCCTTGAGGGATTCAGCGATCGCTCTACGAAGCTCTTCATCGTCATCTTGTATATCCGTGGGACGATTGAGCCTCTTGGCTCCAGTCAAACTATCCGTCGACATGTTACGAAGATGACCTTTGGATGACTTATCACCACTCAAGGGACCCATCGATGGGTCGAAGAAGCCCTTATCAGGCTTGGACGTGACATCGCGGATGAAAATGGCAACTACACGACCTGGGTATTCCAGGACTACATCAGTGTAAACCTCCAAGTCTGCTTCACCGCTGTCTCCAACCAGAACAAATTTGCGTTCCGGAAAGTCACGAAACAGGCGGTCCAGAGTAGCTTTTTTGCGTTCGGCGACTGGCTCAAAAATACCCTGCAGCATGCCGCTATATTGCTTCAAGTGAAAAGATCCAAGTGGTAAGCCGGCAGCTTTGAAGAAGCCAGTAATGACAGGATAAAGTTGCCAGGGTGAGTTTGAGACGTAATGCATCTGTACACCCATGTCGGATAATTTGCAATACCATTGTCTGACGCCTTCAATGGTCAAGTCACCAAGATCGCGGATGAAAGCATTGCGGAAGATTTCTCTTGCACCACTGGTGATGGCACTGTGCTTGATGGTATCATCAATATCACTGATCAAGCTGACTCCTCTGACGGGAACGACCTTGACTTCTTCAGTAGCAGAAAGATCCTCGGACGCAAGGATGCGCACGTGAGTAGGAACAAAATCTAGGGCGGCTCGCAGGTGAAAGTGCCCGGCAGCATTCGTCTGTACAGTTCTTTGACGGGAGATTTTATCATTGTAGAAGAAAGCGCTGACGGATGCGTTGGCCAGTGGATTGGCCATGAATGGTCTCAAACGAGCCATGAGATGGTTGTTTGCAGTGACGAGTTGCTCGGATGACATTTNTGCAGGATTCGGCCATGATGAGCGTTTCTGGACAGGATCGATATAATCAGAGCCAGCAGTGTTGGTCCTTGAAGGAGCAAGGAAGTCGTCAANAGTTGGGCCTTCTCTCGCGCTGGGTGCTGGAGAAGGTTCTCTGGAGCGAGTGGTTTCTGTGTAATTACTCGGCCGTTCACTGAAACCTCCTCTTCCAGCAATTTCGGCCTCCTTCTCGCCCTTTTCAGGATTTCGTCTGCTTGTTTTTGGATCGCCTCCTCTTCCTGTTTTGTCGTCGAGTCTCTGTGGCCGCCAACGGGACTGGAAGAACGNACTACTGGCTCGACTGTTTGCAGAACTTGATCTGCCTGATGGAGCTTGTATACCGACGAGTTGTCTCGCAAGACCGACCATGAGTCGATGTTTGCGACTGAGTTGGCCCTTGTGTGGTGTATATAGCCAGCCACGCACATCGACGTCGACAATGGCCTTGTCTTGTTCGTACTCTTCCCATTGAGCCTTCCAGAACTCGGCGTCTCCTGCTCCTACAGTGTCTCTATAGTCTCTGCCAGTACCACCGGCTTGCTGTATTGTGCCCGGTTGAGCGCGGGGTTTTGCTCGTATGTGTCTTGTGGCGTAGCTGGGGAAGATGATCATCTCCTCATCACCACTGCGAACGACATCGGCACCAGGGAAGATGCCTGGTTGCTCCTCACTGTCTTGTGCAAAGTCTCTGGACTGTGACCATTGGTTTGCATACGACTGTCTCAGCTCGTTCGCGGCCTTGAGGTAACCGGCCAGCTTCTTACGACGGCCGCCCGACTCGCGAGGGGCATCGTCTTGGTAGCCTCGATATGACATGATTGCTCTTTGTAGGTATCCACGACCATGTTTCTCGGCGCGTGATGACAGAAGTGCCGGACTGCGCTGCCGCAGATAGGCGAGGACACCCTTGACCTTGGGCTGCTGCTTCTTGAGCTGTCTGCCGACAAGAAAGCGGTATATACGGGACTGGGCGGAATGGCGCAGTCTCGGGAGCGTGTCGAAACGGAGGTTGCGGATGGTGTTTCGTGCGTTGCGGCGGGTGGATGGCAGCAGGTAGCTGAGGATGGGCTTCGACTTGACCACTTTGCCTCGGGCCTTGAGGTTGCGCACAAAGTTGGGAGCCACTTTGCTGGCACCAGGTAGCTAATGAGCCACGTCTTTGATCTAAATCACCTCGCTCTGGCCTCCAGTCTATCCCCCAATCTTCAACTGTTGGAGAAGGATATACGTCATGCCCCACCGATTGTCTGTGCGAAAAGAGTCCGCAGTCCGCACTGTCCCTGAATATCCCCTTGCTGTTGGTCCAGATTGTCAGGAACAAGCCCAATAGTTATGACATTATCGCTATCTGATTGGTCTAGCCGTGTGATTTTTGCACAATTTAGTCAGGCAGGATCCTCCTAGCTACTCACGTCGGGTCACGGTATCCGACATGGTGATTGTTTCCACGCACCCTCACGCTTCGAGTGCCGAAGCCTGAGACGCCATCTTGACTGCTCGCCGCCAATTTGATAGACTCTTGTGCGTGCTTTTGGTCGTGCTGCTTCCCATAAATATTGTCGCTCTGTCGACGACTTGAAACAGCACAAAGGACCATGCTGGCCTAGTTACCGCGATGTTGAAAAGCATGCTAAATATTCAGTCAGGGTAGCACCCTCCGCAAAGTCGTCTCGGCACCACGGCTGCTAGGCTCAACCTTAATCCTCCGCATTTGCTCAAGTTTGTCACACCTGCCATTTGCAAACATGCACAGTACACATCCGCCAGGCTAGATTCCTACCTGAGATGGATCTCTCTTGGTATCTCCAGAATCGCAACTAAACGTGCAGTCAATTGATGTTTTTCTCACAGTGGCATCAGCTCTTCGCCGCGCGATAAGAGAGAGAGAAAAAAGTCAGTCTGGCATGATGCATCCAGGACGACGCGTACCGGACAGCCGGGACATGAAAACGAAACAGTGATCAGAGCGTGTTGTTCGCAAGACACAATCCTTTCCAAGCTCGAGATGGCTATTCAGGAGCCTGCAATTCCAATGACCTCTGTCGGTCAATGGACGGCACAATTGATCGAACTACGCCCTACAAGACGAGCATCGCCAATTGACCAGACTGACAAAGGCTACAGCACACAATCTGCAGGAGCAATCACATGATACCGATTGCGCAATTGGTACATAAACGCATTCTGCGGAGCGTCTGAGCTACAGGATTGGGGCGTTGGGATCCAATTACGAGCGGCTGATATGCCTCATGCTTACGGTGACTCAAGCGTGGTGCGATGTCGCTCAAGCAAGGCTTTGTGAGTCTTGGTATCCCGATGCATAATCCACTGCTGGGTAACAAGGTCTGGAGACATTGTTCCTCTCTCAGGAAGAAACAGAGCGAATTGTGCATTGTAAAAAGCACTATTGTTCTCAAAATCAAAGGTGAGTCCAGGGAGAGCCGACATGATGCCACGTCTCACCGGCCCTTGTCCTGCTTTTCAAAAGTATCCTGCATTGTTATAGCTTCATGCGCCATATATCTCAGCATAGAAGGAGGTTGCGTCGACTATGCTTGTGGATAAACTGGTTTTTGATGGTCGATAGATCCTTCGAAGTCATCCACCATGACCTGATGCTATTGTTGGTGCAGTGATTGGATCACCATTGACCTCTCCCATGAGATAACCCATAAACCCTATAATAGCAAGCGGCCCGAAAGCATTGTTGATAACACCGGTATGGATAAACTCGGTCCTATACGTTGATCCCCCCTCTTTCTGTCCCGCTCTTACTGCACGATACCTCTAGAGGTAGGTACGCCGAGAACAACCTATAAATGCCTCACTTTGTCCTTCATCTTCTCACTCTTCTTCTCCCTACCACGAACAAAATCACCAAGAACCAGACACTAAGCACCAATTCTGGTATGAGTCTCATCAAGACAGAAGCCATTCGAAATGGAGGTATCCAAGCATCAAGCAGCAGGTAACGTCTCAAAACACAAAACATGTATATTGCAGACGGGTGTTCAACCTCAAGGGTTCTGTCATGGCTCTCAAGCTATGTCAAGTCTCTTTGGGTTGATCTGAGAAATACTGTAATGTCGTGGAGAGTGACTTCTTTGTCTGACAAGATTTGCTCTTCTCCACAACATAGAACTTGATCTGGGTAATTCCAGCGAAAGGACTGCTTCTGTTTTATCCTTCTCTCTGTCGAGGGTGGGATTTACTGACGTGATCAGCTTCCCTGCATTGAACAACTTTCAAGATGTCTACTGACAAGATTACTTTCCTGTCCAACTGGTCTGTGGCTGTTTTGCCTTTTGATCGTTGTCAGAGTGGGATAGTGTAGCTGACGACCTATCATAGGCATGCCACNCCCTACCACGCCCCTGTGTACCTTGCTCAAGCCAAGGGTTACTTTGCCGAAGAAGGCCTCAAGGTTGCTCTGCTTGAGCCCAACGACCCTAGCGTATGCACCTCTCCTCATCCCTACAATCCCAATCAACCACTGATTTTCCTCAGNGATGTTACCGAAATCATCGGCAGCGGCAAAGTAGATCTCGGTTTCAAAGCCATGATCCACACCCTCGCCGGCAAGGCACGCGGCTTCCCCATCTTGTCCATTGGCTCTCTTCTCGACGAGCCTTTCACCGGAGTCGTATACCTCAAGTCTTCAGGGATCACTTCCGACTTCCACACCCTGAAGGAAAAACGCATCGGCTACGTTGGCGAATTTGGAAAGATCCAGATTGACGAGTTGACTGCCCATTACGGTATGAAGCCCTCCGATTACACTGCTGTTCGTTGCGGCATGAATGTTTCCAAAGCCATCATCGACGGCACCATCGATGCAGGCATCGGTCTCGAAAACGTTCAAATGGTCGAACTTGCCGAGTGGCTAGCTTCCCAAAACAAACCCCGCAGCGATGTGCAAATGCTACGCATTGACGAACTCGCCGAGCTGGGCTGTTGCTGTTTCTGCAGTATCCTCTACATCGGCAATGAAACCTTCATCGCCAACAACCCCGACAAGGTCAAGGCTTTCCTGCGCGCGTGCAAGAAAGCCACCGATTTTGTTTTGGAATCTCCTGCAAAGGCTTATGAGGAGTACATCACCTTCAAACCATCCATGGGCACTTCCCTCAATCGCAAAATCTTCGAAAGGAGTTTTGCGTACTTTTCAAAGGATATGAAGAATGTCGCTCGCGACTGGAACAAAGTCACTGCTTATGGAAAGAGACTTGGTGTTTTGCCTGAGGAGTATACTCCTAATTACACCAATGAATTCCTTGACTGGGGCTTCGAAGAAGAGTCAAAGGATCCTAGTGGTGATCAGAAGAGGATGGTGGTTTTGCAGGACAAGGTTGCTGAGGAAGGCGGTTATCATCGTTTGGGAGAGATGGAGAAGGGAGCTGCTTTGGTTGATGCTGGGCAAGCTTGCTTGATGTGAAGCGTGTCCAGAGAATACTGAGCTTCAGGGACATAATACTTGCCATTCTCTCTTTTCCTCATGCCAGATCTAGAAGTTTTGCATGAACTACCGGCAAGGGTACAGATATCGCCTTGACTTTTGTAGCTAACCTGAATTGCACATTGATCAACTCCGAACACGACCAAACCATTCCTTTTCGCAACCTTTCCGATGATTGCTCGGTCGAACCCGAGAATTGTCTCGGTGACACTTGAACTTATAGCTATGCAGATCAACGATTCGTACTTGGCAAACCCTACAGAGAACTAGCATCCACAATACTGCTATAGAGCAAATATAGTCAAATAATGACTTGATGCTATAGCAGCCATTAATCGCATCTCTGAGTTATCTTCTCACGCAAAAGGTGACACGTATCATTTACCGTATACTTTACTAGAATGTGGGTTTTGCAAGTCATGGGTTCTCGAGTCGGTTATTTCCCATCCGTTTCGCTCTTTGCTTGTGGAGAGAGACAATCTTTGCGACTCATCTCAAGTGCGGAGAAGAGCACGATCGCGATTTATATTATGGTTCCAACGTTTGTTGTTCAGCTCTTGGAAGTTCAGCTCTGTAAGGGCGGGCTAAGAGCGTGGTCATGGGTCACACGAGTAAGTGGTAAGTAAGACGCCAGCAACACGCCATCGGGAGTGCGTTCATTTCCGGTTTCCTTTTGACCTTGACTCGAGGAGTTTCTTGACTCAATACCTGTACGCGAATAGCTCGTTTGGACGGTAGGCGCCATTTGTGTATTCTCCGCGTGTGAAGACGAAAAGTGTTGAGATCTCCTGAATTTCATCGTTCGTGGTATTTGAAAGTGCCCATTTGGAAGCAAGTTGCAACAAGACAAACGGCATGGTGAGAGGCTGAGGCTGAGGATTTGTGCAAAGCCAGGAAAAAGTATATTCAAGCCACTGCGCTGCAAAAGCTCTTCGCCCGCACTGAGACATTCGTTCCCGCTTGACTTTCCGATCGTACGCGGGATTCAGATTTTTGGAAACAGTTCTCGTTTTTGCATGAAACAAAAAAGGTTCCGAGGGGTTGTGTGTTTGTGTAGAGATAGAAAGGTTGATATAATTCGTACCTTTCGACCGTACCGGAGGATTTTTGACAGCATGCAGCAATGCGCGCAGCACGCATGCAACATGACGTTCGGAGGGCCATTCTTAGTGACGCAGGCAGTGGATACACCAACACGTGCAACAAATTTCTGCGCCGCAGAGATCCGGAGCGGCAGTAGAGGGAACAGCGATGTCATGACGAAGGCTGCTCATGCTTGATGCGTGCGTTGCATGTTGTCTTGATTTGAACGTCCTTCGAAAATATCACCGGATAATGAGGGGGAAAATGAGATCCTGATCCTGGAGGGTTTGCCCAGCAAAAGGCGTCACTCTAAACGAGAATACTCCGGAGGCGCACCACGCTTGGGGACGATTAATTCAGGTTCCTGAGCGGTCTGGTGATCTAGACGCCCTCATTCTTTCACATGTCTCATGTGTAAAAGCAACACTCACGGGTCGCTATTTTCTCTCTTCTTGCTGGGCGGCAGGAAGAAAAAAGGTTAACAAAGCCACCATAATCTCCCTGAGTCTGTTCATGCAATGCAAGAAGCAGAGTAGAAAAGCGTTGGTCACAGAGTGAGCACACTTCTTTCGCCGATCGGCTTGCGACTAAGGTCGTCGATCTGGGGTACCGCCGTGACCTGACTAGGGAACCGTTCTTGGTATGGCGCCTTTTTCTTCCCTCTCTTCTTGTGCTGCCCTCGTTCCTGGGCTGGGAATAGTTTAGAGTCTCTACCGACACGCGATGCCATGCCGGACTGCTCCTCGTACCTCTGTTCGACAGAAGCCTAAAAATGGCACCAAGGAGAAAGGGACTACTTCGCTACGCTGGCGGGCCCCTTCTTGTTGCGCACTCTCCGAGGCGTGCGTGTGATCAGAAATGAGGTAGGTATGGTAGGTATAAGGACCCGGACATCGGCGGACGCTTGCGTGCGCAGAAGTGGATCTCTTCCTTCTTTTCTTTCCCACTCGTCCCTACCTTTTCCTTCGTTTTACACTTTTCCCTGTACGACTTGATTGCGACTCGCATCACCACCCTCTGACGTTGTCGTTCGGTGCTATTATCTACGCGTTTGGCCGTTGCCGAAAAGGTAAAACCGGCAGGTTTGGACCCTTCGACATATATTCACATTACGACGCGTTTTGAGCACCTTGATTTGAGACATTGTCGACCTTTTCTGCGTTCCCAAAATCAACACCAATGGCTGTAGTAGCGACAATGGCTCAGACCAGCACTTCTCAACCCAACCTGTGGAAGCCTCGATATGCAGCCAAACAACACCAAGAAAAACCACAACCAGCTCAGCAATTTACACGATCAAGGTCGTTGAGAGAACCTTTCGATGCTGCAGAACTTACCCGCAAATTGGAGAATTATCGTCAAGANGCTGAAATTGGAAAAGGCACGGCGCGAATTGGCAAACAAGAAGGCGGAACAGGCATTAGGCCCCGCACAACCACCAACTACCCAGAAGGAAGTCAGCCCTGCAGCACCGGAAGTGAAATCAAGCGCTGGAGTAAAGCGTGCACAGTCTGTTTCTGTACCGAAGAGNNTCTCATGGCCAGCGAGCAACCAGAGCGTAGAAGATCCATCATCCACCGCAGCCGCAAACAATCAGCCCAGGAAGAAGCTCCTACTGAGCCAGCTAAGCCTTTTGTTCCGCGAGTAGCAGCCAAACAATTCGCCAATACCACAACTCCACTCAAAGAAAAGACCGATGCAGCATCAGCCTCCTCACACCAGGCACCCGAGCCTAAACCCAGAGAAGTCAAAGTCAAAGATACATCCAAGAAGCACGTCCTGGACTGGAGCGAGCCCGCCATTCATAACAAGCCTGCCTCACCACCGCTTCCATCAACATCTGAATTTCCCGATGCAGAAAGAACTCAGGTCCGCATGCATGCTCTCCATGCCTTCCGCGATGCTTCAAAAGCAGGCCGACCCAGACCCCTCAGCACAGCATTAGAGAACATGCGCGAATGGGATGCTGTTGACAATGTCTACTCGAAACCTTCCAAACCCATTCAAGAAGAACCTTCATCCTCAGCTGCTCATAACAATCCTTTCAACCGCCCAGTCCTCAGGGCTGCAGATCGTCATGATTGGGCTCAGGGCAGCCAGTGCGGTGACAGTGCACGACAGTCTCTGCATCTTTTCCGCAAGAAGGATTCAGCACATGAAGAGGCCGAAATGGCAGGTCTCAGGGCTAGTATGAGACCTTCGCCTAAACCCAGACAGAAGAGTCATGGAGATGCTTCTGACCGTCTTATCAATGATGCTGTGAAGCAAATCAGAGAAGAACGCAGGAGAAGTAGTTTATTCAACATCTTCAGAAGACACTGAAAAGTTGTTGCGCTAAAATGGTTCCTGGGCTCATGTCACGAATTTCTTTTCGGTTATTCGGAGTTTTTGTGTTGTTTTCAAAGTTCTTCTGTCGGCAGTTTCTTGTTTTTTTCCTTCTTTGTTCTTCAATTCTTGAGATCACAGACTCATTCCCGTTTATACCTTCTCCTCCTGCCTTTGCAGGACCCATTGATGTGTTTTCTTTCTTACTTCTTTCCTTTGCTCTTTCACGTCCTGCATCACGCGGTTCTTTCCTCACACAGACATCAGTCTACTTCTGCAACATCATCGTTTCTTTGCTGGGATGCATCTATCTTGCATCACGCCTACCAAAAGAGTTTGTGTTCTTGCTTGCCTTGGTGCAGCATCGTGTTTGTATCAAGCCAGAACTAATCATCAATGTCTTTACGAGTCCGATATGTACATATTTTTGTTTTTACCCTACATTCATGTCCCATTCTCTCTTGTTGTCTTTCTGTGGTTTGCAACATATAATCCTTAACACACTTAGGAAACTAGTGGATAAGGAGAGAATTTTTATTTACACGGCATCCTGGACAAAGCGCGCATGAATACATCAGGCTGGAATTGCTCTTCACCCAGCAAGCTCCGCAGCCATGGCATCCCAGACTGTTTTGGACCAACAAGGCGCCATTTACTCAAGGATGCCAACACAATCACGTCCCTCTCGCACCAAGTTCCCTTGAAATCTCAGCAAGGTATCATGTCTCAATGAGAATGACCAAACCTTCTGAATCCGTGCAAATACACACGTACTAGACACATTGTCCAAGGAGATCTCACAAGAAACACAACTCATAATTCAAGGCACTCTATCTCACTATACTATAAGCGGACAGGATGACATTTTATAATAGACATATGCCCAGAGAGAGCCTAAAAATGGATAGCTCTCACTGGCCGAGCTCCTATATACAAGACGCTGTAAACCTACAGAATGGTATCCACGTTATATCTTCTCGCCCTGCCTCTCATCGCCACGCCTCTCCCTCACCTGTCAGTCATGGCATCGTCTCTCCTCGGCCGACCTCGAATCGTCTCGTCGCACATGACAACTTGCCCGACAATGAACTCCGCCAAGATGCCTCCGCTCCGAGAGACCTGAATGAGCCTATTGATCACAACATGCTTGATCCCGACATGCGAATGGGCAATACTACGGACCTCCACGAGGAGAGTCTTGTGAGTCCTCAGCGACACGACGTGAGACAGGCATCTCCCCGCACATTCGTCCCTGTCTCGCCCTCGCATGAAGCACCATTCGATGGAACAATTGGCAACTACAAAGCCGACTTCAATGAAGAAGGTGCCATGGAAGAGGAAGTCATGCCGAACGAAGAAGAAGAGATGGATGTAGACCTTGACCACCCTGACCGCCCCAGCTCGGTGGCCAACTTGACCACGCGCACGATAGAGATGTCGGGCACGCCTGATAGACCTCGTATACCTCCTATCAGATGGCAGTCTCGCTCACCCACGACCGCGACTTTGCTTGGCCAGTTCAAAGACAACCCTCCAGTGATTGGAGCAGTGCTCGCCCAAGAAGAGGATCTCATGAATCTCGATGTTGATGAACCGATTCGCTTGGGTACCGTTAAACCTACGCCGAGGCGCAGCATAGAGATGTCCAGCACGCCTCTAAAGCCTATGTTCTTTCGCCGAGCAGCCATCTCCACTAGCAACACAAAGGAGACAGCTATTATGGTGGAAGACTCTGATGACGATAGTCAGAGCGGCCCCTATACCACTCGTCAAGTCAACCTTAACCCGCAGCGTACCATTTGTCGACCTGACTGCCGACTCAGACGATGACACACCTTCCGATCTAGGCGCTCGGCAGCTGACACGCCGCATACCCTCGCACATCCTCCCATTCAGAGAAGGGACGCCTAGCCGAAGTCAGTCACCGGCGGAGCGACTACTGCCTGTGGGACATGATGAACGAGAATCACTGGATGGCAGACGCGGTTCGCAGATGAGTGTGGTCTCGTCCAACCACAGTATTGAACTCCCTATCAAAAGTAGAACAAGCTCTGTGGGAGGATACGTGCACAAGCAACCGAGTCCAGTTGCTAATGATCATACCATGGCCGTTGATTTCGACCTTGCTGAAGCGGATGTCCCTCTACCGAGCGTCGAGCAGGCGCATGATTAGAATGTACAGCATCTGGGCAGCAGTCATCTTCGTGGATATAGGGACGAGTCTCAGGGAACCAACAGTCCCACGAGGTCACCATCGAACCACCACTGTCGCAACTTGAGCCGCACACTGCCCTCAAGTATGACTGCCAGGTCACCAGCTCGCAAGAAGACCACATTGAGTACGAACCAACACACTCGGTCTCTGACCACGCCTTTGCCCTCACCCCTCCCGTGTGCTAGGAACGGTCACAATGCAGCTGCAGAAATGCATAATACTTTCATGAAGAACATGGTCTCCAAAGAGAGACTCCTGATGAAGGCTATCTCAATGGGTAGACTGATGTTCTGATCGCAACTCTGCATTGCGATAGCTTGTGATAACCCTTATAGCTCGGGATGGAGAACAACATTCTTTCTAGGTGTTGCATTTAGCGATACCCATTACATATAACATTTCATGAGAGAAGCTCTTGCAGCTCTCTACCAGCTTGAGGAAGACCAAGCCATGAATGCAGCGTAGGGGTTCCTACCGCCACCAAAGACAAGACCGTCAAGCCAGCCACATCCTATGTGCAAAAGCCCTTAGTGCTCAAGAAGATGGATGTGTCCATCAAGGATTGCACAAGATATCTCGAAGAGATGACCACAGCAGCAAGTTGGCGAATCTACATAGCATTGGGGCAGATATGTGGGTCCACACGATCTATGAAGAGATCGCCAAGCACCTTGATGAAGATGTCGCCAATCTCAAGACCCGAAGGATCGTCGCCCAAGAGATCGTACTGCATGCTCTGGGTTTCCCATTCCCAGAAAGCTACCAAGGAGATGTCGTCAAAGACGTTATCCTCACTGATGCCGGATTAGACTATACGGTGGAGTTCAGGAATAAGCAGCATCCCGCTTCTAGCAAATGGAGGAACGAGAAGATCTCGTACTATACGATGCTGGACAAACTGAGAGAGATCGGTTGCGAGTGGGTGGTTCTTGCACAACTCAAGCGTACCAGGACTGTGTTCGCTCAGTTCGTGAACGAAAAGGTGAGAGTGTTTGTTCTCCAATGGGCACAGTTCTACAAGCCCATCGCCGACATATTCAGCGAGCGCGCCCATGGGGATGTGACGGGCAAAGCCGAATACTCTCTCATCGCAAAGGATGGCCATTTTGATTGTCCCGTCGAGGATTGGCACAATTACAACTCCCACTGGGCCACAGTCGCCGATCGAATGAGATACAAGACGACATACGCCCAGATGCCTCGTGGATGGCTTCTCTACGCGGATGTCCAATCCGAGTACGGCTTGAAGGGTGTTGCAAACGAAAACTTCTCCTGGGCCATATGGCCAAGATGGGTAGACAATGACCTCTACCCTTGTGCCTCTGTGCCGATCCCCGCATCTGCCTTCATTGGCATCCTTCCAGCCCGGCCACAATTCGACCCTGAGGCCAGAGATTATGCCAAAAACGTACGTGGCGTAGGGACAGGATCCAACAAGATCGTTGGTCCCGAGCCCGGTCATTACACAGTGGAAATGGCCAGACGTGGTCTCCTAACCTTCATCGACACCTCAGAGAAGTATGAAGAAGCGAACGTGATAGCCGCGTGAAACCCTACGCAGATGAGTTGTCACCAGATCATATATCCACGCATCTGGTGCTCTTTACGTATCGTCCGGTGGAGGCTGATCAGCCGCTGTTTCTCTGGAATCCTTTGATCAAGTCAAAAGCTTTGTCCCCTGTACATGACTTCCACGATGCTCCACCTACAGCAAACGTCTGAAAGTATACTATCAAAAGACACAATCTTGTTCGAGAGCAGAGACATGACCAAGGAGAGTAGAAAGGACCTCGCTTCTCTGTGGACACTAGTCTGTCTCTAAACTGTATTGTGCATTTATACGGATATACCTGTGACATGCTTGAGAACACGAAGCATGAGACAGAGTACAGAGCTTATAGTCCCCAGCGAGCTCCAGCCATGGCAAAGGGCGAATGGTTTACTGTAACAAGTCACAATCATGTTTGGAAGCAGGAATATGACCAAAGAGAGCAGACAAGACGTCGCCTCTCAATGACAGCCGATCTATCTTCCGGTTGTATCGTGCATTCATACAGATGCTCAAGTCTTCTAACTTACAGGGGGGAATAAAAGATACGACTTCAATGCGATGCCCTTGTGTATCGCTTTCTATTCTGCATCAGAATTATCCACCTCAATGTTTATCCTTTTCCTTCCACGACAACAACCAGCTGCCTCTCCATCCATCACCTCGCCATCTCCTTTTCTGGCCATCACCTCTCGAGATTCTTCTCTTTCCATCAACAACGATCAACATGGCCCCCGTTAATGCCTCTAGTCTGCGCCGTATGATGCTGGACCTCTACAACGCCTTCAGAGAGGCTGAGCCTCGATGCTCTCACCCAGGCGCAGGACTTCCTCGCCGTCCTCACCACCCCAGAGGCTCAAGACCTGATCCTCAGCGACCAGGACCTCGCCGACGAGATACATGAGTTGGCTCTCTGCGCACAGCTGTTCATCTTCAGCAGCCTGGTCGGACCTCCATCACCCACCGTGACGATGACGAAGAGGTATGTTTCCAATCATTTCTATGCGCAGGAATCACCTTACTCACTCCTCACACAGACCACCAACCTCACCGATGACGATGCTGCTTCCAGCAGAGATGCTGGAGAAGTCCCCAAGGCTGCAGCCACTGCCGCTTGTGGCGAAGACGTATGTTCTCAATCATCTCCTTGCACAGAAATTGCCTTACTCACTCCTCACACAGACCACCAACCCCAGTGAGGACGGTGCTACTTCCAGCAGAGATGCCGGAAAGGTCTCCGAGACCGCAGCCACTGCCGCTTATGTTAAGCCTGCCGCTCAGTCCAACGAGCACGTCGCCGTTCTCGACGCAGCCATCGCCGAGGCCCAGAAGGCTGAGACCTAAACGTCTTCCTTGATTGCTGCTGTGCAGTTTCTCAACCATCGATGAGACTTGCATTCCCACTCAGTAGCTTTTGCACAGAATGTTACCTGATCTAGCGATACAATCGCTGAATAGAGTCGCAACTTGCGCTAGGATTTGATATTCGCAGGCGTAAGCAGTATCTGCAGGGTGCGAGACAATAGCTTGCGTTCTGAAGACGGCTCACTCCTTCGTCCTGTTAGACTTACTTGCTCATGCCTCGCTCGCTAGTTTAGCCGCCAGAGCTCATTTTTTTAGTTCATGACTGGAAGAATAACTTGCCAGCCGATGGTTTAGAGGTTTTGATAGAATTGCTCTTAGTCATGAGTGCGGTTGAATCAAGTCGGAAACTGAGCTCTGAGCAACTTGCATCCAATAGACAGTTATCGAAATGCATAAACAACCAGAAAAGAGATGTGGGACCAGTGAAAGTGAACGAAGAGATGGCATCTCACTGTACATAAGGGATATCCCATGATAGATCATGCTTGTCTGTAGTTATAAACTTGAAACGCTTCACATGACGGATGCAATCTCCCACGACAAGATGGGCAAAATCAAAGCTGTGGAAATTCACAATGATATTATGATCAGAGGTCTAGCCATTGAGAGCTGATATGTTGCTAAGTTTCGGAGGTCATCGTTCTGTTTCGCAGATTCATCGTGTGTGTTCACACGAGCAAAAGGACAGTGAGCATTCATTGGCAAAAGAATATGTCTATTATGAGAGAAGAGCAAAAGAAGATAAGCACCCCTTGTGAGAATCGAACCCACGCCTTTCCAATTCAGAAGTCCTCACAGCGGTAGCAGGCTTTGCAGCCTGCCCGACTGATTGGCCCTTACTCAGCTTGTGTTTGCAAGACTTTATCTGAGGAACGTGCTGATCACTGCACTAAAGGGGCTGAAGTTGTGTTCATGGGGGATTTGGTCGAATATGTAGGATGAACATGGATGGCCACTTCAGGCGACAGAACCAACCACGTCCATCTTCACAGGTGAGGAGACCTGGCTTTCCGAACTTGTTCTGGTAGGTCACACGCATGGGCTTTTCTACGGGGTTGCCATCGACGTCGGTCCAGGGAGGCAAGTGCTTGCACTGGATAGATATTAGCTGATTGGATACTGTAGTTATTGGATAGAACTACTTGCCTGATCAGCTTGGCCTCTAGTGCGAAGGTCAACCTCAGCTTGGGTCTCTAGGACAGGTCGCTTGTGGACTGCGCCCTCACGCTGGAGTCTCTTGACGTTGAGGAGGTCGTGGACGTTCTCGCCGCCATCCCATTCAGCAGCAACGTTCTCGTCGTAGTCGGTCTGAGGAGAAGGGGCACGACGGCTCGATGGGTATTTGAGATACGCTTGGAACTCATACTCCTACAATGGACCGTCAGCACGAAGTCCATGATGAGAGGATATCTTCTTACCGTCCAGGGTCCGGGTCCATCGGCGTGGAAGTCCTTCCAGGCTTGCAGCTCTGTCTGCGACTCTGCGAGAGCTTGCTTCTGGGCCTCGTTCTCTTTCTCCAGCTCTTCCAGACGGGAGATCTGCTCGGAAGTAAGCTCTATATCCTCGTCTTGGGTATTGGCAGATTGAGGAGGAGATGAACTTACGGGTGGCTTCGACGAAGATTCTCCTGCCATCATGGCTGTGGTCTTGTACTTGATGTGAGGGGCCACAGGGCGCTTTGGGTGTCCGCCGTCAGGTTCCATGATGATGGAGGTAATGAGACGCGCAGAAGAGAGGGAGCGTTTCCGTTGGACGAAAACCCTTTTCAGGTGCGCATGTGAGAGCGACGGAAAATTGAATGCGATGTGTAAAAGCGAAAGCGAAATCGCCGACCTACCACGTCTGCTTGTTTCTACGAGATTCTGATGCATTCAGAGAAGCTGCTACGAAAAACAATGATCATGAAAATGAATCAGAGACAATGCATCGCATTCCTTTAGAGGCAACCAATATGTTGACGTTGCCTGGAGGTGGATGTTGTCATGATACCTGTCATTACTTCTCAAGCTATATCAGTACCAACGAAGTCGGCTCTCAAATCGCAGCGAAAAAGCTTCCAACACCAAAAATGACATTCGAACCAGAGTTAATGGATATAATCAAAGAAACAAAGTAGCAGCAAAAGCAGCAAACTTCCCAACCCCCTTCGTATCAATGAGATCATGGATCCTATCGATTAGCAGCCGTCTAATGGCTTTGACTGGAAGTACGGTTACTGACGGCAAACTTGTTCAATCCTTGAGTCTGAATCTAAAGATCACAATGGATGATTTGCGAGTTATCTGTTTGCTCTTGCTCAAATCGGGCATCCACAGCACGTAGAAGTTAAGATCGTTCGGCAAAGCCTACCGCTGGAAGCTATACAAACTTCCTACGCAATCTTACCACTACAACAGCCACCTGGTGCTATCTTTCGGACGTGATGTGAAAATCAGATGTAGAGAATGTGGTTGAAAGAAAAGCTCGGAACAGGGTCGTTTCGGAACAGGGTCGTTAGTGTTTCAGGATGTGGCAGAATCGCTCACCGCCTAACCCCAAATGTAGCTATCGCCAACCTCAGCTGCTGCAATTTTTCCTGCCTTCTCGTGCACGTACTAAAACCTATCACTTCCTCCGTCCTCCGACTACAGCTGATAGCAAGATGTAGACTATCATAAGGCACAATAACTTTAGGAAGTCGAGGCGTGTCCATTGAGAGCCGACAAGTTGCTGCCTCTCCGTGGATACTATCCTGTTTCCTATCACTATTGTGTATTTTCACAGCTATACGTATCACATGCTGTAGTACATGGGGAGGTTTCTCATTGTGTGTGGGTCACCAAGATCATGAAGATAAGTATGGGAACACAAGCAAATGATTGATATTTTATACAGAGAAGTGTACGCAGTTCAAGCATGCATATGACTATGCTTGAGCAAAATGCCAGCCCTTTCGGGCTGGCCGGGTTGAATGACCGAATAAGCACGTTTTCAGCTCGCTGACCGTGAGATCTCAAGTTGCTCTGGTTGTGTGAGTCCATATTGATGAAATGCAAAAGTTTGCTTCTTGATGCTTGGTGGAAGAGAGAAGAAAGAAGAAGAATGCGGAAACTCGTGACTTGCTGTGACGCGGACTGTCAAAGTGAAGGAGGTAGGTGCGAGTAAACACAGCCAAGCCTAAGAGTGAGTGTTTGCGCCTTCCGACTTTGCGACTTCTTTCCGAGACGCGCCAATAAGAAGCACACTCGCTTTTCCTCTCTCGCTCTCTCTCCTTCTTCCACCTCCAACCCGTTCGCCATCCACCATGTCGGACCCCATCATCGCAGGTATTGCAAGACTTTCTCTCGCCAACGGCGATGATGACGACGACGATGTAAGTATCTCCTTCATTGACTATGGTGCTTTGCTGACCTTACCGCCTAGGGAGGAGTTCGTCTGTCGCGCTCGTCCTCGCCTCGCCCTGAGACCCCACCTCTGGTGACTGCTCACGCTTCTGACTCTCATGGCCAGCCCGAAAGGGCTGGCACTGCCTCTGATGGCAGCTCCGCTGATGTTCACTCAGCAGCCCTCAGTTCAGTCACTCCCGCTGCCATCTCGTCCGTACCCATGAGCCATCATGACATGGCCGTTGCATCTCTCACTCATGCAGACAACGTCCAATACACCGACGAAGTCAGAAACGCAATCACGCGCGGCTTCTACCATGTCCGTGACTGGAGAAGACTTCAGCCTGGCTGGACTCCCCGTGACAGCAACCTTGTGGTAAGATGATGTCTAGTCACCTATCTTCGATAATTACCAAGCTGAACTTCCTGAACAGTGCACTCACACCGGTCTCGGCAGAGGCCGTGATCGAGTGATCGTCGAGCCTCCAACTTGTATCTCGCACAGCCAGATGTTCGGCAGATTTGGAGTCCTTCTGTGCGAAGATGGCCGTTCGTCAGAATGCCGCCTCTGGCACCGCAACCTTCTCCACTGTCACCAATGTAACACATGGTACTGCCTTCCGTGTGCCAAGCTGCACCGGGACCCTAAAAAGGTCAACGCAAAACAGCGTCAGAGACCTTCCACATTGAAGAGAAAGACAGCTCGCGCCGCCAAGTTCGGAGCAGCAGCCTGAGTTTGTAGTCTGCAGGAGTGATTTTGTATTTTACGTGAGTATTGCACCAGACCAGGCCGCAAGGCCTGGTAGAGACACTCATCAGTGTTAATGTTACCCTTTGCTCGCGACACGACAAGTATCCGTAGTAAACAATGCATCTCCGTCTGCTTCCAGTTCTCTTGTGCATCTTGTGTATTCTTCATGAAACATCGTTTGAGCTGTCCCGTCAATTCGAATGCCTCCCTCCATCCTTACTCTGCGATCTTCCCTCTCAAAGTGAAGAGTTGTCTCAACTGCCAATTACTCAGCTGGTCTCTCGTTCACATGCCATGCCCGACGCATCATACGAAACCTCCGTGACTTCACTTTGCCGGCGACTTTTACACCCTCGCTCGCATCCATCTCCACCCCCTCGACCTTCGATCCTCATCACCACCATCCACCATGTCGAAACCCATGCATATGAGGGTCTTCCCTGCCGATGGCGATGATGATGTGAGTGCACCTATCAGTCATCCTAGTGTCTCGCTGACGTTCCTGTGCAGGGAGGAGTTCGCCTGCCACGTCCCGTTGTTCCTCGTATGAGCGGCTCTCATGCTGACAGCACTCCTCAAGAGGCTGCAAAGCCTTGCCACACGGGTGCTGTCAGTACTGTCGCCGCCACCTCCATGAGCCGCCAAGATCTTGCCCTCGCTGCCTTGCCCGATTCAAACAACCCCAGCAACAACACTGTCAGACAAGCCATCACCGAGCACCGCTTCCATGCCCGTGATGGCACCAGACTCAACACCGGCTGGACTATCCAGGACAGCAACCTCGAGGTAAAGTTTCAGCTTGTTCCTACAGCTCCCAGCATCGTCCTAACGAGCCTTTATCAGTGCAAGCACACCGCTCCTTGGNNAAGGGACTTCNNCCGTGGCCAGAGGGTCTCACCACCCACACTGGTCTCTTACAAGCACATCTTCGGGGAGGAAGGGGTCCTCCTATGTGAGGACGGCAGGTCTGGAGCTAGTTGCCGTGTCTGGTGGTCTTGGGCCCTCCACTGCCGCAAGTGTGACACATACGTCTGCAACAAATGCCACCAGGAACACCAACGCCCAGAGGTCAATGCAAAGCATAGATTGGGAGGTGCCAGGCAGAGAAGAGACGCAAAGCGTGCTCACAAGCGTGAGACTCACGCCATGATCCAGAAGTTCTCTTCGCAGAAGTTGTCGTAGGGTGAGATAGAAATCTCCACAGCGGAGGCCGCAAGGTCTTGCAAAGTGGCCTTGTCTCATACAGGGATAGATTTAGTAGCACAGGAATTGAACACAAGCGTTTGGTTGTACTAACGGTCTTCTGTTGTCATGCCTCAGTGACATGTTTCGGTATATGATGTGTGGCTCTCGCAACTTCTCTTTGCCCATGCCCTGATTGAGTTGTGTTCTCGTAGTCTGTAGTAACAATGCGTACATGTCTTGACTTTTACTTTTCCGCATCCCAAATTCTCGCACAGTCGTAAGATCATCTCGCATATCACAAATATGCAACCACTCCTGCATGATGTCTATTCTCACCACAAGGTGTTTGGTAAGCTTGTCAATTTGTTCGTCTTGCTTCATTTCTTCTAACGCGAATAGGTCTGTAAGAGGCTGCCGCCGCTACAGGTGTCAAAATCTCGTCTCAGGCAATTTTGGAGCACGACCACAACCGCGGAGTCGTCAACAACGCCCCAGTCCATCACAATGGAGCTGACGATGCCTATGCTACGCTCCTCATGACGATTGAGATGATACGCCAGTACTGCATCCAGAATAACAAGCCACTCCCTCGTGGAAACTGGTGCATAATGGCCATTGATTTGTAAGCCCAACTCTTTGTAGTCCTGGATATACGATGACTAATATGGAAGCAGTGAAGGAGGTTCTCTCAATTTCTCCGATGAAGCCACAGAGATGGGTGTCGCCAAGGTCAACATCTCCGACATTGACGACGGTCTCGAAGACTACATCTCCAAGGTCACCGTTAAGCATTTGATTGTCATGGAGACCCTCCGCGATCACCACACCAAGAGCTGCCTCGATGACATGGGTATCAACTTGAAGTCTCGCTGGTACCCTCGCTGGAACCACCGTTCAGGTCCCAGCGGGACCAGAAAGGTCAAGAGACGTTTTTACGTGTTCTGATGGACCCAATTCGAGCTCTCAGCCGACTCGGATGTGGTCAAACATGCAGGGATCTTGCCTTGGTTTGCTGCTCTGCTCCCTCCTGTCCCCAGTGCACTTATGCCTCGTCTCTCGACTTCTCAGAGGGACCAGATGACATCAAGTTCGAAGATGAGGCCACTGCCTTGGTGGATACTGCCGCGCAGGCGATAGCTGTTCGTGAGAGAGCCGCAGACTCGCAAGTCGGCGAGACACCCGATCTGTTCGGCGAAGCAGCAGTTGAAGCAGACGACATGGTCCGTTCATGCAATCTCTTTTCGAAAGCGCGATGACTGATATCCATGTAGGAATATACCAACGCCAGCTCCTTTGAGCAATCACAGTCTACTGCTGAAGACCTCCGCTCAGTTGAACTACCGCCTGTCGATGTCTTGGATGAGCATGAAACCAACGAAGCTGTACGTTGGGCAGTCAGAAACGGCAATACATGGACAAGATACCCTGACAGACTTCAAGATGACTACGGCCCTGAGCGAGGCAACACACTTATGGCATGGCTCGTTGCACCCGGGCTGCAATGAAGTGGTAACGAGGGCAAAGAACTCATGCGCCTGACCGAGAGCGTCGCCGAAATGAGGCTCAGACTCCTTGAAAGCGTTGTATACATCGATCATCATTTGACGCAGACCTGTAGCATTCATAGAAGCCATTTTGATTGTCGGGGGTGATAGTTAGAAAAGGAGACGGCGAGGTTATGGATGAAGAGGGAGGTTTTGTTGTCGTGGAGGGGGGAAGGACAAGCACTGGAGTGACTGAAAGTCATGCAGAGATAGTTTGCGAAGAGCAAGATCAGTTGAGTCTGCGTTTCCAAATCGCTGAGTCACCGTGAAGTCTGAGTGCGCGAAATCGATTGAGGAAACCTACCATCGTCAGCGGAGGGATGGAAGAAAAGAGTTTAGAAGGACGTACCAGCTCGCGAGGCATCGCTTCCCATGTGATGTAAGTATTGGTGTCTTCCTCACACCATCGCATAGTCATCAGAACATCCTAGGCTCTGACTTAACGCTTGAATAGAGGCATATTCGTGAATCTTTCTGTGTGCCTCCATGCCAAACTTCCAGACAAGAGTACAGCGTCTCAATCAACCACAAATGGTTGGTGGGATTAAATGATGTCGATGAGCTGACGGCGGGTAGTCAGAGCTGCTGCCGGCATCGTGTGTTTGCTTTTCGGCGATGGCGACTCCGTATACATCTCGCAGCAGATCAAGATACCAAGAGATATTATCGCAATGCACGATAATTTGGAGACCAGAGTTCTGTCTAGAAGAGGATCGACCAGATTATGGCTCTCAGCGGAGGTGTGTTTATCTCTCAATACCACTGTGCATTCCGACAGTGATGAGATTCATTGCTTTGATCGGGAGATCCATCAACCGTTAGCTAGGGACAGGCATAGTGTTGTGATCAGTACCAACAAACCAGCCAATGCGTAAAAACAGACATTCTCACTTCCAACACTCACTCAACCTTCACTCATACATTCCTCCCAACTCACCATCTTCACAACTTCAGCAGCTTTGGCCTAGTGGCAGGGCGCTTCGATCGGACTGGCCAGCCCGAAAGGACTGGCAAGGCGGCAGGACGGTGTGTGTCGATCGAGGAGATCGTGAGTTCGAATCCTACAAGCTGTAATTTTTTCTTTTTGCCCCTTTTTGTTCTTGCTGGTCGATGGTGGGGGTTATATTGTTTTGGCCGCTGGAAACACTCAACTAACCTATAACTCGGCAAGCTTTTCGTTCAAGACGAACCATCACGGAATATTCTCATCAGGAACGTCAAATACCATGTCTTTGGATCAGGGAGTACGGGCTGTGAGAAGACGCTGGTGTCAATATTTATTCCTGTTTCTGTAAAGACTGTGCTCTTTTACCTGATTCTGTCAAAGCCCAGAGAAACTTCTTGTGCTCTGGGTGTCGTTGATGATACATCTTTGTAGACATCCAGGAACTGCCTTGCAGTCCAATGCCGTCAAATCCACCCTACCAGCACAAAATAACGTTCCGCTTACATATTCCAGTCTTCCTCATCACTGTAGACGACATCCTCATCTTCGTCGTACTGAGGAACTGGAAACTCACGATGGCCCTGATGATGGCCAGTAATCGCCGAAAAACACCCAGATGGTGGTAGACTTACAGATTTCACAACGGCGAATCCGTCACTGCCGACTTGAGAAGGTGGAGCTCTGACGGTACTGGCAGTAATCGAGCTCGAGAAGCCGGAGCTGGATGAAGTAGAGGTAGTGGTGTTGGTTGACACACGAGAGTTGGTAGTAATCGATGGCATGGGCACAAAGCCGTCGCTGGGAGCCAATGGGACACCTCCGCTGGTTGATGAACGTGAAGTGAAATCGCCTGTGATGCTNNCTGCGCTAACCATAAGCCATGTTCTACAAGCCGTCTGGGATATACTGACAGTCTTGTAGTCCTCATCAGAGTCATCAGCCTCACGTGGGTCCTGCTGTCCAGGTCTGACATTTTCGATCTCGCTGATACACTTGCGGCACCTGGCAGTATCAAGGTCACGCCTCTGAGTGGCGGAGAACTTGTCAAGACTGCGAGTCCTGTTGCATCCAGTACATGTGAGCTCCTCGGGAGGTGTAGGAATGCAGTTGCTGCAAATCATTTTGTCAAGTATTCTCTTGTCACCCAGTTTTACGCCTTTTCTCAGCCAGAAATTGGCATCATTCTGGCGGTTGTTGGCGAAGTTGTCGAGGGGACGGAATTGAGAACACCCCTTGCACCAAACCCTAGAAGACGTCAGCGTTTGCAATATAGACCGGATTGGATATTCGTACTTGTCAGGCAGCGAGCTAGCATTTTTGTATTTTGAATTGGGAGAGCGGACGTTCTTGGAGGCTGAGCTCATGTTGTCAGACGATAGTAAGGATCTGGGAGTTGTCTGTCAATCGAAAAACACGTACAAGGCGAACAGGTGGACAAAGGCAAGAATAACTGATGTGATACATGATACATCGGGAGTTGAAAGGGTAGATGGCAGGTGATGAGTTGTAAAAGGTATGCCAGGGGTATCGTGTTGCACAGGGATGATAAACTTACAAGATGTTGATATGGATGAATGTGAAGTTCGATGCAGAAGGTCAAAGTCTACAAAGAAAGACAAGTTGCTTTGAGCGGAACAGAAAAATAGACGAGGAAGTTGTTGGCAAGATAAATATGGAAGGTTCGATCATGAGCCGCGTTTGGCAGTGTCGTTTGCTCGGCGTTGCTGGAAACAAGTTTTTCAAACAACAAGACAGTTCAGTATCCAGGTGAATGTTTTATTCCGGTCTAGCATGCTTGTCAAACAATGTTCTGCAGCCGAAATGACAGAGTTCTTGTAGGCTCCTGGCTGTTGCGAAAATGGATGAGGCTCACATCTCAGCCAAGCAAGCCATACAAATATGCATGATAGAACACAAGAAAACGATATATCCTGAATAGTCATCCATGGCGAAATAGTAGCTCTCGATTCCAAGAGCCTGACATTGGTTACTACTGTGGCTTTTATCAGTTTTGTTTGCAGACTTCAATGTATTAGAGATTCAGGCCCCTATTGACATTAGCACATCATTCAAGGATATAACAAAGCATCGATAGATAATATCTCTTCCACTGTCTGCACACTGCATGGAAGAAGCGTCTTGGGAGGCAAATACGGTCTGCAACATTGCTGAGGCAAAACTGCCCCCTGAGCCAAGGCTTCAACACAAGTCCCAAACATTTGCAATAGAGAGGAGCCATGAATGGAGAGAAGAGGAAAGATTCATTATACAAGCCTCAGCGTTCGAGACCACATGCAGGTGCGAAGCCGAAGCCTGTCACATTTTGCATCGCCATGCTGAGACAACCCATCAACCAGGTCTATTTTGCGCTCTAAAGGATGTATTGGTACAAGGTATCATCGTCGTCGTCGTTTACTTAGTCTCCTCAGCCAAGAAGGTGATAAGGTCGTTGCGGTCCTTGGCCTTCTTCAAGCCACCGAAGGCCATCTTGGTGCCGGGGATGTACTTCTTGGGGTTCTCGAGGTACTCGANACTGGAAATGGCGTTAGGAATTTGTGTGTCAGGTAAGATTGGGAAAAAGCTTACGAGAGTGTCGTTCTCCCAAGTGATGCCCTTCTGCTTGTTGGCATCGGAGTAGGCGAAGCCCTCGACCTCACCAGTCTTGCGACCGAAAAGTCCGTGAAGGTTAGGCTTGGAACAGTTAGCACGATGAACAAGAAGGTGTAGTACATCTCAAGAGTGCTTGGCAGTATGCGAAGCCTTCTTGTGGATGTTGTGGCAGAAGTAGCTTACTCCGATCTTGTTACCCTCACCCTCCTTGAGGTTGTGGCACTGAGCGCAACGGGTCTTGAAGAGGTTGGCGCCCTTCTTGGAGTCACCTGAGATATGTTGTCAGAATGGTGTTCTTGTTTCCGAGTGGCCAGTGGCGGGGTGAGAAGAGCTGGCGGCGACTGCAAGCACGAAAACGGATACGCGAGGTCGAGTCCTTGGTCGCAGACAGGATCGAGGATTGACAGCTGTCTTGGGTGCGGCGACTAGGTGTTCATCGAGAGTTCGTCGTTCGTGTCCGGTGCTTCCAAGTGCGCTCAGGTGGTGTAGTGCTGGAAATAGAGGTTACCTACCAGGTGCGAAGCTGTCCTTGCCCATTTTGATGTATATGTGATGTGTATGAAAAAGTTGAAAGGTATGTAGGAGGTTGTGGCGGTGATTGAGAGAGTGAAGAAAGGTGGATGGGAATTTTGTTCGACGATCGCGGCGAACAAGGAGTTTCCAGGATGAAGGCGTCGAGCACCGACCACCAGAAACCAACCAATCAATGCAGGCCAGAAAGTCAATATTGTTGGAAACGCGCTTGTCGCTCGGGAAGCCTCGGAAGATTTCTTGATTCAAATCCCTTCTTTGATTCACCAGCGTGGCAATCCTCACCTCAACGTATCATAGACCTGTGCTTTGTGACCTTCAGACCTGTTCTCGAACTGAGATGTTTCCTGTTCTTGCTCGTCTGGTGGCACAACGAACCCATGACCTTCGAGCAAAGCCACAATCCAAAACAAATAATTTTTTCTCCGTCGTGATGCATGGCTTGACGCGTTTTGACGTCGTGTCGAAAATCAATAACCGCGCCAGCGGCTCAAGCTCCTCCAGCTCCTTCAGCTCCAAAGCAGCCGTCAGGGCAATACGCGAGGGAGATCTTGATCTGATACGTGATGATCTCTGATCAATCATCCATTTCCTTATTGGTTTTAACCGAGCACGGCTCAACGCTTCCTCTGGGCGGGCTTCTCCAGCAAACACCCCCATGTCTGCTTCCGCTGTCGAGGTGTCCCAATCTGTGAAGCACCCTTCTCTTTAGGGCCAGTATCTTTTCCTTCTTTCCAAGACATGAACCAGATACCCGAGATTCTGTATGGCAAGACCGGACAGAAGACTTGGTGTATCGTTGGTGCATCTAGAGGTATAGGTCTGGAATTCGTACGACAGTTGATTGCTCGTGAAGACCGCATATTCGCTACCGTCCGCGACGTCGCCGCCGTTCATGCATCCGGGCTTTGGGCGCAAGCAGGAGGTGATCATGGTCGCTGTCAGATGCTGATCTGTGATGTCCTGTCAGAGCAGAGCATAAATGTAAATTCGCTCCTATTTTTCTATCAGCTCTTTCCTTCCTCATTCTAATTCCATGCTTTTCTCCTTCGCTGTCGTTCCTGATCCTTTCCTGGAATTTATGTGTGTACCGGTTGTTGTAGTAATGATGGCTAACAAAGAATCGCAAAGAGTTTCGTTGCTCAGCTTGCCGCAGTACCGAATCTGAAGTTGGATTATGTTGTAATTAATGCTGGCGTGTTGAGATACCCGAATGTAAGCAGCCAAACATTCTTGAGTTGATGCCATAACTGACTTTTGCAGAGAGCGACTGAATTGTGAGTATAAACTCGTTAGCACCGGACTACCTGCACGAGGCTGACCATCAAGNNTTCTTTCGACGAGTTTGCCTTCCACCTGCATACCAACACGATTGGACCGATCATCACGGCTCAGAGACTTCTCCAGACAATGATCCCAATCGGAACTATTGTCTTCATGTCCAGTGATTCTGGTTCAACACAGCGGTTTCTAGAAATGGAAGACNNGGGTAAGTACCTTGGTCAAGTACTCTGTATCCTTACTCACCGCTCCTTCAGGTTTGCAGCTTACTCCGCATCGAAAGCTGCATTAAATCAAGCAATGCGACACATGGCTGCCGAGCTCAAGCGGAAAGATGACGATACCATCTTGCTAGCAATTCATCCAGGAGAGGTTGCCACGTAAGTACATTTGTTGGGCGAGCGGGATGAAACAGCTGCTGATGAATCACGCCAGNNGGATATGGCAAACATTGATCTTGGTTGGGAAGTCGACGGTATCATGACACCGCAAGAATCAGTATCGGCGATGATCAAGGTCATAGAGAGTAAGGGGATACAGCACAGTGGAACGTTTTGGACGTGGGAGAACAAGGTATGTAACTCTGATGATCTGCCCAGCTGCTTTTCTGACTATTGCAGCATTATCCCTGGTAAGAGCATGGTTCCTTGTACTCAAAACGCCGTCCTCAACAAGCAACTTTCTGCAAGGACCCAGTTCAGGTTGTAGGGCGAGCAGAACAAAGAAGTCGACACGAAAACAGAAACAGAAAACACTAGAGTTTGAATTTAGACCCCAACAGAACGGTCGGGCATAGGTACAATATAATGTTGAATGTTCGACTTGCACTTTTGAGATTCTAGATGCATACTACGTTTCAGGTAATATGTCTCGTGATCGACATAGCTTGTTGAAAGGACTAGCAGAGTGGATATCAGGAGATTTTCTTTGTCGGGACATCGAGCCGGACTACGAGTGTATTGACAAGGACATTGTCAGTCGGTAGCATGTTGACAGGCGAGTGTTACATGGCAGAGAGGATGGCACGTCGGATGAAATTCAGTGAAACAGTCGTGAGCCCACCGAGATGCATGATATTCAGGTGCCGTGAGCCGCTGGAATACGGGCCTGAGTGCCGAATATGCGTGCGTCGGCCCAGTGACATGAAAGGCGAAAGAAAAAGACGACGGGTGTTGAGAAGAGGTGACTTTGTCGTGGCCTGGATTGGCTGGACAAAATGGTAGTACACAAAGAAAAGAGTTGACCAGTCGGACGGAACGTCATTCTGCAACGGCTTTGGACTTCTCCCAACTGCAGGATTGACCAAAGAGCGGTGTCAAACACATACAAAGGCATTCGATAATACGTTATGGATTTGAATCCGTCGATGTTGGACGCGGCTAGAGAAGCGCAATTCCGAGAGGTAGGTGTGTAGGGTGTGAAGAGGTAGGTCGAGGAGGCGCGCGATCGTCAGTTCCTTCCTCATGCGCGTCCGTTCAGGCATCCCTCGACACTTCTCACGCCGGCGACTCACATGTGGGGTGAGATGCAGATGCATATATCCACCTATTCGCCTCGACTCAGATGACCTATTTGGCCTACGTTTCTGTTTCTCTTGGTCTCGTGCTTTCCCTACTAATTTCTTCTCTCTCCTGCACTCTCGTCCCCCCTCCTTTGCGTCACAACATTCTTCTTCTCGACTAGCCAGCCGGCATGGCTTCCTGGGACACTTACGATCACTCTCGCTACCGTTATGACGATTCATACAACAAGCCACGACGCTCACGAAACGACTCGACGTATGCCTCCTACACGCTGCTACCTGTCCGAACTTCGGCCACTAACACCTGTCAGNNCCTCGACCCCACCTATCATGACTTTACGCAACCATTTCTATACCCCTCCATCCCTACGAGAAGCCGGAGTCGCGCACCCACCAAGGGTAGAGACCACAGTCGAGCACCATGCCGATGGCCCCCTCCGCCGTATGTCGAAGAGGAGGAAGACTCGCTAAGAAGGGAATACAAGCCTGAACGTACAAAACATGACCACATTCCGTCAAGAGGCACCATCGGACAAGAGCCACTGCTTATTGATGTGCCTGACCACATTCCCGACCGCCGCTATGTCTGGGTTCCTTCGGCAAGACAATCTCCTGACACTCATTCTACGCCTTCCAGCGACGACGAGCGAGCTAGACGCCGCGAGAAGCGCAAAGGTCCTCGGATAGAAACAACTGGACTCCCTGAGATGCGAAGAGAAGCTTCACCCTATGCTTGGTCCAAACCGAATCCATCTTCACTTACACCAAAGACGTCAGAAGGCCTCTTTCTGTCGCCAGAGACGCTTACGCCCTCTGCTTCTTACAAGTCTGCGACTTCCGACAAGCCACCTCCGACTAGCATACCTCGCTCCGACTGGTCTGACCCAAACCAACGTCCACAACAATCCTTAACCAGAGACGGCACTCCACCACCACGGTCAACTTCACAGCACGTGTACGAAGGACGTAGTACTGCCGAGGCCACCCGCAGTGCAGAAGACCATATTCCACAGAGATCGTCAAATCGCTATTCTTGGACCAAGCCAGACCAATCTCACTCATCTCCTACAACACCTCTCAATCCACCAACAGTTGACGGCTCCAGAAGACGTTCGGGCCCGATAGACGGCTATCCACTTCCGAACGACTTGTCGCGCAAACCAGCACCTCCGCAAGTTGTCAATCTGCAGCAGTCTGGACGACCCACTCAACATCCTCGTCACTCGAGTGAAGGGGCTTATACCTCTCAGGACACTTTTGCCCCAGTTCGCAATTCAAGCTCAGACAGGTTAAGAGACAGTTACCCGCCCAGCCTCCCCAACTCGAGACCGACGTCGCGAGGAGGCTCTACTCAATCTTCGCCACAGCCTTCACCCCGCATAGTCCACCCTCCAGAATACCCCTGGAATATGGGTTCGGCCGCTTCGACCACCGCCCGCCGCGCACAACCACCTTCTCGTCTTGCCGAGTCGACAGTTCCAAAGACACCTCGTCCCCAGGCATCTAGATCTGTATCCAGCCCGTACTCGCCACTTCCCTATCCGGATGACGATCGTCCATTTGAGACCATGCCTTCCGAAAGAGATCATCAATATTTCGCAGCACAACCGAGCACGCTACTCCCGCCATTCAGCGAGCCAGTAACACGCGCCAACACTCCGAAACAGCCAACGCCATCCAGCAAAGTGCGACCAGCTGAGGAAAGGTCTGCAGTATCTGGTGCATCAAGACGAGAGGCATCAAAGTCTGAGGACCAATCTTCCAGCACAAGGAAAACTCAAATGGAAAGGCTGCCAGCGTGCAAACGGGTGACATACAAGACCAAGTATGATGACTGGTATACCCTCGATGGATGCCCTGAGTTCAACGTCTGCCCGCGCTGCTTCAAGTTTGCCTTTGACAGGACACAGCTAGGGATGTCCTTCAAGCTCCTGCCTAACAATGTGCCCAGGATGCCCAGGAGATGCGAGTTTAGCAATGCTTGGATCCGGCTTGCATGGGTTGTGACAGCGAACAATCGTCACGATACCCTGAACATAATGATCACAATCTTCAATGCTCAAGAGTTTGAAGAGCCATGCCCAGAGGCGGCAAGAGGATGGTGCAATTGGTATTCAATTCGCGACAGAGATGGGCACTTCCTACGGGACTTTATTGTGTGCCCGTCGGATGTGAAAAAGATAGAAACACTTTTCCCAGGGTTCCAAGGTCTGCTTGTACCACTTCCGATGAGGTATTCCTATGACAAAGACGAGGAAATGCTGGGGCGCTTCTGCTCTCTACGAACCGAACACAATAACCGGTTCGCAGCCTACATTGACTGCTTGTTCCAGCTCCACGAAGATGCAGTGTCTGGTCAGCGGTTGCCTAGCACACATGAGTTTGTGTCACTTGTCCGACATAAGACCAGACTCCCCGAATGCATCCGTGACGACAAGCTTCAAGGAGTCGACTGGTACTACATTCCCTCATTGGCGCCTGCTTTGACTGCGTGCGATGAGTGTTACCATGACGTGGTACTGCCATGGGTGAGGACGAACTCGGAGGTAGCTATGAGATTCAACCGAACGAAACAACCTGTCCGCAACGAGGGTAGAGGGGGAGTATCCTGCCAGCTCTATTCAAGGCGGATGCGGGATGCATTCCGATACGCAGTTGACACGAATGACATGAAATATCTTGCAAGAAAAGCAAAGGACAGGAAAGAAGTGGAAGAAGATTTTCAGCGAAGATGCAGAGAGTTGCAAAGACAGGCCGAAGGAGTCAAAGGTCGCAGCGGGTATGCGATCAGCTCTCGAGCAGAGCAAGAGTTGTTCCAACTTCAGCGTGAGATTGAAGCCATTGGGGAGACTTGGGAAATGGAATGGGAGTGAGTAGAGACCAGAAGCTCAGTCTAGATGCTTCAGACATTCAATAAGATGCTGCTGGTATAACAGAACGGCCAGTCTTTCTGCTCACAAAGCTTTTGATTATTGCTCGTCGTGTTTCAATTAATTAAATCAGCTGTGACATGTGGAGCAACCCCAGATTCTGCCCCATACCTCGGCATGTGTCAACATCATCATCACATGCCAGACAAAGGACAGAACATGACATTGATGATCGCTCGAACAAAGACATTCATGAACAAGACACTCAGATGATGGTGACTGAGACATGGCAGTACAATCGAAGCTGTCACTGCCCGGCGGCCTCGTGTCAGAAGGAGCGCTGAAGAAGGTCGTCTCTGATCTAACAAGGCTATACCTCAAACACCGCACACGCATCTCACGCGCCGTCTACATCGGCCTCTTTGTCACTTTACTGAATCGTATACGCAACGCCATCAACGAGCAGAAAGCCGCCGAGCAACAACGACGAACAGCCGCTCGCAATGGAGAAAGAGAAGGAAACACACCGGCTGGCAGGAAGAAGGTCGAGCTCAACAGAGAGTTCTTCCGTAACCTGATCCGCTTGCTGAGGATCTGTATACCGGGCTGGAAGAGCAAGGAGTTGCGTCTTCTCATCAGTCACAGCATTTTCCTCGTTTTGAGAACGTTGATTTCGCTCTACGTCGCCGAACTGGACGGAAGACTGGTATCTGCTCTCGTCCGTGGCAAGGGCAAGGACTTTATTGGCGGTCTGCTGTGGTGGATGGTTGTCGCCATTCCAGCTACTTTCACAAACTCCATGCTTAGCTACCATCAGTGCAAGCTCGCCCTCCAATACCGCACCCGCCTTACCCAACACATCCACAACAAGTATCTATCCAACATGACCTTTTATACCCTCTCCGCCCTCGACGACCGCATCAAGAACGCCGATCAACTCGTCACAGTCGATGTCAGCAAATTCTCAAACTCGCTCGCTGAGTTGTACGGAAATCTGGCAAAACCAATCTTGGACCTGATCATCTACAACTACTCGCTTTCGCGTAGTGTCGGTGGTGAAGGTCTNTTTGCCATGGGTCTACTCGTCCAGCTCTCTGCTTCCGTCATGCGAGCTCTGACGCCGCCCTTTGGCAAATATGTTGCTGATGAGGCACGTCTGGAAGGAGAATTCCGCTTCCAACATTCACGTGTGATTGATTACAGCGAGGAGATTGCTCTATACCACGGCCAAGAAGCCGAGAAAGATGCTCTCGACAAGAATTACTTTACTCTCATCAAGCATGTGAACCGCATTTTGAGAAGAAGATTCTACCACGGCATCATGGAGGATTTTGTTATCAAATACTTCTGGGGCGCTTTGGGTTTGATGCTGTGCTCCATCCCTGTGTTTTTTAGACTCCCTGTAGCGAAAAATGCAGGAACAGCAGCCAAGAACTCGACAGAGGCTTTTGTCACGAACAGACGTTTGTTGCTCAGCTCTTCTGACGCCTTTGGAAGGCTCATGTTCTCTTACAAGGAAATTTCCCAGCTTGCGGGCTACACTTCTCGCGTCTCCACTCTGCTGTCAGTCATTGCGGATATCCAAGCTGGACACTTTGAAAAGCAATTGGTCAGCTCCGCATCCGTGGACGCCAATGCTGCCGTTCTCGCTGGCAGGGGCACCATCACCGAAGGCCCTGATATCATGTTCAAAAACGTGCCCATCGTATCCCCCAACGGCGATATCTTGGTCTCTGCGTTATCATTCCATATTACACCTCAAGACCATTTGCTAATCATTGGCCCCAATGGCTGTGGCAAATCTTCTCTGTTCAGGATTTTGGGGGGACTGTGGCCTGTTTACGGCGGAGAGGTCAGAAAACCTCCCGCCGAAGATATTTTCTACATTCCCCAACGACCGTATCTCATGGCTCATGGTAGTCTTCGCGCCCAAATCATTTACCCAGATACCGTGGCCGAGATGCACGAAAAAAACACCACGGATGCTGATTTGCTGCAAATACTCAGCTCTCTGGATTTGGACAACTTGTTATCTGTGCCTGTTGCCAAAGATGGCAATCAAGCATCATCAACACTCTCGGGTCTGGATACCACAGCACCTTGGCCCGATGTACTCTCTACAGGAACACAACAACGCCTGGCCGCCGCCCGCCTCTTCTACCACTCTCCCTGTTACGCCATCCTCGACGAATGCACTTCCTCTCTAACCCCCAGCATCGAAGCTCTAATCTACACTTCAGCCAAAGCCCGCAATATTTGCCTCTTGACTGTCAGCCACAGAAAATCTCTATGGCAGTATCATACTCGCATCTTACAGTTTGACGGCAAAGGAAACGCGTGGTTTGGAATTTTGGATGCGGANAAAAGATTAAGACTTGAAGATGAGAAAGAGGATTTGGAGGAAAAGTTGAGGGGGGTGGAGGGTGTGGAAAAGAGGATTAAGGAATTGGAGACTGTGTGAAAAGGACGGCAATGGCTGCATGTGGTAAAGAATGAAATCATAATGCAATTGAAATGACCTTTCTTGTTTTACATTGCCATCATCTAATCAAGCATCAAAACGTACCAGCCCTGCTTGCCGCATCTATGAGGAAAGCACAGCTTCCATCTATTGATTTCGCAATAGCACAAGTGGCATATCGATCTGGCAAATCTTTGCGTCTCTTCATTGTTGTGCATAAACACACCTACTCAATCGCCTCAATCGAATCAAAGACCAACTCAGTCTATGTATGTGCTTGTATACGCAAGAGTGAGGAGACACGAATTCAGCTGGGTCTAAAGGTCGCACACACGGACAGACACTGATGAGACGTTGATACAGAAAACTTGTAGCGAATACCAGCAAACTCATTCTTTCGACTAACATGATGATCTCTTTGGTAGACTGTGGTGCAATCCCCAGCACACCAGCAACCCTTTGTCTTTTCTTTTCGTTCTTCAAGCTATGCGCTTGCAACCTCATTGGCCCAAGCCTTAACCCTGACCCATCTTCTTCAATCTCATCCACTTCTCCTGCAGAACCTTGTGCAAGCCCTGCACTCCAATGCCAACTCCACCTACACTCCCTGCAAGCATCAAAGCTTTCTCAGCCCAAACTCTGGCTTGCTCATTATCTCCTGGTTGACCTTCTCCTTCCTCAACACCTGCGAACCACAGATCTACGGCATGGTTGAATGCTGTACTAGCCAACCACTCAATCTCCTCAGGTGGATAGGCTTCCGGAATCTGTCTTGTAGCTGCTTTAGATGCGATAGCAGAAGCTTGGTCTAGACAGCGAAGAGAGATGACAGGGTCGGACGTCAAGGTCATTTGGAAAAGGCAGCGTATCCAGCGGGCGAGGCGTGTGATATCTTTGTTGTTACGCCAGCATGTGTTGATCATCTTCTCCAAGACTATAGGAATGCCGGCGAGAATTTTCGGATTTGCGGGCTGGGAAGGGCCAGATATTATGTGGGTGTGAATGTGAAGAATCAGATCTGCTGCACTTTCGAGTCGGTTCGAGTGGCGTGGCTCAAGACACANTCTGTAAAGGGGTCAATTCTGGATCAAGCAAGTATGGTGTTCAAAGCTTACTGAGAGCACTGTGGCCAAGTCATCCCACTGTTCGAGGCGCATCACGGCCTCCAAATCGAATTGAACCATCTCAAATTTCTTGACCTCAATGTCTGATAACGCATCTGGCTGAAGTGACTCTTGTCGTATGGCTTCTTGATATTTCTTGTGAAAGGCTCCGATTTGTCTTCTGGCATCAGTATATAGCTGTANACTGTCCTGATATCAGCGTGTGTGGTCTAAGCATGATGCATCCCCAACACTGACTGCTCTCTCAATGTTGTCTTCTGATCTGGCCAGAACAATCAAAGCAGACGTGGCCAAGAAGCGACACAAAAGAAGCCGAGAGAGAAGGCCATCATCTTTCTCGCCCTCATTCCGAAGTATCTCTATAAGNNCTGTCGTCTGTCAGCACACGTCAAAGATCTCTGCGGACATACCTACAGAAACACTGGCCATCATGAATCTCGTTAGTAATTCAGGTTGCATATCCGAGCAGTGCTTCAGAGCTGTATTGTAACAATGGCAAGCAAACCATCGAAGCTCGTCAACCCGTTTATCATTGCCGTCCGCATCTTTGAAACTGCTTCCATGTCTCATGACNNTGTTTATATCAGCATTTGTTCTCACTCGTGCTTTGACTTCAGTAACAATACCTGCTTCAAAGACTTTGCACAATTCAGTCAGTCCAGCTTCGAGCGGCATGTTATTGTTCTTCAGCTCTGTCTCGATGGAACCAACTATACAACTGTGCACTGTTAGTACCATAACAAAAGTTGACTACTCTCTCACGAACCGAAGTAGAACAGCCAACCGGACATCGCTCAGAGAATGCTTCTCATGAAGCTCCAGAATTTTGTTCAAGGTTGCGATGAACTGCTTTCGATCGCCGATCTGTTGTGCTTCAAGAGCACACGCGTAGAGATACTTTTGAGAGTCTTTGGAAGATGACTTCAGTATCCCTTCGAGGGATTTTGTAGCTAGTATGGTCAGTGGTGATAGACTTGCGCAAGAACTCAAGTACGTACCAAGCTCAGCATCGCTCTCTTGCAGCGCAAGTTTGTAGACCAGATATTGTGTCATTGCGGCTGACTTGCCCTGATCTGACATCTGGTGGTAAATCGCTCGTGCAGCAGTCAGATCTCCTTTCGTAAGAGCGATGTTCATTGATTNTGCTAAGACCAATCAGTCTGAGCTCAAGTTTGAACTCACGATTCGAGTACACACTCACCGTGATAATTTGGCTTTGTTGATTTCTCCGGAGCTGGTAAAGATTATGTGGCTCGCCAAACTACACCATCTGGCAGCGTCGTCCTCATGATGTGATTGTTGTAAAGAGGTAACAGCTTTCCATATTAGCTATCTTGATGTCAGTGAAGGTTTCGAGACGGAAAGAACACTTCTGCCACTCACAGATTGACAGACATGTGTGGCCTCCATCCCCAGCTTTGTCCCATTCCTATTCGCAATATCATCGAACAGATTCTCAAGCTTGAGAAGGTGGTCTTGTACATGCAAAGTGAAAGAACAGATCCATACTCTGATCACCACAACCTTCTCAATCCAGATCTGCGCAACAGACGGTTGTTCAAGCAACCTCGATAGCAGAAGATCCAGGGTCTGACAGGCCAAGTTCGAGAAAGGTCCTGGAGTCGAAGTAGCGATGGCGGTACGGTTTGTTGCACCGACTCTTTCGGGATCTTCAGTGTTCAGCTTCTGGATCTGATGCATGATTCTGAATTTCGTCAGTATCGAATGATTCGGTAGTTTGAGTTGGGATTCATACGATTTGAAAGTGCCCTCCGAAAGTATAGCTCCACGAACGATCTGATTCAAGACCCCACAGAATTCATCGGCTTCGAATGGCCTTGTAGCATAGATGATATCCAGTCTTATCAACTGAACCTCGAGTTTAAAGCCATGCTNCCTACAAGGGGTCAGTGGAGGTCTTCTTCTCCTTCGTGTATCTCATACCTGATCGAGCGTCACAATAAGACTGATTGCTTTCACTAATGAATCAGGATTACCGACACCGACCAGAGAGCGAGCATAGTCGAGCATAACCACCACATGAAGATCACAAAGATCAGAAGACAGCATCTCAGGGTCAATGTCGTGGAATATCTGATAGCTTTGCTCTAGCCACCTTGCGGCGCTAGGAAATTGCTTCTTCTGAAGAGCCGACTTGCCGATTTCGTATGTCAAGTCTGCTTTCTGTTCGGCGAGGTGCAGCATATCCGATCTGTGTGGGATGAGAATGACTCTGCTGAGCCAGTAGGTCACGTTGTCGGGTTTGTGTTGTTTCCAAGACAATGTTGCTCTCAAGAGATGATAGTCGGCCATCAACTCTTTGAGCATCTCTTCAGCCTCACTTTCTTGCTTGTCTCTCTTTTGTTCTCGGGGTGCATCTTGTATGTGTTCGACATGTTCTGCAACTTTCTCAAACAGCATGGTGCAAAGGTCCAGAGCGTCTGCAGTGATACAGATACGTGCTGCTTTCAAGGCAGTCTTGAGAATGCGGACCAGGTTCTGGGATGATCTTTTGCTGCCATGCTTGACGTAGGATCTTTGAGCATTGTCTAGAAGGAAGTACGCAAGGACGCGTAGTTGAGACTCGAACTGTGGCCAAGTTTTGAGCAGTGGTGAAAACTGGTCTTTCAGGCGAATGGCGGCATTCCAGATCTGTGTTCCGAGGCGATCGAAGTCGGGCGCTCTGGCGGCAGGCGAGCGAGGGCATTTCATACTGAGAATGGTTTCGAGTTCTTTCGTGGTGACAGCATTCACATTGCCCGAGTCTATGCGCCTGATAAGTTGCGCAGCAAATTCTATCATCTCCAAGTTAGTTATTCGTTCTTGGGGCACAGATTGAATCTTACCAAGGTATGCTGTGATCTCCATGATAACTGGTGGATGGTCAGAGACGAATTGAATTGTGTGCAGAGCAGATGCTCGAACTTGTAAAGACTACAGCCAACAAGCTGAGGCAGGCACCAGCGTCAACCCACCTGCCTTTCTAAACTACAACCCTCCCCATGCGCAAAAGCATGTATTGTATGCGGCTATAGAAATGCACAATACTATCAGGAAACAGGACGATTCCACTGAGATGGGATATTTTATCAGCTCTCTCTGGCCATGCCTCTGCTTCCGAAGACAACTGTGTCTTTTTATAGTTGTATTTTGCTCTTTGCTGCATTTGGAGCGTACAGGGGGCTTAGGGCAGACACCAGAAGTTCAGGAGAGGCGACATGTTATCAGCTCTCTGTGGAAAACGATTGTGTCTTTCTATCGTGTGCGTTTTGCTCTTTGTTTTAGTCGGGATCAATGAAAGTCACAAAATTCAGCACATGCGAATGAAGTATCTTACAAATCTTCTTCGGTCCCAACACCAGCAGCTTTAGTCTAGTGGTCAAGACGCTACACAGATGATGTCTTGCAAACACAAGCATGTAAGGCGGTCATGAGGTAGCATACCGAAAGGAGAGTTGAAGTGATCATCTGAGATGTAGAGACGTGGGTTCGAATCTCACAAGCTGCAATCTTCTTTTGCTCCGCATTTGAAATACATACGCTTGTCACAGAGACTATGGTGTAATAAACATCAACATGAGAGAAGCTCGATACACGTTTGGAAGCCGTAAGCGCGACATGACAACGCTATAGACGGGCTTTCTGCCATGCCCCCTGTACATTCTTGACCTGAAATGAGCTCGTCTACAGGGCAGTAGTATCTTGAAATGTCACGAGTGGTCGTGAAGAGAAGAAAGGAAGAACGACGAATCAGAAGGAGGAACTCGAAGCTTACCAATTCTGCCGAGGTTCCGAGAGCGGCGGAAGGCTTCTGCGTCATTCGAGGTTCAGATAATTGTTAATCTTTTGCAGACACGAACAACAGACTACTTTTCGCCTTTCCTAAGACATTTACAACGTCCTACACCATGCCCGCCAAATCCACCATGTTCACATCCGCCTGCAGAAGTGCCGCCCGCTCGAGCGCATCAAGGACGATTGCCACAGCACCAATTCGCAGGAGCCTGCATCGCCTGTCTACACCCTCGTCTCTCACATCAACCGCCACTAGATACCGCCCAAGTGCGCCTTCGCTAAAGCCCGCTCAATCTCGTTTCCCTGCTGGCACTCGCTCAATCTTCATCCAGACCGAGGACACACCCAATGCCGACGCCTTGAAGTTCATCCCCAACTCTCGCATCTTGCCCGAGAACTTCCAATCATCATTCCTGGAATACCTGTCGCCGCGCTCAACACTTGCGCCCCCTCACCCATCGCCTCTTGCTGCCCAATTGCTGAACGTTGACGGTGTCTCATCCGTCTTCTACGGTCCCGATTACATTACCGTCACAAAGGACTCCGCCACTCCATGGCCACACGTCAAGCCTGAGGTCTTTGCTCTGATCACCGAGGCTGTGACATCTGGACAGCCCCTTGTCAACACGGTTGCTGGAAAGAGTGGTGAAGAGCAAGCAGTCGAGAAGGACTCTTTGGAGTACGACGAGAATGACAGTGAGGTTGTCAGCATGATCAAGGAACTGCTCGAGACTCGCATTCGTCCTGCCATTCAGGAAGATGGTGGTGACATCGAGTTCAGAGGTTTTGTAGATGGCCAGGTTCTCTTGAAGCTGCGTGGTGCTTGCAGAACTTGCGACTCGAGCACCGTCACCCTGAAGAATGGCATTGAGAGCATGCTTATGCATTACATCGGTTCGTCTTTCCTTGCTGTATCACATTCGCATATCAGGCTAACAACATAAACAGATGAGGTCCAAGGTGTCCAGCAAGTACTGGATGAAGAAGAGGAGGTCGCTCTACGTGAGTTTGCCAAGTTCGAGGAGAAGCTCGCAGCACANAAGGGCCAGGTTCCTGCTGGCACAGTTGGTAAGGGTTCTCTCGACACTGTCGAGTAGACGATACCCATCTCTTGTCTCTTGATGCATAGCCAGGTTTCTTGTACATTATATGGGCGTTTACAGTTTCTCTTTGCGAAGGATACCAAATTTGAACCACAACTTTTATTCTCAGACATTCTATGTGTGGAAAGATGTCCATTGCTATTCAGTCGGACTTTATTGAGCTCGCCTCGGACCACACCGGCTCTGTGCAGCACGGTTTCGAAGACTTCCGAACAAGTAGACGCTCCTGCATATCAGCTTTCGACTAACCTTACCGGCTTTTTGGACAGAGCCTCAGAAGTTTCTTATACAAGGACAACGTCATGTTTGGCGAGAATAAGAGACGAGGCAGCAGGGCAAGTAGCCAGTCAGCATGACGGAGATATGAATGTACTACAAGCGTTGTATGCGGCTTGTTTGGTCAACGACAATTTGTTGGTGGTGGGGAAGACAAGTTTTCGGTGAATTGACAAGCGGAATTGTGAACAGTGCGTGTGGAGCCCAGCGGAGTCTCCAGATGGTTGAAATGGCCTGGGGAGATTGATCTGGAGACTTCGACAGCTGTTTCCTCTGGTTCTTGAACGAGATGAAGACTTGTGTCGACGACTTGACCGAAAATTGAAAGATGTCATTCACTTTCTGGATATTGGAAAAGTTAGTCGGGGCTCAAATAGCGTGTATAACAGGCCTGCAGCATAGGCCGATGCTTCCCAAAAGTCGATAAGCACCAAATTGTTGGGCCAAGAACCGAGTAGTCCGTCCTCGCTGCATTGCGGGATGACGACTGTGGATTTATTTCGTGAGCGGTTGCGTTTCCCGCGTTCCCCAGTGGACCTTCCAACACGGTCCGTAGATCTGGAGAGTACCTGCTGGCTGCTGTCTCTTTTTTCCCTCCTTCCTTGTGCAGTCGCGTCCAGTTCCTGAAACTTGTCTCGGTTCGGCTGACTTTGCATTGTTTCCCTCTTTTAACTCGCATCCATCAGACTTATCATCTTACCGTAGCTAATTTCTACCGCCTTGCCTGTCGTTCTTTGCCCAGCTTAACTTTCACCACCATCATTAGCCAGCTCTGCGGCTCTTTGTCCATCCATTACCTAGAGGGCACACCGCACCGCCATGGTCTACATCGACAACACAGAGGTCCTCTGTGAGGAGGAGAAGCGTCTGAAAGAGGATCGCGAGAGAACCAAGTACTGGAAGAAATGGGGTTCCTACGTCGCCGAGAGACAATGGGCTACCNNGGTACGTTCAACAACATCACTCCTGCTCATTGCACAATGCTGACTGACTCTTGACAGTGAGAGAGGATTACTCGTAAGCTAGACAACCATCATCTCAAAGCTTGTGAACCACCACTAACAAACAGCCAGCGCTGATGGAGATGCCTGGAGTCGTAAGTCTTGCCCACTAATGCTCCATTGATGCACGAATCGAAGCTGACAACGACGACAGACNTTCTCGCATGACATGTCCCGCAAGAGAGCCTACCGTTGGGGTGAGGACGGTATTGCTGGTGTGTCCGATACCCATGGTCTTCAAAACATCGCATTTGCCTTCTGGAACGGAAAGAGTAGGCTTCACACAAAGCTCGCCACCACTTGCATTCACTGACACAGTTTCNNTAGCCCCTTCCTCAAGGAGCGTCTGTTCGGTCTGTCCAACCCCCAGGGTGTTCATGGCGAGAGTATCAAGGAGTGCCATTTCCACCTCGACAACACCCCTACTGTACGTACCACCTGAAGCTCAAGAACGGTACCATACTGACGTTGTGACCACAGNCACTCGTACATGAAGTTCCTCTACAAGTACCCTCAAGAGGAATTCCCTTACGAGCACCTCATTGAGGAGAACGCTCGCCGCAACAAGACTGAGCGCGAGTACAACCTGATCGATACCGATGCCTTCAAGGACAACAAGTACTGGGATATCTTCATCGAGACTGCNAAAGAGGCGGATGACCCAGATGAGCTCTTGTTCCGTGTGACAGCATACAACCGTGGTCCTGAGGCTGCCAAGTTGCACATCATCCCTCACGTCTGGTTCCGCAACACCTGGGTTTGGGGTCACGATGATACCAAGCCTGAGACTAAGCAAGTTAGTGAATTTGCTTGCGAGACCAATCACAAGAAGATTGGCAAGCGCTACTTCCAGTGCTCTCCCTCGCCCAATGTTGGCGGCCTCACTGAGGATATCCACCCTGAGTTCCTCTTCACCGAAAACGAAACCAACTTCAAGGCCATCTGGGGCAAGGACCAGAAGAACAACACCGAGTTCACCAAGGACGCTTTCCACAGACACATTGTCAACAAGGAGAAGGGCGCCGTCAACCCTGCCAAGTCAGGAACAAAGAGTGCAGCCTGGTACGCATTCGACCAGGGTGAGGGTGTCCCTCCTGGTGAGTGCGCCGTTGTTCGTTTCCGCCTTTCCAAGAAGCTCGCCGAGGGCTACATCGATGAAGAGCTTTTCGACGACGTTATGGACCAGAGACTTCAAGAAGCCGATGAGTTCTACTACCGCATCAGCCCCATGCCCATGAACGACGACCTTCGCAACATTCAGCGTCAGGCTCTGTCAGGTATGATGTGGTGCAAACAGTACTACCACTTCATTTGGGATCAGTGGGCCAATGGTGACCCTGCCATGCCTNNCCCCCCTCCTCCTGGGAGAAAAGCTATCCGCAACGCCCAGTGGAAGCACATGCATCTCGACGACATCCTTTCAATGCCTGACTCATGGGAGTACCCTTTCTTCGCTGCCTGGGATTCAGCCTTCCACTGCATCCCGCTCACCATGATCGATCCTGAGTTCGCCAAGAAGCAGCTCGATCTGTTTACTCGTGAGTGGTACATGCATCCCAACGGACAGCTTCCCGCCTACGAATGGAACTTCGGCGATGTCAACCCTCCTGTTCACGCATGGGCTACCTTCAGAACTTTCAAGATGGAGCGCAAGATGTACGGCCGTGAGGACATTGACTTCCTCGAGCGTGTCTTCCAGAAGCTCTTGCTCAACTTCACCTGGTGGGTCAACCGCAAGGATGCCGAGGGCAAGAACGTCTTTGAAGGTGGTTTCTTGGGTCTGGACAACATTGGTCTGTTCAACCGTTCCGACCCTCTGCCCACTGGTGGTGTTCTCGAGCAAGCCGATTCCACTGGTTGGATGGCTTTCTACTGTTTGTGCATGTTGAACATCTCTCTCGAACTCGCCAAGCACCGCCGCACCTACGAAGACATTGCCTCCAAGTTCTTCGAGCATTTCGTCCTCATCAGTGATGCCATGCAGTACCGCGCCGGTAGTGAGGCAAAGTCTCTTTGGAACGAGGAGGATGGTTTCTACTACGATGCAATTTCATGGGGTGGTCCATGGACTCAGCAGATGCCTGTTCGCTCGCTCGTCGGCCTGATCCCCATGTACGCCTGTTTGACGCTTGAGCCGCAGGTTATTAACAAGCTGCCTCAGTTCAAGAAGCGCATGGAGTGGTTCATTGAGAACAAGCATGACGTTTTCGAGCGCAACATTGCCAGCATGAAGCGTCGTGGAAAGGACAACCGTCTTCTTCTGTCACTGGTCAACGAGGAGAGACTCAAGAAGATCCTGGAGCGCATGTTGGATGAGACCGAGTTCTTGTCCAAGGGCGGTATTCGTTCATTATCCAAGTACCACGAGGAGCACCCTTACTCCATGGATGTGAATGGCCAGCGTTTCTCAGTCGGCTACGTTCCTGGAGATTCCGACAGTGGTCTTTTCGGTGGAAACAGCAACTGGCGTGGTCCTGTCTGGATTGCTGTCAACTTCTTGCTGGTTGAGTCGCTGCTCCGCTTCTACATGTTCTACGGTAACACACTCAAGGTCGAGTGTCCTAAGGGTTCTGGCGACGAGATGCACCTTGGACATGTAGCCGAGGAGATTCAGCACCGTCTTCAACATCTCATGGCTCGTGGTGATGATGGAAGACGTGCCATCAATGATGGAAACGACATGCTCGACTTTGATCCTCACTGGAAGGACTACCTTTGGTTCTACGAATTCTTCGATGGAGACAGTGGTAGAGGTCTCGGTGCTAGTCATCAGTGTGGTTGGACTGGTCTTATGGCCAAGATGATTCACGACACTGGTGTCAACTGCCGTCTTCCTCAAACTCCCAGAACTCCTACCGCGGCAGCATCTCACTACTTTGATGATGTCTTCACTCGTCAACGCAGAAACTCTCAAACAAAGAAGCCTGATGCTCTCCGTCGTTCATCGACCAGCCGTAGCATCGGTGCTCGCAGCGACTACTGGAAGTCTGCNCCTCCTAGTGATGATGGCGACCATGAAGCTGAAGCTGAAGAGGGAGATGACACCAGGTCTAACGGACGTGCTTGGACAATCTACAAGGATGATGGTAATGCCGAAGCTCGTAATAGGGAGAGAGAAACTGCAGACGACCACGTCCATAGATACGTGCAGGACCAGCTCAAGCGTCTGATGACACCAAACGGCCCTGAGCAGTACGAGGACGAGATTGAGTAAGGGAGCATGGAAATGGCATGATCAGATCTGGCGTTTGTATGAGTGGGCGTATTGTTTCTGAGTAAGGCATTGACGACAGGACCGGAATCCTGCAGTATAGAACAAGACCCTAGATACCTGATATTATATAATGAACAGGTTCGTACCTATTGAGTCTTCTCTTCATATGTGTATATTGGTCTGCGATAATGCCTTGTTTTATTCCCCATGTTGAAATGTGCAAGTCCGTTCGTGCAGCTCGTTCTCGGAAGCTTGAACAAGTTGATTGTACCGGCAACCTCAGCCATACTCACTCCTTTCGTCTTGTCCTGGTGTTTGAGATTCATTCATGCTTCATAAACTCATTGACAACATCAACAGACATGTGCCGGCATCGGAACGTCGATAATAGAGAGGTTCGTATGACACCAGGGTGATACCTCCAACCACACCATCTCCGCTCGGTAACCGTCGGCCACCGGCAAAGCAGTAGCCAGAACAGGCAGGTGTATCCGAGATAGATAGCCGGAGCGGGCAGTATATATCTAAGCATCGTCTCTTTTCCTCCCAAGGCTTATCATTACCGTTCGTTTCTGCCGGGAGTTTTTGCTCTAGTAACCTTTTTCTTGATCTTTACTCTGCTTGGACTTCTTCTTTTCTTTTGTCTCTTGATATCAACGATTATACTCTCTCTTGGTTACGCATAGAGAAGCAGCAGCAGCAGCAGCAGCAGCAGCAATGGCATCTCGAGCATCACTGAACAGAGTTTCGAGTGGTAGAGTAATCTCTACTTCTCCTCGTTCTTTTGTATCAACTGCTCTTCACCACTCTGCCAATATCACCAAATGCAGCAATCACAAAACACACAACATTGGCATCAACAGACACTTTTCGTCATCATTGAAATGGAATAAAGACTTGAAGAACATGTCTAAAGAGGAGGTTTGGGGTTTGAAGGTCAAGAAGCAAAGGCTCATGAGGGATTTGCATGAGACTTGTGAGTGGGGGGTTGGAGAGAGGTGGGGGAGGTGAGTGGGTTTTTGTTTTTCTCCTTTTTCTCTTGATCTTTTCTGTTTTTTGGTATTTGAATGGGTGAGTTGAATGGAGGGTATTGTTTGAGAAAAGATGAAGATGCACAAGAGTTGGTACGAGAGGGCTGGCGTGGTGAGACTCTTTTGGAAGGGTGTTGCTGTGATGCTGGTACTGCTGTTTGGAGATCAGACAAGTGGGTTGCTTTGAAGAAACCAATGGGTTTCTTGGGTGAGCTACTTGTCTCTCGAGGTTTCCGTTGCGTGTAACAGTGCTCTACAACGAAGAGCAGCTCAGCATTTCCAGAGATTCATCCTCAATAACCTTCGAGCCGGCTCTCACAGCAATCACCTTGTTCTTGTTCTCTATCAAATCTCTTGCTTATCGAAACTGTACCTGTTCCAGGCTAACAGCTTTCCACAAAACAGTGCTCCCACCGAAACAGGCATGTCACGCCTCTCCCTCTCAGACACAGACAAACAAGCCCGAGACTGGTTCGCAGAAACCACAAAAAGTCTGGGTTGCAAAGTAATCGTCGACTCCATGGGAAACCAATTCGCTATTCGCGAGGGCCTGCAACAAGGACCTCCTACCGTCGCCGGCAGCCACTTAGACACCCAACCCACTGGAGGCAGATACGATGGCATCCTCGGCGTCACCGCTGGCATCGAAATGCTACGAACCCTGCATGAGAATAACGTTACCACTACCTTCCCAGTGGGAGTGGTAAACTGGACAAATGAAGAAGGAGCTCGATTTCCGATTTCCATGGTATCTTCGGGAGTCTGGGCGGGTGTGATCTCTTTATCTCACGCCCATGCTCTCAAAGAAGTAGGCACCGGTTCTGCAACCATGAAAACAGAACTGCAACGTATCGGCTACCTAGGCGATACAGACTGCAGTTTCGAAGCCGTGCCTCTGGCCGCACACTTCGAACTCCACATCGAACAAGGCCCCATCCTCGAAGCCGAAGACCGCAAAATCGGCATCGTGCAAGGTGTGCAAGCGTACAAATGGTTTACCGTCTCTGTGCGAGGAGCAGATTGCCACACCGGCACCACTTCATTCTCACACCGTGCTGATGCGCTTCTGGCCGCTTCCAAAATGATTGTGTATTCGCATCGTGCGGCGGCCAGACAAGGTGCTCTGGCTTCTACGGGTATCTTGACGCTCAAACCCGGAAGCACGAATACAGTACCCGGCTCTGTGGACTTTTCGCTCGACATCAGGTCTCCAGATGACCACATTGTGTCTCAAGTAGAAGCAGACTGCAAAGAAGCTTTTGCGGCCATTGCGTCCGGACAAGACATCGACAACCTCAACAAAGACTTTGTCGCATCTTCCAAATCTTGCTCTGTGAGTTGGACATTGGATACCCATTCTCCCGCTACCAAATTTTCTCCCGAGTGTATTGGTTGCGTGCAAGATGCTGCTACATCCATCTTTGGAGATGACGTGCACGCAAAGACCAAACCAATGACTTCGGGGGCTGGACACGATAGTGTGTATACCAGCAAACGCTGCCCCACGACCATGATCTTCGTGCCCAGCAAAGACGGCGTCTCCCACAATCCTGTCGAGTTTACGAAGCCTGAGGATTGTGCTATGGGGGCGCAGGTGTTGCTGCAGGCGGTTCTGAGATATGATCAAAAGAGAGCTGAGGGAAAGGTTTGATAGAGGATGGAATTCCTTTGGTGTAGGAAGATGGTTAGGAGAAGACACAATTGGGTTGGCTGTATTGCCAGCATTGAGAGAGGGAAAGAGTTTAGGAGCAGTAAGAAGCCACAGTGACAGTGATGGTCTCTTTATGAATCGTTCAGTCACAATATTTACCTTTGTCTGCATCGAAGAGCAGCAGCTCCAGATCCGTATTGTAGAGATTCAGGCTGGGAATCAAAGAAACGCCTCCCAAAGAAAGGACTAACAACTCAGTAAGATGCTGAGAGCAGCAAGTTCGGCGTTCACATCTCTTTTCTTCCTTCTCTTGCTCTGGAACCAATATCTGAACTAAACGCTAACGACATTGGTCATGCGGTCTTTGATAATCTTCGCAGAGGCAATGGAGAATTTTCGAGCCAGAACATTGTGATTTGCAAGTACACCTCTTGATCGGCTTGTAGAAGGAAAACCACTACAGGCATGCTCTGAAAAGAGTATTGCATATCATAAACGTTTTTGGCTAGATTAAATGGAAAACAAGGAATATTCGATATCGAAAACAACGCCATAACTCGCTCGCTGGTAAGCAGAAAAGAAAGAGACCCACGCACTTGACCCGGAAAGATCAGTCCAAGAATAAAAAGTCATGATCTGATCGCTCATGCCTTGGCCTTCCCCTTGCCTTTGTATTCAGCTCGAGCAGCTTCGAGTTCGTCTTCGTCCTCTTCGTCGCTGCTCATGAATTCGTCGTCTTCGTCGTCCCAGCCGTGGAAGGTGCGTGTGGTAGACGCGACAGGCTTGGTTGCTTGCACGTCATCATTGTTGTCGCTGGATGCAGAGCTTGAAGCCTCTGGCTGAGCATCACTGCCTTCACCTTCGGCAACCGAACTTTCGCTGCCAGTCCTTTCAAGCACAGGTTTGTCTCCTTCAATCAAGCCAGCCTTCATAGCCGCCAACACAGCAACCCTGGTCTTTTGCTCTGCCTCCTCTTTCGCTTCAACCCATTCGCCATCCAGCCTCGCGTTCCTATTGCCCTTCTTCAGCTCTTCCTCCTTCCTCTCTGCAGCTTCCACAACAGCTTCCCAGCGTCTTCTTCTCTCTTCTTTTTCCTTCTTGTCCATTTCCGGTTTCAGCGCCAGGTACTCGGCCAGGTTCTTGGCTTCGGTGATTGTGCGAAGACGACGACCGTCCAGATTGCGATTGCTGCCGTTTATTTGTTCGGGATTGCGATTGCGGTTCTTGCGCGAGGACATGCGACCGCCTGCGGCGCGGAGCTGGGAACCGAAACCGCCTTTTCCACCGAGCAGGCGTACACTGAGGTGGAGAGGAAGGAATGTCGGAGAGTCATTGTCGGAGAGCAGAGAGTTGAGTGAGGAGGTTGATGTGGTGTCGATGCGACGAGTTGTGGTTGAGAGGAGAAGGTTGTCGGCGAGGGGTGGTAGGTGGGTGGATAGAAGTGATGTGAAGGCTGCGATGGATGTGTCGGCTGGCACGGGAAGCGACAGGGTACGAGGCAGCGACAGTCCAGCAAAGGACGAGATCAAAACGTTGATTGTATCCATGGTGAGATGTGTGATATTGTGTCGAGAGAAGGTCGATTGGGGCGTAAAGGTAAGATGCGGAGATGGAAAGTCCAGCCAGCGGGCGTCTGACTCGAGTGAAGAGAAGCTGCCAAGCAAGCACGAGTCAACGAAGCGAAGTCCGCCGCTCCACGGACCACGACGCATTTTGGACATTTGCGCGCGCGACTGACCGACGACTTTTTTCTCCCAAACCACGTCGGTACATCAACATCGCCCAAGCCCCACGTTGATCCAAATACATCAATCGTCAAGATGCTGATTCCCAAGGCCGACCGTAAGCTCATTCACGAGTACCTCTTCCGCGGTAAGTCTTGCTTTACATCTCGAAACTCTTGCGCGCCCAGTCCGCTAATTCCAACCNNAGAGGGTGTTCTCGTCGCAAAGAAGGACTTCAACCAGCCCAAGCACGGCGACATTGACACCAAGAACCTCTATGTCATCAAGGCTTGCCAGTCCCTGACCTCCCGCGGTTACCTCAAGACCCAGTTCTCCTGGCAGTGGTACTACTACACGTACGTTCGCCCTTCACTCCAGACAACAACCACCACCACCACCACCATATACTGACTTTGCGTCTTCCACAGCCTCACCGCCGAGGGCCTTGACTACCTCCGCGAGTGGCTCCACCTCCCCGCCGAGATCGTCCCCCAGACCCACATCAAGCAGCAGCGCTCCCACGCTCCCCCCCGTGGTATGCTCGGCGGCGAGGACCGTCCCCGTGGCGGCCGTGGCGGTCCCCGTGGTGACCGTGAGCGTGGCGAGTACCGTCGCCGCGACGCTGGCGAGGGCAAGGAGGGTGCCGCNCCTGGCGAGTTCAANCCCCAGTTCCGTGGTGGCTTCGGCCGTGGCCGCGGTGCTGCCCTCCCTCTTAAATGTGCTCTTAGCAGTTTGAGGGTGGTGTGAGGGTGTGACTTGAGGTTGGTGGGTTGATTGAGAGGAAACACCTTCTGGAGGAAACGAACGCATGGTTCATCTGTCTTGATATGGTCGGGCGAAAGTCTAGGACTGTTGGACGCGCGGATGACGAACGAGTGGTTGTTGAAGGAAGGAATGCCCTCTCGTTCACGGTCAACACACCATTGCAAGTCTCTTCTTTGCAAAAAAACAAAAATGAAACAAATACGGTCTTTCCTACGGGAAACCTTGGAAAAACACACACACTTCTTCTTTCCTGTGAATACGTGACTCTTTGAGTACAAGATTAGTTGTCATGCTGCTTTGACTTGTTGTTTAAGTGCTTCCTGATCTCTCCAAGGATGCTCCAGATTGATAGATCTCAGTGCTTCAAATACAATCAAGAGCTCTCAAGCACCAATAACAAAGTAAGTCGAACGACCTTCAAGTCGCATTAAGCATTAAGTATGTAAGTCACCTCCTTCCCATCATGCAATCATTTCCTCATTCACCAGCCCCAATCCTCTCCATCATCACCATGATTAGATTATCCCAGACACTATCCCCTTTTGTACAAATCTCCCCTCCAAAACACCAAGATATCGACACATTCCAAACACAGACCAAAGAACTTCAAAGCCAAACCAACACCTTCAACAAAGAAACATTGCAACCACTACCACCCATTCCAGTCCTAGAAACGCTCTCAAAGCAAACAAATCCCCACACCAAAAGCAAATAGCATCAATAATCCAAAAACTTTGGAGGGTTTGGTGTTGATGGAAGCATTGATGGGTGGTGCGGCTGTGGTGGTAGCAGGTTTGATTGTGTGGGTTGCAGTGCTTGATTGTGTGGTTGTTGTTTGTTGGGTTGATGATGTTGGTTCTGCTGAAGAGGAAGGTGTTGATGAGGATTGTGTGGTTGATGAGGAAGCAGAGGCAGAGGCTGAGGTTGTGAGAGTTGTCAGAGTAGTCGATGTCGCTGAGGTTGAAACCGCTGCTGTTGGGTTTGTCGATAAAGATGCAGCAGCAGTAGTTGTTGCAGAAGACAACACAATCAAACTCCCTCCACTAGACAACACCGTCACAGTCTTTGACCCACCAACCACAACCGTAGATGCCGTAACCGTCGTCTGTGGTCCTCTTCCACTACTGCTTCCCACCCCAGAACTCGTCACACTCGTCACACTTTCCACACTCGTCCTTGTCCTCGTCGTAAAATCAAAACTATACGTCGTGCTTGGCAACAAACTCTGCGGAAACGTGGCCAACGCAGACGAAAGCACAGAAACCGCATTGGTGGTTTGGGGTGTAGACGCAGAACTAGCAGGACATCCAGCAATACTTTCAGAATTGCAAGAAGTGATGGTTGTAAAGTCTGTTGTTGCGGCGGTTGTTTGGATGGGAATCACTATTGCCAGTGTTGACGAAGGAGGGATCTGTATCGTCGCTGTGATAGGTAAAAACAGTCAGCCATAAAGCATCTTTTGTCAAGAGGGATATATATGGAGGATTTGGTGGATGAAAGGAGAAAGAAAATGCAGTACCTGTAACATTTTCCTGTGCGGAAGCCAATACAGCCAACACAGCGAGAAGTATCCCAGTCTTCATTGATTGGAAGTGTGTTAGATGTTATTAATCGGTGAGTATTATGCGAATATCAAAGCAAAACGAAGAACAAGATGTTTTTTCCAACGAAGAAAGACGGTAACAACGGCAGAAAAACGAAGATGGCAAGGATATCAGAGCAAAAAAACGTGAAGAGAGGTGCACTGATGATATTGCAGAAAAACGCAGTGTAGGTGGTGGGTAGGAGATGGCTGGGAGTGGGAAAGGTGGATCTTTGAGCTTCTTGATGTGGCTGGGTGAAAGAGGTGAGGAAAGAAAAGCGAGACAAGACTTACTGATTTACTCCAAATGAGCAACATACTTCTGTTTTACCTCTGTTCAAGTCTCAGAAAAAGCTGTCACTCTTTGTATTACCAATGTGTCATTGGAAAGATTGGTACATCTTCCACCACTGGCCGAGACAGCAAAGCTGGAAAAATGGTCTGCAAGTACAGTGACATCTCTGTCACACAATCCCAAGCATGAGCGACATTTACTAGAGGCGCAAACCTGTAACCTTTTCTACACTCGAAACCTTGAACGAGACACAAAGGCGAGTTCCCACTGGGCGTTCAGAGTGAATCTGTGTATAGAAAGCCTGGTTCGTTGGCAAGCTGAGTCGGTGTGAGGTTGGAGAGTGGGGTGCGTGGCTGGCAAAGTCGCATCAACCATGCTACTTTTCTACTGGCGCAAAGCAAAGCAAGATCTACAAGCGAACGTGCTGGATAGCGTGTTGTGCAATGTGATAAAGGATAATGATAAGTCGCCAAAGGACATTCGCGTGACACAGGCATAGATTAGGCAAGACGAGGTTCTTGGTTTCAAGGTTTCTATGAGCACTCTTTCTAGACAATACTTGATGTAGCAATGAACCAATTCAAGGCACATGCAAAGATGACAAAATTTCACGGAGATCGAGGCAGCACTTGCGCAGCCTGCGACCAGCAAGATCCAGAGGACGTGCGAACGACCATTGATGCTGGCTCGCATCTCGAGCTTGGTAAGAAAACTTAGACCTATCTTGTTCGTGTTAGCTTTTGGTTCAAACCATCAACAATTGAACAAATGTAAGGTGAGGTATCATTGTCAGACAGCAGTTGGACAACAAGTATATGATCGACATAGTGATTTCCGATCAGGTCTGTGAGATATTGCTTTTCATCATGATAGGGGGTGGAAAGAAGGAAGGAAAGTGAGAGCTTACCATGCTAGCGGTTGCCTATGCACCGGCATCTCTTGCTTTTGAGAGAAGCTAGGCATAGGTATACAAGGACCTCAATCCTTTCTGGCTCTTTTGAAGAAGGCCGTCATACTTTGCTGTTTGTCATCATGTTCAGCTCGGCCAATACCACCTCGTTGTCGTTTCAGACCTTGAAGATGCTGCTGGCCATCGACGACAAGAATGGTGGTGCGGTAACCCTCGAGCAGTCTAGGACCATCTTCCTCACTGGATTGAAGGTCGATAGTAGGGTTTGTGACACTTACTCTGCCAATAACGTCGAGCTGATCTATGGGCATCTCTGCTTCAGATGACTCAGTTACCAGGTGAGGAGGCGAAATGACGATTGGGCTTTTCGGCGATGGCACATGGGTAGTAGTCGCCTGCTCGTCCAGAGAAGGAATCACAGGAGGCAGGATGATGTCCAGTTCCGGGCTGCTTGGAGGGTCCTGTCTTTGGATAGACAGTTCGAGGAAGCCGGTATTACTCCAGCCACCTAAATGAGCAAGGACAACTTGACCTCGAGCTGCTATGACCTCGCGGGATACCTTCACGCTCTTCGGACCCAGACGAAGCAGCAACCTTCGCCAAAGACTCGACGACAAGATGCCATGAGACACAATCGCAACGACATGCTCAGCGGCACCACCAAAATCGGCTTCGTCATCCAAGATGGGCAAGAGATGGTCGTCCAGAAACACATCTGCGCGGACTCCAAGATTGTCCTTGGATTCAACGTCGACAAAGCCTGGCTCTTTCTTGTGCTCTTCTCGGTTGGGGCCCTTGCGCACGCGATTGGTCTTGCCCTCATAGTAGCCGAAATCGCGCTCGATCAAAGAATCGACAGTGGTGACATTGAGATCTTTGTTGGATTGTTTTGCTGCCAAGAGAGTAGCTGTCTTGTAGGCGCGCTGCAATGTCGACGAGAAGATGCGCGTCAGCGGCGGTCTATTTTCTGCCAGGAAGTCGCTCAGGCGACGAGCTTGTTCAGCTCCATGATTGGTAAGGGCTGAATCTCTTCTGCCAGCNNACTGTCAAGATTGGTCAGAAAGGTCGGCAACATTCAAGCAGGCGCGTGGATCTTACAGTATGCCAGCTACATTGTCGACAGTCTCACCATGGCGGATCAAGAAGAGGCGCATTGAGCATGTTCGATGATGGCCATGTGTGTTGTGAAGAATTGTTGACGAGCGTCAGACGTGTTTTGGCCAAATCATCTGTGTGTGGTCCGAGTGTTGACCATCGCCGGAGCTTGCCATTCTTCTACCAACTTCATTCCCTCGCACTACTAACAAAGAAACTGCTTGTCATCTTGTCATGCTACCCCCTGTATGCTGAAGACAGTCACAATTCTGCAACTGGTTCATCCATCCCGAGCTATGAGGGTTGTTGTAAGCTATTCAAATGCACAGTTTCAGTTCGAAAACTAAGTCTAGCCATTAAGATGGCCTTGATCAAAGTTCTCTCTGTGGAGACCATATTCTTCACGAGAACATTGTGCATTTCTGCAGCTACACTGTGACTGTCTTTAGCACACGGGGAGGTACGATTGCTTGCTACCTGATCAAAACTCGACCCTTTCGAAGAAAAAAATCCAGTAACATAGACTCTTGCCAATAGCAAGCGAATACTCGATGAGGTTTCCTTCCTGATCTTCAACGCAACTACAAGGCCTTTTACACAGATGGACAGAGCATCTTGTAAGCCCGCCTGACATCTTCGCCCATCTACTCGTCAGGATTTGTTTCGAGAGCTGGCGAGAAGTTATCCAATGTATGGATAACAACATGTCACATCACTAATCAGCAGTTCTATATTGTTTATGGAATCAGGCAGCGATCCTCTTGATCATTCAGAAGTCGCATTCTGTTTTTCATTCTATACATTTTCTTCCTTTGATCTCGTTTCCTGTCTTGATCTCTTTTTCAGCTATTTTCATTCCGTCATCTTCGCTTCTCAACTCGACTTATTCTCGATTGTCTTGAATGTTTCGGGGGTAGTTCTTCCCAGACACTTAGCTTTTCGGCTTTTTGGTCGTCTCTGCCATCACAGTATCACGCCTACATTGGCCTTGTGAGAACCTCAACTGTTCTCGACAACTCATGCATTTCAGTCACAGACAGCTTATTCGAATCTCGTCAAGCCTATCTGCTTGCCACCAACTACTTCGACCAGCTTTCAATCAATTCCACTTCCTTCGACAACTTGTCCCACTTTTCAAGCAATCCTACCTCCTTCAATCATTTCACCATATCTAATCAACTTGAGCCTATTCGATTGACGAATTTTCTTCCACCATCTCTAATTTCTTGCGATCATCTCTACTTTCTTGAACTGTCCCTATCATTTGCAACCACCTTCACCACATCGAAACACTTCTTTCTCTTCTCGAACAATTTCTCTTTCCTTTCAGCTGCTTCCCCTTGCTCTCTTTCCCTTCAGCCCTCTTCGTTCAGGTTTCAACTAACATCCACTTTCACGTCTTACGATTTCTCCAGGGGTCGAATTGCTCATCTTCCACTTTCGCACGACCAACCTCCAGTGTCTTTCGTCGACCTTGTGTAGCACTTTTCCACTACGAATTAATCCTCCAAGACCAGTCGCACCACTGCGAAACAACACCAATTCAGGGTCACTTTGATCTTAAAAGTTCACCAAAGTCCTTTCGCCTCACTTACAACATCTACTACATCTACAACATCACTACCTCCTGCCAACACTCATCTATCACCATGCTTTACAACACCAACTCCCCGTACCGACAAGACATCTATCCACTTGAGGTACGCATGCCATATACTGGACGACCAAGTCCGCAGCCCAGTAAGACTATCCATCTCACTTCACTACCTACTCCTGACCAATACTCGTCAACAGATCCAGATATGCAAGACAACATACTGCTTGCCCCAATGGCAACCCACTACGTTCCGACTCTGCCACCATCAAACCCGGCACCAATTGACCTTCACTTGGACGCTGACATGGACAACAACAACACCACCGACACAACTCAAGTATCACCCATCGACACGACCTCAAAGACGACTACATCTCCTGGTCCCACACCAGCCGAATCGACATCTGTCAAGATGCAGATGGACACGCAGACAGTCGAGAGCGCCACCGAGACCCCCAACCAACGCCACGTTCCAGTCTCAAGACCAGCAGAAGTTCAATCGGCAGCATCTGTGGAGGTGAAGATGCACGATGACTCAGAGAAAAGTGCTACGAAGGCAAAGGACGACTCTCAGATTGTCGAAGAGATCGGTTCAGTCTCTCCGGTACCACCAGAGGATTTGCCGGACAGCCACACAACGTCTATGATAACCCAACATCCGATCTCAGAAGCCATTACNAGAAAAAAGATTGACGTCGCCACTATCGCTCCTCCGAGCACCGAAATGTCTACAGAACCCGATCTCGACGAAGCCAAGCCTGAGATGGTCGAAGAAGAAGCCGCAGAAGCTACAAAGGCCGAGTCCAACACTGAGGTTACTGCAGCCTCAGAGCCCGAAGTATCCAACATCGAGGCTAATGAGCCCATGGATCTGGATGTTCTTGACAACTCCGATGGGAAAAGCAAGAATGCTTCTCTGGAAGATCATGATCCCAACACACCCGCTGCAGGAGCTACTCCTGCGCAAAGTGGTTCTGACCAGAAGCAAGTTGAGTCCAAAGACATCAATCTAGTTGATGTTTCTTCATCGGATCCAGATTCGAATACAGAAACTAGTCAGTCTGACGACACAACCAAGCAAGTATCAAGATTACATGCCGCATATGATTCGTCTGGAGAGAGTCGGGTTTCCGGAAGAGAAGAAGAACAAAAGACAGAAGGCGATTCTGTGCAAAGTGCACAAGCTGAAGATACTTCTTCAGATAACGTCAGGGTCCCCCCTCGGCCAGAGCCAATAGTGGAAGAAGCTCTGGAAGTCACAGCCTTACCAGCCAAACCTCAAAGTTCCTTGTTCGGTGGTCCAGCTGGCAAACAGCTCACACCCATTCCAGAGGCCACGCAGACTTCGAAGGTTGATTCCGTTACAAACACTGAGACGCCTGGAGGATTCAAGGAGCTCTTTGAAGACCAGATGACGGACGTCTCGACAGAAATGAACAGCCGCTTGCAGGACTCTGCTGCTTGGCACATGGAGTTCGACTTTGGAGCAAGTCATGCAGGGGAAGATGCCGAACCCAACCTCGAGCAAAACGTGGAACCTGAGGCAGTGACTGGTGCCAAACGAGAGGCTTTGAGCCCGCCACCCAGCTCCGATCATGATGCGAAGCCCGATATGAGTGCCTTGTCTGGCCCCACGTCTCCAGCTTACTCGCATACTACTTCAAACCACTCACTAGAGTCACACAAGACCAGTGCCTCACACGCTTTGGAGCTCAACGACTGGATCAACTCGGGCGACCCCTTATATCCTCAGGACACTTACTCAGAGACCCCCGAGGAGCTGTCTACGCGGGGTAATGCGCTCAATGGTACTGATCCGAATGTGGTCGAATCAGTCGAGGAATTGCAGCCTTGCAACTGCGAGCCTAAGCATCCTTGTCAAAGCTGTGTGCGTCGTGCCTTTACCCTGCGCCCAAGACAAGATTGCATGTACTTCGTCAATGTACAAGACAACGACAAATCAGGGGACTTCACAGGCGATACCAGATATTTCCCATCATCACGAGAAGTCGCCTGGGAAGATCGAGATGAGGATGAGCAAACAATCGATGATGGAGAAGAAGACCATGTCATGAGCGGAGGGCTCCCTCCTAACACTGACTTTATGAGCACGATCCCATTCAACAAGACCGACTCTCTCATCAGAGACAAGAACCCATTCGAGGAAGAATCAAGCTCAGAGGACGAGCCTGCGTCGAAGAAGAGCAGAAAGCGCAGGAAGAAGGCCAATTCATCCAAAGAGGTCGCCAGACAGTACAAGAGACCCAAGATTACCGCCATGAGTGATGAGTCCGACGTGTTACCACCACATCCCTTGTCACGAGCCTCTAANAGTCACCAAGAAGGCCGCTTCCAAAATCACAGATCCCACCGACGAATCAGACACCCAGCCGCCATATCCCTCATCACCAACATCGCAAGCCTCCAAACCCACCAAAAGACCACTTACAAAAAGAAGAAGACCACAACCAACCCTGCTCAAACCCAGTCAACCCCCACAATCATTGAAATGGTCCAACGCCTCTCAAAACCCACAACCACAAAACTCTCCTACCCAATCCACTTCAACGCCAAATCTCACTGTTCCATCTGCGCTTGTCCCTCCTACGCGATTATCGGCACCGGCTCTTCTCGCAGCATCAAAACCTACGATTTCGGACACGGCAATCGCGAAATGCCAGATGCGAACCAAGCAGGAAAGACATCGTTTATGCAAGCAAAACCACAAGAAACAAGTCTGTGCATGGTTTGCACGACAAAGTATATGCGTGTGCTGATGTGCAAGACCCATGAAGTAGTGCCTTTGGACGTTTTCTCGCCTTTCGAGTCTGCCACTGCAGTTACCAAGGCTGTAAACAAGCAATGCACCAAAGATGAACTCACGGGTTGGTGTTGCTTGTGTCCGGCTGCTGCATCCTATTTCTGCGCAAAGCAGTGTGGAGCAAAGTTTTGCGATACTTGCGCAAAAAAGGTCTATGGCGAGCACGATGAGAGCTTGACTGCCATGCTTGAGCACACAGAAGACAAGGTTACTCCAGAGTACAACCATGGACTCAGAGCTGATGCAGAGTTGCTGAGAAAGGGAGGAGAGCTGGAGAAATTCTTGGTCAGGATGGCTGGTGCTGGGAAAAACAGAACTGGTTAATCCATCTGAACTCTCCTGTGCCTCAGCCTGCGCAACCAGACCACCCTGCATCTCTCCTTTACTTCTTGCCTTTACTTTTCTATCATGTCTTCTTTGTGGAGAGAGTCTTTATGTACTCTGCTAGCGCCTCCCCTTCTAGCTCGGCAGATCTTACCGCCTCCGGAACGCGAAAGTGGAAAAGCAACAAAAAGCGATGAAATCTACAGGAAGACGAAGAACCAATGGCGCTCAACTTGTAGCTGCTCTCAAGATCGAGACAACCATCAAACGAAAAGACAGCGCCTGGAAGAGAAGAAAAAGGGCCGTCCTGCCCCCAACCCACTGTGACTTCGCTCAAGCCTCTACATAGTGAGTTAACATATCTTGAAATTAGGGGACTACAAGCCGCGAAACGACGCTGGCTCGTTCTTTTACTTTGATATCAATTAGGTAGTTAGTCATATTTATCGATTTACATTATCAATATCTCTGCTCTCTCATGCTTTTCGAATGTTGCTTGATGCATATGTGATGGAATACAGGAACTTCCTTGCCAAAGAAGTCTTATACATGCTCTCTCGGACAAGCTGGAGTGTTGTTTGGTACGCTATAACAATGCACAAACATATCCATGAAGAGAATGCGGTCACAGAGAAACTCTACGCCACATCCTCGCTCGATAAAAATCCTGAGCGATAACAACACTTTGTAGCCATGCAAAGCGAAGAAGGGGGTTCTTCGTAAGACGAGAAACAATGGCATCGAAGAATGACTACATAGGTCTTTTTCCATGGTCAGCCGGGGAATGCAGCCCCACTCCACTGTAGTGGTCAACTTCCTCCCCGATACCCCCTCCTGGTCCAAAACTCCCCGGCGCGAAACGCGGGTCCCTTGCCTCTGGCCTTACATCAATCTGCTCGGAGTACCTACTTGCTGTTCTATGCGACACTCTTCCCGTGGTTCTCGAATGTCTAGATGGATCTCTTGAAGCGTTCGAGCGCGTATTCGATCTCCTTGAAGGTTCAACGGGTACGAAAAGCCTTGAATTGTGAGGGTCGGGTTCAAGAACAACTGAAGGTCCGACAGAAGGAGGTGGCCCCGATCGAACAGGTCTCGAAGATCTGGCATGAGACGGTCCAGTGGATGCTTCCTCCGATACACGCGATAGATTGTTGCTACCTCGTGGGTATCTCCTTGGCTCTGTCCAGTCTCGACTCTCGACTGCACTGCCACCAGGTAGCCTGATACTGCCGGAGCGTATATGAGAAGAGCTGCTTGAATCACGAGGAGGCAAGCGTGGACTTTCCTGGAGGTATCGCCTAAGCGGTCTGTTGTATGGTACCATAAGCATTCCAGAGCCAACATCAGACGACTCGGAGGCTTGTTGGTCAGCGAGCTGAGCGATCATTGGAACCGGACGCTCTTCCACACTCCTACTGATCTCAGTCGATGGTGGTGAAGGGTCCTCATCGTCGGTGGTACGATATCGCGTGAAAGGTTTGCCATCGTCATTTGTCATGAGAAACTCGAGTTCTTCGATCTGAGCATCGATGACTTTGACGCGTTGTCTGTTGGCTGCAGATAGTCGTACAACAGGGCTCGTATAGATCTTGCGTAGGCGCTTCAAACGATTCAACCTGCATTGTGGGTTGGTCTCCAGGATGAGTTGGTCGATAATGCTCCGAGAATAATGATTCTCGACGATGCGCATGAACCAGGTACGATGTGGTGCTAATGGAGTCACTTGCGAGGCACTAGATCAATGATCAGTATCTGTGATATTATCTACAAGAAGCGGTAGGCAGATGACTTACATGCTCCCCATTTCGCTTTGGCGGCCACTCGGCTCAACAGACACCGCCCTGAATTCTTGTAGTGCAGGGTCGGGAGCGACGACAGGACTTGGTGCCGTTCTCTGGACCACGGGTATACCAGATGCAGTCATGTAATGTGGTTCGGCATCCGGCTGTGTGTTTTGTTGGACGATATTCCGTTGAGTACTTCCTCTGTCCACAGGTACAGCTTCCTTTTGGGGTCTGGAGTTGTTGCCACCCATCCTGACCACAATGGATTAGAGTATCAAAACGAGATGATGATGTATCCTGTTGACGGGTATGAATGGCCTGTAACTTGCTGGCTGTACGAATGCTTTGTGTCGATGGTGGCTTAGGAAATAGGATGAGCGGTCAGGATTGAGAAGCGATCGTATATTTTGAGATCGAGCGAGGCAGCGTCGCCATGTGTGCTTTCCTTCTATGTCGTGGTTCGGCTTTCGATCACATAATCCGCCACTTCCTTCTTCGTAAGGACATGTGTGATGAGATCTGCTGCTCGAGAAAAGAGTCCAGAGTCGGAACACTCCAAGATCTGGACCACGAAGATTGCTTCAAACCTGTTCAAAATCGCATGTTGTTGCTGCTGCTGTCCATCAGAAGACTAGGTAGCTGGCAATGTTGCCCGAGATGTAGCCCACAAAGAAGGACCGCCATTGGACTCGCCAATTGTTGGGGGTTCATAGGTAGCTGCAACATACTTAATTGTCAATTGATCCGCATATCGCACCGAAGATTTAGGGATTGCGACTTTGAAAGCCTGAGATTTTAGCTGTCATTCTTACTCATCCTCATGAGAAACAACAGCCAACTCTGGTACACGAAGAAAACCATTCGACAGCGCTTCTCAGGCTGAAAAACCCGTCTGCCGTATCATGCCGTGCCACGGGTCTATTCATGTCAAGGCTTAACGCAATGACAGGCCAGTTTGAAGGACTATCCTAGCCGGCATCACAGATGTGAGTGAGATATGACTTGACTTTGACGAAGATCAGTGTGCAGTGACTGTTAACAGCATAATTATGCTGCTGCCTGCTAGAACGGGCAAAGTCTTTTTAAAGCCAACTGCTTTGGAAAGTGTTCATGCTGGGCCCGTATGCCAATTCGAAACTTCGCTATCAATCGGGTTTGTCTCCGTCACTATCAACAACTGTCGGTCGAGCCGCGTCAAAATGAGCATGAAGGTCGTTAGGGTGCTACGGGAGGTTATACAAACTTGGTGCCGTCCCACGCTTACCCAACCACTCTTATCGGCGTTATCGCTCGGAATGTCATTCTGATGGGCTCTTTGTTGAGATATAAAGAGCTCAGTGCTGGAACCTAGTTCTGCGGCATCACCACTACGAGGAAGCTCTAGTCGTCGTGTGAAAAGAACCAGCCGCCTTCGTGTTGACAGCCAGGACCTCAAAGACAGCGAGCGGAAAGATGAAGGGAGTTATGGCAGGCACGCGACCTCGTGCAAGCACGTTGCAAGAAGGCGTATTCACGGTCAGTCACCTTTCGTTCATCACATGCAAATGTGCCGTTTTGGAGTACCGTACTGCTGCAACCGCGGAGAATCTGGACTCTGGAGACTGGACAGAAAGGAGTTAAGGAAGAGATCAACCGCTGTCGAGATGTCGCCGAGAAGACCCGAGGTTGGCCGTATTGGCGTCATGCACTCGCAACCAAATGACGGCCTTAATTTCTCCTCTCCTGACCGTCGAGGGGCAATATCTGGTGCTCGGTCTGTTCCAGAAGTTACATTCTCCAACTACATCCCACCTCACGCCACGTTCAAAGTCGTTGTTGTTTCTCGAAGCATCACTTGATTGCACATAGCCATTGCAAGCCGCGGAGCAAATCGGCGCGGGGGAGAAGACAACCCCGCCATCTCCATCTATTGTTGCGGAAACTACGAACCCAGCAGCCGTCACGCGCGGGAATCATAGCTGCTGCAAAAGTTCAGAGCTTTTCCCTGGAGTCAGAAAATTGCTTACTGTACCTTTGTTCCTCTCCGTCATCTTTCGTCGAACACCAATCACTCTACCTGCTTGATCTCAAGCCGCTGCAAGCCGCTGGCTCGGAACATTACTACCTCGAACCATTGACCGCTGGATTCTCCTTCATACCCATTCCCATATTGATACACCTCCCTCGATTCAACGACCATGGCTCTGGATCGAATCCCGTCCGAAACGACTCAGCAGTACAAGCCCGAGATGCGCAAAGTGTCCGAAGGCCAGATGATGCGTCCCAACAGGAAGACTAATGGTAGCGGCGTCCAGGCCCCCGAGACCAGGATTTGTGTTGTTATGGTCGGTCTGCCAGCCAGAGGAAAGAGTCTGATAGCTCAAAAGGTATCGTAACCAGGCCTTTATCCCTCACACCATACTGAACTTTCCTCAGTCGTCCGCTACCTTCGCTGGCTCTCGGTCGACGCGAAGACCTTCAACGTAGGCCAGTATCGCCGTACCACCACTCCCAATCCTTCCGCCGAATTCTTCGACACAAGCAATGCAGAGGGCGAAAGAATGCGCAAAGCTGCCGCCGAGGCTGCTGTGACAGATATGCTGAAATGGTTTGACAATGGTGAGGGTCTTGTTGCAATCCTTGATGCTACCAACTCGACGAAAGCACGAAGACGTTGGATACAAGATCGCTGCGACGCTGCCAACGTACAGACCATGTTTGTCGAGTCAAAATGTGATGACGAAGAACTCGTCATGTCCAACATCAAGGAAGTCAAGACTACGTCGCCCGACTACGTTGGACAAGATCCTGAGGTTGCTGCACAAGATTTCTTAAAGAGAATCAGAAACTATGAGAAGGTGTACGAAACATTGGACGAGGACGAGGCCGACCTCACATACTGCAAGTTGATCGACGTCGGGCATCAAGTCATTATCAACAAGATTCAGGACTACCTCCAATCTCGAGTGGTCTATTACCTGATGAACTTGCACATCAAACCACGTTCTATTTGGCTGTCACGAGTGAGTCTACCAAGATAAGCATCGTGCCTACCACATTGAAGCTAACCTTCTACANNGCACGGTGAATCTGAGTACAACTTGTCAGGCAAGATTGGTGGCGATGCCAATATCAGCGAAAGAGGTCAGATGTATGCCAGAAAACTACCTGAGATGGTGAAACAATCTGCTGGAGACCTTCAACTCACAGTCTGGACCTCGACACTGAAGCGAACCATTCAAACTTCGAAATATCTACCTTTCGAGAAGCTTTCATGGAAAGCGTTAGACGAACTGGACTCTGGTGTTTGCGACAGCTTGACATATGCAGAGATTGCAGAACGGTTCCCCGAAGACTTTAAGGCTCGTGATGACGACAAATACAACTATCGCTACTTGGGTGGTGAGAGCTACAGAGATGTGGTTATCCGTCTCGAGCCCATCATCATGGAACTGGAACGCAGCGAGAACATTCTCATCGTAACTCACCAAGCAGTGCTGAGATGCATCTACGCTTATTTCATGGGCGTTGATCAGGCGAAGAGTCCTTGGATGGAGGTCCCTCTGCACACACTGATCAAGCTTTCACCCAGAGCATACGGCACACAGGAGGAGCGATACTCGGCCAAGATTCCCGCAGTAAGCACCTGGCGTGGCAGNGGATCGAAGGCCCAGCACGAAAGTCCTGGTCCTGGTGAAGGCACGGTTGATATTGAGGTAAATGGAAAGGGCAGCAAATAGATCTTCAAGGCGGGAATGGCGTTGCGGAGGCGGAGGTGAATGCAGGCACCGGCTCTTCTTACCGCAAACAGAGACAGCACAGCGTGGGCAAGACAGACAACGCATAGAGTTCTGATGCCTGAAGACTTACTGTATACGTATAGCATAAGCAAATGACCATTGCCTTGTCCTGCCAAGTTAGAGTTCTGTCAAGTGGGATACTACCATTCTCCAGGATTCACTGCTTTATGATTACTCCGTGCAACTCATGACCTCCTGCAAAGCGAACGGTTCAGAGGATTGATATTGCAGATCTGAAAATGAGCTACTTAGAGGATTCCAGATAGAACTGTTTCATTCAGGTCATCTTTCACCAACGATGAGTTTCTTGGTTTGCAGTGAAATAAATTAAAAGTCTGACGTGGTTGGTCCGTGACTTTTGACAGCAGCGGGAAAGCAAACGGCTCTTTCCGATGATATCAAGTTGAAGCTCTCCATCCAGACGGACAAGGAAGGCAGTCGGAACCTTTGGAAGTTTCACTCTCACTCATCGTGAATTCCGCAACACGACAAGATCTCTGAAGCGCTGCACCCGCCGAAGAACTTGCCAGTTTCTTTCTACGCGAACCATCACTCGACTCCACCTTCTACACATTTCACAACGCTTCGATCCGCGAGATTCTAGTCGACCGGCATCTGACCGAGCAAATTGTAGCCGGCGTGACGTCTCTTCTTCACGCCCTACCATCTGCAGCTGCCCGCGCATCTGTTTGCACCGCTTATTCGATATCAACTTACCCCCAGCAATCCACCTCCGCTCCATCTGGTCCTTTGCCGCCTCAGCAACATCCTCCGAACATCGGATCAGTCGCAACCATACCCAGACAAAGCACATAACCTGGTGAAGCGCAAGACTTGCGCTCGTGTCTCGGCACGCCATGGGGAGGATCAAGAAGACCGCTACCGAGCGTCATGAGGCGACTATCGTAAGTCCAGCCTCTGTTCTCGTAGCACTTCCTACTAACCTTTGCCGCAGNTCTCCTTACATTACCAACTTCATCAAGACTTTGGTCGAGCTACCTCTGCACAAGGTGCCCGAGCACATCGCCTCATTCCCACACAACTGGCCGTTTCCTAGAGGCGACTTGTACCACTGGATCGCCCCGTTAAATCGATTCGACCGCATTCTTGAGGGTTTCACTACCCTGTATGCTTTGGACAAGGGCCCACAGACACAGCCATTCGAGCTACGGCTACTGCAGAAGGGCGACGCTGAAGATGGTTCAGTGACCGAGGTGTCGGTGCAAGAGCTTGAGGCATGCGGATATTCAGCAGATGGAGATCGCGAGCTCGTAGAGAGCGTCCTCAACTTTACTCGTGTCCTGCTTGAACGTTGTGGCAATCGCAGTCTGTATGCTAGCAGCGCACATCTCAACCACCTACTCAACACTGTCTCCCTCAGCCTGCTCAAGATCACTCTCCGTGTTAGTTTGCGCCTGGCCCAAAGATACCACACATCGCGAATGCGCGTTGTATCGCCACACTCACTCAACGCTCTGCTGGCTGGCCACTACAGCATCAACCTAGACCGCATCCAGAAACTCGCCAACCCTTTTCCCAAGAAGCCCGTGGCTACACCTATTTTCGGTCAAACTCCATCCAAGAACAAGGAGAAGGAGGATGCTATCAAACCTGGAGTCAATACTGCCGATATTGAATCTCTAGTCAAGGCTAAGGATGTTCCACTGTCATACAAGGAAGAGCTCTCCAGCGTGCACTTGACCTATTACGACAAGACTGATGCATCTGCACCTGCATCATCTGTCGAGGCTCGAGCCCCTAACACGCCTGGTTCCCCCATGCCCCCAGTCACACCTACCCCTGTCCGCCGTACTTCGAATCTAGGTCCCGGCTCAGCACGCAGTGAACGTATGGCCACCAACACAGATGCGCCCGAAACTCCAGTGCGTCCCCAACAACCAGAGCACGCTTCAAGTGGGCCCAAGATCTTCGAGCTTTCTTCTGCTCAAGTTTCCGGTGCCGAGGCTTGGAAGATCATGGAAGAGAACGTCACAAAGGTACCTGAGAACAACCAGTTCGATCTGCTTCAAAGAGTTCGTGTGGCATCCGCGTTCCAGACATCTAAGGAGGCTGTTCATGATCTGGTTGCCATCAGGATTCTGGCCATCTCCAACCTGTCCTATGTCTATGGCGAGACAACCTTCCATCAACGCATCGGTCAGCCGGATTCTGAGGAGCCCCGTCGAACTCAACTGGCTCAGCAACTCACAGATATGCTTCAACCTCCTAGCTCTGGTCAAGAAGAGGTTTCTCGCGAGATGATGGTGATTGTTATTCAAGCCCTCGAGGCTCTGGCCAAGTGCAAATCCAAGACTTCTGAGATTGCTAATGCTCTCAATATCACTGTCAGCCATGGCGTCCTCTTCTACGTGCTCAGGAAGATTCTTGCTACTCTTGGTGATGAAGAAGCCTCTGGCCAAGACCATGAATGGTGCAAGGATGTCTTTGATTTGGTCATGACTCTTACACCAGCAGCACCTCACCCACAACGAAATGCGGATGTCCTTGTGGCTGCTGGCTTTGTGGGTATTTTGGTCGACATCCTCAACCTTCGCACAAAGCAAGCAGAAATTTATTTCCCTATTGCTCTTGGCTTNTTCGATAGCTTCATCCATAACGGAGTCAGAGATGCATTCCAGGCCATTGTTAACGCCAAAGGCTTGGACATCCTCGCTGATCTTACTGCTTTCGAAGTCCAACGTTCGCTTGAGGCTGCTCAAAAGCAAGAAGGTTTACCTACCGAGTACAAGACCAAAATTACCGACTTCCAGATCCCCTTCAACTCACAGCAGACTCTGCGCCAGCTTCTCAAGTTCGTTGCTCACATGTACCATCACAATGTTGGCACGGATGATCGCCTGCTACGTAATTTCGTGGACTCGCCTCAACTTCTTGGTGCGCTTCGCGTCATCTTCGACAACGCGCCTATTTTTGGTTCGAATGTATGGAGCGGAGCTATGAACATCCTTAGCAGCTTCATTCATAACGAGCCCACCAGTTATCAGGTCATTGCCGAGGCAGGATTGAGCAAGGGTTTCCTCGAAGCTGTTACTCAGCAATCAATTACTGTCTCTGATGTGATCGTTGAGAATGCTGAGAACGAAGATACGGAGATTTCTGAGGACAAGCCTGACGAAGAAACGGCACAGAAGCCCACCGCGCCGCAAGTCTCTACCAAGAAAGCCCCTTCTGGGGAGACATCTAAGGCATCAGGTATCTTGCCTGTTGGAGAGACCATGCGTGAAATCCCCACAGCATTTGGTGCTATCTGTCTCAATGAGAACGGCATGCGTATGTTCCAAGCATCTCAGGCGTTGGAGAAGTTCCTCGAGATCTTTGAGAGCCCGGAGCACGTCAAAGCTATGGAAGAGGACGCTGAAGTACCTCAATACATCGGTACCGCCTTTGACGAGCTCGTTCGCCATCATCCTCAACTCAAGGAGAGAACTTCCAATGCCGTCGTCGGCATGGTTCGTAATGTCATGGCTATCTGTCAACGTCGCGCCGAGACTAAGGGTGTCGGTGCCAAACTCTGGCTGCCAGGCGACAAGGACTTGCAAGTGGCAGGTGGACGTGGTGCTTTGCGCGGCATGTCAGACACACATTTGGAGAATGCTTTTGATGCCGATGACACCAATTTCTATGGTCGCGCCGAAGATACATCGCCGATCACAGAATCTGAGCTTGAGAGCGATACTCTTGTAAAGGGTCGTGGTGGTGGTCAGTCTAGCTCGGACTTCATCGCCATGGTTTGCAGATTCCTTGGTGGCTTCTTGAGCAATCACAGCATGGCAACAGCTTTCTGTGAGTCAGCAGGTGCCGAGATTTTGCTGGACATGGCCACTGCTGCTTGCAATCCGTATAACTTCCACGAGACCTTGGCTCAGCAGGAGCTCATCAGAGTGCTTCAACAATTGGTTGAGCACAAAGCTCATCTTATCCTTCCGTCTCTTGCTCGACGCACACAACTAGCCTACTTCCAGCTCAGACCGCTAGCCGATCATCCACCTGGCAAGACCTACTTCAGCGATCTCACCGAGCAGACAACAGAGTTAAGCTCTCAGAACAACCTTGCAGTTTCAAACGCAACATACACCGCCAAGGCAATGGTTCAGGCTCAGTTCCTATGCCACGTCTTCTCCCAGGTTTTCTCAATGCATGTCTATCATGCTGGCCGTACTGTGCCTCATCACTTTTTCGGTCAGGTCAACCTTACGGACGCCTACACTGATTTGATTGACGATCTGGGTCAATTGTATTCTTCATGCGTCTGGGAGGCTATCACGATGCGCAACAACATGCCCGAAGACTGGAAGAAGCAAATTCATATTTCTGGCATGAGTTTCGACCATAGTGAGGCCGACAACGTCATGGGCCTTTCTACCTCCAGCAACTCACAATCCAGCAATGCCGAAACTGCAGCAGTATCACAAGGACAACAGGATAGCGAGGCTAAGAAGATTGAGGCACGTAACTCTGCACAGTTCAAGAACTGCCAGATCCTTGCGTCGCTCTCCAACCAAGTATCTACTGGCATTCTTTCTTTCTTCCAGGCTATAGGCAAATCCCTGTTATGGAAGCACTCTTCGCGCACCATTCTGAGCGACTATCAGAAGCAGAATGCAAGCAAGATGGCCGAGCACCTGGCACGGGCTTTGATCAACCACATCAAAACTCGCCAGCCGTCCACCGTGTCAGAAGTTGACCGTGTTGCATACGACATTGTTGTTCTCACCTCGACGCTGCAAACCTTGGTTGACGAGCGAAAGACCACTCGCACCGGCGGTACACATCGTGAGGTCTTTTCTTTGGTGCTTCTTGCCTTCTACCAAAAGGGAGGTTTGAAGGATCTCGGAACTCGTCTACAGCAATTTGGCAAACTCATTGAACAGCACAAGGAAGCTTCCCAGGACACTTCCACTTCCGACCAGATCACATCATCCAAGCGCATTCATGCTCTGGCACTCGCTGGTATTGACAAGATTTTAGAGTTTTACAACAAGATCAGTCACTCCAAGAACATCACCGATGCTCAGCAGACTAGCGTTATGGCTGTTCGGGATCGTCAGAAGAGCGACTTCTTCTTGGGTGCACAGTTCGTGGTTGAGCTCCGCAACGCTGTCCTTNNCCCTCAAATCAGTGAGATTTGGGAGTCATCTGTCATGGAGGCTTTGCCTGCGCATAGCGTCAAGTCGATCGTCGATCTGTTAAAACTCATACTTGAAGGTGATGGAGAGACACAGGCTGTCAGACGTAGTGAGAACCTGAAGCGTCGTATCGCTGCCGAGCCTCGCAAGTTTAAGATTCGTACAGAGTCCAAAGACGTCCTCATGGCGGAAGGTTTCGAAGAGGAAGGGCTGCTTGCCGAGGCGTTGTACCGCTGCAACAATAACGTGACAGCGGCCAAGGAATACTACGTATTACGCAGAGACAATCCGGACAGCCACATACCAGTCTTCCCTGTTCCGACTGAAGATGCTGAGCCACCCGTCCAGGAAGCCTCTGATAACACTACGAATCAGCCAGCTGCATCTGGCAGTGTGCCCTCTGTAGAGATGCAGGATGCAGACGAAGCCGGATCAAGCACGCAAGACACTGATGGCGATCGATCAGAAGCCGATCTACTCTTGGGCAACGGTAACCGCCGTCTGATGTTACCTCCAGACATGCTCAACACTGGCCTTGCAGAAGTCCTTTCGAACGCTCTTGGTGGTGGAGAAGAACTGATGCGTGCTCTTCCAGTTCACAGGCGGCCTTCGGATGAGGCTCAAAGACCGGCTGATGTTGTGACAGAAGAGAGCTTCGTTACCATTGATGACCTCGACGACAAGCGTAAGGACATCAGAGAGGGACTGATCGATCGATGCCTCGATGTTCTCAACACTCATACGAATGTCACTTTCGAGCTTGCGGACCTTGTCACAGCTGCTATTTCCAAGACTGGCCAAGATCAGTCATCGAAGGTAGATATTGGCGAGACTTTGGTTAACTCCCTCATGTCTCTCACACCCGAGGAGGGCACTTCTATTGAGGGCAAGAAGATTGCATCATATGCTCATCTACTCGCACTGGTCATCCAAGACCGCGACTTCTTCAGTGCATGTCTTGATACCTTGACGGACAACTTTGAGCAATTTGGCGGCTTCATCAAGATGTTCCAAGGACAGAAGCCGGACGAGACGTCACCTTGGGTAAGCAACGTGCTTCTCATCATCGAACGCGTTCTAGCCGAAGACGAGAAACCTCAGCAGATCCACTGGACAGCACCACCCTTCGAGGAGCCATACAAGGAGCAAGACGTTGTCGAGCTCAAGCCTCCAGTTGTCTCTGATGAGAAGAAGACCACAGTCTTTGACGCCCTTGTCGAGATTCTACCTAAAATTGGCAAGGATGAGACCCTCGCACTCTCAGTCACCCGCACGCTGGTGATTTTGACACGCCGCCGTGCTCTTGCGAAGAAGCTCGGCGAGAAGCTGTCAATTTCCAGACTCTTCGTTATGATGAAGCAACTTGCTGGCTTTGCGGGTGAACGTCTTCAAAGCACCTTCCTCATCTTGCTCCGTCACATCATCGAAGATGACGAAACCATTCGTCAGATTATGCGTACTGAGATCCAGTCTACATTCGAGAGCAAAGGCATGGCCAGAAGCTATGACACGACGCTCTACACTAGGACTTTGTACCACCTCGCACTGCGCAGTCCCGAGATTTTCGTCGAAGTCACAAACGAGAAAGTGCAGCTCTCGAGATGGGATCAAAGCCGTCCTAATGGTGCACAGCCCCTCATGCTGAAGAAGGTGGATAAGTCTATCGATACCAAGAAGACAGAAGAGCCTTCCGAGAGCGAGCCTAGCGCTACTATTGAGCGACCTACCATCGAGCGCACCAAAACCAGTGACCTCAAGCCTCCGTCAATCGAAAACCCTGATGGCGTCATTCAGTTCTTGCTTAAAGAACTCTCTTCGTACAAGGATGTCGAAGACAAGGAAGTGCAGCCTCCTAAGCCTGCTTCTTCTGAGGCTCCTGCTGCTGCTACCCCTTCGGATGTCGAGATGTCTGACTCGACTCCTACACCAGTGGCTGACCCCGCGCCCGCTCCATCTGCAGACTCGGAGGCTAAGCAGTCTGACAACAAGCCGGTATTCAAGGCTGATCAGCATCCTATCTTTGCCTATCGCTGCTTCATTCTGCACTGCTTAGTAGAACTCCTTGGATCCTACAACAGAACCAAGGTTGAGTTCATCAATTTCTCACGCAAGGCCGAGTATCAAGCATCCACACCTTCCAAGCCTCGTTCCGGCTTGTTGAACTACTTCCTCACTAGCTTGATTCCGCTTGCATCTTTGGCGCATCCTGAAGATACTCCATCGAAGAAGCAGGCTGCGACTGCTAATTGGGCCATTAACACAATCGTGTCGCTCTGCTCAAAGACTAACGAGCGTGTTATTGGCTTGAAAATCTCTGCCAGTGAGGAAGAGTCTGACCTTGCCTACGTTCGTAAATTCGTTCTGGAACATGCTCTCAGAGCATACAAGGATGCGATGGCATCTTCCGAACCATTAGACCAGAAGTATGCACGTCTGCTCAGCCTGAGCAACCTCTTCTACCGCATGTTGACTGGTAAACAACAATCTGGCATCAACCACTCGTTGCTCGAGATGGTGACTGTCTCCCAAAAGCAACTTGGTCGTTTCATGTACGAGAAGAACTTCATCACAGCTTTGACGTCTTCCATTGCTGAACTCGACTTAAACTTCCCTGGAGCCAAGCGAGCAGTTAAGTACATTCTGCGACCACTCAAGTTGTTGACCGACATTGGCGTCACTTTGAGTATCTCTGGAGACGTCTCTGCACCTGGAACTACCGAAGATGACGAGATCTCGTCCGCCACCTCCATATCTGACGACGACAACGAGCGTGAAGAGACCCCAGACTTGTTCCGTAACTCTACCCTTGGTATGTTCGAAGCTGCCAACAGTGACGACGACGAGGACGAGTCCGGCTCGGACGAGGCTGAAGAGTACTACGAGGGCGACGAGTACGGCGAGGAAATGGACTACGATGAATACGAAGAAGGTGGTCCCGGCATGCACGAAGGAGATGTTGTCAGTGATGAGGACGATGATATCGATGGCATGGGACCTATCGAAGGTCTTCCCGGCGACATTGATGTCGAGGTCGACATGGACGAAGACGAGAGCGGTGACGATGATGACGACTCCGATATGGACGAAGCCGATTCAGACGAAGGCGACGATATCGAAATCATCGACGAGATCACTGGCGATGACGAGAACGCCAGCATGGAAGAAGATGACGACGATGAAGATGATGTCGACGATGATGAGGAAGATTGGGACGACGACGATGACGGTGACGATCCTTACCATGGCGCTCTCCCTATGGACGCTCTTGTCCCTGCCCACGGCGGTCCATTCGGTGGTGCCGTTGTCCTTGAGGATGATCGTTCAGATGTCATGGACCAGATGGAAGGCGACGATCCGGTCATGACACTTGATATGGGCGGCCCCGAGCAATACTTCGAGGACGAAATGGCCGAAGACGATGAAGACAACGAGGAAGATGAAGATGAAGAAGTCCTCGGCTACGAACCCGAACACGACGACCCTGAGAACGACGAAATGGAATGGGGATGGGAAACTGCTGCTATGCCTTCACACCATGGATGGCGCCGCCCTGGAGGTCCCTTCTACACTATGGAAGATCCACCCCTTGGACTCCCTCGCTCACATCGTGGTGCTGCCAGTGGTGGCGATCAAGACGGCACTAACCCTCTCCTCCAACGATCAGACCGCAACTCAGCTATGGGTGCTCCGCCTCGTCCAGGTGATATGCACGACTGGCTTCATCAACACCGTCCTAGACTTGGCGGCCAGGATGGACTCTCGTTCGTCAGTGATCTTATTCAGATGGTTGGCCCTTCAGGAGCTAGAATCAGTGTCGTTGACGGCTCTGGTGGTCTTGGTTTCCCGCCTGCGGCTCTGGCTGGTGGTATGCCACCTGCTGTCTTCCACATCGCTGGTGGTCCTGGTAGATTTGGACTACCAGATATCCGCGCCCTTCAACGTATCACCAGAGGTCTTACCGGTCGCGAAGCGCCTTCAAGCGGAAGATCCTCTTCTACCGACCCCGTTGCAGCAGTCTCTTTTACACCTACGCTTACTACCCTTCGTTGGCAAGAAGAGGCTCGCTTGTTATTCGGCCATCAACATCTCGAGAGGGCGATGAAGCTTGTCGACTCCTTGTTGCGTCTTCTCGTGNNCCCCCCTGCTATGGAGGCCAAGCGTCANAAAGACAAGGCCGACGCTGAACGCNNAGAGCCGCCGAAGAGAAGGCTCGTGAAGAACAGCGCCAGAAGGAAGAGGAAGAACGCCGTGAGCGTGAAGCTCGTGAACAGCGCGAGAAGGAAGAGCGTGAAGCTAAGGAAGCCGAAGAGGCTGCAGCTCGTGCTCGTGAGGGCTGCCGAGCGTGGTGAGACCACTGAAGGTACCGAGAGCATGGAAGGCGTTGAACAACCTGCCGGAGAAGATGTCTCAGAAGCCGCACCTAGAGTCATGACCAACATCCGTGGCAGAGAGATTGATATCACACACCTTGGCATCGATCTGGAATATCTGGACGCACTTCCCGATGACATGCGCGAGGAAGTCATCATGCAACAATTCGCTGAGCAACGCTCTCAAGAGAGAACTCAAGAAACCACTACCGGGCAGCCTAGCAGATCCAGCGAGATCAACCGCGAGTTCCTTGATGCGCTACCACCGGACATCCAAGCCGAGCTGCTTGCCTCTGAAGCAGCTGACCGTCGCCGACGTGAACGTGATGAACAGCGCCGCAGAGCAGTTGCCAGCGGCAACGCTNNCCTCCCTCAAGCTGGTGACATGGATATGGCAGACTTCTTTGCGACCCTGAACCCGGCTCTTCGCCAGCAAGTTCTCTTGGATGCTGACGATGGCACACTTGCCGGCTTCCCCGCCGAGTTCCAAGCTGAAGCTCGCACACTCCTGGGCAACATCAACCGTCATCGTGGTGTTGGTCGTGAGAGACGCGAAGCCGATCGCCCTCAGGATGATCAGGAAGCCCCAGAACCCGAGGAGCAGCGCGTTCGCAGACCCGTTATTCAGATGCTCGATAAATCCGGTGTGGCCACCCTCCTGAGATTGATGTTCGTCGCCATGCAGGACAGCGCACGTACCACAATGCAGGCAATCTTGTCAGATATCTGCAAGAATACCCAAAACCGCGCCGAAGTTATCAGTGTCCTTCTTTCCATTCTGCAGGATGGCAGCTCTGATGCCAATGCTCTGGAGAAGAGCTTTGCACACCTCACCCTTCGTGCTAAGCAGATGGCTGGACAGAAGACACCACAGCCTCTCAAGCGCAGTCTGACTAGCTCGCAGTTTGCATCGCCTGGCACAGACGTCTCTNNCCCCCTGATGATTATCCAGCAATGCCTTTCGACCTTGACTCATCTGGCCAACGAGAACCCTCGTGTCAGTTCGTTCTTCCTTTCTGAGCATGAGACCAGCATCAGCCAGAGAGCCAAGTCACTGAAGAAGGGCAAGGGCAAAGAGAGCAAGGCTGCCAAGTACCCGCTCAACGCGCTGCTCACTCTCCTTGATCGCAAGTCAATTATCGAGAATTCATCTGTCATGGAAGCCTTGGCCTCTCTCCTTATCCGCGTTACTGAGCCTTTGAAGATTCTTCTCAGAAAGGCAAAGGATGCCGAGAAGGAAAAGGAAAAGGCTGCTGAGACTACTGCCAGTGCATCTACCGATGTGCCCATGATTGAAGGTGAAGCTGCAACCGCCGCTGACGCTCCTGCTGAGGCCGACAAGCCGCAAGAGCCTGCCGCAAAGACAGAAGAGAAGAAGAAGCATAGAGACCTTACCCCTCCTGAGGTTCCCGAAGAGAACCTCCGCTTGGTCGTCAACATCATTGCCGCACGTGAGTGTAACGCAAAGACCTTCCAGAGTACGTTGGACATCATAAACCATCTTTCAGCAATTCCTGGTGCCAAGGACACTTTCGGCAAGGAGCTGGTTCATCGTGCTCAAGACTTGGGCGATGCCGTTCTTGTTGATCTTCAGCAGTTGGCTCCTCAGATCCAGAATGCTAAGACTAGCACTGACATCCAAGGCATCGCGTTGGCCAACTTCTCTCCTGCAAGCTCGCATCAGAGTAAGCTATTGCGTGTCCTGCTGGCGCTTGACTACCTCTTCGACCCTAAGCGTTCCGGATCTCACGACAGACAAGCATCCACATCGACGGAAGCTCTGCCTTCAAAGGCCCGTCAAGATCTACTTTCGACGCTCTACGAGACTTCGACATTTGCTAAGCTCTGGTCCAACTTGAGTGATTGCCTGACCGCTATCCGTGAACGTGGCAGCATGAACAACGTGGCTACCATCCTTCAGCCGTTGATTGAGTCGTTCATGGTTGTCTGTAAAAACACTACTTCCAAGGAGGTCAACCTTGCTGCTTCGCAAGAGCTGCCAATTGGTACTCCTCAGCCAGACTCGCGCATTGAGAAGCTCTTCTTCTCCTTCACTGAGGAGCATCGCAAGATCCTCAATGATCTTGTCCGCAACAACCCTAAACTCCTCAACGGTACATTCGACGTTTTGGCCAAGAACTCCAAGGTTCTCGAGTTTGACAACAAGCGCAACTACTTCACCCGTAGAATGCACACTCGCAGTTCTGAGGATCGCATTGCTCATCCTTCGGTTCAACTCAACATTCGTCGCGACCAGATTTTCTTGGACTCTTTCAAGAACCTGTATTTCAAGACTCCTAACGAGATCAAATATGGTAAGCTCAACATCCGCTTCCACGGCGAAGAGGGTGTCGATGCTGGTGGTGTCACTAGGGAGTGGTTCGCAGCTCTCTCCAGACAGATGTTCAACCCCGACTATGCTCTCTTCAACCCTGTGGCTTCCGACAGAACCACTTTCCATCCTAACCCCATGAGCAATATCAACGATGAACATCTCACTTTCTTCAAGTTTGTTGGTCGCATCATCGGAAAGGCCATGTACGAAGGCCGCGTCTTGGATTGCCATTTCAGCAGAGCCGTTTACAGACGTATTCTTGGCAAGCCAGTTTCCCTCAAGGATATGGAGACTCTGGATCTCGATTATTACAAGTCACTTTGCTGGATCCTCGAGAACGACATCACTGATGTTACCTTTGAGACTTTCTCGGTTGAGGTTGACAGATTCGGAGAGACTGAGGTTGTAGACCTGATAGAGAACGGTCGTGACATTCCCGTCACCGAGGAGAACAAGCAAGAATACGTGCGTCTGGTTGTCGAGCATCGTCTGATCAAGTCAGTCGAGGAGCAGCTTGAGAATTTCTTGAAGGGTAAGTCATATCTGCTATGTTTTTTCTATCAACTCATACTAACCATACATCCAGGATTCCATGAAATCATCCCTGCTGAACTCGTTTCGATTTTCAACGAACAAGAGCTCGAACTTCTTATCTCTGGTCTTCCTGACATTGACGTCGATGACTGGAAGAACAACGCCGAATACCACAACTACCAGCAAACCTCACCACAGATCCAATGGTTCTGGCGCGCTGTCCGCAGCTTCGACAAGGAAGAGAAGGCCAAGTTGTTGCAATTCGTCACCGGTACCTCGAAGGTCCCACTCAACGGCTTCAAGGAGCTTGAGGGTATGAACGGCTTTACCAAGTTCAACATCCATCGTGATTATGGCAGCAAGGACCGTTTGCCTAGCAGTCATACTTGCTTCAATCGTAAGTTCCGCCATCTTATTACTCCTTCAAACAGCATACTAACTAATGATTACNNAGAGCTCGATCTCCCTGAGTACGACACCTATGAGCAGTTGAGACAACAGATGTACACTGCTATGACTCAAGGAAGCGAATACTTCGGCTTTGCCTAAACAACCTCATCTTATTGCCTGCTCCAACGAGACAGCCTCATACAGTCATGATTCGATTCGCATTTCCAAAGGCGTTTTTTTGTGTCTTGTTCTTTTATTTTTCTGCGTCACGCAAGGGGAAGGAGTTTCTTTGCTTCATGGTTCGTCTTTTTTGCTTTGACTCTGGTCTTTCTGCCCGGGATGAGATGGAAGGGGCGGAAAGAAACAGGGACATTGACGTGCAGGTCTTGGACTTGAAGTCTTTTCCGTTCATCAGAAGTTTAGTGTCTCGGGTTGACAAGAGAGAGAGAACAGAAGTATCAAAAATGGCAGTTTTGCTTTATTCTAACTTTTCTGTCCCTTTCTTTCTTTGATACGGCGAGTGTGATTTCTGTTCTACAATTACTCTCTACTCTTTTGACGCTGTTCGTGCTTTGTATATCGTCTGACATTGAAGACTTGAGTCGGTAAAGATACTTCGACCTCGCAGTCTCGTTTTCGCATTCCTCATGAACTTGTTTACTCGCATACAATACGCTAACGCAGATCCCGCACTTCGTTCTCGAAGCAATGAATCTACGTGAAAGATTTTAAGAGTTTGGCGGAGGGAGGTGGGAAAGTGTGATGGCGTTGGAGAGGGTGGAAGGGAATGGGTGCACAGGTATCAAAAGGCAAGATGATATAGGGATGACCCTGGCATTGTTTCTGGTTAGTGGTTCTTTTCATGACGATGGGTTGGCACAGGCATCTGTATTGCCGCTAACCTAGGAGACTTGTCCTTCTCTCTCATAACAGAAGTTGATGCAATATTGACGCGGTGACCAAATGTCAAAATCAAAAGAATGTATTCAACAAACTGCAAGACTTTTGAGTTTGATTTCTGTTATTCCATCTCGAGACTCGCTTTGGTTATGTCTCTTGCACAAGAGAAACATTTGTATACTTGTAAGTGTGTATCTCGCTTTTAGTCTCTATATGCTGCAAGACGAGGTAAGTCGCGCCACACAACAGACCAACCTCACCATAAGAAAGCTCAAAACTCGCACTTCCCTCGGAGATATACTGTAAGCAAAGAACACGAAGAAAAAACAAAAAACGACCTATCACATCAATGATATCAAGGCATGACAGCCGAAAGAACGTCTCTTATGCATAAGGAATGGAAAACGGGAATCCGAACGTCAAGAAAGTGTGGCGAGTGGTGGTTACACTGCGTGAAACAAAGGGTCTAGATCGCAAAGAGCGTGGTAACTGGAAGCGATGGGTGTGATCTGATTAACCACATCCGCGATAGGTAGCATCTCAGTCAAAGATATTCGGGAAGAGGATATTTTGGTATTCTGCAATGTCTACCACGACAGCAATACATAGTATGGTAAGAAGAAAAGATATTGTATGGTAAAAATGTTAAAGACGAAAGAAGAGAACAAAAAAGAAACGAGCAAGCAGAAATGGGGTATCGATGCTCGAGGAACAGTAGAATGGAAGAAAAGGTAGGGATGTAGAAGAGAAGTCAAAAGATTTGAAGAAAAACGCCATGTAGAGTAGTCTCTCTTGTAAACCCAATAAAAGAGCCATGCCCCCATCGCTGATGCATATCAAAAAGCATGTTTCGGTCTTCGTAGCTAGGTCGTGATGGCGGTGAGATTGTTTGAGCCTCTCACCTCAATGCATAAAGGAGGATGTCAAAGGTCATAATTGACTATGGTCGTCGACAGGGCTTGAGGATGGCGGTGGTGTGATTTGGTTGATCGGACCAAGCGTCCAGACCCATTCCCGAGGTTTCTTACTCCTCCGTGTGACAGGCGTTGAAGGGCAGATGTCACTATCTGATTCGTCCTCCGAAGAGTCGCGCTTATCTCCACATGCGGGTGATGTGGGTGTTCTTATTGGCAGAGCCGCTGCTCTTTTGTGTTTCTGTTGTTGCTGAACGTAGTGTCCGTGACCCGAAGGTAATGTCTCCAGGGTTGATATGGAAGATGAGGCAGACTCGACATCAGACTGAGCCAGTGTGTAGATTTCGTTGCGAATGTCTTCGGTCAGGGGTGCGCGGAACGACACCTTCTTGGGAGAAGGAAACATGGGTCGAGTGCTCGAAAATGACTTGCGACGACGAAGGCAGCCATGAGGGCCGTTGGTGAGGATGGATCGATGGTTGAACGGCAGACGATAGGGGATTGGCTTGTCGAAGGAGTCTGTAGTTGATGTAGAGGAGATGGAAGAGTCGGTCGAGGCCGAGGTGGCAGATGTGGCTGACATGCAGCTGTCGGTGGAAGAAGAACGTGCAGGTTGTTGATGAGTAGGTGTTACCGATGTGTCCAGACACAGTCGAGATTTTGGTCGTACATCCTGGTGAGAAGTCATAGCCTCCGGACTCATGATATGTTGTGATCCGTAGGCGTTGCTAAAGGTGTTTCTAGCTGTGGGCGAGGCTATTGAGGGTGCATCGAGTCTAAGTCCGGTCGTGCTCTTGCCAAAAGTTGAAGGCAACGAAGATGTGTTGAGAGAAAGTTTGGGTCGTTTGCTAGCAGCAGTTGGCCGAGAGACCGGAGGATGCGAAGGTAGTATGCTAAGTGACATTGTATCCACGGGCATGAGTGCCAGCATCACGCGGGTGTTGACGATAATATACTGTGAGCAGATGCTGAAAGAAAGGTGTTGGCTGATCTAGCCGCTCATCGCCACAGAGGCTGTCGTAAACATCCAACCAAGTCAGCAGGTCCAGAGAGGGGCGGCGAGAGGGTAGACGACGACAAGTGGCCGATGACGCGCGTGAAGGATGCTTGTGCCTCTTCTATACTTGGGCACAGCACCAAAGGGAAGGGGGAGGGGCCACCCGACTAGATGTCAATGCCACTGATGGATCTGCCAGAACACGACCTGACACACTGGCCGTTCTGATACACTGGCGCCGCAAAGATTCGTGTGCAGAAAAAGTGTCAGGACGAATACAGCACCCTTTTAGAAGTCAGCGACAAAGTCGTGACGACCTCAGCACCGGGAACCATGGCCCTTGTAAACCATCAACGGCAGAGCGGGCGCCAAAGAAAAGAAAAATCTCGTCTTTGAGCAATTCTAAACGAAGCCGATCTGCCCATGCATCGTCTCTATTTCATCCAACTTTGCAAACAAGCCTCCAACCAACCAACCACTCTCCTGCTGCTACATCTCGCGGTTCTTCCCGTACGCGCTATGGTCTCCTCGTGTTCTATTTCGGGGAGGTAAGCCCCGCCTGTCACTTGGACCCCTCCGTCACCAAGTCCAACGGCCAGGGTTAGACGCCATCTCACGAATCAATGGCCAGAACCACTTTTGAATCCTGCATCAACAAATTTGCCGTGCTGCATCTCCTTCTCGCCCTGTCTGTACTCCGAATATGTGAACGATCCTGAAACGTTACTCTTTGCTTCCACGTCTGCACTCTGCAATGACTTCTCCACGAAAATTCCGGATCGCGCCATTCAAGACCCTCCCCCTGACCCACGACACCGGCTGGGCTGAGTATATATGGCGACGTGGAGGGAAGGCGTATGTCCGTCGCGAGTTTCTGCTCCGGCGTGGCGCATCATATACTACACCAAGTCCAAACACGTAATCCACTCCCTGCTTATACATGCGCCCGGCTCCCCCCTTGTTGGATTGGCAAGAACGAAATACCTCCCGTCTGGCTGTGCTACGGCCGTTTTCTGCTTGCTGTAGAGAAAGTATACGATTCAGTGTCAGTATTGACCTTACTCTGTGGGGAGCCGACAACTGAAACGCCTTCCCCTTTCACTTCACCTGCCAGTATCTATCTATACCGAGGCTCTGTTTTCTAGACGTACCTGCATATCTAACCGTTCTGCTATCAAAAACTCTCTTTCTCCTTGTCTTTGGTTCCTCTGGAACTCAACCGTGACTTGCTTCGAGTGTCAAATTTCCCAATGAAGTGCTGTGGAGCTCATGGCAGCCACCAAATACGAGGCCTGGAGTTTAAATCGTTCGCTATCGCTATCAAAAAGTCAAAGCGCCTACCGACGTATTTAGGTCGTGGGTCCGAAGGAAAGCCGCTTTACAAGCAAGCAATCGCCTGGGGCAGTCCCTTGTCAAGAATCGATTGCAATGAGTCGCAAGCGGGACAAGCCTCGCCCTCATAAAATATCAAAATAGAATGATTCGCCACTGGATGTGCTGAGAACAACATGAGCAACAGCGACATCGAATCCTGTTGATCGCGAACTGCTCACTTGCAACTGTTGATTTGCTGATTCATGTGTTCTTTTCTCGTGACAGACATGACTGGCTGAAATGGAGAGCCGCGACTGGCCGAAGCGCACACCCATCAACAAGTCCTACCAATGTTGATCGCAGCCGTGCATCGCTGATCAAGAGCAGTCCATCGAGGATTTGACGACGGACGAGCGCTTGCTAGACGCTCTCTGATCGTGGAGAAGCGCTTGTTTCTGATGCACATATTGAGCGCCTTGTCTCTGTATGCTTCACCATTGCTGCACTTCTATCATCTAGCTACTCGTATTTTCTTCACATGGTTTCACCTGCATTGTCAGGTTTCCGACAGTTTGTAGGCCTTGAACCGTGAGCTTGACACTTGGATGTGTGCGCTCGGGGTCCTTGGGTGGACCTTTGCACACAGGATGACGGGTGGATAAACCAATCGATGAAGTGTGCTCTCGTATCTCGACCCATCAACCGGTGCGATCCGAGTGGACTTCTGGTGTACCTTGTACGTGCATACCAGAGTGCAATTTGCAACGACAGTGCACGGTATCCTGAATACATGAAAAGTTGATTGAAGCTGTCGGGTGGCCAGGTGCTTGCATTGCATCACCGCATCCCGACAGGAAGCCACGGTTGACGGCAGAAGTGGTTTTTGCAGACCTAGTATCGTCGCACAGCGTGGTGAAACGAGGTGTCGTGCATCAGAGGCAGTGAGACACTCGCTCACCGTACCCCAGTAGCCAAGGTTTGTGCTTTTGTATGGTATTTAGCCTGTGGGAGGCGACGTCTCTGATCGTCGAATCTGTATGGGTGCCACTGTATACAATATACATGTTGTTTAGGCTATGCTGTCATCACTCTTTTTACAACTTGGCAGCTGCGACCTCTGTCCGAAGCATGCTGCGCGATGAGAGCTTGACCATCGGAAAGGCATCTGATGAGTCGCCATATCCATGTCTTGCCAACCACCGTCACCAGCCATCACGGCGTCGGGAGATGTTCTCACACCGACACTTTACCACGAACGCGAGTCGAGCCCATATCTTCCTGCCATGCTTCACGGCGAGACTACTCCGTGCAGCATGACGCGGTCCTCTTGCATCTGGGCATAGAGAGTAGTACTGCTTCACGCATACACGGAGGCCAACGTATCGCGAAGGAGTTCCTTGGAGCCCAATGAAAACGAGTCAAAAATTGCTCAGATTCACGACACACACGGCCTCTGGCATCATTATTCTTCAACGACAAAGATGAAGAATTCGGAAAAACGACGGGTTCTCTCCAACTTTTGAGATGCTCCTTCCAACTTCGACTGATCGTCAACATTCGTCCAAAATAGGCAGCTCAAGGCCCAAACACTATTTCTCATTCCTGAAATCGCCCTCAGCGTGCTGCTGTAAAGCAATCGTGGAACTGCGCAAAATACCTACAGATTTCGTGATAGCATTGTAGGTAGAGTGCAAGTCGGCCGACGCAAAGGCTTGTCCCTGTAACAGTAGCACTGCTATATCAAGCTTCGAGAAAAGCTTTGAACCAATTGACAAGAACGTCTTGGTGCGATCTCTATCTCTTATCATCGCGCTAAAACGTCATTAGATTCCAGGCAACGCTTTAGCTGCTATGGCATCTTTGCTGCCGACCTTCGAGCTGCTTGTTGGAGTTTAGCTGCCAATACTCATCGCTCATCACTGCCAATCATCTCGTGTCCATCATGCGGACTACCTCATTGTACGGCATAGATAGGATTCTGTTGCAACCTTTGAAGTGCGGAGAAGGAAAGGAAAGTATAAATTGAAGCATTGAGATCTTTTTGATCGCGTGTGTATTCCTCTTCTTCTTTTCATCACCGACACCAGAATGCTCGGAGGAAAGATTGTGCTAAGCAGCGCGGCTGCCTTGCTTTCAGCTACTGGAGCATCTGCTCTTGTTCCAGTTCTTGACAAGAGACAGTATTTTCCCGCCAATGCCACTGGTCTCAAGACCATTACTGTGTGTGCTAAACAACACGTTTCGTTGATGGTGACTGACCTTGATGATAGNACTCCTACAAATGTGACCATTCGCTACAAGGAGCCTGGCAAGGAGGGCATCTGTGAGACCACACCCGGTGTGAACTCGTACTCTGGATATATCGATCTTGCTCCTGATATGCACACTTTCTTCTGGTTCTTCGAGTCCAGAAACGACCCAGCAAAAGATCCCATCACATTGTGGCTCAATGGAGGTCCGGGAAGTGACTCTCTTATTGGTCTGTTCCAAGAACTAGGTCCTTGCAACGTCACCGCCAATCTCACCACTCAGGTCAATCCCTACAGCTGGAATGAGGTATCCAACATGTTGTTCCTGTCCCAACCATTTGGTGTTGGTTTCCAGTTATCAGGGAGGGAAGAAAAGGGTTCTTTGAACCCTGTTACTGGCTCNTTTGAGAATGCCACAATGGCCAACGCTACTGGCATCTACCCTGTTATCAATGCGACCGAAATCGACACTACTGACCTCGCAGCTGTTGCAGCTTGGCATGTTCTGCAAGGGTTTCTCGGTGCCTTGCCTCAACTCGATGCTGAGATCGGCAGCAACAAGGAGTTCAACCTCTGGACTGAGAGCTACGGTGGTCATTATGGTACGTGATCCCAGTCTTCCCTCCATCATTGATGTCTGACATAATACAGGACCATCTTTTTCAACTACTTCAATAACCAGAACAAGCTTATCTCCAATGGAACCATCCCTGGTGTCAAGCTCGACTTTAACACTCTTGGTATCGGAAACGGAATCATTGACGAGAAGGTTCAGGCCCCTCACTACCCAGAATTCGCTGTTAACAACACATACGGTATCAAGGCAGTCAATGACACTGTCTATAATTACATGAAGTTCGCTCTGACCATGCCCAACGGATGTCTCGATCTGGTTGACTACTGCCGTCAAGCCAGAGAGACCGGTCAAGACAACCTTGCCACCAAGACTCTCTGCTCCGAAGCTCAAGACATGTGCAGAGACAACGTCGAAGGTCCCTACTACAGCTTCTCCGGACGTGGAACATACGACATCAGACATTCTAGCAATGACCCTACTCCTCCTGAGTACTTCGCCGATTTCTTGAACCTTGCTGAAGTTCAAAATGCTCTTGGTGTCAGTCTCAACTACACAGAGTCCAACGACGATGTCTACTATGCATTCCAGGCCACAGGAGATTTTGTCTACAACAGCTTCCTGAAGGATCTTGAAAACTTGCTTGCACAGGGACTTCGTGTCAGCTTGTACTACNNGGGTCAGTATTCCGAATGATCGCACCATCGTATTCTTTACTGACAGTCAAACAGTGACGCCGACTACATCTGCAACTGGTTTGGTGGACAAGCCATTTCGCTCGCCGTGAACTACACGCACAGCAAGGAGTTCGCCGCCGCAGGCTACGAGCCCTTCACCGTCGATGGTACTGAGTATGGAGAGGTCCGCCAATACGGCAACTTCAGTTTCCTTCGTGTCTACGAAGCCGGACATGAAGTTCCCTACTACCAGCCTCAGGGTGCTCTTGCCCTCTTCAATCGTACCATCAACCACTGGAATATTGCGGATGGCACTGAGATGGTTACTGCCAACTTGACTAGCTATGGCACCCCCAACGCTACTCACACAGAGTCGTTTGTGGCTTTGCCTCCTACCTCGACTGCTAGTGCCAGTGCCAGTGCCAGCGCTTCCACTACTGGTGGCGCCGTGCCCCAACTGTGGAGATCTTAGATCAGTGATGAAGGAAAATTGAGGACTATGGGAAGTGTCGCTGTCATCAGTGTTACTCCTATCACGATATAATGAAACATGCTTGTAGGAAGAAAAGTATGTAATGTATGAAATGCGGCAATGTCCCCAGAACAATCTTGAGGCTCTTTTAGCATCCGAGCAATGAACGGATGAGAAAAAAAATCAGAGTGAAGTGGGTAGAAGTGCTGTTCTCGAGATGACACGAGGGCCAAGTACATGACCTGCTTGTAGCAGATTATCGTCCTCTGCCACTATCAGATGCTCGTCAAGAGTTGTTCCAGAAGTTTCTATGCTGAGTAGACGGACCGAGTTGTTGCTCGCTGTATACTTTCCAATAGTATTGCTCGGAAAAGACTTCCTCTAGATACTCACATCCGATGCCGCAGCATGACCCATGCAACCATATTGATTGAGTGGTGTGTGGCTGTAAGACGCCCAGAAATCCTGCAGGACTCCGCTCCTTCTTCCCCTTGCATCGTTCCAACAACTCCCTCGACCAACATGAACTTTTCGTCGCAGCCCGAAAAGTTGTCAAGTCAAGATGGTACTGAAGAAGAACCTGTCGCTCAAGGAAAAGTATCCTGAGATCTATGCTCAGACGAATATCGATCGGACGGGACATGAACGTGTTGTGCCTATGGAAGTTCTGTCGCTTGGGTTGGGACGTACTGGTACCATGTGTGAGTAACATTTCCAATCAGTTTGTTATCAGAGCGAAAATGTTCTCCAAACATCAAAACGCTAGGGGTTGTATTTTGCGGAAGGACAGAACGATTTCTGTTTAAATAGAGGTTGGCAGGAGCGACTCTTTGAAATTCGGTACCTGTTGCAAGCGCATTACAATTTTGATTCTTTCTGTGTACATGGAACAACTACAGATAGCTGACTAGTGTTCCATACAATTCACAGCNNAATGAAAGCAGCCTACGAGATCCTAGGCTACCCAACCTATCACTACATCTCCATGATGGAAAACCCTCCAGACCTCGACCTTTGGCTCTCCGCCCTTCGCAGAAAGTACTCTCCTCGAAACGACGAAACTCCCTTTAAAGTCGCCGAATGGGATTCTCTTCTGGGTCACGTCTCAGCAGTGACAGATATTCCAATTACTGCTTTCAGCCCAGAACTCATTGCCGCTTACCCTCACGCCAAAGTCGTGTTGGTGGAAAGAGAGGTCGAGAATTGGTATAAGAGTTTTGAAAAGAATGTCATTTCGAGCTTTGCAGCGCCCATGACCAGAGTTCTGGTGAAACTGGATCCTGGGTTTATTGGTAAGCAAGGAGAGATTGGAGAGTATGTTATGCGTGGATATTGGCAGGCGTCTAGTTTTGACGATTGGAGGGCGAAAGCTAGGCAAGGATATTTGGAGCACAATGCCTTGATCAAGAAATTGGTGCCTAAGGATCGATTGTTGGTGTACAAGCTAGGCAGTGGGTGGGCACCGTTGTGTGAGTTCTTGGGCAAGGAGATCCCCGAAGTTGAGTTTCCAAGAGTCAACGAGACTGAAGAGTTACAAGAAAGAGTCTTNTTGTCTTTGATGTTGGGGCTGAGGAAAGCGATCTTACGCTATGCGAAGATGCTGCCATTGATGATACCTTTCTTTGTCATAGTTTGGTATCTCTGGCGCATCACTAACCGAGGATTGAGTTGATGAGACGGCTAGAATTCTTCTCTGAGGCACGTAATGGATCGTGACAAGACCTAACATACCTGAGCTTCGCTGTCTGCGATGGACGTCAACTTGCTCAAACTTACTCACCATTGACTTCATGCGGCTCGTCTGCTACTCCGAATAATCAGCCCACCCCGTGAACTGAGCAAGGTTTTGACCGCTCTTCGACTTTGGGACAAGACCCATCGTGAGCTCCCGTATGAATATAGTTTACATGATTTTACTCCTTCATCATTTTCAGCTTATGCATAGTCGTCATGAATGGTCGTATGGCGTCCACCAAAAGCTTTGTCAAGAATTTCTTGCGGAAACCCAGGCCATCTGATGATGGTCCGCCTCCATACTCGAAACTCAATCCACGCAAAATAGAGGCGCAAGAGCTTGAGGAAGCATCGAAAAGTTCAGTTCACGAAGCACAAAATTCCGCGACAGAGTCTCCTCCGAAAACTTCTCGCCGCATGACCACAACAACTCGAACGACACTAGCGAACACGGCAAGTTGCGATGGTCTTTGTCAAACGTGCTGTAAGGACACGGAATATCACCAAAAGGCGCCGAAGAAGGAGCAGGCTAAAAGTCACCCGTATATGAAATAATAGGTCGTTGGCTGACGACTGGGCTCACTGATCCAAGACTTCTCTTTGCGCCTTGAGAAAGATGGCCAACACAAACACACCAAAAAAGCCACTCATGACGGAAAAGATATCCATAGAGAACCAGCAGTAAACTTGGACAACCAAAAGAAGGTCATGCATCCAGCAAAGCGTCCGAATCGTCGGATTGATTATGAAGAAGGATCTCCCGAAAGCTCTGTCGAAGATCTGATGGAAGTAGTGAGGAGAGAACGAGAGGCATGGACCAAGATCTACGAATCATTGCATCTCAGCAGCGGCTTGAATTGAACCATCCCTGATGGTCTGTTAACGGAGGAGATGACAGGGGATCGAGACCAAATATGAAAGTCCTTACCTCTACACACCCTATAAATGCTCAGATCTAAGCTTAGGTCAAGTCGAAAAGGATGAGGCTAACGATTTCAGCGACCAAGAGACAGAATGAAGCAGAAGGAACGATCGAGGCCTCAATTCAAGAACTATCTATCACAACTACCATACTCTTATCACGGTTCAACAACAACGACAGAATTCATCAGCCTGCAGCGAGACCGAGACAATCAGTCAGGACCTCCAATATGGCAAACCACTCGACTGTGACTCCAGTGAGACCGTGAGCTCGACGGTGACTGCAGTCGTGGATCATCAATGCTAGGGTCCACGTCCATATTTATTATCGGCGCTATCCCATCACAACTTTGACACACTTCAGGATGTAATCCAAAAGGGGATTGATGACTCGGAGACGGTGACCCCGTGTAAAGGATGCTTAGCCTGGTTCTCGAACCTGGCAGCATCATGGAAGCCGTACTGTAACTTTCAAGCGTGACCAGCGAAGTCAGTTGCTGCAGGCACCCCAGTGGACTGCTCGCCAATGTGCGACAGGACGCGAACTTGATTATGAGTACGACATTTGACTAGCTAGATGCTATATAAATACTCGAGCCATCGGCATGAAACTCAATTTGATAGCGTAGTCATTCCACAATGGATCGAGGAGTCCAGTGAGGCGGTTTTAACAGTCAGAAATTCTTGATGGATCGGTCATTAATCGTGCATGGCCATGCCGCAAACCGATGCACAAAGTAGCGAAGGATGGACCATGTGGGTCATGAAATTGTACTTCGCCATGCTGAGTGAGTAGACCGCATGTATCTGGGTAAAGAAAACGGTAGTGGGAGTTTGCAGTTATGGTCAACGAGTCGTAAATAAGAGTCGAAGTTGAGGATTATGGCCTGATAGAACCTTTCTATCTTCATTGCTCTGGAAGTACAACCTGTCCCGGATCATTACGGTAGCAAAAGCCTACAGAGCAATTGCAACTATCAGAGTCTGCTCGAGCAGGTTGTAAACTTGATCCACTTATCCCGACTGGGATTGAAAACGGGATTATATGAACACTTTCATGTCGTCAGTCGGCGACAAGCACAGAACAGGCTGCTCCGACTCCTGGAGGCTTGTGGTCTTTTGGCATGAACCGGAGCTGCCAGATGTCGAATCAATGGGAGAAGCCCATGCGACGTTGACCCTGTGGTTTCAGTTCTATGCAAATCAAAGAACACACTCGGATACTCGAGGCTACTGTTGGGGTATTGCCAACCGCTGCTGTGCACATTGAATTAGAGGAGCCTCACTAAGATGGAGAGAAAGTCTGCTTGTGCTAGATTGTCCGATTTTGAGCCTTCGCATCAGACATTGTTCTAATGTACACTGATCGAGAATGTGTCTTGCGACTCTGTTGTTCTTAGCATGAATGCCAGAGAGCCTTCTCAAGCCAGCTTGAAGCCCCTAGAAATCTAAGCAGAACCAAAAATTTTGCCAAAGAGAGCATGGAGATATATACATAGAGTCAGTTGATATGTCTTCATATGGTGGTAGCATCTCAGGCCCGAAAATCAGGGATGGAATCGTTGGCCTCCAGCTTAAGCCTGTCAAGGATGTTTTGAGTTGGGATGATGGCCTCAATACTTGAAAGGGTATGCCAAAGCATTGTAGCAATATAATCTCATCGATCTCGTGGGAGCTACATCGTGAGATCTCCTCTTAGTATATATCTGTTTCGGCAGTATTCTATTGACAAGCAGCACGATTATGTCGAGAAAGGGGTTCCCTGTCCTCAGTAACCTTTTGACATGTTTGGTCGATGCAGGTCAGTCACATCTCACAAGTGCTAAGCATCTCTTCGTCAACGATGGAAAACGTCATGATGTAGATGTTCTGCAAGAAGTAATCCGAGCGAGCTACGATAGGTCGAGAGTGATGGGCATGCATCACATATCACTAACCTGGAAGAGGGCGTCGCGGAAGATGATAGAGTGGGTGATCCAGTGGTCTTGGACGATATTGACAATTGTACTTCTTCGAAGATCTGGTATGCTTCTTGGAAGACTTCGAAGTGGTTGGCGAAAGCATACCGACGGTCTTGGTCCAGGTACTTGATGGGACATACTCAACTATTAATAGAGTAGAAGTGAAGGCAGGGCGGCATTTGAATGAAGGATCAAATGCAGGAATCTCTGAGAGCTTGTGAATCATACGAGGTTGTGGGTTCACTTATGTTCCTGCTTCCAAATGTCATGAAAGAGCTTGCATCCCTCTCCATCAATTCACAAGCACGTGAAACGCAATTGTTCTGCCAGGTGTGAGGCACTTTGCCTTCACGACCAAAAGGACTATAAAACTTGAGTATAAATCAGTTGAATTCGCGTAGGAAGTTCAAGTTATCCAGAAGTTGATAACCTGGTACAAAGGAGGAGAGAAGGAAGTGGAATGAGCACTGTCAAGAGAATACAGCATCCTCGATTGGCCGGGTCAGGAGCAGCAGAAACGATCAGGCTCATGTACCATCATATCCCCATGATATCCTGTGCAGAGCCCAAGAGCAATTTTCATGGTTCTGACATTCTGCAGAGTTGAGCCAACAACAAGAGAGATCCTGAGTTCCAAAGTAATAACCCGATTTGGAGACCTGTCCTCTCTGACTAGGGGAGGCGAGTCCTTGGGCCACCGACGGCGCCAGGAGCAGCGGCAGTCTTGCCTTTGTCGTCCTCAGACTCGCAAAGGTCGATGTACTCCATGCTTCTCTTCTTGCCCTACTGCGAGAGTTATTCAGGGGCAGACGACTGCGCAAAGGGTGATCTACGATCTCACGAAATAAGGCGTTTCTCCTTGTGCTACGAGCGGCAGTGCCGGAAATTCGACTTCATTCAGGGTATAAGCTTACAGTCGATGTGACAAGAGACCAAGGAGAGTATTACTTCTATAGGTTAGAGGAGTCGAGAAGACAAGTCAGGAGTTTGATTGATTTGTTGCTTTGATGCAAAGCACAAAGCGACAACACGTTACTTACAGGGGTCGCATCTCTCGAGACTTTCGTGACGGCAACATTACGACGAGGAACGAGAGCAGGAGAAGTAACCATCATCTACAGGAGTTAATGTGCTTCTCCCGTGATTCAACACCATCATTATGATGTTGACTTGCTTCAGGAAAGTACTCCAGATCGGCTTGGTGAGATACGATTAGCAGCCCTGTATAAGGGTTACCTCACCTGGTAGCTGGAGGGTGAGGTGGATACATGCAGGTATGGAAGCCGTAGTGTCTGTGGCCCAATCGTCGTTCCACACTACGTAGCTCTGGGCCCACGGAAGGCAACGTTGTCTGGTGCTCCTCGACATTGATCGTACAAACCAGTCGATGGGTTGTGGTGTTGATCTTCCTCCGGAACGCTGTACTTATAGAGATCGAGTTAGTGAGGGTAGATTATTCATCCTCACTTATGTCCACTGAGCTGGTGGGGATGTGAATCATTATTGCTGACTTCTCGGACTAAGCGTGTATCGCGTGGCGAACAACATGCATCGATTGTCCTGAGAGCCGAGGATGAAGGGGTCAAAGGGACTTGGTTGGTTACTCTCGACGAGTTTGATTCGTAGAAAACAGTAGATCGATCTATTCACATACACACCCTCCACCAACGCCATGCACTTTTTGCAAAACAAAAGTCAAAGCTAAATGACAACATTATGAACAGGTGTTGACTCTCTATGAGTCGCGCATCTCTTGCTGGCCGTCTGTACCAGGAATGTGCTCGTCGGTTCTGAAAACAGCCTTCATGGCGTCTTCGAGAATGTTCATGCCCTGCTCAATCTCAGACTCGGAGATGATGAGCGGAGGGACGAATCTGAGGGTGTTGGTTCCGCAAGTAATGATCAAAAGACCGCGTTCGCGGGCGGCGGTGATGACAGGAGTGGGGTCTTGAGACAGCTGGACACCGAGCAGGAGACCACGTCCACGGACCTCGGTGATGACATCGGGGTACTTTTGCTTGAGCTGCTCGAAGCGCTTGCGGAAGACCTTCTCTTTCTGAATGACGCCGTCTTGGATCTCGGCGCCGGAGAGACGGCCAACAATGTAGTGTGCAAGGCGGGAACCGAGAGGGTTGCCACCGAAAGTGGTTCCGTGGTCACCAGTGACAATCTTGCTGGAGACGTTCTCAGTGACAATTGTAGCGCCGATAGGGAAGCCGTTGCCGAGGGCCTTTGCGGTAGTCAGGATGTCGGGGTGTGCTTCCTTGGGGAGAGCTCCGTGAGCCCACATGGTACCAGTACGGCCGAGACCGCACTGAATCTCGTCGTAGATCAGGACGGCACCGACTTCTGTGCAGCGGCGGCGGAGGGCAAGGAGGAAGTCGTCGGTTGCAACGTTGACACCACCCTCACCTTGAATAGGCTCGATGATGACACCGCAAGTCTTTTCGGTAACCAGGTCGTTGATGGCCTCGATGTCGTTGTAAGTGCCGTACTTGAAGCCAGGAACCATAGGACCGAAGGGCTTCTGGTACTTGGGGTTGGGAGTGGCCGACAACGAACCCATTGTGCGGCCGTGGAAAGAGTTGTGGAATGAGACAAGCTCATGCTTGTTTCCCGACTCATCGGCCATGCGGCCACACTTGCGAGCGAACTTGATGGCAGCCTCGTTGGCCTCAGACCCAGAATTGCAGATGAATGCTCGTGTTGCGTCAGCCATGGCGCCCGACTCGACCGTCTTTTCTACGAGTAGCTTGGACAATGCGCCAGTCCAGGGATTGTGGTATAGGTTGGAGGTGTGAACGAGGGTTTGCGCNNCTAGGCAGAGCATCAGTATGGGTGTATTGGCTTGTGGGACAAGGTCGCGACTGACTTGCTGAGCGAGCAGCTTGGACATCTCGGGATCACAATGACCCAAAGCATTGACGGCGATTCCTGATGTGAAGTCGAGGTATTGTCTGTTCTCAACATCCCACAAAANACAACCTTCGCCCTTCTGGAACATGGGAGGAGGGCGAACGTAGGTGGGGACCATGTAGGAGTCGACTGGCCTACGAGACGGCTGGTCTGCGAGTCTGACGGAGGGTCCGGTGTGGCCAGGGATGCCTCTTTCTGCTCATTGTCAATTCAATTCATCGGACATGTCCTTGACGTGATTGCGCACTTGAATGGCATTCTGGAGTCCAGCGGGCAGGTTGGAAGCGGTTGGTGAGGCATAACCACGGCGGAGAGCCAGCGATGGCCTGAGCGATGCGCTCAATCGCGAAGAACAGATACGGAAAGACATGACGATGGCTATACAGAAACAAAAACAATGCAGGCAGGACACAACTTTTCCCCGGGCAGATGGCCGCTGCTCGTTGAGTCATGAAACTTTTCTTATCAAGGTGGGACTCGATATGCATCCTGCCCGGAGTCTCGACCGATCTCGGCTTTGACCTGCCCCGGTTTCGCCCTGCTTTCTTTACTCTTTAACAGCTTCAACCTCTCGACCATGCCGCACATACAACTAATTGATCACTACAAGCAGACATTCAACATGTCAGTCAAACAACGGTATTCATTCTTGTTGGCTGGTCTTGCTTGTCTGCTTTGTTCGAGCAAAGCAGGGATAAGAGACAGTATTTCCGTGCGCCGCATGATGACGTACCCATACTCTTGAACACCTGAATGGTCAGTTGGTTTCAACAACCACTTGTCTATCTAAAATCACGCCCATCCATGAAGCAAAGATTTTCATACGGGCAACTTGATCATGATGGTCGTCGATCAGGTACGCCAGCTTCTACAGATACAGGCATCGCCCTCAAGATGGCACCTTTTCGAGTGGTGTGACCTAGCCATGTAAGTGCAGCGCCTACACAGGATGGCAGAGGCCCCTTCCGAGCATCATATCTCGACTATCGGTACTGGCAACCACGGAGTTCTGATCCTCCAAGGCCCCTTGTGCTTCTAAAGTCTCATGCATGATTCCTCTCAATCTGTATCTACGTGAATGCAACATATATACAACTTCTGACTTCGTTCATCCAGAACACCGTCATTTATCAAGCATTGTTGCCAGGATATGCTTACTGCTCAGTGGACGCGTAAACTTCCTCTGATACAAACGACAGCTCCAGCAGAATTGGCAGCTAGACTCATTCATACCTTTCTCGATGACTTTCCGGATATCGAATCAGAGCAGTATTTCGTCATCGACTTTTGCTCTGGAGCAGGAGGTGAGCACATTTTCAAATCTTTTCCTCGTTATGGAAGCGTTGTGATGGGGTTGACAATGGATCCCATCAATTTGTGCTACTCCATGATAGGCAGCAAACGACGCTCACGCTACAAAGACACATGATTCATGGAGACAGACGAGCATCGATCGAGAACTACCACAGCATTGACTATCTTCCACATGCAGAGCTCTGACAAACCGCCTCTCACAGGTCCAACACCACTAATCGAAAGATCCATAAACACTGCCCGGCGCCGCGCGAACCACCAACCCATCCCCTTCCGTCTCTCAGACTTCCATCCAAACCTAGACGCCTGGATGTCTTTGGCCTCTCACTCCGCAAACCTCAGTTTCATCCCGCAGCCTGTCGATGCCACAGACACCTCTCACGCANNCCCCCCTCTCGTTGTCTCCAAAACATCATCTTTGCCAACTTCCACCAGCGACCACAAATCCATCCACCTCTACAATCTCTCTTTCCACCATTTCAGCGATACCGATGCTAGCAAGATCATCAAAAGTACTTTGACAACAGCCGATGGCCTCATCATCNNCCTCGAACTTCAAGATCGGAGTCTAGGGATGTTGTTACTCATGCTAGGGGAACCATTCTTACTTTTCCTCGTTACGATATGGTGGTTTCCATTCAAGCCTTTGCATCTGCTGTTTACATACATTTTCCCGGCTCTGCCATTCGTGCAGGCGTGGGATGGTGTTGTGAGTTGTCTACGCACCCGCACCTTTAAAGAAACACTAGCATTGGCGGAAACAGCTTTAGGCGAGAAAGCTAAGATTGTGGAGGAGAGGGAGACAGGTGTGGTGGGAGAGAAAACCGTTGTGGCAGAGTGCGGCGATTGGAAGTTTGTGGGTGTGAGGAGATTGCATACTTGGCCTTTTGGATATGTGAATGCTTTTCTGGCGAGGAAATGGGTGTGATGAGAGTCAGTTTTTGGTTTTGATAGGAGTACATTATGCGAGAAAGAGATGGTTCTGAATCAAGAGAGGCTGCGAGGTTACTGGGCTACTCCTGGCCTTTCCTTGTAAGTACTACGGAATGTTAGATATGCTCTGAATGTACATGATTGCATGGACTTTGAGGATGACTCGTCCTCAAAGAGCTGATGGTTAATGAGCCTCACCTTGATCTACTCTGTTCAGCCCATCACGCTAGGACTACATGATCTTTCACGAACTGGACTAGTCTCAGTAACCATGAACACTTATTGGCAGAAAAACTCACGCTATACATTTCAATATGAGATGGATGATATCAAAACAAATTACAACGAAAACTCCAATGCACCTGATTTCCCATCCATGACTTTTTGCTAACATCTTCTCACACACAAACTTCTTAAGCTCTGCTAGCCCTGTTGCGGTGTTCATCTCTCTGGCCCTGGCCCTTAGGTGCAAACCGTCCCTTGTTGACACCACCATGATGGCCACCACCTCTACGATCGCCAAACGAACCGCCTCTGCCACCTCTGCCACCACGTCCACCGCGAGAATCGCCACGTCCGCCACGGAACCCAGAACCACCGCGAGAATCTCCACGGCCGCCACGGAAGCCAGAACCGCCTCTGCCACCACGAGCGCCCCCAGACGATCCACGCTCGCCACCAAGACTTCGTCGTTGGGGTTTGGCGCGCGCATCTGCAAATTCTTTAGCGTCGATTTCCATTTCGTCGTTATCATCGTCTGCTGCGCCTTTGTTGCCGCGGTTCTTGAATTTGAGTTTGCCGCCGCGGCCGCGGATGGCTGCGTCTCTGCCTTTGATGGCTTCCACGTAGGCGTTGATGCCGTCTTCGAGACTGGCGGCGTTGCCGTTGTCGTCGAATTCCATGATTTCGTCGTCGGAATCGGCGTCGTTGAAGACAAGCTTGCCATCCAGGTCCATCTTGGTGGGTTTGCGGGTTGCGGGTGCAGAACGTGATTTTGAGGGGATGGTGGAGGAGATGTTGGCGAGGGCTTTGCGGTCGAGCAAGTCAAGAGGCTCGTCTTCGTCTTCGACGATGAAGGTGTTGCCACCTGCTGCTTTGGCTTTGCGTCCCTTGGCTGCTGAGCGACCCAGCACCTCATCGTCGGAGATGTCAGAGCCGGAGTCGTCTTCGTCGCTACCGTAGACTTGCTCGTCGTATTCTGATTCGAACTTGCCTTTGCGTGTGGTTGTTGCGTCGTCAGCTTCGGCATCAGGGTCGTCCTTTCCGGCTTCCTTCTTTCTCTTTGCACGGTCGCGCGATTTGCGGATGTTGGCAATGAGTTTCTTGTCTTCTTCAGGGCAGTGCTTCTCGACGATCTCGACACCGAAACGCTTGATCATGCGCTCGAAGATGTGCTTGACCTTAAGTTTGAAGTGGGCTTTGTGCTCGTGACTCCAGACCATGAGGTTGGGGATCAGAGTCGCTAGACGAGGACGCATGAGATCTGTTGGTAGAGAGAGCACGCAAACCTTGACGAAACCAAGACATGAGCGTACGATCTCACGGTTGGCAGATGTGAGGAAGAGATCCATTGTTTGAACGAGATCAAGGATGACAGGCTCGGAAAGGGTGTTGCGGAAGTCGTAGAGAAGGCGAGCAAGAGCGGTGATGGAGGCGGAAATCATGTGAGGAGTGGATCCAGCAAGACCAGCAGATACCATGGTGAAGTATTCTTCCAGACTGGCTTCTACGGGAGCGGCATCATCGGGCATGTGAGGGACCTTTGCGTTGACAACGGTACCACCTTCGGCCATCTTCTCACCCATCTGGACAAGAAGTTCGAAAGCGGCAGTTCGTGCCTTTTCGTTAACCTCCTTGGCGCTGATGACAACTTCTGAGAGGATAGAGGGGATAAAGTGGAGGTCTTCTTTGGGAAGGGCAGGGATGATCTGGGAGATGGCGGTCAAACGGTCGCGGCGAGAAGGTGCAGCAGCCTTGGGACCAGCCTGGAGAAGGAGTTGTTGCAAGTCGGAGTTACGCTCGACGATAGCTGCACGACCAGACTCTGATTCAGCAAGACGAGGAATCAGCTTGTAGGCCTTCTTTTGCAGCTGCGGGTCAGAGTCGTTGTTGACGATGATGGCAGCCATGTTGAAAAGTCCAGCAAAACTCTCACGAGGAAGGTAGATAGAAATTGTGATGACCAGATCCATGAGAGTGTGAGACATGGGAGGCATCTTGTTGGGGCCCTTGCTTTCCTTCTGCTTATCGGCTTGTGTCTGAGGTCCGCTCTCACCAAGAGACGATTCAAGCATAGAAGCAACACGGGTAAAGGTCTCCATCAGCTCGGCCTCGGGCGTAATGCTGAGGTAAGCGTTGATTGCTTGGAGGATAATTCCACGGTACTGAGGCAGAGTTTCGCTGTAGACGTTGAACAGAACGGCCAGAATGTTACCAGCAAGTCCTGAGAGGTGCTGGATGTTCTTCTGTGCGTCAGCCTTGGATACTCTGCCTTGCGCGACGAGGTCTTCCTCGCCCTCAATTGAGAGGACAGTTTGGTTGGACTCAACCATGTTTTGCAGAGCTCTGCAGAGTTCGGTACGAAGTTGAGGTTGCGAGTAGAGGAGGTTTGCGACCATCTCGGCAAAGGTTTGATCGAAAGACTCGGTAACGTCCAGAGGAAGATCACAGTATCCAGGAAGAGTAGCCCAGATCTGTTGGACAATAGTCTCGAAGATCTTGATCTCCATGGTCTTCTCAGCAGCGCCGTGGTTCAAGACACGCTGGAACATGGCCTCACTGAGGGGAACAAGCTCGGTACGGAAGTGGGCGAGGCGGGTGTTTCTGACAGAGTCACGAAGGATAGGGAGCATCCAGGCACGTCCAGGTTGTCCGGGAACAGGCTTGGTCAAGTTTAGCGGCAGAATCTCAAGAACATTGTCAGGTCCCATGGCAGTAATGGCCTTTCCGAGAACAGCGTCTGCCTCCTTCTTTCCAGAGAACGAATCGTTTCCACGGAGATCACCAACAGTCTTAACAGCAGTGTTGAGGATACCCTGAGAGCGCCACTTCAGTGTGTCGAACATGGCACCAATAACGGAGAAGACCTCCATCCAGGCAGATTGGTATTTGATGCTGAGAAGATCATTGACCTGGTTTCCGAGACTCTCGAAGACCTTCTCGTCGTAGATTGAAGGCTCAAGGAGGACCGAGTCAGGAACGCAAGTGTTCAAAAAAGAGATGAGACATTCCGAGGCAGAGATGCGGATGTTGTGTGAGGAGGAAGTGAGGAAGGCGGAAACCTGGGTGAAAAGTGTGGGTAGTTTTGCGAAAGTCTCTTCGGGGTCGAGCTGAGCGGCAACATCGTATCCTCGCGAGATTACGGCGATCCAAGGAGGAAGGAGCTGCGGATCGTTTTGCGAAGGCTGAAGCTCGCCGATAACTTCTAACAGTCGAGGCAGCTTTGCAGCAGAAACCTCGTTAGCCAAGCCAGCGAAGATGATCTCAAAAACCTCGAAAGCGGACATGACGAGGAACTCGTGGCTGGACTTTGAGATTGCGAGCAAAAGCTCACACAGCGAGTCGATCTTGCGCGATGGCCATCCGTTTGCAGCAGTGGCGATGACCTTGACAAGTTGCAAGGAGTGCATCAAAGCAGGGTCGTTCTCTTGTTCCTTTGCTCCCTTCTTTGCCTTCTTGGCTTTTGCAGACTTCTCGGCAGCATCCTGGAGCAAGCGCATCGAGGTTTCGGCGGCCATGTCGGAAGCAGGGTGGTCGAGCGAAGGGCTAGGTGGAGGGTTCTTGAGGACATTGCTAAGAGCATCCTGAGCTCGCTTGCGGACCTTGGGACGGTGGTCGGCGGCAAGACCAAGCAGACCGGAGACTGCGCGACGGGGACTGAGCGATGAAGCAGGAAGGGCCCAGGCTTGAGCATCTTGTGCGACCAGCAACGATTCCAGACATCCGATACTCGAGCGTAATAAGGGAGCCTCTGCTTCTGAGTGTGTGAGGGCGGGGGCGAGACTGCCTAGAATCTGACTGAATTTTGAGCGCAAAAGCGGCGCAGGAACGTGAGGGGTGACGAGGTCTAGGAGGTATACAACGGCGTAGGCGACTTCCTTGTTGGCCATGTCAAACTGGGCCAACAGCGAGAGGAGGGCGGCAAAGTAGGCCGTGGGTGTTTGTTCTGCATTCTGTGCGCGCAGAGTATCTTCGACTGCGCCGAGCACAACAGCGGTCTGGAGTGGTGGTTAGATGATGTGGTCGCAAAGATGGATGTTACTGCTCACCTGCTGCATGCCCGACAGCTTGGGCTGCGACCTGATCTTGTCGAGTCTCTCGTTCAACGACATGGTCGACATGATGTGTGTACAAGCAAGCGACTGGGTCACTCTCGCTCAGCCTCTTGCCAAAGAGAACTTTCTGATTCCCGTCGACTTTCTTTATCGATAAGCGCACGGTCCCCATGAAAGAACTAGAATGGACCCTGATCAAAACCATAGTTGCTGAGTATACGACCCTGGCGCCATTTATAAACTCAATATTATCCTTTCCCGAATGTGCCACCAGCATCTCGAAGGTTGCGATCTTTTATCAAACGGAACGTGACTATGCTATCCTGACTTCGTGACTCTTCTGTGAACACGCTACACTCCACCACCACCAAGGCCCGCAACCTTGTAGGAGATCCATGGTAGGACGCACTTCGTTACGTACTGGCAAACAAGAGAAATGATCGAACAAAAGATAACATATATAACACCCGTGCTCGCGGCTGACACAGAATACTTAACTCTACAGTCCAACCTCCACCAACACGTCGACCGAATATCCAGGCCTAGCTTTCTCGTTTCCCACGTCGTCTAATCCGTGGAGGCGGCAATTCATCTACAGTAGTGCAAGCAATTCCAAGCTCATGTGATCCCACTAGGTCCGAAATTTCCTGCTCTGACATGTGAGTACAGTCCTCGCCAACCTGATCCTTCACAGCATCTGCGAAGTTCATTGCCGCTTTGAAGATACCAAGTCCATTTTCTGCTCGGTAGTTACGACTACACGAGTATACTCTTAGCCACAAGGTGTACATCGTAATTGCATACAGCGTCGTGGCCACAGAGAAGGTGAGGAGTGCGTAAAAGGAAAAGCCCCACTGGTACATATTGCCAGGCTGGCAGACGGCGCGTATGTCATTGATCGTGTATGTCTGGTTGTTGTGCATCCATAGTTTTTCGTTGTCATTCATGACGTTTCTTAGAGTCAACCTTGGTGGGGGCAGGCTTATATTCTGCCCGTTGAACACAAAAAAGGTAGAGGACATATTTGTGAGTAAGCCATACTCTAGCTCCTCATCATCTGGCTCATAGGTTAGTGCTATAACAGCAGGCTGGGCACAACGGGCTCGACTTACAGTTGAGCGTAGCTTGCGAAAGATTGTACTCGAAAGTGCTACAGCTTTGACAGAAATTCTGTCCTATGTCACCGGTGTATGCGACAGGAAAGTTGTCTGGAAGGCCAATGCGCGAACCATCCTTTATCAGGACCCTCACGAATGGCATGTCTGCAGGAGAGTACAATGCATCTTCTGAGCCCAATTGCAGCCAAGGCGAGGACACAGGCTTATACCCTGTCATGATCGAGACCTGGAGAGTACGATTAGCAAGGCCACGACGTATGTTGAGGCAGCTTACAATTGTAGGGAACGTAAGTAGATAGAGGCAAGCGAAGACGACCATGAAGAGAATTCTTCTCCTCTGACTCCGACCAGTCCACAGATCGCGTAACGATGCCCACACAGAAAAGAGCGGTCCGCGTTCAAAGCCAATTGCTGTATAGGTATACAGAGACACAGTGCGGGTCTCCATAGGAGTATAATAGCGAGGCCGTCAACACTCGGTATGAAAGCCAAGCCAGGAAAATCTGACCACCTCTTCCAATTACCATGTCCCACACGATGTCGATACCTTTTGCAACCCCGAATCTGAAGGTACCAAATCCAAGGGTGATATCGAGGAACTGGCTGCTCTCCCAGACGTTATATCCCTTCGATACCTTCGCAGTTCCATCAGGCAGACACATCCAGTTTCCATCGTAAATCCAACTTGACTTGGATGGCGTCCATGTCCAGCTTATTGCACTTATTGCACCCAGACGATACTGGAAGTACAAAGTCCAGCTGAAACCGAGATATATGGAGACGAGCATGAGCGCAATAGGTATAACGGCAAAAGCGGCGGGCTTCCATATGAGAGAAAGAGTGGAAATCTTGTGCTCACGCTCGTCAACCTCATTGACCAGAGCCTCATGCTGGGCTTTGTCGTCGTCGAATGGCAAACCAGAATGGAACGCCATACCAACGATGGTTCACGAAAGGACTTGACATGCGAGCAAAGCAAGCAAGCAGCGGTGCTCAACTCTTATAAGCCTCCGAAGGACCTGTCGCAAGTGGCTGGCGATACCATACATTTTCATCCTTGTCAGGACTTGATGCTTTGTGGCGCATGGCGTCGGGTGTCCGCGCTCAAGCCTCAGCTGAAGTTGCTGCTCAGCTATTGTGCAAAGCAAGCCTTTTTCTGCGCGCGCTAGCCAATGTTGCAGCAGCCAAGCGATGAATCGCGATTCATGTCCAGTTGGATATCCTTGCTGGTAAGAAGCATTTGCCGTTCGAAGGTTAGATCTCTAGCCAAAGATGCATGCATGACTTCCAATAGTCCGTCGCGGTCGCAACGTCGCTGCTTGCAAAGCAAAGTCGCGCTTTCAAGGCAAGAGAAGAGAATCCATCCAGATCACGTCGTAAGATAAAATCAGTTGATCGAGAGAGAATCTGTACCATCCATGTCGCGTCGTTGTGCCGAAGATGCAGAGATATAGTTGTTCGAGAAGATGGAGTGGAGGAGGGATTTCATCCTTCTCCGAAGCGGGGCATCCTTGCTTTTCGGATGGTCGAAACAAGAAAGAGCTATTCATGGACAACCGAATCGTGGCTTCTCTCACCGGTATAGAAACATTCAGGAAGGTGAGATGCTATTTAGGAATGAAATTCGTCTGCATCATTTTTGCGTAATAGATACTAAGTAGGGGGAATTAACGTACAAGAGGACTGCAAGAAAGAAAGGAAAGAAGATAGCAAATGCTTCGTGAAGGGGTATCTAGTTTCCAGTCTCAGTCTCAACACCAGGTTGTCTACCATTGAGACCACCAGTCAACTTGTTCTTGAGTTTTCTGATACCGATCTTGCCTTCATCTTTGGCGAACTTCAGGTTGCGAGCTGGCTTCCATTGCATCAGTCCACGCTGCTTGCGCTCTTCAGTACGCTTGTTTTGCGTGTTGACGCTCCTGGGGCTGCCACCGGTGTTAGGGTCTGAGAATGTGGAGTTGGTGCCTGCGTAGGAGTCGTAGGAACTTCTACCGCCGGTTGTGTCAGTGGCGTATGACTTTCTGCCTGCTCTTTCGCCAGGGTTGCCGCCTTGGTTTTGTGCATTGCCCGCGTCCAGGATACCGAGGTCGTTGGATGAGTCGTCGTCGGAACTGCTGTCGTCGTCGGAACTAGGGTTGTGAGGGTCGTGAAGAGGAGGTTCAGCGCCAGGCTCGCGACGCTTGTTGCCTTGCGAGTCCATGTAGGCCTTGGGATCTTCACCAAATGCTCCACTCCAATCAGTGCCTTGCTTGCTCAGCCACTTTTGCTTCTCATCTGGCTCTTCCTCCTTGAGAATGTCGCGGCCTTCCGTGAGGGACTTCTCATGTAGGGCTTGCACACGATCGGGCATCTCCTTCTCGACTAATCTTGTGCGAACACCCTCAGCAAGACATGCCTCCCAAGTTTCGTAGGTTTCGCGGGACTCATTATCAGCAACAAAGTGTTCGTGACTCTCGTCCATGCCAGCCTTGAAGCGACCAGTGAACTTGAGACGACCAACCTCCTCGAGATCATCCAGTCCAGGCATGGCCTTGTTGACATTGTCTTCGGTGATGTAGTTCTGGGTCAATCTTGCTGGAGCCGATGTACGCCAAATAGGAATATCAATCTCGGTAGACTCGTTGTCAACCAGATGTTGCAGCCAGAGAACAGCATGAGCATCCGCCTTGCGCTTGCCAGACAAGTGGAACTCAAAGACGATAGGACTGCGGTAGCGATATTTGACTGGGAGACGAATAGGGTCTCTTTTCTCGTTGTGTTGCACTTCCCATTCGAGACCGTTGTCAGTCTTGTGACATTGTGTGCGAGGTAGTTTGCCGACAGAACCACCAGTACGCATCTTGAGCTTGGCGTGGTGAGTGTAGCCAGTTGCAATAATTCTCTCGGAAAGGAATTGGAAGGTACCAACATCCCAGCCGAGCATGTTGGGAGGGAGACGAGTTTCGATGCTGCGGAACAGAAGCGAGATACGAATGCGACCGAAACCAACACCACCATCGAGGGGGTACCATCTGGTGACTTGCGAACTTGTCTCCATGACATCGGACAACTTGAGAGGCACAACACCAAGGATGGGGTCGTGCTCACGGTTGCGAGAATCACGCACTGTGACGGTAATGACAGCTGATCTCCAGTCGCGAATGAAGCGCTCAGTACCGGCATTGAAGATAGGTTGACTGCTGACTGCCTTGGCACGAGTTCTGTAGACCAGTTCATCGTTGTAGAGAATGGTACAGTAACTGGTAGGTAGCTGATCACCCTCTTCGTCAGTGCCTTCGCCGCTGGGCTTGGCAGGCTCGTATTCTCTGCCCTTGCGACTGCCTTGCGTGCCCTTGATGTTTTCAAGTTCGAGGTTGACAATCTGGTGGACAACGATACTGCAAATACCACTGGGCCAGAGGGGGTCTGGAGGTGTGTGCTGAACAGCGTCGTCAGTATCAGTGTTAGCCACACCCTTCTCGTCCTGGAGTTCGGGCTTGTCGCGAAGGTTCTCAGGAAGAGCATGGTTCTTGCCATCAGTACGCAGAGCGGGTCTGAACTGAGGCTTTCCGAAGAAGCCCACCTCCCAGTGTAGCTCTCCGGGCATCTCGCTGTCAGAATCCATACCAGCAAGCTTGGAGACTTGAGGGTACATCTTGCCAGGGTGCTGAATCATCTTCTGCATGGACAGCTCGACTTTGCCGACGATATCATCAGCGGTGTGGCGATCAGAGTCCCAAAGCTCGACACTCAGGTTCTCGTCGGCTTTGATAAGCTCAGGGGTGACGAGAANGACTATAGGAATGTCAATCAATAATTCTCAGTGGTCAGAGGGTGATACTTACGCAGCAGTTTCTTCCCAAATAGGGTTCAAGTCGTCGGTGATGACACGTGTGCAGTACATAGGCTTTCCATACTTGGAGAAGGTAAGAGTGATGTACGGATCACTACCACCGTACTTGCTCCCACGCTTGTCCTGCTTGCTGAGACCAACAGCACGATGAATGCGGATCCACATGACACCAAGAGCTTGGACGTCCTTGGTAATGTCGTCACCCTGAAGCATAGCTCTCATGTCAAGAGACATAGACTTAGGAGCGACGTACATGCTAGCGGCCGCACCGATCGCGTAGTTGACAAAGTTGGAGATGAGAGGAAGGTTGAGAATGTTGACACCCTTCTCGACCATGGGAATACATCCTGCTTGTACGTGAGGCACGCCCATAAGTGTGAAAGTCAGTGTCTTGAGGAAAGGAGGTTCGGGAGTCATAGCCATGCGCAATCTGACAGTGCCAACCAGCTCTTGCAGCTCAACAAAGATGGGGAGAGGAACACCAAACAGACCCTTGATACCAAGGTAGAAAACCAGTTGCATGTGCATGTTTCTTGCTCTGTCCGAGGCTCTCTTGCCAGAGGGAGCAGCATGGTACGCGAAAGAGACTTCGAGGTTGTAGTAGTCACCACCCTCCTCATCAGCAGCGGCCTCCTGAGGATCCTTGGTCTTCTTGTTTTCCTCATGAATCGCCTGCTTCATCTCTTTCATGTGCTCATCAGGGAGAGCGCGAAGACTGAGGATGCGGATAGGGTTGCTGCCTTGGTTGATCTCTGCCACGCGGACGTTCTCGATAATACCAGGAACGGACGCTTGCATGACATCCTCGAGGGTATCGGCGACGCTCTGGAACATATCCGGATTGACAAGGCCCCAAACGACTCCAAGTAAAGTGTTCATCCATTCGACCGACTCGGGGAGGAGGTTTGCCGTGGNCCTGTAATGCACGTGTCAGTCCTGTCGCCTCCTCTTGCGAACATGCTCGCGTGTACTCACCGTTCTGCCTCTGATCTTCTCACTGTCCCACTCGACTTCTCTGCCACTGCGGATGACCTCCTTGGCCCAGAGGAAGACACCAGAAGCCACACACATGGCTAGAGGAACGAGGCCCAGGAGACGGCCACCGAAAATGTTTCCAACAAAGACAATGCCCAGGAAAACACCAATGCATAAACCAGTGGCTCTCTTCTCCATGGCAGCGAAGAAAGGCTCGTAACTGACAGAGGGTGTAGGGTGGAACAGAATGTTGGTCTTCTCGCCATGGATGGGGACGTCTGAGGTACTACCTTCAGCGACGGGGTCCGGAGGGGCGGTTACATCTTGGGCATGTTTGTAGTCAGCCATTGACTGCGATGGATCGCTCTTGATAGGCTATATGCTGTTAGTCGTGATGGCTGTTTGGCATGGTACGCGCAACATACNTGTAGGCTTGTCGAGATTCGCATTAGGTACTGAGANGCTGCTCACGTGTCAGATAGCTCTCTCTTGATTATCGAGGTCATCTTGTCGTACCACGGGGTTCTTAGCCGCGTCTACCATCTCCTTGTTGACATCTTCGATGACGACCTCCTTGCCAGTGGTTGGGTCTGTGACTTTTTGCTGATTCTCCTTCGCGTGCAGGCCAGTAGATTGTTGGTGAGGGACTGCATCGCCATTCTTCTGAGCAGCTTGCGCCTTTCTCTGTTCGTCGATCTGCTTATCGCGGGTTGCCTTGTCGCGATCTAGTTTCTCGATGAACTGGTTGATGGTAGGGATTTTGTTCGTCCCTGAATAGTGGCCACCAGGGGCATGCTGTTGTTGAGCATCCGCCATGGTTGTAGAGTCGGACTGGATGTGACTGCGGAAGGGTGTAGGAAAAGAGAGAGGAAGAGCTACACTAAGGTATTATTGTCTTCTCCACATGCTACACAGCCTTGCCTTGGCCAGAGGTGATTGACGCAGAAAACTTGGAATGCCGTCGAGGGTGGTTGATGGCGCGTTCGTGGACATCTGACGACGTCATACCTGTGGCTCGATTGTCAGGTCGTGTGGCTGCAGCGCGCAAGCGTTTCCGTTGCAACTTCTCGTCAAGACTTGCTCGACATCGTCGCGTAAATTCTTGGCCTTGAGATTCATCAAGAGTCTTCTACAAAACCTACCGCTGGTACATACTACATTCATGACTGCGGTAATGGCATTTACTCCGAAGAGGTGCACAGTCAAGACGCATGCCGAAAATCTTCAAAAGCGGCTGCGATAAAGACAGATGCGGAGGAAATGGAGCATTGACCAATGACCATTCGGTAGAGGGGTCCCGATCGACAGTGCAAAGACGACCATCTGCCATTTGAGCGGCAGGGTCATTTCCACCTGTTTCTCGTTTCTTGCTCGGTCGATCTTCGAAAACCATGTCTGGCTGGTTTACCTCGTTCCTGAACTGCCGTCTCTGCATAGGCGGTAAGCTGGTAGAAGACCAATTGGTCGTTTCTGATGACACTGGTCTTATCCTCCCTCGGACTGGATATATCGGTGGTGATGCAGTAGACTTGGAAGAAGGCATTATTGCTCCTGGTCTGCTGGAGCTGCATACTAATGGTCTACTCGGTTTTCATTTCACCCACTTCAACGATGAGAAAGAGTATGCTGGTCAGATTGACAAGGCTGCCAAGTTTCTTGTTACACAAGGTGTGACGGGTTTCTGGGCGACCATACCCACTGTGTCCTCTGAAGAATACAAGAAAGTAGGTTTAAGGGTTTTCTCTTTTCATCTCCGCTTTCCTTTCCATATCCTGTCGACTTGTGGCGATCACGTTTTGCGAAGACTACAAGAGCGAGGCAAGCAGAGCGTCTAGCAGGATGATCTCTCTCGACCATCGAGGACAATCTGGATCATGCCACTGACACAATTCCGATCATAGATTTTACCATCCTTGAAGCCTAGGACAATCGACGATAGCGCCTCTTTACTCGGAGCACATGCAGAAGGACCTTACTTAGCACCATCCAAGAAAGGTGCTCACAACTCGGACCACTTCTTTGATGGTAGCCGACCGGCAGAAGAAGTCTACGGACCTTCAGCGACATCTTCTGAGACTCTCAAATTCGTGACTTTGGCTCCTGAGCTTCCCGAATCAACAAAGCTGATCAAAAGTCTTACGAGCAAAGGCATCAAAGTATCGCTTGGTCACTCTGCAGCCAGCTATGAACAGGGCATTGAGGGTGTCAAAGCTGGAGCGACCTTGTTAACGCACACATTGAACGCCATGACACCGCTCCACCATCGCGATCCTGGTCTTGCTGGTCTTGTCACGACTGCCAACACAGACACCCACCAAAGTCCATACTTTACGATCATCCCGGATGGCAACCATCTCCACCCCAGCGTGGCCACGATGCTCTTCAGAGCAAATCCTGAAAAGTGTATTTTTATCACTGACAGCATTGAACTTGCTGGATTGGAAGACGGTGTTTACCCTGGACACGCTCAAATACCATTCAAGCAACGCAAGACGGGATCGAAAGTGACAATCGACGGGACAGACACGCTAGTGGGTGGGTGTGCCAGTCTGCAGGAATGTATCCAAAACATGATGAAGTGGAGTGGATGCAACGTAGCGGAGGCAGTGAGATGTGTCACTGAGAATGTGGTAGATCTCATGGGAGATACAACCAGAGGAAAGCTGGAAGAAGGCAGAAGAGCAGACTTTGTCGTGTTGAACGACGAAGGAGAAGTGCTCCAAACATGGGTGGCAGGATTAAAAGTCTGGGAGAAGAGATGAGCATTGCGAGACTTGGATAAAGTGGTCGCATGTACACATTAATATACATTAGGGACGCGTAGTGCTTATAGAGTAGAGTTTGGAGACGGTCGTTGTGGCATAGTAATTCAAAGCGGCTGTCCGCATGGATCGTACCAACCAAGATCTTTACACATTTACTTCTTTCTCCTCAGTGTGTACAGCTTTTTGTGACACGACCTCCCCGTATACTAGGGTTCGTAACGAATATGACTATAGAAATGCACAATAGTAACAGGAGATAAGGCAGGGTCCACTGAGAAGCGACAATTTGTCGACTCTCTGTGGACACGCCTCTCCTCCCGAAAACGATTCTGCCTTTTTATAGTCTGAAATTCGGCTCTGAGCTATGGTCGGAGTACGGTGGGGTCACAGAATTTAGTATATATACAGTGAAGAATAAGATAAAAGATGCCATAATGAGAAAAGCTCAGCTCTCCTCTGTGCTAGGTCTCGAGGAATCATACTGATGCAATGCAGAGAGTAATTTTACTTCTGCTCATCCGTGCTGGCCAGCATATTCTGGATATCCCTCAATTTCTGCTTGAGGGCGTCGTGTTCGGCATTCAACTGTGCTGAACGTCAGTATCTCGTTTGGTCATAACATATGGGAAGGAGAATCAAGCTTACCTGTGCATACATCATCTTGGTCCCCACCAATTCCTGCTCCATCTCCTGTACCTGCTCCTCGAGACCACGGTTACTATCCTGCACTTCAATATTTCTCGCCATGATCTTGTCCATTTCGCCCTTCAAGCGATCCTCGACTTCTTGTGGTTGCTTATCGACCATTTTTCTCAATTCCTCGACTTGCATCTTTAGACTCTCGTTTTCGTCAAGTAAAGAGTCGTTTTCTACTTTTGTGCGTACGAGTGAAGATGCTAGGTCTACATGCTCGGCATCAGATTGCTGGGTACGCAATTCCAGCTTTCTCACTCTCGTGCTGAGATTCGCGTTTTCGTTCCTGAGTGACTCCAGCTCGATTTCACGGTCCCTCTCAGCGCGAGATTTCTCTTCGAATTCGGAGGTATATGCGGCTAGCGTTTCAGGTGTAATAACAACTGCACACGCATCACGGACTAGCTCGTCTGCACGATAGACCTCTTTATCTGTTCCGGAAGTGGAGCCAAAGAACCCAGATTCGAGAATTGAAGTTGCCGAAGGTGACTTATCAATGTATACGTCAAACAGGCGTTCTTTGAGGTGAGTGGATAGTTGAACCATGTCTTTCATGCCGAGCAGAGTCTGAGCATTTCGTTGCATGAGCGCGATACCGAATTTCAGGATCGCACCAAGACCCTCGCTGAGAACGAGATCATACACGCGGAGAACGAGTTGTAGGGGNNGGAAGCGGTAGGCGAAGAGTGTGAGGAACCATTGTGTGGCGTACAGGGTTGGAGGGACGCCACGTCTATGGAGATGACAGTATAGTGCTGGTTCATAGTCTTCCAGCAGGCGCTCGAAAAGGTAGAGGTGCATGTGTAGACCGGTCATCTCAGCGGTGAACAGAGAGCGGAGGTTGTATTTCGACATCAGTCGAACAAATAGGGTGAAGGCCTCCTCTTCAGGCATGTTGAAGAGTAGAGGCATAGCAATAAAATTCATGCCCTGAGCATAGCCTACAGGTTCGTCGTAAAGAGCGTATGCTTTGCAGATACCAAACAGACCGTCTTGTAGACCAGCACTAGCAATGTATTTCGAGTAGGCTGTTCGTGCTCCGAGATCGCGTCTGATAGTTTTTTCAAGTTTCTGCAACGCAGCAGTCTCATCTTNTGACCTGCGCTTTCTCTCGGGAGACGTAGCGGAATCGTTTCCATTGACCTGGGGAGCGACAGAGGCAGAGACGTCAGAGTGCACTGAAGAGGCAGAAGAAGCGAGCGACTCCTTCTCACCAGTGCTACTGATACGACGAACAGCAGGTGGTTGAGTGACAGTTACCTCCTTGTCGGTGCCTCTAGCGACCAAATCTCGATATACCTGCTCTAACTCATCGTTTTTGCTCTCGGCCATAACTTGCCAGACGACACCTCGAATGGGTTGGGGAATGCCATTTGCGATTGCACGATTAAGTTCATCTCCGCTCGTGCGTGCGACAGCAGATGGGCCTTCGTATACCACCGATTGCCAGAGATCCCAATTGACCTCAGCCTGTTCTTCAGATGGTCCAGCAGCGTCCCCCGCTACGGTGCCAGGAGGAAGTTTGGTGGTGGGCGATGAGATCGCAGAAAAGGAGTTTGCTCGAGGTGTGAAGGGTGGGCTCAACTGTCCGCCGTCTTCTTTAGTAGGACCTTGCAAACTACCAGCGCGACCATGGCGGCCTTGAGGCAGAGCCAGACTATCGTCAGCTGATATAGCTGATTCACCCTGTAGTCGCAAGATGTGGAAGCGGTCCTTCAAGGTTGGCTGATGAGAAGCATCTTCCGAGTCAGGGTTTGTCGTCAGGCTCTGCAAAGAGGAAGCTGTGTTCCTCCGTGGGCTCGTTGGACGAGACGGCGATGTAGCCTTCCGAGCTCGCGAGAACCAAGCGAATGGACTCGATACTTTGCGTGTCGTTGGAGGCTTCTCGGTTGTTGAAGATGCCATGAAAGTTTGCGATTTCTGTGGCGGTGGGGGTGGAGGTGGGTAGTTCAGAGTGGGAAGGTCGCCAGATAAACCCTTCACAGGCTCCTCGTTCTCTTTCTCGGGCACAGCGGGAGGTAGCTCGGGTACGGACTCGAGAGTATTCTGGCGTGACTTGACAGCTCTGGGCATGTCGTCTTGGTCGGTGTCGGGCGTGGACTGATTGATGATGTCGATGCTGCTTCGCTTATCCTGAGCTCCCGCAGCGGTCGCGACTTCTTCGTTCAGAGATTTGGCTGTCGAAGGTCGGCTTTCTGCCTGTTCGGATGCAGAATGATGTCCTTGGTCCAACGACTCGGCTGTGGCAGGTCGAGGTTCCTCGTCTATTGTTGAAGATTGAGCCTCAGTCTCTTTCTTAGCATCAGGTGTTTCGGTGAGCACGTGTTGAATATCGTCTGAGTCAAATGCGCCTGGCGCAATCGATGTAGAGAGCTTTGGTGCTGTGTCGTCTGAGTGCGCCTTGTCGGTGGCTATGCGAGATTCATCGTCGGTGTTGTCTCCTTGATGTGAGGTTGATTGGGCTGTTGGGTCGTGTGGCTCGGGATGGGCAGCGGCAGGAGATATCGTGTCGGCGGCATCTTCGAATGTGTCCTGAAGGCCGTCAATAAGTCAGATGCTCGATTGGAGCTAAAGCAGACAACAAAGAGAGTTGCTGCCAGGACTAAGCAAGGCACTTACCGCATCCCTGCCATCCTCATGGTTGGTACTGGTGGCATGCTGCTCTGCCTGCAGAGTTTCGTCGTTGTGCTTTGCTTCGTTGTCGGACATGCTGCTACTCCTGTATGTGTCGGGGAACCTATTTCATTCGAAAAGAGGACGCAAGTGGTGGACTGGAGTGATTCGCGTCGTATAAAGTGGTTGGCCCAGGCTTTGTTTGTCCGATTGATGGATGTCTGGATGGCTGGTCTAGTCTAAATTGCTTTGCGTTCCTGAAGTCTTGGACGAAGGTTGAGTTGGTCAAGTGACAGCTCGGAGCTCTTCCTTAGTATGCTATCCCTTTATCGCGGCCGCTCTAACGCTTTCTCAACTCCTGAATGAAAATGTTCTTGCGCTTGACAGTTCGCAGCAACCGCCGTTGAAGCCATGCTAAACAAACCCGCCCCGCAGTCGTGTGGACCCTGCTATGCATATGCTATAGAACATTCATCTTATATAAACGAACAGTCGCTCCAAGATCTGGCCGAATCTGGTAGACACGTTCTATATGCTCTTCTCCTTTCTGACACACCATCTTCGTTGATGCGGTCCGAGCGGACAGCCGCTTCTCACTCCGACGACTGTAACTGAGAGCAGAATGTAGACTACAAAAAGGCACAACTGTGTTCTGAAATGAGGCCTTTCCACAGAGAATGGACAGATTGTTGAATCTCAATGGAACTGTCTTGTTTCCTGTTACTATCGTGCATTTCTATAGCTGCTTGTTACATACTTCCAGCACATAGGGAGGTGAAAAAGAAAAAGGAAATATGGAACTTGTGTTAATGGGGAACAACTGTCTGGAAGACAATCACGTCAAAAAGTTGTGTCTCTTGAACTCGTAAATTTTTATTCTTTCAAATCGCTATAAAACATTCTTGACACCATTCTTTTGTGACCTTTTGCCCAGATATCGTAACAAGAAGAGATACAAGACATCTAGAATCTCAAGTCCCAGCCAATCTTAGGACCGATCTTGGGCAGCTCCTCAGCCACACTCTGCACATCCTTGTCACCACGGCCAGAAAGGCAGATGACAATGTCCTCGCCCTTCTTCATCGTCTTTGCCAACTCGATAGCACCGAAGATGGCATGCGATGTCTCGAGAGCGGGGATGATACCCTCGAGTTGCGACAGCAGACGGAAACCAATGAAGGCCTCAGCGTCAGTGGCAGCAATGAACTTGGCGCGGTCGGTATCCTTCCAGTTGGCAAGCTCGGGACCGACACCGGGGTAATCGAGACCGGCGGAGACGGAGTGTGTGTCGGAGATCTGGCCGTGCTTGTCTTGGAGGATGTAGGTGCGAACACCGTGCAGGACACCGTGAGTACCGCCGGAAAGAGTGGCGGAGTGACGATCAGTGTCTACACCATCACCACCTGCCTCAACACCGAGAAGCTTGACGCTAGGGTCCTTGGAGAAGGGGTAGAACATGCCTACTGCGTTGGAGCCACCACCAACACATGCGACCACAGCATCGGGAAGCTTGCCCTTGATGGCCATCATCTGATCCTTGGTCTCTTGACCGATGACGGATTGGAAAGTGCGAACGATGGTAGGGAAGGGGTGAGGACCAATGGCTGAGCCAATGATGTAGTGAGTAGTGTCAAGCTTGACGACCCAGGCACGCATGGCCTCGTTGACAGCGTCACGAAGGGTACGGCTACCAGCCTCGACAGCAACAACTTGGGCACCAAGGAGCTTGATGCGGAAGACGTTCAGAGCCTGGCGACGGACATCCTCAGCTCCCATGTAGACAGTACACTTCATGCCGAACTTGGCACAGACAGTAGCAGTGGCGACACCGTGCTGGCCAGCACCAGTCTCAGCAATGATCTCGGTCTTGCCCAGACGGCGAGCCAAAAGGACTTGTCCGAGAGCGTTGTTGATCTTGTGCGAACCGGTGTGGTTCAGGTCCTCGCGCTTCAACCAGATGTTTGCGCCACCGGCATGCTCGGTAAGGCGCTCAGCCATGTGCAAATGACCAGGGCGACCCATCCACTCGTAATGTGAGCGGTACTCCTCCCAGAACTTCTCGTCGTTGATGGCAGCCTGGAAACCGTCCTCCAGCTCGCGCAAGCAGTCCATCAGCGATTCGGGAACGTACTGACCACCGAACTCTCCAAATCTTGCAGGAATAGCATTTGAGTCCATGGGTCCGTCGGTGTTGAGGGCCTCGATCTGGTCAGCGAGACCAGGGCCGTCAGGGGTGTCCTCATCCTTGACAACGCCATCAACGTGAACCTCCTCAGGAACTTCGTCCTCGTTCATAGTCTCAAGGGCGCCTCCCTCACGTACTTGCGACTTGATGATGTCTCTGCGCTGGGTGATACCATCCAGGTAATCCTCGACGGCCTGAGCGCCCTGACCAGCAGGAGCGTCGGCAAGAGTCTGGATGATTTGACTGCCAATAACAACACCCTCAGCCATGCTACCAATGCTCAAGTAGTGCTCTCTGGTGCTGACACCGAAACCAACAGCAGCAGCAACGCCGCCAGAGTATTTGTGAACACGGTCGAGCAGCTCAGGCAGAGCAGTATTGACAGAGGAAGTAGCACCAGTGACACCCATGCGCGAAACGACGTAGATGAAAGAGTCGGCGATCTTGCACAGAAGCTTCATGCGGTTCTCTGAGGTTGCGGGAGCGATGAGGGGNNGGATGTATGAGAGACCAATCTTGGAGCAGTGGTTGCGGAAACGGACAGCCTCCTCTGGCGGCAGGTCGACCATGATGAAACCATTGACACCGGCAGCCTTGCAGTCCTTCAGGATCTTGTCCTCGCCGTAGCTGAGCACGGGGTTGTAGTAGCCCATGAGCATGACGGGAGTACGCAGACCTCTTTTCCTTGCATCCTTGACCATCTGGATTGTCGAAACAATGTTGACGCCGTTCTTCAGGGCTTGTGTGTTTGCTTTTTGAATGGTAGGGCCGTCTGCGATAGGGTCGGTGAAGGGCATGCCGAGTTCGATGATGTCGGCACCGCCAGCCTCCATGGCCAGCATGATGTCGGGAGTCTCTTGGGGAGTAGGGAAACCAGCAGTCACATATGTGACCAAGGCAGNGCTGTAACTATGTCAGTCGACTGCGAGAGTCGTGTGCGCATTGTCGTGACCGACTCTGTTCTCCTTCTTGGCCTGAGCAAATGTTCTCTTGATGTGCTCCATGATGGGTGGTTGTCTGGAACGAGAGAGAGGGAATAAATAAAGATGGCAGATGTGCCTGTAGGAAACACTCGAGCAATTGACTTTATATACAAGTCGAGAGTGCGGGCAGGTGCAATTGAGGTGGTCGAGAAAGTTGTGGTGAGTCAAACAGAAAGCGCGACCCACGGCATTCAGCACCACATTCGGGAGTGGCGGGGGCCGTGCACTGTTCGCCGACGAGACTCTTGACTCTTGCCCCACCATCGTTCGCCTTGTCCATCTTCTGTCAAACTCGCCCACAACTCATCTGCTATCACCTTCTCGTCATCGGTTTGGACTTCGACTTGTGACTAATGCAATTGGCTTGAGAGTTTTTGTACTCTCCTGTGGTCTTTCCACCCCAGGTCCATGCGCGAACCTACTATATTCTGCCTCTCGATCTGCAGTTGTTGTGGATTCAATCCTACCATCGGCTGGCTTATGCGGCACCACCAAGGTGACTCACAAAGAAGGACTTCCTTGTGACAACCGTCGATTTTAGCAAGGTATTGAGATTTGACAACCTTCATTCATCCACATTTCGCGTTTCTATTCTACCGAGTGATTGATCTTGCATCCTTCGTGTCTGCAGACTTAAGATAGAAGCTTCATGCATTGAGTCACAAAGGCTTTTCTAAACATTAGACGTTCATCAAGGTCTGTCTTAAAGACAAATCTGTGTCACGGTTACCGACAGCGCTTCGAGGTGCCGGTTAATTCTCCAGAGGCTTAGAGACTTCCAACACAGCCATCTCGGCGGCTAGCGAAACTTGCCCATCAGCTTTCAAACTTCGTGCCTTCTCGCCGACCTGGAACAAAGAAAATCGACCTGCTTCCATAGCCGCCGTATGAGCAACAAACAACAGCGATCTCTGACAATGAACCGCCTTAATTGGCTATTCTGAGACAATAGAAGCATGTAGGTCCTTCCACAGACAATAAGTCATGACAATCCCTGCTTTTTGTTCTTTGACCTCCATTCATGGTTTTGTGTCGACGTCGGCACAATCACATTCATTCAAACTTGCAATAGACTTGTTCATTGTCAACATCGCTTTGTCTATCGTCTTACGTTCTTTCCAAGTTCTTGACCTTCCCTCTTCTTCCGTTTCCTGCTCTTAGACCATTTCTTCAATCAAACAACACACGCTGGACGTACTTCTACCCCTTAAACTCTTAATCAAACCTCGATCGCTTCTCAATTCACAAGACCGAAGCCTGCATTGACCCGACATTCCTCAAAGATGCCTTTCAAACAAACTTTCGAAAAACACCTCAACAAAGATCTCGAGTCTAATCGCGACTCGGCTCTTTACCCACCACCTCTTCCACCTGCCGATTTGGAGTCTCCTCCACCTCCACCACCTCCCGCAGCTCCTCAGGTCTTCACAAGCTACCCAGAGCGCAGAGGCGGCATCTACGTTCCCACACCCTTGCTCATCCTCCTGATTCTGGTTCTGCTCTTTGAGTCCAGCGTTCTTTTTATCTACACGGTGGTTGCCCTCTGGAACACTCTACCACTCCCCATCACTCAACCTCCCATTCTGCCATTGCCTCAACAGCAGATCTTGCAACCAACCACAATCACCTCAATCTCAACTACAACTGAAACCTCGACGTTCAGCACAACATTCATCAGCACTACTACTCTGAACCTCTCAACCACTCTTCCGGCTTCTACGACCACCATTTCTTCAACTACGACTGTTGTCCCTACTCCAAGCACCATTCCGCCCGTCACGGTTACTAAACCTGCTCCTACCATTACCGTCACGAGTACTCTGACGCCGTTTGAATTGCCTTCGATCACTACCATGACTATTATGAGTACGACTAGTGAGGCGGACAGCGGCAGCACAACCACAAGCACTACTGTCATCACTGCCAAATAAATGACTTTAAGCTTGAGGCACAGAGACCGAGAGTATACATAACACAGGAGTTGGTTTGATGTTTGGGTTCGAGCATTGCATTGAGCGAGAAGGGAAGAACTGCAGTTCTGAAGTTGGAAACCTTGGAAGAATTGAGAAAAGGGAGTCTGGTACTCTTCTTCCTCTGGAAAAATAATCACAAACAATCAAATGACAAAGCCATTTCGTGCTTCTCCATGCCCGCCTCAATATGTCTATGCTAAAATGTGAAAATTCGTGATTCGTTTATTATGACCAAAAAACACCTGAGTATTTGCGTCAAACATAATCATTGCGTATAAACAAAGACAAGAAGAAGACTAAAATGACTGTCAGTACTCTTTGTGCATCCTTTCTTTGCAACTGTTAACATCGCTTTTCCAGTGAATCTCCTATGACTCCAAATTTCCAGACTCAAGAAGAAGGCCATCGATGTAACCTGACTACACCAGCTTACATATAGCTACTTGTGCAGAATCCCACAAATGGTTTGGCATGACTATGCAGGAAGCTAAACACAATGACGAGACCAGACATTGATAGTACAACGATATTCTCGTCTCCAAAGCAAACGCCCATCGAGATGCTACGAGAGCTCTGTGTTTTCGCTGTATCCCAGAGTCCCAACGGATGATTGGTGTACGATAGTAAAAAGATGCAATGACTGAGAAGACAGTCATGGTTAGAGTCCTGAAGGGCGTAAGTGTCTCTTCTTTACATCAAACAGCCCTCATAGGATAGCTATAGAAAATACGCTGCTCGAAATAAGGAGTGTTAGACATGAGGCAAACCCTCACAAAGGTCACATCCACAGCGACATGTTCATCCGAAAAGCGACTATGCATCACCATCTTCTACTCCTATATCATGTTCGAGTCAGAAGAGCCTTTTTGTAGCATTGGCATTGAGACAGATCTAAGGACATAGGGAGGTAGCATTGGACGGTTAATCGCATTGCAGAGGCAGATATATGCATAAGAAAAGAGAAGAAAAAACAGAACTTTCCTCCGACGCAATGCTACTTGAACTCCATAGTATCCCTCCATCAAAGCCTGTATCGATCCCAGATTATTGTTTTTGTGCTTTTGCTTGTGTTTTGTAGATACAAGTTTTGAGAAAAAGGATCTCCTCCGCATTGGGGTATTGACAAAGGTAAAGAAAGAGCAACGCAAAGATGATTGCTGTGCTTCGCATTGCTGTGCTGCTGACCCCTTCGTCTTCCGTCCATTTGAGCATGATTCATCAGATTCGCAGAAAAACAGAGAATATCAGTGTGAAAAACAGATGAGGGGCTAGACCTTCCTGCCCAGATAAGAAACACAAAGAAAAGAAGAAAGAGATGGTGGGTAGTGGCAGTCTGCCATGCTCCCAAGTTGTATGGACGCCCACTACCGCCCGGAAACGCCAGGAATGAGAAGACGAACTCCGCAACGCCCGTTTAAGATTATAGGTCAAAGGCAATGCCCTTCTCAGCAGCTAGGTTGCGCAAGTAATTCTCCATGCTGTTGTTGCCAGTGTGGATCTCCTCGAGGAAGCGAGTAGTCTCGGTGAGGACGGCACTCTTGCTGAAACCGCCAGTCTTGAGATTGGGGACGAGTTCGTTAAGATCTTCATAGCCTTGCTTGATGATGTTGCGGCGTTTCTGCTCAGAGCGAATGTGATTGCTACGCTTCTGATCCTCTGTGAGATTCTTGCGAGCGATGCTACCGAGCTTGCTGTTTGCACCAGAGGAAGCTCTGCGACGCTTGTTGGAAGGCTTGGGCATGCTGTCATCACGGTCGTTGTCGTCAGAGTCAGCAATGGTATTTTCGCCATCAGGGCTGGAATTGTTGACACGGAAAGCAGGAGAAGTGCTGGTTGTGTTGAAGTCATGTTCATCTGCACGCTTGGACTTGCGACGCTTCTTGTTCTTTGGTTGATCCGACTCTCCAGTAGAAGTCTGATCAGCGAGACTTGTAAGAGCCTGCATACTACCAGGGTAGTAATTGTGGACGGCTTTGCTCAAATCAGGGGTGTGAGGAACAGAATTCTCGACAGAAGACAAAGCGTCATTGGAAGAGTGGACCATGTTGCGCGCGAACTCGACGTGCTGAATGGTGCTTGCTTCAAGATCTTGATAGGGAGCGGCGTAACCGGTTTGGCGGAAATTGTTGTCCGTACCGAAATGGAACATAGGAGTGCTGGATTGATGAGATGAGGAGGAGTGTGAGTGTGGATGGGAGTGAGAAGTCGTTGCCGAATTGTCAAACGACGCACGAAAGTGACCGTTGGCCGAAGGGTACTGCGGCGCTGAGGAGGTAGTCGCCGTAGGAACCGAAAAGGGAAACGAGGCATGGCGGCTTGTGCTTTGCACAACAGGCTGCTGTTGAGCAACAGGCTGAGAGAAGTTTCCGGAAGCAAGGCTTTGGTGGGGATTTGCGCGGTATGAGAACAAGGTCGACGCAGCATGCAGTACATCTGCAGATGCATTTGCTTCTGGAATGCCCACAAGAGCAAGCAAGTCCTTGGGGTCTTTGGGTGTATGGAAGATCCGCTGATTGTAGTTTCCGTTCTGGAACTGAAGACTCTGCTCTTGAGAAGGATATGACATGGGTAATGACTGGTTGTCCAGAGGGTACATCCATTGAGAGTCGTTGAGCTGGTCGTACTGGTGAAGCCTTGTTTCTGGTAGTGTGTTCATGTTGGCCAGGAAGGCGTCGGAGAGGTTGTCTGGCCCTCCATAGTGATCTGGATCGCTGAAGAAGTTTTGGAGGGTGTTGGACTCGTCTTGATCGAGCAGCGGCGGGCCTGAAGGGAGGTTCTCGGGTTGGTAAGGGAACTCGTCTGTGAGGATGTCAGCACTGTAGTGAGAGTATGCACGTGCAAGCATTCGCAAGAACACGCCCGCACTCACATCCAAAAGGAGTAGTGGACCAGGACGAACGATTGTCGGAAGCCATCATGTCAGGGACGGCAGGTACGGCTGAGGGTGCTGCAGTCTGCGCCGACTCGAGTGGCTGCAAGCTGTCGCTTCTGATCTGTGGGGGTGCGCTCGGGCTGGGGAGGGCATCATCCTAGTATGACCAAGGAAACCCGGGCTGGTTCATCGAGTACAGATTGATTGAGTGTGTCGGAGCGAAAGTTGGGTGATGGGTAGAGAAGGGTCGAGGCTGAGTGGTGATGGTGCGAGTTGGGGTAGAGGTGTGATGTCGCAGGCAATGGCAGTGCGAGTGAGTGAAGTGAACAACAAAAGTATGAATAGTGATGCTGTCCCTTTGCTATCCTGAGAGCTGCGAGATGTTCTTGGTGTCGAGTCTCGAGATTCTGCATGCTGCATCTTGGTTTGGATGATGCGGTTTGCATGTGATGGTGGTCCGAGCTCCGCAGGAGCACGTGAATCTTGTTCTGCTCGCTCCTTCCTTCTCCCTTGTTGCTTTCACAGACATCTTGACCATCTTCCTGCCTCTTCTGAGGAACAATCAACTGAGAGCCGCACTTTCCTGCTCTACACGCTGATCCTGCCCTGCTCTCTTACACGTGATGTACCGCCATCTCATCGTGGCTTGATACATCTGCGAAGTCATGGTCCTGCGCCGACATCTGCTTCGCCTTGACTTCCAAGTATATAGTGCCGTACAAGAGGCCCGGCCCGCTTGCATTACAGCCAATTCTTTTTTTTTTATGTCTGGTCTCGGGCAACAACATCACAGCTGTCAAGTTCTGTTGGGGACATGTCCTGTTTGTCTTTGATAGTATGATCTGTGTTCATCGTTGTTAAGCTTTTGACTGCCCTTCGATCTGATATGACTGGCTTACATCAATCTCAATCTTCGTAACTTTCTTTCAGCGAGGTTTGTGTTGTCTCGAAATCATTCTGCAGTCTGCCGCCCTACAGACTCCGCATTTGCGGTACGCCCTCAGCCGCTTTGCAGATCCGGAGCATCTCAGGTGCAGTCCTTGCACAAACTCTCGAGTCACACAAGAGCCTTTGGATGGCGGAAGAATTATGACCCTGCGGGAAGATCTGCAATATCAAGCAATTCTTCCGAAACGCTTCGCCTTTGCCTGTGGAGACCCCATGTGTACACCAAGCCACCTCATTGATGAATACTCTCGCTTGTCTAGTCTTGGTATGGACGCCTGAGAATGCTTATTGGATAATGCCGGACAACTCGATCTGCTTCTCCCCTCTTTCAAACGATACTGAATCGGGGTAAACATCAAGTATAAGTAGTCGTACCTACCTTCGGCCTTCCCGTTTGTCTATGATTCCTTCATCAACCCTTGTCCCTTGTTCTTCATTTTTCTGTTCTAGGTCAAGATGAAGTCCGTCGGTTGGTATATCAAGCTCGCCTGGCCCATATTCTGCTGATATCTGGAAACAGTCCAATCTCTGTCTTTGTCTGGACTGGTGGCTGTAGTTGCAGCTGCTCCGGCTGCTACTCATGCCAGAGCTGCCGATCCTTGCTACGTTACCTCATACCCTGGCGTCGCTGCTGCTGTATCTTCATGCACCAACATCACTCTCGACGGCATTGCTGTACCTGGCAACACTACACTCGACTTGACAAAGCTCAAAGCTGGCACTACTGTTGCCTTTGCTGGAAAGACTACATTCGCCTATGCCGACGCAAATTATGACATGATCAAAGTCGCCGGCACCGATGTTACAATCACAGCTGACAAGAATGCAATCATCGACGGCAATGGTCAGGCTTGGTGGGATGGTCTTGGGTCAAACGGAGGTGTGGCCAAGCCTAACCACTTCATCACGGTCAGCAAGGCTATTGGCAAGTCTGTGATCAAGAACCTTGTCATCCAAAACTATCCTGTACACTGCTTTTCCATCAGCGGTAGCAACGGACTGATTGTGGAGAATATTTTCTTGAACAACACAGCCGGCGAGGCTCCTAACAGCAGATCCAATGGGCTCGCAGCTGCCCACAACACCGACGGTTTTGATATCTCTAGCACTGATGGCATGGTGTTGAGAGACTCAAGGGTGTTGAACCAGGACGATTGCGTCGCGGTCACTAGTGGCAATAACATCACAGTTTCCAACATGTACTGCGATGGCGGCCACGGTCTCTCGATCGGAAGTGTTGGTGGCAAGAGCAACAACAATGTTACCAACATCCTGTTCGAGAACAGCAAAGTGCTAAACAGCCAGAACGGCGCAAGAATTAAGACCAACTCTGGCACAACCGGCTACATTGCCNNAAGTAAGTTCATGATATTCTTCGATCTCCCCGCGTCATAGCTAAACTTCTCCAGCATCGAATATCGTAACATTCAGGTGTCAAACATTGACATCTACGGTATCGACATTCAGCAAGACTACCTCAATGGTGGCCCCACTGGCATTCCCACCAACGGTGTCATCATTAAGAACATCACAATGTCAAACATCAGAGGCACTGCTCAGACAAAAGCTCGAGATTACTATATTCTTTGCGGAGATGGCAGTTGCTCGGATTTCAGCTTCAATAACATCCATATCACTGGGGGGACCAACAACTCTTGTAATGTCAGGCCTACTGGTAACTTCCAGTGTGCTTGAGCAGTGTATGGAATGGATGCACGCGTTGATGGATGTAGCCGCCTAGTGTAAGCGCCGGCGCTTAGAAAGGGGGCTGATAGTACCTCACAAAAGACATTCAATTTTTACTTTCTTCCTCGATTGTGAAGTCTTCATCCTTCTCCACCAACCTACCTCCTACTTTCTCTCACTCAACAAATGCAATCATGGTGACCACGAATCAACTTCTCAACAAGAACAAAGAAAAAGACTGTATCGCAGTGACGCCTGATCGGAAGTACTACAATACCAAAACTGCTTTTGTGAAGCGCAGTCTGCGGCCTGCAGAATGGCAAGTCAGCGCCTTCCTAGGCAAAATCATCGTCCCTCGCCTTGGAGAAGAGCGTCTCCTCAATGAAGCCGCTGCACTCGACTTTATCACCGCCAACACTACTATACCAGTACCAAAAGTGCTGACATGCTTCGAAGACGATGGCGCTGTTTATCTTGTTACGGAACTCATCGATGCAAGAAGAATGGACGAGTTATCTGATCCTGATCGTGCTATTATTGCAGAAGAGCTCGAAACCTACGTATCTCAACTGCATAGTCTTCGCTCCTCGAATCTGGGTGGTTGTACTGGTCTGGCCATTCCTCCTTATCGCGTCTGGGAGAAGACTCCTCGTGACGAGTGGAAGTTTCGACCTTCTGGTGCCGAGGAATATGTTTTCTGCCATATGGATCTTTCGCGGCAGAATGTGCTGGTCTGCCATGACGAGCTAAAGATCAAAGCGATCATCGATTGGGAGTACTCCGGATTCTGGCCAGAGAAGTTTGAAAAGAGGTTCTATGAGCGACTGGGGCCTTCCGTTGCATTGGAAGGAGAGGTTGATGATGTAGATGAGATACTCAGTCTGATGAACGAGAAGTTAGTGCGTTGAGCTGTGAGTGTTGTCAAATCTGATTCTCCTTCACTCGCCTCATCATCATCAGACACTTCATATACGGAGTTCCACGAGTTCTCCCAACAATCACATCTGGTCTGACGGTTAGCATTGCAACATCATAGCTAACCACAAGTCTTGGCAGTCATCACGACAATAACACCAACAAAAACCAGCACCACAAGTTTTCGAGTTCGAATCTCTGCATCAGCTAAAACTTTCACCAGTTCAAACTCTCAACCAGCTGCTTCAGATGGTCTCTTGATAGACGCGCCCCTGTGGAAAGGTGGTCTGGTCACTATCAGATGCTGGAGGAGAAGATGGAGGGAGTGGGAGGAAAGTGAGAGTTTGAGAATTTGTGGAAGTAAGTCATCGAATTCTTCCAAGCCGTCAGACCTGTGATTCTTTTTTTGTTCTGTTTTTTTCATTTCATTTCTGATTCTAAAGTTGGCCTGTATTCATACTCCTCGATGAGAATAATATTCACCTCGGCCATTCCGAGAGAATTTTGAGATGTGTCTCGAATCGTTCGATTTCTCTCCAGTGTTCTGTAGTCGTTTCGAGCTTAGCTCTGGGCGCTCTCTGAAGTGTATCGTCGTGTGCTCTCGCTTGTGGGCCTTTTTCCACCTTCTTGGTCTAGTCGTAGCGACAATGCCCAGTCTTCTCTAGCAGAGGTCCTCTCAACTATTGGGGATTTGCCTGGCTTGCACCGCTGCTTCTCCAAGCACTCAAGATCAAATCCACGATGTGATCCACACCCTTGCCATTCTTGACCTGTGCGAAGATAGTAGGACCACCCTCTCTGTATACGTTGTCAGTAATGTCATACTCACAAAGGCTCAGCAAAACACACCTAATTTTTCTGGCGTCTCTGTCCATAACTCCGAGATCAGCACCGATCAATTCAGCCAGATCGGTCTTGTTGACAATAAGCAGATCAGACTGCGTGATTCCCGGACCACCCTTGCGAGGAATCTTGTCGCCTCCAGAAACATCGATGACATAGATGATAAAGTCTGCAAGCTCACGACTGTAGTTCGCAGCCAAGTTGTCACCGCCAGACTCGATGAGCAGCAGTTGTGTGTTAAACTCGCGATGCAGATCCGTCAAAGCAGCCAAATTTGCAGAAATGTCTTCACGCACGGCAGCATGAGGACAACCTCCAGTCTCGATAGCGCGGATACGTTCGGCAGGTAGAGCTTTGTGTCTGGTCAGAAACTCGCAGTCCTCGCGGGTGAAGATGTCGTTAGTCACAGCGGCGATGTTGTATTTCTCGCGGAGAGCAAGACAGAGAGCCAGCATCAAAGCAGTCTTTCCAGAACCGACGGGACCACCAATACCGACTGTGAAGGCTCTTTCGCTGAAGTCACGACCTTCCACGATGGGCATTTCACGGCCCAAGAAGGAGCCAGGTCCGTCCAGAATCTCATGGGTGTGTCCGTGGTCCACGGCATCGTGAGAGTGGGAGTGGGCGTGAGCTCCGTCGTGTGAGTGAGACATGATGACTTCTGATGTATAGAAAGATGCTATGGGTTAAACAGCTGCTGCAAGTCAAAGAGCTTGATGTCCTTTGGTGGAGGGTCCCGGACCGAGACAGGTGGGTCGCGATAAGGGATCCTGTGGTCCGTGCTTCATATCGGCGTCGACGACAACATCCCATCGTTCATTGTTCGACAAGTCAACACTGCTTGGGTATATTTGAAACACTGACCATCAAAGATACATTATGAGTCAATGTCTTTGGCACATATGGACCAACGACGAGCTACGCCCGTTTAAAGTAATACAGACGTTAGAAAAGAGTCCTTCTCGAATCGCAGAGCCTCAATGCTATGTAATCTAAGAGTGAAAGCTAATCAACGCAAGTGTCCTGGTTCTGTGATATTCTCGCAAAGCATGCAAGACATGATCCAGCGTCCCTTCATCGAGCCTGTGTAGCCTGTATAGCAGTGCTCGATGCTCCTCCGGCCGATCATTCATGGCGCGCATCATCCTGATCCAGCGAACGATTCGGTGCTGGTCACAGGGCGTCCAGTCATGCACGAATAAGAGCTTGTCAAGCTCTCACGAACTGTGCATCGCCATTAGCAAGTCTTGCTGGCAATGTCAAGTAGCCTAGGGATGCATCAGCTGCGATATCAGGGGCACCATGGATGACGTACCGATTCGAGTTCGATTGCAGAGGTGTTGGAAGCTTCAGCTTGGCGACTCTGAGTGGCTCTACATCCTCCAAAAAGAGCGTCACGTTGTCTGACTCGGCATCGAAGTCGCCCTTTGTGTACTCTGGCAGAACGAGTTTCTCTCCAATGGCTCTAGAGAGCGCCCAACTGGGAGACTTTTGAGGACCGCTTTTCTTGAGAAGGACGGGAGGGTGTCCTTCCACCTCCGCTCTGACTCCTGGGAACGTGTACACGTAGTTCCAGATATCCTTCAGGTAACTGTTGAGACGTTCCTCGGTCGCGATGTTGGCGGCGTCAATCAATCGAACGAGGCCCTCATGGAAGGCCATTATCTCAGTGCCCTTGAACCCCGACATTGGTTTGGCCGTTGGAGATGCTTTTGTGAAGTACTTCGAGATGTAGGCCTTTTGCCATTGTCCCATACAGGTCGGTACCAGACATCTTGAAACGATCCGATGGACTCCTTGTGTCCAACGAACAAGAAACTGTTCCGCCAGATCCACAAGTGAAACTGCGCATAGGCAACGACCTTTGCACAGTACCTAAACTTGTCTGGGCGCCACATCACCCGAGCAAGAGTCTCAACAAGGGCTGGAGAAGGCTCCCAGCTGTATATGACCTTCAGCTGATCGGCTCTTGATGGCCCACTACGTTCAGATTTGTGCTTTTTTGATGCGCCACCAAGAGCACTAGTGAGCCTGCGCTTGCTGGGGGTACACTGACTGTTACCGATGATGGATGGCACTGCGGGCTGTGTGGTGACAGAACGTTGTTCAGTAGTGTGGTCCTGCGAGACGTTAACACGAGTGGATGAGGCCGCAATGGGGGTTTTACTTCTTGGTCCTGATCGAAAACGGCATCTGCCATCTCGGTATCGTTATCGAACTCCTCGCTGCCCCTCTGATCCGAGCTCATGATGGCGGGTGAGGGAACGTTGAAAGCTGAAGGGGTGCTGAAAGCTGAGGGGAGGATGAGAGCTGAAGGATTTGTGAAGGTCGAGGACACGTTGGCAATGGCTTGTGGGAGGGAAGACTCGACTGTCGCGTGTGGGGGCAATTGGCTACTTCAGAGAGAGTCTGAGGAAGTCGTGATCGTCTGAGGGGAAGAGGAGAGAGTGGTTAAGGAAGCAGAACCGTGCCACTGGAAGATCGTGAGTCGTGTTCCAACAATGAAAGGAGCTTCCACTTACGATGTCGCGCCAGGCAGCTCTTTTCGCGGCCTCGCTTGGGAAGGTTAGGGCGGACGGTGTCAAGTCCCAATCTGCAGGAGGGATATCGTGACAGAGAGTGCCGCGGTACTGAGATCGTGAGTTGTGATTGCCAATGATAGAGATTATCCACTTACAGGGGAGACTAGAGTTGATGTGTGCTCGATCCAGCAAGGAGGATCAGGCTCAAACCAGCTCAAGTTGATCTGGAAGATCGTCAGGCGCAGTAGTTAACAGCGGGATTTCTTCACTTACACGGACGAGTTGAGTTGATGTAGGCGCGTGAGCAATGCTTCTGTCAGTAAGTGCAAATGTTTTCTCCTATAGTGCTTCAGTGCCTTCGGTCTTCTATCTGCTTCCACAGCCGCGTTGCAATTGTTTTCGCTCTTGTCTTCACACGCATCGGTGTCAGTCACCCACTTTCACTTGCTTTCATACAGAACAAAGCCTTCCCCTTTGTCCAAACCTTTCCTTCTTCCACGCAACACCTATCCACCAACACAACACAAACATACTCTGTCCTCACTCTTAGATCTTAGGAGCCGTAAAGGTCAGATCTTAGGACAATCTCCTCTCTCATGCATGGTCACTAATCTATTCTACAGATGGCAAATTAGAAGGACGTCGACGATCTCGAGGCCCAGGTCGTCGAGATGAGAAAACAAGTCGAACAGCTTCGCGAACAAAATCGAGTCGATAAGGAATTCGTGGCTTCGCTGCACAACAATGCAGAAGCCGCCGAGCAACCTGACTCCCAATCCGAACCAACTCGCGCTCTTGCCCAGCAAGCAGCCGTCGACTTCATCCAGGGAATTCTCGATGGCTCCATACATTCTGAGGCCACCCAAGCAGCTTTGGAGCGCCTTCACCTGACACTTCGAAGAGGTTATGCCCTTCACTATTACAAGGTAAGATTTACATATATGCTGCTCTACCTCCGAACCTCTCTCTAATTCAGTACAGATGGCTGTCTCCGGGGTCCCCCAAGCCAGATCTGACAGCAAGAAAGAGACCCTCCAGAAGAACTCCATCAAAGCCAGAATCGATGAAGCGATCGAAAATCGCACAGCCATCGTCCAACAAATTCTAGACGAATTGCTCGCTGGAGTCGAGAAACGCGACTTGTTCATTTACGCCCTCAAGGAGGTTATGAAGCGAGGTCCACCCTACATCGCCCATCTTCGCCTGCAGCCAGTCAGCGATGAGACGATTGTGGCCGCTCAGAAGGATTGGGAGCCCAGGGCTACTTCTACTCAGTCAGAGTAGCCGATTCTTGCAGCCTGAGAGGTGCGCCAAAGGCATGGGGCTGTGATACGATGGGGGGAATTTCGGTACTGAGGGCATCAAGAAGATATTGCCTATCAATGACGCTGCGATTGACATGACTTTTGTGCCACTTGAGATTTGATTATTGTAAGAGGGATTGGGACGCTCAAAGCACTGTTGAACTGCTGCTGTTCGCGGCCTTGACATGGCTTTCAAAATGCTCTGAAAACTGGCTCTGACGCTCGAAATCTTCAAACTGAGATAGATTCCAACTAGCTTTGCGATCTAGCAAGGACTCTTAGGTCGTTGTGACAATTGTATATGTCTGCATGTCTATTCTCAAACTCGTTCCTAATAAACATACTCGAAGTTGGGGTTCTGTTTGTCCGTCATGTTGCTGAACGCCGTGTCGTTCAACGCAGCAGCTTCACCACTCTCACGCATGCGAAGTCTGATCTTCTCCTTGCGCTTGTTTTCCCAGATGAAAACATATCTGAACACTCCGAACAGTAAGAATTCAATGCAGTTCGCCGTCAAGAGAGAACCAATGCCCAAAGGGTATGAGGGCGCCTGCTCCTGTCTGTAGAAGAACGGACTCGCAATGTTTCCGAGGCATGCACCGAACCAGATCATTCCGGACACTATCATCTTCTTCGATTGGCCGCCCGTATTGCTGGTCACAAGTGACAGAGAGAGTACGAAAGATGCTTGGTATGAGCCAGTCAAGTAGCTAAAGTCTATGTCAGCTCTAGTTCATGGTGTTTAGGTAAGAAGGATTGGACCGACAANGCAGATCAATCGGCCAACATAGGCAGTGTCAGGTGCCAACAAGAAGCCTAAAGCGCCGGCGATCGTTGGCAGCATGAAGATTGCGCAAACAATTGTACGACTGTTCTTGGGCAAGTATTTGTTTGCCACAGCACCAAGACCGATCCAGATGACGACTAAAGCTCCCTGAGGGATACCTAGCAATGCCGTGTGTAGGGTGTCAAATCCTAGGCCCTTGATGACCAAAGTGCTAAAATTACTGATACNCTGTCAAAGTAATGGTAAGATCAGCATGTTCCCAACTTTGGCTGTGAACGTCGGATGCTCACCTCCATTAGGAATGTTCGACACGAAACCAAGCAGAGTAAAGAGCCATGTCTTGTAGTCCAGGTAAGCCTCCTTGATTTGGTCCCAGTTGATACGTTTCTGCTCGACACCGGTCTGGTTGCGACGCATGCGTGCGATCATGATCAACTTCTCATCATGGGAGAATCCCTTGAAAGTTGTAGGCGAGTTGGGAAGAAGCAAACAGAGAACAATTGCCCACGCTGAGCAGAATGCGCCGACGATCAAGAACTCATAGCGCCAGGAAGCGAGAGCACCATTGATGTTGCCGATGCCATNATCTGTCACAGCGTTAGGAGATCAGGTCTGACTGACATGCTTCAGGTCTTCCGCTCACCCAATTAGACCACCTCCAGCAACTCCTACACCATTCCACACATACCAAGCCGCGATTCGAGATGGCTGCTCCTCACGGGTATAGTACATAGACGTAATGAGCATGAACGCCGGATCTGCAATCGCTTCGAAAGCTCCAGACAGGATACGCAATGCCGCCAAAGCCGCAAAGTTGTTTGCAGCAGCCTGACACATGAGAAGAGCGCCCCAGAAGAAGATGTTGAATGACAGATACCATCCAGGTCGACATCTTTGCATGATCAGGTTGGAAGGAATCGCCCATACTAGCCAGCCAAAGTAGAATATGCTCGAGAGCCATGAATACTCCTCGCCCGTCAGACTCAGATCTTTCTTGATGCCAAAGATCGCCGCATAGGAAAGGGTTGTCTTGTCGACGTANNCTATGAATGAGTCAGTTATTGCTGGTCTTCAAAGACGATATCGGTTCCAACCTACGTAGAAAAAGTAGCATACACCCAGCAGTGGCAAGATACGTGTGTCAAGCTTGCGCTTCAGTCTCTTCTCATCGATCTGGTCGATTGATTCATCGTTGGGATAGCGGCGAAGTGCTTCGGCGTACAGGTCTGCCTGGTCATTGTCAAGCTCTCCTGAAATGGGTTCCTCGGGTTTCTTGAAGTCGATGTACTCGATCTCTTCCTCCTTAGCAGTATCATCGTGTTTGTCCATGGTTGACCAGGAGTCCAGGTTCCGGCGTAGTGGAGGGATCAACTTGTCTTGTAGAAATCCAACATGCCAGTCCCGACAGTCCGGTAAGAAGCCCGCAAGTCATAGCCATTCTCGAGGGATGCAAACTCAAGTCAATCCCCACCATCGGCATCAGGTCGTGTAAGATGATCAGCGCAGTATCGTCCCAGTAAAGCGTGGAGTTGAGGAGTAACTTCTTGGCGGTTGGAGTTGTTCCACCAATAACCGGTCAGACGCCTCGAGACGGGCGAACCACCCCAGATCAAATCTCGTTCTTGAGCATTGCGCCGACTATAGCAGAGACTCAAGTACAGGCTATAGAAATGCACAATACTATTACAAGATAGGATAGTGTCCACTAGGAAGCGATCTCTCATTAGATCTCCTTGGCCATGTCCTTATTCCTAGATAGGCTTGTGCATTTCTATAGCCACACGCGTTACATACGAAGCTTCGCGCACGGGGAGACGCAAAATGCTTAACGCAGGATCTTTCTGTGGCGCTTGAGATAGTTTTGATACGTTGCTTTTCGAGCAGTGTCGTCCAGCATATCTCTCAACAGTAGTCAAGAATATGATACCTTTCTCAAAGATTCAGAATCCAGAGCTCCAGATCGGCTGAGAAATTGGAATTGAGAGTCGTCACTGCCTTCAGAGTCGTTTTTGCATGCGTTCAGACCCATACCAACCATAAATACATGGTAGATACCAAGGAGCATGTAGAAAATTGATCCGAAACCAGATAATTGGAGTCAATGAATGGAAGTATGGAAAATGATTCACAGGTTCGAGAACAGCGCATTGCACCTCTCGTTTGCTGATTTATGAGAGCCGCTAGCCCGTTGTGGCTAGTTAGTCAGGTGCGCCTGCCGTCGAAGAATATGGTCCAACCAGGACGCCAATTGATGCATCTCAGTTGAAATATGGAGATATGCTTCGAAACTCAGGTCTATTGTACTTGTAGTTGCGTCGAGAGTCCAGAGTTTTGTGGCAATGCTGTCGTGGTGGTATGTATTCGAAGCATTTGAACTTGTCCACGCGCCATGGATTTCGAGCTATCGGCTCTAGGGTCAAGGAACAGCTAGGCTAGGAAACTGTACAACGAACGGTGTAGTATGCTACCACGAAGCGATGTTCGTGCGAGGTCAAGGCTTACTGGATTGCCTCGAAGTCACTGCGTTGGTCCCAGAACAAAATGGGCTATGATATGTACAGATTTCAGGATCCTTATCGAAACCTCGCGCAGGATCTGTAGCTGTATGAGCAGAAGGGGTTAAAGAAGCTGGGAAAATGGAGTATTTCTCAAGGAATGGGGCTCAATTATGACTGTGACTTTCTTGTTGCTCGGATTGGAAAGTAACCGTCTTTAGAAGCGTCCCTCAATCATGGCTAAGAAGGACATGAAGATCTGTCATACTGCACAAAACTAGTGCAAGAGCACTGGTCGTCTTGTTCCAATTGACATTGAGCGACAAGGCAATACATTTTAAAAGCTGAGAGCGGTGCATCTGCCAGCGTCGCCAAGCCCTGCAGCTGCGAAATCATCGCTGAGTAACTTCAAACCTGCGTCCGCACCTCAACTCCTCCACCAACTTGTCTCAATACGGTAAACACGATGAGATAACCGGATACACCGTATACACACACAGCAATCATGGGCAACAGTCTTAGGGCACAAGCTGGTAAGGGAAGCCAATCACAGGCCATGTTTGATGATTGCTCAGCCCTTTTCTACGCAATACGGTGAATACGACCGTACTCGCTTTACGGTCAACAACAATTTTGATCGCAACTATACGTACTGGAGAGGCAGTGCCGCAGTTGTAAGGCAGACATGTAAGATGCAGCATATAATACAGAAGGCCAGTCCTGCTCTTAGCTCCGTCATCCCATCTTTCCCAGTCTCCTCTTGTGCTTCATACGAACGACTTCCCTCCCGATATATCCACCATATCCACTACAATGTCCGATTCAAATGACGGAGAGATCCACTTCGTGCTGTACCACTACACACCTTCCATCGCAGCTGCTATCATATTCGTGGTGATCTTCGCACTTGGATTCATCGGCCATGTCTACTACGTTTTCAAGCTGCGTGCTCGCTACTTCATTCCCTTCGTCATTGGAGTACTTCGTGAGTATATGAAGTCGCACTCTTTCAGCACAAGCTAACATGTCGTANNAGTCGAGTGCATAGGATATGTCGGTCGTGCCCTCTCTCACAGTGATAAAGAAGCTCTCGGTCCCTTCATCATGCAGAGTCTTCTGATTTTGGTCGCTCCTGCCCTCTACGCAGCATCAATCTACATGGTCCTTGGGCGTATCATCCGTCTCTTAGATGCCGAGGAGTATTCTGTCATCCGCACCAAGTGGCTTACCAAAGTTTTCGTCATTGGCGACGTCTTCTCCTTCCTTGTGCAGTCTTCGGGCGCTGGACTCCAGGCCAAGGGCGACCTCGACGCCTTCAACCTTGGAAAGAACATTGTCATCGCTGGCCTCATCATTCAAATTGCCATCTTTGGTTTCTTTGTTATTGTGGCCGGCCTGTTCCACATTCGGATCAACAAGCTTCCAACTGGTGCTTCCATGGATTCAAACCTTCGCTGGCGCAAGCATATGCACAACTTGTACTTCTGCAGTGCCATCATCCTCATCCGCAACCTGATTCGTGTGATTGAGTACGCTCAAGGAAATGATGGCTACATCATTACCCACGAATGGATGCTTTACATCTTTGATGCAGTCTTCATGCTATTGGTGACCATCAGCTTCCTCGTCCTACATCCCAGCAAGCTTCTTGGTAACGGACGTATTCCAATCAGAGGTGAACCTCAGCTCTACGCTATGGAGAGTGGCCATGCTCAGGTTAGATCACATCATCAACATCCCAAGCATAGACGCCCCCGTACTCACACGCGTCCTAGNTCGCTCTCACAGTCGTCATCGACACCGTTCAGCAAGACCAATAGACCCTAGAGCATAGCGAGTGTCGTTGGAACGTCGTCGTAGCAGGACAATCCACCAATTCGAATGAGAGATGGTCGTACACACAAACTAGACACACAGGTGCCCGATGCTAGCGTCCCTCATAAACAGGCGCCACCAGGAATAGTTACGAGGAACCGTGTCGGTAAAGGCACCGACGGTCAGAAAGGCCGATATTCATATTCAATAGACGAGTTGCACATATCATGTCGTGCAGGAATGGAAGCACTAATAAGCATCCCTCCATCACCAATCATACGTCGGACGGAATCATGTTAATTCACGGTATATTGGCTATCTGACGTTTTCACAACGAGGGTCAAGTTCTTGAACAGTCCTTCTATGACTTCAAGGTCTCCTATGGCACAGCTGGGTCTGGTCCAACCGAAGTAGGCACTCGTCAAATCTGCTCTATGACATTTGCGCAAAAGAGCTCAATCGCACCACCCAGGATCGAACTCACAACCAGCAAAAGTAGGTCGCGTTACACCTACTATTCCCGGCTAGCATACAAGAGATTTTATTATCGAGCAAGTATGCATACGCGAACCGGCTATTCCGCTCAGCCAAACATACTTTGTACGCATTACTGACTGAGTAGGTGATGGGAAGGCAGTCTTTGAAAACTATATAGTCTCATTCAGGGGCTTCTGACCTCCGCCCGATCCCCAATTTTCCGTCAACTTTCACTTTCAAGTTTCACTCGGCCTCGCCCTCGCCCTCGCCCTCGCCCTCGCCTGCTATTCTGGACTTTGTCGCCGTCTCCTTGACTACTTCCTCTTTCTGTTCTCGCCTACAACTATCATGACGAAGTCACGCAACAGACGCAACAAGCGCATTAAGATCGATGCAGCAAGGGAGAATCTGCACAAGCTCAATGCCGACTTGAGCGCTGAGATCGAATGTCGTAAGGCAGCTGAGGCTGTTCATCCTGGCACAACACCACGCATCAAGGGCACATGGACGAAGTCGGAAGTACGGTAAGCGATGCTCTTGCCAACTGGTAATCGCCTCGAGCTCATCAACCATTACTAGCGGAATCGTTGCTACGTCGGACGACTTTGTCACACTCATCTCGAANNGGACGACGATGACTCTGGTCGTGAATTCCATGTAGCCGAAGTACATCGCGACCTTCTTTGCTTCTTCGCCCCCTACTACCGCGCTCTCTTGAACGGAAAATTCAAGGAGGCTGCGCACAACACTGTGCTTCTGGACATGGACCCAGCTTGCTGCAAGATGTTTGTGAACTGGCTGTATACCGGATTCATCCCACAGGATGAGGTTTGGAGTCTCTGTCAGCTTTACATCTTCGCCGACCAGACCATGAACTTGACCCTGCGAAGAACGATCATGACCCAGCTCTTCGACTGCAAATTCGACCCATCGATCAGCGATCCCAACACATCGGCCCTACTGAGTTCGCTGCCGAGCAACTCTTCCCTCGCTCGTTACCTGTTCGACCAATTTGTACACCACACTCGTCATTCAGGCCGTCACCTCAGAACTCGTGAATACGACGATGCCCTCTATAACGGTATCCCTGTCGAGTTCGCCCGCAAACTGAAGACAAGACTTGCACCACATCGGGAAGTTCCTCAAGACTGTCCATGCTGCCACTCGCCATGCAACTACCACGAGCACGAAAACACTGAGGAATGGAAATTAAGTGAGTCAGAACTCCTGCCATTACAGTTTCAACACAAAATACTGATCAAAACAGGCTGTGGTGGTTCTTGGTATTCCAAGCCTGAGGAAGGTTATTGAGCTAGTGGATGATGTTGTCACTGGAGCAGATGTTCATGGGTTTGACAACTTCGCCAAACCAGGAACCTAGATATGCATGCTTGCCCACATATCTCGCAAATGGAGTCATCAGAGCCCGCATCCATGTACCAGAAGTTTTGCAGTGAAAGTGGCCGATCATGAGTGAGATCTTTGTGATATTGACGTAGTGTTAATACTGAACCCACGGAAAAGATTATATAAGCTTGGTTAAAAGGACAGCAAGGTGTTGGTGCAGCTGATGACAGTGAGACATCAGAGTTCATTTCCGAATTTCATTTCTTTGATTGTTCTAGTTTCAAGAAGTGAGAATCGGAAGTGAACTAGTCCCAAGCCAACACTCCAGATTGATCAACAACTCTTCGCGCAGATCGTTTGATCTTCTTCTCCACACACACACACACTACATCTATCTCCACAAACAAGCAAGACTCAGCAATTCAGCATGGAATCCTCGCCGTCGGTCGCTAAGAGCGCAGGTATATGGGAGCTGGACAAAGTCACNGTAGGTCGCGCCTCCATTTGTCGGTTGTACAGAAAGTAACAGGTCGATAGTCAGATCCTCAGTAACACTACAGACCTAATCCAGCTCAAAGCGTCAGACCAAGATGAGATCGACAAGAGCAACAAACCATTCCAAGCTATGGTTCACAAAGATCTCCTTTGCTTCTTCTCAAAGTACTATCGTGCAGCACTCCAAGGTGAATTCCTCGAAGCTGGCAACAAATCAGTTGTTCTTGAGCTTAAGACCGCAGACTGCCAATACTTTGTTGGTTGGGTTTGCACTGGTCGACTGCCTGATGTGCCCAGAGCTGATCTCTTTCCCCTCTACGTATTTGCCGACAAAACTGACATGCTCGCCCTTCGTCGAGCCATCATGACAAGAGTTGCAGGATGCGGAGATGATATCCCGCCGGAATTCTGCGAAGCTGCAGTGGCGCTAAATTCATTACCTTCGACATCTCCACTCTACCAATGGCTCCTGCACACATACACTCGTCATTCGTTGTCTGGGTACCTAGAAGCAAAAGATGCATTGCCATACGCATTCCTTCTGGACTGGATCAACGAAGGGAGGGATTGGACGCGTACAAACAGCAGCAAGTACTGCCGCAAGTGTCAACATCCCTGCAACTACCATGAGCATGAAAGTGTTGAAGAGTGGAAATCCAGTAAGTCGATACAACGATTCAGATGATTCACGCTGACGATGGACAGCNNATGCGGTGCATGCAAGGATTTACAAGTCAAGCAACCAGACGATTCTTGTCTCGTAAACAAGACCAGTCCCAAAATTGATGGAGCATAAGACCGCGAGCCCTCGACAAACCTGCACTGTCTGCGGTTTCCTGTGAATCTATGATGAGGTCTAACATCAGCAGTATCTACACCTACAGACCTTATAAGTTCCACTCTTCTCAACGAGTCCAAGCCGCGATGCATTTAGGAGGAGCACCTTAGGGCGAACTTGTATTCAGACGGCTCCATATGATGCTGCCAGGCAGTGAGCATTGCGTTGTTGCCCAAGCCTGCTCCGCAGCTTTTCAAGGAGCATTAGGGATATCATCTCGGCAAATAGGGTAGATTCCAGAATACACAATTCTTTGCACGAAATTTGCATGGCTTTCTTCAAGAAAACTGTGTCTTGGTGATGGTTCTTTGATCACATGACTGTGAGTGAGTTGAATACTGATACCTTCTGACTGGAGCTATCTGAGAGAATTTGAGTGAAGTTCTCCCATGTGCTTTAGTATAGTGCAATGCTGAGAACGTGACTCATGCCAACACTTCGGTTTCTGTATGGCCAGGTTTCCTGCACCAACCATTTTCCTTTCCTTCTTACACTTTGCACCCAGCCCTACAAGCAAAGCAATCCACAAGTCACTATGTTCACCTCCGAAGCCACTAGAATTGCGAAGCTCTGGGACTTATCGCAATCTACGTATGTTCACGACTTGTCTTTAGTGCCTTTCGCCGAGGCTGACAGAATAGTAGCAACGTCCTCGCGAATTCCACCGAGATGATCATGCTCAAGTCCAACGAAAACGATGCACCCAAAAACGACAGCGTTAAGGTCGGATCGGAGGAAAGCAACAGACCATACCAAGCCAGGGTCCACAAGGACCTCCTTTGCTTATTCTCGACATACTACCGTACGACGCTTCAAGAAGTTGACCTTGGTATCTTCGACAACTCACTGTCTTTGAACCTGGATTCAATGGCTTGCCATATGCTTGTCGGTTGGCTCTATACTGGTAGACTGCCCCCTTTGCTAAATGGAAGTCACTGTTCAGCCTGTATGTCTTTGCTGAACAGACCGACATGCTTGCACTTCGTCGTACTGTTATGACGGAGGTTGTGAGGGACACTCCGCCAGTTCCACCCCTTGAGCAAGCCGCCATAGTGCTCAATCTCTTGCCATCGACTGCACCCCTATATGGCTGGCTTTTGGACCAATTCACACATCACGTGGTACTTCAGTACGATACACCCACTAGTTTGTTGCCAAATGAGTTCCTCGTGGATTGGGTCAAAAGAGCGCTGGTCAGAACGTGCTCAGTCGGAGAAAAAGTCTGCGTGCGATGTCCATGCTGCCGGAAAAATCCCTGTGCCTACCACGAGCACGAAGGCCTTCAAGAGTGGGAATCTAGTAAGTCGATAAAGAACTGGCAAAGTATCGATTCTAACACGTGACAGCATGCTACGTGGCCGGAGTTCCTGAGATCAATAGACCTAATGGTATGTAGTATCAAGCAGCATACATATATCGGAGCTAAAAACTTACAGCCCAAGAATTCGGAAAACGACCATCTCGTAATCAAACTCACTTCGGAGGTCTGCGAGCAAGAACAAGTTCCATGATCCGCCATTTGATCTGGTTCTAGATGAACCGTCACCATGTTTCGTCAGAAATCGTGCTTCGAGACCCTTAGGTTTTGCGCATGGTCAGCGTTGCTGTCTATCAGTGAGCCTTATCTAATAGCGAGCCGAAATGACTTGTCTGTATTAAAAACTACAACCTCCACCTGTTCGTTCGTCAGTCATGTTACTATTCTGTCGTGCTTTACATCTTACCTGATCCAGTAACTTTCCGGAAAGAGCTAGACAGACCATGCATGCCTGGGCTGGCTCAAAAAGTTGTGCAGATCAAGTTTTGGAAAGCGTCAGCATCTTACTTGTCAATGCAAGATTGGAAAGACGAAGGGGAGTTCGATTGTAAGCCTGTGCTGGCTTGGAAAGCTCTTGTCACGGCGTCAGCACGATGTGCAAAAAGCAAAAGAATGTGCTCTCCATCAGGGAATCGAACCCTGGTCTCCCGCGCTTGACGAGATTTGACTCTTGACAAGCGGAAATCATGACCACTAGACCAATGAAGATGAGCCAGCTGAGCTGGTATTGGTTTGATGACTGGATTTGAACTATGACTAATATATCCCTCAGTACAAGCCCCAAGTTCGCTGCCTGCATCAAGCAAGCTGATCCCAGAACTTGGTGTCTGAGAATGCATACCAGTACTCGCAAAAGAGATTGTTATGGATCCGAGCATTGATTCGGTTATTGTATCTAGGTTCGCATGTCGTACGCATTGAGGTGGTGCAACCAGAAGTCAAGACCCTCAGGTCGTATTGAGCGGTATTCGGTGGATATTATGATTTGCGAAGGATCAGCCAAGTACGCATTCAAGTCCGCGGGGTCAGCTCATGAAAAACAAAAGGCTACGAGATATGAGATCATGTGAGTAGTAAATTGATTGACGTTGCTGCGCTGAGTGGTATAATTCTGGTAAAAATGAGCAAGTTCGAAAAGCAAGTCGAGAAATATCCTCTTCGTCGTAATCCTTGGACCCCAGGCCGAGAAAGATGGCCGTAAAAATGCAAAACACCTCCAACACCTTGCTAGACAGTACATAAAGATCTCATCCGTGAACTTAGATGGAAAAACATTGGAAGAAAGTGGCCACAGGTTTGAGTGGTTTGAGAGAATTTGAAGCCGTGTCGTGGATCGTAAAGAGCATGCCAAGGTGAATTATTGGATCATGGCCTTACAGAGCCACATTTCCCAGTAAGCTCGAAGACCGAGGACAGTAGCTCTACCGTCATTTCCGCCTTCAGTGCCATCGGGATCGCCAATCATGGCAGCGAAGACCCAATAGATGGCGACAGCCCAGGCGCTAAGAGACACAGCCATGGCGACGAAAGGAGAGAGAACATGGACCAGTAGCAGACTTGAGGCGCTCTTTCCTTGGACAACATTGAAAGAGTAGATTGCTCGAAGTTGAAGACGATTTGAGCGAGCGAGGAGTGAGCAGAGCTCGTCTGGGAGGGATTGGCGAGAGGCGGAGAAGAACCGCAGAGGATAGGTTAGGACGGTGAAGAAAGAGACAATTAAGGACCAGATGCAGAGGAGGAAGGAAACCAAGACACAAGGACCAGACAGGTAGAGCTAGTATATCTTGTAAGCAAGGAAGGAGATGGAGTTAGCTGAATGATATAGACATACCAGTATCTTGATAGCCTTGGACTCGAGATGCAGACGTTGGTCTACCAAGTGATCATCCTCCTCCGAAGAAATGCTTGATCGACCGTATGGACTGTGTCCAAAGTAAGGGTTGTATCGCTCGGTCATCTCTTGGGTCCTGCGAGGTGACCTAGTGGTCCGTCTCTCGACATCATGGTCGCTGTCATCTCCTTGCTTCTCGTTAAGTTCCCCTGATGAATTTCGGACGACTACAGGAGCTGGTGGTTTAGGTAGCGTTGAAGGAGCATTGTGGGCGATGTGGAAAGTATGTTGCGAGTCGGAATCCGAAGCGGTCGAATGCGGGTACGGTGAGCGATCGGCCATTGTCCAGCTTAAATCCGAGCGAGAACAGATACAGAGCGGCCTCAGTTGACACGCAAAGGTCGACGAGTTGTTATGGACGGCGTTCAGACAAAGAGCTCATATCAGTCTCGCATGACCGGCCGTCGAGCTTCTTTTGACATGTCTGCCATGCGAAATGCCAACAGAAACCGAGTAGCCCCAAAAGTCTTGTAGTCTTGGGGCCAAGCCTTGGCTCCAATTTTTGTTGCCGTCTGATCTGCTTGTCGCAGAGTCGTCGCCGATGCTCTTGCACCTCTCTAGCTTTTATCATGTTTGTGATTGCCATGATACTGGTCATGCGTCTCAAGAGTCAGTCGCTGCTCTTTCCCTTTGTTGTCTCGATGGAGCATCTCTTCAGCTTCTCCTGTCACGGCAGGTACGACCCCTCGTGTGCCAAGCCGCACGTTTGATCACTCTGTGCTCGCCCAGTTCTCTCTGCTTCTTGTCCACTACGCATTCGTCTTTTCCAAGCCCGCCAATGTCCTCGTTTGTAACACTTCGATCAAGCTGCCCCTTTGCCCTGCACCTGAGCTGCTTTCAGGTCTTGTCGCACCAAATTTACCAAGACTCATAGCACGCACTTGGCCCGTTACTCATTGCGACACGATCAAGCAAAATAGTCTTCTCACGGATAGCCGGCAACCATGCCTTCTAGGCGTCGTTAATCTACGTAAGCCCCCAAGACTCCTATGTATAATCTATCTTGCCCAGCCACGCTCTGTCCTTCAAAAACTACCATGTCCCTCGGTTTGGCATTACGTCTAAATTGAGACAGTGCGAGGATTTATTTGATTCATGCCAGTCCTGGTGTTGCATCTTGTCTTCCTTGTAGGCCTAGTCACGGCTTCGTGCGGATGATCTACCACCGTCTCTGATATGTGCCCAGCCAAGAAGTCTGCTCCGCCCTCATTACCAAGACTCTTGATCGCATACTTTTTTCCTTTGACTCGCAACAGCGCGACCATGTGTCGTTCCGGAGGGTGGCTTGCTTAGACTGACAAAAGTTACTGTCCATCTGCCAGCCTCCAAGAAGCTTGGCCTTGGACATGGACAAGGCTCCCAAGGAGCAAAACTCTGATAAACACGAGCACATAAGACTTGTATCCGGATTACGGCCGAAAAATCGGGAATCTTCCTCGTTCATGGGTTCTCAGGCTCCATCTGGAGTCTTGGGTCACATCTCGGCCACGATGCAATGCCACGAGAGTTCTTGTTCGAACGTTGACCTGAACACTTGGCCATGTTAATCTCGGCCGAGTTTTTGGATAACAGTTCGCATTCGGATTCGATATCAACTTGTGCTTCACGTATGTCCATGGTCTTCGATGATCGTTTACTCGTGACTCTTGTCGAGACGCTCGGCCTTCCGACCTTGAAGAGAGTCTGATCTGCTGGATTCTATGTCTGATGGCAACTCAGAGAACGATACACTGAATTCAATTCAGTCTAGTCCCTCTTACGACCACTTATTTTGATCAGCAATATACTGGCATCTCGGTCCTACTACGATGTTTCGCGTTGATTTGCACATCTATGTCTTGAGCAGACACGCGCAGCCTCGGTCGCTCCACTGATTTGTTGGCGTATCGGGACTTTTTCATGTGACAAACGGTCTCAACCCTGCATTGAAACAGGCCTCATGCCCAATCAGTGTGTATGCCTACAGAATAGTGTCGTGTCCATCGAATAGCGCGTAAAGCGTTGTATCCGCATATACAAGAAATGCAGCGAATCGTAGGTTTTACCAACTGCGCGACAAGCAGTCCGCAAGCCACGGGCTATGAGGAGGACGCAGACTTCCTGTATGTGGCGTCCTCCTGCAGAGCGACTTGAGTTTCAGGCAAAGTACGGTGCTTAATGCACGCAGCTCCCATACTTGAGGTGACAGAGTAGATATAGACGTTTGCTGAGGGAATGTTCTGAGGAGCACCTTGATGGTGAGCTCACCTACCCCAGGGTGCAAGAAGACTCAATCAGCTCGGTCGTTATAATCTCATACAGAGGTAGCCTGCATACATGAGGTCTCCGAGACTCACGATCTTGTGAGATGACAGCAGCTACTAGAGATCTCTCCGCCAACTTTGACCTCTCATCGTTAGCTCATCTTCGTGAACTACTCTTCACAAGCTGGAGACTCTCGCTCGATTCATTGTTCCCAAAATTCCAAAAGAAGATTCTCAGGCCCGACACCAAATAAGAACATGGATTATAGGGATGAAAGATGACCGAATGAGAGACATGCATGGTATACTCCATCTCTACTTCCAACATCGAAACAATGACTGTAAAGACCTATGTTGGATGGCCGACCCTGTCTGCATGGAAGCTTCCAAGATGGCTTGAGAACCAGAAGAGCCGATGGCTCTAGACGAGTGCTATAACAATCAGAATAACATCAGGAGAACATGGCATCTTGTGTGTAAGCACTTCACGGCATCGATATACCACCGGGAACATTCCAACGTTGAAAGCTGTGATTGAAGCTCACGCGCTGTCGCCCTCTTGCAAACATCAATCTTCGCATTCATTAATAGAAAGTTTATTACCTTACACCTTGCTGCACGTGTCCTTGACTTCGGCCTTGAAACGAGATACATAGAACAGGCAGAAACCTGAACGGCGTTCGAATCATATGCATCGAAACACAGCTTACCATGCATAAGCCTGGTCAATGCATATTTTTATGAAATGTCAGCCGAGCTGAATGCACCCCTCTTTTCAGCTTCAACTGCTTTTTTAACATCCCGAGCTCTCCTCTCGCATTCAAGCAGCGTATTCAGGCCTTGACGGGATTGACAGCTTCAGGTCGTTTCCTCTGATGTCTTGTTTCGAACTCATCTTCGATCAGATGTGTCGTGCGATATTGTGGTGTGCACTTCTTATGCGCCAATGCCTTCTGCGGTACACACGAACAGAGCACCCCTGTCTCCCTGATTCTGATACCGAGGATGCAAAGACCCCCTCTTTTTTTGCTCGTGGAATGACAACGGATCAGGAAAAGATAGAACCCACCACTCACCATTTTTATCCCGTTCAACTCAGATATGTTTTGTTCCAGCCAGTCGAATGCACAGGTTGGGATGAATGTAGCTCCCAAGTCGGATGCACGGCAGTAGAGCTGCATCTGCGATCAACGGTAAGGCTGGCTTGTGATTGTCAGCAATAGCTGGACGATACACCCGGACATCTAGGCTCTCATGGTTCCGATGATTCTTGCCATGATAAGAGAATGGTTACAGCGGAAGTGACCTTTGCATGGTTCTGTGTTCAGCTGCCTCGTGTCTGCCATCTGCGTAGTATCTCAGGAGCTCGCACCGCTAGGGTGTTACATATATCCTGAGAAGGTGTACTCGATCTTTCGTTCTTTCCTTTTGCTGGATCTGGCACATCAAGAGTAGGTATAGTCCTCCGTGGATATCGAGCGGTTTGCTGACGTATTGTAGTGGGTGACTCGACGTCGCGACGCTCACGCGTTCGCCTTAACGAACCTGTGATGGCCAACTGGGAACGGTATACCCCATCTCGGTTCGAAGCGATGATCATCCGTCCCTATGCTTTGTCCACTGAGCATAGGGCGAGCACAAAACATCACGACAGCGTCTCTTCCTCTGACTGCGTCTCAGTCGCAGGTACAAGAGCATCGAGTTATCGTCCTAGCTCCACAGCGTCCGAGAATGTGCCATCGTTGGATCGTTCTTTTCGCACAATGTCGACCAGGACTATTGATACAGATGAGTCCTTAAGATCCTCAGGGGCGAGGTCGTCGTCATCTGGGTTTGGTTTCGCAAGACCTTCAACAGGGACGCTTCAGTGTACCTTCGCCTTCCTGGGCTGCAATGAGGAGTTCACATCAGCTTCAACATGGAAGACTCACTGTACTTCGCACTTCCGTACTCATCCTCCGCCGACCCGAACACAATGTCCTTTCTGTACCTTGCAATGGGATCACTCCTTAGCCTGGGAGAACCGACTGGATCACATTGCCTCTTATCACAGAGGAGAAAGAATTGGCGTGGGATACAGAGTCGACCATGATCTATCCCGGCATCTGTTGAGGTGTAGGGTGGTGGACTTTGCGCAGTATCAAGAGCTGGAGAGGAGTGGTCGATGTGATTTAACGAGCAGAGTGTATCTAGAGACGAGTAATCCGAGGAGGGAGAGAAGGGAAGGTGCACCGCGTGGATGGACTTCTTATCGGGTTGGTGGTTGAGGGTTGTAGTTGCCACGTTCGACTCTGGCTTATTCTTTTGGCTCTAGCTGGGTGATGGCTGATTGATGATCTCAAGAATTACGACTTTCTTTGTTCTTGCAGGCAGGTGTACGTATTGCTTTTGGCTTGTACCAGGGTAGTCTTATTCATTTTGCCAACGATGTCCACAAACCAAACAGACAACCAGACACAATGATTACGCTAACTGTGTCGAGGGGAAGGGATAATAGCCTTTTATATATGTGAGGTGTACTGTTTTTAGCATCCAACCCAACCCGTGACGCTGGTTTGGTTGCACAGCCTCAATGTGCCGCTCATCCACCAACATCGTGGACCTCCAACCTCGAAGCTGATACATCGAACCTCACCTCTCAAGTATTTCTTCTGCACGGACGTATGATGACTTCAAAGACAGATTTCGGACCGATCTCACAAGTATCTCTATGCTCTAACAGGGTCAATGGAGTAGGAGTATCGCCTGGAAAGTCACAATGTCTTTTGATGTCCTCCATATTTTCTCGCTCCATCTGATCTTCCGTACACGTGACAGCATATCTCACGATGAAATCTCAAGTAACGGTGTCTGTTAGTTAGCATAGTTCATGCTATCTGTACAGCTTCCCAAAAAGATTATGTTGCGTAGCTAATAAAGGTAAGTCTCATCTTCATCGACCTCTGTTGCAGCTCTTGATATCTTTCTGCTTCTATCATCTCGAGCTACAATGCTTCTCTTATTGCTGTGTCACACTCCTACACGATTACTAGGCTCTATCATCTCTTTGATACAAAAATGATTTATTCCATAAGAACAACACTGCTGACAATGCTGTATAATACAGCCTCTCTTTGCTAAAAGTATAGGTCATGATATTGTCCTTTTATAGTAGTCCTTCCTCCCTCAGATCCCATAGTACATTAGATAGCCTATTCAAGACAACTAATCAGACCATGGTGCTACAGTCCAGTACGTATAGTCTCTAGTAGTCTGACACTGAGCAATGATACAAACAAAGAGTCCATGTATTTGTTGTGTTTGCTGCTTAGGTGGATCTTTATCTTGCTATGATTGAAGAAGCTCCCTAGTTATTGACGCATAAAGCTTTGAGATGGCTATACTATACTACTTTAGCCCTTGAGTCCCTATCATATCATGAATAAGTATAAGTGCAACCAGTAGGCACATTGAAACGGCAGCAGTACATTGACTTTGTCTAATATGGTTCATTGCTATACACTAGCAGATAGGCACGTGGCTCCCACGACACACATTCGTCTTGATCTCTTACATATAGAGGTGAACTAGCCTTTTAAACAGCTGCTTGTGGCCCAAAGAAGCAGGTAAACTCGACTGTATCACTGACGGTAACAGATACGTGATCATCACCACATCGACACTTTCTCTACTAGATCAAGGAGTCACCTGCTGGCACCAAGTGAGAATCACCCTTCTCGTTCACCACTCTCGGTTCTCGTCGATGCCTGGAGTCGACGGCTGAACGATCAGCTTCTCATTGGATATGCAAGTGATCGTCCCATCATCTCCTCACCTGGCACCCATCCACACTGAATCTGTTCGAAGTTGAGTGAACTACCTCCTCTCTATCACTATCAGGCAACGACGAAGCGAAAGTTACTATTAATTTGCCTCCTCTTGCATCTGAACTTGTCTACCTTCCCCAACCACAACCACACCTTGGATCTTCCTCAAGGTCTGACCCTTCCTTATAACCTAGCTTCGCAGCACTGTAGGCATTCCTAATCCGTCCTACAGACCCTCTTCTGACCATCTAAAGAGCTAGCAATCATGTCGGCCTCACCTTCGGATTCGACTGGTACCTCGGACTCTGAGTCAAGCCGTGCACCATCACCTCCTCAATTCCAGGGACCACCAGCAGCCAGTACTCGCTCAAAGAAGTCTATGGCTCAGGCAACCGCAAGTTCTGATCCAGTCCCTCTCACCCCTCAGCCTCCCTCAGCCAGTACTCGCGCAAAGAAGCAGTCCGTTCAGTCGACCAAATCAAGCCCTGGCATCAAGCCATGGAACATCCAGAGCACCAAGTCTGTTACCCGCCGCGACCACAACAAAGTCACCAGTCCAGCCGTCGGCTCTGGTCAGACCTCCGGATCTACCACACTGCCCAGTGATGTCGAAGTGGAGATCGTTGCACCAGTCAACCAAACTCCTAAGCCTGCTGATGCCAGCAATGCCGAGTCTAGCCACTATCCCACTGTAAGTGCACAGCGAACGGACCTCTATCGCAATGCATAATCCAACTTGAAATCGAGTATATGTCCATTGAGAGCCTGCTCATATCAAGCTCTCAGTGGACATCTCCAGATTCCTCGACGGCATTCTGCATTGTGATAGCTATGCCAACATACCCTGCTTTCGATGAGAAACATGCTAACTGAGATTAGACAGCTNGAACCTGCTCGTCTGATTTCTAGCAAGACGTTCGACAACGCTGTCCGTCAAGCCGTCAATTGCAGAATGCCGATGAAGATCAAGTTCCAAATCTTCCTCCGTGAGCTGGACAAGAATGCTTCTCACTATGGACATCTGAAAGTACCACCAACTCTCGAGACCAGCCTTCGTGAACTGCTTCAAGCCGTCACTTACCAGCATTCGGCTAGATTCCTCACAATGGCCGAGGCACGCAGATTCTGGGAGACTGTCAGAGATCTACAGGACACTGAATGGAAGGTCTACCAAACCCTGGAAGATGTCACCAATCTTTTGACCGCCAAATCCGATTTCGACAAGTCCGAAGCTGAAATGATTCTTGGTCAGCTAACCACCATCAATACCGCCATCGAAGCATTCTGCACTCGCATGTCTGCTCACCTCACGCTTACAGCTGAGCAAAGCAGCATCTTTGGCGAAGGTGATCTCACAGACCGCCAACTTCTTTACTTCCGCCTCGCCAGCACTAACGATCTGCCTTCGGTCGAGGAGCGTTTCCGCCTTCTCTGGGCTGTCTACCCTGTTCATGGTATGAGACTCCGTTTCCACGGCTGGAACCGAGCTCTTTCTGGAAACAATGCTGCCCTGAAGACCACGTTGAACACACTCTCTGCCACTATCGCTGCTGCTGGCAATGTCGAAGAAGTCCAGACTGAGGCTCGTGGCCTCAAGAGAAAGGCCGAGGACGAGAATGAGGATGAGAATGAGCAGTGAGGCACAAGAGGGACCCGTGTACAACAGATTTCTTGATAATACTCATAGACTGACCTCCGAATTCAACTGAATCACCGCTCTCAATGGTGTCATTCCTGTTTTGAACTAGTTTTTGCCATTTGATACGTAGACCATTCTCAGCTTTTCAAGGTGGAATTTGACTGTTAATGCTCTCTTTGCCAAAAGCATCATTGTCAACAAGTTTGTGTCGTCTTCACAATCGTGTTGTAGCCACCTATGGCAGCTGAGATGGCTCGGATCAATCTTGGTATGTGACTGGTCAAAGTTCTGAGGTTGAAGAGATGTGTGGGGGGAAGAAAGAGCGATGGTGGTGATGTGGTGAGGATCGGCAAACCTTCCAAATTCAGGGCACGGGCGTCATTGCGGTCGACCTTGATGCGACAACAGCAACGACGAGGTGCAGTAACAAGCTCGGCAACCGAATTCGAAATTGTCCAAGTGCAGGCATTCGAGGCTTGCTCGGTACGATTGAGAACAGGAGGGTGAGAAATCGCCATGTTGTCGGCGTTCCGTGCGCAGCCCATCTATGAGCTCAAACAACAGGACAAGTCCAAGATCGAGTCGGTCTTAGCATATGGTATGTTGGTCATCCAGCTTTAGAAAGAGCGATGCTGACTGACAGTTCGTNNAGGCGACCGTCTTCTCGTAGGCCTCAGCACAGGTACACTCCGTATATACCGTGTCAATGAAATCGCCGAAGCTGGTCAAGATGCGACACCCTCAAAGACACGCGCCGTCGATTTGGTGCGTGAGGAAGAGAAGTTCTCAAGGAAGGCAATACAACAATTGGCTATAATCAAGGAAGCAAACATTCTGGTCTCCNNCCTGTCCGACGGTTATGTCTCGATCCACGACCTACAGACCTTCCAATTACAGGAGAAGCTGGACAAGACCAAGGGCGCAACCGCCTTTGCCGTCACCTCCAATGTCATCAAGGACCCCGTCACCGATATCCCTTCGCTCGTCTCTCGTCTCGCCGTTGCTGTCAAGCGTCGCATCCTATGGTGGAGTTGGCAAGATATGGAATTGTCCCCTGAGGTCCAAGAGATAACATTACCACATTCGCCAAAGTCGCTGCTATGGGCTACCGGTACCAAGATGCTCGTTGGTCTGGATCCTGGCTTCTCAATAGTTGATACCGATACTCTGGCTGTCACCGATGTCATGAAACAGACTCCAACTGGCAACGTCAGGTTTGGCGCTGTCACTTCTTCCGGCATGGGTTATATGGGCATGGGAAGCTGGGTACCAAAGCCTATGGCAACGAACCTCACAAACAATAAGATGCTTATAGCAAAGGATGTCAACACCTTATTCATTGACACTGATGCCAAACCTGCCGACAAACGTCAAATACCATGGGCTTTCGCACCTGAAGCTATTGGTTACTCTTACCCTTACCTATTGTCATTGCAGCAAACTGCTAAAGGAGCTCTGGACGTGAGAAGTCCCGATACTCTAAATCTTCTCCAAACAATCCCCCTTCCAGGCGCTTCGATCCTCCACGTCCCTCAGCCTAACATTAGCTTGGCTCACGCTGGCAAAGGCTTCCTTGTTGCTAGCGATAGGTGCATCTGGCGTATGGTAGCTCTGAACTATGAAGCTCAGGTTAAGCAGCTTGTCGAAAAGACAAAGTTTGACGAAGCCATCAGTCTTTTGAACATGCTGGAAGACACTTTACTCAAGGACAAACAAGGTTCCATCAGAGAAATTAGTATGCTCAAAGCTCAGAACCTATTCTCTCAGCAGAAGTATAGACCAGCACTGGATCTGTTTACCGATGTTTCTGCTCCGCCAAAGCGCGTCGTCTCGTTATATCCCAAGTCTATCGCTGGAGATCTTTCGACTGTTGAGGAGGCTCCGGAACTCACTGACTCCGAAGAACCATCTGGTGAGACTAGTGCTGCAGAGGAGAACTCATCACAGGCCGAAGATCAGGTCAAAACAACACAGACTCCGACCAAATCTGTACTGGGCAAGTTTAGGCCATCTGCAGTCAAGGATGATTCTGATACTGCGTCAATCCGATCTTTCCGTACCACCAGCGAAGCGCCTCGCGAGAAGCCAGCCAAAGATGCGCCACTGACTGGCTCTGATCTGAAGGCTGCTGTCATGGCACTCTGCTCCTATTTAGCCCAATCGCGTGTTCAGGTCCAAAAGTACATGAACACAGATGGTACACTCAAGATCGAGTTGACCGAAGGTTTCACACCACCATTCAGCAATCTCATTGAGCTTCCGGAAGGTGCTGAAAAGGTTGACTGGCAAGCAGAGTTGTTGGAGGTTGCTAAGCTGGTCGACACAACTCTCTTCCGTGCTTACATGCTCGCTCTACCTTCACTTGCTGGACCGCTCTTCCGTCTTGACAATTTCTGTGATCCGCATGTCGTAGAGGAGAAGTTATATGACAGCGGAAGATACAACGACCTGATTGACTTCCTCTACGGCAAGAAATTGCATCGCGAAGCTTTGGAGTTGTTGGAGAAATTTGGCCGCAACGAGGCAGCAGAAGAAGTCATGCCTGCTCTTAGGGGCCCTGACAGAACGATTAGCTACCTGCAGAACCTGCCGGCCGAACTCATCGACATCATTCTAGAATTCGCAGAGTGGCCTATCAAAGTCGACGCCCAGAAAGGCATGGAGATCTTTGTTGCAGATACCAAGAATGCTGAAAACCTGCCTAAGGACAAGGTGCTGAAGTTCTTGGTTCCATTGGACAAGTCCCTTGCAGTGCAATATCTGGAACATGTCATATTTGAGCTGAATGATAAGACTCCAGAGTTCCATCAGAAGCTCGTGGACTTGTATCTGGAGAAGCTGCGCGACAGAAAAGGAAACAGTGATGAAGAAAGAAACAACGCTCGGACGAAGTTGGAAGAGTTTTTGCGTAACAGCACGCAATACCATAAACTCAAAACGTTCAATCAGTTACCTGCTGATGGTAAGCAAACATCACTCATATTCTAACGATATTCCTGCTGACATCAATTGGACNNAGATCCCGATGTTTACGAAGCACGAGCGATTGTGCTTTGTGCGATGGGAAACCACAAACAGGCACTGCAGATCTACGTCTTCCAGATCTGCGACCACGAAAAAGCAGAAGAATACTGCAACAAAATCTATCTCTCCGCATCAGCGACTGCGCCAACACCTGTCGGTTCGAATCCAAACACCGGTTCCCAAACCTACGAAAAGAGCAGCATGGCAGCCGATCCTGAGGACCAGCAACCAAATGTCTACACCACCCTGCTCTCGCTATATCTGAAACCGCCGAGCCCACATAAGGTGCAATGGGAACCTGCGTTGCAGTTGCTGTCCAAACATGGACCCAGACTTCCTGCTGCCAACACTTTGGACTTGATGCCCAGTGACCTGCAAGTCAGCGAGTTATCTTCCTACTTCCTTGGTCGCATCCGCAGTGCCAACACTGTAGTTCGTGAAGAGCGTGTTCTCGCTTCCCTCCAAACTGTGCTAAAGACAAGTCTCTCTTCTGATCTCGCATTTGGGCCTGAACACATGCAACAGAAGGGCGGAAGAAGCAGAAGAGTTGTCATCAGAGAGNNGGAAGACCATTGCAGAGTTTGTCACAAGAGGTTCGGTAACTCTGCGGTTAGGGTCTATCCCGATAATGAGGTTATCCACTATGGATGTGTGGGTAGAAGTGGAGTGCAGAGGATGAAAACAGGGCAAGGACAGGGCTTGCAAGCTTTGAGGCAGCTGCCATGGGGTTAGAAGAGATGAGATGAAGTTTATTGAAAAGAGGCACGTAGAGAAGATACCCAAATGCTATGTTTTGTTACCATTACTGCTTTCTCAAGTGCGGATGACTGTCAAGTCGTAGCTATAGGAATGCACAAACAACTGCGAAAGAGAGTCTTGTCTAAAGAGAAACATCATCTAATGGGTAGCTCTCTGGTTACACCTCTAATCTGGAAACAACTGTGCATTTCTATAGCCAGCGATATCACTACATGTCACTATGAGAGTAGACCGATTGTGCCATTGTGGCGTCCGTCGACACTCCGGTACATGGTGTAGGCTTGTTCTCCCGAGTATAATCGTGCAGTTTTTCACCTTTTCTTTCAACCCATCTCGATCACAAGAGATAGACAGTAGTTTTGCACGGTTAGGGACGCAAGTTCCTAGCTTGATCTAGGGTGTCGCCGTACGTTAGAGACATGCCGGATGAATTCACCGCACAGCACTGAGCAAGTATGGGGAGTCCTTGACCTTAGTATCGCGAGTATGGGAGAAAAACAAGTTGTGGCAGTCGTTATATAGCATAAGCAGATACAGTCTTATGAATCACATATCATGTTGGTCACTGATCGATTTGGTATGTCAAGCTTGGTCATTCTGCAGATGTATCTAGTTGCTCTTCTTTGTAGATGTGGTCCAGGCTCATCTGCAAAACTACGTTTTGCTGAGACACGGGTGGAGCGGCGACGTGGGCGTTGGTCTTGTTGCTGAATGAATTTGACAGTCTTTGTGCTTTTTGATCCTTTGGGGCGAGTAACAGTTCTCTTTGGCGGCAGGGTGCGAGGATTGGGTTCGAGGGATTCCTCCTTGACTTGCTGATCCAAATCCTCCTTGAGCTTCTGTTGAGCCACGCGTGTTGATCGACGGGGTTCGGGCTTGATCGTGGGCTGTTGTGTGGCATCGTCTTGTGGCAGATCTGACATTTGCTCGTCGGCAGGATCGCTTGGTTCTTCGCGCGCAGCAGGGTCTGTCTTTGGTGAGAGGTTGGGTGAAGCAAGACGAGGCTCAGGGGTAGCAGCTTCTTGCTCAACTTCCATCTCTTCCACTTCTTCAATTTCCTTCTGCTCATCCTCAACTGCCTCAACCTCGTTCAAAATCGACAAATCGTCGTCAACTGGGGCTGCTCCACCACGAATCCACCACGAAAACGACGTGTTCTCTGCGTGAACGGAGAGGTTCAACCTCCTCATGCCCTCCCTTGCAAGTAGAGCCTCAACCGCATATCTTGCATCCTCGGCATCGATAACCCACTCGATAACAGGGTAATCGTACAAATACGCAAGCATCAACATATCCTTGTGATGCACATACTGTTCTGTCTTATTCCAAGACCAAGAAGAAGATGGGCGAGTAGTGGTTTGGTGGGCGAAATTGCCTTCGATGATTTCGCGCTGTTCAATGGGCAGGTCTGGGCGACGGCGATGATCGGGTACCGATAAAGGAGAAGGGTTGCCTGGAAGGGGTCCACGGAGGAGGGTTTGCTTGACTACGCGGCTGTCGGACTGCAGAATTGGCTTCGTATAGTCAGGAGTTGCCATATTTGAGGGCTAGATTGTAATATCGATTAGAGGCCGAAGCACCGAAAGATCAGGGGCGACGCACCAAGGGTCGACTCTCGACGGCGATGGACTAGAGGAAGGACTGTCGTGCTACAAAGAATTAGACGTTCGAGGAAGTTGGCTGTGAAAGAGATGGCAGCTGAGAAAGCTCTCTCAAAGGCGACGCAGAGGAACAATCGCGGGTCCACGTCGAACCCACGAACAAGTGAGAGCTGGATATCGAAATGTAGTGCGTAATTAGAGCCTCAAAAGCTTCAGTGTGTCGAGACCCCCTGTATACCTCCAGAGACTCTTCTATCCAGGGACTCACACTTAGCGGATAGGCTGAGCCCTCACCATGTCAAGGTAACAGGGGGTACAGGGCATGAGGTCAAGATCCGAGGAAGATATCTCCTCGAACTACAGTGGTATTGGAAGCACTCCCTGTGTCCTGACAAAGGCACGAGTTGTGGTAGGTGAGCATGCCAGGAAACATGACAGGTTTATTGACCTGGATCATTAAGTCCCCCGAGCATAGGTAGGCAGAGGTAGCTACTCAGATACCAGAGGCACAGCTTCGTCCACTTCTCGTGGCATTTGTGGTTGACGTCCTAGAAGAGATCTTCCAGACGAGATGAAGTGGCTTTGGTCTGGGCGATCAAATTTATACTGATCGTTCTGCACTTTTCGATAGTGACAGAGCGAAGCAAGCAGCCAAACGTTTTGAGCAAGAGGTGCGCCTTCCTAGGCTAGTGTCCCTCTACGCAATCCTCACTGATTTATCGGGGGCGCACCTGACCCTTGTCAGCTATCGAAAGGCAAAGTGGTTTTCTAACATCAGTACAGGTCAACTTGGAATCTCTCTGGTCAATGTCTTTAGCAGGATCCGGACCGCAGATGTACTATGCATTTTGGCAGCTCGAGTTTACGCCTGCAGTTGTTTGAGAATGTAGAAAGATTGGCTTTGCAAATGTCATGAAGTTTTCATTACAACATATTGAGTTTTAGCATCTGTTTGCCAGAACGAAACTGCTATAAGAAGCTGAGGATTGTGAGCCTCGGGCATTTTTGGTGCAGGCACCCCAGAAAGGAAATCTGCCTACGCACCTGATCACTGATATCAAAAGATCAATCCCCCAGTCTACTTTTTGACCCGTGCCCCTGATGGTTTCGGGGCCGTAATCTTTGAATGGTGGATCTAGCCTCCGGGTCTATCCATCGCAAGCTGGAAAGAGCGCTGGTAGCTCTTGCGATGATGCAGTGGCTGCTCCTGGCAGAATATACGTGTGTGACGTTCGAGTGTTTTCAAAAGGCCTCACAGAATAGCCTCCCCTGAGTGCTCGCCCTCGAAACCGTAAGCGGCCAGCTTCTTGTGTCTGATCTTCTCCTGCTTCTTCTTTTGAGCCTGCTCTTGCTTATGTAGCTCGAAAACTTGGTCGACGGGTGCTTGTTGGAATGGAGGGGGAACGTAGTCGTCTCTGTCCAGGTCCTACGGCGCATTGTCAGTGACTAGAGTTGTGTATGCTGGCGAAAATGAGCGTACGATTTCGCCGAGCAACAAGACGTTCTCTCCTCTGACAAGGAAGAGACCTCGGTCGACGTCGGCATAGAGGTTCTGGGCAAAGAGACGTTCTACTGTGTCCTGGAGAACGAGATTTCCTGAGGCTCGTCAACCACTGCAATAGGCGCATGTTGATGCGCATATGCTCGTACCGAATTGATCCCAACTCCTCAGAACGCCAATCAGTTTCCTGCCGTCGCGAAGTGACACCATGAGCTTCTCTGCTCGCCAATTAAAGTACATCGGTCAGTCCTGTTCCCGGAATCGATCACAAGTCGTGCGACAAGGCAGGGCATGCTCACTGTCAGTCAAGTCAAGCAGTTGTGCTGCTGTAGTGAACATTTGCGGGGGCAATTGAGGGATTGGTGGTGGCATCTGGCCTCCTCCGAGCGGCGGCGGCGGAGGCGCGTTCTGCATGTTCATGTTGTCCATGTTGTACGATGAATCTCGAAGTCTGCAAAGTGTATAGATCGCTGTCGACTTTCCATAGACCGATCGCGATTGGTAGATTACATGACGTGGGGACAGCTTTCGAGGTCACATGACTTCTCATCAACTGAACAGCTCCACCACTAACCAAAGACCTGAACGTGCAACACCAGAACATCACACGCAGTCAAGATACACCTAAGTGAAGCAGACTCTACCGAGCAGACATAACGACCACTGTTTACATAAATCGATTATCGGTCGAGCAATGGCGAGTAATGGCGAGTATGAGGAAAAGGGTATATTTATTGTCCAGTAGTACACATTAGGTTTTCTCAGGCCATCTCGATTATAAAAAGAGCCTCCCCATTTCTCTGCGCCTTAGCCAATTGGCTTCGAGGCCTGCTTCCATGCCCATATTAATTTAAAACACCCTCGACGCTGCTAAAGCAAATCTTCATAAGTCATAGCGGTGCTGAAAGACTTTGAAACCGCACCGGCTGTTGTTTGCTTAAACAAGCATGAGAGCGGCAAGAGCAGCAGCACCCATCATGGGGCCAACGGTCTGGATGGGAGCACCAGCAGTGGCGACAACCGACGAGGCAGCGCTGGAAGCACCACCGGCGGCCGATGAGGCGCGAGAAGCAACCGAAGAAGCACCCGAAGTGGCGGCACCGGCAACGCTGGAGGCACCGCTGGAAGCACGAGAAGTTACAGAAGAAGCTCCAGAGCTGGCAGCGCTTCCGGCAGAAGAGGCACCAGAGCTGGCAGCACCTGCGACAGAAGAGGCACCGCTCGAGGCGTGAGATGCAGCAGACGAGGCGCCAGATGAGGCAGCGGCTCCAGCGCTGGAAGCAACCGACGAAGCACCCGACATGGCGCTGGAAGCAACCGACGAGGCACTGGAAGCAGCAGACGAGGCGACCGAGGAAGCGGATGAGGCACCGGAGCTGGCAGCAGCTGCGGCGCTGGAAGCACTAGAGCTGGCGGCGGAAGCACCGCTTGAGGCACCAGATGAGCCACCACCGACGATACCACCAACGATGGGAACGACGGAGTAGATCGTAGAGAAGCCAGTGGTAGTAGGAATGGCGCTACCATCCGAGGTGATGGTTCCAACAAGAGCCGAGGTGGTGATGGCAGAAGAAGTGCTGCCAGACGACTGTTGGGCGCCGGAAGACTGAGAGCCAGTAGACTGAGCACCGGAAGACTGAGAGCCAGCAGCGCCACCACCGAGGATACCCAGACCAGAAGAGGCAGCAGCAGCGCCGGCAGAGGTAGCTGATGCGTAATTAGATCCAGAGCCGGACACAGTGCTCAGGATGGAAGCGACCGAGTTGCTGGCGGAGCTAACGGCAGCTGTGGAGAAATCAGTATGAGAATTGCGGAACCATGTATGTATGGAATACTCACCAGCACAGTAGGCATTGGCGAAACCAATGGCGTCGGCGGCCTCTTGAGCGGAACAGGCCTGGTTGGAGCAGTCGCGGACACCATAGCCGAAGTCAGGGTGAGAGCAGTAGCAGGCGACATCGCCAATGGCGCAGTGGAACTGGTTCAAGGCAATGCCAACCATGTTGTTGAAGCAGTTTTGCTATAGGCATTGTGTCAGCGCGCTGCGAATTGAGGATTGTTGACACGAGATCGAGGTACTTACAGCGCACGAGCCGAGGCCCTGCTGGGCGGCAGCGAGGACAGCACCGCTGGCGACGAGAGAAAGTGCGTACTTCATTGTGATGATTGTGAAGATGGTAGATGCTTTGGTGTAGGATACCAGATAGTGATCGTTTGCGAGAGACGGTTAGATGACGAGGTTGGAGTGTGGAGAGTGAAACGACTAATGGATGAGGGGATGGATGAGAAGATGTAGACGAGACGCAAGGAAGAAGTTATTCGGAGGCAGGTTGCTGATGGCTGGTCGAATGCGCAGTGACGATGGGAGCTCTTTCTTAAATTCCCGTCCAAGAGCCTATCGCGATGCGGTCACGCTGCCTTCGTCCACTTTCTGACAACACTAAACCACACCCACCGTGCACGCATCGGCCTAGACTACCAGCCAGTTTCCCACATTTTGCACCATTTCTTGATTCACCAGCCTGCGCTATCCACAAATCCCACGTAACTTTTGCTTGCATGATGAAGGTGACCATGATCGACGCAATTCCTCGGGCGCGCTAAAATGGCGCCTGCTTCCTTCTTGGCGGCCCAGTGCAGGAACCGTCTGTAAATGCCAACGGCTGACTTAGAAGCTCCTCTCTCCTGCCGTTAAAGAAATGAGACCAGGACTTTTGCATTCAATCGCTCATGTTGTGATCAGAGAGCCATCCATTAGAAGCAGCCCAATCCCTCCTCGTCCTATGTTACAGCACCTTGTTCGCTGCGAGATGTCGTCTGCTGCCAATGTTCCGCGGTTCCCCAGATCCACCATCGAGCTCCCACCGCCCTGCAGTCGCTTGCTTACGCCTAGCCAAAACCTTGCCTGGCTTCCCGTTACCGCCCAAACCTCAATCAGCCCTGACGATCATTGATATCACAATATCGATTGACATCATCTTCAAGCTTCCAACATTCGATTTACGGTCTCACTCGCGACCTCTATCCACGATCTCCCACGTCTGCTTTCATCACTGATGCGCAAGCTTGACTTTGCCAACTTTCTTGTTTCCATGCAGGTACGAACTGGCTGCGGATGCCACAGCGCCACTTTTACCCAGCCACACCCAGCACGGTGTCAGGGCTTGCCGCTAGAAGTTACCGCCGGTGCAATCTGAAGCAGTCGTTGTCCATGATCGATAGCGACAGTCCTGGTGCCACGGTATGACAGTTAACAGGGCAGTAAATTAGACAAGGACCCCTGCTTGTTCCTATTCGAAATGCTGGGACTGAAAGCTTCCATGCAATCCTCACCTCCCTCATTTCGCGAGGGTGCCGTCTCTTCTACAGTACTTCTCTAGAGACGGCACACGTGCAATGATTATTTCCGGTTCCCCAGTCCTTGTGGTTGCTCAATCAAACCATAAACCTGCGACTGAAACCCCACGATTTTGTGGTTGTACACAGCCATTGCTCTGGACTCTACTGAGGCTTGACAGCGAACCACACAGCCTCCACCTCTCAGCTGCCATCTCAAATTTTCCAGATGGCGCACTCGAAACCCCGACCGGACTCAACCGTACTGAGAAACATCAATAATAACGGCTGGTGACCATGTCGCACGTTCGCTTGGATGAGTGCGTTGGCTGTGTTGTAACAACAAGCCTCTCGAAAAGCTCCTCGGCGCATTTTACTACCCTGATTTCTGGAGTACAAACCTAATGCATCGACCAATCAGAGAGTCATGCCACTTATTGTGTTCCCAGCCACATGCATCACATGCTAGCACAGCATGGATTTCGAGTTTTTGACCAAGATAAACAACCTTACTTGTATATTCGCTGGCCATCTCAATCCTGCTTTGCATATTAATCAGAAAAGGTGATCTGCTCTTTCGGTTGCCCCATCAGCAGACGGCATATACACACGCTCTCTCTTGTACGACAGCCTCGAAGGCACGCGGCATGACTGGGTGCCAGAAGTTTATCCAGCTTTGACTGCAAATTGCTGAGGACTAGCTGAGTGAATCGCAGAGTGGCTTGGGGCTCGGATGAAAGGCCTTGATCACTGACAACGCTGAGTGGGTGACCCTGTTCGACTTTTTGACCACTTCATTTCCTCTCCACAACCATCTCATCTGTTGAAGTGTCTCCTTTAGCCTATATTACGAAGTGTGTTGTCTCACAAGACAGGTGAGAAGTTTTCTCAAACCCTATCATGGTTGTTTCGAGAGAATCACAGACATTCTGTCGCCCCAAGAAAATACATCAAAACCATACATTGTCTCGATGCATGTGTTGCAAAGATGCACCATGAGTCAGGAAATCATGACAGAAGTCAATCTCCATTTACTGTGGCTTTCTTTTGAACATCCATCAGAAACCACGTTGGTAAAACGAACATCCTGAATCAACTCAGGAAGTTTTCGTAGGACGGATTATTTGAATCAAAGCTCAACTGACAAGCTCGAACAGATCTTGTAACTACCTTGATTGTGCTAATGCAGCTCAGACATATGCGAACCGGCCACAACCCTTTACTATGCACTTTGGCTCTGACGATCCACATCTTGACCCGAATTTGACCAAGTAAACGCTCTCTCTGGCAATGTCTCCGTTCTGAACAAGTTTCTGTCCTTTTATAGATGACTTTCAGTCTGCTATGGGAGTGGGGATAGCATGTATTTTTTGGTTTGTCCCTGGCATGAAGCTTTTCGCTTTGGCATTCTGGAAGAAGATACATCTGAAGAATCTGCCTACTACCAAGTATCGCCAGCAGTTTCCCTCGGGCCAACCAAAAGAAATTGAGTATGATCTGCTTCTTCTCTTCTCTTCTCTTCTCTTCTTTGGTTCCTCCTGTCCTATGGATCTAATCTATCCATCCTTGAGAAAGTCTTCTCCGGAGAAGAACCAGCCAGGCTTTTTGATCTCTGCGATTCTTGAATCCTTCTTCGACTGCTGCATGCCCCAGACTCCGTTCTTCTTTGGCACCTCTTTGATATCCAACTTGTCTTTTCCAATCTGCACGGCTTCGGCGGGGCGATGCTTGGTTCGGTTGATGCTCAACTTCTGCAGGCCAATCTCTATCTCCTTCTCCAGCCTCTGTTTGTCATCTTCAGCGCCCGCCTCTGCATCTGTTGTGGGCGTTTCCACATCTGGAAGTTTTCTGTAGCTTTTCCACCCCTTCTTGTATCCTTTCCATTTGCTTCCAAGCACGCCTTGTCTCTCTTGCTCTGCTCCCTTTTCCCGGACGCAGCACTCTTCTTGGCTTTTCTCTTTTCCCTCTTGTGCTGACGGACTTTTTCCTGCTTTTCTTCTTGTTGGAAGCGTGCGTATCCGGCTGCTACGGTCTTGTCGAGCAATTTGTAGATTATCCAGGGAGGACGACCGAGGTAGAAGTTTTTGACGTGGGTTTCGGGGGACGTGAGGAAGACGTCGTTGTCGAGTATGTAGCCAATAAGGTCGTAGGTGGCTTCGATGGTTGTGATGGTTTCTGGGCATGGGTTTTGGGGGTTGTATCTTTGCTGGTTGCCTTGTCAGTATGATTCTCTTTGATCTTTTGCATTTTGTGGCCTCCCCGTGTGCTGAAGACTGTCATAGTGTAGCTATCAAAATGCACAATAGTTTTGGAGAGGATGTTGTTTCCACCGAGGGCATCTCAACGGAGGCTATCTCAGTGGCCACGCTCATCTTCAGAACATTACTGTGCATTTCGATAGCTTACCATAATTCCTACAGCTCGAGATGGAGAGGATGGCTGACTTACACGATCGAGTTTCAACACCAACATCATGTCTGCCGGTGTAGCAGCCACCAATCCATATCCAATATCCTCACCGTCAGCCCTGAGAGCTTCATAAAGCTGATCCTGCAGCTTCTGCACCAGAGTGCGGTTCTTGACTTCGGTGTCTGCATAAATGGACATGCATTTGTTGGAATCGTAGGGGCGCACCGAGTACCCCAGAGATAACAATTCGTCGTGGAGAGAATGGTAGGTGTGGAAAAGCTCGACATTGAGGTTGCGGATGCGGCCGAGGATTGTGCGGGATGGGTATGAGGGGAGGTATTCTGAGATTGACGATTCCCATTCGCGCTGTTGGGAGAGAGAAGAGTTAGAGGTGGTTCAGAAGGAGGGTGAAAACGCCGAGACGTACAGCAGTGACTGTGGTGAGTTCTACTGCAGCACCTGGAAGAAGAGCTCTGAGCAAGATTTGGAACTTGGCTCCCTGTTTGTGTGGTCAGTGAGTACTTAAGAAAGTGGACGGACGAAGTATTCAGCTACTGAATATGGAGGCATCTTGTCAGATGTGACGGCACTCGCACGTAGCAAGATCCTGGCAGCCTGTGGTACGAAGAGAAGGAAAGGAAGGGAGAGACCCAGTCTCAGACTAGAGTCGATGATTGAGACGAGAAGGTAGTGATTAGGGAAGGAGAAGAAGATGTGAGATAGTTGACAATGAACAGTCTGTGTGACTGATTGATGGATGTTTATCTGCCTACCAATAGTGAGGTGCAAACTTCTCTTTCTTTGCGTGTTTGAAGACAGCGACAAACAGAGTGACTTCGTAGTGGGGTGAGCAAACGGACCTCACTGTAAGTTCATGTGGCTGGGCTGTTTTCGGCGACTCTCTTTACATCCTTCTCACATGTTTGCGAGCTGTCTGTAAAGAAGAAAAGTGCGTGTAGGCGATGTAAACCTCCGGCCAATGTGACTTGGCGGCGGCCTGAGTACTCACCATATCGATGGAGCTCAGGTCGGCGAGTAATTGGCTTCAGCCTGACTGCCGTAACGCAACAGATTAGTTATATTATAAGATTCAAAAGAAGATACTTAACTAGTTAGAACTTGCTTGCTTTTGTATCTAAGAGTATGTACAAATAACAAGAACCTTTACTACTTATTGCTAATTTTAACTCTAGAAGATATAGCCGAATATAAGGAACTGGGCCAGGTTGTAGATAGCTAAGGCAATGGCACTACTAATACCACAAAGGATGTCAACGCTAGCACCCTTCCAGAGAGATTTAACGCCCTCCTTAGCAAGGATCTGGCTACCAGCATCGATGAAAGAATCGTACTTAACGGCCTAGAGTATGCAGGTCAGTTTTCGAGGGCTCCGAGCGGAGATCTGTGATTTGTAATTTACCTCACCAGTTCTCATCATCATACGACAACGGATAGTGCTAAGCGGGTAAGAGGCGAGAGTGACAGTAGTAGTGACGGTCCAGCTAAAGAGGAAAGAGGCAAGAAAATTGCCCTCGAGAGCACCGGTAGGGACAAGGGGCTTGATGGAGTCGTATATGCCGAACCAGAGACCACGGTAGACAATAATACCAATAATGGAGGGCAAAAAGCCACGGTAGAAACCAGCAATACCATCAGACGTGAGGGTCTTCTCAAAGACATCCACAAGGCCCTTGAATTGACGCTCGCTGCTACTGGCGTCCTTAACGTCGTTGGCAAGACGGGTACGGATGTAGTCAAGAGGGTAGACGAAGATGAGAGAAGTGGCAGCAGCAGCAGCACCAGAGGCGAGATTGCCGACCATCCACAACCAGTAGCCGTCACGCTCCTTCTCAAAGGCGAACATAGCTTTGAAGGTATCGCGGAAAGCAAAGTTTAGGGCCTGGGCTGTAAAGTAACGGATAATATACACGGTGTTGCCACGCCAGAGGGAGGCAGTACCCTCCTCAGTGATGACACGCTTGAGACACTCGTGAACGCTGGTGTAGGGCTTGGTGAGACGACCAAAGCGGAGCAACTCGTCCTGNNTTTAATAATGTCAGATGGTCCTCATCGTTGAAAGCTTTTAGACAGGCGAGCTAAGAAAGCAGACCTGATTCTGGATGAGGAGCTTGACGCGCTGCATAGGAGCGGCGCCCGTCTTACTGATGGCGGCGGAGATACTGCGTGCTGTTGTTTAACGCTGTTAGTTTGTCCCTTGTGACCAGGCTTCTATCGTCGCATATGGACCTGGTGGTCGGAGGACTGGCACTCTTAAATACAGCGAAGTGATGGAACGTACTCAAGAAGGCAAAGACGAAGGCGGGCATGCCCAGGGACTCGTTCATGCTCTGGCTGCAATAGTTATTAGCATGCTGATGTCGTGCCAGGGCGTTCCCCCGGGCTGCTTGGACGTCCGCAGCATTACTTCGTAGACATAATTGTCTTTGATTCCTGTGCAAACAGAGGTATTGGAGGGTATGAGGAGTGGAGAGATTCTTGATGGAGATAAAGCCTCAGGGTAGCTATCACCGTGATGGCTGCCAAGGCCAGCCAACAGTGTACCCTGTCAGCTCCTTCCGTATGCGCACATAGCCCGGATATGCTCGTTGTTATGAGAATTGTGTCATTATGCCTTGATGGCGAAACCTACGAGGGAGCTCATGTTTCTAAGCTCTACTCACTCAATGCGAATCCAAACTCCTCGGCTAGCCTTTTGCTTGCCATACCCAACCTTCCAAAACCTGTTCCGTCCCGTCCATAAATAACCCCCTTACCATGTCCGAAAAAGTACTCCTGATGCAAAAAAAGACGTCTGCAAAAATGCTCAAGCCCCCACAACACCCAACCCGTTGATCTGCCCCTGTCCTTGGCCTATACTTCCAGTATTTTNTCCTTTGACACCAACCCAACCCCTCCTCTGTCTACCTGTTCTTCCTCTTCCCAACCAGTTGTACTTCAATTCCCTCGTCAGTCTTTCCACGACAGCTTGACTCTGATCTCCAGTCTGTGCTCCTGCAACAACACTGACACATTGCAACATCCTAGCCACAGTTTGCGTAACCTGCGCAGGATCCGCAAAGGTTGGTGGCCTGCCTGACGGATCCGGAGAAAATGAGGATGAGAAGGCGGGAGCTGAGGTCACACTGCCGATGGAGGCGGTCGGATGATGCGATGTGCTGTGAGGGAGAGACGTGCCGAAGCTACCAGCAGAAGTGTTGGAAGTTGCGCGGCTACGGCTGTGTTGCGTCGGCGGGCTGGAGACTATGGTTGTGTTGCCGCTGTCGAGGTAGTTTGCATTGCTGTTGTAACTGCTTCCTAGTCGTGGAGACAATGAGCCGCCTGTCGATGGTCTTTCTGCCCCTCCTGCTGCCGAACTGGAGAAGCCTCGCCCCCGGCTGCCAGATATTGGTGGTGACGACGATGGGTTACTGGATACAGCAGCAGTGTTTATGCTGTCTAACGATAACCGCGAAAAAATCGCAAGCAGCGTCTCATGGCGTGGGAGTAATACCACATCGCGGAACACGATCAAGGCGATGCGACGCACGTCCAATTCCTCTCCGAGCCCAGGCATACGATTCGATGTGTTACTTGTTATCGTCGCGCCTCCAGAACTATTCGGCCTAAGCTCGTCGAATGAAGATGATTGCTTTCGTGTAATTGGTGGTGGCATTTCGGCAGGCACGAAAGCACCCCAGAATTCTTGAGCCTCTCTTGCGCTCATTATGCTGCCGTGACCACGAAACTCAAGATCCAGTGGTAAGAAGACAGCTTGGATGAAGGGTAGTATAGAGCTGAAAGTTGTCTGCCAGATGGCGACGAGGCGCGTTACGAGCCGTTCGTCGGGAACTCTGTGTAGTGTTTGCGCAAGTGAAGAGAATCCAGTCGCAAGCAGTTCCCTCAGATCTTCAACCAGAACCACCGGGGCGCGCTTTTGGATACACCTTCTTATATGTACAGACACCAGCAAATTGAAATCTTCAATTGGCGTCCGTAGATCNNCCTCACCCGAGAAGATGTTTAACAATCTTGCTTTGAGCAAAGGCCAAGCATCATCAGCTGTGATACCATTGAGACCCATACTGTTGCCTAGATTGTTGAAAGCAGCAGCAGACATTGTGGGCTGTGATTCGTACAAGGGTGATGAAAACAGAGAATTGCTGCTAGGAGGGCCGAGGATTGAGACCGAGTCCAAGCTACTGGAAACCATAAAATCACTTCTAGAGTCGTCCCGAAGCAGGTTGCCAGAAGTATTTGACATTGTTGGCGTCAGATTGGTAGCTGCAGCGGCAGCAGCCTTTTCCTCCTTCTTCTTTTCTCGCAAGGCACGCCCGCCATGGCGCAAATCTAAACCACTGACGGATTTGGAGAAACCAGGAGACTGTGGAGTAAACGAATACAAGGACTGTGGCGCATTAGGATCCACAGCGGTAGAATTGGATGAAGCCGAGGACAAAGGTAGAGCACCGCGGTCCTTTTGTTTTGCCTCGACAAGAAATGATGNTCTATGTTTCTCCTTGTCCTCCTTCTTCTCGACGGTGGCTGTCGCAGTCGTGGTCACAGGTACCAGAGTGGAAGTCGAAGTGTTTGCGGAAGAATAAACAGAGGCAGCAGCAGATGAGGTCGGGTCATTCAGACTGGTCATGGAAGCATTTGCGAAACCAGCGCGTAGCAGACCACGGTTTGGAGAGGGCAGGGCTGGTGCAGCCTTCTTGTCCAGGTCCTTGTCCTTTGTGATGCCAATACTCTTTGGCTTGTGAAACAGCTTCATTTTGGAGCGCTCCTTGACCTTTGTCTCAGCAGGTGGTGGGATGGGAGGGGCAGAGACGGGTTGATCAGCAGTCAGAGCGTGGGGTGAAGGCATTGGACCTGGACTTCGAGGGAAGGCGACGTTGGCAGCAGTGGTGGCAGCGATTCTACTGTCTATGTTGTTTGAATGCAGTGGAGGTGGGCTTAATGTGGTAGGAGAGGCTATGCGACGATCGAGACGAGTGGCAGCGACGTTGATGGGCTGCAAGGGAGGATTGGGGCGTTTGCGGTCTTGGGTCGAGTTGTGCAGGTGATGCATAGCAGCTTGAGCAGCGATTTGGGATGCGGGCATATGCGAAGCATGCGGTAGAGAAGGTTCGAAGAAGCCTTGTGAGTGTTGTCGGCCACGGTGATGTATGGATGGAGGGGCAGTCGGTGGGGGTAGGGGTGGAGGCGGCGAGGTCATGCGCAGCTGAGCATCGATGGACTGGCGAGGTTGAGGGCGCGAGAAGTTGGCCAGAGCAGAAGGCGGCGCGGTCGTGGCATGAGCGGTACTGGGTCGAGAAGCGTATTGCTGTTGGTGCGGGAGTTTACTGTTGGTGCTGTCGTTGGGTGCAGCCGACATGCTCGAGGCGCTCCGATGCGCCCACAACGGTGTTGGTGCCGTGGGCGAGGCTTGTAGCGGTCGCGGCCGCAGCGGAGGGGGATGTGGTTGTTTCGGGTCGTTGTTCATCGTGTTTCGTCCATTTTGGCCATGACGGTGTACAAGAGAATGTCTCAGCGAAATGTGTGGAGTCAAAGTTTGGGAGCGTCATCGTTCAAGCCATTCCTTCCACAAACACGCCCAGAATAACTTTAGTCCCTGTCACTCCGAGCTTCTTTTCTGCCACGACACCCCATCAACCACATCGACACCAAGGACTTCATCTCCGTCAACATGTCCGCCCACTTGACGGCCGTCTACACGTCGCCTACTGCGACCAACACCTTCTCTTCCCCGCTCCAGTCCGCCCCCACCCAAGTCAGCTCGTCAACAGAAAAGTCGCAATACTTGGGCGACTTGCGCCAGAAAGTCGCCCAGTTGCAAGACGACATCAACCAATTCTTGACCAACAAGATGGACGAGGACAAGGCTGCCACCGAGGGCGCTGCATCCAAAGACGAAGACATGGAAGAGCAAATGTACGGCGAGGAAGTCGTCGATGAGGACTGAGACAACATCACTATTGAAATCATATACCCCGTCTTCGCATCTATATCTACACCCATTACCATACAGATGCCCCTCTCGTCAACACCCATGCATCAATGAGTTTCGTGGCCATTCATATCCAGTATCCGCCCACGNTCTGCGCGCGATAGAGTTAGTCTTGACATCCCAATTCTGTAGTATTGCTTGACTCACAGTGTAATTAGGATTATTATAAGCCTTCGGATGGTTTTTGATATATTCGGTAGTTTCAAAGCCAGGAGGGTCGCATGTCACACTCTCTTCGCCTTCTCTCTGGTAGATTCTCACATAGTCGATGCGCATGATTGCTGGCACCGATACTGCCGACCAATTGATAGCCACCCAATTTTCCGAGATGCCCAGGTTGAGGATCATCGACATGGNGCTAAAGAGGTATTCATTAGTACACTTTCTTAATCCATCCGACACATCACATACCTCTTCACTGATGATTCTCTGACCAACGTTTCCATTGGGTCCGATCGCTCTAGCGTCAAACTTCATCATTTCTTGCCCAGCCACTGTCCACGCAATGAAGCTCTCCGATGTGTTTCCAGGAACATACTCAAAAGCATAGCGTTGATATGCCTTTCCGTCATACCAACCGTTGTTCAGCATCGTCGTTGTGGAGACTGCTTGTTGAAATGGCCCTCCGGTCCAGGTGTTCAAATAAGAGAGAGTATAATCCGGGATTTCCATAAAGTCTGCGTTCGGGTACCACCAAACATCAAAAGGTGCAATCTGATAACTTTGAGTCGCCACACCAAGACCAAGCCCGGAATAGTCTGCAGAAACTTCAATCACATCAATCTCCGGTGCTCCACGCCCTTTGCCTGGTGTGGGGTGGTCTTCGCCTGGACAGACACAGTTGGCTAGCTTCTGTCCTGGCAGCTTGTTCATGCCACTACTGTCGGATTGGTTGGGTGTTATACCCGCATCGCATTCGTTGTAAGTATATGGCCATGTGCCTTCCGTCGTGGCGAGATATCCTGGTCGTCCCAGGTTGCCCAAGCTCCATACCCCAGGCCAGAGAGCGTGAACACCAGCAGGTCCTGGAAGACTAACAGAAACTTCCATCATCCCACCCTTGAAACAGAGCTGGTTCCAGGAATTCAGCATACCACTACGAAATTGAAGACCATGGTTGCCGAATGCGTCAAGTTGAAGATGCAGAGCGCCATCCCATGTGGTTACGGCGTCTGGATCATACCACTCGAGATCTCTGGTCGCGCCGTACCAAAAGTCTGGAGCGTACCAGAATGGATCATCGCCAGGATAGAACGTCCTGTTAATATCATTGAACTCATCGCTGAAGACCAGGTTGAGTTTGTCTCCGTTCACGCCAATCCGCGTCCTCTCGGTCTTGGGTGTGTCAGGGTCTATAAGACCGGTACGCATGTTTTTCAGAAGTGGCCATTTTCGACTCGCGTTGACTGTGGCCCACGTGACTTCATTGTCGCCATATCCCCACATCTGGTCCAGTGGTGTATCGTTGTACCCAATGATATTGATGCCTGACCAGCTGAGCACTGGCAACATGATGAATACGCTAAGAAGACCGATTACCATGAATGCCAGGCCGAAGGCATCTCGCATATTGTTTCTTGAGAAGCGATCTCGTAACGTAGGTTTGAATTTCTCATCGTCATCGACCATCGGTAGATGCATATCGTCATCCCATTCTTTCTCGTGCCAATACAAGGGGAATGAGTAGCCCTGGGCTTCTGTACCTGGCGCGCCGAGTCTGTCGTCAAGGTACGGAAAGAATGGTGTTTCTGTGCCTTNTTCATCAATGACAGCACCCCTGGGGTTAACCGCTGTCGCAAGATGGTTCGAAGGGTAGCTTTCATCAGCAAAGGNGTTCGAGTTTCGTCTTGACGTTGGTCGAGATGCTCCACCCGTGTGCCCACTACTGTCCATAGAACTGCGACGAGGCAGCAAAGCTGTCAAATCAGTCATCGATTGACTAGGTGTCTCGAAAGGATTGTAGTATCTATCAAAGTCACGTCCGAGATCTCTGACGGATCGAGGTGTAGCCATCCTCGAGAGACTTGTGGACGAACTGAGATCCCTCATACTGTATGGTCGCGGGCTATCATGCGAGGCAGCAGGTATAGGTGGTGGTGGTAACAATCCCTGACCTAGTGCGAGTCCAGCAGCGCTTGTATCTCTGATACGTGCATTGTTCAGTGACCCAACAGATCCATCTCTTGAAGACTGATCGGAAGCATTCGAATGAGTAGAACGATGGAGAGTAGAAGGAGTGGACGGATTCTGTCGAGTTGGAAATTCGTTACTGGTCTGTCTGCTTGGGACTCGTGATCGGCCGTCTAGTGGTTGTGGTCGTAAGGAAGCTGCTGAAAGCTGCGCATGTAAATTGATCGATGAACGCCCGGCTTGCTCGCTCTGTCGTTCTTCCGACTGAGAAGATGGTCGAGTCAAGCGACGTGATGATAGTGGTCGATTAGGTAGAGACATTATACTGTTGTTCGCTCAATTGAGCATACAAGGTGTATTAATCCTCTGCTCGAGATGCTCAGTTTTTGATACGGCGATTGACACGACTGATGGTCGAAAATGAAGACGCAACGACCGGGAGTAGTATATCTACCAGGATGGTGCCAGGTGCACGGATGGCGTTCTCGAGAAGTCTGGGGTTAGATTGTGGAGCTGAACCTCTGGAGTGACGCTGCAGTCAATTGACGGCCTGGATAAGATCCTGGGGAGTACGAGAAGATAACAACATAGGGTTCTTCAGAGGATGATGGAAGAAAAGAATCATAGAAGCAGGAGATTTACCAGTTACGCGTCAACAAGATGCCCAGCTCTTCCCCTGGCACGATACTGCCACTGCCATGCGGCGCGGCATTTCTTGTCGAGTTGGCGCATTTGGCTGATACTAAAACCGTTAAGACTTCTGAGGCTTGGTGAGGGGTCCAATGATTGTTGCAGGAATAAATTGGCTCCCAGGAACACAGCAGATGATCCGATTCTTTCTGCCAAATGTCTGGTGCTCCTGCAGTATGCAGAAAATATACCAACACGAGCATGAACGTCGGGATTTTGTGGTGGCCGACTTCGCTCAAGAGACTCACTCACCGGTCGAAAACACCCCCATAAGTAGCATCTCTTTGAAGACGATCGATGATAACAATATCCGCGATACGAGAAACGATTCATCGTGTGACTGTAGATAGTAGACCAGAACTTGATTAGAAGTCAGTAGCGTCTCTGATGCCAGAAAATCTGGTCCCAGAACTCTCGTCAATACCAAGCCCCCGAGCGGCTAGGTCTGTCACAGATATTGCTTGGCCGACTCTGCTCGTCGGGATATCGACTCAACGCTCCCCCCTGTACACAGGAGTCCAAGTGTACAGCCACCATCGGCATGCTCAGCTGAAAGCGTTGATCTTGCAATCGATCATGAGCGTTGCCGCTGATTCCAAGAGACGTTCCGCATCGCGCTCTCACACCGCTTGGTCAAGTCGAGAGTACGACTCCATGCATCAGGCCCTCTGAGTGACGAAAACAACGGCCTTACGTTAAGAAAAGAAGTGTTCAAACAACGAGTGTGATGAAAGTTGTGTGGTGAATGACGCCGGTTTCGAGATTTAAGGTGCGACACCAATTCCTGACAGCAGTCGGAACTTTCGGCTCGGAGCCTAGGGCAAGGTAGGTACTTTTCCATCGACCTGTCTACAACATTCTCATCAGGACAAAACTTTTGAGATGTCGCCCAACATTGTTTCGACGAAAGAAAAGCAGAGACGTCGCCCACATGTCAAGAGCAAAACGGGGTGTTCGACGTGCAAGAGGCGGCAGGTACGATGTGACGAACACAAACCCAAATGTCTCAATTGCGATCGCCTAAATTTATCGTGCGGATATTCAGATGAGGCGTATCTGAATGTGGCATACCATCCAATCCAGCGCCAATTGGACGACCGTGTTGACTGGCTGGATCGAGATTCTTACGTCTTCAACCATCTTTCCTGCCTGATTGTGGACCTTCAACAGAGCAAAAGGCAACAACTCGTATTCGGAGGTCTTGTGTTGCATGAGTGCGTCGACTCTTGATTTTCTTGCATTCTGAGTATGAGTCTGATTTAATCTGCTAGAATCTTCAAAATAGCCATGGAGAAGGACTTTGTGCGACACGCAGTGTGCGCTTTATCCGCTTCCCATCTATCCTCGTTGAACAAAACCACCGCCATGGCACATGCCAGCTTCGAGTACAGATACTTGGCTATCCACGGCCTACGCCAAAACTCAACAGACACAGATGCCCGCAATCTTGTTGGAGTCCTGGCTGCCTCACTCGTACTCTCCTGGCAGGCTCCCTCGAGTGACGAGTATTCGCACACAATGCAAGGGGTCAAAACCATCCTCGAGTTTATGGATGCTAACAGATACCACTCTGACTTGCGATCGTTGCTTGTATCATCGGACGAGCTTCCTCTGACGGATTGTGCTGACTTGACCCTTCCCGATCGTCCCTTGGTGAAAGCCAACGAGGTACTGAGTACAATTCTGAAAAGACTCCAAAGCTTCCAGGTTGATGCCGAGTTTAAGAGAAGCATGAAAGAACTTTCGAATTATGTCTCCAGCTTGGCTATGCGCCAGGTGGCAAACACGCCAGCTGAGTACCAACTGCAAGCACTCTATCCTATCAGGAACTGGATGTACTGGATACCGAACGCTTTTCAACGTCTCGCCCAAGACGATCCGGTCGTTATGCTGTTTTTCGCATGTTATGAGATGACTCATCTCGCTATCGCTCCTGTTCTTCCTGCGACAAGCACACCACTCAGCATCCTAAAACGAGCCAAAATCATTGAGAACCTGGACAGGCAGATTACAGACCTAGAACAGTCATCACACCTACCTGCTTCTATCCATGCCGGACAATCACAGACTCTTAGCATACTTAAGGCTTTGATGGCTGGGCCTCGCTCCTGGATTTCTACACATGAAATGTAGGCATGCAGAGCCTCTATGTGCTAACCACGAGTGCCACTCTGCACCTAGGGCTGCCGCAAATTTACAACGGGTACAATGAACAAATCTGCTTGCAGAGAGCAGATTGAACGAGCTTCCACAGGATACAGTCTTGGTCAATAAAAACTCCCGCATCTAGGCGCATGACGACTCTTAGCATACAAGAGGTCTTGATTTACGTCTATGGTACTATCACAAATCCTGTAAAGGCGTTTGTCTTGTCTTCGAACACCTTTGACTTGATACCTCCCTGAACCTTCCACAACGTGCCGCCAAGGTCAGCGACATAGATACTCCCGCTTGCGCTGTCTAACCTCAGTCCAATGGCCTCGTCGAAGTTTTGTGCGATGATCTCGTGCTTAGAAAACAGACCAGATGCCACTGGACGTGCATGACCGTTTGCATCGAGCTCTGCTCTGTTCAAGCTGTTACCGTATGGAACCTCTCCTCGATCAGTCCAGTAGAGCATATTGGTGTTGCTGTCAAATTCAAGATCGATCGGCTCTGGCAGCTTATCCAATACGCACTCGACGTCCGACCTGGTTGTAGCTGTCTGACCAGTGGGTATGTTGATATCGACGCTGAAGATGCGACCTTTTCCACTCTTGGGTGAGCCTTTCTGAGTCCAGAACAACTTGCCAAGTTTGGGAGCAAGTGTGATACCAACACACCACTTAGTCTGGTCTGCCATGTCTTCCGGTTTTGCCAATCGCCATTTTGAACCAGTGTCTGCAGGTTGCGGCCNATCAAGATCGCAACACATAACACGAAGACCTTCTCTATCGCAGAAGTACAGCTTTCCATGCTGCTCGTCAATCACCGTCTGCTTAGGAGTGTGCACACTGCCACGCGGGACGATCTCCTTGACATCACTGCCATCAAGCTCACAGGAGAACACTCGTCCGTCGTTGTTACCGAATGTACCCATGTCAGTGACATACAGACGTCTGTCGGCTTTACAGAACTCAATGCCGTCGGGTAGACCAGCCTTCTCCAGGAGAGACGAAGGTTTGCTGCCGTCTTTAGCAACTTCAAACAAGCGGCCGTTGCTCAAGACTTCTTTGGTGGTTGTTTTCCCTTTCAGTGACTTTGATACACCGAGCTCGCAAAGGACGATCTTCGAGGTGTCGGGTGTCGAAGGAGGATATAGACCACCGTTTTGGCACTTGTCTCCGAGCTTGCCTTGTTTGATGTAGTTCTCCTCCAGAAAGTCGACTGTTTTTTCCTTGGGAAGACCTCTTTCGCGGACATAATGTTCTTCGATGAATTGGACAGTATCGAGCCCGACCTCTGTAGATTGCTGTCAGCGATTTTCAGGCGAGCAACACGAAAAAGACTCACGGTCCATGATTCGACAAGGAGTCTGTTTAGAGCCCCAGAACAAAGTCCACATCTGATCCAACTCCTCTGGTGTCGATACTCCCTCGGCTAGAATGGTCAAGAACTCGCGCTTGATAGCAGCCCACGTTCGGTTGAAGATAAAACCAGTCGACTCTTTACGTGCGATGAAAGGAACAAGTGCTGCCTCCTTGTGACGTTCTGCTAGGAAAGGAAAGATCTCCGGATGTGTGTAGCCATCTGTCATAAGCTCAACCATCATGATAGTCGGTGGCATGAAGTAGTGGGTATTGAGGATTCGACCTCTTGTTTCGTCGCTGACCTTCTCGATCATCTCGCTAGACTTGTACGATGATGAGTTGGAGGCGAGGATGCAGTCTTTCGGTGCNNCTTAATGACGAAGGATGGTCAGCATGATCCACACTCATGACATGGTAGCTTCGAAAGGGCTACTTACCAGTTTCTCAAGCTCAGCAAATGTCTCGATTTTGATGTTAAGCTTTTCGGGAACGACTTCAAACACGAGCCATGCGTTCTTGACGGCAGACTGTAGGTCTTCATAGACGGCGACATTACCGTGAGCCTTTCCCGTGGCTTCGGCGTAAGATGCTACATTGGCATTGAAATAGTCAACAGCATCTTGACGCTGCTGCTCACTAGGATCTCTGATTTGAATGTTGTATCCAGCAGAAGCCCAGCAGCAAGCNNTAATCAGCCAAGGCAGTCAGCTTGAGTTTGATCTGGCGTACGCGAACTCTGCACACTCACCAATACGTCTGCCCAACACACCACCACCTAATACAGCTACTGGTCTGTTGATGTAATCTTGAGGAGGGTTCCACATGCTTGCGAGTGACGATAGAATCTGATATGATGAAGGAGTAAAGTTGTGAGATTTACCAACACAGACAATGCTTACCGTATATATGTATTCTACTCAAGTGCCTCTGTGTACATCATCTCAGGTTGCCCATGTTTTTCTACTAACGTCCATCAATACGACCGGAGCCATCTCACAGTTGGTGACGTGGTGTTCTAGCAGGCACAACACGACCGGCAGACATGAGCCGCAAAGGTCGAAACTCGGGAACAACGTCTCACTGCAAGCACGTCCATGTCATGGACTACATCTGAATCGTGCTTCTCCAGAATCAAGACCTGGGAGGCGGGCAGGAGTCGGAGGATGAGGCAAGCACGGGCAGTCGGCAACCACTCCCCGGCGGTCTCAGGCGCACGGACATCGGGACTGTTGCCCAATCCACCGCGCATCTACTATCGGTTTCGGACCGAAGCTGATCTACATTTTGACGTGGCCCTGAGAACCCTCATCTCGCTATGGTCGGCTCCTTGCGACATTACAAATTCTGGTGACTAGTCAAGAGCCTATCAAGAGGAGCTTGTTTACACATTCATTGCCGCTTATGATCCACTCCTTGAGTGCGACCGTGCTGGTCCAGAGCAGGTGAGTATGCCTCGGTCGTCGTGTTCAGGCAAGCACATGCCAGCAGTGTGCTATCGTCGTTGGTGACAGGCAATATAAGAAAACTTGTGCGCCTAGAAGCTCCAGTTTATACCCTGCCTAATCACACTCTGTTCATTCGAAGCACTTTCGCACACTGTCTTCTTTCAAGTTTGTCAACCATGGCAGAAATCAAAGAGTACACCTTGAAGGAGGTGACTGAGCACAACACTGAGAAGGACCTCTGGATCATCATCGATGGCAATGTCTACGACGTTACGAAATATACTCTGGATCACCCTGGTGGTGTGGAATCGCTGGTAGAGGTAGCTGGACAAGATGCTACCACAGCCTTCGAAGACGTTGGTCATTCCGACGAGGCTAGAGAGATCATGGAACCTTTCCTTATTGGACGATTGGCGGGGTTCACAAAGACAGCTCGCAAGCAGGCAGTCCAGATCGTCCGCAAGGAATCAGCTCCTACTCAAAGTCATATGCCTAGCATCAAAACATTGAGTACGGTTGGGGCCGCAAGTCTGCTTGCTGGTACAGCTACTGCAGTCGCCTACAGAATCCATGGTCGCATTCACATTCCTGGAGCTCACAAATATCTGCACAAGCTCAACCTTGACAAGCTCAACTTCTTGCAATCCGACAATGGTTTTCTCAAGGGCTTCTTACTGGCTAGTGTGTTCTCAGCAGCATTTGGCGCAGGCTTCGCATCCTACATCTCAAAAATCACAACTATCCCTGGTGGATTTGGGCGAACTCCGATGTACAAGCGAGTTCCAAAGTTGCCTCTCAGACATTACGTTGGTTTCTTGAAGAGCAATGAATTTCAGCCATTGCCCTTGAAATCAAAGCAAATACTTCGCGGAACAGGACTCGTTCGTTTGACCTTCGAACTTCCAACTCCGACAACCAGACTTGGCCTGCCCATCGGCCAGCACGTTGCCATCCAGGCAAAGATTGGAGAGCAAACAGTGACACGTTCATACACACCAACTTCGAACGACACCGATCTTGGCGAGCTGGTTCTCCTCATTCGAATCTACGACGAAGGTCTTCTGACTGGGCGATACCTTGCGCAGCTCAAGGTCGGTGATCAAGTACTTTTCCGTGGTCCGAAGGGTGCCATGAAGTACAANAAGGGCTACGCCAAGAAGATTGGCATGGTTGCTGGCGGCACTGGAATCACTCCTCATTATCAACTCATCAGAAGTATTTGTGAGGACAGGACCGATACCACAGAAGTTTCATTAGTGTATGCAAACCGTACTGAGGACGACATCTTGCTCAGATCGGAGCTGGATGCCTGGGCCAAAGCATACCCTAAGAACCTCAAGGTACATTACATGCTCGACAACCCACCTGAAGGTTGGCAGTACGGTAGCGGTTTTGTTACAAAGGATGTTCTCGAACAGCACATGCCTGCTCCTTCATCTGATGGTTCTTCAAAGATTCTCCTTTGCGGCCCGCCTGGGATGATCAACGCCACGAAGAACAACTTGGTTGATCTGGGCTGGAAGAAGCCTGGTGCAGTTGGCAAGATGACCGACGACATTTTCACCTTCTGATCTCATAGGATATTCTCAATCATTTAAATTTAACTTTTGATATGCAAAACATTCCACGAATCCATCATTTACCCTTGCCAACTGTTACGTGATATCGGTCGCGACGTATTCAAAGTTGCTTACCTGTAATATTCAGCATTGTTCCAATCATGGGAACTTGCTGCCTTGACTTCTAGTGAAGTGTGTGGCCGTGGCAATAGTTTCAAGCCAGGGTCGTCCCAGCAGCCAAACATGTGAGATAACAATCACGTGAGCAATATAAAATAGACGACGCTAGCAAGTGTCAACACGACCGGCATATAAAGCTCTGACCACCTCACACATCTGGATATCGTTGCGATTCGCAATTGCGCGCTTCCTGAAACTTTTCGAGAAGTTCTCGCCGGGCCGTCCTCGCAAAGAATGCGACATCTGAGCTTGTCATGTCGGCCGCATCATCTCCGTGGGTTCGACAGCAAGCAAGGCAAGGGCCGTGAGTCGCTCGTAATGCCCTTCAATGATGGAGTCCTTGAAACGTGTTGCAAGCCTAAATTGTTATCGCAAAGATGCGAGCACTTATGCGTGGCGGCGGTGTATCGTTACGGCCGAGGTCTCAACACTCTCGCCGACTTCGACCCGCTCGTAATAACATTTTGATGAAGGCAAATCGCGAACCGCGGCAAGGTACCTGATGGTCCGTGATGTTATATGGGTCAGAAAGTAGGCCATCCGTTCAGAGTGTGTATGCTCAATATATAACATAGTACTCCCTCAAGCTGCAATGCAACAGAGACCATATTGATAGAGCACAACAAACATGCCTTCAGTACAATTTTACCTACTGGGACAAGACCCTTCTACAGGGCACGAGATCGAAGTCAACTCCAGCGAAGTTTCTGACTATGATTCGCTCCGTCTACTGGTCGCTGGACATTTTGCCGTCTTGGAGCCAAGCGGTAAGTCACACGTTCCACTTGAGAGAACTAGCTACTAAACCTCAGCAGGTATCGACTTCTCAGTAGACAACGACACATTGACCGAAGTGTCAGAGGTCATCAACAGCCAACAACCAGTTGCGATCACAATCGATGGCAAGCAAGTCAGAGATGTGCCGGGCCCTACAGGCTTTCCTTACATCGGCAACTACTACGAGATTTACCCTGACCATCTCGGTAACCACCAGAGACTTTTCGACACATATGGACCTGTTTTCAAAACAAGCAACTTTGGAAGTGTCGTTTATCAGACCAATGATCCTGTGATCGCCAACCATGTATTCAACGAGAATGGATTCTTCACCAAGCAAATCACCCCCGAGCACCCACTTTTCGGTATCATGAATCAAGAAGCAGGCTTGTTCCTTGCAGACACAGACACCGAGGCCTGGAGATTGACACACAAGTTCCTCCCGCCAGCTTTCTCACCAAAAGCTGTTCGTCACTACAGCCCGAAGATGCAGCAAACCGTCGAGTCAGCATACAAGGTCTTTGATCAACTAGATGAGCAAGGTGACGCTTTCAACGTCTACCTCTACATGTTGAAGCTGGGTTCTCAAGCTGTTGGCCAGCTTACACTCGGTCTTGATTTCAATCACTTCTCTTCCGTATATGCGCCACTCCACAAGATGGTGCGCGACATTGCCGAGCTCCTCGAGTTGAACAAGAAGGTTTCGACCATGGGATCATGGTACTCATACTTGCCTTTCGGTGACCCCGCCAAGTTGAGACACGTTAAAAACGACCTCATGAAACAGATGGACGCAGCCATTGCTGCAGTCGCCCCTAACGGTGTCGAGGATCTTGAATTGCAAGATGCAGCTCTCAAGGCATCGTGTATTGCAGATTACGCAGTCCGTGCTGTCGACAACCAAGGCGAGAAGCTGCCCGCGCGTTACAGAAACAATTCGATCATGGTAGCAACTGCCGCTGGATTCACAACCACCTCATCGCTTCTTTCGTGGCTCATCTACGGTTTGACAACGTATGAAGGCATGCAAGAGCGTATTTTGCAAGAGCTCATTGACAATGATATCGATGATGACACAGTGCTGGACGCTGATATCATCGGCAAGCTCCCCTTCTTGGACAAATATGTCAAAGAAATGCAGCGCAAACACAACCCATCCTACCAGCCCGGTCGTACAGCACAACACGATCTGATTCTGCCAGGTGGTTACAAGATTCCCAAGGGTGGCATCGTCATCCCTGCGCTACACCACATCCACAACAACCCTAAGCTCTGGGACAACCCAGCAAGATTCAATCCCGATCGTTGGGACACCGAGGAGGTCAAGAACCGTCACCGCTCCACATACATCCCCTTCGCTCAAGGTCCTCGTGGCTGCATTGGATTCAACTTTGCGCTGCTCGAAGTAAAGATCTTCTTGCCCAAGTTGGTATACCGTTACCACTGGTCAAAGGTCGATGAGGAGGCTGTAGAGTACGATCCTTTCTTCCAGCTCATCAGACCCACCAACTTCATGGCAAGAGCGGAAAGGAGAGTCAAGTGGCCTGCAAAGTCTACCTAGTGATATGACCAACATGAATAACATAATTACTACATTACTCATCAACGTACAAGTCCAAGATGGCAAGTGACAATCTCGATTTCAGGTTTCTCAGCTATGATATAAATAATTGAATGCGGATGCGGCAAGCTTCTCAAGTCCAGGTAACGCTACAGCCTAGCTCGAACCTCTGATTTCTTTACTTTCCTCAGAGTCTGGATCTCGGGCATGTTGATATAGTCTGGCGTGGGGAAGTACTGTGGTCCCAGCACCTTCTTCTGAACCTTGCCAGTTCCACCCTTTGGCAGCTCTCCCTCGACAAGACGCAGCACGGTCGGTAGTTTGTAGCCGGCCAACTTGGATCGCAGGTCATCTCTCAACTTCTTGAGCGTCAAGGTCTGGACTGAGATGTTGGCAGATGGTTTGACGGTAATTGCGGCACCGACAAGTTGGCCAAACTCTTCATCTTCTACGCCTACAACCATCGCTTCGCCAACGTATGGAAGAGCCAAGAGTTCACGCTCGATGTCGATCGCCGAAATCTTGTATCCGCCTGACTTGATAATATCGACGGAAGCTCTGCCAATGATGGTGTAGTAGTCTCCATCTCGACGAGCGATGTCACCAGTCTTGAACCAGCCGTCTTCGTCGTGTGAATTGATGGTTGCCTCTTTATCGCCAAGGTATCTGATCATGGTCAGCTGGAATTCGGATTACATAGCACAGTCACATGCACTTACTTNTGCAAACATATATGGAGTTTTGACCAACAACTCGCCCTCATTGCCACCTGAAAGCTTGATCTCGACACCAGGTACTGTCATACCAACACATCCTTTGGGCAAGAGTCTATGATCCATGTCGGCTGGCACTTTCAGACAGCCCGGGAACTCAGTGGCTCCATATCTGGTCAAGATTGGGGAACCGTTCCTCAAGTTTGTCCAGAAATCTTGAACACCGTCTTGAAGAGCACTTGATCCGCACAAGAAAGCGCGGAACTGGTTCGCAGCTTTCACATACGGCAACTGCTGCTCTAGTGGAAGTTTCTGAACTTCACGTTCAAAGTACCACTTCAGACGCATGAAGATGGTAGGCACAGCAGAAAAGACAGTCAGTCCGCCTTGAAGCCAGCGGTCCCAGACCCATTTCGCATCGAAGCTTGCTGCGCCTCTAAACTCGATACATGCGCCTGCACAGAGGAAAGGGAAGAATGAAGTTCCGAATCCTGTTGTGTGGTGGACCGGAAGAGCGTGTAACAGGACATCATTGTGGTCGATGTCATAGCCTTCGCCAATTGCAAGTGCTGTCTCGTGAGTATAGCCGCGTCGGTGTACGACTCCCTTTGGTCGACCAGTGGTTCCGGAGGTGAAGATGACAACGCCAGGAGCTCTCTCGTCCAACGGTGCATCTGATGACATTGAGATGTCCACAGGAGTTCTCGTAGGCACCACGGGCAGATTTGGCAAAATGGATATCGAAACCAGATGAGGGTTGTTCGTCTTGGCTTGTGCGACCACTTTGTCTGCTAGTGATGTAACCGGAACACCTGCCAGCACTGCAACTTGATTTGACTTGTTGACGAAGTAGATCAACTCATCTACTGGGGCAGAGGGGACNNTTGGAAGATCAGCCTTGACTCTTTAATATATTCCACTCAACTTACACATTGGGACAACAGCAGCTCCTAGAGCCAGCGCAGTCAGGACTGCAACTGTGAACTCCCAACCTCCGGCAGCAAGGACACCAATATAGACCTCATCTCCTCGCTCCAAAGCAAGCTTCGTTTCTGGGGTCAAAGAGGCGCTGACGACTTCTCGGAATGTCAGGACTGCATCGAGGAGGTCTCCATATGTTTTCTCGAGACCAAGCTGGAGGTCTCTCACAGCCAATCGCTCACGTCGAGCGTGACGGATGAGCTTGCCAAACAATGGGCTGTTAGGCAATACATTCGGTCCTCTGTGAGGTGGGAGTAATGAGTTACGATCGTTTTTCATATTGATTGATGAGGAATGTCTAGCGTAGCGATAAGACAAGTTACGAAAGTGGACCCTCGAGATTTATTTGAACCAGTGTACAGATGTCAGGGCCGAGGATATGACCATGAGGCAGTGCGACCTGAACGGTACCCCGGACTTTGGCCTTGTCTGGAGACGGCATATTGGAAGGACGAGTTGGGTGGCTTCGGCGTTTCGGTGATTTCTCTCATCGCCTCCTCAATCCTCCCCACTCATACCCCGCTTGATCTTTCCTTGGCCTGGAGCACTTCGTACTATCTGCCGACCATATTCATTGCAGATACTCGCAGAAGTCATTCCCATTACAGCTCATCTTCGAATCCAATGTCTCGCCCTGCACCCACCTTTGCGAACCTTTCTCTTTCGAGAGAAGGCAATGTCTTCATAATCACACTCCAACGTGGTCAAGAGAATCGTCTCAACACTACATTATGCAACGAAGTCATTCAGGCTTTCCATTACATTCAGCGAACCCTGGGTCCCAATTCTGAAGGCGCAGTTATCACTCGTGGAAACAATGCAAAATTCTGGTGCACTGGTGTCGACCAAGATGAACGAGACGACAATCCCTTCGCCAATTCTGATGGCTTCTTTCCTATGATACACACGATACTTGATTTTCCTTTTCCGACTGTGGCTCTGTTGACCGGACATACTTTTGGAGGAGCATGTCCGTTTGCCTTGAGTCATGATTATCGGGTCATGAACAGCGATAGAGGATTTATCTCTATGGTAAGCAAATGAAGTCCACGTCTCGAGCCCCATCTAACGAATCTTGTTAGNCCCCCTGTCAATCTCGGAATGCACTTCCAAGGCATGGGGACACTTTTGAGTCTTAAGCTGTCACCGAAAATTGCTCGCAAGATGTTGCTTCAAGCACATAAATGGACCGGCAAGGAAGCTCTTGCTGATGGCGTGGTTGACGAGATCGTGAAACCAGATGTAATGCTGGATGCTGCGCTGAAAATCGCTCAAGAGTGGGCGCCAAAAGCAAAGGCAGGAGTGTACGGAGTCTTGAGGAACGAGCTTTATGGCGAGGCTACAAGATCATTCGCGCTGATCAGTCATGTACATTCCAGAGAAACCAACAGACGAGCACTAGTAAAGCTGTAAAGCAATATAAATCGAGATTGTACTGCAATTGTCATGATAGCATATCATCTAGATACTAGTGCAGACTGCAGTGTCAGCCTGTTGTATTCTTTGGTCGTGGGTAAGGGTGAATAGCATTCGACGAAACGACTACATGTAGAAGGATAATGAGTGCTCTGGTTTGTGCCACAATGATCCAAAGTATTTACAGCTTGTGCCTCTTCGCTCCAGTTCTAATCTTTTCGAACTCCTTCTGCGGAATGCCCAGAGCCGTGCGCTTGAGTCCTCCAAACAGTTCAGCGACCATTGAACTATCTATTTCTCTCCGCATTGAAGCCGTAACTATAGCCTTGGTCTCGATCAAACTCGACGCCACGAGGTGATCCCCCATAGTATCACGGATATGATCTAGCACCAGCTCTCGGAAGCGTTCGTCCTCGCCTTTGCCGCAATCAAAGATCTTGTTGATGAAACCGCATACCTCTAGATCTTTGGCTTGCAGACGTCGACTGGTCAACAAAGCTTCATTGGCCTTTGCCACGCCCATCCGCCTGATGAATCCGACAGAAGCACCTCCTTCAGAGATCAGACCCAGACTGGAGAAAGGTGTGAGCAGATACGTATGCGGTACACAATAGATGAAATCCGAGAAACTGATAAGAGCTGCTGCGATTCCGACCACTGGTCCGTTTAAGGCCGTGACTAGAATCTTGGAATGAGAGTAGAAGGCTTGTGTGTTGTTAAGGTTGTTGGCCACTGTCTCTCTGAGACCGTGTCGCCAGACATCTACTCCCGGAGGAGTTTTGCGGCTGATGGAAACATCGGCACNCACTGTTTGGATATGTCAGAGAATTGAGGATGATGCAATATGCAAGACCACATACGCGCAGAAGAATCGGCCTTTGCCTGTGAGCAGAGTCACTAAGACTTCTTCATGAGTCTCAATCTCTCGGAGACATTGCGTTATGCGGTAGAATCCATCCTTAGGCAGTGCATTCAATTTATCAGGACGATTGATCGTGATGATGGCAATGCGGTCTTGATACTCAAGGGTGACCCATTGCTCCAGGGGCAGATCGTTTGTGTCAGACATCTTTGCGGTTCGTGATAATTACTCCGAGTATGAGCTGTGTCGATGGCTTTAGAGGCGAACAACAATTCATGGTCCAACGTTCCTGCCTCGGTTGACGGTATTGCGGGTTCGAGTGTGACACTGCGGCAAGCGTGTACTCGGCATTTCGGCATTTCGGCGTTTTGGGACGGCGAGACACCATCCTTCAGGAATCTCAGCGCATACACAGGAAAGAACGACGTGAATATGAATATGCGGAAGGTGTTATGGTCGGCGAAGTTGTCTCATATTGGTTTTGCGCTACATAGTCCTTCAGCAAAAGATTAACACCGACGGCATGACATCTTCACACACAACAAATCCCAGTCCCCCATGCTTGGGAGATCGCATAGTACTAAAAGGAAACCGACTATCACGAAGACAAAGAGCGAAAAAGCATGCACTCACTGCCGAGCGCGCAAAGTTCGTTGTGACATCAACATCCATGGATGGCCTTGTACAGTGTGCCGAGAAGACTCTTCAGAGTGCATGATTGTAGCGAGGAAACGTGTGGTCCATCGCAAGAAAGTCGCACCCAGGTCAGTGGGGATGACTAAAGATGTCATAGATCCATGCTGATAGAACAGAATAGTCCGGAGCAAAGTCCACAGTTTAGCCAAAACCTGACACTCTCGTGGCGAGATGAACATGAAGTAAGCTTAACTCTCAGCAAAGGATGTAGCTTGACCCACAGACTGACAAGGCTTAGTTCGCGAGGGGTTCCAGAGACGGGATCTCAATCGTGGAGGATTTCGAAGCGAAACTTGCTTCAATGTCTGTCATTAGTACACACAAGACGCGTGTGGCGTTGTATCCATGCGATACCTTGCAGCTCGAGGAAGAAGCGTCTGCAGAAACCAATACTCCAGCAGAATGCCTGTACAGTCTGCAGGACTGCGCACAGTCGCTATACGACCGTGACCATGACGACTGGTCCTGTTCGAGATACAGCGATACTGAAAGTGACGCATCAATCCTTAGTCCTAGCTACGACTACGAGAGTCCTTATAATAAGGAGGCAGAACCAGGACATTGGGCATTCGAAGCGGATCAATGCATGCCACTAGAAGACACCATGTCCTGGCGAGAATCCGGGTTATGGTCCATCCTAAGCGAGGGAGGATGGCCGCGGTTAGATTAGAGCCACAGAGTTCAATCTGAAATGATTAGCCATTAAAGCGCCAATCCCCCCAGAAATACGTCTCATCGAACGGGATATCGAATAGACTATCATCTGGCAGTAGATTCAGATTCATGATTGCTGCTTGGCTGCTGCCTCCTCTCTCGGCAGTCAAATCCATCTGTGGCGGTAGTATGTCCGACAGGTTGAAATCAACGTTTTGTGCGGCTCTCTCCGCTTCAGATGCATGCCACATCCTGCAAATATGCAATGGAAAGCCCTCGAACAGTGGTGCTTCTTCGCGGCTGAGAGATAGTAGAGATCTTTTGGNGGATGCGCTAATAGGCACAGGTTGGTCAAGAGCTCTTTGTATGACCTTGTAAGCTCCTATAGCGGAGCGCCATCGATTTGAAAGTTGCTGGAGTGATGCAAGTATGGTCTCCAGATCCTTTCGTGCGGCAGGCCAGAGCCCGGGGTATGATCGGAGTGACCGGAGTACAAGCCCAGAGATGAATGCAAAAGTTGTAAAGGTAGGTGATAGCAGACCAACCAGATTGCGGGCTAAGAAATCTTCGTAGATACCTGCCACGAAAGATGCTGCCATAACAGCAGCTGGGCTGACATGCTCGCTTACAACGCCAGACCTTGCCAGGATTATGATGCTCGTGAAGTAGGGTACATGAAGTTGTCGTGCTAGAAAGTCGTGAGGACGTGCTTCGTACGACCGCGTATCGACAGAATATTGTGCTAGCATCAGTCGCGCTGGGAGCATCCGCGTCCATTTAAACAACGCATTCAAGACTTCTGTGCGTTTGCCGGATGTTATTCGTCTCCTTGCACATGTTTGCACAAGATCGCCCAAAATGCAGCAAACTTCAACATACGCGATAAAGAGCTCTCCAGTTTCTGGTGCATCAGCAAAATCATCCAAGGTTGGCATTGTTACGTCCGAGTCTTCGAGATTTACAGCTCGTGGTCTGCCTCGCGAGACAGAAATAAGAGAATCTCGCACNNCTATGGTTGTTAGCGGCTATAAGAAGAGGTCCGAGGTAGCTGGACTTACGACAAGACTCCACCACATCCGCCGTCGAATGGCCCTTTGTGGACCTAGAGGAGGCTCTTTGTGCAAGCCAATTTGATACGCTAAGCCCACGCCAATCTTGAGCCAGTATTCGCTGGTGTCATGGGAAACGAAAGCAGGACCATCCGGCGTGTGCCAATGCAACATGATAGTTGCTTTGATGACAGTCAATTCGTTCTTCTCGTGCCCAATCCAAAACAACGCTTTGGCCCGCTGGTAAAATTCAGCGGACGAAGCATATTCACATATAGGAGGAGACGGATTGACCCGACTTGCAGCTAAGAAGATGGCCTGGGATAAAAGTAACGAGCTTCGCTGGATATCACGAACGTGCGTCTCTGAAGGTTCCAGCAGGGGCATCCACGGAAAACAGTACTGCATGAAAGATTCTAACAAGCTTTCATGTAATGGTCGTGGAGGCATAGAAAAGACATCCCAAAGCTCCAAAGTTTTCTGTTCGATCTCAGATAGTCCTTGCTGTCGCGACTGGCCGTAATCACGTGCGGAAGTTTCGTCTATGGCATTATCCCCGAAATGATGTCGTCCGATATAAGTCGAGCTTCCTCCTGTACTGGGATCCTCTTGGAGAACTGGTCGTGTGACCACAGGACTGGCATCTGTGACGTGTGTTTCTGGTGCCGTCAACTGTGCAGTACCATCGAAGGAATCTCGGTGCGTATCCCAATTGTCTGGTGGCATTGAGTCAGCAGCCCCGGAAAGACTCTCAGGCCGTGTATTGGCTGTTTTGCGCTTCTTGCGAACTCTTGGCCTACTGACTGTCAGAGGGGCCTTGAAAGTGGACCGCGTCCAGGCTCGGTGGCCAATGACTAACTTACGCGCATTCGGCGCCTATCGATTCGCATTGCTCACAGGTGCCTCCTTCATTGGGCATTCGGCATTTGATTTTCTTGCTGTTGCAGCGCGCGCATGCTTGGATGTAAGACTCTTTCCCGGACATTAGTTGATCGCAGCACAGACTCGGCGTTCTGTGAGGTTGATGTGCTTCTAGCTGTCTGCGGGGGCGATCAAGTAGATTTCTTTGCCGAAGCTCCCTCCAGTTTTTGCCGAAGTTTGCCGAATCGCCGCTACAAGTTGCGCCCACGCTCCGACACCGGGTCTCCCGGAGCCTGGCCGCGGAGCAATCCTTCGACACGACGACCAAGCTTGACATGTCAGCTTGTCTGTATCCAAGTCACAATTCTCGAGCGCAACCTTTGAGGAATCCGGGTATTAAATCACATAGCTCTCTCGTGCAACGTTTACTTGTCTCGACTGACTACAATAAATGGCTTCAAATACAAATGTGATTAAATTTGACAGACAAACACCTAGAACGCCTTCATAGTCACGTATAGATCTGTCTTGTGTGACGCTTGATCTCTCTTTACTCCACGTAGCGCCAGCCCTTAGGAAGATTGTTTGCTTGCTCGCTCTCCTCCAGCTTCTTGTTGAGCCTCTTCACGTACCATTTGCATATCAAACAACCCAAAATACCCAAGACAGCGCCTGATAGAATCATGGCGCCACCCTNCTGGTAGAGCGGTGCTTGCTTAGTGAGCTGTATATCCTCAGTCAGTATCAGATAATCAGGTGCCAAAACGTTCATATCACTCACAAACAGGTAAGGGGTAAACCAGTGCGAGACAGAGGCAATCGAGTTAGTGATGGACACGACTGCGGCTCGTTTTGATCTAGGTGTGAAGACATTTGTTGTTTCCCAGGGAACATGAATCTGAATCATCATCAGTACGAGCACTTGACGACACTGGGGGTGAATAGCACTTACATTCAGACCGACGAAAGGACCTGCACACATGAAGAACATTCCAAAGTAGCGAACCCCCGGATTAAGAGTGCCAATTACACATGCGGTACCGACGATGGTCAGCATGGATGAACAAACAATGTGCCAGCAATGTTCTTTGTAGTGGCCTGCTGACCAGGAAATCACCAAAGTTGCGATATAGGCGAATACGTAGGGCGGGGCCTGGATCAAGTATGTCATGAGCTTGGAATAACCCAAAGTCTTGACGANTCTGTGCAGTGTTAGCGGGATCATGAAGCCAGTTGCGTATCAGACACTTACCGAAGGGAAGAAGTCCTNTTCGGACAGCGAGACGATGAGTCCGAAGTGCAGAACTGTATAGATCCAAGTGAAAGGGTCTTTGCAAGCAAGCCAGACACCCTTCCAGGCTGAGGTATCGTCGTCTTCAGAGACTCCACCTGAGGAGACGAGCATGCGGTACTGTGCCATTTGAGCTTGCTCCTGGGTCAACCATTTCACGCCGTGGTTGTGAGGAAAGTTTGGGATGCAGTAGAATCCTGCCAGGCCAACAAAGACACCGACACATCCTTCAATGATGAAGAACCAGCTCCAAGCAGCTATACCATGGATGCCTTGCATCGTGGTAAGAATTGCTGCTGCGAGAAGACCAGAGAAGACGTTGGATGCAATGTTGCCTGCATGCCAGATCGCCATGCGCAAGGGTGCCTCCTCTTTTGTGTACCACGAAGAACTCATCAAGCTGACCATTGGTAGGAAAGGGCCTTCAGCTACTCCGACCAGGAAGCGACAGAGGACAAATGACCATCCGCTGCTCATGAGAGCCATACATGCCGTAATGGCTGACCAGATAACGACGTGAATGGGCATCTGAATTTGCGGTCTGCCTCGGGCTAGATAGATGGTGGCAGGGAGCTGGGAGATGATGTAGCCTATAGAGTGTAAGCATAAGTCCTGCATATCATAATTGAGAGGCTTACCAATGTAGAAGGCACTGATTCCAAGACTGTACGTTGTGTCGTCCATTCCTAGATCCTTTTGCATACCAGCTAAGCGAGCGTTACCAACATTGATGCGGTCAAGGTAGCCCATCAGCAGCATGAGTGTAACNNCTGAGAGTGGTTAGTTGTGCGTTTTTGAGTTGAGGCTTCAAAATATGTTACTTACTACAGGCAAGAATATCCAGTCAAGTTTTCGAAGCAGTGTCTTTTCGATCTTGCGAAGCTCTTCGGGCGACTTATCGGCAATGAGTGGGAATCGTGATAGCCACTCGATATTGTGTTCACTCTGGACACCGACGACTTCGAGGTGTTCAGCGGAGAGGTTTTTCTTGTCGAGGCCCTCAAGGCCATCCATGGCGAAGGTCTGGTGTGGTCCGGCCATCGTTCGATAAGACCAGTAGTGTGAGGAGAGAAGGTCAATCAAGCTGATCCGGATTGTTGGGATGATGTATTAACGAAAGAGGATGGGAAGTTATATATTGAGTGTTCTTGGATCGCCCCGCAACTTGATACCCCATGGGGAGTTCTCCACGCCAGACTAGTGAGGTGGTCGTTGAGGAGGTGAAGTCGTTGCAAAGGCATTTCGGCGTTTCGGCGTTACACGTAGGTACCTATTGAGGTACATTTGACGGGACTTCCTCGTCCAGAACCACAAGCCCTCCCTAGTAATTTTACGGCAATAAAGATCTTGTCCGAGACTCAAGTTATCTGACAGAAGTTCTCGATTTGCTAGTCGCCGCGGCGGAACAGAGAGAGGAGGACGTGGTCGTTCGGTGCTTGCAATCTTTCAGGAAGCCTTTCATCGCTCTTGAAGGCATGACTTATCGCCGGCGCTGTCCAGATCAAGAGAGGATGTCGTGGATGTTCCCATAGTCCGTTTCATGAAGATTATCCGGATCGATGCCCTCGGCGACAGTTGCTGCTCCAGAGGCGTATCCTGTCCTGCGAACAACGGAGGCCCTAAGCCTCAGTCACGAAATTAAGACTTGGTCGACAAGATGCTGGTGAAGATCATGATGCATATATCTGCTTGCATCCTTCAAGTTCAGCGATGAAGTTTGATGAGCCTTTCATAGCTCATGGTAAGCTCCTGTGTCTAACAAGCGCTACAGCCCGACTGCGAGCCTCATATTATTCTGCCGGACTTAAAGCGTTGGTTAATCGCAATTACCATCTTGCATTGGAGGCCTAAGGTGGTAGATTCAAGGAGTTCTGTGAACATTGTACTTCTCGGAGAGGAGATGGACGATCATTGTTGCCCCACCAAGCCAAGCGCAGAACGATGGGCGCATCATTCGTGCTTTGCACTCCAGCTGACAAAGAACATTCTTACATTTACGGTTGTTAGACACGTCAATAATCTTGTCACGAAAACATGATATAGATCTGGAAACAGTCGTCTCCATGCACTTGAAATTGGCGCCCGCCGTTCCAGTCATGATCCCAGCTGCAGCCGCTCAATGGACAAGCACGCTCTTGTAAGCGCGCGTTTCACCTTGCAATTTTTTCGCGCTCATGTCAAAACCCTGTGGACTTTGCCAACCAGTCATATAATTCGCACTGTATATTCAAAGTAGAGTCCTAGCCTTTTGGTGCTCTTCGAGAATTGATCTCGATCACGTTGTCTTTCTTACCTTTTCTGCCCGTCATTGGACGGCGAGGCAGACATCGACCAGTCAAGAACAGTCTACTTGGACATCGCCTCCTCCCGGACCGTTCCTCGGCAAGATGACAACGAAACACTTGCGTGAGCTGGATACTAATGGACTCTTTTCTGTCAACCAGATCACAACTTCAAACACTGTCTCGGCCGAGAGTCGAGCTTATCAAAGGATCCTGGTACATGCTAGCACCCATGATGATGTTGATGAATTGCTCGAAGGTCTCAATCTCGCTGTAGCCAAAGGACGTGGCCATGATGCTACAATCCTCCAAAGACCTCTGAGGTTGGCTTTCCTGAACAGCGCTGTGTCGGTCGCACGCTATTTGGTGACGAACACCGATGTCTCAGTAAAGAGTATAGGACCGTCATTAGCCGGGGAACCACGCTCGCGAGAATTGCTCCAGATCCTTGTCGAAAAAGGTTGGGATATAAACAAGCATGACACTGATATGGGCGACGGACGTGGCGAGAGTCTTCTGCACTATGTCTGCGGAGACGAAACNNACTAGTCTCATGGGCTCTCGAGAATGGCGCAAGACCAGATGACCCCATGCCTACTGATCCATACCGATGTCCTCCATTACTCGATACCGTAGCTCGGAAAGGTTCTGTGGCCTCTTTCAAGCTACTCGAATCCAGAGGAGCAAGGCGTGGTTCTCGTACTCTTCACTCTGCGGTGGACGTTGCATTTGATGGCAACGAACCCCAGCTTGATATGGTCAGATATCTTGTTGATGGACTCAACCTCGACGTGAATGCACTCGACGCTCCAGAAGAGNNCTTCCAGACCACTGGGGTACTCCACTTTGTTATGCAGCGAGGTGGTCTGGTGGTAACGAGAACGTCGTTCGTTTCTTGTTGCAAAGGGACGCTGATCCGAGACTACGAAGAAATGGTCATCGCAGCGCGACAGAGACAGCAGAGTATTACCACAATCGAGAAGTTTCAGCTCTGTTGAAAGAGTGGGAAATGAACCGCCCATCGACAAATACAACATAATTATCTGTGCGATTTTGATTTGCTCACAGCTGTCAATCGGATTGGTAGAGTGTTATGATAGCTGATGAACGATTAGCCAGTATGGTCTCTGAAACTTGACATCTAAATGTGCGGATCGTGATTGATCGCTGAAGTAATACACCAATTGCATGACAAGCGACAGGTACTTAAGCCTATAGATCGTTCTGTGCAACCAACAAGTAGGCGGTGCACACTTCATACAACAGTCACCTGATGAACAGTGAATCCTGAAGGATTCACCTGCGCCACATGGATCAGCAGGCAGCCTGATTCAGTTGTCTGTGCTAAATTCATCACAAGTGCGGCGCCAGGCTGAGCAGGAAGATCATCACGAAGGAATGCAACAGCAGTCTTGGCTTGAGCGCCTAACGTACGCAGTCACAATTGCCAATGCTCGTCCTGATTTATTTCCGTTCGCCTAAGCCTTGAGCTCGGTGCACACATAAAAGGTCGCTGTTCCTCTGAAACACGAGTCCCATACCTGCTCGCAAACAATCTTCTAAATCTTGACACACAAAGTTGTCGATTACCGCTCATCGAGGACGAATACCCTGCAATTACACTGCATTTCATTCCAACAACAACAACAAACAAGCGAGACTCTCGGCAAAGATCAATCTTCAGCACGACAAACCCATCTCTACCAGCTTGCACTTGAACATCCAAAACTTCAACATCATCCGACACAATGTCCAAGACAGAAATCCCGCCACCATACCCAGCAACTGCCCCCAGCGCTGAGCACGTCACACCTCTCGGTGCTCTTGGAGCCACATCAGCGAGAGTCGACTGTCCTGTCTGTAGACAACCAGCAACAACCAGAACAACCAAAACGGTCGGAGAGAGAGCGTACATCTGGGGTGCCGTCTTGTGCGTGCTGACTGGCTGCCTGTGCTGGATTCCATGTGTAATGGATGATTGCAAAGATACGGACCATACTTGTAGCAATTGTGGACGCCCACTAGCCACTGTTGCTGCGAATGGAGGTGTCAAGATTTCGCCTAGTGCTGCGAGCGTGCCATCTCAGTACGAGAGACGAAACGAGACCATGACAGCTGCACCCTGATAGCTGCAAGATTTCATGACGACGAACACTTCTATGGAAAACGAAGAGCAAGTTGCTGGGCATTTTCTCTGGTTGATGGCGCTGGAAGAATGAAATGGGAATTTGGAAGGTCGGACGATAGGTTGAGCATATGAGTGCTCACTCGGTTCATGTTGGTAGAGCCACGAGGCTTGTTAGTTCTGAATTCAACCTTGGAAGGCGAGACAAATTCAATCGCTCTGCAAATTTAAATACAAAGTCAAGGCTCCCAGTGCCAAACCTGTGATCGTGAAGCTCTCCTCGTTGACCATGACAAAGAAAGCCTCTGCTCATACTCGACAATATACATACATCATCCACAACATCTCAGAGGATGAAGACGTTTTCTAGTATGCGCTTGCTTCGTCTTGAGCATTTGGCAGTAGACAGAAGGTGCGAAGTCGTCATGCAGAGTTGGACTTTCCTTCACAAGTTGAGCTTACTAAGTCCAGCGGCCCGTACCGATGGATAGCGCTCGAGCTAGCAACTGTCGTTAGCATTCGGAAAACGTTCGGAACAACCCCTTCTGCAAAGCACGAGCAAGCGGACCATTTTTTCTCTCTTTAATTCAGCACGAACAACCATTGTACAATCATGTCAACGAAAGAAGCACAAGAACAACTAAAACGTGAAGGCGAAGGCGCCCTTTCCACGTCCGAATACTGGGATAAACGCTACGCACAAGCCGATGGCGAAAATGCAACACACGAATGGTTTCGTTCNTTTTCGGCTTTGCTGCCGTTNTTGCAAACAAATCTTTTCGATGCTCGACCTGTAGATCAGAAGCCCAAGATCTTGCACTTGGGTAGTGGTGATAGCGTGAGTGGATGTAGGATTTGTACAAGTGGCTGGTGCTGATCAAGGATTAGNACAATCCCTTATGATCTTTCAGCACGAGGATATAAAGATCAGCTCTGTGTGGACTTTTCGCATAGAGTTGTCGAAGTCATGTCAGCAAAGGAAGACGATGGTGTAAGTTGGGCCTGGGCCGATATTCGTGATATGCCTCAGCATGGCAGCAACAGTATTGATGTTGCGTTTGACAAGGGCACGATGGATGCTATGATCCACGGCAGTCCTTGGTCTCCTCCCGACGATGTGAAAGACAATACTTCACGCTATCTGACAGAAGTAGGTGGCCTTCAAATACGTCTCAGTAGCAATAAAGCTAACCAATGGCAGGTGCATCGCATTCTGAANGATGATGGAGTGTTTCTCTACATCACATTCCGACAACCACATTTTATTCGTCCGCTACTGAGCGTCAACGACTTATGGAGTCTCAAGATGGAGACTTTGTCAGCTGGCGAAAGCTCATTTGACTACTATGGCTGGATACTCACCAAGAACACCGCTGCATCTACTTGAATCAAGATTGGAAGGCCGACGTGCAGCTGGCGATCTCAAACTTTGCCATTATTTCGACACGGCATTCGATCGTCATTACTCGAGAACGCGGCATCTGGGGGTGCACACTGCCTGTAAAGCAAAGCCATCCAGCTTGACGCTGATAGAACTAGAGACATGATAGCTCGACACAGCCGTGGATGGTCGAATCATAGATACCGAACCAGGAAAGCTTTCCTGCACTCATTTCTACGGGACTTGATCGAGCATCCACAGCTTTTCCAGCATTCTGTGTGGCTATCTGTAAGCCTTAGCTTGGAACCATACTGTAAATATTGTACATACAAAGATCATAGCAGATGACCTCATGACTCAGCTAGAGTGCTCATTCATCGTCAGTACATAAACTGATCTTGTGTGTTAGTCGAAATCAACTAGGCTATCATAACACAAGGTACGCATAAAGGAGAGACAGAAACTCAAGAGGAGAAAAAAGGAAATGTATTAATCTGACCTATCAACCGCCCAACCGTCAACCATACCCAAAACTTCCTCTGCCCAAAAGCCAAGACCGCATTTCTAACGACCTGCAGCTCTCAGACGGTCAAGGATGACAACAAGCAAGTAAGAGATCAGATTCCTAATAAGAGCCGCACCAAAGTCAAAGTGGACACCAGTGTAGATCCAGAGAATCAGTTTGACAGTGAGGATCAAGAGAACGAGGTAGATCAGAAAAGCACAGATGATGGTCATTGTTGATCTGTTTTAGTTGGGTGTGTTCGTGAGTGATGTGGATGAAGGAGTGATGTTGGCAGTGTTGATGCATGGTTATATATCAATGTGTGTGGACTGTCTATAGGACAAAGAAGAGATACTAAGACATAACGAGTCTCTCAGACTGTCAAAGAACATTGGAGAACAAGTGAGCAAGAACAATGAACAGAGGTCAAGACCCAAAGAAAGTGTGTCCAACACAAGTTTTTTGTATCCAACGTTGGATTCCAACATCAAGCATTCACTCACTCTCGCCCTTGTCACCATAGCATTTGTGCTGAAGAGCGTCCAGCTGTCAATTCAGGAGTCGGTTCTGTAGCTCACACAGCAAACTCGCTCGATAGAAACCTTTTCGCCAGTGTAAACAATTCCAGATGTGCTGAATCCGGCTCTCCAGCCGTGGTATAGCTTTGGTAGTTTCTCCCATGATTTGTGCCTGGTTCTTTCTTTATTCTTCTTTGCTTGATTAACGTGAGCTTCGCATCAACTAGCATGCGTGAGTTGATGCGAAGGAGCAATCAACTCGACTTGGCGCATGGCGCCGTTCAACTGGTATTAAAAGACGAGGACATGAAAGATGTGTCTAACAGGCGTAGTAGATTCTCAATTCTATACATTGATTTTGACCTTTCTTCTTCTTGGTCAATTCTTTTCGCTGTGAGAAGAAACAACAATCAGACTTCCAGACCGTCAGTCTCAGCTTCGTGCCTGTCGACTTCTGTACCAGTGACACCATACACCCGTATGGGCACAGCGACTTCGAATGTCTCGGCGACTAGTCTTTCTTNTGCGATTCTCACAACACCTCTCTCATCCCTGCCAACTTCTTCCAGCAGATCATTTTCTCTTGCCTCTGCCAATGCAGGCTCTTCTTCCGCGCCATCTGTCGCATTCTCTTCAATGCCCAATCCACTAGCTGCCTTTGGTCGTACTCGGGAGGTCACAAATTCGACCCTGACCCTCCAATCCAATTGGACACCCGTGGTCTCGAATGTAGGCGTGGCTGTGGTAGGGATTTCAAGTCTGAAAGACACCTTCTGAGCAAAAAGCACGTTCTCGCTAACATGAGCATGTGTTTTCTTCGTTGCTCGCTGCACCGAGGACGATGATCGCAATGCCAGACTCGGGTCTACGCGTTCGGTTGTTTCCAGCCACACGTTGATTCCATAGCTCGGGATCTGGTCTGTCGCTGATTCGAGCTCAGATGTTGGTGGGGTGAAGTCGATGATGCCGGTGATGATCTCGCCCAAGCGGTAGGCTGGCCGTACGATTGTTATTATAGCGACAAATTGACCGCCACGAGCAATGGTAAATCGATTGCTAGATTGCGTGAGCTGGTCTGATGATCCAGAAGATATGTTCGACCTCAGGATAGCCATATCTATCGCTTCTTTCATGCTGTTTGGTGTAATGTCTTCGAGCGATGATCTTCGACGTGATGGTTTTTCAGCCGTGGGCGACAACAGTGCACCGGATTCGGATTGAGGATGTTCCAACAGTTGATTCGTGTATGACCGGAAGTCTTCCAACAAAGAAGACGAACTTCTTCGTTCTGATGGTGACTTTGCTGAAGGGAATTGTGGTTTTGATCCACCCAGAGCAATACTTTGGCTTCTAGCCTTATCACTCAGCAACACGTAAGGAGACATCAAGTCATGGCCCAGAGTTTCTCCCCNGATCTAGAGACGTAAGCACAATGATGGAGACAGAGGTAAATACAACTTACTGTTGACGCTGCCAAGCACGCGAAAGGGAATCTCTATGTGCTTGACCTGCTGCTTACCGCCAGGCCTTTGAATACCGAGAGTCAGATGATACTGCACCTTGATAGCTCGTCCCTTATGAGAGGGTGGCAGTCCTCGTGGTAGGCGGAAGCGATATGAGTAACTCTTGGTCTCACCCGGAGCGAGCCGTAGATCAACGAAGAGGATAGATTGAGGTGTGCTGAGCAGTGGGATGGTTTTTGAGCTTGCCACGGTTCGCATCTCCTTGATGCTGCTCATTTCACCACCACCCAGAAGACCCCCTAGACTTTCGCCTATGTTGCCCCAACCAAAGCCAAACATACGACTCTCTCGCTTTGACTTTTCGACGCCTACAACACCACCGCCTCCTTGGCCACCCACAACACCTTTTCTTTTGACGTCCTCGAAAGGAGCTTGATTTACCAGTGAGCCATCAAGAATGAAGGAACCCATAGTTTGGACGTATCCCATCATCAATGTTTCTGGTTCTTTGCTTCTAGGCATGCTAGTGGGTGCGATTGGTTGATTACGTCCATTGATTGGTTTTGGGAGTATCCTGCTGGTGGGTGGTAGAGCTGCATCGGAGGAGACAGTCTCGGACGAGTGATTCGTAAGTGAATAGAAGTCACTGCTTGTGCGAGGAGTGTCGTTGGCGCCAGATTCGGATATAATGCGTGATAGCGGATTGGCGTGCGAGGGCAATACGTCTGGTAGTTTTGGAGAGGGAAGGTGAGGCGGCCTTTGATGGGGAGCGGGACTTCTCGGAGGGAATTGGAACTCGGGCATAGGAGCGCGACCCAGAGCAGGAGAAGGCCTTCTTGAAGTAGCAGGAGATTCGAGGGGGAAGGAGAATTCGGGAGGAGGAAAAGAGGCAGAGGAGGCGGATGGATGTCGCGGTGGAGGCATGATGTGGGAGGCGGAAGGAGGTCTCTGAGGAGAAGTGTTTATTGCAGAGGAAGGTTGAGCAGTGGTAGGCGAAGGGAAATTGAAGGCAGGAGTGCCAGGGGCGGTGCGGATGCCCGAAGTACGTCGTGTCAAGGGTGGATGGTGGTCTTGTAATGGTGAGGGATTTCTGTACGAGCTGAAAGACAAGGACGGGGTTTGGTATGAGGGTGTGCGCGACAAGACCTGCATACTGGCCGAACGACCATGGCCACGAGCAGGAGGACGACGCGAGTTCATGGAATTGGTCGTGGCAGCTTTGTCGCTACCCATGGAAATGATGGACAGAGAACGGCCATGGGTCGGGGCATGGCGCGCACTTGTCGTGGTAGTATTGCTGGCGGCATGGCTGGGAACTCTGGCATGGGCGCTTGTTGGCGGAGGATAGACGGTCAGGGAGAGAGTCGGTCGATGTGACGGCGTCCTCGAGCCGGCTACCGAGGGAGCGACCGAGGGAGCAGTCGACAGCTGATGGGTCGAGTGTGTTACGGTACGCTGTCTTTGAGCAGGCTTGTGACGGGACGCGGTCGTGCTGTCGTCAGGAGCTTGGTGGTCGTCGTCGTCGCAGGTGTTCCTGAAGCTGATGATGCATTCAATCTCCTCGCCAGCAAACACGCTGCTGTCCTTCCACTGCACATACGCGCGCACTTTGCTCCGAGTCGCCATGCCTCATGCTGCTGAGCTGTCCAAACAAACTCCCATTTGTTGATCGACCTCTTTGTTAATCTTGTAATTATGCTTCATCGTGACATGTTGATCATCTCTCCACATTCAACCTCTCGACCCCCTTATCTCCGTCTCTTCTCCGTACGTCAAACCCAATTCTACACCATCTTCACTGTTCGGTACACTTCAAAAGTAGACACGAAATTTCTATATTCTATCATAGTCTTGTACACCAGTCTCTCCCATGCGCTACCTGCCACCTACACAGTCCTGTCTCGACTGCCATACCCACGAACCCAGCGATACAGATTCCACCTGAATCCGACACTGACGTCGCACCTAGACTAAATTCTCTGTCGTTCTCTGCCACTTCCTCTCCAATCCTGCGGAACGTGCTGACGTAGACAATTCCTCCAAGTAACCCCTCCCAGAATGTGATTGCGAACACGAACCATATGTTGGGTATGAAAGGGAACATGGCATGCATCGCCAGGATTACCAGATTGAGACACTGCAGAAGTGAAGGAAGGTACAGCGCATGTATCCGAACGAACGGCAGAGAAGAGCGTGATACAAAGACGCCCAGTTGATAGATGGCATTGTAGGTTGGATAGAAGGAGCGATAGTGTTCAAAGGGTGTTTGATCAAGGGGGAACAAAAGTGTAGGTGCCACACCTTGATTGATGGTGTACTCGGCCACATATACGAGCAGCAGAGGCAACATACTGAAGAAGGGGTAATAGTTTTCAGCTTACCGTTCTTGATCACCACTACTGGACAGTGTAACTCACTATGGGAAAAAGAGACTTCTGGCTCTCAGGAAATTAGCCTTGAGATTGTGCCATGTCTCGGTCGGTTGAGCTCCTTGGCTGAGTTTGGGTGAGGCAGGTCGATGAGAATCGTCGACAGCATCATCCAAAAGTGACTCGGTATCTGGGTCTACATCCTCTTGAGCTGCTGCGACATAAGAGTGACTTGCAGGCTTGGCTGGCAGTAGAACAAAGAAGCTGAACAGCATAATGACTGGCAGGAAGGAAAAGACGAACAGGCTAGTTCGGACGCTGAGGCCTATGGCAGTAGTAGCCAAGACGTATGCGCCCGAACCGATCAAACCTGCACCGCCAGTTCCAGAGCCCCAGGCAGCTAGACTGAATGGACCGTAGAAGTGGGTAAGACCTAGGAAGCTGAGTTCACCTCCTCCGCTGCTTATGGAAGCCAGTATCACTCCTAGCATCTTCACAGAGATAGAGCCGTTGTTCGCGTTGGGGTCGGTCGAAGATGGACTCAAGGCAACAAGTAGCATGCCACACGAAGACAAGGCGACGAATGCTAGGATGCGCAAGTTGTAAGGAATGAGGTGGATGTAGTAGGGAGCGGTCAGCTTGACCAGGAAAGAGGGGACTACATCGAAGAGCAGAACGAGGGATTTTGGCACGGCGGGACCGACAAGGTCGAGAGCGGAACTGAGAATTATTACATAGAGGACGTTGTTGATGAGGCNCTGGTTGATGGTGTCAGCAGGAACCTGCAAGGTACAAGATTGAATCAGGGGATGTGACGGATGCTCACCGAACAACCAGAACGAGCCAACAACACGCTTGTCGACACCTTCAAACATGGTCGACAGCCTTTGGCGGAATAGAGCCCAGGACGACGAAGGAGCGCCTGGCATAGGGAGCATGGTCGGACGAGCAGAGTAGAGATGACAGCACGTTATGCGATGTGGGGACGTTGATTTGTGGTGACGCGCATCAAGAAGTTAGTTTTGAGTAGCGGCGGGCCCTGAAGCGTCGCGAACAGGGAAGAACAGTGTGCCTCGATGGCTGACCTCTTCTTCTTGCACCAACTGATCTTTGTCCTTTGCACACAGCGACCAAGTATTTCTTGCACCTGCTTCGTTCCTCAGCTCTGAAACAAGCCCGTGCCAGCATGCGCAAGCCCTGCAGCTGTCCATGGTAATCCCCTCTCTGTCCACTTCGTTGCCCAAATGTCTCGAACTATTCTAACACTCAGTTCCCGTGTCAAGATGGATAATCGACTACCACAACCCCCGACTCAGCCCTTTGCGGCCACCCACTCTGCCACCTCGCAGCCCTCATCGACGTCGCATACTCCTCAACACAGTCAAACCGCGCAGCCACCAGTCCAGATTCCTTTCTCAGATCCCTTCCACACTCGCGACCCATTCATGCCCTCGTCTACTCAGCACACTAGACGCGACAGCTACAGCATTGGTCCTGCGACCCCTGCCATGGGCACACCGTACGAAAGAGCTTGGAGCACACAGCCACAACCCCCAGGTACGACAATCATACTCCGATAGAAGAGCGCGTCTCGCAGGGCTGCTGTCGGTGTTGGCATGACAGGTCACAGCTTGAATCGCAGGGTTCAGCCAGCACCAGCACCAGCAGCCACGCGACCGTGCTTTTTCCAAAACCCGCCGATCCATCCGGGAAGCCCAAACTTTAATCAGAATGGTCAAGGTTTTCTAACGACCCCGGATTTTTAGCTCACACCCACCATCCCCAAACAGCTCAACACCAACAATCCTCCCAAGCATCCCATAACAATCCGCCTCAGCATCCCTCCTCGTCAACTCCCGCCTCAGCTTCTACTGCTGCTCACATGTCCACTGCTCCCTTCCCCTACGACTCTGCACGACGTCGCTCCGTAGGCAGTGAGCGCTATCCTGGAGGCATGTTCCGCTATGCCCTCAAGCTTGTCGTGAAGAACATGAGCTGACTCTGTCGCAGCGCCGCTCGACCCCCCTCCACCACCGCCTCTCTCTTATTCCTCCCGTAACATGCCGCCGCCCTCGCCCACTTCAGGTCCAAACTCTTCTGCATTCTCCATGCCTGCCCCGCGTCATACCACATCCGCATCGCCTTACGTTGGCTCGAGAGATCTGCCGCCATTCAACTCGAGACCTGGCGCAACCATGTCCATCTCATCCTTGATTGGCGGCGATTCCTCGCGCCATGGTAACCACTCGCCAAAGACTGTTGCGACCGCCCCATCGCCTCCTATGAAGCCTATACATCCCTCGTCTCCGCAAAGAGCTCGTTCAGCTAGCACAAGAGCCCTGAATGGCCACTTCCCGCGACCACTCAGTCCCACTAGTATTATGCAAGCCCAAAGGCAGTCGGATTCCATGTCTCAGCAATTCCACCAATCTGCTCTTCATCAGCCTCCACACATGTCTCAACACAACGCCGCTCCAGGCTTCCGTCCCTTCCAGTCGTCTCCTCCATCGGCTCAACACGAAGAACATCAACCATACCTAGGCCATGCGCCTTCTCGTCCGAACAGTCAACCCATGCACGCTCACCTCGACCAAGAGCTACGAAATCGCCAAGATATGCACGACCGACCTCCTCCGCGTCATCCTTCCGCCTTCCCACCATACGCCGACCACATGGGCAGACCTGGTCCCTCGTCGCAGCCGCCTTCGAGACCTGATCTCGAGCGACAGGAGCTCAACGGGAATGGCCATCACCAGCTCCCTCATACCATGTCGCACACAGCCCGTTCCACGCCCGCACCTCCGCCCCCACATCAGCCATACGGTCGCCTCAATTTTGGTTCTGCGCGAGAAGAGTATCCTGGATTGTTCCGTCCTGCAGTACAGGCGCCGACTAGGGAAGAGATGGAACAACGTGGTCCTCACAATGAGATGCTCAGTCGACCTGAACACCGACACACACCCACCATGAATGGCATGGATGATCGACAGAGGCCAAATGCCGCGCATTACGCCATGTATGGTCCACCGGGCTACGAAGCGAGAGAAGGAGATGAACATCCATTGCAACGAGCGTTCCTAGGTGTTGCATCAGAGATCAGGCACAAAAATGGACGCGCATCGCCGCTACCACAAGCAGTTCATGGAGCACAGCCACGGCATACCGGTCCTGGAGCAGATCCTGGCGTCAAAAGTGAGTTTGGTCGAATGTTTTCCGGTCTCGGCAGTGGTGTTGGTAGTAATACTCCCACAGCCGGCATCGCAACCCCTTCACGCGGCAGTCCCGCCAGGCAGGCCGATGCGAACGACGACACCGACAGCAGAAAGGCTCGAAGTAGATTGCGAGAAGATACTCGAGAGGACAGCGACAGTGTGGATGGTAGAAACACTCCTACTGCCAGTCAGAGGGGTAGCAAACGTCCAAAGACGGCGCATCCACCACCACCACCTCATCACCACCATCATCATGCCCATGCCCATCAGTGAGTATTCCGAAGTTCCTTCTTGATGACCACGCTGATGCTGACAAGACCCTCTAGCCATCACCACCATCATCATGGCATGCCAGAAGAACAAATGTCTCACGGCTCTGCTCCTTTCCATCCTCTCCGCTTTCCCTCTAACGCAAGTACGCCACAACAAGCTGGAAATGCTGCTCCACCTCCTCATCATCACCATCATCACCATCATCACGCCGTTCATGCCCATCCACCTCATCACCACCATCACAACGTGAGACCTCCGCCTATACCTTCGACGCGCAAACCTCAAACTACTGTCTCTAATCAGGAGTTGCTTACGTCCGTCTCGTCTCTGCCGCGAAAACACCTTGGAAGTCAAGTCTACTCCACCAAGCTTAGTCTGCCTCCAAGAGAGTCTACACCACTCGACTTCAAGTATCACTTCAAGAGCTCTGTCAAGCCGATCCCACGCTTTGAAGACAAGGCGAATTGCACTTTCACTGTTCGCGTTCCGCGCGCCTACCTTGGTGCCTCTAATGTCGTCGAAGAAGATGGTGATACCGTCGCTGGTGGCCTGGAGGAGATCTGTAAGACCCGCGCAGTCTGGGGATCTGATGTCTACTCGGACGACTCTGACCCTATTGCTGCCGCTGTCCACTCCGGCTGGATCCGTGGAGACTTTGGAGAGCATAACGAAGATCTCCGCGAGCTGTTCAAGGAAAGTCAAGCCGAAGATGGCTCCGAGACTCCAGAACTCGGCAAACTGTACACAGAAAAGCCCGCAAGACCACTACGTGCACCATCGAAGGCAGACTTGCACATCACACTGCTCATTCTGCCAGCGCTGACCTACTACACGGCCTCGACTCAAAACTTCCTGCGTTCTCGAGAATGGGGATCTGACCACGATGGTGTCAGCTACATGATTCACTCCATCGAGTTCGTGGAGGAGAGCGCGTCCAACAGATTCGTCGAACGAAGTGCTGCTGCCAAACATCAGCGCATCAAAGACGATCTCGCTCGTAGAAAAGAAGCAGCGGAAAGTCTGCTTGGGTTACTGCAGGGTTCGAGAGGGAACATGACTCCTGCTAGTTCTAATGTCTCTGTCGGTGCTTAGGGTGTAGTTTTATGATCAAAAGTAATAACGTTTTTCTCCCACTTCAGATTACATCTTTGTGAAGCCTTGATGTGTTATCGAGAGGTTTGCAAGCATTAGGATGAGTCTTAGCTTCTTCTAGTTAGCGCTGTGGCCGGCCGTCACGTGCAGGCTCGATTTAGACCAATCTTTTCCCTGTGCAGCATGCTGTGTCGAAGCTGCCTCTGTCCTCTTGACACTCGTGTCGAGCGTAGGAGGCGGATTCGAGTCTCTGGCAATGGAGAGTCGTCAGGACTGTCTGCTGGGTTCCGATTAGCGTATTGATACACAAACATGGTACGTGAGATATGGGACACGAAGACCCCCTTACCACTTGAGGAATGAGGATCGGACATGGAGAGCAAGCACTGCGGTACTTTGCAGCCATCTAGATAAGGGAGCATCGATTTGAGTTGTCGATAGTGACTCCATCCTTTCTGGTGTCTGTGGATTTACAAGGGTTGGGCGGAATTGATAGCGTTGTAGAGCATACTCTATAAACTTATCAAGTTGATTGGAACGGAGCATGTGGGCTTGATTTTGAGTCACAAGGTAGAGATTTACGTTTGAGAACTCACAGTATGTATGACAGAGACAAGCTTCCAAGGTAGATGGGGATGGTGGTAGAAGTGGGGGTGGAATATGTAGGACAGGGTTTTCTATCTCACTGGGCACCATGATGCAGGACGGGACAATCGAATCTCAGTGTCAAATGTGGCATTAAATATTCTACATAAGGGAGGCACAAAAGAAAGGGAGGAGAGAATGATAATACCTTGACCAGCTTATTAAGTAACAGCATTCTGCTCTCCTCCCCAAACAACAGGACCCTAGGACCTTGTTTGCCNAACACCGACCTCTGAATCCAAGTTTGCAACTTTCCCTCAAAAGAACAAGAAAACAAACTCCCATAAAACGCCGAANNAGAATAGCCGCAGAGGCGGTTGCATTGGCAAAAGGTAAAACCTCTGCAATGCAAGCGACTTATGAAAACCAACCCCATATCCAGAGGACAGGGATATTGCTTTTCTGAAAAGTGNGACAGCCGCACTCAAGCCATAATATATCATAATGAAAATTCGCAATGAGAAAACTAAAGTTCTCATGGAAAGTCATAACGCTCGTTACCAGTCAGCAAAAAAACTGAGTCCAGTCCTCCTCGTTTTTCCCACAAAGTAAGTCGGTCTAGGGGGTATTCGCGGGAGTGTCTGGAGCAGGCGAATGAGCGCCATACCCCATATGTCCGGTCCAGTATCCGGTTTCCAATAAAAGTTGCTGCACACAAACACAGTGCTTCGATGGGTGGGTGATGATCTGGGTTCTCTCTTTTCTGGGAGATGTCTTCTGGGTGCACGCGTGTGTGAAAGTTGTCTTCCAGGCATCTCGTGTTGGCGTCCTTGAGAATGTGCTTCATCTCGTTTGGCGGTTCAGGCAGGGCCACATGACGGGCAAACGAGCACCAAAGGGCAAGCCAAAGAAACGGCAAGACGAGGACAAGAAGGCAAGTCCAGACGTTGCGTAAGCAGCGAGAAGAAATGTCGCAGAACAAAGAAAGAAGCGAGAAAGCATCCCGACACANNGCGGTATCTGAGAGGGCAGCGGGTNGTTTGGAATCGTCGNGTAGAGGGGCGGGATGGATGGGGCTTCGAGTACCGGAACATTACCACTGTCGAAACTACGACTCTCATCCTTGATTGTCTCTCCTTCTCAACCAGCCTTCAGCTCAACTGCCAAATGTGGTGGGCGGGCGAAGCACCAATACAAAAGGGAGGGCGAGGCATGGGAGGAGTGGCATAAGCACTACCGGAAAAAAGACGGATGTGAGGAATTTCGACAACGCAAAAGTCGAGCGCGCCAAAGCTGCAGCTCGAGACATACATCAAGAGAGAGCACAACACAGTGACGACTCCGATCAATAAAAACATTTTTTTTTCTTGTTAACATCAGTTTGTAACGTGCACCGACCAGTCCGAAAACTGATCATCACGCTTCTTCTTCTCCTGCGGAGGAGCGGCATCTACTTGATATGATCAAGAAACAAGCAGCATCAACTCGGGAGGAGAAGGAAAGAATGGGACTCTGGAACACCAAGCCAGGTCCGAGCATATTTAAAGTCTCCCTATATGCAGGTGTCGACAACACCCGTAGCCCACGGGTGACTCAGAAGAATTCACGCGGCCAACGGAGTTCAAAAGGTCATATGTGAGCCGATAGCAAGCTATCACCGGGCATGATCGGCGAATGGATCTTGTGGTTGCAAACGAGTGTTACTCCTTTGCGGGCTGGATGGAGAATTGTCGACGGGAGATACGACTTCTGCAAAGTTGCCATGACTGCTGGCACGAATGTGTGTAGGTCGACGTGTTGCAGCTTCGACATTTTGGGCACCGACGAAACCAACCTTTTCGCTCGGGCTAAAGCCAGAACTCAAGATGGGAGACGTGACGCCTGGGTAGTCGGAAAGTTGAAATTTGCGAGGCGCAAGGGTGTATGATTGGCCATTGAGACGGTTTGCTGAATTATCGCTAGTGTCGACGGTCGTAGCACTGGTTGCTTGTTCGTAGGTAGGCACTCGCGAGGAGATCGAAGAACTTCTGCGAGAGAAGCTGGTGCGTGATGCATGTGTCGCAGAGAAGCTCTGTGGCGGCATGCTCTTGAGCTCTTTGGGGTACTGATCGGCTGGTGCTGTTTCCTTGCTAGCGTGAGCCAACATGTAACCAGCTCTGATAAGTCCGATAAACACGATCAGCACCCAAATGAGCAGGACGCAAGTTGAGATGATAGCTTCTTGCCTCACAGCCTTTTCCAGTGAACGAACAACAAATAAGATGGCCCGAGAGATTTGGTCACCTGCATTAATGGTGTCTGGTTCAGCGAGCATCGAGCTGTTGCCCGAAGAGGTGTCGTTCATCTTGTCCATGGTTCCGAGAGAGAAAGTGTCGTTGTTGACCATAGGAAAGTCAACATGAGCATGATCACTGACCCAGGTCAAGGCTTTCTGTATGCCTTCAATCTTGAGCGTGATCAGACAATTCACAACTTCTTGAACAGGATCTTCAAGGACGGTGCCACCGAAAGTGGCATTAATCGCGTCATTCATCCCATCGACAAAGATGTTGAGAGTGTTGTTGACTGCCCCAGTCGTACTATTGACCCAGCCAAAGATGTCTTCGTTGATTTTGGTGTTGGTTGCTTTGATGACGTGATTGGTATTAACAGCCCATGCTAAGGAAGCATTGTTGAGTGACCATTGCACCTTATCAGCAAAGGCATCCACTTTCTGGGTAAGCTCTGGGATTTCTTTTCTGATTGTCTGGAGTAATATGTATTGACAGAGACAACCAAGAAGCCCGGCAATTGCAAGAGAAAGAACGAACAAGGCTGGTGTTGTTGTGGCATAGGCGACTGTCCATCTCACAAGTGTCCGTGCACGGGTCGATGAGAAGTGGTCCGAAACTTTGACACCAAAGTCGGCCGTGTATGGGCGTGAGACAACGTAGACAGCGTCCATGGGGTCGTTGATATGTTTGATAGCTCTTGCTCGGTCTTCTTGTAATCGCCAGCGACGTATTTCTCGGTAAGCCATGGGGACGCAGGCAAGGATTGCAGCAATGATGAGGACAGAAAGGAAAATCTTCTTTGCGAGCGTTATCACATCTGCGAGGCCATCAAAGAAATCATTGATGCCATCATCGTCGGAGCAGAATATGAGCTTTTCCTTTGGCGGAACATGAAACATTGATCGATTCATGGTGTATCTGCCCATCGATTCATTGAGCAATTTCTTGACCTCTTCGAAAGGGAAGCGAAGAGCCGTGTTTGTTGCATTGTGAACTTCAGCAAATGTCGGAATGGAGTCGTTCAGTTTGTCTAGCCCTTGGTCGTATCCAGAAGGAAGTTGCAAAGCGTCGAGTTTGGCGATTGATGAGTTCAGGTTGATCTCAGGAACATCGACATTCTTTCCAGCGAAAAAGCTGCCAACGTCTTCAATCGCGCCAGTAAATTTGTTCATGGCTTNTTGAAAGTCTTCAACAGCATCACCAAGTTCGGTACCTACGCCTTTGGCGGTGGAGTTCAGGAAGTTTCCAACATCCTCCGCAACATCGATGGCAACGTGTAAGCTACCACCAACGGCAAAGGTGAAAAGACAGACGTATGTTGAGGTGAGAAGATTGACGTAGAACACGAAAACCTCCTCGAGTACAGTGATGCTGAGCAGAAGCATTGACATCAGCCCGTTAATAGCCTTCTCGATTCCTGATGCGGTGAGTTCGTTCACGCCAGACGACATGTAGTAAGGCATGCTCGCCATGGCGCTTCCGACGTTTTCCACGCCAGTACAAGCAGAGAGAGCCTCTCTTTNTGCGGAAGTTAGGTTCGTATTCACACTTCCGATAGCGAGTAGTGCCCGAATCAAGACGAGAAGGATCAGGATTGTCCAGCGGTTGATCCAAACCTGCGAGAGTCTAGCTCGAAGGCCAAGGTATGGTGTTAGGTATGATGTTTGATCGGAGGACGGTCGTGGTACATCTTGCGTAGCGTAGTAGTTCCGCATCTCATGGTCGCCAGCGGATAGAGAAGGAGGCGCAGCCGGAAAAGCATGCTGTTGATTCTCTGCGGAGGACATGGTTGAGGAAATGGAGCGTGAATGTCTGACCAGCAGGATAGGTGTTAGTGGAAGGTGAGAGCACGAAAATTGTGGCGCAATGATCCAAGTCTGAAATGCCAAAAGTTTGTATATACAACGCAATCAATAGCGATTGTCGGTAGAAGTGAAGATATGAGGATGAAAGGAGACAATAGCGAAGTCGATTGCGGAGCGTACGAGAATAAAGACAATGGCTGTTTTTGAATGACAACAAAGAAACACATGCATTGGCTTACCTGGTTGTCGGTCGTAGCCCAGTCGTGCGGCCACAGACCTCGCTGTCTGAGACTTAGAGCAAGGCTCCAAGTCAGTAGATGCACGCGCCATTCCACTCAAACCAGTCTCTATTCTGGGATCTGGGAGTTGTTTCCTGCCAGAGCGCTGTTTCTATTAGCGCCCTGTAAGAGGAAAAGTTGACGGATTCGTAAAGCTGCAAGTCGGGTCTTTGATTGGGCGGTTAGAGTAACGCGCATGCGCGAACAAAGAACCACCCAACCCAAAGCCCTCACGTTCTGTCTATTTCAACACGCCGAGGCATATCTAGCAGACAGGACATGTTGACCCAGTTGTCGTTAGCAGGGCGATTCCGTATCTCGCCCTGGGAGACTCCTCGTCTACGCACGACGGCGAGTTTTGAGACGAGAAGCCCGAGGAAAAAACATGAGCGCCTCGCTGCCGCTTTATCGAAATACACGCTGACGTAGCAGCCACATGGCCGATTTGTGGCTGCGCAAGGAAGCTCTGCTTGTACGCCACAGCTTAATGCACGTGCCAACTGCTCGACTTCGTCCTCCATCTCGTGAAAGCTTGCTCCTCGATGACAGCCCTGTCGAGTTACACAAACTTTTCCAAAAAAAATCAAACATCACTTGGAAACGCTCCATCCTATTGATGATTCAATGGTACAACGAAATAACCATTACTCATGTCTGCATACTCACGTCCTTGCAATCGTTCAGAGACACAAACAAACATGTACTTACCTGGTCCAGCACTGTCCAGAGCCATGCTCAAGATGTCCAGGTTGCAAACCGTTCAAGACGACTGTCGAATCACAGAGTATTGTCTAGTTGATCGCTCACACCGCTGAGATGATCTTTTGCCGTCCCAGGCTCACCTCTCGTTCTACGCACTCCCTCCGTCGTGATTCTCCAAATTGGTCTTCGCAAAGACACACAATGGCGTCCCCAAATGCTTTCGCGATGTCGAAGGCTCCACAAACCTCTGTCTCGCTACACCGGGCTCCGTACTTCTCCATCAAACTCCCACTTCGCTAATCATATCACGCTGCTTGGTCGAAACACACGAGGATATTTTGGTCGTGGCAGGGAGACCTGGGATGTCGGTCTTCCTGTGTCTTCCCAAGGCCCCTCAGAACAACGAATGGTAAAGTCAAAATCAGGCGATGCCAGAGCGCAAGATCAGTGACCGTGGAGTGATGGTCAAGTGAGCAGAAGATGCGAACTCAGTAAACACCTAATACTTGTCAAACAATAAGGTAAGTGAATGATCGAACAATAGAAAGTCTTGCCTGCAAGTCAGTCGCTGCCTGGTTATCGCTGCCTCAGGTGATGTCCTCAGACCCGCGTTCGAATCCCGATCAAACCTTTCCTTTTACATCAACGTCCACAATGCATTCGTCCACNAAAAAGTGGAAGGCGCCCCGGGTCAAGGCTCGTGAAGAGGGCCAACGCAGACTCAAAGGCAGAAAGCATCTCTGTCCTGAATCACCATTCTTTACAGAACACTTCAACTTTCAGCAGCAGGAGACAATCATGCTCAAGGAGAAGGAGATGTACCTTGAGAGACATGTGCCCGTTACCATTCCAGTCAAGCCTTTCGGTGGAAAGATCTTTGCTCCTTTGGTGNNCTTGGAAGTCTTTAACGAAGACTATCAGTACAGCGATTCGGCATCAATGGAGGGAAAGTTCTTACAGACCTCATGCAGCCCAGTGCTCTGCATGTCGACCATCTGGCAAAAGGATTTCGAACAGAACAAGTACTTTGTCTACCCTGCCAATGCTTACGCTACTTCGACCGTCGCCCTCTTCCCAGGTATCCAGGAGCTCAAATTCGAAGGCAATGACAGGATCGCCAGCAGCATTGACCATCGTCGTTTCTTACCTGTCCCTCGTCATCCTTGCAACCAATTTGTGAACTGGACCGTGCGACCATACTTGAAGCCTCACACCTTTGACGAGATCATGGAGAGTCACGCTCCCACCGAGGAAGAGATCTTTACCTATGATTGGGAGATCGGTCTTCCCAGCGATGAAGATCTTCAAATCGGACTCCCAACCTCGGTCAACAAGGAGAATGGGGATTCTGGAGGCGAAGATTCGACCAACAATGACCCTTACGATGGCATCAAAGCAACTCGTCTACTTGGTCACGACCTTCTTGCAGCGCTTGATCCCCAAAACGTCTATTTCTGACAGACGCTGAAACTCAAGTCCCATCGTACACGACCACCAAACCAGTATCGATATTTCTACACCTTGAGTCCGTCTCGTCAAATCTCGACCTGCATCCAACCTCTCAAGTTCGCCTTGATCCTGAACATACAACTCAATATCGATCTCGTCATCAGCCTCATCTACCTTCGTCATCATTCCTCATGCCCAACAACAATCGCACCTGGTCAACCTGCGCATTGAGTCCGCGGCTACCACGTTTTACCATTTCACGAAACATCATGATTCTTCCACGACATTCCGATTCGCCATCGAGCTCAAACTTCACGAGCCTTACGACTTACGATTAACGACTTACGACCTACGACTTCATGCACTTGCTATTTCGGTTTTTCTTATTTCACAACGCGATTCTCTGCACGTTTTGCCCATGCACCACGGTGCACGCTTCAAATGAGAAGCTTGCTCGTCCCAATGCTCGAATGCGAGCAAGTTCTTGATGTTCTTCGCTTTTCACAATCGCAATGGCCTTTGCAATTCTTGATCTTCGCGAATTTGCTTTCATTTCTTATCTTCGATACTATGATACCCGACCGGCACGAGCACGAAGGAATGTCTTTCCGTCTTCATCATTTCCACTTTCGATATCAGTTTACAATCTCCAAGCCGTCAAGTCAATGACCCATCTATTCCTCGCCAGTGACTATGAACAATGCTGATGTGGCCATATCGTGATCTCGTAGCCTGTATCTTATGCGAAAACAGTCGATGCACATCTGAACGATTACACATGACAAAGCTTTGTTACACATATTAAACTCGATACCTTCAATGAGAGCTTTGCGAAACATACTCAAGCGCGCTCTCAGAATCCAGCATATTTTCGCTTTCCTTGACGTGCGTTTGTAGATTCGTCGCTCGGCTCTCGATTGTAGCATGTCCCTTCTCATCAGCTATATACTGACCCAGCAGTAGCGACTCGTCCTCTCGCAATCTGGGCACAGTCTCTTGTGTTTTCTCCCAGCGACCATATCCAGCACCTTCCTGCGCCATACGGTGCAACTGGAGAAAATTGTCCAATTTCCAAGCTTGCTTGGGATAGCNTCTGCGGCCCTGGCACCAGCCCACGCAAGTGTCGACGAAGAAGCCCAGCAAGATGATCACGCTGCAGATGCCAACAACGACTAGCACAGCGATGAAGTTAAAGTTTTGGTGTGTGTTGCTGCCTTTTATTTNTTGTGCTGCGCAGAGGTCGTGGTCGGAGCCCATCAAGGGCGCTTGAATGTAGCCGCCCAGAGGCATGTTTGAAGGTCCTGCAGCGTATTCGACTATCATCTGTTGCATGCGTGCGAGAGTAACGCCGAACCAGCCGTCGACTTCGATCTGCCACTGGTTGTTGGGTAGGGCCGGCGACTGGAGGACTGACACTAGCTCGTTTGCGCGGAGTGCCGGCCCACCACGCCCATTGACTGAATTGTAGGCGTTTTGGAACATCATGTTGTTGGTGAACCGTTGAGCAACTGCTTTCTGAGTGTCGGTTAAGGATAGATAATCAAGGCTCTCGATCACCGAGTTGTAGTCTGCCAATTGGGAGCATTGCGTTGAGGTGCATATCTGGACCTGGTCGGTACAACCTATGACGCTGGTGAAGTAATCCCCAAGGTAATAGGGTATTGAAGCGCTACCTAGCGAGATCTCTCTTGCTATGTGTGCGGAAANAACGGGGTCGTCAACCGGTTCGTTGTATTTGATCGAGTTCTGGTTGATGAAAATGACAGAAACATCTGCATCGGTTCGGTTTAGCTCGGCGATGGGCGCCCATGAGTTGAATTGCCTGGGATAAGCCATGTCGGCCCTAGAGANATTGTTAATGATAAAGTCCAATAAGGTTTAGTGCGTTACCTACAACACTCCATATCCAATTCCTACGCGAACAGATTCAACAACATACTGGTTGGTGAAATTGACTGCTCCCCCAGCGTTAGAACCAAAGTAAATATTGTCGACTTTCAAATCACCAGCGTCTGGCGTTTCGAGGGTTTCTAAGCGTTCGAATCCTTTCGTGTGCAACGGTGCACATGTCCTTTTGAGACGATATTTCAAGCTCTCTTNTGTGTTGAGTCCAAAGTCCTCCAAAGAATCTAGGGCACCTGTATCCATGCTGTATGCAGCTGTGTTTCCGCCAATGCACATTCCAGCTGCAAATGGGCATGTCTCGTTTGTGTTAATGGTCCAGGTCAGGTTGTCTTTGACGTACAACCCACAGCCTAGCAGGCTGTTTCCGTCCTNGTAACAGTTTCTAGCATAAGCTGCGGCGGTGTTACCATCGTTGAGAACTTTTGTTTGCCAACCCTCATTTCCAGCAACAGTCGAGCTAGGGAATCCCCACACACCACAGTTTCCATTTGCAATCAAGACGTCCTGTCTTCCAGGTTTGGTGACTCGAGATGAAAATAGCCCAGCTGCGACAAAGACCAGGCTGTGGATAGATGCCATGACTATGAGCTTCCATGCGCGTTTAGAGCTGGCGGGTTTCATCTTCTTCCAGGTCAAGGCAGTCTGAACAAGCTTCCAGCTGGCACCTATGGGAGTACCGGTATTTCGAAGAATCGCTTGCTGTTGGAGGAAAGGGGCCTCTTCGTCGTGGTCCTTTCGCTTTGCTCCGATTTGATGAGCAACAAAGCGCACGATATCCCAGAATGCTGAGCCAGCAAGTCTAACATACATTGCTAGAAAAGCGACAAGGAAGCCTCCCCATATCGTCTTGAGAGTGAGCGTATTGTAGGAAGTTGAGCTCGACGACCAATCGGTCCAGATCCCTTCATAAACGTTGGCTTGTGAGGACATGATCGGCTGCAATAGCGAGGAGATGATTCCAGGCTCTCACCCTGTGAAAATGTGTGGATTGAAGACTAGTCAGATAATTGAAATGATAGTGCACAGTATGAATGACAATTCCAAAGCTCTGATTTTGTACTCTGGCAGGCCATAGTAGTGAGGCATGTAGGTCATAGTTGCGGACCAAGGGCAATCGTGGAGGTCAGCCACCGTGGACTAGACAAGACGGCAGTCATGGGAACACTCAAAGATGACTGTCGGTAGAGTAATCCCCTCAGCTCTACTCGGGTAAGTTTGGACTCAGCCTCAGTCCGTTGAGTTTTCCAACGAGGTCTGGACTGGGTACCGGACTGGTCAATTCTCCAAAGCGACTCATGGGAGATATCGATGCTGAAGGTGGCTTTCCGAACGGGTCGACAAAGAGTCCCAAAATTGACCTGCTGTCGCTCCCTCAGCCGCATAAGGACCACCACTAGCGGAGGCGGGAGGCATCCGATAGGTATGCATAGTAATTGGTTTCTTCGTGTGTCGGATTCTATTTTGCGTAGCTGAAATTGTTTGCATGGTTGTTGTTGCACTAGAAAATGCATGTGGAGTTGACGCATCAATACCTAGTCGTGACTTAACGAGAGATTGCTACTCTACAGACCATTCGTATTGTGTGAGCCCAACTTCTATATTCGCAATCATATCCAAGTTCAGGACAGAATGTCTTCTCATCGAGTGACAACGACTCGATAGAGGATCATCTAGCCTACTCAAGTATGCTCAACTCGAACCGTCGGTGCCGTGTTGGTGCACAGACCAAAATTTTCAGCCGCAGCTTAAGCCCTTCCAGACTAGAGATATTTTTGGACCGTAAAGACAAACCCCCAGTTTAAAACGCTCCCTTCGGCTTCTTGATCGTGCGGCTGAAGGGCCAGCAACTTCACACGAGCTGTACCATCGCATCCCCTGTGTTAGTGCCATGCACCGTGCAAGTCCCGCGCTCAATATCTGCACAGAGGGCAGGGACACCCAGAGTCTTCACATCACAAACCCCACCTACTCAATTAAACAAAAGCCAGCCGACTTGGATAGATCGACCCGCATAAGAATGTTCCGGAGATCGAACAAATCCTCTCCCTCAAAAGACAATCAGCTGGCTCTATACCGTTGCTCTGGAATGCTGTACTTTGCAAGACGACTATAATCCAGACATGAGATGCCAAGATGATCTCGAAGTTCGTCACAGTAGACACAACCATACCAAGCCCGACCATTTCTGCCTCTAGCTCGAATTGTCAGCCACCTCAATTGTTCGATACTCCACGGCTGAACCAAGGCTGTGTGGTATTTGAATCCGGACGTCAACTGCAGCATAAAGTTAGTGTATCGAGACAATGAGTCGTGACGGTTTCGGTCTTCGCTGGTGTACCTAACCTTTTATCGCAGGCTTGGCAGGCACAGCTAAGCTGCTCATCTTAAAGCTCATTGGTGACATCTTGGAGCACAACCTCTGTATCCGCGGTAGCCAGCTTCAACGCTACCTATGCGTTGTTGTCACAGACCTCAATTGTAGCTAGAGACGAACTTAGCTCTGAGTAATGTCAAATGAGGTGATGATTTGGCTGGCTGTATGTTAGCTAGAACCTCAGCAGACTTGCAGCTATGGGACCATTGGATGTCTCGAGCCAGCCTCATGGCGAGGTTCAGCAAGTGCTGCGCCAATACGGGCAAGGTTCAGATCCGTCCTCAGCTCCCCCACCTGGTTTGTTCTGATTGTAAGCACCTGAAACATGCTCGAGATGCATTAACCTTCTAGAGTATGCATCCTCGATCTTTATCACGGCTGCAGCATGACTACCCGGCTTTCGTAGTGTGGTATCAATTTCCGTTGTCACGTTGTACAGCTTTGAGCCCACCGAAGGCAAGCCTCAACCTAGAGCCCAATCTGCCCATACTTGTCTCGATTACATGTTGCAGCAAGCCACAGGTCGAGCATGTGGCCGCCGCCAAGCTCAAGACTGTGCACTCAGACTTAGATTTTCTTGCACATGCTTTTCAAGAATCTAGATTGGGGTTGGGCTCATCCAAAAGCAACATGGGAAAATATATATCCTCACCACATTACCTCCTTAGAATTTCTCCTGCAGACACATCATTCCCGGGGTGAAGGCCGAGCAGTCTGTCTTGAGCTTCAACATGGGTTACGAGATCTCTAACACCGTCGTCACTCCAGGAGGAACTGGAACTCCCCCTCTACCGAGTTTCAACGTCAGCTTGCGAATACAACGCCTATACCGACAGTGCCGGCTGCTCTTGCATCATCTACACGGATCCTCACGACGACTTCTACACGGTCTGTCAGACAGACTCGGCCCAGACAGCATATTTCTGGACTGGTCGAGATGACTGTCTGGCTGAGCATGACGAAGGCGCAAATGTCAAGCTCATTGATCAGAACGGCAACGTCGACTCTACCACTGGATCACAATTCTGCTCCGGTGTCTTCGCCTCAGATCCGCAAGTCCTGCAGACGGTCTTGTCCATGCCAGTAGGGCCAGACGTCAACATCGCAGTGTCGGCCCCATCATCGACGTCGAAGGCGGCGGGATCGTCGTCCACTTCGAGTTCAACAAGTAGTGGTTCCTGGACCACTAACTCGTTTACAGGTCCATGCATCTGCAAGCAGACCATGTGCAGTGCTTATGGTTGTGGATCTACACAATATCATACCCTGGACGGCGAGGTTGATCAATGCACAAGCGGGACTACAAGCGTGGCTAAGCAGGATGGAGGACACTATGGCTGCTTTATCGATAATTCGAATAGCGTGGAGAGCCTGATTTGCGAGTGCAAAGCTGTTTTACCTGGAATTTCGTCTGCATCATCGGTCTCATCTGCATCATCGGTATTACCATTGCCACAATCCACCTCTTTGACCAGAGCCGGCCTCACAGCCAGTTCTCCCACCACTATCAACACGCTGGTACCAACCACGATTACAACCGCAACAACTTCTGCTGCAACAACAAGCAGCTCTGATGGTAAAAGGTTGAGCTCAAGAAAGGCCGAAAAACTGGTATATTTGCTTCTTTTGCTTCTGGGTCCTTCATTCTTGATTGTTTGATTCGAACATGGGTGCATCTCCGCTGTTCTGATCATTGTGTAATCATTGGAGTTGAGGGTCAGATCCTAGAGGTGCATGACACGTTATCGTTATGGTAATCTCTGAAGCAGTCGTGGTTGCAGCCATGTAAAATAGCCAGTTCACACGCTACAGTAGATCCGACTTATGACATATCGCACTACGGCCTAGTCCTGCATGTTAAGTGAGATTCTGAGGCAGATAGAATTATAACTCATTATGCTTCTGTACGCAGCCGGACATATCCTTGGTGACTCTCATCCTGCTCGATGAATTAAAAACAAAAGGAAGTAGGAACAGGGTGCTACAAGCAACAAGCCCGCGATGACGAGTTGGGGCATGTGAAACATACGTCATACATGAAACTCCACCTCCCCCCTCTCCAGATCTTCACGTTAAATTAACCTTTTCCACCTTGATTTTGATGCTCTAGACCATCTACAGATCAACATGAGTATGTTCTCAAAACTCCCATGGAGCTCAGGCGGCGAGCAACAGCAACAGCATGAAGAGGAGCAATCCCTCACATCGGTGCTGCCAACACCGCAAGCACGCAGCGACCTCACCTTGCTGGTCGCCAACTGCACCGAAACCATGAGAAAAGGCATCACGGACACCTTCGACCTCAACCAGATTGGAAAGATGGAAGACATGATGTCGAAGCTCAAGATGGACGAGAGTGCTCAAGAATCAGAGGGCGCTACAGATACAGCAACAACAACAGAAAAGACAGAAGAAGAGAAGAAACGAGCAGAGGAGAAGGCACAGAGAGAGCAGGCAGAAAGAGAAAGGGAATTAAGTGGTCCCAAGATGCAAGAACTCCAGAAGGCAGCACTACAACACTTTGACGACTGGCGTGATTCTGTACTGCTACGTATCGGAGAAGTCGTCAACCAGCGCGAAGAGGCCGTATCTCAAAAGAAGGAAGCACATGCACAAACATCGCGAGTTCCGCCCAAGAAGGCACCCGAGCCTTCTAAATACGACGAAGGTGTCATCAAGGCACTCAAAGAGCTGTGTCCTCCTACAGAGACTCCGCTTGTAAAACTGGAAGAGGAGCACCGTGCTCTGATCCTACACTCGGTTCTCTTGCTGCTACTCAGTCTGGAGCACTACTCTGCTCACTCACGTGTGCTGCTATTGCACCTGACAAGCAGCTTGAACCTGTCAATCAGCTTCCTGGCAGATGACGAAAGCAAGATCGCTCGCGGGTTGTTATCTGCCGTCGAGATGAAAGCCGATGATGAGACCAAGAAGAAGCAGGAAGATAACCAGAGCTCAAGGAAATGGAAGGTTGGACTGGCCTCAGTAGCCGGTGCAGCTTTGATTGGTGTTACCGGTGGTTTAGCAGCACCACTGGTCGCTGCTGGTATTGGTTCTGTCATGGGTGGTCTTGGTAGGTTCGCTGCGGCATGTCTNATATCTTATCTTACTGATTATTGTCCAGGTCTCGGAGCAACTGCTGCGGCAGGCTACCTTGGCACTCTTGCCAGCAGCTCCATCATCGTTGGTGGCCTCTTTGGTGCCTATGGCGGTCGCATGACCGGACAAATGATGGACCAATACGCCAAAGAAGTCGAAGACTTCTCTTTCGTCCCCGTCCGTACCTATCACAAACCTCGCAAGATCGACAAAGAATACCGCCGTCTTCGCGTTGCCATTGGCATTTCTGGTTGGTTGACAGAGAAAGATGAGGTCGTTGAACCATGGAAGGTCATTGGACCAGAAATGGAAGCCTTTGCCCTTCGCTTCGAACTACAAGCTCTACTCAATCTCGGAAACTCGCTCACGACCATGATTCGCTCGGCAGCATGGGGATATGCAAAGAGTGAAATCATCAAACGGACAGTCTTTGCTTCTCTTACCGCAGCACTCTGGCCATTGGGTCTTCTCAAGGTCAGCAGAATCATCGACAACCCTTTCAGCGTGGCAAAATCTCGTGCAGACAAGGCAGGAGAAGTTCTCGCCGACGCTCTCATCAATCGCGCACAAGGCGAGCGTCCAGTAACGCTCATCGGCTATTCTCTCGGCGCCCGTGTCATCTTTACTTGTCTGAAATCACTGGCTGCAAGAAAAGCATTTGGTCTTGTCGAGAACGTCGTCTTGCTTGGTGCACCCACCCCTTCTACTGCGGCAGACTGGCGACTTATCCGTGCTGTGACCACAGGAAGGGTTGTCAATGTCTACTCGACCTCTGATTACATCCTCGGTTTCCTCTATCGCTCGTCAAGCATTCAGTACGGTGTCGCAGGCCTTGAGCCAGTCTCTTATGTTCCTGGCGTCCAGAATGTTGATGTCACTGATCTCGTCGCTGGAAACCACACTTCCTACCGCTACCTCTGCGGCCGTATCCTCCGCAAGATTGGCTTTGAAGATGTCGACCTCGCAGCTGTTGAGCAAGAGGAGAAGGCACTTGAACAAGCCACCAAGGCCGAAGAACAAGAACGCAAGCAAAACGAAGCCAACACTGAAGGAGGTGCAACTTCAGAGGCAGAAGTTAAGGAGATGGAGGGTAAAGTGCAGCAAAAGAACGAGGCATCCATGATGGACTGGGCCACTGAAAAGTTCAAGGCTGGTGGTGCCTCGGCATCGAGCGCAGCAAGCCAGGCAAGAGAGTGGGTCCAGAGGACTGCTAGTCCGAGAACTGGTGACCAGAGTGCTAGCCAAGATGTTGGTGGTGCGGCTGTAGCTGTTGGAAGCAGTCTGATCTAAGAATCTTCCTGTACGATTAGGTATGCTACCCGCTCTCGTTATAGAAATGTCCAGCAGAAAAATTCGCTTTCTGCCCTCAACCATAATAAACTACGTACGTACCTATGTTCCGACCATTGTATATTCAGATCTTACAGAGTGTATGCACAAGACGATAGAGCTCCGCAACCCCATGCCTCGATGCTCTGTTGATTCATGGGGTTTGATTTCGAAAACATATTAGGCAACTGTCACATCGAATGTGACGGGGTCTTGTATTGCTTACTTCGGTGCTTCCTAGCAGCCATTGTCGACGATGTCATACATGGCTGTCACACTCAGTGTGACAGCTTTCTCATGAACGACAAGCGCTGCTTTTCACATATCTCAACTGGTTTTCGATTGACTTCACATTAGACCTTTGATTCGTGCAATTGATGGTATCACATCCAATGTGACAGAACCCTGATGATCAGTTGTGGGCGAGTCGAACAGGTCATACCGTGTCTGCACCATAGGCAAGATCATTAACCTACAATGCATGAGAAACGCCTGAGATGCTAGAAGCGGCCTAGGATCCATCACACGCTGGTTATGTTAACGAAATGAAGTTAAACAGAATTGCTTGGGAGTCGATTTTGATATTTTGGAACTACTTAACACCGATGACCCCCCTGTTGCATGTCTCTATACTGATGATACACAGAATGTTGTCTTCTTCCTCTGTCAACCAAGGGCCGAGACTCAATCGAGCATACGCTGTATGCACCGATCTCACTTTCCACTCTCAATCAACCTTATCTTCCTTTTCAGAGTCCTCCTCCTTCTGAACAGCTTGAATCTTTGCGCCAAATACACGGTACTTGACGTGATCGTTGATCATGTCTCTCACTACGGCACGCAGATCGTAGTCGTGGCTGTAGGTGCAGGCAGTATCATGCTTGCAGCTGTGATTCTTCAAGAATGCGCGACATGAAACGCGAACGTCGTGAGAACGTGGGCAAGGGTTCTTGGAACATCCCGCAGGGTTGATGTTGTGATGGCAGACTGTCTGTAGCGTGCAGTCATCACCAAGAGGACATCTTCGGCCAGAATAAGTAATACTGTACGGGCAGTATTTGAGTAGGAACTGTATATCTTCCAGATCTACGGAGACAAAATCTTGAGAGTCCAGGCGATGATGGACAATGATTGAGAAATCGCCTTGTTGATCGTCGTCTTCATCCTCTGACGAGTCCTCCTCGTTGTCGATTGCAAGCTCGCGCGTGTCTCCGAGTTTCTTCATAAGAGTAGGCTCGGCAGGGGGAGGGTGGCACAGAAGGGCCAACGAAACTCTTGCACTCGTTGTCATGCTGAACAGTAGAGGAGTCATAGTCATCAGTCTCTCCAAAAGACTTGGACTGTGCGGCAGCAGAAGAGACCTCGTTGTGCTGATCGGTATCACTGAACGGGTTGAGATTGGGATGAGCGTGAGGTGCAGAGCCGTACTGAGCGGCGTCATCGTACGAGTTGGAGTTGGGAAGAGTGTGAAGAGCAGAGCCATACTGAGCGGCGTCATCATACGGGTTGAGGTTGAGATCAGCGTGAGGTGCAGAATCGTACTGAGCGGCGTCACCAAACTGGGTGGAGTTGGGAGGAGCGTTAGGTGCAGAGCCGTACTGAGCGGCGCCACCAAACTGGATGAAGTTGGGAAAGTTGTCGGTAACGTTCAGACTGTCGGCACGCGCGAGGCGAACGATCAGATCGTTGAAGGACTCTTGTTGCTCAAGACTGAGACGCTCAACAGATTTGCAATACACGTTGAGCGCGTGGATGGCGGCCGAGTTAGCGGCCATGATGAATGAACTTGGACTGGACGCGAAGTTGAATGATGCGCAGAGTCAAAGGCGGAGAGTGATAAGCAAGTCTGACTGACGCAAAACGGAGCCAACGCGTGCAGGCAAAGTGGAAGAGTGATAAGAGCGAGGGAGAAAGGACTGAGGTCAGAGCGGGCGGTGGTTGAGCGACAAGAGACGTCCGAGGAAGACGAGAAGTTGGAAGGAGAGAAACAAACAAGATGATGGAAGTGAGCGAGAGACGCAGAGCGATAAAGTGTAACTGATGCAGGCCAGGAGACACGTAAAGCGCTGAGAGTCTCGAGTGAGAGAGGCGAGACGTCCAAGGGAGAAAACAAACAAGACGACAGAGGTCGGCGAGAGACGCAGAGCGATAAAGTGCATCCAGTACAGAGCTAGAAGACACGCAGAGCGCTAAGAGACGCAAGCAAACAGAGAGGTATAGAGTGAATATGGACAGGAGAGAGGACGAGGATGTGACGCAAAGTGCAGGCGATGCGCGTAATCAAAAAGGAAGGAAGAAGAGAAGAGCGAAAGAAAAAGGGATCGAATTCAGAGCGGGCGGTAAGTGAGTGAAAAGTATAGTGTGAGAAGGGTGAGAGGTGAAGGAGAGAAATGAATAAGTGAACAAATAGAAACTACTGCTTCACTCCCATCTCCAACTATGCCGCCCGCACGTTTTTATTTTCCAGGAGTAGCAGAACTCACAGCTGAGTCACATGATTCTGATGCTTATGCAATACAGAAGGAACGTCTTACGATCCGTGGCAGAGAGGCACCAGACTCCATCGAAAGTCATCGCTTACCCGTGTAAAGCGTAACTCCAAAGAAGAAGCAGAAGAGGAAAGAACACGTATTGGGAAGGAAGAGATGTCATGTTTGTGGCGTTCTTGCGCACTCGCAAGGAGTTCAAAATCTCCATTGGAACTTCGATTGAAGACATATGTACGCTTTGCCGTCATACATTATTTCCGTAACTTCGTCCGTGGTATAGAGTGGTGGTGCCATGGCCAGATATCCAGAGTAACAGATCCATTTAAATAGCAGTACCTCTCTCGAAGTTGTCTCTGATCTCTGAAGTATACTTGTTGTAGAACCTTGCCAATTTTTGGTTGAACTGTTGTCACCTCTTGTCAGCATACTCTTTAACTTCAACGTCTTCTGCAGCTTGGCTTACCTGCTTGTTCTTGTCATTGATGTACGTAACATCGCCATCTTCTTCCTTGCCCATCCTGTCCTTCCTCTNTTTCAATCTGACCTCTTCGGCCTTTTGTATCTCACCAACCAACTTGTCAATCTTCTCTTTACTCGGCTTGTTCCCCACAAAATCAGTCGAATCTTTTGTGCTGTAGAAACTGCCATCCTTGTCCACAGCAATCAACTCTCCATCTTCCGTCTCTACAATTTCCAAACCTCCTGATTGAGCAGCTCTTTCCACCGCAGCCATCTTTTCTGCTTCGTAGTTTGAGACATCTGGGTTCATCTCTCTCACTTGACGTTTGTAAATTTTGTTGGCATTCTGGCTGAAATCTTGGAATGCGACGTTGTCGCGGTGTGCCTTTTTCTTCGCTTGCTTCTTGTCCCATGCAGCAGACTCTTCGGCTGTCCAGTCCCAAGCGCGTTTGCGGTCCCAGTCTTCACCATCCTCGAGCGTTTGCGCATGTAACAGTTTCTCAGAAGCGCGTTCTTTGCGGCGTGAGAGTGAGGCAAGGGCACCAGGATCGGCCGAGGCGCGTGAAACTTCTAGCGTTGTGGCTTTGCGATTGTCGTCGCGTGAGGACTTGTTTCTGCTGCGCAAGGCTGCGAAGCGGGCCAGACGATCGGCTTGAGATGTACTTGTCGTTGAGTCCGCGGCTGATGTTGGTGTGGGCGCTGCTGAGGAGGCGGCTGTCGAGGTCATGTCGTTGTCTTGTGATGGTGCGGTATCGTCGGTGGTGGTTTCGGTGAAGCGACGTTTAGATGATTCGGCCAGTGATCCATCTTCAGAGGGAGAAGGCTTGCGCTTTAATGTTGATGACATGATTGCCGTAGTGGATGACTGAAGTCGTGAAGGTTGAAAGAGGGAAGTTGAAGGGTTGCTTGCGCATTCGCGACTGGAAGATGTGGAGTCGCAAGACTTCGTCATTGTTGATTCGGTCATAACCCTGTCCATATTAACATTTTTCGACCCATGAGCAACAAACGAGGGAAACCGGACATCTCACAAATCTGTGCAGCAGAACCTTCATGCTTCAACACCGACAAGTCGATCAGGGAGAATGTTTGTTGGTCAGAATTTGATATCATTTCGAATCGTACAATACTACCCCTTTGCGAGGTCGCTGCCCATACCGCCCCTTGTCTCTACGCCATGAACACCTGCTCCACATAACTTTGATTAAATGCCACATGCTAAACCGAGGTACCCTTCTATGAGATGAAGCCAGTGCTTGTGCCTTGCTCCCTCAAAACACCGGCACTACGACCGGCATCCCAGAACAGATCCACAGCCTCGTTGACATCTTGAGCTGTGACCATGTTGTTATCCGAGCCTCTGCATCGCGAGAGGATAGCTGAGGGTGCCAGAAGTTGAATGGCGTAACGCAGACTCACACGCTCACCATGCTTTGTCAACAGATCCAAAGCTTCGTCGGCAAGCTGAGTAGTCTGAACCAGTCCCTGAGCGGCTCCTGGCTTGTCTGCTTGCAGGGATGGTGGCGCAGCGCTGCTGTACTCGAGACGTGCGCGTGTTGAGACAATGCTGCGAATCTCGTTTGCCGAGTAGGGGTGGGTAGGAATGATGAGGAGGCGGTTAAGAAGATCCGGAGGAATACCGTGAGCAGAGACAAGGTTGTCGGTTCCGCGGATGGTTGTGGAGCCACGGTTGGATGCGAGAATGACGATGGGAGAGATTGAAGATTCGAGGGCGCGGTTAAGGTAGGTGAAACATTCCAGATCGAGCATGTGTACCTCATCGATGAACAAGACACCGGGGACGAGTTCTGCAACACCTTGATCAATGTACTTGTTGACGACCTTGTTGATCTCGGCGCGTAGCTTGTCGGTGATTTCGGTCTTGCGTGGCTTCATCAATTGACCCATCATGCTCATGACATCCTGGCCACCTTGGGGACGTGCGTTGGCGATATCCAGATCGTGGAGAGTGACATCCTGAACGACTTGCTTCTTCTTGTGAACCTCTCCCTTTGGTACAGGAACGTACTCTTCAGCTTCCAGGTCGAATTCAGTAGCGAAAGCATCACTACGACCAACACGCTTGACGGCACCAGTGTTGGCCTCAATATAGATGACATCTCCGACACGGACGCGCTCCTTTTGAATGGCCTCGTAGATGCTGGGATCCAGACGTAGCTTCTTGGTACCACGAGCGGAGCGCAAGGTGATGAGAAGGTGTGAAATGGTGCGACCGTAGCCACCTAGAGGATTCTCGGCTTCCTCAGGAGTCAACTCTGTGACCTCACCCTCGTAAACCTCCTTTGTCTCGTGTACACGCAGGCCAATGGCGCGACGGAAGTTCTCCATCAAGGCTTCGGTCTTCTTGACTTCGGTGCTGTAAACCTCGGAGGCGACGATAGGGCAGAAAGGCACCTTTGTTCCCAACTCTTGTGATACGGCCAAAGCGAGGGCAGTCTTTCCAGTTCCAGGACCTCCGGCGAGGAGGACAGCGCGACCGGCCATCTTCTTTGCTCTAATCAAGTCGACAACAACAGCTGCAGCCTGTCATGACATGTTAGTAGGGTGGTCGCGTGAAGATTCGAACAGACCAACCTCTCTGGCAGCAACCTGGCCGATGAAGCCTTGAGCATTTGTGTCTGCGCGGCCATCTGAGCGCAGACCCAAGCCTTTGATGTGAGAGTGTGCAGCAGTGCGGTTTTCGCGAGAGTTTCCCTTGACCTGGGCGATTTGGACGGGCTTCATGCCGCCCGATGTGGTCGCGAGAGGGCCTCCGTTAGCAACCGACATGATGCAAGACGTGTAGATGGAGATTGGATGGGTTGGATAGCTGTTTCGACAAAGCCCAGCAACGGTAACGAAGATGGAGCGACCAGCGCGGCGGACAATCTTCGGCCGCTCCGACAAGAGACGCAACTTTATGGACTTGCGCGCTGCATCTTGCAACCAATTCAAGGTCAAGACAAGCCACACACAACTCTTGCCCACCATGGTCTCATTACTGCAGCGCATGCGCAAGCTGCAAACTGTATGTTTCCAATTATCTCACTGTCTCGAACACTACTGACAAGCACCGCAGAAGGTACACCATTCTCACTACCACCACCCGCCGCCAACCACCAAATTGACATGANNACATACACAGCTCCTCGCCATCCGCCTCGGTCCTGGCGCAGCAGTCCTCCCAAGNGAAATCTCTCGTATCCACATGCGCTTCGCTCCCAAAATCGACGGCGGCCACATGGGCCCACGAAAGTTCTGGCGCCACGAACTCGTCCGCCTGAAATTCCACAACCCTGCCATTCCCATGACCCTCGACCGCACCGCCGCACAGACAGATCCTGCTTTGATGACCATCTTCTTCGCCGACCCGGAAGCTTCGCCAACCAGTGGTGCCGCTCCCACTACCAGCACGAGTGGTGACAAGCAACCCAGCAATTATTCGCCCAGTTCAAGGACAGAGACTATCGACATGACCAGCCGCACACAAGAGAACATCCTGGCTGATTTGGTCAGAATCACAAATGCGAAGCAGGTCGAGGCTACACAGGAAGAGTTGGAGACATTGCGCTCGCTCGAGGAGCAACGGCTACGCAGTCAAAGAGACAGCAAACTCAGTTTGGAGGTTAGAGAAAAGAAGAAGAGAGAAGAGGCTCTGTTGGCACAGGCAAGAGGTGACGTTGCATCCGCCGTCTGAGAATCATGTCGATTCGTGTAAAATTATATTATGGGAAGGGCAAGACGGCATTTTTGCATGGCGTTCGTTGGATGCTGGGACTACCAAAATTATTGGGCGTGTACAAAAGGGCACATGTCATGTTTCAACTGCATTTACTCGACATCTCGAACTGTTGTGAAATCACGTCACAATACAGAAAAAGACAGCGACGCTATGAGTCTGGATCAGCCATGGATTACTACAAGATTACAGGGAAACGCATCTTCGACTAAGCAGTAGCCATGCCATTCCACCAAGCGAGACAGCCCAGCACAAAGACAATGACCATGGCATCTGCAACGACCGTCTGCCAGATGACAGCATATCTGCCCAACATGCTGATGTAGTTGGACCATGGCTGAGGCACCAATCCTGAATTCGCAACAGTAGCCAACCATCCACTTCCTTGCAACCTTCCCTTCTCCATGTAGTATCTGCTGGACTGCAACACGACTTCTGCAGTTGCGAATATGTAGAACAGCTTAGGACCGAAGTCTGATTCTTCAAGTGAAACTGAACGTGAGAGCTTGCTGCCGTTGAATGTACCGCTGGCTGCAATGTAGATGCCCAGAGCGAGAGCAAAGACGGCGTGAACGATGCGCCAGAGGTAGGTTGAGCCGGTGGGTGGTGAGGCTTGCTGTTGAGTTGCACGTTGTCCTTGCATCATGGCCTTGAGCATGGGAGGCAGATCATCCATGGCCGAGTCTGGGATGCCGCCTGCTGCTGAAGGATCTCCGCTGAGCAGTGACTGCATCATCTTGAGCATGGGATCCTCATCTTGTTGTCCTGGTCGTGCGAATGGAGACTGCTGCTGTTGCTGCTGCTGTAGGCGGGCGAGCTGAGTTTGGTCTGAAGGGGTTGGTGTCCAGTAGTGCTCGGAAATGTCGACCTCGTCGGGGTCCTCGATGGATGCATGCTGTGGTGTCTTTGTTGGCGTGGCTTGTGCGGGCTTGGTGGGAGTTTGATTCATGGATGCTGTACAGAGCGTTAGTTCAGAGGGTCTCTCAGCTTGTGTAGTTGGATGCGACATGCGTTCTTCAGGCGCAGGAGCTGGTCTTCCACTCAGCTGTGTGATTCGTGCCAGTCTGTCCGAGCCCTCGGCCTGGATCTTTGCATTGCGCTTCTCGCGGCGTAGACGAGCTGAACGCTGTGCCGGCGATTCTGTGTCGGCGTCTGACATGGCTGCTGTATGTTTGCTTCGTCGTGATGGACGGCCAAAAGGTGGTCGCATGAGATGGAATTCTAGAGCTCTACGTCGTCATGGCGGCACTTGCCGGTCTATACCGTTCATCGTGACATCTCCTTCTTCTTCTTCCTTCTGTCCTCGACACCTTCTGGTCAATTCGACTAGAAGATTGAAAATCTTATTCCCAGAATTATCTGCAAAGAACATTGTGCAATTGAACTTGTAGAATCTACGAACGCGTCCCTAGTTCTTAGCTGACTCTTCTCCATATATCTGCTTTTCATGCTTTTCTTTAATTAATGCTTCTTCCTGCACGCTCTCTTTACTTCCAGCTTTGTCGTACCAGACTTTCTTTTGATCGTTGTTTTTGTACCACTATGACTCGACATCGAAAGTCGAAGAACAAGAATGCGCCCAAAAAGCCCTCCCTTACACATTTCCTCTGTGTTCCCCTTGTAAACTCGGTCTCTCAGCCTCAACTAGAAGCTAGTATCAGGGGGTTTAAGGAACATGTATGTTCCACTAGTCCAATCGAGGCTGCACCAGGGCATGACCCTACGGAAGTAGACCGTGTCTCCTCTGAGACAAAGACCGAAGGCATCATCAGCGATGCCAGTGCTCAACTAGAAGAACAACAGAGGGCATCCGAGGAAACTGCACTCTCCGGAGCTTCGTCGCCTTTGATACCGGAAAAAGCTATTCGGCCATTAGGCTCATTGCATCTAACTCTCGGAGTCATGAGTTTGGACGAGCAAAAGCTAGTCCAAGCAAATACTCTTCTCCAATCTCTCGATCTGAGTAAAATGCTTCATGAAGCTACCACTCCTGCCGACTCATCCGACTCTACGAACATCAACACCCAGACCTCGGATGTTGCACCTCAAAGCTCCTCGGATACACATCCAACGCAGGTACCCGATCTCTTGAGCTCTCCCCTGAAGATCTCTCTCGAATCTCTGGAACCGATGCAGTCGCCATCAAAAACAAGCATCCTCTACATCCGCCCCCAAGACCCAACCAATCGCCTCGAGATCCTCTGTCAAGTAATACGGAAGACCTTCACAGACGCTGGACTGTTAGTTCCGGACACACGACCACTAAAGCTGCATGCCACAATCGTAAACACAATCTACGTCAAGGGAAGAAAGAAAAAGCCCAAGACACCAGCGCAAGCCAAACAGTCAACCATAGAAACCCCATCCAAAGATCAGACCACAAAAGAGAGGACATCTCAAGTATCGACGCAGCATCAAGGGTTACAAGCAAACGAAGCTTCCTCTGGTCATGGTCCCTCAGCAAAATCTTCTCTATATCTCAACGCTACATCCCTTCTCTCTACCTACATAAATCACGTTTGGGCTTCTGATGTTCCAGTCGAGAAGATTACTATCTGTGAGATGGGTGTCAAGAAACAGTTTTCTTCGACTGGAGAAGTCATTGGAGAGGCTTATAAGGAGGTGGCAGTCAAAGAGGTTGGAGCTTTCATGCATATCAAAGAAGAGACAACGGAAGAGTGAGAAGACAGGGTTTATGAGAGCAGTGCATGTATGATCAGCTCTCCCGCTTCACAGCAAGGGTTGTCTTGCATATAAAAAGGCATAAACTAATCTCAAAATGGACCACATCCAGTGAGATAGGAGTAGTGTGAGACATTTCAGTGGATCCGAAGAGATTTTGAACACTTCTCTGCATTTTTACAGCACTATTCTGCAACATTGGTTGTTCCTGAAAGCTCATTTCGATTACTCGAGTGTGTTTTCCTTGGACCCATGTTGAGCCTCCCCTTCAGATCAAATGCTGGTTTATGACTATGAAAATGCAAAAACAATTCTGGAAACAGATCACGTCCAGTGAGATAGGAATCGTGTAAGACATTTCAACGAATCCGAGGAACATTCTTGATACCATTGTGCAATTCCATAGTACTATCTACTCATCCTTCTCAAGCCTGAGATGCAGCACCGCGCTTGTGTGGTGGCACTGCATTCTTCCTGCGTTCTGCCTGCTCAGCGACCTCTCCAGGGGTCAACTCAGGCTCCTCCTGACCCTTGCGAGTGCACTTGTAAGTCACCTCCACACGCGACTGACCCAAGGTTACAACCTCGACGGACTTCACAGGACCACCGTCAGCACCAGCTTCAGCTGCGGGAGCTTCCTTCTTTGCTGTGGCCTGAGTGTTTGACTCCATGTAAGTGGCCAGCTTGGCCTTTTGCTCGGCGGTGAGGGGGTGNNTTGAGGGGGTTATGCGAGAGGCGAGACTCTTGGTGGCCGGCTTCTTGCGAGGAGTGGATTTGTGAACGCCATTGGTGTTCGAATGGGGAGATGNCTTTGGTAGGAGGACGTTTCTGCTGAGTCTTTTGCTGGCGAGGGGATTGTTTGTCTTGTTGCTTTGATGCATATTNNTTCTGACAAAGACGTTGATGCGAGAAGTTTCGTTGTCGAGGCCAGAGTCGAGTTTGTCGTTCGAGACTTGACGGATGAGATTGTGTGCTTCTCTGCGTTGGTTGCGCTCCAAAGGGACGGATTGGATTGTGGTGAAGGGTTGAGTGGGATCCTTGAGGTAGAGCAAGAGCTTCTCCTTTGCATCCTCCTCGAACATGGACAGAAGGCGTTGAGTAGGGTTGGGAGAGGCGGTCATGAGTATGGCACCGTGAGGGTTCTTGATAGCAGAAAGCTTCTCCTGAAGGGCGCGAGATTTGATGCAGACACGGAGTTGCTCGAGGTCCTCGGAGGACAAGAGGACGATGGTGGGTGCAGCGGATGACATGTTTGAGATTGAATGTAGGTTGTTGTGGAGATGACGAGGTACCAAGTACAAGAGAGTAAAGCAAGATGATATTGTTCAAGAAGGAATACTCAAAAAAAGTTGAGATGTGGATCAGGGAAGGAAAGGGGAGAGGATGACTTGGGGAGAGTTTTATATTCCAATACCAGCCACTTGCTATTGTCGTGTGCTATTGTTACACATCTTCAATAGCTAGTGAATAGCTCGTGAAGAGGACAATAGCCCACAATAGCAGTGAAGCCGATTTTGCGGCTGGTTGTGATGCGTGCGACTCTTGCGGTCTGTGAAAGCGAAACTCCGAAAGTGAATGCCTCTTTGCCCAAAACTGTCCCATGCTAGAAACGAAATGCACGATACTCCTGGAAGGGAAGCCGTGTCCATAGGGCGAAAGTGATTTTAGGCTATCCCCGTGGTGACAATTCCTTCTGAAAAGCAACTGGGTACTTCCATAGCTCATGATGTTAATATGCCTTACCGTCAGAGAGAGGTCAATACAGAGGTCTAATGGAGGCCCAACCCGGGCCTTTGTACCCGAGTATGCCGATCGAAGAACGTAGTATTGCTCGTTCTCTTCCATTTCGGTGAGATGAGCTTGAGCATCTGGTGGTCGTCCTCATCGTCGTCCCCACGTTCCTGAGCTTCGGCTGCAATTGTTACGTAGAACCGGGCATCTTCGATTCTCTCTTTGATATCTTTGCTGAGAGCCTTTTCTTTAGTTTGTCGTATGGTGTTGTGATCGGTACGGCTCTAGAGATTTTGTCCAGTGTTGATCACTGCCAGTTGCGAAGTTGTTCGGGATTGGTGACACCTTATCCGTCGAAGTGCTTCACTTACCTGCATCTTACAGTTACTTGAGAGCCCTCACAAGGCTTTGGCAGTGAAAATACAGAGAGGTGAGGAATCAGAACACGAGAAAACGCAAACTGGAGAAGTGACCAAGCTCAACTCATATGTTTTCAAGGCCGCCGTTTTCCTCTTGTTCAGCGATCTGCTAAGGGTGTGTGGTGGGCATACCTAGTCCTTAGAATAAGAACAAACAGTGTCTTACCCCCATCCGCAAGGGTATCTCGTTAAGGCAGTCCAACAATTCCGAGTGTGTAGCTCTTTCCTTATATGCTACATGATAATCGTCACCATGCCCAAAGTCTCGAATACAACGAGCTCAACTTGTTTAGAATAATACTGCTTGCGCATTGACGCTGCAAGCTCTCTTGGATGGATGTATCAGATTTGAGACGAGACAATCCATTTTCTGATGCACGAAAAATGCGGTAAATATAAGTGTATATCTGCCTCTTGCAAGCATAGAAGATGTAGATATGCAAAGGTCGTTGTATGCCTGTTGATCGGTTAAAGTCGGTTCTCACGCCTTTTTAACCATGCCACAGAGCATTAGGGCCGATACCGCGGCCAAGGCCGGGAACCGTCATTGCCCCAGCTCTTGTCTCCAGGATTCAGAACGACCATTGCTGGCGTGTTTAAGTTTTGGGAGTCACACTCAGTTCTTTTCTCATCAACTGTCATTCTATACATTCTTTCACGACCAAGATGCTTTCAGGATCTAGAACCGCTTTGAGAGCTTCTGCTCAAGCTTCCAAGCTTCGCCTGCAACTGCAGTCCAGCATCAGAGCCGCTTCGGCCTGGTCGCAAGTGCCCCAGGGACCTCCTGTGAGTACCAAAACAGCTTGTATGCGCTCAGAAGAATCGTACTGACTGCAACGTAGGATGTAAGCGTACCTTGAAGACTACGCGACCAACAACAAACTGACAATTCAGGCCATTCTTGGTATCACCGAGGCCTTCAAGGCTGACAGCCACCCTGAGAAGATCAACCTCGGTACGAAACAGCTACGCAACCAAGAAAAGACAACATCTGACCATTCAAANGGTGTTGGTGCATACCGTGACGACCAGGGCAAGCCCTACGTCCTGCCCTCGGTGAAGGAGGCTGAGCAAAGAGTCGTCAAGAAGAACCTCGACAAGGAATACGCTGGCATTACTGGTGTGCCCGACTTCACCAAGGCCGCCGCTGTCCTCGCATACGGTCCCGACTCTGCACCTCTCAAGGAGGGCAGAATTGTCATCACCCAGTCCATCTCTGGTACTGGTGCCCTCAGAATTGGCGGTGCGTTCCTCGAGCGCTTCTACCCCGGCGACAAGACCATCTACATCCCCAACCCCAGTTGGGCCAACCACAATGCCGTCTTCAAGGACTCAGGCCTCAAGGTTGAGAAGTACCGCTACTACAACAAGGACACCATCGGTCTCGACTTCGAGGGTATGGTCGAGGACATCAAGAAGATGCCCAAGGGCAGCATTGTCCTCCTCCACGCTTGCGCTCACAACCCCACTGGTGTCGACCCCACTGAGGAGCAATGGCGCTCTCTGAGCGATGTCATCAAGGAGAACGGCCACTACCCCTTCTTCGACATGGCATACCAGGGCTTCGCCAGTGGTAACACTGACAAGGATGCCTTCCCCATTCGCCACTTCATCAAGGAGGGTCACCAGATCTCTCTCTGCCAGAGTTTCGCCAAGAACATGGTCAGTCTTCTTGGAAATCTGTACAACGATTTGCGCATACTGACATTATCTAGNGGTCTCTACGGTGAGCGTGTTGGTGCCTTCTCCATTGTCTGTGCCGACGCAGACGAGAAGAAGCGTGTCGACTCCCAGATCAAGATCCTGGTCCGTCCTCTCTACTCCAACCCTCCTGTCCACGGTGCCCGTGTTGCTTCCACCATCTTGAACGACCCTGAGCTCAACAAGCAATGGTTGGGTGAGGTTAAGGGTATGGCTGACCGTATCATCACCATGCGTGCTCTCCTCAAGGAGAACCTCGAGAAGCTCGGTAGCAAGCACGACTGGAGCCACATCACCAGCCAAATCGGCATGTTCGCCTACACTGGTCTCAAGCCTGAGCAGATGGACGCCCTGGCCAAGGAGCACAGCGTCTACGCTACCAAGGACGGCAGAATCTCCGTTGCTGGTATCACCTCCGCCAACGTCAAGCGTCTTGCCGAGTCCATCTACAAGGTCACCGGTTAAAGCAGAAGCCAGACATTTGCCTCTTGACGAAGTATGTAATGTAGGATATGGAACACGCAAGCCTGTAGAACAAGATTTAGAACCAAAAACAGTACCAACCACACTACAAAAATAGCCTACTTCTAAAGCACGTTAAATTTGATAGTTCAAGTGTCAGATCTGTTTCATGATAGTATACAGCCGAAGCTTGTACACGCACGCGCGCTGTCACAACATACGACTCGAGAGGCTCTTTCGTCCGAAGTTCGAACAGCCCCTAAAATAATGTTGCGATCGCCAGATGTCGGGATGTGGACAGAACCTGATCGCGTGGCAGATGTGGCGCACAAGTAGTTCGGGAATGAAGACGCTAAGGCCAAGCGACTTCTACTTTCGCTTTGCACACCGCTGCGATTTGCTCAACGGTGGAGAAGAGAACAATTTCTGTCTCGCAAAGGACGAAAACAAGGAAGACCGTTTGATCGGACCATGGAATGAAACCACGTTGTCTCTAGAAATTGTCTCAAGAAACGAAGAAGAATATGATTAGAAGTTGATAGATGGCATGCCTGTTGGGTGTCGCTCCGAGAAGAACAGGTGGAAGGTGGTTCAAAGAGGCTCCAACAGAGATACAGGGTCGTCGTTAGACAGAAAAGATTACATCATAAGCGCTAAAGTGGCAGCAGTGGCTTGAAATTTGACGCCTCCACTTTGGTTGCTTTGGGCCAAACTACCGAGACGATGTTGAGAAGAATGTCCCTCCTGCATGGTACAGAAGCAGACAAAGCGCTCTTTGTAGAAGTGTCGTCTCTGGTCACACCTTGAAGGGGACAGCTGAGTAGGCAGCATGAGAAAAACAGCTGGAGAGAAGGATGAACAGGGTCAGGATGATGAGAAAATGACAACGTCATAATTTTCCGACTTGGAAAAGCGGAAGTTGGGTTGCTCAGCAGAGAAGTGAGCTTCTCCTAGAGACTCAGGTTGCCCTTCATGTCCTGACATACTATGGGACATATGAGATAGAGAGCTAGGGGTAGAAGATGAAGAATTGGCAATCAAAGATGTGGGGTCTATCAAGAATTTTGTTTGTATTGTTCAGTGAGGCGGCCACACGTACCTAGCAACGCATGCATGTGGAGTCGTGGACTGGGAGATCAGGGATGGTAGCACAAACGGCAGCTCCGGGTATTGAGCGAGAGATTCGTTAATTCTTTCTAGTTGGCCGAGGGGGAACCCCACTATGGCATTACTGGGTTTGATGCGTTGACCTGGGCGTGCACACGGCTTCGACAGCTGCTTTCCCATCAAGCTCCTACACAGACTCGTCGTCTTCATTCCTTTTCCGACCCTGACATCGCCCGTCCGATTTCAACGTCTTCGCCTGTCTTGATTCTTTGACGACTCACGACTTTCTTTGGCATCCTACGTCCATCCTCAGCTAGGAGCTTCTCACAACCCCCATCTTAAACGTCATTCGTCCGTGCAGAATTTGAAGAGGAAACGAACGCCTCGGCCGCCCTTCGAACACCATCGTCTGCTCAGCTTCCTCGTGACCTACCATCTCAAAGAACGCCCGAAAGATCTTGTTTTTGGACCACTCGACATTCGTCAGACGATCAACAAAGTCAACAGGCCAACATCCTTGCCACGCGACTCGCCCGGACATCGTAACATCGACACGGCGAACCCATCGACTTCATTTCTTCTCACTTTCGAATCCCTATCAAACCCAAGTCAAGATGCCTGCAGCTGAGGTCAAGGTACACACCGCAAACATTCATCTTCCAGCCGTCCTTTGAGGCTAATGCGTACACCAACAGAACGAGGACGGTCCCATCGGACTCTCCGATTTTGGCGACAACATCGATGTCGCAACCTTTGAGCAAATCCTCGAGATGGACGACGATGAAGATGAGAGAGACTTCAGCAGAAGCATCGTCTTCGACTTCTTCCAGCAAGCTGACAGCACATTCGACAAGATGGATGAGAACATGTGCGTCTTTTGAATCTTCTGCCTTATCAGGCCGCAAAACAGACAAAAGAAACGAAGCTGACTCGGGTCCTCAAACAACAGTGAAAAGAAGGATCTTGCCCAACTCAGTGCCCTCGGTCACTTCCTCAAGGGTAGTAGCGCAACACTTGGCCTGACCAAAGTCAAGGACCACTGCGAGAAGATCCAGCACTACGGCGCACACAAAGACGAAACCGGCACACGCGACGAGCCCGACGCCGAAGTATGTCTCGACAACCTCAAGGTATCCATCGCACAAGCGAAGAAGGAGTTCAAGGTTGTCGAGCGCCTACTGAAGAGATTCTACCACGACGATGCCGAGTAGATGTGACCCAAAGAGGCAAACAGAGAAAGAAGCTACACATCAATGAGACAAAAAAAGTCATGATTCCAATACCACACGCCCTGATCTGAGAAAACAACACACATGCTCGGACAAACATGTACAACTCTTTTCCCTGACTCCTTATACATCTTTGCCCTCTTCCACCCCGGCTTCTGCCAGCTTCCTCTTTCTTTTCTCCCCACCGCTCTGCCTTCTTGTTTTGCATATCACCCTCTCTTCTTTTCGCAGCCGATTTTCTTTTTGAGCGATCACATTGGTGTCTTTTCTCGTCGACTAATTCGGAAAACTAAGATGGATAGACTCGTAGCCCGATTCTTTTACTTTCCTCCTATCATGACTCTTCTTGTTCCGCATTTCTGCTCGTTTCCTTTCTGTTGCTTATCCTATCCTCGCTCAGCTCATCATGATGCGACCATTCTGCTTCAAAGCCCTTGCTTCTACATTCCTCAACCCCTTTGGTCTGTAGTATTCTTGATGTCTGTATTTCTACTCCGACTACAGCGGTGAGTAAAGTTCATGCTGTAAAAATGCACAGTATTATTCAGAAATGAAGATTGACCAAAGAGAGCTGCTAAGATATCGCTTCTCAGTGGACACTATTCTGTTTTCTAATAGTATTGTTCATTTTTATAGCTATATGCGTTACGTTTGCACACGGGGAGGGTGTGAGCAAGTTGAGAAGATCGACAGGGTCAAGTATCTACATCTCGGAATCCGTCCCTTTTCCAGCATCATGACCCTGCTCCGATTTTTCTCATGCATCATTTGAGTAGACGGGTCGCTCTTGTGGATCCGCATCTACCTGGTAGTTCTGCAAGATGGTTGGTATGTCTGAATCAAGCATGTATATTCTTGATCATATGTTTTGCTTCACTGCTCTCTTCTCCCTTTCTGCTACCCAATTTTGATTATACAGAGTCTCTGTCTCTCTTATGCTCGGAAATTATTGTTCATCCTCTCACACCTCACATAGCTTGTGAAATGACAAGAAGTCAGAACTGAGAGGCAGTTTTTCATCAGAGGGATCTGTGATATAGCTCTCTATCCCTACCAAAAGACAGAAAGCCGTCCTTGACACTGATATATTCCGACTCAAAGGGATGATTGTTTTGGTATTTCATTCCAGAAATTGATACATGGAGCAGCATATGAAAGCCCTTTCTTCCTAGATTGAGTCGAATTGAGATCAGCCCCGAAAGTCCGTGACTTCCTCAAACACGCGGGGCTCAAATATGCTCTGCCCCGTCTTGATATAATAAAATCTATGCTTCTCCTTTCAAAATTTGATACATCCTACTCCGACGCCATAAACATGTCTTGTCTCATACGCGAACAGTATTTCTTCTCTCGCTCATCGCTCGCGGTCGGTTATTTCCCTCCATCTTGTTAAAAGTGGCTGCATCTCTGCTTCGCAGTTGCGTTTTGAGTCGCGAATGCAGCCGTGGAAGTTTGCGACAAAGTCGCCTTCGTTATAGATTCCCTCTGCGGGACCTTGTGTGTACGAGTTCAGAATGCGCTGGGGAACAAGTGCCAGTTTGGCCAGGATTGTGCCATGCCANNTCTATGAGAGCTTTGTTAGCTTGCTTCGATCATGGCTCGCAACTAAAGCAAGAGATACGTACTGGACAATGTGCTCAAGGGCATGAGCTTCAGCTTNTTGGAAGTTGTAGCTGCGGTATAGAGGATCAAACCAAGAGTCGAGGAAGAACTTGGCCCACTCCCCAGATCTGATGACCATGCTGCCACCTGCCAATCCCTCATTGTCTTGCGACAACACGAAGTCGATGCGATCGCCTTTGAGGTGCGAGAAAGTCTTGATGACGGAATCCGGGGGGACGACTGGCTTGTCGACAAGCATGAGGGATTCGAGGCGGCGAGGCTCCATGATGTGGTCTTCGATGGACAAGGAAGGGTTCATAATCAAAGCTGTGCTGGTGAGGTAGAAGATGTAAGGGGTGTGTGGGTACAGGGCCATGGCATGGCGCATGGCAGGTACGAGCGACCATGAGCTTGGGTTGTCGCCAAGGGGGTAGTCGGTCGTGTTGGGGAAGAAAGCAGCATAACCTAAGATTCGTGCGTGTTAGTAAAGTGATAACATGGCAAAGCAACTGTATGGTCGCTTACCGTGCTTAGCGGCATAATGCTTTCGGTTGGCCTTGATGGCAGCTTTGTAAGATTCGCTCAATGAAGGGTCAAGTGTAGTGACCACGACAGCTCTGGGTGTTCCAGCCGGTATTGATACACTGCTTGAGCCGGAAAACAGGCCAGAGAGCAGGTATAGTGTGATGAGCGCGCCGACAGCTAGGATCAAGATATTCCGGAGCTGGCTGTATCGCAGGAAACCCGAGCGGGATGAGCGCGCAGCATAGGGCGGAGGATGTGAGGTTTTGCGAGGAGGAAAAGCGAAATGCATCTTGGGTTAGGTTTATGTGGTCGTGTTTCGTCAAGGTCGTCCGAGGTCGTGTGCGTTGTTGTATCTTGTCGGACTGCGTCGAGAATGGGGATGACCGAAAAGGAGCAGCAGCTAATAATTCGAGGAACGAGTGGTAGCAGTATCCCTGCTCTTATGGCTGCATCGCGTGGTCGCTCAATAATTCAATCTGGAGAGGGAAGTTCGCAGGACGACCAGAACGATGACAAGAGGTCGCTGCAGGACGCCAAAGTGTGTCGAGTGGGACTTGTTGATGTTGATGGCTGTTTCTACAAAAGGGCTGGAACCATAAAGTGTCCAGTTGCACCTTCATAATAATCTCCTTGGCGCCTCGACGGTTATCTGCTACTCTCAACAGGAGCCCCCTGGCTTTCGTTCTCTGCAAACTCTGTCTGTCTGCTTCCTACAGACTCGTCGTCCACATATCCATCTCGAATATCCGTAGAACCTGGCTTATGCAAGACGGTTCAATGCCGACATGCATTCCGTCTGTTCAACGGCCTCCTTCTCTCGCGTCTCCGTTCTGCTCAAGCGTACCAGTACAGGGCTGGTGCTTGGCGCTGTATATGCTCCTGCATCTGCTAACCTCTAATTTCGCATCTTGTCGTGCTCAGGACACCGGAAATCTCGATCGATTGAGACGAGTCTACAAGACCAGATTGATTGCCTGCTTCTTGAGAGTTGAAGAGTTGTACATCAGTTTTGGTAAATGACTGACTTCTCGAGACTTCCGAGTAAAGCTTCGGAGAGGACTTCCGCCTATCCGCAGATTGTGGAAATCATAATGCCGCATGTGCCCTATTGGAACACATGGCTAAATCCTCATCACGATGCAAGTGAACTTACACTTGTCTCTGCATCGTCAAGTGAGTACCAAGCCCTGAGGTTCCACACAAGATGATAGCTCGAGGTAGGTTCGCCGAGAGCGTGAGCGAGTGTGACGTAGCAGTGATCCGTCACCTACACGTACCATCCGCGCGATCCATAATAAAACATCCCACTCGATTGACATCTTCAAAACCTCTGTTTGAGCCTCTCCCTTTCATTTTCTACTCACACAACTTTCTCGTCTCACGAAATAAGTTACTACACACAAAATGCCTGTCGATTCTGTTCTTCAACTCAGCTGCTCCTGCAACCAATATCCTTGGGGAAAGCAGGGCCATGATTCCATCGCAGCACGTCTTTGCGAGAAGACTCCCGGTTGGGATGGCGAGAAGGCCGACAAGCAGTTCAAGATCGACGACAACAAGTCATATGCCGAAATGTATGCTTACCCTTGCGGATCACAAGAAACACAGCTCTAATAAATTTGGCAGNNGTGGATGGGCACATACCCTGTTCTTCCCTCATACGTAAAGTCGACAATGGAGGACCTCCAGGATGTCATCGACAAGAACGCAGAGCAACTCGTTGGAAAGAATGTCATTGACAAGTTCGGCCACTCCAACCTCCCCTTCTTGCCCAAGGTCTTGTCCATCGCAAAAGCTCTTCCTCTTCAACTGCACCCCAACAAGGAACTTGCAGCCAAGTTGCACAAGGAGGATCCTCAGAACTTCACGGACCCCAACCACAAGCCCGAGATTGCTCTTGCCCTGTCCAAGTTCGAGGCTTTCTGCGGTTTCAAGCCTCTCGATCGTATCGAGCCCCTCTTCAAGATTGAGCCCCTCAAGCAATTCGTTCCTGAACACACCAAGTTCGATGACCAGGTCCTCAAGAAGACTGTGAACACTATGCTCAAGGCTGATGAGAAGACCGTCGGATCCGTCGTTGATGGTCTAACCAAGCTCGACAAGTCCGCATTCGGTCAGGACACATACATCCCTGAACTCATTCCTCGCCTGGCCGAGCAATACGACAAGACCGACAACGGTATTCTGGTTGCTCTCGTTACCATGAACTACCTCGTCCTGCAGGCTGGCGAGGGCATCTACATCCCTGCCGATGGTATCCACGCCTACCTCGCCGGTGATATCATCGAGTGCATGGCCCGCAGCAACAACGTCCTCAACACTGGTTTCTGCCCTCAAGCCGAGCGCAACTCCGCAGACCTCTTCACCTCCACCCTGACCTTCAAGCCTCATGACCCCGAGGCTTGCATGCTGCGCGGAGAGTCTTACGACCGTAGCAAGAACGGCAAGACTCAGGTCTACAGACCCCCTATGAGCGAGTTCAACATGCTTGTGTCGAGACTCAGCAAGGGTGACAAGGAGACTCTTGGTGCTGTCAACGGTCCTAGCATCCTGCTCGTCACAGAGGGCAAGGGCAAGCTTACCGCCGATGGCAAGTCTTATGACGCTTCCGAGGGTAACGTCTTCTTCATTGCTCAGGGAACCGAGCTGGAGATCGATGCTGCGGATGGTCTCTTCTTGCACACCGCTTACTGCGAGTAAAAAGCCAAATATTGATGCCCTCTGATGATTGATGTCTATACATGTCTGTTGTATTGGTACCCAGCCCTTGGTAGTTTTAGCTAGACTAATGACGATTGGTATGACTTCCCATAATCGCCTGCTGTATCTGTATCTCTTTACTCGTGCAACTAGAATTTGTTGAACAACCGTGTGCTGAAGACTGTCACAGCATAGCTGCAAAATGCACAATACTTTTGCAGAGTATGCAGTCTCCACAAAAATCGTCAACTAAAGGCTATCTCCATGGCTAGAGACTAGAGTCACAATTTCAATTGCAACTGTGCGTTCTGACAGTGTGAGACAACCCTTTTAAAAGCGGTCCAGAACAGATCCTCGGTGGTAACATAGAACAGCATTGTGAATTATGAGAACGCATTACTGTTGATTCTCAAGATTGTGTTCAAAACGAGCCGAACATTGAGTGCGCGTCTATACTTAGGGCCAATACGTTTTCAGCCATCCTCTTCCCTCCATAACCCAATCTGTATCTAGTGTAACGCTATCATTGTCGAAGCCATGCTCTGCCCCTTCGACAATTGTCTCTTGAACGCCCCCTTGAGCCTCTCGTACGAATTTCAGTGTACCATCTACTGGTATGAGGGTATCCCCGTCTCCATGGAACATCCAGATTGGCGTCAAAGACCCACCCCGCTGCTGCAAAGATCTCAAGTTTTCGAGTGGGAAGAGACGAGATTCGCTGCCAAGAATCTCCGTGTAGCGTCCTTCCAGCAATGAAGCGACGAACACATCTGGCTCTCCTTCCTTGGGTATACGTTCAGTTACTGGCTTTGCAGACTTCGCAATGTCGAGTTGCTGGTCTAGCCATCCGTCTGGGTATGATGGCGGTGGTTGGCCCCAGATGACTTTTCGGCCGGGTTCACTATACCATGCGTCTTTGAGGTCGATCATTGGGTAGTGTGGGATGACCGCTTTGACACCCTTGGTTTCTCCGAGTAGCACAGATTGAACGGCCATGTAACCACCTGCTGACTCGCCAGTAACGAGAATATTGGAGAGATCTGGTGTTACGGCTTGTTGTGGAAACGAGGTCGCTACGAAGGAGGCAAGATGACCATGCAGCCAGGCGTAGAAATTGTGAAGATCGGACAGGATGTCAAGGCCAGATGATTCAGGTAGTAGACGGTAGTCAGGAGCTATAATGATGGCACCATGGAGGGCTGCTAATTCGACGATNNCCTGGAGGAGAGAGGGCACATTACTGAGTTGTCTTCCAAGTACGAGGATAGCATCGTTGAAATAGACTTACCATCGAGGAAACCAAGGCTCATAAGCCCTGCCTCCATTGATCAATGCTCCGCCATGCCACCTCACAAGTACAGGCAATATTCTCCCCTTCTCTGCGCTCTNTGGTACGAACACGCTGACCCCTATTGAGAGATCATCGGAAGTGTATGTTGTGTCTTTGCGGTCAAACGCATGAAATTTGGTCTGAAACTCGGCCATGTATACTGGTGTCGCAGTCGGTGGTCAATGGGGTCAAAAGCAATTCGGATAGCACGATTGAGAAAGAGTTGTTGCCAAATATTTGTATGTTGTCAAAAGTGTATGCATTTAGGCTATATGAGATTGGTCGTTGTCGCGTAGCTCGGTACGATCTTATACCGGATAGGATGGTTCAAAGTGTTAAAAGGACGAGGAAGAACAAATCAGACGCAGTCAAAGAACTGGTCACAACGCGGTGGCCACAGAAGTCAAATAAGACGCAAGTAGAAATAATGGACGATTTTTCTTCCAGAAAGTAGTAGTATTCTTGTTATACTGATGAATGTCGCGAGCAAAGACTGTAGAGTCAGGGTTAGCAGCCAGCCATGGAGATTTCCCCACGATCCGTTGGAAAAAGCCGAAGATTAAGCGGCAAGCGATTTTGCACGAAATCTGCGTGCGACTTGTCAAACGCTTTTGCGAATCGACGACGACAACGAACCCTCGACAATCCCCTCTTTGTGAAGCCAGTCAATGTGAGTCGCTTCATTGACGGCAAGAGAAGACGCGACTGGACAGATACGACGACCGACTTTTTGCAAATCTGGGCTTCGAACGGCACCAACGCGCAGTCGACAGTGAAGGAGAAAAATTGAACAAGCACACGCATACACAGTCTTCGACACACGACCGACACAGCCTACCGTACACTTCCTCTCACTGCTCTGTCGCCGCCACGAACTTCCTCGACTTCCAAATTTGCAACAAGCTGCCGCCGTATCCGACTCTCCTCGTGCCTTCTCAGCCGTCGCAAACATTTTCATACACAAGGACAGCACACTGACCAGCGCCTTCGCATAGCAGCCTTCATAATCCGACAACATGGGTATCTCTCGCAGTGGTAACTGGAAGCGCGCCGCCTCTGGCGCAAAGCGGTAATTATCTGCTGTCACTTTTCATTCTTGGGGAAACATTCGCTGACATTGTGTTCAGNNCATTCCCGCCAACAAGAAGCGCGGTACGTAAACAAACTGGTGTCCAACACCGTAACCCGATTGCTCGACGAACTGTCTTTCTGACTTTTCGTCTTTACANGCTTTCGAGAAGGGCCGTCAGGCCGCCAACACCCGTATCGGTGCCAAGCGTATCCATCTCGTCCGCACCCGTGGTGGCAACCGCAAGTTCCGTGCCCTCCGTCTCGACTCGGGCAACTTCTCCTGGGGCTCTGAGGGTATCTCCCGCAAGACCCGTGTCATTGCCGTCGCCTACCACCCTTCCAACAACGAGCTCGTCCGTACCAACACCTTGACCAAGTCCGCCGTTGTCCAGATCGATGCCGCTCCTTTCCGTCAGTGGTACGAGGCCCACTACGGCTCCGCTCTCGGTCGCCGTCGCCAGGCCAAGGGTGCCGAGGCTGAGGAGACCAAGAAGTCCAAGTCCGTCGAGAAGAAGCAGGAGGCCCGCACCAAGGCTTCCGGCAAGGTCGAGTCTGCCATCGAGAAGCAGTTCGAGGCCGGTCGTCTCTTCGCCGTTGTCGCTTCGCGCCCCGGCCAGAGCGGTCGCGTTGACGGCTACATCCTCGAGGGTGATGAGCTCGCCTTCTACCAGCGCGCCATCCGCAAGTAGACCATGACCCGCCGGTAACGAAGGATTATGGGGGTTACTCATCATGGCTCGTGGTTGGGCGTCGTTGTTCATGACCTTGGCGTTTGCAGAAAGACAGCAAAAGTACTGTTGTTTAGCTTATGCCAGAATCTTCTCTTGTTTCAAAAAAATTTCAAAGCCTTTCGAATACCCCCCTCATATATGATTCTCATGAGATGATTGTGCTTTTGGTATAGATTTTTTCTTTCTCTCACCATGCTTGTGCCTTGTTCCGACCTGTTTCCACATTGCGCCGTAGTCTTGACATCCTATACCCAAATCTCAGCGTAAATGATATGTCGTTGTTGTCTCACCCAAGTCTAGTCTTAGCTCGAGCTTGATATGGCTGAGTACGATATGTAGTCGCCAACCCGCAGTGATAAAGAGTCATATTCTGCCTCCCTGTTGCTAAAGTTTATAACTTCCATTGTACTCCAACTATAGCAAAAAGCAAAATGTACATCATAAAAAGACGGAATCGTTTACGAAAGCAAAGCTATGTCCCCAAAGAGCTGAATGAGTCATCGCTTTCCAGTGAGTACGTTTGTCTTTTTCGTATTATGGAAGAGTCATCAGGAATCATAGTTGTTCATTCACGCGACCCTGGCGAACGAAGCTGGCTCCGACTGCCAGCCACATCTCTCAACCACATCAACACCTACCATCAAACAAATTTTACATGCGCAGCTTCGGCCTCTGCCAATATCTAATTTGCTATTCCAACAAAAAAGACGAACATACCTCAAAATGTCAACACCTCAAACAGTAAAAACGCGTATCTTAATTATCAGCGACACACATTCTACACCTCTCGCACCTGCCTCATCTTCTCAACCCTTCCGTCAACCTCTTCCCTCAGCGGATGTCTTGATCCACTGTGGCGACCTCACCATGATAGGTCTGCCATCAGAGTACCACAAAACTCTCGACATGCTTGCTTCCATCGATGCACCGGTCAAATTGATCATCGCCGGTAACCATGATAGAACGTTAGACAAGACATGGATGAAGAATCATGAGAGAAAGTTCAAAGGCAGAAAGTGGGAGGAGATGTATGAGGAAGCTCGAGAGATGTGGTTTGGAGAGGAAGGTCGAGCAAGGAAGGAGGGAGTGCGTATGTTGGAGGAAGGAGTTCATGACGTCGAGCTGGGTAATGGAGCGGTGTTGAAGGTAAGTGATTTGCCATTGCTCTTGCCCTTGTTTCTTCTTCCACTCTTGCGTTGCAACAAGAGTGTGTCATCGCACCTCGTGTGCTAAAGGCTGTCAAAACATCTCGATCAATTATCTTCCCATCCCGAGATATGATGGTATTGTGAGCTATCAAAATGCACAGTTGTATCCTGGAAATGAGCCTGGCCACAAAGACAGCCTCTGGTGGATGCTATCTGTGGAAACAACTTCTCTTATGAAACTACTGTGTATCTTGATAGCTACACTGCGACAGTATTCAGCACGCGGGGAGGAAGCAGCAACATTTCCAATCACCAACACGATCCACCTGAAACTAACAAGTTCATTAGCTCTATACATCTCCCTATCAACCGGAATTCTACGACTGGGCTTTCCCGTACGAAAAATACGAGGACCGCTACAATCCTGCATCTGAGACGCTTTCTGATGCCACAAACATCGCCGTCAACCCAATACCCTCCTTCTCAGACCAGAAACTGGATATAGTCTGCACTCATGGACCCCCATACATGCGTGGAGATATCACTGCACATGGCAGTGTAGGATGCCCACATCTACTTAAAGCAGTGGGTAGGGCAAAACCATTAGTGCACTGTTTTGGACATATCCATGAGGGGTGGGGTGCGGAGACCGTGACTTGGAATGATGTCGCAGTGGCCGAGAAGGAGACTATGGTACAATTCAAGAAACAAGGGTGGGAAAAGCACATCAAAGAGGTTGACAGAGTTGACATCACAGGAGAAGACATAAAGAAGCAGAGAGCTGTGTTTGTAGATGGGACGGGAATCAAGAGGGGAGAGCAGACGGTCCTGATCAATGCAGCGATCATGGATGTTGGGTACAGTCCAGTCAACGCGCCATTCGTGGTGGACCTCGACCTGTCGATCAAGGAGTAGTGCAGTGCAGAAGGATACCCCGAGTTGAACAGGGAACTTGCTGTGCCACAGTGTTATGAACGACTAGTGTTTTGATAACTCGAATGTCGTCCAATACCACTGCGGATCAGCGACTAAAGTATTACGCTTTAGCCATGTGAAGCATAAACTAAGATTACCATGCAACATACAGATTTCTGAATGATGTTATGATAAATATATACAAGACAGCAGAAAGGGTATCTAGATACTAGCAGAGAAAGAAACGTAAAGACCATAGACAACGAAACATCTCACCCAGCATTTTCGCAACCCCCACATTAAAACCTTGTCCGACTACTCGCTCTGCTATGGCTCCTCGTCCCACCATCGCCGCTCTTATCCTTGCTTCCCAAACTCAAGAAGCTCAATCTCTTCTTGATAGAGGCACGTCGACCTCTAGGTTTGTGTATCGTCTGCTCAGTGTGCTGTGTGTCGACAGTCAAGACATCACTCGGTGCTCTTTCTCTCATCGACGCAGGTCCCTGCGGCACTTCCGTGTACTGCCATGCCGCAGATCTCGACTGCCAATCTCTCGAAGGGTATAGCGCATGCAACTCTAACAGGAAACTGTCTTCGAAACTTGCTCGGAGCATCTCCTTGATGTGTGTAGGAATCAAGGGGGAAGACATCGCGAGTTCAATGCTGCGCGCATGGTCCTCGAGGGAGACAATCAGGATATCTCGGAGTTGTGATTCTTTAGTTTTCGGTTCGCCAAAGGTGTCGTAGTAGACACTCTGAACTTCGGCCATGGTGTTGTTGGCGGTACTGCCTGTTCCCGGACGAGATTGAATCGATTCGAGCAATCTGTGATACTCGGCCACGCTACCACTGGTGCTTCTGTCCACACTCGACTGGATAGTCTCGATCAGTGTTTCAACCTGTGATTCTCCTTTGCTGGCAGCAGAGTGAGTTGCAACTGCTACGTTCAGCGTCTTTCGTTGGGTACGATCGATGGCTGCTTGCACTGGAGTCAAGACTACCCTCTCCTCTCGTGTAATGGCGCTGTAGGACAATACTGTAGGGAACGCAGTTTGAGTGTAGAATACCGTCTTTTCCACAACTTGATCGACTACGCTGACAGATGGATTGTCATGACGGTTTGTCATTGCGAATGCCATAGGTTGAGCAGTCAGACAATGTTCTCTGAAACCTGGTGCGACGCCGCCTTGCTGGTTGATGGGATGCAACTGATTTTTGTATACAGTGACAGGACTGATCTTGACAGCAGGGTCGTGTGACAACCATGTTGGATGCGTGTAGTCTGATCCGAGATTCGCCACGTAGGGGTACTGCGCTTGTAGCAACACTGAGAAGGTCTTCCTATCACAATTTGCAGCTCCTTCGAAGATGAAGTTTTGGCCACGTACAGAGTCTGGGAAGACTTCGTGATCGTTGAAGGCAACGTGGAAGAAACGGGGCAGGGGTACCGGTCCGGCAGCCAGAGTATTGTAGATGCGTGCCTCGTCAAAGCGAACTTGCGCAATACCAGCAGCGTCCCAAGTAGCTTCGCGCCCTGCGGCAAGCTGTTTGAGAGTCTTGAGAACGTTCTCCCAACAGTAGCCTCTTTCGTAGTACGTAGCCATCGTCCGGTATAGACGGTCTTTTCGTGATTGCACCAACTCGGCAGGGGTTTCGAGGCCAGGTACCTTTGCTGGGGCGAGGACTCTGGAAGGCTGACTCTCATTCAATACTTCGACGTGGAGGTTCAAGGTGCATGCTGCGCTGGAGTAGTTCCTGGCTTGGACATGAAGTTCGACAAGCTCGTGAATACGACACACGTATGCTTCCTCCTGACCACTCAATCGCAAGAATTCCATGAGTCGAAGTAACTGAACCATACGCGAAGCTGGATCTCTGACATCGCCGAGATCAGCCAATACGTTGAACAATCGGCCCACTTCTGCGATAACACTCATCAAGGCTTCATAAAGCGTGTTCAGCTCAGTGTTCTTGATGACTACAAAGTGCTTTCCAAGTCTTTCCAGGAAGGCAGACGCGAAAGGGCTTTGCATTGCGCCATCTTCGCGGTGCATGGCGTCAAAAGCATTGATGATGGCTGCTTGAACCACAGCCAGATTCTCGTTCAGTTGCCATTCACTGACGATGATAGATCGCAGGATGTCAAGACCGACTGATTGCAACTGATCGTGAAGCCCCATACAGAGTCTGACGACAGATGGAATTACCTCGGTGGACAATCCCACTTGGTACCCACCGACTCGGTCCATTGGATACAGCACTTGAAGATACTCTGGCGGAGCCTGCCAGCCTAAGCAAGCCCAGCCTTTCTGTAGCAAGTCAGCAGCGTCTGCACGAATGTCACCACCAATAGTCCAGATTGCTCGTCTTGTTTGCTCGGTGAAGGTTTCCATAGATACCATTTTGCCGAGGGCAAGATCGATCAATATCTGGAACCAGAGTTCCCACAGATCAGGATTGAATTCCATAACATCGTTGACACCGCTGTCATCTTCAGAGGGCACAAAATTTGTGGATAGCATCTCCAGCAACCACCGGAGAGCAGAGATTGTGACCTTTGCATGAGTAACATGCAAACTAAGCCATTGCGTAGGGAATGCTTCTCCACTATGAATGGACTTGAGCACTTTGAAAGCCTTGACCAGGAAATCTTGCTGCATCGTTTTTGAATCGGAAGGAGTTCCACTCATGAAAAGCTGACCTTGTGGTGATCCCTTCTGGAAGAAAGAGTCTAGTATGGCGGCGGTTTCCATCAGAACCTCAGACGGTACATTCGACGTATCCACAGACATGCTAAGGAAGGGATAATGATCCGGAANAAGATATGAGAGAGATTTTCTTGACCTGTTGAACGACAGTGAGGACGCTCTCCCGTCACCGCCACCTTTCAGATATTCGTTAATGATATGATATGCCTCTACAAGTCTCCAGATGTAATGCAAAGACTGTGTAGGGTCGGAAATTTGTGCTTGCTGAGTGCGTAGGATCGAACAACACATTCTGACGCCTTCTATCTNTTGCTCGGTCAAGTTGGATGCATCTGGCCAGTAGTCTTCGAGCCATCCTATCGTCAAGGCATGGAGTTTGGGCAGCGCATCAGGAGAAAAGAAAGTCTGCTGGCCAGATAACTCCTTGACCATGATCAGTCTATGAATGCGCAGACCACCCTTCTTGCCGGCTGACGCGTTCATCATACCATCTACGACATCCAGGATATCATCAGTAGCCATGATGTGAGCAAGTTCAGGAAGCCATGAGGAGAAATGTTGCATCAAGATCGTCTGTGTTCCATAGAGATCCTCTCTTGGGTTGCGCATCAAGTTTACTAGTGCCACCAGCACGGAAGAGACAGCATTGCTTAACGACGCAGTGCTACGTGGAGATCCGGATTCGCCGCGATTGGTAATAAATTTTATGACTTGACCAGAGACCTTCAGGGTACTGCGGAGCTCTCGTGCATCTTCGACCTCGTAAGGTCTGCTAATGAAGGCACGTAAAGCCTTGCATACGCCCTTGGAAGCATCGTGCGAGTGATGACGCTCCTGGATGTATTCGTCAAACAAATTCTTCGTGCTACTGAAGCGGCGATCGCGCGTGAGGTGGAGCATGTGAACTAGACACGACAAAGCTCGCTCGGTGAAATTTTCTCCAAGGCTGACTCCTGTTCCAGTGTCATCAACTACGCGGTAGAAGACATCAAATATCTTATCAAGCGCTGTCAGAACTGGTTTGAAGAACTTGACGATCTCGGCGTCTGGAGCTTGCTTGAATCCATCCAATAGAGGCATGAGACCCTGTACTGTCGTCCCATCCCATTGCAGAAGTGAGCTAATGGTCGGATCCTGAGGGGTGGTACTGCTGCTGAGCGTAACATCTACGGATAATGCAGCCATTGGAGTATTTTCCTGTACTTGAAGCTGGTCAAGACGTGATGGTAGCATCTGATACGCGCCCCTACCATGGACCGTACTGGCAGTATACTCGCTGTAGTCCCACAGAGCCAGATTTTGTTGACCGTGAGTACATACAGCCCNCTGATGATCCCACAGAGGTATCCAGGCCAGTGCGAACGGAAATTGATTCCCTTCTGCAATACTGAGAACAACATGAGCATGAGGAAGGTCTTCGTTGAGAACCGACAGACGTATAGTCTGATTCCAGATCTCGCTACGGTCGATAGCCGAGGTTCTATAAGCAGTATGGGGTGGACGATTCGATGCTGGCCAGACCGAATTTTCAATGCGTTTTCCAGCCTCAGTTCGCACTTCAAGGGTCAACTGAAGATTTCTTAACTCCGCTTCGTTAGGTATGGCAACACTGCCTTCCTGTGGGTGAAAGCAGCGAGCTCCAGATGGCAAAGTAGGCTCTTTGAGAGTCAAGTAGACATCACTGCGTTGCTGCGCAGAACCGGAACATAGGTTGAGTGCTTGAGTGCAATAAACATCCCTCAGCAAAGCGGGATGGTCTTTGATGAGTATGTCAGAATTTGGATGAGCGAAGGCATGCAGATCAAGCTGAAACTTTCCAACCGAGGGCGCTTTGGTGAAGCTGCCCATCGGGCTGCGGACAAGATTCTTGACAACATCTTCCCAGCCGTCTGTACCGATCACGGGTTCCTCAATAACTTCTTCGAAGGCCTCAGCTGGCGTCCAAAGGGAGATGTTGTGGACGGTATTGCCATGTTGACGAATGAGCTCGCCAACCTCAACTGCTCCATACCCGATAACACGCCTCAATTTCTTTTCTGCCGTTGAGGGGCGTCCTTGTAAGTCTGTTACGACAGGTGTCTGTGGCCTGCCTCTCATTTTTGACCGTGATGATTCTCGAGTTGGTGGTCGTGTTTGATCTCGAGAAGTACTTCTCTCGAGGTTTTTGCGGCCGCGTTGACTGCCCCAAAGGAAGCTGCGACGCGCTCCTGTACTTTCTGACCGGCTGTGAGATTCTGGTCGGTCTGCTGACGGCAAAGTCTGGGTAGGTACGATGACTCGTTTTCGAGGAGCTTCTTCTCGATGAAGCAGGCATACCAGATACAGGTGAGAGCTCGGGTCTGTCGCACTGCCTATTTCAGCCTTGGTCAAGTCTGTGAACAAAGTTTTTGGCAATTGGTTTGGTGCAAGACTCTCGAGTGAATGACGATCGAAAGGCACTTCAACAGCAAAGACCTCGGATACAGCACGCGGTACAGCATCTGATGCTTGACGACACAAATACATATGCAAAACACCCGGCTCGCCACTCATGTCACCAGTTTGTTTCAGATCAACCAGTAAATGTGAGACCAAAGATTCTTGAGCAGGTGGTGGAGGAGGTCTATTGCGCATGCTCATAAGCGCTTGTAACTCCAGCATTTCCGTGATACTGTCCTGTGCAGTAAGAATTCGACCTTTCTCCTGAGGACTTCGTACGATGACTTCTCCTTGAAGAAGCTTGTTTCCATCAACCAAGTCCCAGACCGTCCGCTCCCTCAGAGCTGCCAGCTCTTNTTCCGTCAAAAGGTCGTGTATCAATTGTTTGCGTGCATTGTCCAGTCTGCCAGCCAGATCGGAAAGCTTTTCCAGGAGGTCGTACTCGTGGTTCATGATCAACTGGTGCACATGGGTAGAATGCCACTCGCGCAGGCATGATGAGATCTCATCGACTAGGGGCTCTTCGTTGGAGAAGGGAGTTGCATCACCGATGCGAAGAGCAGGCAGAGNGGCTTCTTCTTTGAGAGCACCCACCGGTCTTGGCTGCACATCCAGGGGCAGCAGGTGGGCATTGTTGGGTTTGTGTGGAATCAAGCGTGTCCTCCTCTTGGATTTCTCCCTGCGCGGTACATTCTTCGATACTTCCAAAGGATCGTTACCGTCTAGAGCGCCCCTGTTCGCCTGTGCAGTGTCCAATTGTTCCTTCTCTTGTCCAGCGGCTTCAGCGTCTTCGGTCAAGACCTCTCGAACTTCGATACAATTGCGCGGGAATATGCCAGCATATGCTCGTGGTATGATTGGTTGGCCATTCTGACGATCCAGACCCGCGACAATGGACGGTTGCGACAGTAGCCAGCCGCGACACCACTCGTGAGCGATGCCACCTACTTCGGTAATGTAGACATCGTCGCCGATCTCGAGGGCGATATCATCGGGGTGAGTCGCTTCGAATCGCTGCACGCATACAGCATGCACAATATTCTTGACTGGTCGCCACGACATGTGTGATGCACTAGCTCTTTCTGTTCATATATGCGTCTTGTTCCTGAGCCGAGGGAGAATTTACAACAGAGACAGATATCGTGTGGGCTTAGCGGTGAGTGGTGGTTTCGAGCACGAGGACAGCTCGTGGCTAGGACGAATTGGCGATTCCAGAGAAGACTAATACACAAGCGATTATCTCGACATGTAACCCTGGAGCAGCACCAAGGGTAAGCTGCGACAAGAAGAAGGTTTGAGGCCGCTGGCCGTCGTTTCGGATATCTATGCACCTACAACGCGCGTAACCTGAGGCTTGTCTGTCTTTTGCTGTCCTGCTTTTGTCTTTCTGTCTTCATGCATCTACCAATTTCTCTCGAAGTGAGGACAATACGACTCGTGTCTGTGTGTTCTGGGTCCGTGTGCGGCAGGAGAATTGGAAGCCCCTTGCAATCGATGACTCCCATACCAGCCGCTGAAGAACAGGTTCAGGGTAGCCGGTTTAGTTAAAGGCTATTTTGGGTGGCTTCAGATGGCTTTATCGCACGGGCCATCTCATCTGCTTGAAGGTCGCACTGTCTCAGCTTCGACTGCAGATCCTCCATCTTTGTCCAATACTACCCTCCCCGTTTGCTAAAATGTAGCGCGTGTAGCTTTAGGATCGCAGAATATTGACAAGGAACAGGGCAGTGCTCACTCTCAGAGGAGACGACGTATCAGCTCTCTTCGGCCCTGCCTCTGCTTTTGATGACGATCGTGCCTTTTATAGTGTACACTTTGCTCTTGACTATACTCGAAGCAGATTCTACACTATAGGAACACCAGGTATATGTCCACAACTGTCACTATTTCTGGTAGTACTTGTCCTACCGCCAAGACCTTTGATAATATGGCATAGAAAGTTCTGAAGGTCACTTCAAAGGTTGTTGTTATGCTCACCCTGTGCTTCTACATATGCTTGTTCTCTGTATTGCTTACCTGATGACCCCGAGCATCTACGGCCTCTCAGTTCAATCGTGATCTGAGGCTTGTCTCGGGAAAACCAATGAGATGGTGTGTATGCTGCTCTGGCTTCAAGGTTATCGTGGCTCGATATGGTTCCGTTGGTAGAATCCTTGGAATAAGGAGAAAGAAGAGAAATTGATTGCGCCCTTCCTCCAGGGCATCTCCCATGATGGTGCAAAGCAGTCAGTGAGTCAATGAAATGTACAGTCAAACCAAACCAAAGGTGTTACCAGAGAGTACCAATAGTTGAATGCATTGTGCATATTTATGACTGCGTTCTCGAAGGATACTCAATCGAGGAAGAAGAGAAACAAAGAAAAGAAGAGTGTGAGAAATTATCAGCTCGTCTATAAGCAGTCGAGGACTAATGCCAGAGGTCAGCGCGGTATGGCCCTATGAAGTAGGTTGGGTAGGCTTGATTGCACCGCGAGGAACCACTCTGACGTTCGACATACCAGCAGCAGCACTGACTGATTTTGTGCTTGAATCTGGCCCATGACTGAGTGCTTCATCTTTAACTGTAGCCTGCTCTCTCGATCCAGGAAGTGGTATGCCCCATGTAATCCTTTTGCATGTAGATCTACATTAGTTTGTGACAAGGAAGTGTTTTGACAGGAAGTCGCGTGCTCAAGGTGACTTTTTTCCCTTGAAGTGATCGCCTTGGCGTTGCTCTTGCCTGGCAAACATCAAGACAATTGAACACTCAGGACTCCACCAAAGTTGAAAATTTGGAGAAAAATGTGGTCATTGATGTTTGCCACTTCTTCACAAAGCATTCAACAGTTTGTGGATGCTGAAGTGAAGCAAAGGCCGGACGTGCAGGTAGAAGGTCGAATCACATGACCTGAGTGCGCAGGGGCTAAGCGAGGACCACCGTGCCAAGACTTGCACCTGGGCTTTTGCAAATTTCATCGGCCTCCAGCTCTCTCGTTTTTCCAGGTCATCCTCGTTGTCAACTAACCACAGCAGTCAAGATGTCGCACAGAAAGTTCGAGGCTCCCCGTCACGGCTCTTGTCAGTACCAGCACCTATAACAACCATCGACAACTCGCCAGGACCAATTGCTAACGCGCGCGCACNNAGTGGCCTTCCTTCCTCGCAAGAGAACCGTCCACCACCGCGGTAAGGCCAAGTCGTTCCCCAAGGATGACTCCAAGAAGCCCGTCCACTTGACTGCTGCCATGGGCTACAAGGCCGGCATGTCCACCATCGTCCGCGACCTCGACCGTCCCGGTGCCAAGCTCCACAAGAAGGAGATCGTTGAGGCCGTCACCATCATCGAGACCCCTCCGGTACGCTACCAATCCGAATGCTCTACTCGACTCGAACCACACACTAACACACTACACAGNATGGTCGCCGTTGGTCTTGTTGGCTACATCGAGACTCCCCGTGGTCTCCGCTCGCTGACCACCGTCTGGGCCGAGCACTTGTCCGACGAGGTCAAGCGTCGCTTCTACAAGAACTGGTACAAGTCCAAGAAGAAGGCCTTCACCAAGTACGCCAAGAAGCACTCCGAGAACGCTGGCCAGTCCGTCACCCGCGACCTTGAGCGCATCAAGAAGTACTGCACTGTCGTCCGTGTCCTCGCCCACACCCAGATCTCCAAGACTCCTCTCAAGCAGAAGAAGGCCCACCTTATGGAGATCCAGGTCAACGGTGGTTCCGTTGCCGACAAGGTTGACTTCGCCAACGGCCTCTTCGAGAAGCCCATCGAGATCAGCTCCGTCTTCGAGAAGGATGAGATGATTGACTGCATTGCCGTCACCAAGGGTCACGGTTTCTCCGGTGTTACCTCCCGTTGGGGCACCAAGAAGCTCCCCAGAAAGACCCACAAGGGTCTCCGCAAGGTCGCCTGTATCGGTGCCTGGCACCCTTCGCACGGTATGTTTCGTCTGCTGCTGTGAACAATTTCTCTCTTACTAACAACCACTTANGTCCAGTGGACCGTTGCCCGTGCTGGTCAGGACGGTTACCACCACCGTACCTCGGTCAACCACAAGATCTACCGTATTGGCCGTGGTGACGATGCTGGCAACGCCTCGACCGAGTTCGATGTCTCCAAGAAGACCATCACCCCCATGGGTGGCTTCGTCCGCTACGGAGAGATCAACAACGACTACCTTATGCTCAAGGGTTCCGTCCCTGGTGTCAAGAAGCGCGTTGTTACCCTCCGCAAGTCCATGTTCGTCCACACTTCCCGCCGTTCCACCGAGAAGGTCGAGCTCAAGGTACGTCAAACTCGAAATCATTCCTCCGTTCTACCCAATCATACTAACACATCTATCAGNTGGATCGACACCTCGTCCAAGTTCGGTCACGGTGCTTACCAAACCCCCGCCGAGAAGAAGCAGTTCATGGGTACCCTCAAGAAGGACCTCGAGCGCTCCGCTTAAACGTTTTCTTCTTAGCTATGAAAAGTCTTGCTTGCGACATGACCGGCGTTTTGTCATTCAATTAGCGGTCTGGCAACTGGGGAAGACAAACTCTCAATTTCAAAATGATTCCCACCCCAAAATTTCTGTTTTTGTTCTTGTAACTCCTTGCCTCTTTGTGCATTCTCAACCATCACCGGTGCCATCGTGATGTTCTTTTGCTCATTGAACCTTTTTACACTTTACTTTTTCTGCATCAGCCTCTTAACACAACACTTTTACTCGGCTTTCTTACAGTGCTATTTTGGCATGTATACACCTAGGCTTTGAATTCGACGGTGCAGACGATGTCAGCACCCCTCAGAATTTGCCTTCGAATCTCACGCCGAATCAGGACTGAACCCTGGTTCTGATGCCCTCGACTCAGACACTTCAGACGGAAGAGCTTCGCATGAATCTACCAAGGCCGATGACAATCATTACATTGAATATGTCGTTTCACTCATTGCAGACGAGATTCCAACCACCAAGTCTCGCACCAGTTACAAGCGTTTTGGACCTGTGGCATGGAACTCGGCAACGCCACGAGCTCAGCCTATCAAGTGGGCGCCACTCCTTCAACACATGTCTCGAACTGTCCCTCAGGAAGCATTAGACGATCCTACAGCTCGTTTTGTGTGTCCCCTAGACTCTTGTGGAGAGATCTTATCCTCTTCTGCGACCCTTCAAGATCTCTGGAAGCACGCGTCAGACGAGCGCCACCAAAAGAACTTTATCGCTAGGGGCTGTTCAGGTGTGAGCTTGGCTGTGCTATGGGCTTCACAGATGCCCTCGGAAGACTTCACCATTACGCAGGACAGGCTTGCGGTGTGGAGGTGTTACAGGACTACGACCATGCACAGGCTACCTGTGCTGGACCGCCTACCGAGGCCACCTACTCGAGGCCGCAGCATTGGATGCAAAGGCACGCTTCGAAGGAGTATGGCTCAGCCGGTTATGGTTACATGGATGAGGCGTGCGAGATAGTGTTTCCAAGCAATGCTGTGATCGAGGACCACAATGGGGGTCGTCAGACGGCCTTGACCTTAGGAGTCCACGGCAGCAGTCACAATGACGGAGGCAAGGATGTTTTAATCCATTCATTCCAGTCCACCGACCGCAATTCAACACGTTGGCCAATCTCGAAGAAGGGACTAATACCTACTGGCCGCTTGACAACATCTCAGGTTGTACGTATCTGGAAAGACTTTACTGGCTTCGTACAAGGCAGAGTACCAAGCGAGTACTTCGCCGTTCTCAATACACCTCCCAACGCAAACACACAAGTGTCGATGCACACGACTTGGCCTCGCGCTGGAATCCCAGACCACAGGGATACTCCAGCTCCTGTAGCTAAAATCACGCAGCCCACGCCTGACCTCCGCCCAAAGGTGTCTATGGCAGCACTCACGCGGTACAAGGCATATCAACAGTCAGCGATCGTCAAGTGTCTTGGGCAGGACTGGAGCGCCAGATCTAAAGGCGCCTCTAAGACCAAGACCAAACCAAGCGCAATCGGCAAGGTTTGTGCTTTCGATCTCGTCGACGCCGAAGCTTCAGCGGATCATTTCACTCAATGCACATTCGTCTGTCATGCACCGTGGTGTATAGAAACCTTTCCACCAAGCATGCCTCTTCACGAGTTCCTCGCCCACGAGGGAGGAGCCTGCGCACGCAATCTGGCTGGGGACCCAGGCTTATGCATACAAGTGTCGCTTCGGTTGTGCAATGGGGTTTGTGAGTGAGCACTCGCGCTGGCGGCACGAGGCTTCCCAACTCTGCACCCATCAGCCGCATGGTCTGGAGCAGGCGGTAGTACGCTGCTACAACGAGAGCAAGAAGAAGAAGTGCAAGGAAACCAGCAGCCAGTACGACCAGAACATCCCGGTGGATCTCAACTACTACACGGTCCACTACGAGAGCACATACGGCAGGGAACAGTACTTCGACAACCCAGATTCGCTCAAGTGTCACAACTGTGAGCTGGGTTCTACCAGTAGAGCAGTTTTCGCTCGCCACCTGATTGGAGCCCTCAAGCAAACCCGTGACAAAAACGACCAGACGCCTACGATCAATCGGTTGATCTTCCCGCACATCAAGAAGTTGCAAGAGCTTGGGTTGTTCTGGATGGCGCCGCAGATGTACATCAACACTGCATCATTATCTGGCACTCTGCAGCAGAGCAAGGACTTGTCAAACCACATGGTTCGCCAGGCCTACATGGATGGTGACGGCGGCTTCCATGTCATCTTCTTCTTTCGTCACAGCTGCAAGCGGCCACCATCAGTCACGCTGGAGTTTCAACTGGATGTCGTCAAGGGAGACGATGGACTTCCTCACTCATACTGGCCGTATACACGGCAAACTTTCTGCTGTCACAATCAGCGCACGGCACACCAAAGGGAAGTTCATGCCCAGTGCATTCAGCGATATTGCTTTGGAAACAGCCCTGGTGGCAGATGATCTGCCTTCAAAGGTATACAGTCTACACCAGATGAAGAGCCTGAAACAATGTGCCGTCCAAGCCGCAGCTGCAACTACGCAACTCACCACTCAGATTCTGCATTCTTTCCTACAAGGAAAGATCTCTATTGTCGTATCATGTGGCATCAATGGCCTGTGCAACAACTGGCCAAGGTTAGATGTATTGCCAGCAAGCTCACTCGTCAGTATGGTGGTGTTGATATCGTGTTAAGACATACAGGGGAGAAGTTTGACGTTGAAGCAGAGGTCACGCCGGCTGAGTGGATCTGTCCAGAGGAGCATGTCGATATGTACTATAGAGTCTACTCTACTAGAGATATTGCAGATTGTGGTAGGGGTGGACCGAAGGACCATGGGCTTTTAGCATGGCGTCAGGTGCTGGAAGGCATTCAAAGAAAAAATCAGTCAAAGAACTAGTCAATATATGGCGGCCGCGGGGGGTCAAATAAGCGAAACACTACTACATGTTCTTCACCACCAACGAGACTTCATAGCTGTCAAACTGCACAATGTATTCACACCAACAGTTTTTTCCATAGAAAGCGTGTCAATCAGAAGGAAAGCGGCTCTCATTGGTTTTCTGCAGTCTCCATCATCTCCGTAGTAGACGCTGTGCGAAATACGTCTGCTAAGTAGAGACAACAATCCAATCGATTTCAGATAAAGTATCACAACAGATTCGCCACTGCTAACAGAACGCCAGCGAGACGACCTAATGCAGGATATGAAGTTGCTGCAACCCCGGTGGAAGCACTCGAGGAGGCCGATGAAGAAGCTGATGAAGAAGCCAATGAGCGAGTAGTTGTAGATCCGCCATTTGCAGAAGCTGAGTTCCTGATTCCGGACGAGCTTGAAGACTCATTGGTGGTCAACGGGGTCGAAGAACTCGATCCAAAACCTGACGAAGTAGAGTTGGCACTGGCAATGCCCCCTGTCAATGCAGTTGCCGATAAATCACTAGTGGATGCCGACGCCGAGCTCGAATGTGACGTTGAGGCTGTCGTAGCTACAGACACTGAATAGCCTAGTTGACTGCTAATAGCGATTGCCTGGCTCGACAAGCCAGCATAGGCTTCGGACGAGTAAGCAGAATATTGGCTTTCCATTTGCGATTTGTAGATTCCGGTCGCGGTTGCTGCGTTGGAGGACATAGAATCCAACGCTGCAGAGATCAAGGATGATTCAGCTGCCAGGTTGACTGAGGCTTGTGAGGCGAAGACTGAGTTGATTGAGGTCGGATCAGTAATGTTCTGGCTAAGGCCAAGGGTGGCCATAAAAACCAGAGCCGATACCACAAGATGCATCTTGAATAGTTTGGGAGAGTTTCAGGCAGCAAAGTTGTGATTCGGGTGATAGGATTGGTAGACGATGGAGAAGAAAATAGAGTGATCAAAGAGAAAAAGCAGCAACTTATTCTGTAGCAGCTTCGTGTGCGACGAAGGCACTGCATGTTGCCATACCCCTCACCACTCATGCTTGACGACGCGGACATGACAAACTTCCGAGTGTTGTTGTACAAAGCCATGGGGCTGGCAACACTCTGATGTGTGGTGATGCCAATGATAAAGTGCTCGAAAAACGTGTTTGGATCGGCGACATACTTCCTCCCCCTGTACCAAAGTATGTAACACATATAGCTATATAAATGCACAATAGTCAGAGGATAAAGGTCGTGTCCACTGAGAGACAACAAATTGTCAACTCTCTATGGACACGCCTCTACTCTACTGAAGAATTGTGTCTTTTGTAGTCCGATTTTGCTCTTAGCTATAGTCGGAGTACAGTGGGAGTTGCAGACTTTGATATACGAGGAGGTTGTACCTGTCAGTAACACACAGCGTGACCATAGACACGCTCTAGAATTTGCCCCGAGCTGAGAAGGTGGTATAGCGTAGCTGTCGCGAGGCGTTGCGCTGTGGATATCAACATTCGACGTTTTTTGGATGGGTGTAGGCAAGTAGAGAAAGGCTTTTCCACACATGTCTTATAACGTCGCTTCGACCTCGAGGGTGAAGGGACCCGCAAATCACGACAGCTCGTTGATGCAGGAATGGATGAGCATCAATGTGGCTTCTGCATCTTTTCGTTCACGTTCCTGCAGTCCGTCCTGAATACCGGTAAGGAGTACAAGTGACTTCCGAGTCACACGACCAAGCCAAGTCACTTGGCAGCTGGAAATTGCTTGGTCGCAAATGACAAGAAAAAAAGAAGCAGACGTTGAAGCCGAACAAGCGGTGCAAGAATTGGTTCATGCGAAGTGGCTGTTGCTTGTTCATTTCCATTGACGTTATGCGCTTACCAGCTGAGTTTCTGGCCGTCGTCCCCGATGAGGAAAAAGCTGATATTTCCCGAGGATCAAAATTGCTGATGTAACTAACGCAAATCGCATCACGAGAAGCTTGGCCTTGTCACTCGACACAAGGTGGGGTCGAGATGAGGTCTGAGTGACACAAAGATTCGCGTTCCAAAGGTCGAGACGCACAATGAAGACGGCAGGGGTGGCAGGGTGGCCAAATTCTGAGAAGAAGAAACTCCCGTGCTTTGCGACGCCGCGGCGGAAAGATGACCATTATTCTTAGAATTGGTCCATGCCAAACGAGATGCATAACTTTGTTAACATTTGAGACTTCGGCCGAGGAACCTGCTCCTTACTGGTCTGCTGTCTGTATGTAGCAAGCATGCCGTATATCCAGTGAGGGGGTGGCGTGTTCGCATCCGAGGAATTAATGCTCCTTACAGCTCTCTGCATGACCACCTCTGCCCTGAAGGAGTATTGAATCCTATTGTACTGCCCATTAGTGGAATGTTTGTAACGATGAACGAGGATATCGGAACGATTCTCGGTGCTATTTGATCTGGATGTTCGGGGTAAGGTACACCGGGCCAGCCGTTCACTGTCGATCGTCCGCTGATCGTGATCAGCACAACTCAATCACAAAATGGCGCAAGCTTCCACTGATGCAAGATCCTGTTATGCGGGGATAACTGAACAACACATGTGTTTTCAGATCGGAGGTGTAGAGAGGAACGGGGGTCAGGTGGGAGCTTACGTTTCCTATTTCTGAGTCAAGTTGTATAACCAAGCAGTTGGACATTCACACAGCTCAAAAGAAGATAAGCGAAAGGAGAAAGTTGAAGTAGAAAATGCATTAGCGATGTACTAATCGACAATTGAACATTACGAAGAATGTACAACGAAGTTGTGGATATCTTGGATTCTTGCTCCTCTGCGATTTGCAAGTTGTGATGTGAGAGCAACATGGAGCGCTTAGAAGACACTGCCCTTTCTCTCGACATCCTCGACGACCTCCAAGTCGAGCTTGCCACCGTTGGCGTGTCCGACGGAAGAAGCGAAGGTCTCGTGAGGGACCCACTTGGCGGAGGTACGGGGAGTGGTCTCCTCCATCATGCGGTCAACTTGCTCAAGAGAAAGACCCTTGGTCTCGGGCACCAAGAAATAACTGTAAATGAAGCTGATACACGAATTAGCACGAGAAACAATGATATAATGCAAGGGAGTTGTGATAACTTACGCGCAAGTGCAAAGGCCTGTCCAGATGAAGAAGACGGACGATCTGAGGTTACCCTCGTCCTTGTTGACCATGTAAGGTGTGATGACAGCAATGATAGTGTTCCAGAGCCAGTTGGAGGCGGTAGAGAGGGCGACACCACGAGATCTGATGGGAAGAGGGAAGATTTCACCGATCAAGACCCAGGCACCAGGACCCCAGGTGGAAGCGAAGAAGAAGATGAAGATGGCGATGAAGGCGATCTGGGCGTTGACGGCAGAGATGTTGTCGGAGCGGGTAAGAGGGTCGCCACCAGCGGGGTTGGGGATGGTGTGGGTGTGGTTGAAACCGACGGTGACACCAACAACAGCGACGATAAGCTGGCAGCACAACATGCCGAAGGCACCCCAGATGAGCAGGGGACGACGACCGAACTTCTCAACAGTGTAGAAGGAGATGGGGGTAGAGCAGACGTTGACAAGGGTGAAGATTAAAGAGATCAAGAAGGCGTTGCCAATGGCACCAGTGGACTGGAGGAAAGGAGTAGAGTAGTAGAAGATGAAGTTGACACCAGTCCACTGCTGCATCATCTGAAGAGAGGTACCGAGAATGGTCTTGCGAAGGTTGCTGTTCTGCTTCCAGAGCGAACCCTTGAAGCAGTTGGCCCAACCGGAAACCCAGCCAGTGGTGGGGATCATAGCACGCTCGTACTCCTCGTTGGCAACGATCTCGGAAAGCTCAGCCTCGATGTAGTCAGAGTCGCCAGGCTGGCCACGGAGTCTGGCAAGGGCATTGCGAGCAGCCTCGACGTTACCACGCTTGACGAAGTAGCGAGGAGAGTCGGGAAGGAAGAAGAGACCACCAGCAAGGACGATACCGAAGATGAACTGAATACCGATGGGGATGCGGTAAGAGGCAGTGCTGTTGATGTCCTTGGTACCGTAGTTGATGCAAGAGGCCAACAAGAGACCAATGGTAATGCAGAATTGGTAACCAGCAACGAGAGCACCTCTAACCTTGCGGGGGCAGATCTCAGACATGTAAAGAATGACAATGGCGGATTCGAAACCGACACCGAGACCGGCAATGAGACGACCAGCAACGATCAGACCAAGACCGTGGGAGGCGACCTGGAGAATAACACCGATGATGTAGATCATGCAACCAATGATGACAGTCCAACGACGACCAATGGTATCAGCGACATCACCAGCGATGATGGCTCCGAAGAAAGTACCGGCAGAGAGGATAGAAGTGATGAGAGAGTTGTGGGGACCGCTGAGAGAGGTTTGGCCAGCGCCCTCAATGATCTCGACGAAGACGGNGGAACCGGTGACACCGTTGATGTAACNCTATACCAATGGTTAGAAGGTGGAAGGATGGTTGACGATGAGGATAGGATGCATACCAGAGTCATAACCGAAGAAGATACCTCCGAAGGAGGCAAAGGCGCAAATCAGGTAGGCCTTCCAGGTGACTGGAGCCTCAATCTGATTGACATCAGAGGTGGTAGCAAGCATAGCACCAGGCATGTTGGCGGTGGCTTGAGAGGATGAGCTGTTTGTGAGATACGAATATCCTCAAGGGTGCGCGAACCCGTGGTTTTGTATTCCCACGCTCGTTCTCGACTCGATCCCCGCGTGGCCCCATCTTCCATCGAGAACATATCGATCTAGCCCAAAACAAACACAGAAGACGCCTTCTTCGGCGAGCTACGACAGAAAAATGGCCGTTCAGCGCTCGGGTCCAGTCACATGGCCCGATCGTTAAGCCGTCTAGAACATTTGATTGGCACGAAAATAAGTGCTTCTGCCGAGAACCTCACCAACGGGACGCCGGGCAAGCTTTACAAATTTCGATGTGGGTTTAGACTAACGGTCCACCCAACGTCGAGCAATGACCGACCGAGCAAGCCCAGCCTCGGCCGTCCAATAATTTTATGGTCTCGAAGTGACAAGCTCGTCGCCTTCGATGCTTCGCGGTCTTGTGCTTCTCGGCCATGACGAATAGAAGAAATGAAATCATGGGCCGTTTCCTGAACGCTACAGCAGAGTATGACTTGTCTGTATGGAAAGTCTGAAGATGTCTGACAGAAAATTCAAAAGAAATTGTGCTTGAGCTCCGCAACCATCCCACCTTTCCCGCGGTTTCTAACCCTGGAACGTTTTGAGTACGGGGTTGGTCGTACAGATTAGCCGACCATGATTGGTTCCTCCACGAGATGTCTTCAGCTACCTAATGCGGAGTTGATGATACGACCTAGGAACATGTACCACATGTACACCACAACTGGAATAGTGGCTCTAGCATGTGACGCTCTACCCTGCTTCGTTGCATTTTGGAGAGATCATGAGTTGATCTTCTCGCGTGTTGTGGGGTTGGCCTTCCACATGCGCGTGTGGAGGGAGGGCTTTGGAGAGGTGGTGGGGACTCGGGGAAGAACTCGGGAGCGCTTGACGCCCGGCCCTTTGCAAACACGGCGTGTGTTCCACGGGGTGCCGAAGGTCAGACATCCTTGCTCAGTCAGACCATGCGGCGAAGACCGATGTGGATCATCACCTCAGATCAGTGTCAGAAAGAAGCGCCATACCGAAGATTGTCGACCACCCCAAACATCCCCCACCGGACTTAGATCGGAAAGCTGGGGCGCCCTTCTTCTACGCCCTTCTTCTACGCCCTAACTCGCGCACTCTCTTACTGGATCGCATCGAGCTTGTGTCAAATTGTCCAAACAAACTTCGTGGTAGTGGCACAAATCACCACGTAGGTGTGATCCAAGGACGGTATAGCAGATGACGCGGAAATTCCAGGCTAAGCTTACCAATCCAAGAGTAAGGATACTCATGGCGGACCGTTGTTTTGGCGCATGCCACTGCCAACACGGCAACGACGGGCAGCTCNATGCAAGCAACGCTGTCGAGCGTNGGCGGCGTTGTGAACATGCTTGCGCTTGCTTGATCCGAGGCTTACAGGGCGCTGAGGNNGCAGGCCTCACGCGAGTGCCGAAATTGGTATGTCTTGGAATGNGCTTGGGTGGCTGAAAAACACGAGTCGAAGTTGCAGTGTTTGATCCTCCACAGGATCAAATCGCGAGTAAATATTAAGCGGTGTGCTTCGGTTGGCGATCAATTTGGGGACGGTGAATGAGCCAACGTCCTTCACCATGGGGACTGTGGATTCATTCAGCTACGTGGGGCTCTCCATGGGGTGGGAGAAAATTCTTTCATGCTCTGTGCTGGCTCAACCAGAAAAGGATCGCGCTCCTCAGACAAGCGCGCGCCTTAGCAGTTCATGTGAAAGCCAACGAGTTTCGGTATCACGATCATGCTTTCGCGGATACGACATCTGTATGGCTCTTGGGTAGCATCGTTATACTGCAATAATCCTGGCAGCTTCTGAGTAGGCGCGCAATCCAATAGTGCTGCTCTGACCTGCCTAACTGAGTAGTGTATCTAGCGAAGAAGGATGCATATACTTTCGATCCTACAACATGTTATAGGGCGGGGCTGTAGGAGGCCGGTGGGTTGCGTGAATTTCATACAATATCCTGCCTGAGGTCGTTAGCGAGCTCCTGCATCTGCAATCTTCGATAATTAAGATGCGTTGTAGGAGCCCCGGTGCCCCTTTCTCCAATAAAGTTCACTATTGTATTGCGACTGGTGGACCAGAGCAAAATTTTCAATCAGAAATCGACCTTGACAACCTTCACGCTAAGCGCCTAACTTCGCTGTTGCGAACGGTAAGATCATGATCATATCGAATGGGAGCTTTGTCCTGGCGACATAGATGAGACAATCAATTGGACAACGCTGTGGTATGAATCGGATATTGATGGATGTCAAAGTGGGTCTTCGGCTGGCGACCACGTTTTCGGCTCTTCGGGGCGGCTTTGCGACCTGAGCAGTGGAGGACTCGGGACGATTCAAGATCACTTTGTCGAGGACTAGGAGCCGACTTCGTTGGTAGTTGGTAGAGGCGCGAGAACCACGCGGAGACGGTGTCTCATTGAATGGCAGGATTTCAGTTGACGGTTATGCTCCTGCTGAGTTCGTTGTGTCGGGTAGCCGGCGAACGTGTGAGGTTGCCGAGACAGGGTCACTCTGTCAGCATCGGTATACACTGCTCTACCTCAGTTATATGCCCACCAACACTATCTAGAACGGTATCGCCTGATGCATTGGCTAGTATTTGTCATTTTAATTACCATGTTACCGATAGATAATGTGTGTTGACATTGTGTGGTTAACTATGGTGCATTTTGTGTTTTTGGATTGCTAGCTTCAGAATGTCTGGTCTGACACTTACATCGTCTATCAGACAAACGGAAGAAAGTCGAAACCAAGTTGGGAAAATCCAAGCTGAATAACCATAAGAGTAATCTGGTGCAAAAAGCGCATCGCATGTGCTTATACAAGGTAGTAAATGTGGCCGCCGATATATCCATTACGGCACAACCGATTGATTTCACAGTGTTGCACACTAAAATCTCAGCAGTTGACAAACGATATCTTGTCCATTGCAGTGTCTAGAACATGACGCAAAGAAGTTCTCAAGATTGAACGTATCTCCAACAAGATCCAAAGGTTAGATCTTGCCATAACCGACATTGGCATTAGAGACGGAGCTGGCAGCAGCAGCAGAAGCAATGTTCTTGCCCTTGAAGTTACCGAGGAAGCTGGTATCGGCAGAGGAGAAGGCACCGGAGCTGCCGAAGGCGTTGTTCTGGCAGCTGCGACCGATGAAGGAGCTGCAGACACTACCACTACCAGGAACAGTAAAGTACTTGCCAGTAGCCCCAGCCTCAATAATAGTGTTAACGTTCTGAAACTTGTTTCCATAGGGAGGTCAGTATCGGTATAAGAACAAGAAGGTAGGTAGATAAACTTACCCTTCAGCAAGAACATAACCACCTTGGCCGAGCTCGAAAGCATGACCCTTAGAGTCGATGTCATNACCTTTTGCAAAACCTGTCAGTAATTCAATATTACATGCGAAGAATGAATCTCACCAGTAGTTGTTGACAGCGTGAAGGATTGTGTTGCCTTGAATCTTGGGNNGGGAACGACCAGAGGTGTGGTGGATGTAGTTGCCCTTGAAAGTAATCATGTCATTGGATCCGGTGAAGTACAGAGCCCAGTAGTGGCGTCCATCGCAGGTGGCTGACCAGTTGGACGATCCGTCGATGTCGCAGTTGGAGATTGTGACTCTTCCAGAAGCAGACTCTCCCAGAACGATGTGTTGGCGACCAATGCGTTGGGTCTAGCACTGAGGTCAGCGATAGTTCGAGCAGAAGAGGCATTGGAGACCTACAGTAACGTGATCGATCCAGATCATGTCAGTGCCTGCTATCAGTCAGCAATGGGATCAAAGATCAACATGTCCACTTCAACTTACCAGCAANNGAGTGATTGCATCACCACCCCAGACGTAGTGAGGGTTAAGGTCAGTGATAGCGATGTTCTGCGATTGTGTCAGAAATGTAAATGAAGCCTGTACCGCTCGTCTTACCTGAATGATGATGTTCTTGACACCATTTGCCATGCGAAGACCCTTACCCTTGATAACACCCTTGTTACCCTGACCAACCAAACTCTTGTTGGAGTTGACAGTGATACCGATCATGCCGGCCTTATCGTAAGTAAGGGAAGAAANCCTACTTCTTGTCAGACCATCTTCCGCCAAAACAAGGTCAATTTCGCAACGAACCTTAGGTGCTGAGGACTCGTAGTTCTCGCACCATCCATNCCTGTCAATGGCCTGCTGGCAAAGACTGCCAGTACCCCAAGGAGAGCAGCCCTTGGCAGAGGTGGTGCCCTCGGTACCGCGGAAGTCGAAGGTCTTGTTGAGAATGATAACACGAGGCTTGCTATCACCAAGGTACGAGACCAGCTCGGCAGTGGTGGTAGGATAAACAGCAGCGGCGGAACCACCACCAGTAACGCCTTTGGCGAAACCTTCAGCGGCACCAGTAACACCAGCAGCACTGACGGTGCTGGCGAACGCTGCAAGAGCGGAGGTGAAAAGAGCGAAAGATCTCATGATCCGAACGAGCGACAGAGAAATTGAAAAGACACAAGAAAGAATACAAATGAAGAAGTGATAAGACAATTCAGTTTCGAGATGGATCGTACATATTATATACCTACGGAGTCTGCAGTCGAGTTCCAAAGATCTACCATGTTAGTGCTAATATCGGCTACAAAAGCCTGTATGATATACTGAGAGCAAGGCCCGACAGGGCAGAGTTGTCAAAAGAGGACGCGAGCGTCTCAGATTGCGCGTGAGAACTTATCCTGAGGCGAAGCGATAGCTTGGCACACATTCTCGCTCGGCGCCATTGCAACCCTAGGACAACCATCTTCTGCATCAAGCCTAATAAGAGCCTATATGTATGCTTCCGTTGAGCAGCGATTGATGCGGCCGTAAGTGTTCAGAAGAGATCATCTCCTTTGTCTCAATGATAATCGAAGTGTAAGTCGTTGTCGCGTTCTCAAGGTCATGTGTGCTATCGGAAAAGAGTCCGATATGCAGCCCTAAAATAGTCTAACCTGTTTAAGAACAATAGACGATCTGCTACAGATCACTTTTCTCCTCAGATCAACTAAAAGCCCATCTGCTCCCGTTTTGCTGCACCTTGATGAACAAAGAGCTCTCGCTTGCCTTCTTCACACCCGCCTACAGCTCGCTGCCTGTTCATACCGCTCGCTGAAGCTGTCGACAACGTGGTCTGCATTCGATGCATATCGCCATGCTGTCCAGAAAATCAATCACGACAATCCTTGATGGAGTTCATGAAACCATGGTGTTAATCACAGCGCCTCGCAGCCCTAAGGGCTAACAAGACTCCACATACATAGAGTATTAGAGGTTTCGGAGAAGCTACCACGAATTTGGATGAGAAGATATCCTGAACAATACGCTTGTCGATTCCGCAACCTGACTTTTCGGACAAAAATCTCAATGGAAAGCCAGCCATAGTCTTGACACGACAAGAAAAGTTAAGTGTATACAGGTACGTACTCTATTCTTAGCCTACCGATGATTGACGCCGCAGTAAACCGGATGTTCACAATAACCAAGATCGGGATTGTCACCCATGTTCGCAAGATCAGTGCGAATTACCCTATCGTACTCGAATGGCTCCTTGTCCTAGTCGGCCAATATTGTGGATTGTCTGCTGACCAACAAGCTTGTATCTTCGATCACAGTCAAGCCCTGAAGGCTTAGCAATAATCTTGGATCTGGATGTGGACTCATCGCTGTCATAAGCTCTTCTGGTCACCCCCGTAGCCATGAGATGCCGTCTCGACTGTAACCAAGAAAGTGACTTTCATTTTTACCTCTAGGGCTTCGCAAAATGACCAATAAAGCATAATATGTGCAATATGAGCTGTAATAGAACTCAGGGTTGCGAAGAAAATCAAGCATAACTAGCGCGCAAACAAAACATGATTGGTGAACTAATTAGATATAGCCGAGCCTTCTGGCCAAAAACATAGATCCAATCAAGAGCAACCAAGGAGCCATGCGAACCACTCCACCTTTCAGAGCCTTCATTGCCCAGATGTTTATCAGGAGCACATGAACAGCAACAAACATACTGCCATCATTGACTTGTGGGAATTCACCTTCTGGCTTTGGGAAATCGATGAACTCACAGAGCTCTTGCCAACCGTCTTGACCCAGTTTGAACTCGAGTAGCTTCTCCTTAGGCACAACTGATCGGACGCCTGCGTTATGACGGGCCAGTGCTTCTATGCTCCATCCATCCATCACAATGTCCATCTTATCCAACATGTTGCACCAAGCTGCGCACTCGGGGCTGACAAGAGCTAGATAAGACCAGATTCTCCATTTGCTGATGACGCCGACCGTGTTCTCAATAGACCTGCGCCATTTCTCAGGATCTCTAGTCGTGAGGACGACTTTGGCATCCGGATATGCTTCGAGAAGTTCCTTGACCAGTAAATTCATTGGCACGTCGCAGACCGNCCTGTTCTTGTTAGCGATACTTTATGAATAGCCAGATTCACTGACGTCGAAGTCACCAATCCATTTGTCAAATTCTTCTTTCCCGAACGGTCTATCGCTGTCACGAGCATCCAGAGCTTCGCATGCAATTGGTAGGTCTCGAGCTGCCATTTTCACGGCCTCCGCTGCATTCAATTAGTGGCGATTGTCTACGAAAATAGCGATTCTTGTACCCATGTGGTAGGGAGTCAAGCCCAGCTTCTGCAAAGCGGTGTACATNNTGCTCCATGCACTCGTTAGCTGATGCTTTTGATTTTGTTGCAGTTTCTCATTCTTACAGAAAGTACCAGTCCTGGACATACTGGCGAGTATGACCTTCATAGGTTTGGTACGAATGCCACCCTCTTTGTCGATTGCTCGTGGGCCCGTCGGAGTAGGTGCCAGTCTGCGTCCCTGGGGTTTGTAGACCCGTCCTCCAAACTTGACAAGCATTTCATCGAACTTCTCCATTTTCGCGCGCAGGGACTCGATTATTGGCTGATAGTATTGATGTAGTACACGCTTTGATGATACAGATGGTCAGTGGATGAGGGATAAGCGCAGGTTTATCAGTGTCAGTTCAGCTTACTCCGTCTTACGTTCTTCTAAGCGAGGCCACTGCTCTTGTTTGTGGTGCGTCCGTTCTGGACCATTGATCTTATCGGGAAAATGCTGGCGATCATGTAAGCAATTTATACTACATGCCGCCTTTGGGCGTCAAAGACTCTGATTGGATGAACGGCAGCAAAAACGGACAAGCGTGTGCTATTACCCAGGAATATAATAAGAATCTCATGTTTGAGATTTTGATGTTCAAGTTTTGCCGTGCGCATTCGAAGCGGGTAAAGCGATTATTTTCTCCATGTATGAGAGTGCATCGGGACGTGATTGTCGAAGTGCACAATACTTTTAAGAAGTCTCGCGATACCCACTGAGTAGGCAACATAAACCTGACGGCTCTGTACAGTAACACTCACTTTGTCACAAAATCTGTGAATTTGAATAGCTTGAGTTATTGCTCTGTGTTGCCAGAGGAGACGAGCGGGGTGTTGGGACGTGAGTTAGGGAATATGAACACAGCTTCAGCACGTCGTGAGGTCGCTGACAATCCGATCTGACAGTCTTGCAGCTCCGTGACCGTCATCAAAATAATATCCACATGGCTGTCACATCGAATGTAACGCGTCTCTCATGGTTCAAAGGCACTCTTTCTCTTATGAAGCACACTCAATTATGCTATATAGTTTGCAATTTCGTGAACTTCCCCATCTTCAGCTGTGATGGGTGGCTATACAGTTGCGTTGATACTATAGTGCTTAAAACTCAGGCGAACTTCTTTAGTTCTTCTGTTCGTGGACATGATGGAGCTGCGCTTCAGCGTCCTTGGGCTCGACAACAGTGTTCTTGCCCTGCATCGCGGATCTCTCCAGCATATTCAATTTATCTTCGTTGGCGTCCAAATGACGGAAGCAGAACCAGAATCCCACACCACCCAAGAAGGCAAGGATGGTGATGATTGTATAGTTCCAAACAAGCAGAGGATCTTCAGAAAGAGGTGTGAATGCTTGTCCGATGGCAGCGGCAAAGGCGCTCATGAAAAGATTAATGGACATGACCATAGACTTCATGTTTGCGGGAGCTTTGGCGTAGGCATATTCGAGTGAGGTGACATTGGTGAAAATTTCGGCAATACCGATGAAAATGTAAGGCAAGACTTGGGCCCAGACGCTAATGTCAGCCTTGCCAAACTCTTCGATACAGTCTGGATCAGATGCGTTATGCCCACAAGGCGACTTCGTATAGATGTAGTGTTGCATGACTGCTGCAGCGACCATGGATCCGGCAGCAAAGAAGAAGCCGACTGTCATACGCTTGATTGGGGTGAATGCAAAGCCCATCTTGCGGAAGCCAGGGTAGATTACATGGTCCAGGATTGGGATCATGATAACGATTGAGATCGGATTGAGGTTCTGAATGATATCGTTTGGCACTCCGCCCAACTGGAGAGTCGCAGCTTGGGACGTCAGATTTCCTGTCATCTGGTTGTATGCTANGCTGTGAAGATTGTTAGCGCTTTCGATCGATCTGAAGATATGGTCGCAGCGAAGATGACAAGCATCAACCGAATAGGGGGTACTCACAAAGAAGAGGGGTAAGAAGAGAAAGACCTTGCAAGCACTGAGACCACGCTTAACCTCTTCTACCCAGGCGTCGTCGTATGTCATCCAAACAGGGCGACGTTCGACAGGGACATTAGATGGCTTCGCGACGTCCCAGTTAAACTTTCCTTGCCTGTTCTTCCAAGTAAAGCCAAGCATGTGGAAGAACTTAGACAAGATAGAGCCAGTAGGCGGGCTCAGGATGTAGTTCTTGCGGTTGAAGAAGAGAATGATCGGAGCGGCCACGAAAAGGATGGTCGGGAGCAGGAAAGCTGTGTTCGTAGATAGAGTCAGCCAAAGGTCCAATCTATTTGCTTGGGTTGTCGAGAACAGAGCAAGTGCGGTCGATCTGCATCTTGGCGTCTTCCGCCATCGTCAAGAATGAGGAAAGTCCAGATAGCAAGTCAAGCTTCAACGCAAACTTCGCCTATCCATCGTATACCATATTTTTGCTCGTCCCTCTCCATAATTCAACAAAGAGAATCGACTCACCAANNGCCAAAATCCGATAAACTTCTCGACGTAGACCATAGAAATCTGTCCGGTGAGAGAGCCAATGTTGACACAAAAGTAGAAATAGAGGAAGATCCTGGAGTTGGTCACCGCCGGGTCAACGATGACTCTTTCGCCAGTCGCGAGCGTCTCAACACGCATTCGGAGATCAGTGTTCTGCTCAGCAAGTAGTGGAGAAATGTTGGCTTTGAAAANACCAGTACCGACGCAGAGGGTGAGAAGTCCGATGATGAATGCGGCAGTGGCTCCAGTTTTGTGAATGATAACATCAGGCGCCGACGCAGCCACCAGGATTATATGAGCGACGATGCCGACAGCGATGGCAACATGAATAGTCTTGTAACGACCGAGGTGCGCATCAGCCACGTAGCCTCCTACTAGAGGCATAAAATANNGCTAGGCGACGTCAGCAAACAAGCACACAGATAGGTCGTAGCACACTTACGCAAAGAACATATTGAACAAACTGATACCCTGTGCAGCACTCTGACCCATGCCAAGTGCGCCAGGTTGGCCATGAAGACCACCAGCACCTGTTCTCGATCCTTCAGGCAGAGGCCATTGCACAAAATTGGTATAAAGAATCGAGCTTCCGTAGTAAGAGAAACGCTCCGCTAGTTCAGCAAAGGCAACGGTATAGGCGGCCCACTTGATCTTGCCAGAAACACGACGTAGAGTCTTGAGATCTTCGTCGGTAGGGGTATCATCGTACTCTTCGGTTTCCGGAGTTCTCACTTCGTAGAGGGGCTCAACTTTGCCGACATCCATTGATCCACGGCCGGCATGTTTCTCGAAAGCTGTGCCTTGCATGGAGGCATCAGGGACATGAGCTTTGGCGAGCTCGTTGGCATCGATAGTGTTGTTGCTCATGATCGGGAATGTTCTCAGAAAGAATGTACCCTAGAAAATAATTGAATGGAACAAAGCACAAAGATCTTCGACAATAGAATGAGGTACAGCTCGTTATATACCTAATCAGGAAGAGGGGCATTCCTCCTGTCAGATTCTCTCTTGTCGAACCGCGGATCCATAGCTACACACCAGTTGAATTGTTATCAGCAGCGGTTGACAATGGTGCCNNAGTGGGCCAAGAGATAGCGAATATTCGATGGTGGCGGCTGTACACATGTACTGAGCCTGAGCGGCCAGAGACGAGGTGGGCACGGGAGCCAAGACTTTTGATCCGCCCTCTNGTTACATGCTGAGGTAGGATATGCGTCCCAAAGAAGAAGGTCGGGAAGGACAAAGCAATGTAAATCGCCAAGTCATACTTGGCGGAAGGATGTGATTGGTATGCCAAGGTAACTTGGCAGCAGCGGAATGTGTCGTGTCAAGGACGATCGTCCGTNTCGCCATGCCGATGTAACTGCTAATAGACGCAGAAGCGAAGCGGATGTGCATAGCCGCAATGATAGACATCTAAGTAGGCCAATGAACATGAGGTTGATTGTCCATGAGACAAATTGTTGTCTCTCAAGAATCAAATTGAAGACAAGTGTTGCCGAAGTCCGGCTCCGTAATCCTCGAGATACGAGCTTGTCGAGCGAAGTTGTCCTGAGTCTTGTCCTAAGATCCTTCTCCGAGTTTTGTATGGAGGCGAACAGAGCTTATCAGCATGTTTCCTGTGGTCATAGGTCATGTGCCATCAACAGCAAAACTCATAGTGCAAGAACCAAAATTGCTCCACCAAGCGAGCTTCGAAAGGACCCATGGCACTCGACCCATTACAAATGGATACTCTGAACGATCACAGAAGGATGTGAATGATAACAACCATCACAACTAACTATAGAAGCCGAGCTTTTCAGATTGCACTTATCGTCAATAAAGCAATCACGCTTCATCGTAGTAAATCTCGTCTTTCGGACCCATGCCTTNTTCCAATTCTAGAACATCAGCTTTACAGAGTTCTCGATGTGCCTCTGATATCTCGCTGTCAATCAGGAGATCGGTGCGTGTGATAAATTGCATAAGCAGACCTGCTTCTGCATGCCACGAGACATGGCAGTGGAACGCCCAAGCACCGGGATTATCGGCTACAAATCGTATCAATGCCCAGCCGAACGCTTCCACGCTAGTTGTGTCGCGTCGCATAGGGTTCGTGAGATCCAGTGATCCATAGAGCGGGGAGAGGTTGTCTAGATCCATCGGTGCGTCAAGCGACTTCCTGGGAGGATAGCCATGACCTTGGGCAAGAACCCAAAATTTGTATCCGTGAAGATGGTATGGATGATTACTATTATGCTGGTTAGCGAGTCGTAAGATGATCAGCAAACATACGGCTTACCCATCATCAAAGTTGGATATTAGCAGATCAATAGTTTGAACGCCTGACGACTGGATGGTCAACTGGGTAGATTGATCAAAAGCCCTATCGTTGACGAATACGGCTCTATCGTCTTGGTTTGCGTCGAAGGATGCGTTCCTTGCCTGCAGCCCGTCGATTGTCCGGAATAATGTAGNGCTTTTGACGTCCGAATGCCAAATGCTTGTATTGAATTTGCCTCTGGAAAGCCTGTAGGCACCTATCTCGAAGTTGGATCTCAGATAGAAGAAGGCATCGGGCTTTGAAAGAGCCGCAACGACTTGGACAGGCACCAGCTCTGTCGTGTTCAGATCCTTGCATTCGAGGTCGATGGCTTCACCCCAGTCGACAGTGTCAGGTAGCTCATGTGCCACCATAGGTTCAGAGTTACTGCTGTATCGCACAACACCATGTACGGAATCGGCCATATATGGATTTGATTCGGCAAAACAATGCGTGATCATTCGAGCTCGCATCCTGAAGCTAGTTTTCTCCCTTTTGTCCGTATGAACAACCACACTGTAGCGTTGAGCGGGATTGATATTTAGACGATGATAGTTAGTTGGGTGTACATCAGTACCGTCCACTTCTGTTACTGCTAGCTCATGCTCGTCGATCTGGAACTGGAACTCGGCAAAAGCGCCGACGTTCATGATACGTAATCTGTGGTGGCGGTTTGGTTCGAGGTCAAAGGTAGGTATCCCGACATTACTTGTGGTGTTGTCGCATCTTCTGTGAGGCAGATCATCACAATTGCGGATGGCACGACCATTAATTAGTGCTCCATCCGGTACGGGCTCGGCGTTCTCGCTGTCTGGGGCTAGGTATTTCCTTGTGAGTGCTCCAGAAAGATCGTGGTAATGGTCGGAAAGCATGATTATACGATCGCTGGCATATTGGATTTGCTGTAATTGCTTTTCGTCTCTCGAGTGGATGACTAAAGGTCCCATCAGACCATCTGATGCTTGAATGCCTTGGTGGGCGTGGTACCAATAGCTACCACTCTGTCCTTGTACCTTGAACTCATAAGTGAAGTTGTGGTTTGGAGCGATGGGGCAACCAGTGATGCCGACAGTTCCGTCCATAGAGTTGGTGCCATTTTGATAGATTCCGTGCCAGTGAAGACTAGATGCGTTGGTCATTCGGTTGTCAACAGTGACTCTGATGGTGTCATGCTCGTTGACCTCTATCAAAGGGCCAGGAAATTGGTCGTTAATAAGCAGCATTGGCCTCCATACGCCATCTGGGTTCAGTTCCGTCTCGGTAAGAATCCAGTAATACTCTCTTGTGGTTGGGGCGGCTTCATAGTCCCAAGCAGGATCTAGCAAGTATTCGTCTCTGGGTGGTGTGACACCACCAGTCGGTTGAGGCAGGGTGGGTGACTCGAATTGTCCCCTCTGCTGACCCTCAGTACCTGGATCTGATTTCGACATATCCGTGCTCGCAGTTTCTTCCCATGACGGACCTTTAGGTGCAAGGTTGACTGCAAATGGTACAAGCAGGATGACGGATATCAGAAAGAGCAGCGCATACTGCCACCACCTGAAGGACCACGCTTCGGCATGGGTGCGGACTTTCTCGTCATCCAGTAGAGTTCTACGCTGGTCAAAACCGTCGGACCATTGCTCGGAAGTCTCGCTCAAGGCGACTTCCTCATCTGCTGGTGTCATGATGAGGTTGCGACAAAAAGGCACATTCAGACTTCAGATGATTGCAACAACAAAGCGCCAGGCCGAATAACGCAGATTTTGATTGTAGGAGCGTTGCGATGCTATGTCACAAAATTCTCATAGCAAGCACGTCGACATCATGTGGCAAGGCTAGATTGGTGGCTCATAGAACGCAAAACTTCTCGAACTTTGTCGCGCTGCGGGTTGACGCAGCAGCGGCAGGATGAGAGCCAAATCATACCAAGAGGCTGCACGCTGGCAGAAGATCACGGCAGTGCTTGTTCTCGAATTTGCGCTTGCGCCGAACTTCCGTGGAATGTGGTCGTGAAAGGAAGGTGGTTGGAGGTGCAGACGATGTCCAGCGAGCCAATCATGTCGGCTTGTGCGAGACATGTGCTCTCCACAGCCGCATCCCCTCGTGCTCGAATTTGCTGAACGAGCCTCCTGCACCCTTGATAGTGGAGCTTGAAGATCCAACCGATATGCTTGTTCTCTTGCTAAGAAAGGACTTTTCATGATAAACTCCGACGCACCAATGAAGGTGCGGCTATTACATGCTGTCTGCTGCCAAATTCTCCACGTGTATAGGGTTCATGGACATAGACTCTTCTCAATCAGCCGCCTGAACCGTCTTAAGATGCTCGAATTGCTGCCGAATGCGCGGTATGTGCATACGCTGTGGCGGCGGCAGGAGTGCGTCAAGCGTTCTTAAGAGATAGAATAAAGGTTGACCCATCCCATACATTCCTTCGAAGATCAGCCCAACATCCTTCGTTACACTCACCTACAATGTTTGGTACTGTCGTTCTTTCTGCACTGGCTCTCTCGAGCCAGGCACTTGCTGCCAACTTCACTTCGACTTCTCCAGCAGATGTTGCTGCTGCCCGCGATAGTGCTTTGACCCTCAGCCCAACCAGCAAGGTCCATGGCAAGGCCTTCGACCGCTTCGTCACTATCTGGCTTGAGAACACCGATTTCGACAAGGCCGCTAGCGATCCCAACCTAGCCTGGCTGGCCAAGAAGGGTATCACCTTGAGCAACTACAACGGTGTCACACACCCCAGTGAGCCAAACTACGTTGCTTCCATTGGAGGAGGTAAGTCTATGAAGCCTTTCATCACCAAAACACATCACTAACTAAGAACTTANGACAATTTCGGCATGCAGAACGATGACTTTAACCGAATTCCTGGTAATGTTTCCAGTATAATTGATTTGCTGGAGGANAAGGGCATTTCTTGGTCTCAATACCAACAGGATATGCCCTACTCCGGTTTCGAGGGCATGGCCTGGGTGAACCAGCAGACCAAAGCCAACGACTACGTCAGAAAGCACAACCCTGCTGTTATTTACGATGCAAACACTAGCGCTGAGAGACTGGCCAAGAACAAGAACTTGACCGAGTTCTACAGCGATCTTGAAGCCAAGAAGCTTCCTCAGTGGATCGTAAGTGAATTTTTCCTTCTAAAACCTGTGTTATACTGAGATTTTCTTCAGTTCTTGACACCAAACATGACCAATGATGGCCACGATACCAGTGTCACAACTGCTGGTGCCTGGACTCGTAGTTTCTTGGAGCCTCTTCTCGACAACAAGGAGTTCATGAAGAAAACCCTTGTGCTGGTCACATTCGACGAGTCGCACACCTACACCATCCAGAACCAGGTCTTCAGCATTCTTCTCGGTGATGCCGTTCCCAAGAAGCTCATTGGCACCACAGACTCTCAGTACTACAACCACTACTCTGAGATCAGCACCGTTGAGGCAAACTGGGACTTGAGCACTCTCGGCCGTTGGGACGTCGGTGCCAACGTCTTCTCCTTCGTTGCTGAAAAGACTGGCGATGTCAACACTCCATGGCCCGCTGCCTCCGGTCCCAACACCAGCCACTTCTTCAACAGCTCTTTCGCCGGTCCTTTCAACAGCGCTGACAGAGTTGCAACCCTTCCCGTTCCTAACACCAAACTTGTCAGAAACGGTCGCAAGGTTCTCGGCAGTATCGCTCGCACTTGGGGTGATGCTTCATTGCAAAACCAGACCTACTACCAGAACACCGTCCAAATCCCTGACGGCATGCANCCTCCACAGGGTTGGTAAACATAGGGGCAGATTCGGTATGCCTCCCGCTGTGCTAGAGACAGCTGGTATAGCTATAAAAAGGCAAAATGGTGTTCAGAAAGAGCGATGTCCACTGAGAGCAGTCGCCTCCATAGGATTTCTCTGGATACTCTTGTAGTCCTGAGTTTATTGTGCATTTTTACAGCCCAAGAATTGCCCTGCATCGAGTTGGGAGTTCTTCAAGTCTGCTGCATCTCACAGCACAAGACTTTTCCGTCTTATAACTATATAAATGCACAATACTTTCGCAACGAAGGTGATCTCCACAGAGAGAGCCTCATATAAGACATTTCAATGGTCAAAGTCAAATTGAGAAAAGAACTGTGCATTTTGATAGCTTGTGATACTCCTGCACCTCGTCTTTGGGAGAGACCAGTCAAATTCAAGTGTCACGAACCTGGGTACTGTAGTATTACGAACCTATCTTTCTCTAACTCTCGCGGGGACGGGGGACACGGGAAGATCGTGCCGCCCAACACGTGGGTGGGTTTGAGGATATATAGACTTCCTTTACCCTGCACCTAAATTTTGATTCTTATTTCGTCGTCGCACCACTTCGTCTGCTGTACATATAACTTACATCGCTTCTTTTACACCTGGATTCAACATTCAACTCACCAGAACAATCACCATATCTCGACAAATTATGTCTTTTAACACAATCACCTCTATGTTCCGCAATGACGGCTCTGGAGCTTATGCACCACTTCCAACTTTTAACGACCGCAATTCAGAGAAGGAACCCTCATCGCCATCAGAATCGTCATCACAATTCTCTTCAGCGTACTCAGCTTCCTCAAAATGGCAAATCGACCCACGCACAATTTCAGATGCAACGCTAGGATTGAGCGACGGTCTGACGGTTCCATTTGCGTTAACGTAAGTCAAGCCGAAAGGTACCAACATCACGACTGGTGATGTTGCCCTGGTCTCAGTGTGTACGCAAAATTCATGCGGTGCATCAATACACCGTATGGATAGCGTCTGGCAGAGTTGAGTGCAACTATCCAGCAAAGTTGTGGTGTTCTTGCCCATCAAACTTTGTGAGGAGGTCATGCTAATTGTACCTTCTCTTCAGNNGGCCGGCCTAGCAGCTTTGGGTGACACCAAAATCGTCGTGTTTGCTGGTATGGCAGAAATCCTCGCTGGCAGTATTTCCATGGGAATCGGTGGATATTTGGGAGCCAGCGGTGAAGCGTGAGTTTATTTCTTGTCCGACTACATATCCTGACCTCGCTAATTGTGGAACAGACAATCTGCAGCTACGACAAGAGCAAATACTATTGGAATGGTACACACATCACCTGCAGAGGCAAGAGCAGCTGTGGTATCGACGCTGGAGTGCTACATTTCTGCAGCTCTGTTGGATGCTGTGGCTGACGATATCACTGCTAATCATGACAAAACCATCGCNTTTTTGCTCGAGCACCAGCATCGCTTGGAATCTGCCGATGGGTCACCGCGGCTGTACACAAGTGCTGTGTGTATCGCTCTAGGCTACTTCTTCGGCGGGTTGATACCATTGCTGCCTTATGTTTTTATTGCCGATGGTGGTGTTGCTTTGATCTGTTCAGTGGTGGTTATGGTGTTTACACTTTTCGGTTTTGGTGTAGGGAAGACTGCGCTGCTGGGAGAGAGGAGTTGGACGACTAGAACATATGAAGGTCTTAAGATGGTTGGGCTGGGAGGTAGTGCAGCGGCGGCCAGTGTGCTTTGCGTGCGCCTTGTACATCAGTAGATATTAAAATATCACACTCTTACGATTTGATGCTGTTCGTACTTCTTGGATGTGACAGAATCGAATTGAGAATGGGTATCAAGATTACCTAGAATGAGCTAGGCAAGGAAAGAAAATGCCGGCGATGGTCTTATGGAATCTAGCTCTCGACAGCTTTGGCCTTGACACCGACAACGATACCCTCGTCGTTCAGGGTGACGATGTAGTACTCACAGCGAGTGCTGCCGTGAGCGACGCGGAACACTTGAACGTCAGCCTTGTCGCCGCCAGCCTTCTTGACAGCCTCGACAACTTCGGCATAGTGGTTCTTAACGTTCCAGTCCTTGACGCTGATCTCCTCGACCTCGCCAGAGTGGTTGATCAGGTCGGCGAACTTGTCNNTGATGCGTGTTAGTGATGGCCTTCACTCGCTATTCTGAACGATCTGACCTTGACTAATGGAGTTTTGCTTTCCGTACTTGAGAGCCACAGGCTCAAATGGTTCATCAGTGTCGCTCTGGTAGAATGCGTCCACATTCTTCAGTGGCGCAGGAACAGTAGAATCTACGGCTTTTGTTTGCGCAAATCCACTGGTCTTAACTTCATTGCTCGAGCTGCCGGTGTCCTGGTTGGCCTTTTCCAAAAAGTTGGCGTATTCTTGATCGGACGACATGTTGAGACGCGGGATTTGTGATAGGGTTCGTTGAAAGTTGAGGTCTGTTCGTGAAGTTCTGAACCTGAATGTTGTTCTTGATGTTCTGCGAAAAGGTGAAGTGTTGTTCGTTGCATGTTTGTTGGCGCCTGGTCGATTTCTTGGATGCAAACAAGTGCCCCTCATAACCACTGACGTCAATCACTAGCTGTGCACGCATATATCTGTTGTGTCTGAGCACAAAAGTTTGCACAGCTATGTACATAGCATGCAGCTGAGCACAAGTTTGAGTATTCAGAAAGTTGATATACATCATTGGGGCTTCATATCCTTGCACCGCTTTATTCACACAGTTATCTACACAAGACTACCAATTCACCATGAATGTTCCTGGCTGGAAATTGCACAATGCGCATGGTCAAGCCCCTCGAATCAAGCATCATCATCTGCCCAGGAATAATATTGCATAAAATTATTAACCAAGAAATCATAATCACAAATCTGTTCGGCACTTGATCTATGGACCTGTTCCACTGTCCCATGCCCATAGAAGCAATCCGGTCTTAGCCCATGTTTGTTCCTGTCAGTAGTTATAAGCTTTCCATGCCACAAAGTCAAGATGTTGTCTTAAGCCAAAGATGCCCCGTGGTTCCCAAATTGAGCTCGAGCACTGCACGTGACGGTCGGAAGAGCTAACTGCATCGAGTTACGTGCTCAGAGCGCTTGAGAAGAACGAGAAGGGCACGAGAGACATGTGTATGGTGTTTACATGAAATTTGATGCTTTAAATCTCTGTCTTTCTACACATCACCTCCTACAACAACCACATCGTCTCTGACGCTGTCGAGGAAGTCGTCCTTCAAAGGTTTAGTGATCTTTCTGTCGACCTTTCTGCCCTCAACTCTGTCAAGGAGAGTTCGCTCCCAATCCTGCCATGTAGCCCAATCCTCTTTCTTCTTTTGGGCATGCCACTTGGCAGTCTGAGCAGCAGGACGCCATGCCAATCTGTTCTTCGGCATGTTGCCCAGAGAAACTGGTTTGGCATCGGTGACGAGCTTGATCATCTCGCTGAAAGCAGTTCTGCCTTCTGCTTGCAGAGTCTTTCGTCGTTGAACTGGTTTGGAAGGCTGTGCTACTAGCGGTGTCTCGAGCCAGTCCAGATCAGCAGAGCCGTGAGTGGTGGATTTGTGTGCAGATTGCTGTTGGAGATAACGGATGGCAGACTCGAGGCTGTCGATGCGGAGCTTGGCTCTATCGAGCTCCATCTTGCTTGCTCCTCCCATCTCTGATGCCATGGCGTTGGTAGCAGTGGGATCGGGTTTGTTCTCCTCTGCTGACTTCCTCCACTCATCTCTCTCCTTGCGCAATCTAGTGACGCGCTGCTCTGCTTCAGCCAACGCGTTCTGATGTTGAGTCTTCTCCTTTGCAANGGCTGTGATGGAGGTCCCGAGATCCGAAAGGGCAGAGGATCGTTTCGTAGCTTCGGCCATGCGGGCTTCGAGCATCTCGATACGAACACTCTGCTCTTCGAGCTCTTGTTCTTTCGAGCGGACGAGGAGAGAGCGTTCACGGACGATCTCGGTGAGACGAGCAACCTCTGCTCCAGTGTCGACGGAAGTCAGCTTCGTTGCGCGCAGAGTGGCGCTGCGAGTTACCCATGGCTCGACTGAACGCTCGAACTCCTGAGTGTTCTCGAGATTAGCGGAGATATCACTGAGCTGGTGGAGCTGAGTAGTCAGCGAGGCAAGGTATGTAGTCAGCGTAGCAAAAGGCGTCGTCTCTGCAGAACCACTACCAAAGATACTGGCTGATAGGCGGGTCAGGAGACGCTCAGTTTCGCTCAATGTGACAGACTCCTCACGGCCTTCTTCGCCAAAGAGACTCTGGATCTTCTCGCCAGCGCGGCGTCCGAAGACAGCGAGCTTGGATGTCAGATTCTCTGCAGAAACGAGGAGTTCAAGATGAGAAGGACTCAATGCCAGCGAGCGTGATTGCAGGTCTGTGACGTTGCGGTGCGTCTTGTTTACTATGACACGAGCACTTCTGATAGCGGAGACGATGGTGTCGAGGTGCATAAACAGGTTGAGTTCTTCAGACTCGCTGACGTCTGTTTGCGGGACTGGTATGTAGCTTTGCACCAAGGACCTGCACATACCCAGGGCAGATGAGGTACTGTCCAAATGGCTCTGTATCAGGGATGCCTGCATAAGCATATCATTGGCAGACGCAGCAAGCGACTCCTTGATATGAAGAGAAGCCAGGTGAGACATGACTGCCATGGATCTCTGCAGCTCTTCGTCTACTCTGCCCTCCTTCATATCATCACGCTTGATAGCGTCGATGTAGGTGTTCAAAGCTCTTTCGACTGGTTCGAGCTCATATAGAGCACTCTCATATCTTGCGAATTCCTTGACAGAGCAGCTGCGGATGCCGTTGATGAATCGCTCGCTCATCTCGGCGATCCAAGTGAGTCTGTCAAGCACACTGTAGGCAGCGAAGATGTCCTCATCTGCAATCTTGGTACCCTGGCCGTTCAAACGTTCTTTTATCAGGTTGTTGAGCAGACGAGACTTGAAGCCTACACGTTTGAAACGAAGCAAGGCCAGAACTGAATCACGCTCTGCATTGAATGCATCAGGCAAAAACAGCTGTACGATGGCCAGGTGCTCAGCTGCCTCTTCAGCCTCAAGACGTCTCAGCTCGAGATCGATAGTCTTGATCTGAGTCTTGGCAGCAGACATCTGTAGCTTCATGTTGAGGTCCATCATAGCACGGCTTCGGCTCGACAGTTCCTCTGCTTCCGTCTCTGTGATCTGGCGTGAGGCACGCATATCTTCCAGGTCGGCTTGCAGGTTGGTGACTAGCTCACGGAAGCGGGAAATTGTGTACTCGCAGTCTTCTATAGCCTGCTGCTGTTGTGCAGAGCGACGGGACTGTTCACCAATAATGTTGTCTTTGAAGTCGATTTCTTCCTGCATCTGCTTTTCAGCTTCAACATGATTGATCTCGAGTTCGTCGTTGAGTTCTTTGAGATTTTCGAGATCTTCGATGACCAGCTCTAGGTCGTCGATCTTCTCCTGCATAGCCATGTTTCGTTCCGTCAGCTCCTCGATCATGTCTTCAGCACCCATTGCAGCGTCAAGCTGTTGGCGGATATCGTCAAGATCGGCCTCGGTCGCGAGTAGCTTCTCCCTGGTCTCCTCGTAGTTGGTTTTCAAAAGACCAAAGTCCTTGACCTCGTCTTCAAGGCTTGAGATTTGAGCCTTCAGATCAGCCTCCTGCTCCTGTGTCATGTCACGCAGCCTTAACAGAGCTTCCCTGAGTCTTTCGTTTGAGCGTTCCAGCTGAAGCCAGCCTTGACTCGTGCGCTCTTCGGGATTCATCTCTCTGCCCAATTCTTCATTCTCCTCCTTGAGGATATCAAGCTCGAGACGCATTTCCTCATTGCTAGTCCGCAAAACGTCGAGCTCAGACTTGAGAGATTCAGCCGTCTCCTCGGCCATTTCACGATCAAGAGTGGCCATTTCAACGACAGCGTCATGTTCAGCTTGAATGGCCTCAATGTCGATCAAACGAGTTTCGGAGTCCTTGAGTTGACCTCGCAAGTCGTTTAGTTCATGCGACTGAGCCTGCATCTTGGACTGCATCTTCTGAACAATGTTTGCGTACTTGTCGCGCTCTTGTTCGACATTCTGCATCTTTTCAGAGCATCGCGATCCTCCTGACGTTTGCGNTTCCATGATCTTCATCTTTGTCTGTAGGTCCTCGACTTCGCGAGCGGTAGTCTTGGCTGGACGCGCTGAGGTGTGCGAAGCAGNCGGGTGAAGTAGCAGGCTTGGAAGTAGGAGCAAGCGATTGTGGAGCATCTTGATCATTTCCAGTATCTTCAGCATGCTGAGAGTCGTCTGTTTGAGCGGCAGAAGGCGAAGGGTTTGGTGAAGGAGAGTCTTGGGGTTGGGGTTGCCTCGGAGCGGTTGAGATACGTCGAGCGGCAGGAGTCTGCTTGGTGGCAGTAGAAGGTTGTCTGGCGGCAGGAGTGAGGCCTCTAGTGGTGGAAATGGTGCGAGTGGTTAAGCGGGACGAAGCAGGTGCGGCGGTCGAGGTAGAATTGCGCGGAGTCTGAGCTGTAGCGGTCGAGCTGGACGAAGGTACAGTAGAAGATCTCCTGGCGGCAGCTGAGAGGGTGGAAGGACNNCGGTCAGATTCGAGGCAGTCCGCGGTTTGGTTGTGACAGTCGAGGCAGGTCGACGAGCAGCGGTGGTGGTAGTAGTAGTAGGAGGAGTGGCATTTCGAGTGTGCTGAGCAGCAGAGGGTGTGGCAGTCCGACTGATCTTCGTAGGCGATTTGGTAGGTGAAGGCAGGGCAGAGGCAGCTTTGGCCGTGTCGAGAGGTGGTGGGATGCTGATGCTCGTGGGCCTTGTCGACGGGCGGCTCAGAACGCGACTGACTCCTGCGGCGCGCAGAAACATGCCACAGTTGGGCTCGCAATCGAAGTAGCGTTCGCCCTTGACCGAGCCGTCATTCTTTCCTGTGGCCTCGTCCAGCTCTACACCGACCCATTCTCCTGGCGCAAACCCCGTTGCTCCCAGGAAGCGCACAACTGCTTGTCGCCCATCGTTGAGCTCAATCGTCTGTCCCACGTCCAGCGCCAGACTTGCCATTGTTGTCTGACACTGTCAATTGCTCATGTCGGGGAGCTTGGAAGGTTGGGTCTTGTCTTGAAACACGTCCCTGCCCATGTTGCGATCGACGCCATCTCCGCCGCGCTATAATTACACTTGCACTACAACAACACCACTGGCTTTCTTATGACGAGAGAAAAAGGTTCACTTTGTCTTCTCTACTTGATTACGCCTACGCAACACTCTGGACTGCCCGCGTCCTCGCTGCCACGTCCTCAGCCTTTGTTCGGCCTAGACCATCTTTTCCATAAAAGTCCATCGGATATACCTTCTTATCTCCTTCCCATCCTTCTCGCTCACCCAGCACCACCAATGCCTCGTAGGGAGTCAATAACGGCCGTGGGAAGGCATAGCCCCAGTCGATGCTCAATCTGGGACATGCCACCTGCACCCAGCACTCAACATCATCCATCATGCCCAGCTTGCCCGGGAAGATTTCGCTGAGCAGCAAGTTCACCCATGGTATGCCCTTCTCTTGTAACCGTTGCTCAATCATGCTCATTGTATGCGGGTTTCCTTGTCTTCCGAGTGATCCCAGAATCAGCCCCCACTTCTTTGCTTTTCCTGCCGACCTGATGGCATCACTTCGAAGAGACATCATCTGCTCGTGGTCGTATGTTTCGTGCGTTAACCTCCTTGAATACGGATCGTATCGGTATGCTGGTATCGTCGGGTTGTGAATCATGGCGCTTTCCAGATGGAATCGTCCGTCTCCCAGATATAGAATCGAGTCGATCTTGTCCTCGTCCTTGAGCGCTGGGCTTGTGCAACCTAGAATCTCGCCCTTACTCAGCGGCGCAATCTGCGGTATCACGACGTCGTAGCCCGCGTTCCGCAGCTGTGGTGCCGTGCCATGCAGCGTCGCGTTGAACTGGATTGTGCCAACCATAGCAATCCTGGAGCCCGCTTTGAAGTTGCGCTCGATTGTTGCTAGAAGATGTGAAACGTCTATTCCAATATCGACAAAGACGTACAGAGTCTGGATTTGCGTCACGCTGACAGGGATCAAACAGCTGTGAGCATAGTGTACCAGCATGTCGCAGCCCAGTGCACGCGCTGTGTAGTCGTCTATGCAGCATGCGCCGTATGTCACATCTCCCATGATCAAGGTGCTCGTATCCTGGCAGAAGCGTGTGATGATGTCTGAAATGGTTGTCGCAAACAGAAGCAGTCCTTCGGGGAACTGCAAAGCGATCTTCTTAGCTCCGGCGGTGCGTACTTTGTGGATGGTCTTGTGTATTTCGAAGTTGTAGTTGGAGGGGAGTAGCGAAATAGCAGCATTGATATCTTGGTCGTTCAGAATCTCGGGAGGGACTTGGTTCAAGGCACGGGCACTCCTTCGGGGTGCAGCGANCTGCATTTGGTTGTTAGCAGACTTGACACAAAGAACAAGGACAAGTTGCAAACCCTGAATAGCACCGCTATCTTCGATTCCACCATTTGTGTCGCCTTTGGCCGCTGCTTTCTCTGCGGCAGCCCTACGTCCGATGAATCGCTTCTTGGGCTGTTTAGCCACAGCTATAGCCTCGCCGTCAAGCTCCGGAGTAGAAATGTCTGCTTGTTGTCGGTCTTGTTCCATTTTGCGCGTGTGATGGAAAAGTTGACCAGCAGCCAAAAAAATATCATGATTATCACCTTCACGGCCCAAAAGTGATCGGTCACCGAAAAGCCGCGCCGGTCGGCCTTGGCTCCCGCCCTGCCGCCCCCGCTCTCTCCACACCCTGACACCATCCGAGGCATCACTCCATCTTTGTGACCCTTGACTGCTGTTGATTGGTACAAACAAGACTTGTATTCTCATTGCTCCAGAGCTCCAGATCGATCCAGCCTTTGTTTGACTTCATCAAGCATCTAACTTCTCGAGTATCACAATGTCTGGCTTCATACGTCCTTTGAGAGACCCGAGGATACCAAGGGCTCTGAGCAGACGGTGCTTCTCTGTCACGTCCAGAAAGCCTGCAGACCACGTTAGAATTGTCGAAGTTGGTCCGCGAGATGGACTTCAAAACGAAAAATCCTCGATCTCACCCGAGACCAAAATTGACCTAGTCAGAAGACTTGCTGCTACTGGACTCAAGACCATTGAAGCTGGCTCGTTTGTTCATCCCAAATGGACACCACAAGTAAGTTGGATTTCAATAACGCACTGTACATGATGACTGACACTCGCAAGNATGGCCAGCTCGGACAAGGTTCTGCAGAACATCTTGCAAAAACCCCCTCAAACAGCTCAACCTATCACTTACCAGTGGTTGTTGCCAAATATGAAAGGTCTTGACAACTTCTTCTCCATCCAAGCTCAAGGTTCAGCTCAGGAGGATTCTTCTTATCCAACACCTCCGCCATCTCCTGTACATGATTCAGGACCTGCCCAGAACACTTCTACACAGAACCCAAATGACATGCCTTCCGCAACTTCTGGCGCTGCTGCCATGGCCTCAAAATCGAGCCCCGATCAACCAAAACATGAAGTCTCAATTTTCCTTGCAGCTACCGAGTCTTTCTCTCAGAAGAACACGAATTGCAGTATTGCCGAATCTCTTGAGAAATTCCAGCCTTTGATCACCAATGCTAGAGACAAAGGTTTCGGCGTGCGTGCTTATATTTCCGTTGCTCTTGGCTGTCCTTTTGAGGGGCCTGATGTTGATCCTCACAAAGTCGCAGAATTAGCTGCCAGCCTTCTCGAGATGGGAGCAGACGAAATCTCGGTGGCAGACACCACAGGAATGGGCACAGCGCCTCGCACGAGAGAGCTCTTGCGCACCCTCACGGCCGCGGGTATCCGAAACGATGACCTAGCTCTACATTTCCATGACACATTTGGTCAAGCAATAGTCAACACTCTTGTTGGGCTGGAGCATGGTGTTCGAACCTTTGACTCTGCTGTTGGTGGCCTGGGTGGCTGTCCCTACTCGCCTGGCGCAACCGGAAATGTCGCAACTGAGGATTTGGTGTACACCCTAGAAAGTCTCGGTGTCAATACTGGTATTGATCTGGCCGAGATCAGTAGGATCGGTGACTGGATCACCAGCGAGATTGGCAAGCCAAATGAAAGTCGCGCAGGTAAAGCAACCCTCGCTAAGTTGAGACGGGACGCTGAGTAGGGAGATACGCCGTTAGACAAAGTAGGAGTTTGTCCTGTGGCTTTCAGGACAAACCAAAATACACCTCTTGTTAGTTCGAACACATTCATGAAAATAAATGACTGCAAGAATGCAGAATCTCTGGTCGAAGCTCTTTGCAGACTCTATGGCAATTTTCTCTTATAGGCATGATTGTTTAGCGACAGCGCTAATAACGAACAAGTTTGGCCACTATTCTGTTTTATCTCGTTGATCACGATGGGCACGTAACCATGACATGAAACATCTTCGTGCAGAACGCCCAGAATGCTGGGCTTGCATTAATCTGCACGCAGGCGACATGCAGACAACTGCAACGTGAGATATGGGAACACCAGAATCCGTCAGCAGGTACCAAAACATGTGTCGCTGCCCGATAAGTTGGACAAAGCACACGAAATGATAAGTCCCTCGAGAAGCTTCCGTGGATACAGATGGGTTGACAAGACGTTGACATTCTCAAAATCGTGGTTGATGGAGCTGATATTCAGATCATCGATGTTATTGACCAACAAGCAAGCACCGTGAAGCTTGATATCAAACAGTACGCCATTTCAGGAACAAGCTTTTTGTAACATCGCACAGTGGATCCGTGAAGCCGTGATGACCCGTTTAGTACCTGGGTGCGACATCAGCTGAACTCGACCCGTGTCACTTCCAAGGATGAGCATGAGTTGGCCGGACATCTGACTGTCGATCGCACTGTGTGACGAGACCTTGAAGCTGTTCGGAGGGTGTCAGGGTGCGGAGACATCTAGCGATGTGTCGCCAAAGCCAGGCACGCCATCAAGCCGCAGGCCGCCTGGCGAGTCGGATCCACACTACCCAACTCAAAAGCTTCAGGTTGCACGTGGCCCGAACCTAGCCACTTTTGCCGTGGACAAAGGTTAAGCACAGCGAAGACCCCCAAAAGACATTCGAATCCGCCCGTGGCTTGCCGTGGCATACCTAATGGTTCGTAAATTCCGTTGCATCTGGTCCGGTACATATCTAGTCATAATGTCTCGATCAGCTTGCCGCTGCCTATTACAGCAGCGAGCCGACCGTTTCGAAGCAATTGTCTCCTGTACGGGAGGGTTATTGTTGGAACGTTCTGTACGAGTCCGTTTGATTGAGTGGGGAGATATGCAGCGAACCGCCGGCAGAGACCCAAGATAGCCGAACAACTTATCGACAGGCTTGACGGAATGGCGCATCGACCTGCAGATGTACGGCGGGCTGGGTTGCTTGTACGGTGTGCATGATTAGCGCAGCGATCATGTAACATAGACCGAAGGATTCGACGTGGCTGGTTAATCACGAGATTGAGATTCAGAATCGTTGCGGTGTAAAGACGTTTTGGGCGCAACATGGCGCACTGCCAAGTTTAATGGACGTGCAGACATCATCATTTTTCTCTCCTGAGTTTGTTTTCGTGTTTTCCCCACGAAGTCAATCAACTTTCGCGAAAGCCTCGGACATGCCACGACGGGAAGGATGAGTCGTGGTGTATGGATGCCAACCCAGGAGCCAAGCGCAGCTGGAGCTTAACGAGGCTGACACGCATCGAGGCAAGGGAACTTGCAGTAACCAAGCGGGTTTCTTAGTCACATATAGCCGCCGTGGGGATAAAGATGATGGAATGCTTCAAGAGCGCACCTCAAGGCGTTGATGATGGCAGAATGGCAACGGTTGTCAACAGATGCAGGTTGTTTCGATCGGTCGCTTCGTCCAATGCTTGGCTCGGGCCCCCAACATCTGCATCCTCCACACGCCTGCTTAGCGTTCCGACAGGGGCTGATCTCTGGCTCCACCATGGCTCAATCAAAAACAGTTGCGCCAAGGCACAGGTAGGTGTGCGGCGCCTTTCAGGAAATCTGGGTTAGGGTTCTGTAAGAAGCGTCGTCTATCCGACTGCTGCCATTTCCCCTCTCGATTTTCTTCTCTTTCCTCTTCCCTCTTGTCGCCTGTTTCGTCGCGTGTATTCCGTGTGCACCTTACGAAACTTGACTGCTGCTACCCACTATCCATCACGGTCATCAGAGACCTCTTTTTCTATACCACACCCCACCTTTGTCTCTGTTCGCTTGGCATCCTGTCTGTCTGCGCGCGTTTCGCGTAACCATAAGTGAGTCCTCTTTGCCCGCGCCATCACCACGACACCGTGCGTTTGGGTCTTGTCAAGCTTCATCTACTAACAACCCCAAGCCTTGTTCCTGAGTCCTTCATGATGGCTTCTCAGACGTCACCCACGGCGGCGATGCATCCGCATCATGTTGTCCAGCAGGGTCGAGGCCAACCCAATGGCCATGTTGCCTTGCAGCCTCCGCATCCAGCAAAGCCAGCATCGCACTACCTTCAGCAAGCAAACGAGGGCATCTGGTTGCAGCTTGGTACGTTTCGTGTCCTGGTGACTTGGAGACGCGTCTACTGACACGACCTAGGAAGTGTCTCGGAGATGATGGGCGAGTACGATAGCGCGACTCAGGCATATGAACGCGCCCTTAGCTTCAACAACCACTCAGTCCAGGCTATGCTTGCTATCTCATGCATCCTCCGTTCCAAGGATCAATTCCCAGCTGCTGTCGAGTATCTTAAGCAGATTCTCCGCATCGAGGTTGCCAACGGAGAAGTCTGGAGCGCTCTTGGTACGCGACTTCGTCCGGATGACTGTTTGCACCAGAGCTAATGATATCCAGGCCACTGCTATCTTATGATGGACGACCTTCAACAAGCGTACTCGGCTTACCAGCAAGCTCTTTATCACTTGCCTGACCCCAAGGTTTGTCCACTCCTCCTTATTCGATGCCGTCGGTCTCACCAATATTAAATACCCGGCAGNGAACCCAAGCTCTGGTACGGCATCGGTATCCTCTACGATCGCTATGGCTCGCTCGAACACGCCGAGGAAGCCTTCTCCCAAGTCATGCGCATGGACCCGCGCTTTGAGAAAGCCAACGAGATATACTTCCGCCTTGGTATAATATACAAGCAACAGCAGAAGTTTCAGCAAAGTTTGGAGGTATGTCGCTCTTTGCCATTCGTCGCTGCCAGTTGACTGACCTTATCACAGTGCTTCAAATACATTGTTACCGACCCTCCTCGACCTCTGAGTGAAGAGGACATCTGGTTCCAAATTGGTCATGTGTACGAGCAGCAGAAAGAGGTAAGGTCAACAATCTCTAGGAGCCCTCCGCATCATGACTAACTCCTACTTCAGTACGACTCTGCTAAGAGCGCTTACATGCGCGTCCTTGACCGCGATCCCAACCACGCCAAGGTGCTGCAACAACTTGGATGGCTGCACCATCAGCAAAGCACCAGCTTCAGCAGTCAAGAGCAGGCTATAGAATACCTGGAAAAGTCGGTCAATTCCGACCAGACCGATGCACAGAGCTGGTACCTCCTTGGTCGCTGCTACATGTCGCAGCAGAAGTACCCCAAGGCATACGAGGCTTATCAGCAAGCCGTCTACCGTGACGGCCGCAACCCCACCTTCTGGTGCTCGATTGGTGTCTTGTACTATCAGATCAACCAGTATCGCGATGCTCTGGATGCTTACTCGAGGGCTATCCGCCTCAATCCCAACATCTCAGAGGTTTGGTACGATCTCGGCACACTGTACGAGTCCTGCAACAACCAGACCAACGACGCTCTCGACGCCTACTCTAGAGCCGCTGAGCTCGACCCGACCAACGTGCATATCAAGGCTCGCCTCGCCCTGCTCAAGGGTCAGCCAACCAACGGTCTTCCCAACCAAGCGGGCGCTCCGCTTCCTCAAGATGTGCCTCCTCAAGCATACCAGCCAGGCGCTCTGGGCGCTGGCCCTCCTGCTCCTCAATGGGGAGCACCTCCTCCCGGCCAAGCTCAAGCTGCTCAACAGCCTCCTCCAGGTGCAGACTGGTCCCGTAACAACCGTCTTGCCGACCTCCAGAACCCTCAAAACCCTGGTTCCCAGCCCCAGATGCTGAACCCGTATGATTCGAGGGATCGCCTTGCTCAGCACGTCCCTCCCCGCCAGCCTACGCCTCCAAAGCAAGAGCCTAGGCAATATCAGGATCAGCCCCAGCCTCAACGTCCTCCTCCTCCAGCCCACAGAGGTCTTTCGCCTTCACCCAAGGTGCTTTACAATGCTCCGGGGCCTGGTGCCTACCCTCCGGCACCCCAAGCTCAGACCCCTTCCCAGCTTCCTCAGCCCCTTCCACAGCAGCAGGGACCGGCTCCACCCAACCGCATTGCCAACCCTAACTATGGCCCGCAATCATCTAGTGTACCTCCTCCAGCTGCAAGCATGGGTGCACCTCCACCAGCCCAGGGACAAGCTCCTGGCTACCCCAACAGGATGGCTAGTCCTCCTGAAATTCGTCCAATCATTGAGAACCAAAACACTTCTCCTAATGGCAAGTTCGGCCGTCAGCCTTTTGAACACCACCCTACATCTGGTACGCCTAGCATTGCTGGAGGTGCTCCTCCACCCAATGCAGCTTTGCAGGCAGCTGAGGCAGCAGCCAGAGAGCGCGAAGATCGTCCTTCAACCGCTCCCCCCAAGAGACACAGAGAGTGGGAAGATGACGCCTCTAGCATGAGCTCCCAGAAGAAGCCCGCCAACGAAGAGAGTCGTTCGCGTCTGGAAGATCCCAGCAGCAGACGTGCTTCGCCGCCAGACCGTATGGACCGCATTCCGAAGTCACCATATAGAAGCCCCTCAGAGGTGCGACGTGCAGATGATCAGCGTCGTGCCACTGAGAACTACCACCCTTCTGAAGCTGCTCACCACCCACCAGCCCTTGGACCCTCTCAGGTTAACCCCCAACCCTCTCCTCGCATTGGAGCAACAGACGAACGCAAGGAACAGCCTACGCCAGTACCCTCTGCTCAACAGCTTGCTCCACCTCCTCAACCTCAACCGCAACCTCCTACTCAAGCTCCGACGCCTGTCCAAACTCAGGCTCCACCACAACCTCAGCCTCAACCTCAACAGCCTCACCTGGAGCCAGCGGCTCGCAAGATGGACATGGATGAGGATTATGATGATAGTGGTGACGAGGAGAAGAGGCCCGTTAAGCCTCAAAGTGAAAGAAATAGCCCCAAGGCAAGCAATGGCGCTGGTCACGATTGATGAAGCATTCACCGAAGCTGTATATTCATTGGCATTGCACGCGATAGTGTGCTTACCGGGGCTTAACCTTCTATGTAAAAAGTATCATTCGTATGTTCAAATTCTTTTGTCCATCTTGACGTGTTCACCCATGACGACTCTGCACTCTTCTTTCTCGCACGATTGTAGAGCTCGAATGCGAAGATGGATCAGGGATAGCTCTGAGTACCGAACTTGGAAGACAAGATGATTCTTCGAGAGCTCATCTTTATGCGCCAGATGCAGCAGGATGCACTCTAGCGCGTCGTCAATTGCCTCGGTTCACGATATCTCGTGGCGCAAAGTGCTTCTTCTGATCGTAGATGATCTCGTTAACAACGCATGCAGCCTAATGATAGAGGAGTCGCTGCTGATAGAAAGAAAAGCAAAAACATAACGATTTGGTCGTATAGGCAGCTGAATAAATGTCGACCAATGGCAGTCGCCGCATTGCGGATGCCTTGTCGTACAGGCCCTTTCAGCCGGCGTTATCTCAAACGATCGCCGGCAGGAGCACTCCCGGCGTAGCACCCCGACAAGGCAGGCTCAAGAAGGTAGGTGGATAAATACTATGCTAGACGACATCTCCCTAATGTATCTGTTTTCAATTCGCATTTCGCAAGGGATTGTTTGATCCAGCCTTGTTGCTATTACTCTTGTGCGCAGCAACATGACAGCCGGATGTTCGAAAGACACCGTGGACATAGTGGAAGTTGAACAACCATCTATACCCACCAGCAAGCTACCGAACGTTCTTGAAACAGAAGTCACGCCTCTTCTGGGACAGACTACCACAACACAGAACGAAACGACCATCAACAATGGCCGATGCCAAACGAGTCCACGCGCCATTCTGATAATCATGGCGATCTTGATATTGATAGTCCAGTGCGCCGACCAATTCTCAGAAGCACCGTTGACCAGAATCTTCGAGTCGATCTATTGCTATCAATACTGGGAGCGTGAAGACCCAAATAAGATCTTGATTCCTAGATCAGCTGTGGGGCCAGGTGCACTTGGTGGTGTGGAAGAGCAATGGTGTAAGGTCGCTGACGTGCAAGGGAAAGTGGCTATGTTGAAAGGCACTCAGCAATTCCTTGATTGCATTCCAAGTACGTAAACGTACGATGAGATCTGGCCTGCTGCTAACATAGTTCAGGTNCTGTTTCTATTAATCCCGGTTGGCATTCTAGCAGACCGATGGGGTAGGAGACCGATTATGGTAATCGGTCTCTGCAGCTTCNNTCCTCTGAAATTAGTGTGGCAACTTTTTGTCTGTAAGTCAAGCTCTCAGAACAGCTCAGACTCGATTAAATTTGGGCGAACTGCTAATCACTGATCAGGCTGGTTCTGGCAGAGCTTCGACCTAAGGGTTTCTTGGTTCTCGGCATTGCATGCTCTCATACTTGGAGGCTCACCAGTTTTGACAGCTCTGTTCTTTGTAGTCGTGTCGGACATCACTAATCAGGAATCGAGATCTACCGTCTTCTTGCGCATTTACTCCGCCAACTTGACAGGCAATCTTGTTTGTCCACCAATAGTGGCTTGGGTTATGACGCGCAATCCTTTGATAGCTGTGTTCATTGGTATAGGCTGCTTCTGCATCGGAGTTCCGTTAGCCCTTCTGATTCCGGAGACACTCGGATACCAGCAACTTGTCAAGCTCGACGAAGAATACAGTGATAGAGAAGAGCCACCGTTGACACCAAAGAGGCATGATAAGAGCTTCCTGGAACAATGCTACAAGCCTCTAGTCGAATCCACCAAATACTTCCTGCACGACAAACGGGTCGTCCTCTTGATCTTCACCTTCGTCCCGATCATGTTGACGGTAACCAATGTGCCACTGCTCCTACAATATGCGAGTTCACGATATGGCATGACCTTCGCCAGCGTCACGATGCTGCTGACAGTTAGAGCTGGTGTGACCATCGCCATGTTCTTGTTCGTACAGTCATGGGTCTACGATCTCCTAGCCAATGCTGGCGTGAGTGGACANAAGAGAGATCTCCTCCTTGCTCGTGGAAGTGCTGGTCTGATGCTTGTCGGCTGGGCGGCCATAGGCTTTTCGCCTAATGCCCTTCTATTCACTGCATCATTGATGATTGCCACCATGGGAAATGGTTTTCCAGTCTTCCTTCGCTCNTTTTTGACTGGCTTAGTCGAGCCGAACAGGGTTGCAGAACTCTACACTATTATTGGGGTTGTCGATACTCTCGGGCTGATGCTGGGTGGCCCTCTGCTTGCTTGGCTATTCCAGAGAGGTATGCAGCTNGGGGGTATGTTCGTGGGGCTACCTTTCGTAGCTTTGGGCTTGATATATGCTGTTGTGGCGTCGTTCCTGCTGAGAATTGGCCATCACAAGCGCAAAGTCACGGAGGAAGAAAGGTCCGAGTAGTTCCTCGAGGTAGAGTGGAGAACGAAGATAAGCCCGCTCACTATGATCATGGCCAACTCATGCGAAGATAAAACTGTTGAGCCGTCATCAACCGTACTGAAGCTGCTGTCGCCGAAATCATCGATGACCTGTGTGCCTCCTTCGCTGTTCAAGTCTTGCAACCGATCCCCTCTCCATTACCAGGATTATCACAAACCGCTGAAATGCACAGTTGCAACCCGGAAATGAGTCTGGCCATGGAGATGGCTTTTCGTGAAGTCTTCTCTGTGGACAACACGTTCTTGATGGAAGTTTTGTGCCTTTCTGCAGCTAAGTTGAGATAGTACCTCAACGGTATGCCAAAACCTCCTCAAAGTCACAATACTGAAGGGTCAACCCCTCAAAGGCATGCTGAAACCTCTTAAGGTTGTCGCTGGCCAGGAAGATGGTATTGATCACCACGAGGTTGCTGCTCTTGGAGAGAACGAGGCCTGCTGGCCTGACAAAAAGCATGTTGGTTCCTACACTCTTGGTGGTACTCCTCTCCCGCCTCCAGTCGATGGACCTCTCCGTCTACCTGCCTATGGCGGCGGAACCGCCGATTCTCAAGGCATGAAGATGCGGGCTGGCTAGCACCGCAGTCCAGCCTACCGCCAGAGAAGCCGAAACTAGCAGCACGACAGGCCCGTTCAACGCATGATCGATGACACCAACTATCCATTGAAACTCTTTGTGATTGCCACGCGCAAGGGAGACCATATGTGACAAGAGATTCGAACGCTTCGAGGAAGCAGTAACCAGCCAACTGTTTGGTACGAACGACGACCTGCACTCCTTCGAGAACTGAGTGCCTTGCCGTCATACGGCAAGCTGAAGTTCAAGCAGCCAGTACAGGCCACGAGCAGGGCCAATGTACTGTGTGAAGGCTACTCATACGCCGAGGCAACAGCAGAGATTGCTTCTCGTGCTGCCGCAACCCTCATTGTCAGAAGAGACCAAAGACACGCCTACAGGGAGGCGGTAGAGAGATATATGCATGTCTGCACCAACTGCCAGGCCGAAGCATCATACTCGTGGCACACGCTGGAAGACATCGAAGAGGAGCAAGGCGACAGGGTCTACCGTCTTTGTGAAAACCATTGGATCTCCCACGGTCGCTATCCCGATCCAGAAAAACTCCAGCGGCTGGCCGAGAAGGCTGAGCATACTGCCAGCTATGCCGACAACCCCGAACCACCTGGTTATTGCGAAAATGAGAACTGCAAGCAAGACGGCAACTCCAAGTAGCATTGGAGCAAGGTTCACGGCTTCTACATCTGTGATACTTGCAAGGTTTTCGCAAGGGAGAACAACGACGAGCTCCGCATTCCAAAAGACAGACTCGCAAGGTCAAAAGGAACAAAACGATGTCTACCGAGAGGTTACCGGCAGGATTGACATGTCTGTGCAAACTGTACAGTGTGAGGTTGACCAACAAGAGCGCAATGATCGCCAATTATGCTGGAAATCCTCCACCGCCAGGCTGGGCTGCTAATGGTTGTATCCTGGGGTCGATGGAAGTCCGCCCTTCGGTCTGTTGGTACGTGTGTCCTTTGTGGTTGCTGGCTCAGGGAAGAGAAGGAGGGTAACAAGCGTGTGCGTACTCATTCCAGACAGAGGTTGACTGCTTCGGTGGATTATTCTGGTAGCAAACATCTGCTTTATGATGTGGTGAGTCGATGAATAAAGTGACGGTCAAGGAGGATGTTGCAAAGAAAGCAAGACGGAACAGGCAGTCGCTACTTCCTCCTTGTGGTACCACATACCTACTTGGAAGCTTGGCACACAGAGCGCGATGATGTTAGCTCTCCTTGGCCATGTCTCTGCTCTTGGAAGCATCCACGACCTTTCATGATGTGTGTGTAGATCTACAATATCGTAAGAGAGTAGAATATTCATAGTTTGGAGAATACGGAGAGATAGTAAGTAGTTTGCAATACATGGCATCATGAAGCAGGTTTTCTTCCGCTATGAAAGACTACCACATTAACCAAAGCAACATCCCGAAACCTCAGGCGTCTTGCTTTCTCATCCCTCATCTCATCATCCTGAACAATAACTTTTGTCTACCTCAACTTTTGCATCGCTTTGTAACACATCGAATCATAAAGCAGATTAGCACATTTACAATGAGCACGAATTCCCGGATCACTTCCTTCTTAAAGCCTCGCAACAAAAGGAGGATCCCAATATTGTGCAGTCAGAGAAGGCAAAGCAGAAAGAAGCCATCACTTGCACAGAGGTTGCTGTTGCAGAGGTAATCACCGATCTGTGTACCTATATCAAGGAAAACAAGCACATCGTCAATTCGGGCTTCCGCCGAGACCCAGATCCAACCATTGATGAATCCTAGAGGGATCCAAGTGTTGTGTCGTCAGCGAAGCAAAGTCGTACTCAGGCCATCAATCGTACAGAACCTGACGTTGCCGATGTTGTCGACGACCTGTGCGGATATATCAAGAGAAACAAGCACATTGTCAATTCTGCCAGACGAAGCTCTTACATGTCCATGGGAACGACAGGTTGACCCGACGATATCTGAAGGGCATGCCAAAACCCCTCAAAGTCGTTGTGGGTCAAGAGGGTGAGATAGACGATTACGAGATGGCTGCTTTTGAGAACAAGAATGCTTAATGTCTCTATAGGAGTTATACATATTCGGAAACATCAAGTCCAAGGCTATATCTCGTCTGGAAGAGACGCAGTAAATTTAGCTATGAGAATGCAGAAACATATTCAGAAGCAGGGCATGTCCACTGAGATGAGAGTAAATTCAAGACTCTCTTTGGACATAGCTTGATACCAAACATGTTTGTGCATTTCTACACGTCGAAAACAGGGCTCTGTTACGTACGGAGAGGATGGAGATGACCATGTTAATTCAAATAGTTTTCTTATGTACTGAGGGAACGGGGACTAACGGATGGACAGAGGGTAGACGATATTCGAATGAGGTGAGCAAGCGGATTCAGACGACTGGAAACACTAAACCATTCTTCTATTCATCGATAACTATCTACTTCATCGCCCCACCGAGTACTTTTGGAGCAGGGTAGTGCTTCAACCCGTAGACAAGCCACCAAAAAGTAATAATGAGGATGATCAANNAATCAGCTGAAACCGGCATTGCGTAAGGGAAGCAGAACATGATGTTGAAGAAGACAATCAAAACACAGCCAAGGGCGTTGACCACAAAGCCATACTTGCCCATCCAAAAATCGCCCTTGGGAGTATTCTTGCGGCCGCTCAGGAGGTGAGGGAAGATGGCCAGAAGGTAAGAGAATGCACAAAGGACCAGGAAACTACCGACGAGATCGTTGAAAGCGGTGCCAGAGGCGAGAATTATGGCACCAAGGCCTGTGACAAGCAAGCCCACAAAAATAGTAGCAGGAATCGGGCAGGAAAGCCGCTCGTTGACCGAAGAGAAGAAGCCGCCGAAGGGTGTGAAGCGATCACGGGCAAGTGCCCACCAGGTGCGACCAAGCGAAAGTACAGTCGATACGGCGCAAATCATGATGATGAAGAAAATGATAAGCAACAGACAGAACGCTCCGCCAGCATTTCCGGTCGCCTGACGATAGATGATGGCCACAGGGAAAGAGCCGGAGGTGTTGATAACTTGATCTAGATCGCTGACGGCGTAGAAGAGCGCTATGGCGTACAAAAATGCGGTGATGGCACCAAGAGAGACTTGTGCAAATATGGCTCGAGGAATATCACGGCGAGGATTCGGAAGTTCTTCCGCCATATGAGAAACGCTGTCCACTGTGGCGATTGTGAACGACCCGTTCAAGACACCAGTCAAGAATGCTACTCCGCCACCCCAGCCGGTGGTGTTCTGCCAATCAGACCAGACGAAGGAACTACTGGCATGTGTATTTGGCGTCGCAGCCAACACGATTATGGTAACAACGCCTCCGATGACAAGCAAGACCAGTCCGACGTTTTGTAGGAGCGGCAGGAATCGATTGCCGAATATGCAGAACAACACACAGAACCATGTGATGAGAACATATGTCAGATAGGTATGCCAGGCCTCGAGGACGAAGTCAGGATGGAACAAACTCCACATTTGTAGAAGGACATTCGATGGAATCGCTATGATGGAACATAAGTCGAACACCCATCCGAAGAAGTTGAGGTAGCTGCCAGATAGTTAGCACACACACAAGCACTTATGAGCTTCAAGGTGGTACTTACCNNCAGCGAAGAATCCAACGCTCCTGCCCCATTTTGGACCTGCAGTGACGGAAGCCCAGTGATACACACCACCGGCGGTAGGTATAGCTGATGCAANGCTAGAGTCGGTCAGCTGATGTTATGGATATGTTCCGTCGAGTGTTTCTTGACACACCTCCGCGATGGATGCTGCGATGATACCATAGTAAATGCAGGCGGTGATCAATTCGTAAAGGACACCGGCAGGCCCGCCGTTAGGAAGAGCAAGAATCAGAGAGCCAGCAAAGGCTACCCAGGCAGAGTCGATATTCAAGGCCAGACCACAGATTTGCAGAGGACCATAGTGCCGTTGCAATTGATCGCGATGGCCGGAAGCATTGACTGTATGGATGATCTCGCCGACTCCATTTTCGAGAGACGGTGTTCGATCTGTAGATCCTACTGGCGGTTTTTCGTCGTAAGTAGACATATTTCGTAGATGTTTTCAAGGCATTGACTTCAATCCGACGAGCCAAAAGATCCATCAGACGCCGGAGGGACTATATTAAAGAACAAAAAAAGGCAAACGGCATCAGTAGAACATTCACGCCAATCTCTTCGTATGGATAATAGGCCTGTGTAAGTGTGCGATACTTTTTGAAGCCCTATTAGATGATTGCGAGTATCTGATAGGTGCCGTGCCTGCCAGAACTTCATTCGCTGGACGGTCATGCAGGTGTTATCTCGGGAAGTCCTATCTAGAGTCTCAGCTACACACAACTGGTGGGCTGAATGTGGGACTAAGGTCACTTGGCGCAACCAAGAGGCGTGCATGGTGATACCCAATCCTGGCTCATGTAGTCAGATTTGGGGCTGCAAACTCTTTACCATTGACTGGGGTCGGTCTCTTGCGCGGCTCCTTCCTTCGGCAAGCATTTGAGCCAAAAAAAACAAGGTCGATCGATTCAACCGCAGCCATGCTCTTTTCATGTGTGCCAAAAACTGTGAGTAACTCAAAGATTTGCACAGGTCCTTAACAGCATATCTGGAGAGCCACACAACATTTCTGTCAAATCTTTGGGCGTATCACTTCCTTGAGGCAGATCGTTTAGCATTTCTGTGGCTTCAATCTCTCTGCAACAGAATTGACAGACTTGAGCAGACGGCAGAATCAGCGATCGATGCGTGACAAAGTTACTTCCGCCTGTACATCAGATCTCGAGGAGAGTCGCCTTGGTCGCGTCAATCGCTCGAATGATGCCTCAGACTCTGGATATAGGATTGGTTAGATGCATGGAGTGAACGTTGCTTGCTCGCGTGGCATTTGGAGTCGGAGCAATCAAGAAGCGGTCTGTGCACTTTGCAGATCCACTCTTCCGTGCCTCATAGAACAACACCATCTCCGGCCTCTCCAATTGCAAAAGCATTGCTATGCGACAGTAAATATATTCTACACTGGATATCTGACAGCTACAGTGATACCTGAGAGCTTATCGTCTTTTCATACGTAGTATGTGTAGAGCTTAGTTGCAAAGTGGATTTGAATCGACGGGCTTCAACCCCGGCCGTTATCTTTCGACGACAGCCTACACCTCGACCTTGAAAGATTTCATCCTCAGCCTATCATGATTTTCTTCTGCGATGGCGTATACAACCAGCTCGTATCTCTACATCTTATTAGATCCACGGAAGTGATAGAAAAGAAAAGCCGTCTGACAGAGCGTTGTAGTCATCGCTGCTTAGCGACAGGCCTTAGTCAACACCCCCAATCTACCCCAGCAGATCTTTCTGATAAGAAGAACCATGTTCAGGGCCTTGACCTGCATAACGACATCCCGCTGTCAAAGAACAACCCCACTTGACCCGACACTAACGTTGTCTTTTCAGACAGCTTTATCGCCAGTCTCCTTCTGGATGTTCAGCCCGTCTTCAGATTCGGGGTCTGGCTCATCAGTATGACTAAACCCACTTTCTCATGAGCAGCAGTAAATGGGTGGGATAGTGCTTACACCATCGTGTTACCTATCATCCGGCAGGTGCAAATCGTTGGTTCTTGTCTCGAGTGTACTTCATGTGTTGGACAACCAGTCTCAGGTGCATTCAGTCCCATTTGTATTGATTCTGATTGACTTTCGCAACTATGGACAGCCGACAAGATGGCACTGAGAGCGCCAGCTCATGGCTACCAAATTTCCTCCGTAAGTCGACAGACTCGAAAGACTCGGATCCAAACGAAAGAACTTCACTTCTTCCCAAGCCTGACGATGAGCCGACCATTGGTTCAGTCGACGACTTCGAATTCGAGGGAAAGAGCAGTACTCAGCTCGTCATCCACGAGTTCTGGGTACTGCTCAACGGTTCGATCCCTGTCTTTCTTGCATACATGCTGCAGAACTCTTTACAAACTGTCTCGGTTCTGGTCGTTGGTCGGTTAAGTCCTGAAGCACTTGCAGCTGCTGCGTTCTCTTACATGTTTGCCATGGCTTCTGGTTGGCTCATTGCCCTCGGAGGCACCACTGCTATCGACACTCTTGCCTCTGCAAGTTTTACTGGAAGCAAGGACAAGCATGATCTGGGCATCATTCTCCAGAGAGCCTTTTTCGTCCTTGGGCTGCTGTATATCCCTGTCGCTATTCTCTGGCTCTGCTCGAAACCTGTCTTCATGGCTCTTGGGCAGGATGAGCGCCTATCCGAGGATAGCAGCAAGTTCTTGAGCGTACTTGCGCTTGGTGGACTCGGATATATCTATTTCGAATGCCTCAAGAAGTACTTGCAAGCACAAGGTATGTCAACGGAGGACAGTTTCTAGAAGCAAGCACTGACCACAAATACCNNAGGTATCATGAGACCGGGTACATACGTGCTGCTCATCACTTCGCCTGTGAACGCAGGTCTGAACTATCTTTTCGTGTATACTTGCAGGATGGGTCTCCTCGGAGCACCTCTGGCCACAAGCATATCGTACTGGCTATCGTTCTTGCTTCTTCTAGCCTATGCACGCTTTGTCTCAGGCTGGGACTGTTGGGGTGGATGGTCGAANAAGGCTTTACAGAACATCGGCACCTTCACAAGACTCGCTCTACTCGGAGTGGTACACGTAGGCACCGAGTGGTGGGCCTTCGAAATTGTGGCTCTCGCTGCAGGAAAACTCGGAACGATTCCCCTGGCTGCACAATCAGTCATAATGACCACGGACCAGGTTCTCAACACCATTCCGTTCGGCGTGGGAGTTGCAACATCGGCAAGAGTAGGAAATCTGCTNGGGGGCAGGAATGCCGAGGGTGCAGCACGCTCCGCCAACGTAGCTGCCTGGTTATCGATGATCCTGGGAGCACTCGTCCTTGCCCTTCTTATGGGTGTCAAAAACTTCTACGCAAAGATCTTCAACGACGATCAGGATGTCATCAAGCTGACTGCAGAAGTCATGCCTTGGGTAGCCTTGTTCCAGATTGCTGATGGGCTGAATGGCTCTTGTGGTGGCTCCCTTCGTGGAATGGGGCGCCAACATGTCGGTGCCGCAGTCAACATTGTCAGCTATTACGCCGGCGCTTTACCTTTGGGCATCTGGCTGGCTTTCCATGGCTGGGGACTTGCCGGTCTTTGGATTGGGCAGTGTATTGCGCTGTATCTGGTCGGTTTTGGTGAGTGGGCGATCGTTGCTTGGAGTGATTGGAATCATCAAGTCCGAAAAGCTTTTGAGAGAATGGAGCATGAAGAACAAGTAGAGTCTGGTCTTGCGGACAATACTGATGGCTATCAGAGGGAGGAGAGCAGATAGTTTGGTCTTGTCTTGAGCTTTTGCGGACTGTCAATACATTGATCTAGAGTAGATAAAAGTACATGTGTTATGAATGCTCCTCTGACTAGAATTGGCCATATCAAGGAGAGCGGATGGGTTCCAAATTCAGTCTGAACGTAAGTGATTTCTGATTGAGACCATCGCTTGCCGCTCAAAGTCCGCGAGTTTTCGAGCATGATCGTGAAACCATAATCAGAATCCTCATCGCGATGCGAGAAACACGAGCCAAGGTCTTGATGCAGTAGCTGATATTAGCCGTCAAATAGACTTTCTACGGTGCGATAGGACGTTTACCAATCCAGATTGACAATCGAGCGATAGATTGTCGGAGCATAATCGACGTCAGTGTTATAAAGCCTCTTTACTAACCCCAGGATCGCGGGGTCTGGTGGGGTTCTTGCATGGATATAATCGACAGGGCATATCTATGCCGCCGCCAGCTAAGGTTGGTGTGTCAACATGCGGAGGATAGAGTGATATCGCGATCTCACGATTGAGTGTGACGTGAGTAGCTTGGATTGCACGACATGACATCGATGAGATGTTTTTTTCGTTCTGAGCTCCCTTGTATAGCTTAGCTTGTGTTGACAATCTTGACAATGCGTAGTTAGGTAAACATGGAGAGACCAAGGTTGCGTGATTGTCTTGTTGTTCCTGGCAGCCGAGTAGAAAGTATTTGTTGTGAGCTCGCTGCTGCATCCTGGAGTCTTTCTTACATCCTCTTTCTTATCTGTCATCCCAATTGATCTTTTGCAGCATACTCACCAGTATGTACAAGCTTGTTACCCTTGTCACTGCTATTGCAGCCAGTGTTTCTGCACACGGCGACCACAGTCAAGAGGCTTTCAAGGAGGGCCCCCACAAGTCCTTATGGTACAACGCCCTTCCTGGCGATGGTGGAACTCAGGCCGACTCGGTCTTCTCAGGAATCTCGACGTTCGGTCGTATCGAGTACCATCCTTGCTTGGCTAGTGACGCTCGCAAGTATGACATTGCCTTCATCGGTGCTCCCTTTGATACCGGTACAAGTTACCGTCCTGGTGCCAGATTCGGCCCCAGCGGTATCCGTCAGGGTTCGAGACGTCTCAACCTCTACGGAGGCTTCAATGTCCCTCTCCAGGTTCGTAGCGACAATCGCTTCCATGTTGCGATTCAGCACTAATTGGAGACNCAGACTAATCCTTTCAATGGATGGGCCACTGTCATTGACTGTGGCGACATTCCCGTCACGAGCTACGACAATGAGTATGCTTTGNNGAAGCAAATTGAAGAGGGCCATAACAGCATTTTGATGCGCGAGCCTGCCGCGAACGCACACATGACCGGCCCTTCCAAGCATGGAAAGACGTTGCCGCGTGTCATCACTCTTGGTGGCGATCACACTATCACTCTGCCTCTTCTGCGCTCCATGAACAAGGCATACGGGCCCATCACGTAAGTATCGTATTACTGGGAGTGTGGGCTTTTGGCGCTGACATCTTCAAGCGTTATCCATTTCGACTCCCATCTGGACACCTGGAGGCCGAAGGTCTTCGGAGGAGCACCCTCTAAAGTTGCATCGATCAACCACGGCACATATTTCTACCATGCTGCGAGCGAAGGACTTCTGCGCAACGACACCAACATCCATGCAGGCATTCGCACCACTCTATCCGGCATGTCCGATTACGACAATGACGGGTACTGTGGATTCGAGATCGTCGAGGCTCGTGAGATTGACACAATTGGCATTGATGGTATCATCAAGAAGATCCATGACAGGGTCGGACACAAGAACCCCGTTTACCTCTCGATCGATATCGACACGCTTGATCCTGCGTTCGCCCCTGCGACTGGTACCCCCGAGACTGGTGGTTGGACCACTCGCGAGCTCCGCACTATCATCCGTGGCCTCGAGGGCATACATTTGGTGGCAGCAGACGTCGTTGAGGTTGCCCCTGCCTACGACACCAACGCCGAGTTGACCACCATGGCCGCTGCTGATGTTTTGTACGAAGTGATGGTATGTGAAGAGAAGCCTGATATATGTCTCGAAATGATGCTGATCCGAGTTTGTTTANNGTCTCTCATGGTCAAGGACGGACCCCTTTCCGATATGTCGATTGACAGCAAGAAGGAGCTCAAGTAGGAGGGTGACCATACTCTTGGAAGAATTGGAATGGCCGGCTAGTATTTGGACTTGGTGGCCATAGTATTGGATAGCTTGATGCAATCAGAAATGAGAAGTTGATGTTTGATACCGCCAGAGTCCTGAATGCCCGAAGGATGCATTCTGTAGAACCACAAGTCCAGCTATGGCAAAGGTTCCTTGAGAAAGTAACCGAGATATAGTTTGCTGAGTGTACGAGGCAACATCGTTCAAGGCGCATTGTCATCAGCATTAGGGGCAAATCTCATCTTGAGCAACTGGACAAATTCAGCCAGAGCTTGGTCACCGCCCTCAGCATTTCTCATGTTTCTGAAAGACTCAGTGGCTTCCTTGTCGCCCTTTGCTTGTGACCAGTGTGATTGGTGATGGAATCCGCCTCTTCCTCTGCCCCTACCCCGGCCCCTGGAAGGAAACGAACGTTGTTCCTGTGGTGGAGGTTCCAGTGTCAAGCCATAGACACTTTGTAATTGGATGCGCAGGTTTGGGTATCTGGAAAGCAAACGCAGAAGTTCTGGATCGGATTCGAAGCCGACAAAGTCGATTTTCTTGCTACTTCCTGGTAGCGCGGCTCTTGTGGCAGGCAGTTGAGATGGATCGGAAGGCGCGGACTGGGTTGTTTGGGGCGGTTGAGTGGGTTGCTCTTTCGGCGGGTCGTTGGCGTGTGTCTCTTTGTGTTGTTTGAAGCATGCGATAGAGCANNGCTGCTGGCAATCAGAATGCGACTTCTTCTCTCAATCACGAATCACTCACTATCGCAATTGACAAGATGGACACTTGTACTTGGACTCGTTCTGTGTACACACTCCGCAGATCTCTCCCATCTTGACTGTATTGTATCGATGTTTTTGTCAGAGTTGGATGTTTGAAAGATATTCTGTGGATGAGTAAGCTTTGCGGCCAGACGCTTCACCTCCGAGTGAGGCGCATCACGACCCTCTACATTTTCTATACCAACTCAACATGGAGTCAATATCGTTACTTGGCCGCAGTCTTGGACGCGTAGGACTAAGGACATCACAGCCATGGGCTAGCACTCAATGCGCCCGCTCTCTACCACGCTCTTTCTTCCGGAGGAGTTTCCAGACCAGCCCGCAGCTCAAGCAACAAGGCCGCATGCCCACCCAGGAAGACCTCCGCGCCCAATTCAAGAGCAAGAACCGCAATACCCTCTACTACACCCTGTCAATCATTCTCGGCACTGTCGCATTATCCTATGGCTCCGTGCCCTTCTACAAGATGATCTGCCAGCAGATGGGCTGGGGCGGTCAACCCATCAGCATCCACTCTGCTGGTCAGTACGAGGAGGACGACATTGCTTCACGCCTCATTCCCGTTACCGATTCGCGCCGCTTGCGCATCACCTTTGCCGGCTCCACCTCTGATGTTCTTCCCTGGAAGTTCACTCCCCAGCAGAGAGAAGTCCGTGTTCTGCCTGGCGAGACTGCATTGGCTTTCTATACCGCCACCAATCTGAGCAAAGAAGAGGATATCATTGGTGTAGCCACATACTCGGTTACTCCTGGTCAGGTTGCGCCATACTTCTCAAAGATCCAGTGTTTCTGTTTCGAGGAGCAGAGGTTGAACAAGGGCGAGACTGTCGACATGCCAGTCTTCTTCTACATCGATCCTGAGTTTCTGAGAGATCCAAACATGTCCAAGATTGACACCATCACCCTCAATTACACCTTCTTCAAGGCAAAGTACGACAAGGATGGCCACTTGTCTCCCGTCGCTTGATCCTCTCTATACATGGATCTCCATCTTGTACATATATACCTTTTGTAAAAATACCCCGTCCTACTCTTCTCTTGACTTTTTCCTCTTCACATCCTAATGTCGCTCTTGTTGCTCAGTCTGAGGTATGTTTTGTAGTGTTTTTCTCAATTACGTCTATTTAGGACAGTGACACTGCTTTTTCTCATGTCGTAGATCAGGCCAAAAGCATAAACCCTCCCAAACACTTGGACAACAAACAACAAACAAAAAGCAGAAACAACTCTCAACCCATTCGAATGCATCAATCGGAAGCCACATCTTGCTCGTCCAGCTCTTTGCATGCCCGAATGCCTTTCGCTCCAGTAACAGTGAAGGTAGGAATTCTGTGTGTACAAAAAATCAATCGTGTGTTTCTTTCCCTTTCGTGAACCACTTCTTCGCAAAAACAAACACATGGCAAATGTCCATGCACGCTGTAACTCTTGTCGAAAATCAAAATCTCTTGTTCGCCCCTTCGGAAAATGTCATGACCTCCTTTTTACTCCTTCAAACGCCTGTCAAAATGCTTTGCAAAGATCCTCGTTGCCGTTAGTTCGGGCCCTTGTAGTGGCTGCTCTTGCATGAGTCAACATATGAGTTTTGTGGCCAGTCGTAACCTGCATCCTCCCAACTTGTAATGTTGGGGTTCTGGTATGCGTTCGAGTGCTTGTTGATATAATCCGTCGTGGGGTAGCCCACGGGATCGCAAGTCATCTCACCGTCGTCATCCTGGTAGATTCTGATGTAGTCAAATCTCATCTTACCAGGCATAAGTTCGGCCAGACCTGTCCAGTTCAATTGAGCGAAACTTGCCGAGAGACCAAAGTTGGCAATGAGCGCCATGGGTTCCTCGGGCATCACTCTCTGTCCAACGTTTCCGTTGGGTCCGACGGCATCGGCAGTCATCTTCCAAGTGGGTTCTGAGCCAACGTACCAAGCAACGTATCCATCTGAACCAGGCTCGTACTCGAAAGCGTACACTTGGTAGGCTTTGCCATCGTACCAGTCGTTGTTGAGAAGGGTAACGGTTGAAAGAGCTTGTTGGTAAACACCACCCTGGTAAGAATTCATCTCGGAAATGGAGGAGTCATAAACTTCGATGAAGTCGGTGTTGGGACGCCAGAAAATATCGAAAGGAGCAGTCTGATAACTCTGCGAAGCTGAACCGACCGCGGCGTCGTAATGAAGGGGATCAAGGTACGACACACTGGCTTCGATAGCATCGATTTCGGCAACGTAACGAGACTTTCCGGGACTAGGATGTTCTTCACCATCACAAGTACAAGCAGGGAGACGCATTCCAGGAAGCCAGTTGAAACCATCAGGAGATGACTGGTTAGCAGTGATACCAGGATCGCAGACGTCCGAGTAGCTGTAGGGCCAAGTGCCATCAGTCGTAGCACGGTATCCAGGTCTTCCAAGGTTACCCATAGCCCAGAAACCAGGCCAGAAACCGATCGTGTCACCTCTACCAGGAAGCGAGATACTGGCCTCAAGGTAACCACCCTTGAAGCAAAGCTTGTTCCACGATTGCAGCATACCAGAGCGGTAGTTGAGGCCGTGGTTCTTGAAAGCGTCGAAGGTGATCTCAAGGACACCGTCTTTGGTAGTGATAGCGTCAGGGTCGTACCNACTGTTGATTGTTAGCTTTTGAGACGAACAGGCATATATGGCAGCACTGACCTCAAGATCCTGTGTGACACCGTACCAGATGTCAACACCTTGGAAGTACGGGTCGTCGCCGTCATAGAAAGTACGGCCATCAGTTTCGAACTCGTCGGAGAACTTGATGGTGATCAGTAAAAGACTTTTGGATATCGAATCGATGTGACATACCACTAGGTTCAAAGTTTTGCCATTGACGCTCTTTCTTGTCATGACCGAACTGGGTGTAGCAGGGTCAATGAGACTGTGGCGTACGTTCTTCAAGAGAGGCACATCATTCCTGATGCACATGGGATCAGAAGTGCACGTGTTGACTTTTGGCTCGTTGTATTTGACAGCGAACGNTACTAGACAGGGCATTAGTTTTGGGTAGGACAAGACGTCGTCGGAGAGCACATACATGATAGGATATCCGATGAAGAGCATGAAGACACCCAAGGTGATTAAGACGAGACCGCCCAAGTTGGTGATACCACGTTTCGAGAACAAGTCGGAACAGGTTATGCGGCCTTCTTTCTCGTTGGGATCCGGGTTATGTAAGTAATCGTCCTTTTCGACATCTTCAGGGAAGAGGAGCAGGCCAGCAGAAGGCAGAATGTTGTATTTCTCCGAGACGGTCTGGGTGTTTACGCCCTCGTCGTCGCTGCCAGCACGTGAAGGGGCGCGCGAATCGTCGAAGGGAGAAGCAAAGGGACCGACGCGGCTATCTCTGCTGCCTGTCGACTCGGAGCCCCAACTTGTGCGACGAGAGTTGTAGCCACTTTGGCTCGGCGACCTCATGGGCGAGTCGTCATCACGGAAGCGCCGTGACGGACGAGAGCGGCTAGGTGGGAGCAGGAGCTCTGCGGATTCAGGAGCGCCAGCATTGTACATGCTGTTGGATGAGGGAGCGGGGCGTAGGGCGGGGCGGCCAGAGGCAGAGCCAGCGGTGCCGGGCCTTGTCAATGAACGTGACGAAGGCTGGCGAGCGGCTTGGTGGTCTTGGTTGTCGGCCATGTTGACGAGGTCGTCGCTGCCTGAGTTCAGCCGAATGTGAGGAGTTGATGGCTGGTAGGCGTCCGGTGGGGATGACATACTGCTGGGGGTGGTAGGTGATCTCGCACGGAGATGGAGATGGAGCAAGACAGAGGGCGGAGAAGTGGGCGGCGTAGTCGTCTAGTGTCTCTGATCGGCCAGCCCTCGGCCTGCGTGGGCAATGATGTGAGGCGAAGACGAGGTCGCCGGGAGTCGTAGGTCTGGAGAGGCGGTGCGGTTGTCGGACAGCGAGATGCGAAATGCAGAGAAAGACGACGGCAGCAACAGCAGCAGCAAAAAGATTGTTGATCGGGAGGTGTCGCGCGCTATGTTGTTTGTGCGCCTGTGCTTGGTGCTGGGGGCTTTCGGTCTCGAAAGGTTAAGGAGCGAGACACGGACCTTCTGGACAAGCCGTGTTAATTAGGGGCTTTGGCAGAAAGAGTGGCAGAGAGACGAGCGGCCGCTGTTGACCACATTCTCAACCACCGCAACTTGCAACCATGGGGCCGATCTCAATTCATCACCACCATCTTCGTATTGCACTACGCGTACGCCATCCACCTTCGCCCAGCCAAGCTTTAGACCTCCAACCTCTAGTTACACCATGCTCTGCATACGCAACACTCGCTGTTCCTACAAGTGCCGCCGGTGTGCATCCTTGAACTCGAAACATCGCCACAACCGCTGTGATGACGACGAAAGCCCGTGGCAAACACAACCTCCGTGAATCCCAGACTCGACTCCCACAACTGCGCCATCCCCCTTCTGTATTGGTTGAATCTCCCTCAACTTGCCCCATCTAACCCGTCTCGCAATAGTGCCCGAGCGTCTCTTCTATTTCAAGGAACCACCCAAGGGCCTTGGTTTTGTTCCAACTTCAACCACCACCATGAAACAAACCAGTCGAGCCTCCCTCTCCATTCTGTCATGCCTCTGTACTGCCCAGCTTTTACTCATAAGAAGAGCCATGACTCTGTAGCCACTCCTCTGATGTCTATTCAAATTTTATCGACGATGCACAAGATTTTTTGAAACTCCCATCATTGCCATGCTGACAGGCACCGCTCGCCGTTGCTACAGTGCTGACAGGCACATGCATGTACACTGTACCGAGCACCACTCGGCATCGCACTTCCCGGCATAAAAGATCCATGTCAAAACACTATGTAAACAAGATCTGACAACCAACCTTTCGGCCATGTCTTGCATCTCATTCATGCTCTTCATGCCAATTCTTATCTCGTCTTGATTATCCTCACCGATCAACGACTGGCGCGTCGGTGGCTTCCCCTCCCCAGCCTCACGAGATTGCTGTAGATTTTCGGCTACGAAGCCGTCTTTCCACCACCGGCCAATTTCTGCATGTAGAAGCGCCGAACACACAAGACCATCTTCACAACCATACCTGTATCTTCATAACACAGGTCTCGATCTGCTGACTGTTGTGCTTTGTGCTATTTCGCATCCCTGCTATGGTTTTTGTAATTTCTAGCTTTGCATTCTAGAAGACGCTAACTCCTCGACCATTGAGCTTGTTTATAGGGGCTGAGTACCCGCCGCGGCTCCTTAAACGTTTCAATTACCTTACTCATGCAAATCTGACTCTAGTGCAAGACCTGACCATTTGACTATCACACCGATCATGTGGGTGTGTTTGCTGCAATCCTTTCAGAACACGTGGGGATTCTTATAACCATGATGTTGCTCAGACACATCACCATCACACCTTGTCTTTGACTGTCAGGCACGTCTCAGGACACCTCTGAGGACCGAGAATTAAGATTACGCTGTTATGTCGTCTAGCTATAGGGGAAGTCGTTGAATTCCACGTTCTGTACTCTTGCTATTGAGTCGATCTGAAGAACTGTGGGAAAATGCGTCTGAGTTCTTCGAGATTGCTTATCTGGTATTTGGAGACCTGTGCCACAGGCGCAGTCACGCCAGGTTCTACCAAGTGGGCGGCAGTCCAACCCAACTTGGTCGCACCGGCAGCATTGATAGCAGAGTCGTCTTAAAGAAGAAAATGTCAGTAGGAATCCATGCTGTCCTCGGAGTACAACGTACCGACAAAGTAACAATCTTCAACAGATGTTACACCAGCCTCAGCCATGGCTTTCTTGAACATGTCTGGTGACGGCTTGCAGAGGAACTTGGCAGCCGAGTAGTCGCAGTAGGTAATGCCTTCGAACATATCCTCGACGCCCAAGAGCTTTACAACTCGTCGACCATGGTTGATATAGGCATTTGTGAAAAGCCAAGGTTTGACTTTCGATGTGTCAAGGTCCTCAAGCAGCTTGCGCAACTTTGGATCAGGTGACATGATGTCTTCAAGTGGCAGTGCATCATCGACCTTCTCGTTGTATTCTAGGGCGTCGACCTTGTGGTGGCGTACAAGACCCTCGATGGCAAGCCCATAGTCTTTGTAGTACCGCGTATGCAGCTCGTTGGCATCCTCTCGTGACAATGACAGATGAGTTTCGAAATATTTGTCNNTGGCGCTTGATGAGTCATCTCGTCAATATTATCATTGATTAATACGCATACCGATCAGATCGCCCATCAATTCATGCACTTTCTTGTCTGCGTCTCGTTAGAGCCGAATGTGAGATCAAGGTGATCGTGACACACTCTTGGAATATAACTGTACCCAAACTGTTAGCAGATGTAAAGATTTGAGGTTTTCTTTGTGATGACCTACGCAATTATCTATGTCGANAAAGAAGACTTTACGGTTGTCCGCCATGTTGCTCTTTACCATTTCTATGCGTCTATGTGTAGAAGAAACGAAACCCCGAGAAGCAAAGAGACCTGACCGACCAAGAAGAGAAGAAGACCGACAAAGAGAAGGCAACATTCGACAAATGAGTCAAAGAAAGAAGCGTCGAGACAACACGTTGACGTCGATGGTATGGAGAATGAAGGGGCTCCCCAGCGTTGTCGGTCACTGCCGCGTTGGTAGATCGAGCCGCGACGCCAAGCCGACTCCCGAGTCTCGGATGGCGATCTGACAATTTCATCACGAGCTTGAACTCAAGTTGTTTTCTTCCCTCTGTCGAACCAACACGCGTGCCATCCATTCACTATCTAGAGGTTGTATAGGCATGACGCTTGCATAGTACCATTGCTACTGGTGACATTGCTGTTCGACGCTCGCAAACAAGAGATAGTCCTCTCGTCATGGCTTCCACGCAGGTGAATGGCTACAGGCCTTCTGCCGCAGAGCAACATGTACAAGCTGCATTTTACGACCAGTGGCTGCAGTTGAAGGAGACTGTTCTAGCAGACAAACACGCGCGATTCAAGCTGCCAGCTGCTGTTAGACAGCGGCTGCGATCTTCTGTCGAGCCATCGTCTACTTCCAACTATGCCTCAGCGTTGCATTTACCTGGCCTTTCTAATGCTCCTAGCAGAGAACAGACAATGCTTAACTTGTCTCAGGGTGCTTCCACTGCTGCTACTCGTCTGGAAAATGCGCAGGCCTTCTCGCAGAATGCATCCATGGCATCAGGGACAGTTGTCTCTAAGAGTGGCATTGATCCAGTTCTGTTGACAAAATCAGAAGACTTGATAAGAGCAGAAACACAGCTGAAGAGACAGCGAATTGAGAGACAACTTAGGGATGCGGCAGAGCAGCGCAAACACATTCCCTTCTTCAAGAACCAGGAAGACATGGCACCTCTTATTGGTCTGACCGAGATTTTTGAGAAAGCGCTTGAAATGGTCGGACCCGTTTCGGGTCTCAAGCCCCCTGCTAATGCTCAAGCTGCAGCGAGTGATTCTTTCGATGAGAATTCGTATTACTCTAGCCAGGCCAACGATTGGTCGTCAGAGGAAGGCTCGCCGAAGAAGAGAGCAGAAGCGACAGGTCTGGCAAGTAGCGCTCCTCTTTCTAAGCAGCATCCTGTCGACGTTGAACATCATGACAAGCAGCACCGCACTTTGCAGACTCTTGGTCAACACGAGTCCGAGACTCTCTACGACGCCGAGAGGGAAGACTCGGAGGAATACTCACCACCGGATGCAAATGCCTTTAGTGGTCCTGATGCTGATGCGATGGACCTGGACNNGACGGTAAGTGACGTATCTATTTGTCTATGTATGCCCTTGCTAAGCAACAACACAGACAGCAGTGAGTTCGTGCCGCAAGAAGCCAATGTCCAATCGCCTCAAGCAACTGTCATCACCAGTCACCTTAGTCGACTCGCTGCCCCTCAGCCTGCTCGAGTCTCACCTCTTGCTCTGGCCAAACCTCCCGGCCTCACCCAACCCCAGACGAGCTACCCTTCAGCGCCAAACAATCAATTGCCCGCCTCGCCTCATGCCTACCAATCCTCCAGCGCCTATCGCCAGCAGTTTGAGTCTGACGATTCGACAACTTCGCCTCGTAACTCGACTCAAACCAGTCCACTTGGCGCTTTCAAGAAACAAAGAGGGAAGGGCAGCAAGAAGAGGAAGCGAGAGGCTGACAAGGAAGCGCGAGAGGCTCGCAAAAACCGCCCAAAGCCCAGCGCACCTTCTCCCGAGCCTTATATCAAGCCTGAGCCTGTGTCACCACCACCTTTCGCTGCACCTGCTGCTTTACAACCATCCCGCACTCGCCCGTACCAGCTACCACCAGATGTCGAGGTAGTTTCAGGTCCGAGATCATACTACCACGAACCACCGCCTCCTCCTCATCCTCCAAGCATGCATTATGGTCTGGATGGTGTCTCTTCTCCTAACGTCATCAGAGTTTCATCTCCTGGTGTTTATGCCAGACCTAGAAGAGACGACCAAGACCTGCGCCGTGTAGCCAGTCTGCATGCTGCGCATCGTCCTGTGTCTCCCACGGCCAGAGTATCGTCTCCCGCAGGCTACCGCACTGTATCCCAACCTTTCCCCGAAAGAGGAGCAAGATACGGTGAGGAAGTCATGAGAAGTCCACAGGTACAGTACATGCGATCGGAAAGGTCTGTGACGCCGCCACACCTCCGGGCTGCTAGAGAGGGTCCAGCCACAATGATGGCACCTCCACCACCACCAGCTAGACGAATCGTCATGGACCAGTACGGCAACAGATATTACGCGAACGAGCCCGAAGCACAACCTAGGATGTCAGTGGCGCCGCAGCTGCGCCCTGAAGGTGAGCTGATGTATGAACGCGCGCCGAGCAGACAGTCTGTTGCATACCCAAGTCAGCCTGCGCACAACGTATACGAGGACGAACATGGAATGAGAATGCCACCACCTCCTCCACCAGTGCGAAGAGTGATGGATCAAGCAGAAAGCGCACCAATTGATTATCGTGCCTACAGACAGCGAGAGTATTCTCGTGCTCCTGAGCCACAATACTATCGCGAGNNGGAGGCTGCTGGGCCTATTTATATCAGGGACGCACCAGGACCCAGGGCGTCGGTGTATCCACCTGAGTCTGCACCAGCTGGAGCTTATGCCCCAAGAGCGTACAGTGTACGTCCGGAGATGGAGCCAGTCCGATACATGTCAAGACAAGCGAGCATGGCACCACAAGGCGACTACATTCGGGGTGCAGAAACAGCAGGTCGTGCAGCTACAATGGCACCTCCGGCCGCGCCAATGAGAGCTGTAAGTGTTGCGCCAGGGTCTGAATATGGACGTCCTGTCGAGATGAGATATAGCTACGGGAGTCAGGGTGCAGGACCGTATGCCGCAGCTGGACCACGCTACGGCGAGGAACCTCGAGAGATATACGTGGATCAATACGGAAGAGAGGTCAGAAGAGTAGGGTATTGAGCAGGATTATAGTGTAGCAGAAGCATGTTAGGATATGGAGTAGACATAGAGAATGCTTTGTTGAAGACAGGTCCCACGATTCAAGCAAGAAATGTGTGTATACATACGAGTTTGTACAGGCTAGGATAAGGAAGGTTTGTGGATCCCCTCTTTCCCTCGTGGTGATTGCACGAGGGTTTTGCGGTTCGCCGAAGCGCACGGATGTTGGTGCTTTGCAGACAAGGGTTGCCTTCAACTGGCTTCGCCGAGTGTCTTCACGATAGTAACAAGAGCTTCAGGTTGGCATCGGGCGATCGTGGTAGGCCGGCACGTGATCATCGTCTCCGCCGAAGTGCAGCACTGTGTACTGGAGATACGCGCTTTGTGTGGAAAAACGACGACGACGACAGCAACACTGATCCGTTGGGGATTGCAATACACAACAAGTCTCTATCGGTTGGCTTGTCTTCTAAGATACTGGCGGGCTCTCTGGGCGCCCGTGTTGATTCGAGTCCTGGACCTCGAGTGTTCCTTGTCCCTGTTTGAGTGCTGCTCCAGCCTCGACGTCGATCTGACCACAAACCCACACGCTCGTTCATCCACGCATCCCGACCCCTCCGATGCACAAGATCTCCAACTTCACCGGCCAAGCACGCCATGGTTGGGACAAGATGACGCCTGCAATGGGTTTTGGCCGTCCGCACCACCAGGACATGTCCATGCCTCCCACCAACATCAAGCGGAACATGGCCACCCAGCACCAGATGCAGCCGAATCCCCAGGTCCCGGGCCATCTTGTCAACCTCTCCTTCAACATACCCTTCGCTTCCAACCTCAGTGGCCCTGACCCGGACTCGGTCATCTACGCCAGTCCTGGAGCTTACGCGCGCTGGACGCATCCTCAGCCGAACAATCCCGACTCTCCGCCGCCGAACCACGAGCTGCCTGTCCACGCCCGCAATGTCGACAACCTACGATCCTTGTGCAAGGTCATTACTGAAGCCAGCAATGCTCAGGTCCAGGCCACCGTCACCTCAGCCAGACCCAAACCTGTGCCCGGCATGCAGCGAGGCCCCCTGAACACTCTCGTCACAAATGTCTGTCTTTCCGGTGACTCGGACCTGGTCTACAAAATGCGAGCAAAGATCTTGAACGAGACTCCCATCACNCTTGGTAGGTCTATTTCCAGGAAGACGTGGTATACAAAGCAATCCGCTGACTCGAGATAGCGCTCTGCTACCGTCGATGTGGACTCGACCCTCATCATGGTCCCCGGCACCGAGGGCGTACGTACAGACATTCTGAGACACATGGACGATATTTCGGACCGTACCAAAGCCGACATCTTCCTGCTCAACCCTCGTCCCTTGGATGTTGACTCGGCCAGCATCCACGGTACCATAGACAGCCTTGTCGAGAACAGGTTGCGTCTCATGATCTTTGGTGACATGGAATGTTGCGAGCATGCAAAGACCAGAATCTTGATCATGATCGACCAAATCGTATGTCAATCTAACCTATTCCCCATGTCTCGTCTTCCTGCTGACCACCCTTGCAGNCTCATGCGACAAGTCGACACGATCAAGCTTGAGCTTTCTCTACATACCCTCATCTGCGGCCGACATCGCCGCAACATCAAGCTCATCGAGTCAGCTACCGGTACTGCCATTTACTTCCCTCCGCTATTTCCTGGAATCTTCGGTTATAGCCCTGCCGGCTCCTATCCACGTGCTAGAGACGAGATTATTATCACAGGCGAGAGCCAAGAGAACATCATGCAAGCCAAAAGACGTCTTCAAGATCTGGTTCTGACAACAAAGACATTCGTCAAAGATGTCGCCATTACAACCAGCAAGGTCGACTACATCTTGCTTGAGCGTCTGGACAAGATTCGCAAGATTGTAGAACAGAATGGCTCCTACGTCCTTCTGCCTCCTCTTGGTAACCACAGCGGTCTCTTGCGTGTACAAGCGACCGACATTCTGAATGTTGAGCGCACCGTGCGCGATATCATGTCCTTGGCTGGTCAGTTTTACAGCGCTTCATGGTGGTTGACTCAACTGGACCCTATGCAAAGGCAGCCGACACCTTCCGATATTCGCGCAATGCTGCCCGACATCTGCATCAACTCAGGCGCCGAGATCAACTTTGAGAAGCTCAACTTCCATATCAATGGAAGCGACGATTCCGTCAAGGCCGCAATGACCATCATCAACTCGCTGCCCTTTGTCAAGAAGGCCAACTCGACTCTGCGGGTCAAGGTTGAGCTTGCTAACGAACACAAAGAGTTTGTGAGCGGAAAGAAGAATGGCAAAATCAACAAGATCATGAGCCAGAGCAATGTCCAGATCGTCTTCGATGGCTTCAACGAGTACAATTTCTACATTGACGTGCGTGGTGCTCAGTACGAAGCTACCAAGAATGGTCTCGATCTGGTTGAGCTGGAAATGCCTGCTTCTATCTCCTTCCACGTCCCGGATCAATACCACAAGCGCATTATCGGTATCGGCGGGCAGCATATCCAACGCATCATGAAGAAGTACTCCGTGTTCGTCAAGTTTTCAAATGCTATGGACAGAGGCGGTATTGGCAAAGATGATGATGATGTCAAGGTCGATAATGTCATCTGTCGAACCCCTGCAAGAAACGCCGACAACCTTGAGCTTGTCAAGCAAGAGATCATGGATATGGTCGAGAAGGTCGATGCTGAGTACGTTTCTGAACAAGTCGTCGTCGACAGACTCTATCACCGTGAGTTGGTTGCTCGCATGCCTGAGATTGAGGAGCTCGAGAAGAAATGGAACTGCAAAATCACCTTTCCTGGAACAGAACAGGCAAGCGACGTCATCACCGTATCTGGACCCGAGTACCAAGTTCCTCAAGCCGTGGACGAGTTTCTGGGCATGGTTCCCGAGAGTCACGATATCTCGTTTCCAAGCACGGTCGAACTTCGCAATTTCCTCATGTCTGCAGAGTTTCACGACGATGTTTTGCAGAAGCTCAAAGATCAATACGTTGTTGAAGTCATTGTCCAGGCACCAAAGCACGAAAGGATTGGTGATGAGGATGTTGAAGTTGAGAACCTCCTTCTCACCTACACACGTAACAATGCTGGCGGGTTGAAGGATGCTATTGACTTCCTGGTCCTCGGTTTGGTTTCCCATGGATTGAGCGCGAGCACTGTGAAGGGTGCTATTCCTCGACCAAAGTCTGACTCTTTCGAAGACTCGATGCCATACTTCGACTCCAAGCTTCTGCAACGCGCGGAACCACCCGTCGTGGCCGAGTCGCCTACACGTACTCACTTTGGCAGTGGAGAAAGTAGTGAAGGTCACCGATCAATTTTCGACAGACTCAGGAAGCCGGGTAGTATGTCGTCCTTCTCGTCTTTCCTCGAGAGACGCAAGAACAGTTCAAACTCTCCCGCGTCTTCATTGTTCAAGCATGCTTCGAACAATGCTTCCAAGGCCTCGCTGCAAAGCATGGAATCGCGAGAATCGGGCTATCGCAATCCTTGGAACGACAATGGCCCTGACGCCGAACCTGATAGCGCCAACAATCAGGCAAATGGCGGATGGGCAACTCTGGCTGCGGCAGGCAGCCGACCAGCCACTTCGTCGGCATCGCTTACTTCGTCGACACCTTACGAAAGCAAATTTCCTTTTGGCGCCGGGCGTAATGGCTCTACGACTTCGCTTAACACCACTTTGATACCCGGGCTAGGCGGCGACGTCGCCTCCAACAATGCCCACTACCATACCAATGCCAACCGGTCAGCCTCGATTTCTGTCGAGGTTGTCAATGCCAACAGCGGTAATGCGTCCGCATCGTCATCCTCATCTACACACGGCCCGGTTGGCTCGCGTCCTTCGAGTTCTGCTGCTACTGCACCTGCTTCTGGATACCCGGCTCCCATAGGGCCTCCGCAATGATTTTGATTTGATTCTACAGACCATGTATGTCTTTTCGTTCCAGGGAGAAGCGATCTCCTTGCCCTGGAGTCTTCTGTTCTCTTCTTGCTTCTTGTTTTCACGCAATGATATCCGACCGCCAAGACGTTCCCTATTTTGCTTTTTTTATCTTTCACGGCATATTGAGAGTACATTGCTACATACATCCAGCTATGTTTCGTCTCCTGTCTCTTCCTCATCCTTGCCGCTCTTCCATTGCTCTGGTTTTTCATTGCACTGTCCTGCTGTTCCAGCCTCTTTCCAAAAGAAAATACCCCTGTTCGAAGACTTAGCCTTGATTTTGATTTATTGTTTACGCCAGCTCTATATACCAACCACTCGGCTCTCTGACAAAAAGTCGCTTTTTTTGTTCTTCTTGTTCCCTCTATATGAATCCCGCTGTGATAATGAAATGTGCAGGTTCCTGGCAGTGATGGTTCTTTACTACATTTAATGCTATCTAATTATGTTGCCACGGGAGAATGTCATTGAAATCGTTTTGACCTAACTAAATCTCACCGCATTTTCCTTATGTGACCAAATCTTACCTAGAGCTGATTTAGCTTCTCCTCGAGTCGGTCTGACGACCGGTTTTAAATGCTCACAGGGCTAGTTGCGTGTGCTCAATGTCGTCCTTGAAGCCGCAACATGTGCAATCGTGTTAGCCTGGGATTATTGTTGGGGGCAGCACCCTGCTCCTTTTCGGGGGTGCATAACATCTTGCGAATAGGGTTCAGCTTGATACCAGACGAGTGCGATGATGAGAAGACGTCTGTGTTTAATCTGTGTTGCGAGGTGAAAGTCAGCATTTGAGAAGCTCTACCTCGGGGTTACGCAAGGGACTTCAATGTCACGGTAACAAGTGATATCGTCTTTAAATGTAAACTCAATGTGTACTACTTAACTATACAGAAGTGATATCTTGCGACCCAGATTCATCCAAACACCATCCCATGCTCGTTTCGTCACGTCATCTCAGGCAGCCGGACTGTCTACCAGTCCATACCACCACTTCTCTCGCCACCAGCAAGGATAGCATTTGCTTTCGCTTTCGTGCCCATGCCGTTCTCCAAGTGGCTGACAAACTTGCCCTTCTGGCCCTTGAGAATCTTCTTGTCCAGCTTCTCGAAAGGCTTCTCCTCATTGTCTTTCTTGACAATGAAGTTACTAGTTCCGAGAACCGAGTCGAGCTCCTCGACGGGCGGTAGCTTGACGTAGACATTTCCGTCCTCACGAGCCTCAACGGGGAAGGTGGCAATGTTGACGCTCTCGTCGTTGCCGCACTTGCCAGCGTCGTCACCCTTGAGCTCGTAGTTGCGCTTGTGGTAAGGACAGCTGATCCATAGTTTGTTCGTCTTCATGTCATCACCAATGAGACCGTCACTGAGCACGAATGCACGCTTGTGAGGACACATCTGCTGTGTGGCGTAGTATTGGCCCTTGACCTTGAAGATGGCCAATTGAGTGTCGCCACGCTTGACAGCCAATGAGCTACCAGTCGCAGTATCCTCGAACTGGTCTGAGCGTGCGAGAGGTTGCCACGACAAATCGGTCCACTTCGTACCACGGAAATCAGTAGTGATGGAGTCTTTGGGCCAGTACGTCGGTCGCTGTTGGTCGCGCTCCTTGACTTCCTCGACAGTCTGCACTGCCTCATCAGTGTTGGCAAACTGGGTGAAGTGCTTCATACGTTCAGGATTCTTGAGCACTTCGGTCCACTCGCAGAAGAACGAGCCTACGAGCTGCTCCATCTGCTGTTCAAGGTCCGCAGCGATACCTAGCTTGTCTTCGAGGATGACTTCCTGCAAGTACTTGATACCTCCAGGGAGGTTCTCGATCCAACGAGCTGTTCTCTGCAGTTTGTCGGCGGTTCGAATGTAGAACGAAAGGTAGCGATCAAGGATAGGAATAACATCGTCCGGAGGAACGTCCTTGGCCAAAAGCTCGCTGTGTCTAGGCTTAGCACCACCGTTGCCACCGACGAAGATGTTGAAGCCTTTCTCGGTAGCGATGAGACCAAAGTCCTTGTTCTGTGCCTCAGCACATTCGCGAACACAACCACTAACACCACCCTTGATCTTGTGAGGTCCACGGATGGACTTGTAGCGCTCCTCAAGGCGGACAGCCATGCCGACGGAGTCACCAATACCAAAGCGACACCATGTAGTTCCGACACAAGACTTGACAGTGCGCAGCGACTTGGCGTAGGCGTGTCCCGACTCCATGCCACCATCGATGAGCTCTTGCCAGATCGCTGGAAGATCCTGCTTGCGAGCACCAAACATGTCGATGCGTTGACCACCAGTGATCTTACAGTACAAGTTGTACTTCTTGGCGACGGTACCAATGATGATGAGCTTGTCAGCAGTGATCTCACCTCCTGACACACGAGGAATGACAGAGAATGTGCCGTTGCGCTGGATGTTGGCCAAGAAGCGGTCATTGGTGTCTTGAAGACCACGATTATCCTTCTCGAGAATGTGCCTGTTAAAGAGAGAAGCAGTGATGGATCCGATGGTTGGCTTGCAAGCTTCGCAACCCAAAGACTCGGGATCTTTTCCACACTGCTTCATAATCTCTTCAAAGGTCTTGAGCTGTTTGACGTAGATAATGTTGAAGAGATCAGCACGCGAGTAGTCGAAGTGTGGGCAAAGGTGGTTCTTGACTTCGTTGCCCATAGCAGCCATGGTCTTGTTGAAGATGGTCTGAACTAGAGGCATACAGCCACCGCACCCAGAACCAGCCTTGGTGCATGCTTTGACATCACCAATCGACTTGCAGGTTCCATCTTTGACTGCCCTGGTGACATCTCCCTTCAGCACGTTGTGGCACGAGCAGATCTGAGTGTCATCGGCAAGGTCATCAGCATCGTCATCACCCTTGCTTGCACCAATGATGAACTCGCTGGGAGGAACCTCAAGGGGCTTCTGGTTCTTGACCATAGGGACCAGCTTGACATAGTCCTTTGTGTCTCCAATCATCATACCTCCGAGCAGGTACTTGCCGTCTGTTGTGAAAAGGTATTTCTTGTAGACTTGGTTGAATGGATCTTTGTATGTGAGAGCTTTGACAGGAGGCGGTGCAGGGCCGTCAGTGAGTTTTTTGACTTGGTCTTTCTGGTCGGTGGCACCTTCCTTCTTTCCAGCACCACGTCTGGCAGGNNGGAGCATTTGTGGGCCATCTCGGTCCGCGAAGAAGTCACCAAAACTGGCAACTTCGACTCCTAGCAACTTCAGCTTGGTGCTGAGGTCTGGTCGCTTGAATTGTCGAGGCGCATGAGCCTTGGCTTGCGTGAGGTTGAAGGCAAGGACGTCGGCCATCTCAACACCAGGCGCAATCAAACCGAATGTCTGGTTTTCCCAGCTGGCACATTCTCCGATGGCGTAGATATCCGGTGCTGAGGTCGAAAGATCGTTCTTGATAACAATGCCGCCACCTCTGTCTGCGCATTTAATGCCAGCTGCCCGAGCAAGCTCGTCGCGAGCCTTGATGCCGATGGCAAAGCAGATACAGGTGCAGTCCATTTGCTCACCGTCCTCGAAAGTCACGCCAGTGACACTGTTGTCATCATCGACGTTGATCTTGCCGACTCTTTTGCTGAGAAGTACATCCAAGCCCAAAGCTCGGACTTGCTCGACAACCATACCACCGGCGTCACCATCAAGCTGCCTGCTAAGGACCCAGCGGTTTCTCTCGATGAGCTTAACTTTGCTAAACTCCTCGAGGTCCATCATGGCCTTTGCGGCTTCGAGACCGAGTAGACCACCACCAACTACAGCGCCGACGGATCCATTCTTCGTGGCCGAGTATGTAATGAGCTTTTCCAAATCCTCAATAGTGCGGTATACGAATACACCTTTGGCATCGTGTCCAGGAGTGTGGCGAGGTAGCACTGCATCGGAGCCAGTCGCGAGGACTAGAATGTCGTACGGAACTGTCGTGCCTTGTGATGTTTCCACTTTCTTCTCTTCGGGGTTGATCGATGTGACTTTGGTGTTGAGGTGGTAGTTCAATGAGCCCTCGGGCATTGATGAGTACCACTCTTTCGGATTAAGATACAGGTTCTCGACTTGTCGGTGTTGGAAGAAGCTGGTCAAGCCAACTCTGTTGTACGCAAGATGTGATTCTTCTCCAATGACGATGATGTCGTACTCTCGTCGTTTTACGTCGAACTTCATGAGCTTTTCNNTCTGCAAGCAAATTGTCAGTTCCATGCTCTGACCTCAACAATTCAGCACTTACATGAACGCAACACCGACCATGCCCAATCCAACTACCACAATTCGTTTTCTCTTAGTATCTTTTGGCAGCTCGCCTTTCATCTCCATCTTCTCAATCTTCTCAGGGAGGACATTTGCCTCAGCATCGTTCCACTCGCTGTTACTCATGTTGATAGATGGTAAGGCGAAATGAACGAAGAAGGAGAGAAGATTATCAGTGTAGGCACAGCAGATGCTGGCGTAGAATAAGTTGCGGCAAAAACAAGATATCACAAGATCAAAGAAGTTAGAGATAGAGGGAAGAAAGGGTGTTTATGGACTTGCCTTGCCATAGCGAGCTATCTATCAGCATGATACTTGACCTTTCAACCGACTGAGGCGCATGCAAGCCCAGCAAATGCCATGGCATAAACGCCTGCCGCGGCCGGAGAAGCAATACCATGGTCAGCGTCTGTGGGACATGGCCATACACACAGCTCCGGATTACCAAACAGAATGCAACTGCACAGCGACATCAGCTTTCTTTCTCCTCGGGAAGATCGTCGAGGGCGCAACCGGGTGCGTGAACGCGGAGCCGCACTAAAGTGGACCAGCATTGATAAGGACGAGGCACACGATAATGGATTTTGCTCGGCAACAAGCAAAGAACCCTGACAAGATTTCGTGCAGCCAATCACGGCAGGCCGATTAACCAAGTAGTTCCTAAGCGCAGAGTCTTTTTCGACTTCACCTGCTCAACCATATACCGCTGATAAGCTGATGGCGGACCATTGGTCCTCTAAATATCCCCTCAGGCCTCATCTGTAGAGGCGGGAGAAGCAAATGCCCGTACTGGACGAGACAAGAGACTCTCATCTCAAAAAACGGGTGCATCGGACTGAGTAACATGTTGGCTCTCGCTCCTGACGCTATTCCAGAATGAGACGACCTTATCTCTGCTCGTTCTCAACCACTCCACGTCCCACAAACATGCTGACAGCGGTATCTCGCCTGATCCGTGTCGCAGCCATGTCCTAATTCCGCGGTGACTTGTCTATCGTAATCTAATGAGGCTCCTATTCTGCTTCTCCGCCCACAAGCATGTCTAGACATGCCGGTATGACGAATGTGAAGCCTCTGGCTGATTTTCGCGTTTAAAATGTAGGCAATCTTGTTGTCAGCCTTTCTCCGGGGCTCCAGGTTTATTCTGTTCTCGTAAATCGGTCCTTATTGCAACCAGAGCCAAAACAGATTTCGAGCCATACCTACAGCACTTTTGTTCCTTTCTGTCTCTTTTGACTCTCCAGCTTTTTTTACAGCGTGAAAATCTTGCAAAATCAGTTCCTCACAATGGCCACTATTCAACCGACTGAAGAGGAACGTGTGCACCTGCGACGAGTATCTGCAGACTTCCCTCCTACACCACCAGACTCGGATTTAAGCGATACAGAAAAGTCGACGAGCAAACCAGCATCTACAAATTTCCCTCTTCCTCCGCCATCACATCCGCCAACTGAGATCAACCCATTAGATCACAAGACCCCTGACGGATGGCTACCACGAGACTCGAGACTGATCAGATTGACTGGAGCACACCCGTTCAACTGTGAAGCTCCTCTTACAGATCTATATAACGAAGGATGGTTGACAAGTCCGGAACTGTTCTACGTAAGAAACCATGGTCCTGTGCCTCAGGTCAATGATGAAGACATCCCAGACTGGGAGTTTACGATAGAAGGGTAAGGCCTATGTCTCATGAACCAGGAGGGACCACACTAAAGAGTGCTAGANCTCGTCGAAAAACCACTCACGATAAAGCTCAAAGACCTCGTTCGAGAATATGACCAGATTATATGTCCTGTGACCCTTGTCTGTGCTGGCAACAGACGAAAGGAACAGAACGTTGTCCGCAAGACTAAGGGTTTCTCATGGGGCGCCGCTGGTGTCTCGAATGCTTTGTGGACTGGTGTCATGATGCATGAGATTTTGAAGAAGGCTGGGCTGAAGAGAGGAGCAAGATACGTGTGTATGGAAGGTGCCGACAAACTGGTAAGCTCGAACACTGATGTTCAACGATTACATGTACTGATCAAAGCANNGCCCAATGGGTACTACGGTACATCGGTCAAGCTCAACTGGGCAATGGATCCTAATAGAGGCATGATGCTGGCCTATAAGATGAACGGCGAGATGCTAACACCCGACCACGGCAAGCCGCTGCGAGCCATCATTCCTGGTCAAATCGGAGGTCGCAGTGTTAAGTGGCTGAAGAAGCTCATCATCACCGATAAGCCAAGTGATAACTGGTACCATATCTACGACAACCGAGTCCTGCCAACAACCGTCTCGCCAGAGGAATCTGCAAACAACAAGGACTGGTGGATGGATGAGAGATATGCCATCTACGACTTGTCGACCAACTCGGCAATGGCACATCCGGTCCACGAAGAGCAGTTATGTGTAGTCGGTGCCCCACAGAACTATCGTGTCAAGGGATACGCTTACGGTGGTGGTGGTCGCCGTGTAACTCGTGTCGAAGTCACTTTGGATAAAGGCAAGAGCTGGCGTCTTGCAAATGTCGACTATGCTGAAGACAGATACCGAGAAGCAGGCCCTGTCGACCTTTACGGTGGCAGATTAGACATGGAATGGAGAGAAAGCTGTTTCTCCTGGGCATTCTGGAACATCGACATCCCGGTCGATGATTTGAAAGACGCAAAAGACATCATGTGTCGAGCCATGGACGAAAGCATGAATGTCCAGCCTCGTGACATGTACTGGAGTGTTCTGGGTATGATGAACAACCCTTGGTACCGAATCGCCATCCACCGAGAGAACGACTATCTGCGTTTCGAGCACCCCACGCAACCCGCGTTGATGCCTGGCGGCTGGATGGAACGCGTGAAGAAGCTCGGGGGCAATCTTGCCAACGGGTACTGGGGCGAACAGCTCGGAAGCTCAGAAGCACCAGAACCTGTTACGGAAGCAGCGCAAGATGTCAAGATGACCAAGGACGGAGTGAACAAGAAAATCACTATCGACGATCTTCGCAAGCATGACACGGAACAAGCCCCATGGTTCGTCGTAAATGGAGAAGTCTACGACGGTACAGCATTCTTGGAAGGTCATCCCGGAGGTGCTCAAAGCATTGTTTCAGCAGCTGGACTGGACAGTACTGATGAGTTTATGGCTATTCACAGCGAGACTGCTAAAGCCATGATGCCAACATATCACATTGGCACGCTAGATGAAGAGGGCAAGAGAGCATTGAGTGGCGAGGAAGCACAGCCTGACGAGAATGCGACACCTTCGGAAACTTTCTTGAACCCACGCACATGGAAGAAAGCCATCTTGCAATCAAAAACTACGGTGTCTTGGGACAGCCGTATCTTCAGATTCAAGCTCGAAACTGAGGATCAGGAACTTGGTCTTCCTACTGGCCAGCACATCATGATGCGTCTACGAGATCCAGTGACACGTGAGGCCATCATCCGGTCTTACACACCCATATCAGAGACGGCCGAGAAGGGCTTCGTTGACATCCTGATCAAGGTGTACTTCAAGAATGACGCACAAGAGGGAGGTAAGATGTCAACAGCTCTCGACTCTTTACCTATCGGTCACTTCGTCGACTTCAAAGGACCAATTGGCAAGTTCCAATATCTGAGCCAAGGTCTCTGTGCAATCAATGGCGTTGAGCGCCGTATCTCGCAATTTGTCATGATTTGTGGTGGATCAGGTGTCACACCGATCTATCAAGTATTCCGTGCAGTAATGCAGGATGCTGGTGACAATACTAAGTGCACGTTGCTGGATGGCAACCGCCTCGTCGAAGACATTCTGTGCAAGGGCGAGCTGGACAGCTATGCCAAGGACAACGAACACAAAGCAAAGCTTCTATACACCCTCACTCAAGCGCCAGACCACTGGGATGGTCTGAGAGGACGTATCGCTGCACCGCTGCTTGCTGAACATGCCAGTAAAGAAGCACTTAAGCTTGAGCCGACTGAACAAGCTTTGGTTCTGATCTGTGGGCCTGAAGCCCTCGAGAAAAGTTGCCATGCTGCGTTACTGAACCAAGGCTGGCGTGATGATGAGATGCTCTTCTTCTGATTGACGAAACGAGTTGTTTATTATAATGTGTCCACGTTTGTAAGGGAGTATTGGAAGGAATTAAATCGGGTCAAGGAGTAAAAGGCACTACCAAGGATTGTTTGATACGGCTCTAGCAATTGAATAGAGATCTAAAATCTGAACGTCTATCATTTGTCCGAAAGTGTGCCTGATCTGAGCGTTCAGAAAGTGTCGTCGTCATCCCATTTCCGCCTGACTAGACTGGGGCTGATCTCGGGGACACTATCACCCTCGATAGATTCAGTACGGTCGGCACCAGCGGTGGCCAAGAGATCATCGACAATGATCCTGCTGGCCTCTCGAGCTGGAGTCTGCATAAGACGAGACTGGGGGATATGAAACTGCATAGTCTTAGGAGGACTGATACTAAAGTCATCGTCGCTATCAGATTCTTGGTCCCAGAGGGTACGTGTGGTTCTGTCCTTGGTGTCGGTGAACAGGGCGCGGCCGGTGCTCGTCATGAGATCACGTCCAGGGGTCTGAACGGAGATGCCAGGGGTGTGTGGGGTATGGAGAGTCTTTCTCGGAGACTTTTGAGGAGAAAACAGGTCAGAGCGGAGTTGAGGGGCAGCCATCTCAGGACTGCTCATAGGACTGCTGTCAGCAAACAGGTTGCGAGTACGTGTTTGTGTCTGATTCTGTTGAGCGGTTGCAGGAGTGTCGGTAGTTACGGGACGCATCTGTTTACGGGCAGTGTGGGGTGTGGCTTGGATGCGGAAGTTGCGGTCCATGATACGGTGCATGAGAGGATCGGGGTTCTGTTGACGCTGGGCGGTTGAGGGTTGATAGGCTGACGGAGGCTCGAATGGAGACGACGACTGGAAGGTCAATGTGTCGCGCACGGGTGTGCTGATCTGATCTGACGACGGCTTGTCGGGCGAGGGAGAAGCGAAGTGTTTCTGTTTGGTCTTGATCTGTGGTGTGGTGTGGACACCGGTCGTGTTGGAGGGGGAATCGATGATGGACGTCTCATCGTCGTGATGGTGAGGGTAGTCGTGGGCGGTAGGTGTCATGGTCCTCTCGGCAAGGTCGTCGGCAGAGGGTTCGTCGTAGGATTCTTCTTGAGCGGTCGTGTCATTGTGGCTCAGGTCGTCTTCTAGGGCGCCCTCCTGGTAACCGGACAGGGAGACATTGGCGGATGCCTCGAAGAACTGCTTCCAGAAACGGGAGCCCTCCCAGACATCGCGAGAGTGTTGAGCGTATTGGTCGACAACGGGTAGGATGCTCGATGTCACGATGCGATGCGCCTTGCTGAAGTTGTGGTCGATTTNCTGTTTGTTGCGTCAGCACTGCTCTGTTTTGTCGCACCGCAAAATCGACGTGCCTTGTAATGTCAGAGTAATGGATTGTTCCAGTCTTTCGAGCTCCTCAGTCAGGCTCAAGTTACGGCTACTCGCCGGTGCCCCGATGCGTGACATTTTTTTTTGGTCGTCAGGCGCAAGCATGAAGTCAGGAAGATCAACAAAGCCCAAGTTGCTGGTTTGGCCCACCCGGGCTCGCTTTACCTTCTCCTTTCCAGACCCTCATGCCCCTGCTCCTTAGTCAACCACACAGGTATTCCTTACCCCGCATGTGAACCCTCCTGTCTCTCATCTCTCTCATCTTTCGGACAATCAACACCACGAGCTCTGAAGGACCCGTCATCGGCTGATCGTCTTCTTGCCGCAACTCCGCAGCTCCCCCTCGTCTGTATCGACCAAGCTGCGGGGCTTGCATCCTCAAATCCTCCAACTCACCAGTCCAGTATCCCGAAGAGGAACAGTTCCGTCTCATGGGCCCTGCCAATCCTCAATTACCTCCACGAGAGGGGTTTCTCAGCTATCATCTATCCATCTCTCCGTAGTCTCGTCTCTGCAAAAACTTTCCTGCTTTTGCTCTCATCTTTCTGTGCTCCTACCCTCGGATCTTGATCTGCTTTTGGGTTGTACTTGGAAACACTTCCATATCATCCTGTCTGCACTTATCCATCATGGCTGCAAGACTCAGCGCCAGAGCTGTTGGGCAGGCCACGACCTCAGCCCGAACTACCTTCAATCTGTCGCAAGCCAGGACCTTTGCCAGTGGTCTGCATCGAGAGGACAAGAGGACGGCCATTGTCACTGGTGCGAGTCGTGGAATGTAATCAATCTTCAGTCTGATCAACCGATTGTTCGATGCTGATGTTGTTGGTAGCGGCAAGGCAATCGCTCTTCGTCTAGCCCAAGACGGCTACGATCTATGCATCAACGATGTCGAAGCCAACAAGCAGGGCATTGACGACGTCGTCAATCAAGTCAAAGCAGCAGGCGTCAATGCTGTAGGTGCCGTCGGCGACGTCTCGGTTCTCTCCCAGGTTGAGTCTGTTATACAAACCAGCGTCAAAGAACTGGGACCTCTGAACACAATGTAAGTTGACTGGCCATCACTCCTCCCTTCCATCCTACACCTCCCAGCGGCGAAGCACGAAAGAGGAAGGATTCTTTGAAGTGTACACAAGCCTTGATCAGTCGTATGACTTTGCCAAATGCATCTGTCATCGCAGGGCCTTTAAGACCTCTCAGTTCTCTATGGTTCCTCGCTCACCAAGCCAATTCGGACTGGACTGGCAACACAATCGAAGGATTCATGACAAATGCCAATGAACAAAAGAAAGGCTCTTCAGAACAAGGCTCGGGCTGGTCTGTACAAGTTGCTTGAGATGCAGTGCAGCATTGGCCAGGCCACGTTCACAGCCTGCTTCATATTGACCCCAGACCCGCAATTTCGCATCCAACAGCCACAGAGAGCACAGCTCTCACATCTTCCGTGGCGCAATTGGCTAGCGCGTTCGACTGTTAAGATCTTTGTTGATCTGGCTATCGAGAGGTTGACAGTTCAAGCCTGTCCGGGAGAGCTCTGTTTTTGCTCGTTGTCATTGTTGCACATTCTTCGATTGGGTGGTTGAAACCTTTGAATTTCAGTCTGCCGGGCTTCGCTTCTAAGTTTTATGCAGCGTCGCATGCACAAATGCTTGCACAACGCTCACATCCTTCTTTTGGCTCTTGTTGCTCGCACAAATGTCTTCATATACTCACAGATGGTATAACCGGTCACTAACATCATGGTTGCAGGATTGCGAATGCTGGAATCGCCCAAGTCAAGCCTTTGCTGGACCTGACGACCGAGGATTTCGAGCGCATGTTCAGAATCAACGTCTTCGGTGTACAGAATTGTTACAGCGCTGCAGCACGGCAGATTATCTCGCAGGGCAATGCTACTACTGAGGCACCCTGCAAGATGCTGGCTGCAGCCTCGATTGTCGCTTTCAAACCCTTCGCTCTCCTCTCACACTATTCGGCGTCCAAGTGGGCCGTCAGAGGACTCACACAAGCTTATGCGATGGAGATGGCCGAACATCATATCACCGTGAACTCTTATGCACCAGGCATCGTGGGTACGGCCATGTGGGACCTCATCGACGAGGAGCTAGGCAAGAAGCGCGGCAATGATCTGGGACAGGTTATCAAAAAGGAGAAACGATCAAGAAGTATACTGATGAGTTGATCGCACTCCAGCGGGTATCCGTTCCGGAAGACGTGGCAAAGCTAGTGTCCTTCCTTGCTGGTCCAGACAGCGATTATATCACAGGACAGTGCCAGGTCGTGGATGGCGGTATCATCTTCACATAGATTACGCGACTATGTTGTGTATATGTAGATGGTCATGTACATGTATTTGCAAGTCTGAGTGCCAGCCATGTGTTTGGAACGAGAGTAAAAAGCTTGGCCAAGACGATAAGGCCGATAAGGTCAAAAGCCGGCGACCAAAAGTTGCGTCAGGTTTAACAATATTCTTTGAGATGCTGTTCGTTTCGTCAAGCAGCAAATGGATCAGACTGCAGAGACCACATAGGCATTTCAGTTATAAAAACAGCCAACAGGCAAGATTCGGCAAGGATTGAGAGGCTGGCCGAGTGGGCGCAGGGCGGCTAAAGCAGAGGGAGAATCCTAAGGACAAGGTTCAGCTTGTCGGCGTGCGTTGTTTATCGAAGCGGGGAGACAACAACAGCGACGCCCGACAAGCGTCCATGTTTGGCCAGAGACTTTCGACTTGTTTCCTCATTCCTTTTGCGCCAACTGACCTCGACTCTCGAACTTCGCCCCTCTAGCGACTTTGGCCTTGCCCCGCCATGGACCAGCAGGCCCAGACTCTATTGACGACGCTCAAACGCTCATCTGCTGCCTCGGACGCGAAGCTCACCCAGCTGAACAATCTCAAGTCTGACATCAAGCACCACCGAGTCCCCGACAATGCACAGCCCATTATCTTTGAGTGTCTCCGAGTCGCCTTGACTCAACAAGCCTCGAGTACCCTCGCCACTGCTGCATTCACCACGCTGGGTCATCTTCTTAAGCGTCTGAAGATCCAGGACCCTGATGGCTCTGCCATTGTCCAACACGCCCCCAAACTCTTCGCCGCTCTACAAGAAAGACTAGGCGACCTTCGCGAGAACCACCGTAATGCTGCATCGCAAGCTTTCGCCGACGCCTGGCACTTTTGCGCCCACGACGTCGAGCACATCATTCGTGACGAAGTCATCCCCGGCGCAAACGTGCGAGCAAAGGATACAGCCATGCACTGGGTTGTGCGCATGAACCGCGACGAAGCCTTGCCTTTCAAGAGTTTTGTGCCTTTGATGGTCGCGAACCTGGAGGATCATGACGGCGCAGTTCGCGATTCGGCAAAGAGTGCTCTGGTTGACCTTTTCCGGTACGTCGCTTCTGCTCGCAACACTCTCACTTGACTGACACTCGGTTTGTAGAAANNTGCCCCAGACCGCGCAAAGGCCGACCTCAAGAAACAATTGAACCTGCATGGTGTTCGCACAGGCATCGCATCTCAGATTCTCACACAAATCGATTCAGACAAAGCATCCGCGCCCGCAATAGACATGTCGCAGTCCACTCGTTCCCTCCCCGTTCTCGATCCCCATCTCGCCGAGAGCATCAACAGCGAGGCCGCTCGCCCGCCCCCACCTGAGGAGATTCCAATGGACCCCATCTTCGTTCATTCGCAGAGAGAGCTTGAGGATACTTTCAGTGATATGCTTCCTTATTTCGAAGGCAGGGAGAGTGAAGAGAACTGGGGAAACCGCGACAAGAGCGTTACCAAGATGAGGCGGCTCTTGAAGGGAAACGCACCCACCGACTACCACACTCTCTTCATGTCCTCAATGAAGCATATGCAGGCCGGGATCATCAAGGTCGCCAGCTCTTTGAGAACAACGACTTCGACCAACGGCTGTAATCTGGTCCAAGAACTGGCCAGAACCCTGGGTCCAGCACTCGATCCAATGGTCGAAATTTACCTGCAGACATTTGTCAAGATGTGTGCAGCTACCAAAAACATTGCTGCTCAGAATGGCAATCAGACGGTTGATACCATCTACCAATACGTTTCGTACAACATCCGCACCATGCAACATGTCTGGATCGCCTGTCAGGACAAGAATGTTCAACCGAGAACTTTTGCCTCGGGCTGGCTTCGTACCATCCTCAGCAGACAAGCTGGTGCAAAGTCTCACTTCGAGAGTACTGGAGGCCTTGAGCTCGCCGAGAAGTGTGTGAAACATGGGCTCAACGATTCGCAGCCCAAGGTCAAGGAGGCCATGAGAGCTACTTACTGGGCCCTCGCCAAGGTTTGGCCTAACAGAGCCGAGCTTATCATGAACACTCTCGATCCAAAGGCAAGGATCGCTCTCGAGAAACACTCGCTCAATCCAAACGCGTCTACTTCCAGTGCTTCGACTCTTCGTACCTCTACCGCGAGCAGGGCGGGTGCAGCGTCAAAATCTTCTGTCAGAGATGCCATCATGGCGGCACGCAAGAAGGCTCAGGCCGAAAGTCGTCCAAACTCTGCCATGGCCAGTGTCTCACCTGCCACTGTGAGATCGAAATCATCGAACAACCTTTCTGCCCGTCAACCATCCGCTGTACCGCCTGCTTCTGCTCGTGTTCCCTCGGCCGCCTCTACTTCTTCGTCCACTTCAACCAGTGCAAGACCCAACGCTTTAATGTCTGGAGCTGCAAGACGGCCTGTCAGACGTCCTGAGATCGCTCGTCCAGCCACAGCAGATCCCTATGCAAGCCGCAGACTGGCTAGGCCAGAGACACCCTCTATCAAGAGTCCTGTCACCAGCCCCCGACAAGAAGTTGCATCTACCTCTGTCGGCACATCCGCAAGCAAAAACCGCACAGACAGGGGCAGTCCAGCGTTAAGTCCGTTCCGTCAGTCCTACTTATCTCCAAGATCGGCCGCGAACAGGACGCGACCCTCGAGTAGAGATAGCAAGGCGGAAGAGCCAATCGCGCCAAAAGAAGATGAATTCGCTTCCTTTGTACCAACATCGTACAGGAGTCATCTCCCGACCTCCCCAAATTCAACCAAGAGCCATCTGCCTACGTCTCCACAGTCGACACTACGCAGGCCAGCATTAAATGGCTCAGCATCTGTGGACAGTGTGATCCCTGTGGTCGCTGACGACACCTTTACTATGGAGTTGCCAACCGTACACAGATCACAAGTGCCCGTCTTCGAGCGTCGTGCTTCACACCTGTCGACCGTCGAGCCTACGACGGATGTCCAACCATCAGAGCCACAACAATACACACGACGCGCGTCAGATCGAAACGATTCACCCGTTACAATCAGTCACCAGCCCAGTCCTCAGCGTGAAGTCAGTCCTGCAAAATCTACTGGTGCTGCAGCATCCCCTCTACCCTCTCTAGCACCAGCTGCTCAGATCGAGTCAGCCGCACCTCAGACTGAAGAAGCCGCTTTCCAAATTCATGAAGATCCTTTCATGGAGGGCATAGAAGCTTCAGAAGCCCAAAAGATGCAACAGTCACAAGATGCTCGCAGCGTATTAGGTGAGGTTCCTGTCAATGAGTTTAGCCAAGTTTCGATCGCCGAAAGCTCCAATCACGAGGAGATGCCTAGAACAGAAGACTCACCGCCACAGAGCCCGCAAACCAAGTCCGAGACTTTGCGCTCTAGGAAGCTTCTCATGTCGGGTATCGAACGCATCCGAGGACGTACTCTTGATGCGCATGGCTTCAGAAAGGTGCTTGAGCTGATAAAATCATCAGAGTCTGGCGAAATATTTGGCTCAGTTGGTGAGGGCAGACGTTTTGATGACTTGTGCAGTGTTCTCCTCGATTACATTGTCGAGTCCTCGGATGCTGCAGCAAACCCTGCTGTGCGACATTCGCAAGAGCTCCGAAGACAGGCTACTAGTGTGATGAGAACAGTGCTTAGTGCGCAGCAACCACCTTATAGGAAGTGGATCGCTTCTGGACGGTGGTACTCTCGTGCTCTTACTGGAGCGCTCGACGCACGCAAGAATGTCGAAGGTTCAGGACTGTTAGTCAAAGATCTCGAAGCACTAGCCAGCGATGTTATAGCCAGAATCAACCCCGACGAGGGCGAGAGGGCGATAATCGAGTGGCTCGAGCTTCGTGTATCGGAAGCAGATTACGATACGCAGGAGCAAGAGCTGGATGGTGCCGTTGCGGCGATCCAAACCAGACATGGCGACGAGAGCATGGTGCGCAAGAACAAGGCAATGGCACTCGCGCTTCGCAACCTGGCTGCTCTGATTGCATCGACTACAGTAACTGCCTCTCCATTGTCGAAAGACTTGGGCGAACGTGCCGGTCGTCTTGCTGTCATCTCCCTACGCTCCAAGGATGCAGAGGTGCGCAAGTCATCCGTCGAGTTGGCAACACAATTGCACATGAGCTGGCCATCAGATGCCGAAGCTCAAGGCGATTCAAAGAATGAATTCTGGAGTATGTTGGACAAGAACGGTCTGCAGGAAAGCGCGCGCAACTTGATCGTCTACTTCATCGCCCGCAGAGAGAGGGAGCAGTTAAGCGGCGACAAGTGTCGGTATAGTAGGATACCTTTCATTTTCTCTTTCTTTTACTCTCATGATTCTGGGCACAAGGAACGACACAGCATGATATCACAAAAGCGGGAAGGGGAAAGAGGTGGCGCTTGAGGGGTCGTTTAGTCTTTAATGTTTTTACATGAGCGAATTGCAAAGAACCCTTTCTTCTTTATCTTGCTGCAAGTGTAATATCCACCGTTCTCGTACTTCTCGATAATCCTCTTCCGAGAAGGGAAGGAGCGAGCCATCCTCTTTAGCTGAATATGGCTAGCGGATGTGCTCCTGCCCATCTGGTTCTCTGGTTTCTGCAATTTGACAAGCATCTCAGGTTGAGGATCAAGCAGGGTAGCAGAGTGGAAGTGGAACATGGGGTAAGCTCGAAAAAGTCTCAATTGATAAGAAACAAACTAAAAGCACTATCATTACGCAGTCATATTTTCCTTCGACTTTAGTCGATCCCGAACTCCATTCTCTTGAAAGGCTGCCACAGCACCTTCATACACAAATCATGTCCTGATTCTCATCCTGATCTTTCTAGCGGTGTAGCAGAGCCATGTTTCTGGTCTATCCAAAGCTCAGAGCAAGCCCTTGCAAAACAGAGGCATCAGCTACCTCATGGCAGCATGTGTAGCCAACACCTGCATACTCATGCGGTCTTGTTGCCTGATCTTTGCTTTTCGCCTGGCGATAGAGTATCTTTGGTCTTTGGTGTGCTTGTTGGTTCCGAGCTTGATTCGCTGCTGATAGTGGAGTATGTCGAGACGGGTTTGCCCTTTGCAGTAGCTTGGTCCAGGATGATGTGGATGAGGTCGTGTTGATTGAAGATGTGTCTGAAGAGCTAGAGTTGCTCGTGAGACGGGAGAAGGGGTTGGATGGCATCTTTGTTGGATGTGATAGATGGTGTATGGTTTTGGTATGGGGTTTTTGATGTTCTTGTTGACTTGAGAAGATCCCCAAAGTAGTTGATGTTATTCGATTTGTTCTCGAGGACGATTGTAATGACTACTCGAGATGGAGTGGAGTAGAGAAGAAGTAGGTGGTCCGGATATAGGCAACAGTGTTCTTTGAAGGTACAACCAAATGGTACGAGGATAGATTGGATCGAATATAGCAGGCAACAACACGAACATACCTTGGAACTATATATGCTTCTCGGCATCAAAAACTGTGATGACTCTCATTGTACTCACTTTGACTGACACGCCCTGTCGGCGACGTTTCTGACAAGCCACTCATCCTCCACGCCTTTGAATTGACATTTTTCAGTCTCCTCTGCCTAGAAAAACGCGACCATCAGCCCTATAGGCTGACATCCGACCTTTGGTGGCCGAGAACGGGGAGTTAAGAGAACCGAAAGGGTCACCGCGAGGAACGTACCCCACAGAAAGTGGCTTTTGCTGAGTCACATACACAAACTCCTGCTATTGTAAGCAAGCTCAGGCTAATTGAACTGGATGGAAGTCACGGCATGCATCAACACGTGAAAAGATCGAATAAGCCAAAAACATAGCAAGTCTGCTGAATGAGTTTGTTGGTCAAATCGAGTCATCGATGCTCCAAAGTTATAGAGCAGGCTTCGGCGTTGTTTAGTAAAGCAACATCGCCGACCTTCAACACGTGTAGCACGTTAACCCACAGACCCGTGGTGGCTTTGTTTGCGTTTGGTCCTTGACTTTCGGTGAAGAATTGTCTGATTTGGTAATCTTGGTCACTCTAGGCGGCTGATCAACATGTCGTTCGGCCAGTTTCGAGGATACCGAGTTGCTTGGATTCTGGTTCGATCACTCATTGGGGTTTGGGTCATCACAGGAGGGCATTAGATGAACTGGTCTTTGAAGAAAACGTATATTTACACACTGAACCCCCTCGGATCTTGGAGGGTGGATCATAGATACTCCTGATAAATCGACAGCCCACCGTCCCTTGACGCCTATCCGTATGCAGAGAATACAACAAGGGGAGTCAAATATGTCCCCAACTCTTTTGGGGCGCCACGGGTACAATGCTTGAATGCATAGAGGCTGGTGAAAGGGCTGTCCAGATCGGAGCGGCATAGTCCAGCAGCCTCTTGGCCTGTGGACGCAGGTATAACTGATAGTACAAGAATTTACAAGTCGTTAAAGGATCTCAAGTGACAATCTCGCCAATGTCGATCATTTGAGGTTTCCATTGAGTGGTAGCGGACTGGCTGGGCAGAACAATGTTCTCACGAGGAGGTGAGTAGAGGTACCACGAACGAAGAGCAGCAGCAGTGGCACGGACACGAGCCTCATCCAGACTTGAGCCAGCGGCTTCTCCTAGCTTGTCGCTGCCGCTGTAGACGCCGACGACGAAGACGGGACTGCGCGAGTGACGACCAGTCTCTGAAAGCAGACGGGCAACAGGTGGCTCAAAGCCTTCGCGTGCACACAAGCGAGAAAGATCGCGAGTTGGGTGGGTGAAGGAGAAGAGAGTGTGCAGAGGAATGTGACGCGAGAGAATGTGAGCCTGGTGGAAGGCTTGTGTGGCTTGAGCGCCGGCGTGTAGATACAGAGCACCAAAGACGGCGTTGATGAAGCTGGCCGAAGCTTCTTCGGTGGTGACGCCGGCATCGGGGCCTTGAGATGAGGCAGAAGCAGAGGAGTTCCCGTTGTTGTCCAAGTCGCCGAACTGGTTGTCGTATACGATACGGGAAGAGACGCCACGACGGTAGTTCCACTGTGAGTTAGGACGAATAGAGGCGAGCTTTGCATTGGCAGATGGCATGTCCTTAAGACGAAGCATGGCGCCGTCGGCCATGGCATTGCCAGGCTTCTGGCGGGCGTATTGCAAGAGACCGGGATCAACCTCTATACCAGGAGCGGCAACTGACTCAACACCCCATTCCTCACGCATGGTTGAGAGAGTACGAGGACCTGCGTATGCATACTGGGCGGCGAACAGGACCTCCATGGGCAGGCGAGGGTAATTGCACAACAACCACTCGGCAGTGTAGTAGGCGAGCAGATCTTGACCAATGACGGCGAGAGAAGCATTGTTGTGTAGAGGGTTGCGGTCGGCCGAAGGATGTACTAGACAGCGTCCTAGGGACTCTTTGGGGAAGCGCAGTGGGAGCGAGAGACGGGCGTGGAGGGCGCTGAGCTTGGGCGAGTCTCTGCGAGCAGCCTTGACTGAGATGCGACCAGTATCCTCGGCGGTAGGGAGGTCGGTGGGAAGAGAGTCGGCGGCGGCATCGGGCAGTGTTGCGGATAGTGGTGTCACGGGGGCATCTTGTGGTCGGCGGGTCGACAGGGCGAAACAGCGGCGAGAGGGAGCTATGGGCGAGGCAGGCGACAACAGGCGCAGAGGGCGCGGCGACAACAGAGAGCGGCGCATGTGTTGGGTTGCAATGCGCTTCATGGTGTAGCAATTGCACCTCGTCGTCGACGGGCAAGATTTTGCCAGACATCACCAACCAACATGCAGCCAGCGTCTGTGCGCTCCGCCGCCAGTCGTGGGCTTGGCTTCGACTGGTCAGCGGAATCAACGCGACCACCAAACAGTTACTCGAGTAGTCCATCCTCGACCAACACAACTTCAATCGCTCAGAAACCATGGCCGGCGACAAGATCCCGTATGTTTCCAATTCCTCTGCAGTCCCTGTTGTGCCTGTTGTGCCCGTTGTGCCCGCAACCCGCCAACCAGACCCCTCCTCCGCCTATACGCAACCAGCTCTCGCACTACAGACAACCACTAGCAATCCATTGTCGCATTCTGACTCTCTCTCTCTCTCTCTCAGCTACCCCAAGCACGTCTGGTCTCCCGCCGGTGGCTGGTACTCACAACCCAAGAACTGGAAAGCCAACACTGCCGTCATGGGCCTCTCGGTCGTCGTCGTCGCTGGCGTCTTCTTCAGCTTGAGCGCCGAACGTGAACACCGCTACAAGATGCCCGAGCAGGGCCGCTTCTTCCCCAGCAGATAGTATATACTCTCCCCTCCGACCTGCCACCACTCGACCCCATACTGACCACAACCCCACAGCTGGAGCCGTCAAATCCGCGAACACGAGCGCTCTCTTACACCCTCCGACAACTAAAACTGCTGTCTATATGAAATAAATCGGAGTTTGGGGGCCTGCATCTTTGTACTTTTTCTTCTTCTTCTTATTCTCCTTCAGACCAGCCACACAATACCACTACTGTCCAACTGCTGTTCCCTCTATACATCGCAACGAGTACTCGTCCATTCTTTCTTGCACCACCACCCCATTCCATCTTTCTACTCCCTCTTCTGTTTGCAGTACCGGCACCCCTACTTGTTCGATCATGAAGCTTGCTGCTACATTGCCCCACTTGGACGCCTCTACCACATCGCCAGTCCTGACGAGGCCCATTGCCAATCCTCCAAGAAAGCCATTACCTCCGCCTGTGGGATCAACAACCTTGGCTGGAGTTGGTGCATGGAACGCTGGGAGCCACGCCTGCTTGGACGGCGAACTGACATAGCATCCATCTTTGCCTGATCGCACAACTACCGCTATCTTGGATGCTCTTTCGCCAGACACGCTCGAAAGCAGCTTGGAGCTACAAGCTTCAATGACTTGACGATCCACATCACCAGACTCGGTGGTTCCAACAACAGAGAACAGATCTGACAACTCTGCATGATTGGGACTGATGACATGGACGTGTTCGAGCGCCTTGATGGTGTTTTCCAGCTCAGCGGGAACACATAGGTCTGGCACGGGCTCCCAGATAAAGAAAGGTTCGTCGAGAGACTGACCGAGCGCTGCCCTACGAGAATTGATGCCCTGGACCAAATCAACACAGCGGGCTGGAGCGCATATCAGGTGGAACGACTTTGCGGTCATCAGCTGTGGTGACAAATCTTCTGCCGTGACACGGAGTTTTGGTGTTAAGTACTTGAAAGCNNTTGCGAGAGTTCAGCAAAGGCAAACTTATGTGGAAATTCACATACCTCGATGTTCGTTGGCACCGTAGCCGTTCCATCCCTTTGTGGTCGGAGCGTCACGAGATCTCAATAGCACGGCAGTATCCCAAGAAGTTATCATGTCACGCAGGGACTCGGGAAAATCATGACCAGCATCAACTACCCATCCGACCCGATTGGATTCAGGTGATGGAGAGAGGACTCTCGCACCCAGAGCACTATAAGTACCAGCACCACCAGGAATGTTCAGGAATGGAGTCTGGTCTCTGGCAGATGGGGCAGGGTAGATGTCATNCTGTGGGGAGACGACTTAGCATTTCCAGATTAGAGTACAGATATGCACAGAGCAAGGGATTGACTGACCAATGATGAACATGCCAGTAGTACAGAAATCTATAGGCTGCATGATGTGTGCAACAAGATCAAGGGAGTTAAGACAGGTCGATATTGACGATGATGTTGTCGAGGTCGGAAGACGGAAGTGGCTTGGATGTTTCAGTGTTTGGCTCGTGCATTTGGCGGAGTGTCAGGCCGGGGTTCAGGGCCAACAATGGCCATTCGAGTCGTCGACCTCTTCTGATCTGTCATTGCCAATTCAACCACATCACCCATCATGGCGACGACAACGAGTAACCTGGGCATGCACAACCTCACCACCCTGATCAAGCGGTCCGTCTGTTGTCAAGCTTCGTATGCCAGCCACGCCTCGTACTGACACGCGCCATCAGACTCGAAGCTGCCACATCCCGCCTCGAGGACATTGCTACTTCAGCGCCCTCTTTCGAGCAGCCCAGAAACACTGTCGCTGATGTTGGAGCTACCCATCTGCCTGCCTCTTCAAGCGCTCCCGAACTCCCTGGTGTNCGCCAAAATGCTACCCAAACTCCCACTCCTGCCGCTCCCACCCCTCAGGCCGAGAGTCTCCCTAAGCCTATCCAAGACATGGACGACCTGATCAACGACCACGTCGCCAAGTTCGTAACATCTGCTTCAGGCCTGGATAAGAACATTGAGACCCAGGTACAACCCTATTCATCAATCACCAACCTCGACTCCTTCTAATCCCTATCAGGCACANNCGCCGTTGAGCGCGCATTCGCTGCCCAGCGTCAGTACCTTGTTATCGCCAACAAGGCAAAGAAGCCCGACATGACTTCTCCCGCCTTCTCCGAGCTCATCAAGGATCTGCAACAAGAGATGGGCACCGTCACCGAGATCAAGGACTCAAATCGCGCCTCGCCCTTCAAGGACCACCTAAACATGGTCGCCGAGGGTATGGGCGGTCTGCAATGGGTTGTCTTCGAGGGCAAGCCCGCCGACTATGTTGCTGAGATTCTGGGCGGTGTCCAACTGTTTGGAAACAGAGTGCTCAAGGAATACAAGGAAAAGTCCGTTGCCAATCCTCCCTCTTTGTCCACTTCAATTGACTGACCATGCTGCAGGGACCCCAAGCATGTCGCCTACGTCCAATCCTACTATGCCATCTGGAAGAACCTCCAATCTTACATCCGCAGCCACTATGCCGCCGGTGTCACATGGAATCCTCAAGGCTTGGACCTCGCAAAGGCTCTAAAGGACGCAAAATCTGCTTCTACTGCTTCCTCACAATCTGCTCCTGCTCCTGCTGGCGCTGCAGGTGGTCCTCCTCCACCTCCCCCACCACCACCGCTCCCTACTTTCGACAACCCTCCCCCTCCTCCGGGTCCGCCTCCGGCTGCCAAGCCGAGCGGTGGTGATATGGGTGCTGTTTTCGATCAGCTCAACAGGGGCGAGTCTGTTACGGCTGGTCTGAGAAAGGTCGACAGGAGCGAGATGACACACAANAACCCTTCGCTACGAGCTGGCTCTACTGTCACTGACCGCAAAGGAAGCCAAGACAGCATCAACCGCAGCCGTAGCAGAGGCCCTGAGCTGAAGCCCAAGCCTGACAGCATCCGTGGAAAAGGCATCTCCCAACCTGCACCCAAGAAGGAGCCCAAGAAGGAACTCGATGGCAACAAATGGATCATCGAGAACTTCGAAGATGCTGATGCTCCTATTGAAGTCGAGGTTTCCGTCACACAGTCTATCCTTATCACAAAGTGCAAGAACGCCACTATTCGTTTGATCGGAAAGGCCAATGCTATTAGCATTGACAACAGTCCACGCACGAACCTCGTTATTGACGACCTCATTTCATCCGTCGATGTCATCAAGTGCCCCAACTTCGCCCTGCAGGTCCTTGGCACTCTTCCGACCGTCATGCTTGACCAGGTCGACGGTGCTTCCATCTACCTCTCGAAGGAGAGCTTGAACACTGAGATCTATACCTCAAAGTGCGCCAGCATCAACGTCAACCTCCCTCCTCAGACCGAACAAGACGACTACAAGGAGTGTCCTCTACCTGAGCAGTTCCGTACTTTCATCAAGGACGGCAAGCTCGTCAGCGAGATCGTCGAGCATGCTGGTTAGGTGTAATCGTGCTCCTTGAAGAGTGGAGGGGAGATCATGATCATTTTGTAGAATAGATAGGACTGCCCATTTGGCAGGTTTGATAGCGAAGCGAACATCTGAGCACATTTCATCATGTCTATTACTGCGGGTCGAACATCAGTGCTTGTTGTATGCTGTCCTGGAACATTCGATGACAATTACGCGATGTTTTGGACCTTGGAATGTTGACAGGGTGGCCCTTTCAACGACCATTTACAGCATCATATCGACGAAACCTTGTCACATTTTTGTTGTGTACTAATGAAGCTCTGTTGAGGCACTTGAGGAGGCATGAATCAACCGTACGTGTGACTTTGGTGGTCAAAACTCATGAGGTTCGACCGTACTATCAAATCTTGCTTATATGTACAGCGCTAGCCAAAAAGTACTACAACACTACACACGGAAGCAGAGACCTACCAAATTTGGAGAAACAGACATTCGAATACATGTTCCATCTGCCCATTGCAGTGTCTCAAGTGTGTGTATGTGCTCGATTCTGCAGGTTCCGTCGGTTGTTCTGCTCTGTTTCTATGTTTGAACTACCACTCTTTTTCTGATGTATGTACAATCGGCCACTTCTTTCCCTAACGTGATAGTCCTTGGAGTAGGAAGGACGGATGCATCGAGGATATGTAGATAGGAGACGGATGTATCGAGGGCGTGTAGATAGGAAGTGAATGTTGCAGTTGCATAGCTCGATCGAAGGAGTGAGATAGACAGGCTTGGAAGTTTGACGATGGCACGCGATGACCTTTCTACGTCTTCGTCAGAGCAATGTGCGGAAAGCATAAACCAGAGGTGTAGCGTTTAGTGTCCGTGTTGAGAGGTGCAAGGTCTTGTGTGTCTTGTTGGCCACTGCTTTATGACTCTAGCACGATCGAGATGTATGATACCAGAAGAGTTATGGACATTGCTGGAAGCTTGAAGAGTAGCATGGACGTGGACCATCAATCGTGGCAAGGCTCAGCTGAAGTCAGTCATGAGATAAGAGCTCAGAGATCGTGTGCGAATTCTGGCGTCTGCTGAATGTGCAAGGAAAGAGCGAGGCTCCACAAGCAGGGACAGCACACACTGACACAGATGCTGGAAAGGGTCGAATAGCGAACGTCAAAGGAAAGCACGACCAGCGAATAGCGAATTCCCGCAGAGCGTGACCGTTTGGTGGACGGTGAGCGAACGAGGTACGAAGCAGGGAAAGAAACCGACAAATGAGACAGTAATCCGAGAGCGAACACCTCGGATTCAAGAATCCCAAGCTAAAAAAAGGGTCGTGAGCATGGAGGATCCTGCCACGAGGAACAAGGAACATGAACGGGCCAAGGGAGCACATGAACAGGATTTTGAAAACCCACTTGAATCCCACACTGTTAGCTTGGCTGGCATGGCATGTAGCTGATCAAGTGAGCCACCTGCAGAACCCTTGTAAGCAGCCACAAGGAATAGAGTCTTGACATGCACATGACTAGCACAGGTCGAGCCTTGACAATCAACTTTAAGCGCTCATCAGAAGTCATTGACTAACAGGGCGGCTCAGCTAGATGAAACTGGTGGAGCAACAGTAATATCTTCCCAGTGAGAGATGCTGCTTGGTCCAGTGGAACAGTGATAACGGGCCGCAACATGTCGATCGTGCACTCCTTTGCTTTTCATATGCAACAGACGAGGGAGAGTAGGTATGCTTAGTCGAATGTGCGCATCACTGTGTCTCCACGGAATGAAGAGGCTCATGGATCGCCACGAGATGGGGACGATGTTCCTCATCTTCAACAAAAGACCATCATTTTGAAAGGCACTTTGTTCATTCCGTATGAGTCTCAACCAACACTCGACCACCCAGCTTGGAGAATAATAGTTTGCTTTGTTGGTCAGCTTCCTACCGCAGATGAGAACATATCTGCGATATATTCAGCTGGGCCAAGGAAATGATTCCGCCGAGTATGACAACGATTGGTCATCGCGGTCGCTCGAATTGTATTGATCATCTCCGAGCCATGCAGCCCCTGAGTCTTACTTTGGCGGTTACCTTCTTGGACTCCTCTACGTACTCCTTCCTGAACAGGAACAGCACGTGGAGTAAGTATACTCGACCAGAGTCGACCTGAACTCAAAACCAAGATGCAACGTCGTGCAATCTTGCTGTCGTGAGAAATTCTTCGCTGTGTCGAGGCTGCCTTGCCCGTGGCTTGTGAGTGTCACACTATCTTCGCCTCTGTGACAACATCAATGTCATATTGCTTTCGTGAGCTCATGCAATTGTCGATTCGACGTGACGAAAATGCGCGGGATTAATGAATATAGTGTGGTCCGGAAGGAGGCTTGCAGCTTACCAAACAATCCAGACAAGCTATTCAAGATAACCTCACCCGCACTCGACCTTTAGTGTCGTATGGCGTACACTGCGCATGTCTTACGAGATCGTCTCGAGGGACCCAAGCCTCAACATACATTGCTGTTAATATCTATTCGACCTGTATGTCAATCAACAATAGGCGCAATATCCTTTTGGCAGCGATGTACACGCAAAGCTGATGCGAATCGTCTTCTCCATTGCAATTTTAAAATTGCTTGATGTATATTTACATCTATCTGTCGAAGCCACACTCCAATGCCTCATCTGAAAAAAGCGTGGATGCGCTTACGGATATAAAACTTGCGTAAGCAGTACATCGATATCGACTCTGTTGAGCCGCACACCAGCGAGGACGAGTGGGAAAGTTATCAGCGAATCATTGGGCAACGGTAGCCTAGTAACAGCAAAGAAATCCGGATGACATTCGAGCCAAGGATAGATGGCGGTGACAAGTCCGCACTCATGTACCGAGTGTGGTGGAGTCGCCGAGCCCAGCGCGTTGGTGTGACACCTGCGATTCATGGGGTCAACAGTGCTGCGCAGGCTCAGCTGTGCTTTTCGAGACAGCCTCCGTGATCCGGAAAGAGTGGCATCTCATGGGACTGCTGCCAGATCTTTTGAGGCTGACTCGACTAGTGGAGCGAGCGAAGGACGTTGGAAGTCACGATCGAGGCTCTTGAAAAGAAAACAAGCCTTTTCGGCGTGCCTCGCCGGAAGTTCCGGAAAGACAGAACTTCACGTGTCACCTTGCTTTCTGCGCCGTTGCGTATCCTTACACCCAGACCGTCGCGATTTGCTGCAATCATTGAACGTGCAGACGCATGGATATGCGCGCTATCCAACGGATGTGAAGATAATCTGTACGCAGCATGTGTATGATAGCCGGTATTTTGGCCTTGCGCGCCGTTACCTTGACGTTCATGAGCCGCAAGTTTTGTGTCCGAGTTCGATGGCTCACGATACAAAAGCGGCCTGGGAAGTATACCTCCTCTCAGGAATCGGTACACAAGCATGCCCATCATCATGTTGCGTCAGCCGTTTCAAACATCTTGTTCTGATGACCGCTCCGTTTCGTCGATCATGATTGCTTTTCAAAGCTCAGCATGCTTTGGAGAAACTCTTGCAGTAGTCCACACGCCTTCACAACCAGGATGAGTAGACGAGATCGATGTTGCAGTGAGCTCATGCTCTCTGCCTTCACTACGAGCTTCACGGTCTTCTACTTGATACGTGGAAGACTGATAAAGACTGCTTTTGACTATGCACTTAATCGTGAACTTGCAACCGGTCACGCCGGTAACATGGAAACTGTGGGAGCGCAAACGATCAGATTGTGCTCAGAACTCCATGGTTCGAGCTCGCTTTCGATATACAGCTATGTTCACACGTTCTCTTCTGAGCACCTATACTATGCAAGGTCAACGATGTTCTTCGATCGGTATCTTCATTGTGCAAAACTATGGCACCGAGCAAAAAAAAGCATCAAGCAATGTAATCATCTCATTTGTCGCGCGATATCAGCGTTGGAGTAACGTATTCAGGTATGACTGGCCCGGTCAATCAGAACACTAAATCGCAGGTCTCGGAGACCTGTCACCGACGATGTTGTTGCGAGAGTCGCAGCGAGACGAGTTAATCTGTAGGATGTTGGCGCTGCAGGCTGCAGCACGTGAGGTATGATCCGTACATGATAAGTCAGAAGTCAAAATTAGAGACAAGTGAATCGGTCCTACGCCAGGAGAATGTTCATGCTGATCGTCATGTCAGATCAGTTCTCAGTATCGCCCTCAACCAAACGTGCTGATTCTAGGATGTGAGACGAAACACTGTCAGATGGTCGCTGATATCGTAGTGGCAGCAGCAGAAATTCCACTCTTCAAACCCCATCTCGATGTCAGATGATCGTTCCACAGGAAGCTTGTCAACAATCCCGATGCTCAGTAATCAGGCTATGTATAAGAAATGGCGCCGAGTAAGAGCGAGTATGGACAAGCGAAGAGGAAGAGGTAGCCTAAGACTAGCCGCTTAGCAAATTATCCTATTGTGTTTAGTGCGATCCGCAGCTTTTGCAGTCCTACATGTAGACAAGCCTGGAAACTCGGCAGTTTTGCGCGGAGAACAAGAGCTGATAAATCTTGGACGCGATCTTCGAAGTTGTTAGCATGGACAACGGTTAGGAGTAGACTCTCAGTATCTTGTTAGCTTTTGCGAGCTCGGAGTGTATTCCGTGAAAGTTCATAGGACTGAAATTCAAGACATTGGTTTCAGCAACAGGTCAGATCACAGCCATTGAGAAACAGCGTTATGAAGCACATTGAAGTCTGGAATATGAAGGATGAGGCGGCAACCCAAATGTAGTCAGATGTCGCAGACAAGGAATATCAACGCGTACAGCACCTTGGTTCGAGTTGATGTGCTGGAGCTTTGATGGTCGTCCAGTAAGCATAGAGGCTGATATGGACCTCTCCTTGAGTTTGCGCCGAGACTACGGTGTGCTCAGATGCATGCAGAAGTCAAACTTCAGCAGGCCAAAAGTACTTGTAGACGTCATGAAATCCTCCTTCCTTCGCAATCTTTGCTTGAGACTAGAATGTCGTAGATTGATAAGTTGAACGGCGTCGGCTAGTGGCGGACCAAGATTTGGAAGGGCCAACAAACATGTGTTCCCGCAGTCGCAATCACAATACAGGAAGGTGCGTAAGTCTGCCTGGCACGAGAAAACTCTGTAGTCGCAAATACCCAACTAGACGCATGGTTCGAGTTGTACAAGTATCTGGTTTGAACCTTGAGTTTCGTTCGCGCTATCAAAATCTCGATCGTCGCTGTGCAGATGGACACACGAGGAAAACATTCGCTGCCATGTGTTGTTGTTGGCGGTGGCTAAATTGCCATCGGAGTTGTGATCCTGGTGTCGTGGCTCTCTCAGGCCGATAGATCGTCCAATGACAGGTTGATCAGCGACATCGCAGATTCGTTCGCTTGTTTCGAAAGACGCGGGCTGAATTCACATTCTAGAGACGGCTGAGCGCCTAGAGAATCTTCGAACTTCCCTGTCGAGATCTACGAAGCTGAAGTTTGCTGCGACCATGCCCTAAACCGTCTCTTTAAGACAGAGTCGAGACACTGAACCAGACCGCGATATGTGGCTGAATCGTGCCCACCTGTCAAGGCTCGAGAACGTCAATTCGTCAAACGTCTCTGAAGAGTTGCATGGTCAAATCTTGTTTCTCCTGCTGCCAAGCGCATCGAGACGAGAGAATTAATCAAGCGAGAAGACTGGCGCGTGTGAGTGAAAACCAGGGCAGCAGTGAGCTGTGGCTGACTCATCGTCTGACTGTGTGTGAAGCAAGAAAGCCTGAGTCGACTTTTCTATACGGCATTAGATTGCTGCCCTATTTTCTTTCTAAATTCATGTGACGAGAGTCAGACAGAGCCGCCGGTCGGCAGGCGCCTATTACCGAATCTTGATCGCTACTCCGAGTTGCAAAGCTCGGGGCTGCCGACCAGTTCGGTTTAGACAAACGGGTCGACATACTTTTGACTGCTGAAACCTACTGCATATACTTGACCATGGTCCGTCTCCCCGGCGGTTCGATTTTCTTTGATTGAACCAACTTATTACTGTAGATGATGATCACGTGTGTGCCCTTGATCTTCATATTCGGTGTACTCCTTCCTTGTGCAGTGACTAGTCAGTCTTAGGGAGTGAACATGATTGGTTGTTTCACTGTTTGAGCGAAATTGTGAGCTTGACTGGTTTGGAGCATTCTGGTCTACAAGAACTTACGGTTGGATCTACTCCGAGTAGCTTTCGGGATTGAGAGAAGGCATGTGGGATCGAGGTCTACGACTCACGGTCAACGTCACGCATGGTATGAGATCACATGGTTGTTGATGCAACTCCATCACAATTCAAAACAGCTGAACGTTCACGTGTATAAACAGAAACAATGTTCCCATGTCAATTTGACCCTCCTGCTTGCATGGGTTTGGTATGATCAAACCACCAAGGGTCACTACGTGTTCCGAATAAACACCTTAAACCATAACTGCCGGTCGATCGCCAGCGATTTGGAAGGGCTTGTCGGCAGAGCACGAGTATGTGCCGAGTACTGCAATCCCCACAAGCCGCCGCCGCTAGACGCGTACTCGGGTCAGTCCTGTTTAGCTAGTTCGTTCGGCTGAGTTGAGTACAGGATGATCTTTGAGCATAGCTTCTAGTATTATTAAGGGACGGTCCATCCAACTTCCATCGGTGTGAATCCCGAGCCGCAACTTGGCCCTCTACATATCATACTTCATCTGATTATCACTCTCCCACAAGCATCCGACCGTTGGTCCGGTCTCGGTCTACACCCTGCAGACCCTTTGGTGGCACATCAGCCAGAAAGCCCGGTTCTCTTAACGAACAGTCTCATCGAACATTCTGCGTCTTTTCTGAACGGTTGTCCTCAGCCCTAGCACTGGCTGTTTTCGCGACAGTGAGCAGGGGTGATTGAACTAGGACATAGGCAAGCCTGCCATATCACAGTTTCCTTGAACGACCTCGAGTTGTGGACAGAACTCATTCGACTTGGAGAGCACCCATGCTTGGTTGAGATCGACTTGCTCTTCCTTATCGACTAGCTTGTATTGTAATTGGTCCGGCGGTCACAGTACACAAGCTGCAACTTCAGGATCACCACCAAAAAGGCCTTGCAAACAATACAGCAGTAGGAGTAGTTCGTCTCGCCAACCATGGACAATGGTCACTGTGGACGGCTGCATAACAAAGTAGCAGTGTAAGTGACCAACGACCTGTTTCGTCCTGGTCTTCCACCAGTATTGTTCGTTCACAGCAGTTGACACATACCCAGCGTCACAGGTTCATCTTCGGGGATTGGTCGAGCGATTGCACTCCGGTTCTCAAGTGAGGGTGCTCACGTGGTGTGCGCCGATACAGATCCAACAACAGGCAGCGACAGCGATTCTGCTGATGATGGTGCAACACACAATGTCATCCTCCAAAGTGGCAGCAATGCTCTGTTTGTCAACACGAACGTGAGATGCAGTCAAGAGGTAGAGAACTTAGTGCAGACGACAGTGTCCCATTATGGCCGGCTTGATATGTACGTTCAGTCTCCTCGGACAAGGTGTTTGACTCTGACATGCCTTAAAACACAGNNCTTCGTGAACAACGCCGGCATCACCTTCGATCTCGCGACACTACAGCCAATCTGGAGCGCCGACGAGGACTTGTGGGACGACATACAGCAAGTGTGTTCCAAGGGCGTGTTTCTTGGGTGTAAGTACGCGTCAAGGCAGATGCTTAATCAAGATCCTCACCCGAATGGAGACCGCGGCTGGATCGTCAATGTCGCAAGTATTTTCGGGATGGTAGGGACAAGCAACTTCGCTAGCTACTGTGCTTCCAAGGGTGGCATTGTCAACATGACCAAGGCGGTTGCGTTGGACTGCGCGCCTCATAGGATACATGTCAATTGCATATGTCCTGGATGTGAGTGCGAAGGTGTCTTCAGCATACGAGTGAGTACTGACGACNNGGACACAGGGATTTCGTCCCAGATGACAAGCGAGGTGTTGAGTGACGAAGAGACGCAAGAACACATAATCAGCCTGCACCCATTTCGAGGCTTAGGCATCCCGGACGATATCGCAAGGGCTGCCGTGTTTCTAGCCTCGGAGGACTCTTCATGGATAACAGGAGTATGAAGCAAGTGGCGAAGTCTGGCACACATGCTAACAATGTTGCAGGTCGCATTGCCAGTCGACGGAGGATACACAGCCCGATGAGGCCGCGAAGAAACGAGCCCTTATATTTCCGAGCAGAGAATGATCACACCGGTTTAGAGGGGAGATCCAGACATAGAACCAACAAACATACACCTAGTGCTGGAAGATAAAGAGTCGGATCCAGAAAATTTGAACATGGACACACAAATAGAGTTGGGATTGAAAGCAGAAGCACGTTACTTTTTCTCATCCGAGAGCGACTTTTCCGCTGTGGTCGTGATGTTTTCTCCCTTCACGTTGGATGCTGCGGAGCCGGCTTCAATATCCTTCTGGACCTGCTCGACAGCTCTCTCGATCTCGAGCTCCATGCCCGGGAGATTGAACTGTTCGGCGAGTAGCTTGCCATTCCATCGTTTGAGCAGCATGACATCTGAGGCATCACTGTTTGTCTGTCGAGAGACAAGATCGGCAACTTCCTGGGACTCGGTTTCTGAAGGTAGCGCAGCCTGCCTTGAGTGTTCTCGGGAAGGATGTATCAGGCCTGCGGCATAAAGATTGTCCAAAGTTTTTGACGGAGACATCTTGATCAAGGGCTCTTTGCTATTGATCAGAGCTTCCAGATACTTCGAGCCGTACAATGCTGAGAGGAAGTCAGCGAGTGATTATCTACTGGCAGTCTCACGTCCCTGTCGAATCCATGCAACATGACGGGAATCGTTTGATGTAGCGATTACCTTNNTGAAATGTGACCAAGCTCGGAAAGCAAGATAGAAGCCAGGAATGTTCGGGATGATGGGGAGTAAGCCGACTGGGATGGTGAAAGGCAATCCAATCAGACTGCCCCAGAACCTCTGCTTGTGCAGGCCTTGTCTCTCAGTAGCAAGTCTTTTCAGGATATCTGGCACTTNTTTCTGGTCCAGGAAGCGACCCGGAAAGACGATTTCGGTAGGAGTAAGGTCTGCAGTGGATGATGGCAGTGTCTTGAGCCCCCACTCCTCGTAGGAGATGCGGTTGAAGACAATGTTGCCATAGTCGGTGAGTTTCTTCTTGTACTTGTTGGGAGAATTTTCCCAGGATGCCCACGTCTCGTTTGCTTTGTTGACAATGCGATCGTGGTAGGACAGATTTCCGCTAGCGTTGACTTGGGTTGCGACGCGATCGCAATAGAGGAGCGTACGCCGCGTTGAGATGGGAAGGAGGAACAAGCGCATGTTGAGTCGAACAGCTCGTACGGCGGCTACAGAAAGAACGTCTTGTCGGTGGCTCTACAAGTACTGCTGGCGATAAGAAGAGAGAGAGACAGAAATCGCGAAATGCGTTTGTACTACTGACTAGACCCTCGAGTGAGTGACGTCGAGAGTTGTGGCAGCTGGTGTGGCTTAGCGACAAAACAACACAGCACAGCCACATACAGAACAGATCTCTCTGCGGCGTTGACACACAGATCTAGTCTCTTCCCACACGGCCGGTGCCTATGATTGCCTCGATGCTCCACGCAGATCCATCTCCTTCCAGGCGCTGTGGCCTCCAAGCAGATCTGGAAACATCTAATGTCAGTGGCCACAACATCGAGTCGAATGGCTGAGCTGTAAGAGAGGAAGATCTAGATGTGTATAAATAGATACATGAGAATGACAGTAGCATAATTGATTACAAAGGAACATAGTGCTTCGTCTTTCCTAGCTAACGAAGACGTTCTACCACTCTTAGTACACTGATGACAAAAGTAAAAAGCCACGCCATCAAAGCAACAACCAAAACGCCAGATAGTCCCTGTTGTGACCGACATATACGAGGAGAAGCGGGGCAATTCGATAATAGAGATTCGTTGTGATCAAAACAAGCCCAACGAGGGTCATCCAATGCGTCCAGAGCCAGCGAGAGATTTGACGAGTAGAAAACGATGAAAAACAGATCGACCAGAAGAAGCGAAACTTTGGCCGTAGCACTTCGAAGTCCAAGNNGCTGTAACAGCAGGGGTCAATAACAGTCATTCGCAGAGTTGATTATCAATATTGCTACTCACGGTTTGCTCAGATACTCGTCCCATGTGATGTAGCCGATGTAAGGTACGGCAACGCTGTCCAAGACGATGGCCATGTATGTTGAGGCACGCTTGCTACAGGGACCTTCGCCCTGGCGATTGACTGCGTCGGCCTCGTGGAACACTCTGGCACCTAGCCCGAGGGCGGCCACGGTAAAGATAAGAACAATGAGACGGAAGACAAGGGGAACAAAAGGGTTCTTAAGAATGATGCGCTGCAACACAGTCAGAAAACAGCAGAGACACAGATTGGGAGACATGAATACCTTGATACGCGCGAAAGTCTTTGACCGCTTCTCCGGAGTGAATAGCCATAGACCCTTTGTTTTCTCCAATGGTTTCTCGGGTTCGGCAGCAGTCCAGGTAGAGTTCAGATGAGGCATGTTCTCGTCCATCCAGGCGTCAGAGACAAGTCTGGCTCCAGGCACGCCTCTTGGCTGAGGACCTGACAGCATGTAGGGAAGCCAGCGTTGCTGGTTGGTGTCTATGGGTTGGTCCAGCAAAGGAGGCTCAGCAGAACGGATGTGATCCCACTTGCGGCCAGGGGCTTTGTGCTGAGTCGGCGGAGCGGGGAGATAGTGATGAGAGGCAGGGACAGCATTGGCNNGAGGGGGGAGTAGGCGCTGTGTTTGATCGATGGATTCATCGTCGCTGTCGTCTTCGGTATGAACCCATGGCGGGATGGAACGGACAATGCGGTTGTCGGCCGACGAAGAGTCGTGGAAGATGTGGTTGGAGGCGTTGAGGGTCGAGGATTGTGAATCAGGTGCTTGGTTGGATGCGGAAGCAGGAAGGCCCTGGGATGGCTGCATCGCCGCGCTATGGCGACAGCGGCGATGAGAACTAAACGGGGTTCGGGGTCGTTGTTGCGATGGTGACACGACGCGACATGGCCGCACTCAGATACACCCACACATCAAGCAGTCCTGACGCTGCAAAAGACTTGTTACAAGTTTGTCGGGAGTTGCAGCAGAATCCAGAGATCGTCTCCGGAAGACCCACCAACAAACTCCCAAACACTCATCATTGACCAGCCTTCGGGAAGGTAAAACGTAACGTGCCGCGTGCGCCAAGCTGGCCCAACTTTGGTCACAGCCCTATGTCATTCTTGTCCTGCCAGATGTTTATGTGCACAACAACCAGAATGATACATGGTCGTTGATGTTTGTTCACTTGTAGCCTCTTCTGAAACACAGCATGTCAGTATGCTCCTCTTGGAAAGCGTTCATCAATGTCTAGTCTCTGATTTGACGAACCGCTCCGAGGTCAGCCAATGCGTTCCGCAATCTCCGCTATGATGTTATTTCGACCCGTGGAGCATCACAAGTTGGCAACAGTACTAATTGGAACAGACTGGGTTGTGAAAAGATGCATGAATTCGCCATGACTTTGAAATAAAATAATTACTGAATGTTCCGTGGTATCTACTGCGTCTCTTTAACCTTTCCCGTAATGACACGCCATTTGTGAATGAATTTTTCTAGTGCTCGAGAAGTCTCAAGCTACCCTGGACAACGACGTTCTCAAGGATGGAACCCGGAGGGATGTCGATGGTCTGACCCTCGCTGGCAACAATGATGACGGTACCCTTGAAGGTGACGCCACGGCCGAGGTTGACGGGACCGGTGATGGTCAAGTGGTCGAGCTCAAGGATCTTGGGAATGCTGGGGATGCGGCTCTGGAAGCTCGAGACCTTCTTGAAGTCACCGCCGAGCTTGATGAGAGGAGCGGGACCGAAGCGGTTGGGGTCCATGATGAGCTGACCGTGCTTGAGGGTGTAAAGGTCGGACTTGACCAGCATCAAGTCGGAGCAGGTCTTGACGGGAAGGAAACGACGGCGGGGGACGTTGACACCGTGTGCGTTGTTGAAGTGGCGGATGGCGGCACCGACGGCGGTCTCGAGCTGGACGATGCTGACATCGGCCTCGCCCTTCTTGTCGGCGGGGATCGACTTGCCGTTGGGGATGATCTCCATGGCGAGCTCGTTGTTCTCGACGATGCGCTTGACGGCGCGGAGGTTCATCCAGATGTTGTTGGTGTTGAAGTACTTGAATTTCTTGATCGACTTGAACTCGTTGACGTGCTCCTTGGGAACCTGAGCAATCTCGAGAAGACGGGCCTGGCCCTCGTAGTCAATGATGGTACCACCCTTGACATCGGCCTTGGTCTTGTCGGTCAATTCCATGATGTACTCAGCCTTGGTGTCAACCATGTGCTGGAGAATCTTGAGATCGACGACAGCGCCAAGGTTGTCGGCGTTGGAAAGGAAGACAATCTCGACACCGCGTTCAAGCAGCTTGTCGAGGATGCCGGAGTTGTAGAGCGACTCGAAAACGTCACCGTGACCGGGAGGGTACCAGTCAGAGATTTGAGAGTTGGCCGACTTGGGGGCGGGGAGGAGCGAGTCCTTGAGGATACGGGGGTATCTTGACTGGTTGAAGGTCATGATGTCGATGTTGTGGCCCTCGTACTTCTTGATGATGTTGGCGGTGTCTGCGTCGGTGTTGAACGAGTTCATCAAGACGAAGGGAACGTTGACGCCGTAGGTGCGGTTGAGGTACTCAATCTGTCTGACGGAAAGATCGAGGAAAGACATGCCATCACGGACCTCGATGACCGACTTGGGACCAACACAGCCCATGGAGGTACCAAGACCACCGTTGAGCTTGAGGACGGCGAGCTTGTTCAAGAACTCAACCGACTCCTGCTCGGGCAGGTCCTGGTAGGCAACGACCTGCTCGGGCTTGGGAGGAGCAATGCGGGACCACTCGATCTCGTTGCCCTTGGCCTTGTCGTTGAGGTATCTGCGGAAGAGAGCGAAGAAGTTGTCCATCTCAGTCTCGAAACGCTATTCATCTGCGTTAGATGCCAGGGACGCACAGCTCTCTGATTGCAGAAAACTCACCTGCTTCTCAGCGGGGTCGGTGACCGAGTCACACAGGGTGTTCAGGGCATTGCGCATCTGCGAGGCAGCGACCGAGGTCGAGGTGTTCTCGAAGGCCTAATTGCACATTGTCAGCAACTTGCAAGATCGAATCAAAGAGCTGTGGAGCTGGTAATTGCTGAACGTCTTTGACTTTGTTACGGTGCATAAGCTCGTAAGCGTAAGATCGAAGATGCATGTAACAAAGTGGGGGCCAAAATGATCCCGTCAGCTCAGCAAAGCTGAGCTACGGACACGATCGAGCTCCCCACCAAGTAGCAGCAGTCTTCCGCGTCTCTGCCTCGAAACAATGACACCGTGTCATGAAAGAAGATTCGCTGCCAGCTCGTGGAGGAGGGGTAATCAACGTACAACGTGGGATTGAGTCTTGCCGTGGTGTCTCTTCTCGAACTCAGCGCCGCCATTGGGCTTCAGGTGGGTTGCCATCTCGGAGGACATTTGCGAATGATGTGGATCTGAATTGAACTTTCAAGCTCGAGGATTAGAAACTGCTCGGTAGAACACGAATGATGGTGGGCAATTGACAAAACTCACAAGAAGAAGGTCAACTCAGAAAAAGTTGGTTAGGAGAAGGGAAGAAAGAGGGAAGGAGGACGGCTGAAACGAGTGCGCCAGGATCGTCGACTTTATAACCTGCCAGCTCCGCCTTTGGTTCGGGGCAACGACACAACAATAAATTATTAGCGGAATCAATCACAGCCTTGTCAGAATCGGGTTACAGAGCTGCACTAACGCCAAGTCTACTTTTCCCCGCCGCAGCACGTTGAGAGTCGAGCTTCAACAATTGAGCTATGGCAAGGGGTTGGGGGACCTACTATTGGACGACGAAAAAGCACTTCGGCAACCCATCTGTTCGAGACACTGTCCCTTGACGTAACTTTTGCATCGACATAATTGCAACGGCTGTATGTATTGTTCACGCCTGCTTCCTTCTTCGAGACCCAATGACCGTTGGGTGCAACGTTCTACACGAGATGCGAACACAGCACTTGCACCACCGCAAATAAACACTGCTGCCGTGTTAAGTAGGCAGAGCTCCACCTTGGTAACCTCAGGAAGTTCACGAACTGATCCGACCGAGATTAAAGTGGAACATGGGGATGTCAAAGCGCTCAGCGCTGCTATTTGAGGACAAATTCCTTGCCGGCTTCTGGAAGGGCTGAACTGTAACCCAGCAGGCCTTCCACTGCAGTAAGACCGAGCAACACAGTTGCAAGAGGAGCCGACTAGAAGCGTGCGAGGACAGCACAGCTTTTCTTAACAACGAAAACATCCAGAAGAAATGCTTTGAGAAGCTACTCTACCAAACCTCAATCGTAACTTGAAACTCGGGGGTCGAGGGCGATCGACAGGACTGGGCATGCGTGCGCGGCTGCCCGCCCGCCACGAACCGTTGCTGTGCGGTGAGCTCAGCCTGAGCTGTATGTGGCGGACGTCAATGAGTGGCGCGCGTCTTCTAGATTGGTGAGCAGCTGCAAGTCTCTCACCAAAGAGGTAGACGGTTGAACGCGGTAGAAGACAAAGTTGCGGCAAGCACTCGGTTGAGCCCGCAAGGTGGCGGCCTGTCCGAAGCTTGCAGCTCAGCAGCTGTTCTGTTGTACAATGACCATTGAAAAGCCAAAGGGGCACGAAATGTGATTGCACCTGAGCGTGATTAATGTACAGTGCTTGAGTTAAAGAGAAACAATGTCCGACAGCACATTGCAGTACGGTCCTCTTGCTATATCGAGAGTCTCTAATCAAACTGGGTATCTTTTTAGACCTAACCTGGAGAAACGCCACGCCACCACCAATAAACAGGTGTGCAGAAACCCATGCAGGAACCAAAACTCAATGCAGACCTCCGCGCCGAGCGCAAGTCTACGCACAGTGCAAAATGCAGAACAACCAAACAGTCTTGTCATTATCATCTCACTTTGCTCATGACCGTCTCCATTCCTCGTTCGACTTCGACTTCTGCAGCCCGGGCTTTGACCAGTCCTATCAAGGATCTATCACAGTCATCACGAGTTCTCAGAACAGCCTCGACCCAACCAATTTGCAGGTCCCAATTCTCCTGCTTGAATTGTTCATATGCATCTGCGACTGCGGGTCCTTTCTCGGCATTAAGAAGCTCGACGAAGGCATTAACAGCTCTCCATTTGTCTTTGATGGCAGGGAAAGAAGCCTCTTGAGTCGAGAAGAAGTTGAACACGGTCAGAACGTCGTCTTTGATCTTCTCGTTGAAGGGATCACCACGTCGGAATTTGACCCCTCGGTTACGAATCGCTGACAGATAACGGACTAGTAGTTCGTCGGCAAGCTCTTCGACGAGAACATCTCTCAGAGAAGGGTGCAAGACATCAGAGTAGTCGGCCAAGTAGTCTTCAAAGGTCGAAATTATCTGAGCCATTGCCTNTTTGTTGTACCAAGCAGGAGTGAAGAACTCGGCAAGAATGCCGCGAAAGTCCACGGAGAATATAAGAGATGTGAAGAGAGATATGCAATGTGTACCGAGATCGACATAACCGTCACGCAAGGTGTCGAGCTCAGTATTGGACGATAGTGCGTATGCTGGCGTGACTATCGTTTCATACTCGCGTCTGAAGGTTGTGAGGTATGATATCTGCCCTTGGTCTTCCTGGTCGTCAATGCATGCAATTTGGTCATTGGCAATCGCGACGAGCCAATCTTGCAGAGGTTGCAGACCTTCTTGCTCAGCCTGTGGCATTGTGGGCGAAGTATACTTTTGAGTCTCAGAATCGATGAGTTGCTGCCACATGGATTGCCTTGATTGCAGAGCACGCATCATGGACTCAACGACACCTTCAACAACATCGGGTCTGTCGGAAGAGGACGCTACAGTAAGTTGCTCACGAAGCATACGCCACAAGTCGCCCAGAGTCTTGGTCCGTAGATGGCCCTCTGCGTCTGTGTCGAGCGTGTTTTCTTTGCGCTCGAGGAAAGTCTGCCGATCAGTAGTCGACATGCGATCCATCCATTGCTCCACAGCATTAGTAATGAGACTTCTGTATTCACGGATGATGTCTGCTTCTCGGTCGTCTATGACATGAGGATGAAGCTGATCGGCAGATACTCCAAGCTTGTCCATCTTAGCATAGTACTTGGCGACCCAATGGACTATGGCCAGCATGTGGGGAGGATTCAGCTGGTCGTCCTGAACCTTCGACATGAGGAAGTCGTGCATAAGCCTGTGATATATACCGACATAGGTTTTGAAGATCCGCCACTTTCTAGGCATGAGAGTTTGCATGCCGAGCTTGACGGTGTTGAGATCGTTGAAGTACCAACGCACGCTTTTCTCGAGCTTGTCCGGATCCTCGANAAAGGTGTCCCCAGCTTGATCGAATTGAGCCTGACAATTGTATTCGATGGCTTTGAGGAACTTGTCTTTGTAACCGCGCAGTTCCTTTTGACCAGCGTTCATGGATTTGAAGCGAGAGGCCAGGTCTTTGAACTCACGGTGGGCATGCTGAAGTGCCTCGACCTGGCGGTCTTTCTCCTCTTCTTTCTCGACAATCAAGGCCAAACGTACGATAATGCCATTGTTGCCTGACTGGACAAGGGGGATCAGATTCAGACATGCGGTACCTACGTGCTCGTCAAACCAATCGATCACATCATCCAGCCTGGTGAAGTGGTCTTGCAAGGTGGCACCTGTCTCGCCAAGCTGGAGATTGTTTATGAGTTCGGTGCCAGAGTCTTCGGTTGAAGATTTGATTGAGTCCAAAGCAATGTCCCGAATATCGCGCAATTTGGTGAGGCCATAATGTATAGCAAGGAGATTGTCTTGAATCTCGGTATTCTCATCATCCTCACGGAGCAAGTTTTCGAGCTCGTCCAGATTGCGACCAAAAGACTCAATCTGTGCCTTCATGTCTTCGACTAGGGCGAAGTTGCGATGTGTTTGTGCAACTTTATCGACGAAAGGAAAGTCCTGGATCATATTCTGGGCCTCAACGCAGAGGCGATCGATCTTGATCATCTCATCCTTGATCAAGTTGACAGTATGTTGACCATCATTGATACTGGACATTCCTTGTTGGGTAATCTCGAGCTGCTCCTTGAGACCTATACGTAGCTGGCCGTCGACAGCAGCCTTCTTGCGCGTAAATTCACCNNCCTTCAACGATGAGATCTTGTCCAAGTCGTCAGGATGCCGCAAGAGCTCGGCCAACCTGTTGGCGACATCATCCGTGTCATTCATGGTGAGAGAAGATAGAACAGCAACACACAGAGAGGCATCTACAAGTGACAAGCGTCCATGGGAGTACACGGAGGTGGGAGTGCGGGGATCGGCGAAAACAAATCAGCGGGCCGACATGCAATCATCAATTGCATGCTTGCAGCCGCCATCAGCTTTTCTCATTTACAGTCGGACTATTCGTCGCGCGACCCTCCTCGTGAGTAGCTAACAAGACTTGCGCCGTCGCTGGATCTTCTACTAATGCCCGACAGACAGCCATGTCATACTTCCGCATTACTCTGCTTCGCTCGTCGATCGGCTTGCCCAAGCAAGCGTCGGGCGTCCTCAAAGCCCTCGGTCTGCGCAAGCGCATGAAGACTGTCTACCACCCCGTATCGCAACAAGTCGCCGGTCAGATCTTTGCCGTCAAGGAGCTCGTCGATGTCCAGGAGGTCGACCAGAAGTTCTCNCCCGAAGAGCTCAAGGAACTCAGGAGGCCCGACTCTGGCTTCTACGTCGAAAGCCGTGTCCAGGATCAGCGCATGGATTGAACCAATCCAATTCTACACCACTAAATCACTTAGCGACATTGCCTGCCTCATGTCTGCACGCCTGTCCACACCAAGCCGAAAAGCCAAGGGCTCACTCCACCCTGCTGAGGCCAACCTACGATATCCCATCCCGTTCAAGGCGTACAAGGAGAGAAGACATGGATTTTTTTTTTCTGGGAAGGGACTTGCTACATATTTTGTTTGGGAACGCGAGGAACAGCATGAATCAAGAATTGCCACGGCACTTTGAATGCAACAAACCTTATACACGTACGCGTGTCATGTCAAACATACATCGCATTGTGCATTGAATTGGATCTGCCACTGTTGGTTCTTTGGGGCATTTGGAAGGCGCAAAAATCCATGTTTAGGTAGTTACAGGTTCGGTTGGGCCTGTTTCAGCTGTGTGTGCTGATTGTGGTTCAGCAGGAGTACGAGCTGCCGCAGCTGCGTTTAACCTTTGATCAAGAGCTTTCAAAGCAAGCGCTCTCCTCCTCTCTGCTTCTTCCCGCCGACCTCCAACATGACCTCCTCTTCCGCCAGTCATCAAGCTGGGTAGCCCGCCCTCTGCCCGCGCAGACGCCTGTTCGTTGCTTTGATCGATGGCTTCTTCAGAGAATGGCACACATAGCCTGAAGGCCACCATAGTCTTGTAGATGGAGTCGGTCAAAGGATCGAGAAGAACCTGGATCGAGTCGGGAAAGAAGTGAGAGAAGGCAAAAGTGTCGCTAGCATCGCCCTTTATGACAGCTTCTTCACCTGTGGCAGTTGTGGCCAGCAAGGGGGCTATTCTGTAGAAGCGCAAGTAAATCCAAGAGGTCAGGAAACCCAGCCATGACANAAAGAAGGCAGTGTCGGTGCCTAGTAGGGGGCCAGACAAGCTGTTCAGCAAGACAAAGACAGCGGGGAAGTGCTTGACGCGCATACGGATCGAGGCACGGAAGAGGGAGACGGTGTGTTCAGGCACGAGCTGCTTGAAAGCGACGAGGAAAGCGGCTTCGAGGGCGACATTACCATTGATGATGGTGTTCCTAATCATGTCAGCAAGGAACAGTGTCTTATGGCAACAGGCATGGACTGACGCTCGAATCTGACTTCCCGTAACGAAGAACCACAGAGAGTAAACACCCAAGGTCAATAAACTTGGGATCATGGTCACAAACAGGACAAACTTGGCGAATTCTTGAGTGGACCAGGCGCGTTCCAGATATCTCCCTCCATAGAAGATGGTGATGGCGGATATGGCAAAACTGACGAGGTTGGTCTCAACCAGGGCAGCAGTAAGTGTGGTCCATGGGTATTTTAACGACTTCGCAGGGATGATGGCCAGGGCAGGAACGGCCTGGACGCGGATGAGACTGCGTACACTGAATGAGGCATTAAGCAGAGAGCAGATCAACAAGAGGAGCAGTAATGCGCGGGTCAGTGGCGGCAGATTGATGCGAATGGGCATGGCGGCAAGGACGCAGAAGGTTTACGGAAAGCAATCAATCAATCAATGAATCAACAGGGCAGCGCAGCTTTCCTGTCGCGCGTCAGCCCCACATGTTTTGAGCTTTGGCGGGGAGCAACGTAGCGGATCGGAGCCAGCGGAGCGGAGACTAGCACGCCTTGGCATGCCAGTGGAACTGGGTCCTTGCTGGTTGATCGCATTGTCGCATCGCATAACACCTCACACAATCTTTACCGCAAGAGTCAATCGCATTCAAGTTCTTGCCGTCGGGTCTCGCACACAGTTGGCAACAGGCTCCCTCTCCTCTAGGCGTCATGGGTGACGGGGCGCTGGGCTCGGACCACATCAATTACTTGATCCTCCGCTATCTGCAAGAAGCAGGACACGAGAACGCAGCTAGAGCTCTGCACCAGGACTGGCATCGTCCGCAAGAATACGGCGACCCCGAGAAGCTGCCTTTTGCTCCTCTGGTCAAGCAGCACGAGCTGGTCCACATCATCCAGGATGCCATCTTCCACGACCAACTGCTCGCTCAAGTCACCAACCAGTCACGCCGCTTCAACTTGACCACAAGACAATTCGCTCATCGCTCCTCGACCGACAGACGACCCTCTACGAATCAACATGACTTTCCTCTTCCTCCTGCCAAACGCTCGCGCAAGAGCAATGACTCGCTTAACCCAGACAGCATGCAAATCGATCCCACACCACAAGACCATGACCAAGACGCAGACCGCGACCCTACACCAGATGCCAACGAGCCAGAACACATCCCCACCACCTCATCTGCCACTCAAACCGACAAGAAGCTCAAGTCAAAGTCAGAGACCATGTACTGGGCCTTGGACCAACCCGACGCTTCCATCATGCATGCTCTGTGGAATCCTCAACTCTCTCAATCCACCCGCTTGCTCACTGTAGGCGAGTCCTTGTGTCGCTTCTACGACCTGCCACACCACACAAAGAATGGCCTTCAACGTGCTCACCACATCGACGCCGAGACCATGCCCAAGGGCTCCGTCATCACTGCTGCCTGCTGGCATCCATCTGGCCGATATGCTACATGTGCCCTCGATTCTACCCGCCGCTTACCAGGTGGTCGTCACGAATCAGTGAGGTCTATGTTTGATGCCAGTCTTCAAGGCAACAAAAGGTTCTATGACCTTCATGGTTATCTGCTCCAGCATTCTGCCATTATCGTCGCTTTACGCTATAACAATTCTGGTACCCGCTTGTTGAGTGTTTCGACAAATATGAAACGTGGTCTGGTCGAGATCTGGGATGCTAGTCAACCCGCCACCTCGCTAGATCCTGTCGCCGTCAAGCTCTTTAACCAGCCCGTCATTGATGCCGTTTGGGCTTCTGATGACTCAATTGTTGTCTGTGGGGAAAACCGTCTCGATTTCTATCAAATTCATGATGCTTCGCTACCCAATGGTGCTGATGCGAATGGCGACTCNTTTGCTTCTACCGGCACCAGAAACTTTGCTCTACAGTATTCGCATCCTACAGATAAGCAGTGGGACAAGGTACGCTATGACTCTGTGAACGGTGTTGTTGCTGCAACTTCATCGTCTGATGACTGCACCATATTGCTCGCCAAGACTAGTCCTCGTTGGACTCTTCTGCCTGGCTTTCCCACCGAAGGCCCTGCCAGCAAACGCGCTACCGCCATGGCATTCCAACCAATTGGCACTACAAAAACAAGCGATTCGACATCGCCGAGGCGCCTTGCCGTGACTCACGACTCTGGGCTCGTAAGAGTCTACAGGGTCGCATCGAACCTGTGTGAGACCCTGCACGAGTTTACTATGGGCCCTCACGAAGCTGCCTTAGCTTTGTCTTGGTCGCCTACAAATTCTTGTCTTGCTGTGGCAAGTGAAGAGGCTGTAAAAATCTGGGATCTCGGCGCCGGATCAATACCTCTCCTCACATGGCGAGCCGCTGCGACACATTGGTATCGAGGCGATGAGAACAACTTGCCCAACGGTGATGAAACGGGCGACGAACCAAGTCTGAACTGGGATGCTGAGGGCAANAGGCTAGTGTTCGCAGTGGGCCGTAAAGTAAGTNNATCATCCAGTTATCGTTCGCAAGTACCAATTTGCTAATGTTCATGTAGATGGCCGCAATACGTTTGCTAATGCCTTCCAAAACTGCTCAGACGCAAGATGAGCTCGGGGTCACAGACTGATCATTGAAAGCATCGAAGGAGAAACAGAAAAAGTTCTTGTCATTCTTGTCAGATACCCCCATTTTTGAATAACTTTACGATACACAGAAAGAACACTCATGATAGACGAGCTACCGCATTGCTGCATGATAGCTTTGGTTAGTAAATCAAGACACGTTTTGAAACCAGATTCGGAGATGCCAGAACACCTCGTGTAACACTTGAATCTTACAGAATGCGCTGAGGCCTTAGCTAAGGGAACTAGCCTCTAACGACATGTTCGACTCTATCTGCGCGTAAACTGACAATCGCGCGATGTAGAAACGTTCTATCCACGTCTATTGTCTCATTTACTCATAGCCTCCAAGAATCCCTCACCGCCTGATTTTGTCTCAACAGCCTTGAACTTGTCACCACCATCCAGACCCTTCTCTGCTCGCTCATAGGCTTCCTCGCTTCTGTCAGTCAGAGTGTTTAGTTCCTCTTCCGACAGCAGACCCTTGGTTCCCTCTTCGAGCTCCACTCTTTCGCCATCTTGCTGTGCCAGTAACTGCTGCAGTTCTGCGAACTCGGCACCTGACACTTCACCCGCACGCATCGATCTGAATTTGCCTTTCTGAATGACCAATTTTTCCAGTCTTCGTTTTGATTCTGCTTTCTCCAGTAGCAGTGTTTCGACCGTGCCTTTGGTTGCGAATCTATACACAATGACTGGTCTTGTCTGGCCGATACGATGAGCACGGTCTTGTGCCTGCAGATCCTGTTGTGGGTTCCAATCGCTGTCGAAGAGGAGCACTGTATCTGCAGCTGTGAGGTTGATTCCCTGGCCACCCGCACGCGTGCTCAATAGGAAGATGTTGGTCTCAGATTCTGCCGAGTTGAATTGAGCAATTTGCTCCTGTCGGTCTGGCTGCGAAACACCACCATCGATGCGACTGCACTTCCATCCGCGCAAGACTTCGCAGTATGTCTCGATCAGGTCGAGCTGGGTCTTGAACTGACTGAAAATGAGCACCTTGTGACCACGTTCGAGCAGTGTGGGCATCAAAGAGTCTAGCAAGAGCATTTTGCCGCTTTCGGTGACCAGTGTCTCATCTACATCACTGTTGTCTTCCTCCATGAAAGGATAAAAAAAGTTATGAGGCGAATTGCAACAAAGACGCAACTGCAGCACAGGGTTCTGCAACTTCTTGGCTCCAATCAACTTCTTAGCCAGAGCCAGTGTCTGTGCTTGCTCTTGAGCTTCCTCCTCACTCGAGTTGAGCGGCTGTTCTTCGTCCTCTGATTGTTCGTCTTGTGCTTGCTTGAAATAGGCAGTGTCGGATAACTCTTCATAGTTTTGTGCTTTCTTGGCTCGTCTGCTGCCGCGACCGCTAGCTGCTGTTGCTGGTGTAGACGCCCTACTAGACTTGACACTTTTGATGGGTGTGACGCTTCCTTCTTCAGGTCTGCTACGTTTAAGGCTGGAACCACGAGTGCTACGAGGCGTGTTGGTTCCGCTCAGACTTTCGACAGCTTTGTTCTCGAGGTAGGCACGACTATTGCCCTCCAGAATCTCTTGGTAAAGTTCTCGTTGGGTGGCCATAAGAGGTGCATATAACACATACTCGCGCTTCTTCGGGAGAGAGGTCTCAACATCTGTCTTGATTCGGCGTAGCAGGAAAGGCTTCAAGATGGCGTGAAGCGACGTAACGAGGTTGGTCTTACGCTCCTCAGACAAGATATCCTCGTACCCGTTGCGCTGGTTCAATGCAGAGAAGTCGAACCACGACTCGAAAGACTCGAGCTTGTCGAAGATAGTGGGCATGAGGAAGTGCAGCAAAGACCACAACTCAGTCAGGTTGTTTTGTAATGGCGTTCCAGTTATCAGCAGTCGGTTGGCTGATTGATAGGATTGCAGCTCCCTGATCAAGCGGCAGTTCAAGTTCTTGATGCGGTGGCCCTCGTCAATGATGATAAACTTCCAACCATAATTGGCAAGGAACTTGCGGTCATTCATGCATATTTCGTAAGAAGTACAGATGACTGGGAAGTCTTTGCTGCCAGGGTTCTTGAACCTTTTCCGGCGAATCTCCTCTCTTTCTTGCTTGGACCCGTGATAGAGCACAACTGGAATGTCAGGAGTCCACTTGTGGAATTCATTGACCCAGTTGCTGGTTGTACTTAGAGGTGATGCGATCAAGAATGGTCCATACGTGCCCTTCTCACGCAAGAAGGCGAGGAATGAGATCGTCTGAATGGTCTTTCCCAAACCCATCTCGTCGGCCAGAATACCATTCAATCCGTTCTCGTAAAGTGATGTGAGCCATTCGAGACCTTCGAGCTGATACGAACGCATCAGACCACCGCTTACAAGAGCCGGCTGCTTGGCAGATCGAAGGTTCTGTACACCAATTTCACCAGCCTTGACATCGGAGTCAGCCTCTTCAGCAAGGGCCTCATTCACTGATTTGTCGCCGGCCTTGGCTTTTAAGTCGTCTTTGTTAAGATAGTCGGATATCTTGCCGTTGCCAGCCTTAAGTTTTGTTGCTGCTGCTCCTCTAGCTGATTTTCTTCGGCCTCCAGTGGCCGTCTCTTCTGTTGCTTGCGTTGCTGTCTCCTGCACCGCGTTTGCTGATCGAGTTGCTCGTTTTTGGCTGACTTCGGCGGCTTTCTCTGCTGTTTCCTCTCGTTTCAAAGCTCGTTTCTTTCCCTTTTCGTCGGTAGCTTGGTCTTCCTCCTCCTGCCTTTGCATCTGAGCGAGCATAATGGTCGAGTATAGCTTGCTCTGGTTCAACAGGTACTCGAGGGCTTTGAACTTCGTATCGACAACTTTCTTGCCACCTTTCAAGTCTTTCTGTCTCTCTGCTTCCAANNGCTCTTGATCACGTTTTTCTTCCTTGACTCTGCGAGCTTCTGCCATTTTTGCTTCTTCTGCTTCCATGTTGGAAGAAATTTCGCTCTTCTCCTTCTTCAAGGAAGGGATAGTCGGGCTTGCTGCATCTTCAGCTTTGGCAGCTCCTTGTGAACGACGTGCCATCGTAGTTCGATGTTGTGCTCAAAAACCTGATGATTAAAGAAGTATCCAATTGAGATACCAGCCGAAGAAGAATTGATGATTGGTTGCGAAAAGTGGCTGATGCAGTTTCCATATGTCGTCAAATATTAGAATCCAGTGATATGACGAACACGCGCACCGACGCGTGTTCGTCAGTGGAAAGCGCGATCTCGTGCCACGATCTACAATAAATTGTGTCGATCGTGTAGATCTCAGATCAGCCAATGATACACGACTATCTTCTACTTTCATTCCTTCGTCCTCCCTATCTTCTCTTCTGAGTAGGTCGTGTGTTACATGGAAGTATTAGAGTAATTGCTTCAACCATAACGGCCCACGCGCCTTCTGTCGTCGAGCTGCTTGGACCGACGGAGTAACCGACATTCCATTCAAGACTGGTCATCCTCATCGACTAGCAAGTGCCTTTTCCTTATGACAGTCAGATGACCATCAGCTTCAGGCACCAGTTCGATACTCAAGTATCTACTGACTATAAATCCTGTCATACTGCTCATCCCTAAGTCCACAAACCCCGTTATCTCCTCTATACCGGCTTTAGAGCTAGGTGCTAGGGTGACCCTGTTCGCTATCTCCATGACCACACCTCCTATGCATGAGTAGACTAGAGTATAAATACGTCGTCCAGGAGGCCAGGATGACTTTTTGAATCCATAGTGTTGTTTGAATCACAAAATCTTCTCTCGTCAAATATTGAACCAGCAATATGTCCAACATCGTTCTTGTTAGCGGAGCCAACCAGGGAATCGGCTACGAGATTGCCAAACAACTCAGCCAAATGTCCGACTATCATGTTTTCCTCGGATCGAGAGACCTAGACAAGGGGAAAACAGCTGCTACCCAAATACAAGAAATCGGAGGAAGTGTTGAAGCAATTCAGCTCGATGTCACTGATCGTAAATCATTGTCAGCCGTAAGACAATACATCGAGACCAAATTCGAACGTCTTGATGTCCTCGTCAGCGTATAATTAGCACGACCCTCATACACCACAAATGTATACTAATATATACTCTGACAGAATGCAGCAATCCTCCTTGACCCTAAAGTCAGCCCCGAATACTCTCTAGGTCAAGCAACGCAAGACACTTTTGCTACCAACACTTCTGGAGCAGCAGACCTAGCCGGAGAGTTTGTGCCTCTCCTCAAACGTAGTCGGCTACCACGAATGGTCTTTGTGTCGAGTGGTTACGCCAGTCTGCACTTCTTCGCCAACTTCACGCCCTCGTACACCACGGCCAAGTTCTTTACTCCAGCATATGCGTGCAGTAAAGCTGCGTTGAACATGTTGATGCTGCACTATAATGTGCAGTATGGAAACAAGGGTTGGAAGATCAACGCTTGTTGTCCTGGTTTTACGGTTAGTTGCCAAGCGTGTACCAGAGAATGTGCTGCTGACTGTTGCTCGCTATAGAAGACCAATTTCAGCAACCACGATGAGCAGGCTGGCCCTGCGCAGGAAAGTGCGCAGATTGCAGTCAAGTTAGCAACGCTGAATGAGGATGGCGAGACCGGTACATTTGTCAACACCAAAGGGCAGATTGCATGGTGAACATCGAGTCACTTTGTTTGAGTAGCTCAAAGGTTGATGAACAATTGTGAAACATTTTTGTTAATCATGAACGTTATCTGCGTAAAAAATATATTCAGCTGATCCATACACCGTCGACAGATACCACTAGAGACCACTGTCAATCTGGGGGAAGGCCATGTGAGCAGCGTACTGCTTCCAGCTCGAACACTGATCCGTGAACTGCGTCTGATCAGGCAATACAATCTGGTTCTTGGCCTCGAGGAATTGGACTCCCAGACCCTCAGAGATATGCCAGGCGATATGGCAATGCATGAGCCAAGCACCAGGATTGTTAGCCATAAACGCCACGACGAGCCAGCCACCAGCAGGCAAAGTAGCTGTGTCCCTACGGGGAGGGTTCTCAAAGTTCAGCTGATCCATCATGGTCGATGAATCGAAGTTCGATGACGCTTGGTGACCGAGCACGAAGAAGTCATGACCGTGCAAGTGGATTGGGTCAACAAAGTACGTTAGCATGTCATCGTTAAAGACCAGTCAAGGGGTAAACATACGAGTGATGGGTGGCGATCCAGATACTTGCTGAATGACCCAGTAGGTCCAAACGCCCTCGTTGGGGATCTCAATCACATCATACTCTTGGGGCCAAGCTTCGCTGTTATTGAATACATAGCCCAGTGTTGGCCTGTCCCAGTGAATCGACATNNGGCTAAGTGATGTTAGCATGGGTGCGTACACATACACGTGAGAATGCTTACCGGTAGTGTTCAAATGCCACAAGAGCAGGTTCTCTCCGTTGACTGTGACACCGTCGCCGAAACCGGTACTCAGAGTCTTTGCTTGAGCAGTAAAAGTATCTTTATCGACAGATTGCTTCCAGTAAGGAGTAGTGGGCTGGTCTATGCACTCAGATGAAGGAGGAGTCTCGTTCGAGTCCTCAGGCGTGGATGTATCAGACGCATCATATCTGAAGATGGCACGACCATTGCCGTCACTGAAGCTTCCACATTGATTGGCAACTTCTGCTCTGAACCAATAGTTGCCTGATGTCTGATTGGCTTCGATAATCACATCGTACCTCTGACCAATGGCGACCAACAGCCACTCAGGTGCGGGCTCTGGGTTCACAGGAATAAAGTCGGCAGCAATAATTGTGAACGGGTGGCCATCGAGCTTGACCATCATGTGACTATCAACTGAAGTGTTGATGAGTCGCAGACGGTGCTTCTTGCCCTTGGTGAGTGTGACCGACTGGTATTTACCGCCAGGGCCGTTGTCGTTTGTGCCATTGAGCAAAAGAGTGTTTGAAGNGGGTGCACCCTTTCCTTCCTGAGAGGCGATGGAGGCCAAAGCATTGACTACGTCGGCGTTCTGGTAATACCAGTCCATCATTGGGAAGGTACCGAGATCGATATCGTAGTTGTCCGTGGCGGGTCCGTCTATCAAGATAGTTCCCACCACGCCCATGCCATATTGACTGGTATAGTGGCTGTGATACCATGAAGAGCCATATTGCGTGCAATGGAAGGTGTAAGTCTTGGTTTCACCCGGAGCAAGTGCACACTCAGAGATACCATTCACTCCATCCATTCCGGGCGTGTTGTACTGGCGAACTCCGTGCCAGTGCACGCTTGTNNCTAAAAATGTCATTAAAGGCACAATACTGCAGTCGCAAGCAAAACTTACTCCATTGTTTTGCATAGAGTTGGTAACGGTGATCGAGAGCATATCACCCCAGCTGGCTCGGATGACAGGCCCGGGTAGTTGTCCGTTGAACAAGAGGCACTGTTGTTCATGTGCTCCATCGGGGTTGCATGTCGTGTTGGTAATCTCAAGATTGTAGCTGACTGTCTTTCCAGTAGAAGGGAATTTTTGATCGANAACTTCAGAGATGGTCAGCAAAAAATTTGGCTGTGAAACAATAAGGAGCACATACTCTGTGGCAATAGAGTAGCCATCCTTCCAGCAAGCGCGAGTGTATGGGCCGTTGGAGCAAGAGCTATCTGCGACCAAAGTTGGGTGACTAGCAGCCGACGAGGTCGAAGAGGCCTGACGGCGGACCATCTGGCCCATTTGATCTTTACCCCATAAATACTTTCTTGCGGGAGTAGAAGCAGAAGTCACAGACGCCAATGCCAATAGGCAGCTGGCGGTGAAGCTCCCAAGATGCATCGGGGTTATCTTGAACAACGAAGAACAGGATTGAGAATTGGCTTAGTTCAAGATGGTTGAGGAGAAAAATGCTCCCAGATATGTAGGAGGCAAAGGCTGCCAGTAGTGATGGGTGAGATGAATAAGAAGGTACACACGTCTGACTCGACCTTATATACGTAGGACCATGATATTTGGATTTCGACAGACGGAAGAGCGGCTCCAGAGTATGTGGATCGCGTGTACACAGATCCACACTGTCAGGCAAATATCATGCCCAGCCGTCGTGAACAGGGGATGCAAGGCTGTGCAGGAGCCATCGCGAACAAGCTTCCGTGTAGAGCCCCATCTTAATGCTAAGTATTACGATTGGATCTTGAGATGATGAGGGTTAGAACGGCATACGCTCGAGCAATCAGATTTGTGATGCTATGTGGACCGTGACATGTGGGTCGCCAGACAGACAAGATCTCGCACCCGGAGATTCATGCATGTTACATCTCTAGAAGTTGATCAACGAAGCCTTTCGGAGTAATAGCAGTGACGTACTGAGTTAGTCGTAGATCTCGGGCCGATCGGCATGGATTGTTTCCCAAAAGGGAACTGAGTTTGCCAGTGCTACGGAGTTTTGGAGATGTCCCGAGTCAAGGCTGAAGTCAGCCGTGGAAGTAGAGCTGAAGAAGGATTGGATAGATGTGGCAAGAAAGGCTCTTACGCTGGACCTTAATGTCAAGAATAGGATCCAGTGTCAGCCCTGCGCACAAGGCCAAGGAAAGCCACGGCGTCAACAAATGCTTGTCTCGACGGCTTTCTCGTGGCTTGGATTACGATCTTGAGATTACGCAGACAACCGGTTCCATCATACAAACAGGTAAACTCGAAGGTGGAGCTTGGTGTTGAGCAGAGAAACGGAATGAAGGCAGAGTGACGGCAGAGTTGTGTAGGTAAGCGAAGAAGGGCTGATCGTGGTTCGAGAGGCATGCTAGCAGGTAGACATGGGTACTCTTGTAACGAGCTGAGCATGAAGACATACATGTGGTAAGCAAGGACCTGAAAGAGTATGTGTGGTCCGGAAGGACGACTACAGGCAGACTCCGCGGGAATAAGACAAGAAGCTTCGCTTCAGTTCATATCGGAGCAATGCTGGAGCTAAGATGGCTTTCTGTCATCTAAACCTAGACACACAAATGCTCAAGATCAGGGTCGTTCTTGATGAGTGGTAATAAGGTTTATATCGTGGCCAGGTCTTGTGCCGGACATTATGCAGAAGGTGTTCCTAGACGTGACCAGATGGAAAAGCAAGAAGGTTGAGGGGAAACTTCTACGATGGTTTCGGATGGAGCCTACACGAGGATTCAATAGACCTAAGTTGTTGTGCCATATTCGATTGAAGGATTATGGCAACTGGTCAGCGCTGACAGGACGCGCAAGGCTCGGCGGGAAACATGATAGTCCGAAAATCGATAAAAACTTGTCGATACGTATTCAGACATGGTAGAGTGGGGGTTGAGAGCCGTGGTATCCGGTAGGAGCGCGATGTCGACCAGGTAAGGATTTGTGTTGTTTGTACACAACGACACGGTGCTGCAGCAGCAGCAGGTGGAAAGGGTCGAGAAAGGCGGAGGTGGTGGATTGGGGAAAGAAGCGGCGCGCAGTGGGCGGTCGGAGCAGCCAAGACGTCACATGCCGATGCATGCTCAGGTCCAGGAACGCGACCAGATAGCTTGCGGATGCTCGGCAGTGCTCACACAACTACCTATCTTGAATACACCGTGACACAGCGCATCAACGACGAGACACGGTTGCTGAGAGCCGTCGTCCTACAAGCCACCTGAACCACACAAGTCAATCGAGCCGCGTCCTACAGCCTTGTCCCCTAGCCACGCAGCGAGACATAGATCATGGCGACCAAGCGCATCGAGCAGTGGGAGGTTGAACGCTACTGGGAGATTTTCGCTTCGCTCTCAAATGGTGGCACACATCTCAATGGTGCCCAGGCAGCCTCGGTCCTAAAGAACAGTCAATTGCGTGACGACCAGCTGGAGCGAGTATGGGATCTGGCAGATGTCGATGGTGATGGCAGCCTCGACTTTGAGGAATTCTGCGTAGCCATGCGCTTGATCTTCGATCTGGTCAATNNGGGGTAAGCATATGCCAATACCCACCTTTCTTCCCTGCACTGTCTGATTGCTTTTCAGGAATACATGGATGTCCCGGCCTCATTGCCAGACTGGCTTGTCCCCGAAAGCAAAGCACATCTGATCCAAGCCTCGCACGCCATTTCAGGCCGTCAACCCCAGTTCGAACAGGTCGACGATCTAGAAGACGACACGCCAGGACTCAAGGATGGCTTCGACTGGTACATGCCNCCCTCTGATCGCACAAAATACGAGGAAATCTACAGTGCAAACCGCGATCCGCGTGATGGCAGCATCACCTTTGACTCTCTCAACCCTCTCTACGAATCCCTAGATGTCCCCGACACAGACATGCGCAGTGCTTGGAATCTCGTCAACCCGCGCAGCGACCCAGCTATTGGCAAGGACCAATGTCTTGTTTTCCTCCACATGCTTGCCAATCGCCACGAGGGTTATCGTATCCCCCGTTCAGTCCCTCCAAGTCTCCGCGCCACCTTCGAACAGGGCCGTATCGAGTATCAGGTCGACAAGGTACAAACCGCCGCCGATCGCTGGGGTACCAAGCGTGATGACAGCACCATGAGCGGCAAGAAGCAGAAGTTTGGCGACGCATATCTCAGTCGACTGGGAGTCGGTGATCGTGGTGCTTACAGACCAAAAGGTACCGATTTCACCGCTACCCGTACTGATGCTGAATGGGAGGAGGTGCGCCTGAAGAAACAACTGAAAGAGCTCGAGGAGAAGATGGAAAAGGTTGAAGAGCAAGCAAAGAGGCGACGGGAACGCGGCGGCAGACGGGATGAGAGCAAGCCTGCCTTGGTCAAGCGTGAGCTCGAGCAATTACTTGATTGGAAGCGTCGTGAGTTGCGCGACCTTGAAACAGGTGAGGGAACAGCAAAGGTCGGCCAGGGCTTGAAGGGTCTCAGCGACGAGATCTCAATGGTCAAAGAGCAAGTTGATGGCCTGGAAGCACACCTACGGAAGAGAGAGGAAGTGCTCAGTGATTTGAGAAAGCAGATTGATGATGAAAAGGCGGCAAGATGATTGTATATACCCATGTGATGGCAGCCATGCTTTGCCTTGTATCAGTCAAACGTGTAATGGTAGGAATGTCCTGATTGTGGAATCGAGTATTTAAATAAGAACGAGAAGTGGCATGTAGACGCTATAATATGCATCCTATAAGAGCGAAACAGTGACTTTAGTGCCACTAATAATGACTATGAGCGAGCCTCCGATGACGCCGAGCAAACAAAAACCAGGGGTATCTCGATGTAAAAGCAAAACGCTATGCATAAAACAGAAGAAGGGCGGGGTGGCCTTATCAAGCAGCATCCACGAAGGGAGCAAATGTTCTGCTTTCGAACCTCTCACCGTCGTCACCAGACTCATCAATGTCCATACCATCATTGTCCATGTCTCTTTCGAGAAGTCGCTTGGGCCTTCCACTGGTGTTGAAGTTGGCAGTAGTACGCCTGGCTTGTAAGATGTCCCAGTAGCCTTGCAGCAGGCGTTTGACGTTGTCGTCGAAGTTAACGCAAAAACGTTGTGCCTGGACGATCTGCATGGCCTTGATGTGATCGACATCAGCCAGGATCTCCATGAGGTAAGCAGCAACGACAGCAGCAGAGCGTTCATTTCCGCTTTCACAGAAGACCAAGACTTTGGCATTGGGAACAGAGTTCATGTGGTCGTTGATGACAATAGCAGCGCGAGTAAAGGACGAGACGAGTTCGTAGGAACTGGACATGTCAAGAGCCTTCTTCTGAATGTTGATTTCATCGGCGACGTTGAGAGCGGCCTGCATGATCTTGCTCTCGAACGAATGGCGCTGGCGGACAGCCATGAGCAAGGTGATACCCTCGGCTCGTAGAAAGTCGCGATCCTTGACGGCACTCATGGGACCCAGGTAGAGAAAGGGAAGGATCTGTTGTGCTTGGCGACGACGCTCGTAACTCCAGTCCAGGAGGCTGCCTGTCACCATCTTGTCGTAGTTGACGGCAGAAAGCGGGCCCGACTGAGCGATGGGATGCAGGTTGAACTCAGGGGCCAAGTTGATGTTTGCTGTCGGCGGCGGTACGACGATACGTGGTGGAGTGGGCAGGCGGGCCGAGTATTCGTCGCCTCGAAGAGCGGCTGCCTGAGAGGCCATGGCGCTCAGACTTGTATCGATTGTGCGCCCGTGTAGGACGGATGAGATTGGTATGGTCTCTATGTTGTGTGTCGGATTGGTGTTTTGTTGGTGTGGCTGGGATGTGAATGTTCGACTCGAGAAAGTACGAGTAGACGTGCAACGACGTCAACCTTCAGCGCACCCCGCCGTCATTTCGCGCCTTCGCTTCTTCACTTTCACTCCTTCCTCTCCAAGCACCCATATGCACACCACCCAAGATGCCTCTTTCAACTCTCGAGTCTCTGGAGTCCTCACTCCAGACCGCCAAGCTCGCCGCTCGCTGTAATTACCCACATCGTGACGCAACCTCAGAATGCAACTGTAAATCCCTTGCCCCGCAGTCTCGACATGGTGTCTCATTCGTGCTGTTTGTCAGAGTACCCTACGCTGTTTGATCCCGCATCTTCATATACAAACGACAGGATTTCACCATGTGTTGCCCATGTGATGCTGCTGCGCCGATCGATGCGTGAACTTAGTATAGTAAACAGAGGCAGGTGCTTCCTTCCTGCAACCCCTCCTCTTGCCCAATCCATCTCATACCCATGTCTATCACCTGCCATCTTTTCATCTCCTTTAAAACCTTTCGTTGTCCCCTGTTCGTCCCATCTTCCTTTCCAACGTCCCTCAAAGATACTTGCCCAACATGCTTGCCAATTTGCTCTCGATCATATCTCTGCTGCTTGGCACTGCCATCGCCCAATGCCCCGACTACCTTGACTATTCCATGGTCAAGCACTATCCATACTCGGGAGGAGTCCGCAACCTATCGTATCAACGTCCTGAACCTGCTTGTCGTACTTTCAACCTTTCTGTTCTCGAAAATCAGGTCATATTCGACGTCATGCATGCCACCCCTGATCTTGATTTGTTTCGTCTGTTTCTCAATAGTGAGTACCTCCTGTCATCATCGAATCTTGGTGCTTACTTATCATANGCCTATCCCAATACCCTCGATACAGCCATCCGCTGGAAGGGCTATGCTGCCGATTCTCCGGATGAAGAGCTTACTTTTGTCGTCACTGGAGATATCGATGCCATGTGGCTGAGGGACAGCAGCAATCAGATGCAGTCTTACCTTCCCCTTCTGACTGCAAACTCATCTGTCGACTCGCTAGCCTCTCTGTTCCGTGGAGTGATCAACCTGCAAGCCCGTTATCTCCTCACCTCTCCCTACTGCAATGCCTTCCAGCCACCAGTCGAGAGCGGTATCGCTCCTGCAAAGAACCCTTCAGCTAGCCAAGATGTTGTTTTTCCTACTTATGAAAATGCCTCAGTCTTCGAGTGCAAGTACGAGCTGGATTCTCTGGCGGCTTTTCTACAAATCAGCTCGGACTACTACAACGCCACGGGAGACGTTACTTTCTTCGCTAAGCATCACTGGATCGAGGCTATTAACCACGTCTTCCAAATATTTGAAAGCTTGCAGTCTGCTTCAACTTATGCGCCTGATGGTCACGTTCAAAAGTCGAACTACACCTTCACTAGAGTGAGTGACCGTGCGACCGAAACTCTGGCAAACGATGGACTGGGCAATCCCTATAGTGGCGGAACCGGCTTGTTGCGCTCGGCTTTCAGACCTTCAGATGACGCAACTATCTATCAATATCTCATCCCTGCCAACATGATGCTAGCTCACTATCTCGAAGCAACTGCTCCTATCATGGTCGCGCTCAACAACTCAGCTAGTGCCGTCACTTCCGAGCGGATGACACAGCTTGCCTGTAGTATCAGACAAGGCATCGAAGAGCATGGCATCGTCACTGTCAACGGCAAGCACGTATATGCTTATGAAGTTGACGGTTATGGCTCTGCGAACATCATGGATGATGCCAATATCCCTTCGCTTCTGTCTGCACCATTCCTGGGGTATCTTGACGTCAATGAAGAAGTCTACCAGAACACACGTTCATTGTTGCTGAGCGGCCGCAACCCTTACTTCATGAGGGGACCTGTCATCAGTGCCATTGGAGGTCCTCATAATGGCCCCGGATACGCCTGGCCCATGGCTTCAATTGTACGTATACTGACCAGTGACAACGACACCGAGATCACCGAACAACTGGCCATGATTCTCGACAGCACTGATGGTCTTGGTTTGATCCATGAAAGCATAAATTCGTTCAACCAGACAGACTACACCCGGCCATGGTTTTCTTGGGCGAATGGACTCTTCGGTCAAATGATCTTGGATTTGCACGATCGCAAGCCTCAAATTCTTGCTCAAAGTTTTCAGTAGGTGGATCCGCATCACCAGTGAGAACATGCCGTATTATGGCTTCGAGTAAGCTTGAAACATGTACGAGGTTGCTCTGTGCGGAAGGAAATCTTATGGTACAGCCGTATGGTACTCAAACACGAAGCGAGGCGTACCAAGAGGGACCCTGATATGTTTAGACGACATTATGAACGGATTACAATTTCGAGCTTTGTTAACACCAGTCACTATATTCGATCGATGCTGGACCTTCGGTGGTAACGAGCTCAGGTCTTTCTCCCTTGTATGATAGAAGTATATAAAGTGTGTAGTCATAAAGATGCACAATGCTAATGCGGAATTGGGCACTCTACGCCTACAGGTGAGACTTTGCAGTCTTTCTCTCGGTATCTCTGCTCGAGAATGGGGTTTCGTTCCTGCAGGATAAGTTTCGGTCTATGCCGTTCGAGGATGGAGATACACATACTTTGGTTTTAGGGTCCTGGGCAGCCAAATTTGATCCCCATACGGATACGCAGATTCGCGTATGTACATACGCTGCGCTGTCGGGCCTAATCTGCCACAACATACTAAGCCACGTTGATTATACGATATTATGGCGGACGATATGCTATGTCATAGCCAAGTGGCAGAGAGAAAAACGTATTTAAGCAGGCTCTATGGTCACCAAGCACTTTGACTTTCAAGGACAATCATCAAGCAGCATGAAAAGCATCTCAACTCTGTCAGTCGCTTTGGCAATCTGTAGTCCTGGCACTGCATTGATCTGTAAATCGACACCAGCGGACTTCGACTGGCCTCAACCGTGGGAATGGAATGCCTTGAACCACACATTGGGAGGCGCTCTTCTTCAAACTCGCCCTGTTGCATCTGCATGCTACCCCAGCAATNNCCCCCTCAACTCGACTCTATCCTGCCGTGAGNNGGTAGAAGACGGGTGGAATTCAACGTACTTCCATGCTACCCTTCCTGAATCAGTCGATGCCACAATCTGGACCAACAACTCGTGTGTCCCTCCTGGAGTTGACGGATATGTCGAAGGTAACCCTTGTACTCTTGGAGCATATCCAGCATATATTGTGAATGCAACCTCGGACCAGATGATTGCGTATGCAATGCGTTGGGCCTCGCGACGAAATATGCGCATCATTGTCAAAGGAACTGGTCACGACCTTGACGGCCGGTAAGTAGTTGGCACCCTCCTTGGTCACACTAGCTAACATGATGTATAGNNCTCTACAGGCGCCCACAGTCTATCTATCTGGACCCGATATCTTAATCATATCGAGTTCGACTCCAAATGGAACGGGTCTGAAGATGTCGTCCCTTTTGGCAGTGGCCAACAATGGGGCAACGTCTACGACGCAGCTGCGAAGCACGGCAAAGTCGTGATCGGGGGTGCAGATGGTAGTGTGGGCCTTGGAGGCCATATACAAGGTGGAGGTTACGGACCACGTTCTGCACAATACGGTCTTGCGCCTGATCAGGTTCTTCAGGTCAGTATAGTGACCACAGAAGGAGAGATGCTTGTCGCAAACGACACTGCTCATCAAGATCTCTTTTGGGCCGTTCGTGGTGGAGGAGGCGGCAGTTATGGCGTGGTCACTGAATATGTACTCAAGACCTACCCAGCCCCTGCCAACACTGTAGCTGGAGTTCTGTCGATTGGTGGTGGGAAGAACACTACTGGAAACGTTACTTGGGATGCGTTTGCTATTCTGCTCAACCACATACCTGATATGATGGATCAAGGACTCTGGGGCAATGTTATCGCTTTTGGAAAAACACCAGGCGAAGTTTCCCTGACTGTCCAACTTTCGGCATATAACAGCACTGCGTCTGAAGTTACTTCTTTGGTCGAACCTGTCATCGCAGCAATAAATGCCATGACTGGCAGCGGTAACTCTAGCCTCTCGTTGCAGTGGAGCGAACCTACGGTTACTCCTTTCGATCGCAACAGTAGCTCCAGAACAGCTTCAGACACTGCGGGATCTGGTGGTCTCGAGACTAGTCGTCTGCTTGGCCGGGCACAACTTTCGCATCCCTGTGAGCAGGTGTCGTCCTACTTGCGTCGCATCATGTGGACCGAGCCCGGCTCCGGCAGTGCCATGCTCATCCTGGGTCTTATGGCGGGCCCTGGCGTCCAGAACACTCCTCTCGAACGTCAAGGAGCAGTCAACCCAACCTGGCGCAACGCCTACGTCCACGCTATTTCCGGCTCTGCTCCCGCCTCGAACGACAAAGCGACTCCAGTGCAAGCCATCAAACAAGATGCCGATTGGTACGAGATCCATAGAGAAGCCGTGTGGCGCGAATGGGCACCAAACATGGGAGCTTATATGAACGAAGCGAACCCTTACAACTCAAACTGGAAGCACGACTTCTTCGGCGTCAACTACGATAGACTCGCTGCTATCAAGAAGAAGTACGATCCTACAGAGTCTCTGTATGCTTTGTCGAGAGTAGGGGCTGAGTGGTGGAATTACGACTTGCAAAGTGGCAGGCTGTGCAGAGTCGAGTAAAGGAAGTTGAGCGCGTTGGGTAGTACGTACTGCGAAGAGAAAGAATTGAAGAGTGGACCTGGAAGCGGACGCAATGAGTGCCACATGACAGTTACTAAAAGAAGCAACCAATTACTCAGTCATGTGTGAATTCAAGATCAAGCGGACAAAAAACAAATTTCAGAAATAGTGAGTGGATCGTTTCGTTTCTCATACTAACGTGTATGGTTGTGTACATTGGACTTTCTGGTCAAGTAGGAGGCTTAAATGACAAGATACTCGCCATCAACCCTATCCATAGCTTTTCTCCATCTAAAAGCTTGTATACGGTCTCCATTCGCCTTAGCACTGTCCCGTCGGCGTTGCACTTCGTCAGAATCTGCATCATACATATCTTGAGTATCGTTCTCAGCCCACACCTTCTCGAGGACGTCCAGGACGGAGATATTGTTGTAAAAGCCGCTTTCAATCTGCACTTCTATGCATCTGTCGCGTACAAGTGCCTGATCAGCTGCATCGACACACTCGGTCCCTGCAATGAACAAGGGCCAAAGCAAGAACTTGTTGACGCAAGAAGTGATTTCCAAGGCAGCTATGTGAGAAAGAGCATTGCGAACATGTGCCTGGAATTTCGGAGATGACGATGGCAGGAACGGGTGGGCAAGCCGTTCAGTATAGAGCAAGGCGGATGAACGGAAGGACTCGTTGATGTGCGTCAGATCTCTTTGTCCAGGCTCGAGCGAAGCTGCCGAGGGCTCGAGACCTGTGGGTGACAGACAAGGACTATCCATGGACCATGTTTCTAGCCGAGATCGGATATCATGCCACTCCTTCCAGAACTCTTGCCGCGTGTCCGAAGCCTCTCTGTAGATTGTGTCAAAGTCTTCCAAAGGATCGGCTAGCAAGGCGCCCCAGCCATTACCATCCAAACGGCTGAAGTCCATGGGTTCGACCTGCGAACGTGGACGGCGAGCTCTCGGGACAGCGAAAGTGCTCTGGTTCTTGTATTTCGGGGTTGCGGTCGCACCGTAAGATGCTTTGGAATTTCGAGGATCAGGACGTACAGGACGATCTTGTGACAGAAGGTTCAAGCGTCCAAGACGAGCAATCAACTTAAACAGGCGACCATCACATCCCGAGAACTGCTCTAGAGCACCGAGATTGGAGGAATAGTGAAGCATATCTAGACGATCGCCTTGAATCTCGGTCTCTCTGTCGTTTACGGTCGATGTCATTACATCGAACCAGGCGAAGAACATCTCGACCCAACCGATAAAGCCGGTCCTGACACCTGGATCGCGCATAGAAAGCAACCTTTGCACGCCTTCAAGCTGTGTCTTGAATTTAGAGAACCCACTGTCGCAGACGTGGAACAAGCACAGGATAAGCAATATAGCAAGAACAGAATCGTCTTGAGCTTTGACTACGTCAGCCAATTGAGACTGCAACTGACCAATTGATACACTCTTGTAGTAGCTCTCTTCGGGTGATGGACGAGCCAGAATGCTGTTGTCGTTATCCTGCTGCTTACTATCCAGTTCTTCGATGAAGCCTTTGGGAGGAGCTCTTTTATGTAACCGCATGCGCATATTGTTCAAGGAAAGAGCTGCAAGAGCGTTCTGGAGACCTTCGTTATGTGTAGCGAGCTGAAGAATGTGCATCCTATATGGATTGATGGTATCGTCAAAGGCAACAAGAACAGAACAGATATGTTTGTCGTAGTAATCCAGCAAATATTGCATCCTCGGCGATAGATGAAAGAACAATGAAGTGGCCATAGACCTTGGGATAGACACAGCCAGCTCCGGTAAAGCGCTCAGAGGTTGCTCGGAGTTGGCTAGAGTCATATCGAGGTTGGTATAGTCAAAAGGTTCTGATTGTATGTTCTGGTCGTATTCTGCATTGCTCGCATCGTATGAAGGCTCAAAGAAGGAGGCATCTTGGTGTTGGGAGAAAGTCAGGTCTTCAGTGGCACTAGAGGGCTCTAGAGGCGGATCGGGGTAGAAGGTCGACGGCGGTGGATAAGAACTGGAGCAAGACTGAGGCGAGGGCTCCATCAGGCTGTAAGTAGCAGAAGACTGCAAGCCATCATTGTAGGCCAACGAGACTGGTGTCAAAGGATAGTCGGAAGGGTTCCTCTGATGAACCAGATGAGAATTGTCATAAGGCGAAGTTGGCGACGTAAGTTCGGGATTCGCATATTGCTGCAAGGGTTGCCAGAAAATGGGCTGTTGAGGGTCGAGTGGGGATAACAAGCCATAAGATGGGGTGTGCAGAGGCTCTTGAGAGGGAGGTGACACAGCGTTAGTGCTTATATTTATACGTGGGGGTACAGGTCTCTCCGAGGCAGGTGCGGTGGTCGACGGCTTCCTTCGAGGTTGCGATACACTATTTCGTTTGCTGACGCCGACCGGGCCATCCGTCTTCTCCGCCACAGGGCATGTCAAGCCTCGCAGCTTTCCTCGACTAGCAATGCCCACGCCCCATGTCAACGTCGTCTTGTATCCGGAACAATCTTTTCCTATTTCGAGGCATTGCCCACAGTACGGCCTTCTGCGGTCGCATGGGGCATTTCGTTTCCGGCACGTAAAGCAGTCGTCGGCCGCTCCTGTCGTTGTTGTCCTCCTTCTGCGTTTCCTGATGGTCGGCTTGGTCTCAAGACCTATATCGGCCTCTGCCTTGATGCAAGCAGTAGCCATGACGACGGGTTTGGGGGAGTGTCAACAGTGTCGCAAGGTCACTTCGTCCTCATCGAATATCGTGTCTAAGTACTCGAGTACAACCACCCAGACGTCGACTGTGATAGGCGAATATGGTAGGTGGGGACCGGTGTCTGGACTCGGGTGCCGTCAAGAACAGGCAAGACAGTATGTCTGGACAAGAGAGGAGAGTTCTTGAGGTTCAAGGTACTCGCCAACACTTTTGATGTCAGGCGACATCTTAGGGACATATTGACTTTGAACATCTCGAGCTAGGGAATGCCCGTCCATCACTCGTTTACAGCGCCTCCATCCTCCATGTTTCTCACCCTTCTCTCTGGCAGCCTCGGTTGCGATTGCGTGCACGGTGCCCACGTTATCTTGACGGTTTGACCAATAAAAGTTCTTATCGTTGTTTGAGCCTTCGTTCGTATCTTTGTAAGGCCTTGTTCTTATTACGATCAATTGTTCTGCAAAAATTTCCTTTTGCTACGACTGCCCCTGCCCGGCGCACAGAACCATCTAACTGATGCCTCAAAACAGCGTCCATTCCCGCGTTGAAAGCCATCTGCCTCGGTCTCGGTTCCATTAGTCATTTACCAGACTCAAGATCTTCCCTTGTTCGAACCCCGCAGAATGGCAGGGTCGTAACGGCCGAATGCACGGCCTTCGCCTTTTTCTCCCCGCATGGCGGCATGAGCACCTCATTCTCCTTAACGAGGCCAGGGATCAGGAATCAGGATGCCCTTTATCTCTGGGCCTTGATCCGCCTGAATTGTCTGCATCCAGATTATGAGCCTGAACTCGTTACTGACTTTACCCACCCGCGTGCGACCCTCGTTGATTCTCAGGGTACAGAGTTTGATTGGGCCAAAGTCTCCACAAACATTATTCCGTGCCCTGTCTAATTCGCCGAGTCCAACATTCGCTTCAACTTTTATCTAGGGTCCGAGTTCCTCCTATATCACATGTGAAGACGACGAAGCTTGTTCTCGCCCACAATCCAGCATGACGAGCTTTGTACAAGATCTGACGCACGCTTAGCCCCGGCTTGATTGATATCTGTGCTTTGCGGAGCAATGATCCTTCAGAGAGTCTATTACAAAGTGGTAAGACCGGAGACGGGCCTTCCAGTCCTTCCTGTCTCCAGCTGCTTGGAACACGTCGGTGCTATTGGACCTCATCGAAATGTGTGTCGTTGTTGATATGCACCCCTCTTCTGGTGGCCACAGCTGCAGGCCTAACCGATGGTCTGGTCACCAATAGCACCGCTTTCGACAAACAGAATACTTCGACAACAACGTGGCGTTTCTACCACTGTGTTCGTTGTATTGTAGCGAGAATCGATAATGACACAAGGCTCATTGCTGATAAAACAGCAAGTCTCTGCTCAGATCAGGATGTTATAATGGCGGTTCAACACCGCAAAAGGATGCTGTCAATTCTGAGGTCTCTCCACTATTCTGTCCCGGAGCATTATCAAACATTCACCATAAGTGCTGGCCAAGGAGGGTTCTTCAAGCATCAGTGCACATACTTTGACATATGTGGTCGTTGGACAACACAAGCCCACGATGCTTGCGGCACTTGCCTATCCGAAGGTAGACAATCTCCACGAGAGCCAGGTGGTCCTGCTGTGCGGATAGCTAGTGGAGTGGTAAGTACGTTGCAATGAATCGCAGTGTCGGTGGTCTTTATTGAAGCCGTAGAAGTCATCCAGCCAGACTCCGTAATGAGTACTTGATTCTAGGCCAAAGCACAGCAAGTCATTGGAGACATATGGTAGAGAGATGCGAAAGAGCGTTAATTGACGACTGTAGTCAGTTGAGTGGGTCATGGAAGGGGTTCGATGGCAATATCTGTGTCAATCAACGGAACCATGTCAGCCTGCAATGCCGGAATGCAGTATTCGTGACCGGATGTTGAGGTATCATCTGTACGTCCAACAAGTTGGCAGCTTTCGCCATCGCAGTCCCTGTGAGCGGTTGTCGTAATCACAGAACTGTGCATATCAAAGCGGCTTTTGGTTGTATTAGGAAAACCTTTACATGCCAGGCATACCGTACCCACCGAGAATCAGGCTCATCCGCAGCCCCCCGCAACCAAGTGGCGTGACGGAGAAATATTCTGGGTTGGCGTCGGCGGCATCCAGATCTTGCATCACTAACGTTCCCTGTATCTAGACTCTAGGTGACAATCAAAACAAGGCAGATGTTGATAACAGGAGATTAATCAGGGTGCCTTGGCATTATTAACGATTGATGTGGTATAGATAGATAGCAGCACTGTGCTGTGTTACCTACAGACCCAGAACCCGTCGTGTGAGTCAAAAGGCCAGGTCGACAATGAGAGTGCGAGTGTTGCCGACTCAATTACACATATGGTCGCCTAGAACTTCTCCTGTGCAGGTCTCATGTCAAGTTCATGAGTCCACAAAGATGGATCCTGCTCCGACAACCAAAGGTAAGTCTTGCCAACAGCCTCAGCCGAGATTTTCTTGCCGCTCTTCTGATCCTCGCCGTTCTTGTCTTCGACTGACCCATTGCCGATACAATGTGCCACATGGACACCTTTGGCACTGAACTCGCGAGCAAGTGTCTGAGCAAGCTGTCTTACGCTTGATCTACCTGCCCCATATGCTGCGAACTCGGCGTTGCATCTCAGAGCACCAAGCGTTCCAGTGAAGATGAGCGTTCCTTTCTTAGGCGAGCCTTCTGCCAGAGTTGATTCTCCGTGGTCCGAGAAAAAGCGCTTGAGAGATTCCTGTGCGAAGGTGAAAGCGCCTCCCACATATGTCTCCAAGGAGTCGGTAAATTGATCATATGTTTCATCCAAGAAAGGCTTCTTAGAGGAGTGCTTGATGTTATAGATGGCTACACGCAGCTTGAGACCATTGAAAGACTGATGCTGGCGGATGTCCGAGAAAGCCTNTTTCAAAGAGTCTGGCGAGGTATCTGAAGGGAACGCTTCAACCACCGGGTTGTCGAGCGATGACTTCAATCCAGTCACCATATCGTTTAGCACCTCAGTCCGTCGAGCAAGCAACGCGACTGCCATGTTGCCACGAGCTGGATCAGCCAACACACGTGCAATACCAGCGCCCTTTCTCGCTTTCAGTACGAACAGCTCTAATGGTGAGGGTGCACTCACGGTAGCAGGACCTGCACCTAAGAGAATTGCCAACCCAGATGGAGCCATGATGTTAGTATGTGTTGAGATTGCTCTGTGTTGAAAATGACAGAGAATGGAGGTATGTTTTGATCATGAGCTCATCAACAACATTTGACGTCATTATACCTTTGGAAGAGAGCCTAATAGTTGTGAGATCGAAGGTCGAGACCAGGATCATCATACATATGTGCAACAAGAAGCAATCTACAGGATGTCTGTGTTTAGCAAGACAGCACAACAGTGACACTGAGATAGCAGTGTCTTCGTCGTTGTATGTCCCAAAGACTTTGATCACGTATCAGGTATGTGATGGAAATTGAGCATTAGACCAAAGTCGCTGTGGTACTCAAAGAACATCGAGAATGGTGACTAATGCTCTACTGAGTCTCTCTCAGATGGAAGATGCTGAGGTCATATAAGTGTCGATGGACACGCAAACTTCGGGTTCTTCTGAGACAAGGGCAGAGGAGGCTGTGGAAGTGGCGAGTGCTGCGGCCGTGGACTCGGTAGATGCAAGACTTGACCGCTTCTTGAGATAGCAACAAGCAAGAGTAGATCTTTCAGAACATGAATCACGTTGGTGGCCTTGTATGTGTGAGGCTTATAACCTCTAAAATAGCGTATCTTGGAGGGCTCCACGTGGACCGTTACTCGGATGGCCGGCCGAAGACCCAGACCCCATGTCCTGAGTCAGCCCAGATGCGAGCCTCCAAGAGTGAATGATTGATGGTAAGTGGACATGAATGTGAATAGGTCGACTCAAATCAGCAGCTCAGGGAAGGCCTGCAAATAGAATGAGCAGCAGGGAACGGGCAGAAGACAACTGAGGGTGGGCGGAGCAGACAAGACAAAGGGGAGCGATTAGACGAGGCCAGTCAGTTTAGCTTGGCAAGACTCAGGAGAGAGATGATCGTCGCGGACTCGCGGCGCGAGAGTTGGCACTGGGCTGGACGGCGAAGGCTGTAAGTCGCGGCGCATCTCTTTGGCTCCTCAAGACATGTTGTTATAGAGTGAAGTAGCTGCCTGTACACTGGACTGGCCATGCCGCAGCTGCTGCCCTTGCAAAACAGACAATGGCGGAACAGCAGTACCCAGAACAAGATCAACCCGCACAGCAGTCAGGCTTGAGGGTGCCCCTCTCGACGCGACCACGCATCCTGGAGCGAACGCATTCATCGCCCGCCACGGCGGCCAAACACGCAGATGGCCAGGGCCAGGGCGAGGGCCAGCAGCAGCAAACATGGACGAGCTCGCTGACGGGCGCAGCGCCTCAGACGTCCGCGGTGCAGGGCTTGGGCATTGATAGCGAAAGCCGTTCCAACGGCTTCTTGCAGACCAACAACGACGCTGAACACGAAGTCAACATTGCTGTTGTCGGCGCCGTCGGTGTGGGCAAGTCGTCGTTTATCCAGCAGTGCCTGAGCCTCGTCACGCATCCCACGGCTGCCGTCAGTTCCTGCCGCATCAAGATTGACGGCACCTCTTTCCTTGTCCGCATGCTGGAGTGTCAGCTCCAAGACGTGATTATCGACAGGGACAACAAAATCACCTGGCCCTCAGACCCATGCATGCCCACAGTCGACGCTGCATGCACCCTGTACGACATTACCAACAAAGACTCGTTTGAGGACGTTCCCGTCGTGCTGAGTGAGTCCGAATCTACTGCCTGCAAACCCTCATGGCTTTGAAGCTGACCCCTGTCCNNAGATGCCCTCGACAAAACATCAATTCCCTCACTCCTTGTCTCCAACAAATGCGACTGCGACCGCGACCATCGTCAGCTCGACCCAAACAACACTGAACAGCGAGCAAAAGCCATCCTCCGCTCGCTCCACACTCTTCAATCCTCCACATCACATGTAGACTCGCACACAAGAGGAATCGCCAGCCTGTTGCGAGCTGTTTCCGGCAAGTCACTTCCCTCTCCTGTCCGAACCTTCTGTCATTATGGCTGCATTTGCTGACCGACTACCNNAGCTCACAGAGATCCTGCTCTATCTCGCCGTCGAACAATATCATCTGCCCTAGCCTTTGGCCAAACAAATCGAGCACATCCACCTCCAAGCCACGCCAGAGCAAGCTCCGTACAGTCAAATACCATGCGCAAAGACTCGCGACACGACTCTACAACTATGGTCACAGCTTCTTCCAACGCCACGCATCCGTCCGCCGATGTCAACACAGCTTTGGACGAATCACGCGACGATATTACTGACTCTTCACGTTCCGAACATGCTTCCTCGTCCGAGGATGGTGGTCTTGACGTCGACACTCAATCAGAAGCCCCATCAGACGAGCGTGGCTACTCTTTTGATAACCTTGTCGACCGTCTGCTCAAGCTGCCAAAGTCAAAGGCCGATACCAGATTTGGCTCCGTATTCCTTGCGTTATATCGAAAGTTTGCAGCTCCCGGTCAGCTCCTAGAGGCAATAGTCCATCGTTTCGAAGCCCTGGAACAAGAGGATGGCCCATACATGACCAAAACAGTTTCGCAATTGCGCTACCTTTCCGTCATCGAGCAGTGGATTGGAACATATCCTGGAGACTTTGCACACATCAAGACCCGGCGTCGGATGCGTACCTTTGTCGCTAAACTATCAAACACCCGCATTTTCTCCGCTGCAGCGCGAGAAATGAGTTGCGACCTGGACGTCGTGACAGAAGATGACGATACAGATTGGGCATGCTGTGACATGGACCGTGAGAAACACGGTCTTCTAAGTCCTGAGCCAAGCTGGTCGTCTCGAGTAAGCACACTCTTGGATGACCCCAACTTTGACTTTGGCGACAATCTTGGGAGCCTCTCTCTTGATGGCGGTCAGCACAGAAATCAGGCGCATTCATTACACACTGATTTTGGTATGCTCCAGGCCGTAGATGCAGCGAGGAAACAGGGCCCATCACTGGTGCCTACACCGAAAACTCCAATCAATAAGTCGCACTGGCACATGTTGATGGAGACACCAACAGACTCGATCGCTTGCGAACTGACACGGATCGACTGGATCATGTTCAGTGCAGTTCGTCCGCGCGATTTGGTACGTCATGTCTCGTTGTCTCAGGCACAAAAAGCACAATGCAAGTCATTGGTGCACGTTAGTCGCATGATTGATCACTTTAACCACGTCCGAGATTGGGTGGCCAATTTGATCTTGCTTAGAGAAAAGGCCAAACATCGAGTTTTGATGTTGGAGAAGCTTATGCATGTCGCTCGCAAGCTACGTGAGATGAACAACTACAATTCGTTGGGAGCCTTTCTTGCTGGCATCAGCAGTGCTGCTGTCCACAGACTTGCCGCTACCCGAGAATTGCTGTCGCCGGAGACCGGCAGAGACTGGATGAAGCTGGAGATTTTGATGTCTCCAACTAGATCGTATGCGGCTTATCGGTTGGCTTGGGAGAATTCGAGCGGAGAGAGAATACCCTACCTGCCNCTCCCAATCAGAGATCTTGTCGCCGCCGCAGAAGGCAACAAAACGTATGTTGGCGACGAGGTCAACGGAAGAATCAATTGGCGCAAGTTTGAGGTCATGGGAGAGACGATTGTTGGCATCCAGAGAGCCCAGGGCCTGCCATACAGAAACTCGATGCTCGGTCCTAGGAATGATGAGTTGAGGGCTTTGATCCTGAATAGCAACATGATCAGAGATGACGAGGTAAGTGGACCAAAATTCAGATATATTTTGAACCCGGTAACTGACATACTATCTCAGGCCCTCTACGAACGTAGCTGTTACGTTGAGAACGCAGACCGAAAAGGACTGCGAGAGCTTTTCAGACGTGCATAGTCGATTTTCCAGACTCTCGATCTTTTCCCTAGCATTTGTTTTTACTTACCTCAGCGTTGCACGTATTTGGCATGGATATGAAATAATGATTTGGTCTCGATTTTTCATGTCGAGCAGTTGAAAAAGAGAAGAAAGCGATCCCAGAAACGAACGACCAATCTCTCGGCGAAAGGGTGTTTTCATGGTGTGTTTTTGGCAGCATGCTCGTTAGGCAAGAGCCTCGGAGTTTACATATACTTCAATACCTTTATATACATCTTTCATCTAGACTTTGAATCTGCCTCGCGGCAATCAACACAATATTCCTTGAATTCTCATGGTCGATGGTGGCGCTCACGAACTGTGCGTCATAGCATCGTGCCTCTTGAAAGATCGGATTCTTCACCAGTAGTGCACATCTGGATAACCCTAGTAACATGGGTACAGGTAAGTATCTTCTATGTTATAGTATTTCTAAGGCAATTCGACTTACTTAAAGGTTGATCAAGAGGGTCTTGAGCATCCAAAAGTTAATTACATCATGACGACACTACCATACCGTTTTGCCGGTTCCAAGCAAAGTAGGACATAAAAAGTGGCACACCAATAATTCAATAAACCAGATCTTGATTTTGTTTCGAAGTCCTGAAAAACTCTCTAACATTATTCTAATTCCTATATTCAGTCCTTTCTCCGTTTATTCTTCTATTGTATAATTAGTTGAGATGGCATGGTTCGGGCGAGATCCCCCCAATACAGTCAGGTAAGTTGGAGAGGCGAAACCAAATCACGACTACAAAGTTCTGATGTGTGATACNAGAGCATGGGGCCACAAGTTTGTGCTCACAGACGAGCATCTAACGCTGGAACAAATGAATCCGGCAAAACACACATGGGATTATCTTGGTGAAAGAGCGTTAAATCGACTAAACGAAATATCGCCGCCACCACCGCCACGCAGCATATCCAANAAATCAGAAGGAAAGGAGCCTTTTCCAGATGATGAGAAGCAGCCGGCACCGGATGTAAAACCTAAGAGAGATTTGTATGCGTTGCTTCGCGATCATGCTGGAGAGGATGAAGTCTTGCAACAACTGTGGCAGCAGGTGAACACGGTACCAGATTGGGTGGACTGGAATCAGATTGCCCGTGGACAGGATGTCTTCTACAGATACGGTGGACCCGTTCTTACTGGACTGGCGTACCAATCTCTTCTCGGTGGACTTGGTGCAGCTCGAGTAACTGAGGTTCTGTCACGGACGGGTGGGTTCGCAGTTGATGTGGCGAGGAATCGTCTCTTCGAAACCACACAATACCTTCTTCAATGCACAAGGTCACTGGCAGACATACAACCTGGTGGCGAGGGGTGGGCAGCTACAATACGAGTACGACTGTTGCATGCAACAGTACGGAATCGCATCATGAAGCTGGCAGAAACACGGCCGGAATACTTCGACACAGCGAAACTGGGAGTTCCCATCAACGACATGGATTGTGTTGGCACGATTGTCAGCTTTTCAAGTGCGCTCATCTGGATCTCATTACCTCGACAAGGCATCTATCTCCGTCCACAAGAGATTGAGGATTACACTGCGCTGTGGCGGTACATAGCGTATGTGATAGGATGTCCAACCGAGGGCCTCCTGGAAACAAAAGAACAGAGCAAGCGTATCCTGGACTGCATCATGATGCACGAGATTGCGCCAACACGCACATCACAGATCCTCGCAAACAACGTAATCAGAAGTCTGCAAGACAAATCGCCAGGCTATGCATCATCAGACTTCCTGCTCGCGGGAGCTCGATGGTTGAATGGCAACGAACTGTGCGATGCTTTGGCACTTCCCAAGCCAAGCATGTACTACTCGGCTCTGATGGCTGGCCAGTGCATCTTCTTCGGCTTCTGGTGCTACACAAACCGCATGAACAAGTCAACAGACCAAAAGAAGTTGGTGGTATTGCGAGATATCTTCTGGAAGATCATCGTCAAAGGAGGATTGAAAGGAAAGGAAACGACCTTCGACTTCAAATATGTGCCCGAGTACAGTATCATGACCGAGATGGGTGGAGTCGAGGAAGTTAAGTTGTCCAAATCCGAGCTCGAGATGGCCAGCCTGAAATGGTTGCTCATGGGTGTCGCTGTTGTGTCAGTGGTCGGACTCGTGATAACTGGAGTTGGCTGGGCAGGAGCGCGTATAGCAACTTGGGGTATCAAGAGTGCTTGGAACCTCTTGTAAACTCTTTGTAGCTTGTTGAAGGTTCTCTGGGCCATAAATCTTATGATCGTCATCCTACAGAAGGAGCATGCAGTTCTTTCTTTCTTCCGTATTTGTGTGAGGTTACTCGCACAAGTTGTTTGCAGCCTTGACATGAATGGGACTGATGATGAATCAAGCTCAGTTTGACCTGTTGAAAACAAATCTCGAGAGGGAAAAGATATCTATATAGCAAGAAAGATACTTGACACAAGAAAGCTGTGACCATCTAGGTAGTTTTTTTGTGCCGGAATTTACGGGCTTAACATCTGCCAGGCGGTCTAGGTTAGATACGGGCGAATTATCTCAGCCTCCGACCCTCTTGTCTTGCAGAAACACATCCACCCTATTCTTACGCCAGATGCAACGATCATACAGGTGTCCCTGCTCTGTACGAGCTCTGGAAGCGTTTGTCAGAGATGTCGCTGGCCTGGACATCCGCCAGAGACGAAACAATGTTAGCTTCAGGAACCTGAGCACACGATCAACCCTACAGATTCGACACTCGTCGCCCCGATTTCTTCCTTCGCAAGCGCATGCTATTGCCAACTCCGTCGATGATGCATTTGTCCCGTTCGAAACTGCTATCGACAAGAACTCTTCGAGTACAGCACACGATGGTCTTCAGGAAACACCCGAGCCTTTCGATCCGGACCAAGAGCCTGGGAGCTTAGAGGACTTCGAGCCTGAAATCACTATACACGAGGAACAAGCGCAGACTACAGCCGATCCGATCGTCAGAGATGCACGCGTGCAACAATTAGACCTAAAAGACCGGGACCAGGCGATCGATGCCATATTCTTCCCAGACTTGTTAGCACAACCTGAGTCCAAGCTAGACGACTTACGTTCGCTCAATCAGAGACTCAACATATTCTCTGCCTCAACAACAAAGCAGCAGTATCCTGGCAAAAACGCACGCAAGAAGGCAAGAAGAGCAGCGCAAGCTGGCGAGACACAAACCACCCTTTCCACACAGACAACCCAGGACCTAGAAACTACAACGCTACCAGGAGTATCTCCTAAGGCTGCCGCNAAAAGTGAGAGCAAAAGCAGACAGAAAAGCAAAAGAGCAGTCCTAGCTCTCGAAGTACAAAAGGCCGTCCTAGAACAAGCAGTTCAAGATCAAGAAGCCGCTGATGTCGCCTCCTTAATCGCATCGGCGACAGGACCCAAACCCATCTCTGAGGCAAAAGCCGACAAGATAGCTCTAGCGATAAAGGCTAGAAAAGCGGAAGAGAAGGCCGCAAAAGGGCCGCAGTCGAAAAACTCGTCCAAGAGCAAGCAGCAGCTANNAGCAAGCCCAAAAGAGCGTAACCGCAACATGGAACGATGGAAAGTGCAAAAGGCAGCTCTAGAAGAGAAATTCGGAGAGCAGAGTTGGAACCCCAGAAAGCGAATCTCTCCAGATGCGTTGGCTGGTATTAGAGCTCTGCATGCCAAGTCACCAGATGTGTTTAGCACGGCTGTTCTGGCCGAGCATTTCAAGGTCACGCCAGAAGCTATTCGACGGATCCTGAAGAGTAAATGGCAGCCTACCGAGGAGGAGGCAGAGGAAAGGAGAGAAAGGTGGGANAAAAGGGGTGAGAAGAAATGGTCAGAGATGGCCGAGCAGGGTCTTAAGCCTCCGAAAAAGTGGCGTGAGAGAGGTGTAGGAAAGGTTGGCCCTGGAGAAGTGCCCCCATGGAAGCAACCTGGAAAGGCTGGAGAGCGTTGGATCGAAAGTACAGATGCGGACAGGTTTGTCATGGCTGGTGAGCAGATGGCCGAGGAAGAGTACGACGAGTCTGAAGTAGAAGACAGTATTGCATCCAGGATCCTCTAAAATGGGGTCGGTCATGGATAGTTATACTACACTACTTCAGGTCAGCTCTCGGTACACATCAATGTATAGACTTACCAATCAGCAAGTCTGACTTCGACAATCTTCTCTCAACCCAAATCATCATCGAACGAAGTCACCATATTTTGATCGGGAAACTCGCTTCTCCACGCAACTCTTTCCGACAGCACCAAAGCAGACTTGAATCAGCATGAAAGCTTCAGCAGAGGGATGCTTGTGTGGTAGAATTGAGTCTCACAATCCCCTTGAGGAAAGCCGAGTTAAGCGTGTCGCGTGGCTGCACCGTCGCTGATAGATGCGCTGTGGCTCGATGATGTTGGTTGAGGAATTGTAAAGGGAGAAATGTTGGATTTGAAGATTTGTATTTTCGTTTTGATCCAAGTGTTGAGGGAAAGAGCGATGCTTGATCAAGATGCGAATTTTGGGAAGGACTCATTTCGCAATCGCACTTTCCCAATCTTTTGTTTCGCGGGCTGACGTTTGCACACGTCCGTACTTTTACAAAAAAAAAAAAAAAAGAAACATGACAGGACTCAGATAGCAGTAAACGCATCCATGTTGCATCGTATCTCTATCCAACCACCGACCCGGTTCCTGCAGTCCCACCACTTCTCGAACTACCAGGCCTATCACTTCTAGCTCTCCTCTCCCTCCTGAAGCATCCAAATTGTCCCTTGGTACCCTCCCTCAATCTCTTCAAGATTGCCCTCATTTCTGGCAACTCAGCTTGAAGCCTAGTCCTTGCATCTGCATCCGTCCTCTCGTCAAGCACCAAGTATATCCTCGATTGAATCTCCGATGCTTTTTCGGTGGTGAAGTTGGACAGGGTTTGTGCGAGCAGCTCAACGTCGAGAGTTGCTTGCATCAGAGCCGTAAGAGAATAAGTACGGCGCTCAGAGAAAGCTGTGAGAAGGGATTCACTAGCGGATTCGAGGAAATGGGATAGGAGGGGTGAGGTCAGTGTGCTTGCTGTGGTGGAAACTTCGGTGTGCACCAACACCAAAGCAAGCAATACATCATATATGTAGGGACGAGCGTTTGTTGGTCGCGAAGAGGTCTTGGGTAGCCAGTTCGGAGAGGAGATACCAGCTGTGATAATATCGCGGAGTTGTGTGGTCGTGGGCTTAACGTAGCCTAGGAACAGACGATCATCGATCTGCTTAAGCACATCGCGAATTTGTTTAGATTCGTCTGTGAATTTGATCGAAAACGAGGATTCGAATTGCGAGATCAACTGAGGCACCACTTCGCGACGCAGGTGATTTAGGTTACTAAGTGTGAGTAATAGACGGACGTTNNCTATACATATTAGCTCCTGATGACCGTTGAAGCTGGTCTTAGGACTTACCTTATCTGTCGCTCGTGTGGTCACGATGTTCGTATCCGTACTGGAGCCTCCTTGCATCATGGGTACTGTGAGACCATCTGGGTCGTCTATTGCGGATTCTCCAATCTTCTTGTTCTTCTCTGCATTCTCCACAGCGCCACTAAGCGTTTTGTATATGCTAGTGATGAACTGGTGTCTGACCATCTGAAGAAGCTTGGTTGGTGGAGGCCCAACAACATCCTCATAACCAGGTCGCGACATGGCGCCGGAAATGTACAAGATTTTCTGCATATCACCAAGGATGGTTTCCTCGAGAGCACTAAAACGGAACGGCATGTTAGTGAGATCGCGGCGATCCGTATGCCTTGTCCAGTCCTCGAGGTATCTGGTCTTATCAGAGTCGACGTTCCAGGCGGCGCAAACAGCCTGAATGCAGCGTTCGCGTACTCCGCTGACCATGGTCTTGAGCTGTTCTGCCATGCGGTAGTTGTCCCTGACAAGAGAGAGACTAGCAACCTCACCTGCTGACGTCCCAACGAGAAGTAAGATGTTACTGAGATAATGAACGCCACTTAGGGAGTTTGCGTAGGGTGCCCAGAAAGCATATTTCTCCCAAGATTCTCCTCGTTTTGGAGAGGGCTCAGGAATGTTGTTTACATCGAACGAGAACATGCGCTGGTCGCTAGCCAGACTGGACGAAGGGGTATCGGGTGTCGCAGGAACCGGCGAGAACAAGGATGAGATGTCTTCAACTGGTGAGTCGACGAAGAACGAGAAGATGTTCTCGCGCATGCTATTGAGCAGGTCTGTAGCAGATTGACGAAGACGGTTTATCTCGTCTTCTCTGAGATCAAGATGTTGACGACCCTCTGAAGCAAAGACTCCGGTGGGTAGATTTCTCTGCGCCTTGTGAGAGATGAAGGATTCTGCAGTCTCCCAAAATTCGATGATCTCTCCCAGAAGGCCTCCTTGTGCAGACAACAAGCTGTGGAGAGCACTTTGGATCTTCTCCCAGAAATCGATTATCTTGGAAGCATCCATAGCGTTTGCAGTGCTATTCAGGTTCCGATCTTGCACAAGGTTAGCCACAGCAGATTGAAGATGGAGTTTCGACGTTTGGAGACTGGGTGGTTCTGCTGATGCCAAGCGCCGCCTTGAAACCTCGATCTCTATGCGCATACGATCAAAGGAGCGAGTGAGCTTCTCTTTGAGGTTGTTGTATCGACTAAACAGCCAAAACGTGATGGGATTGTCGTCCATGTCAATCTGTAGAAGGGTAGCGATCAGAGCCATAGTCGTATCAGGCTGAGCAGCAGTAGATGGCGAAGAACGGCGAGTCCTGGCAGCAGCAAGGTGTTTTCGAGATTCGCGCTTGAAGGTGCCGATTTGTGATTGAGCATCTGACCAAACTTTTGCGGCGATCAAGATCTGATGGACGTCTGCATCTGATAGTTCTTGGCCTGATTCAGCTTTTCGAGTGGCATCGTTCGCAAGTTTTTTAGCACGGTTGTATTCGGATACAAGGGAGTCATAGTCCTTTTNTCGGATGGCATCTTGTAAAGCCTGACCAATTCCAAACACGTCACGATGTTGTTCAAGATAGGTCAGGACAGACTTCAGATCTTCTTCCTNTTCACGACCACCTAACGCAGGACCCCAGACTTCCTCAGCTTTGGCACCAAGCTCAATCAGAGGAGCCTTGATACCGAGGACACCATACTCGCTCTCCTTTGTCAAGGCATTCTTTCTCTTGTCTGGCAACTTATTCACAGCAGGAGGTGACAGAGCTCCGCTAGGAGTACGGAAATGTGATATGCCTCCTCGGCTGGTATGCCTTGAGTGCCTTCGCTGGTGGCCAGGGGAGACTGGCATAGTTTGCTGGCCCTGGGTGCGCATCTCGGTGTATACATTGTCAATGGTAGCCTTGGCCTTGACGAAGCGTTCGAAGTTGGACTCGACCAACAACTTGAGTGAGGCAGACTTTTGCTCGATGGAACTAGACAGGAAATGGAGGCCTTTCAGGAGGGAGTCGGTGGAAGCATCATGGTGGACTTGCGACAAGAACAGATTGGGCGAGAAGGTGGTCGAGGACAGCATGAAGCGATTGCGCAGACGAAGGTTCTCCTCGACAGGCAGGCCGCGACGGCGCAATTCGTGGACAACACTCGGGACAATGCCTAACGGATCGGGTTCATCTTTTTGCACGCTGTTGTCGGATCTCTTTCCTCCAGCAGCAGAGACGGAGCGATCCAGAGCAGCGAACTTGGACTCCCTATGGTTCGTGTTTGTCGCGTCATGGTCGCCATCACTGTCGTAGTCGTCGTCTCGATCAGGCCATTCTGAGGGGTATAATGAGTCGAGCTTGTAGTGGTTCAACAGCTCTCGCTCGACTTCGGCAGACATTGGAGTTTGTTCAATCGGAGAGTCGAGTGTATTGATGCTACATGGCTAGCTCGGGATGCGTGTGGGGATGGATGCAGCGTGTCTCTTGCTTGCATAATAGGTGTGCAGACGAGTGTGGGGGTTGTGCAAGGCTGCGGTCCGAGTTTGACCGAGCGGGCAGCTACAGTACTTTGGAGCAGCCTTGGCATTTCGACTTTGCTCTACCGGGTCCAACTCGCTGTTGCTGCTGCTGCTACTGCTCTGTTTCGCAACCCTTACTGGCAGCATCTCCTCTCCCGTCGTCGTCTCTCGTCCCTCTACCCACAACCTTCAACATGCTTGGATCCCGATCATTGGCCACCCCTGCTCGCCAGTGCCTGCGCCAGGCCAGACAGCAGCAGTTCACCAGACTTTCCTTCGCTCGCTCCTACGCCGTCGCTTCGGACGATAGAGTCGCCAAGTTCAAGGGTACCAAGGGCAACGACGGCAAGTACACCGTCTCTCTGATCGAGGGTGACGGTATCGGTCCCGAGATCTCCCAGTCCGTCAAGGACATTTTCGAGGCCGCCAACGTCCCCATCAAGTGGGAGCCCGTCGATGTCACNCCCCGCCTGAAGGACGGCAAGACCGTCATTCCCGACGAGACCATCGACTCCATCTCGCGCAACTACGTCGCCCTGAAGGGTCCTCTTGCTGTACGTTCATCTCGTTCTGCCGAGCTCCACCGACACTGCCCTCTTTCGCGCTATTTCTACCAGCCAATCTCTCTTTCCTTGCATACGCTCTAGCTAACACCATCCCTTCTANNGACCCCCGTTGGCAAGGGTCACGTCTCCCTCAACCTGACTCTCCGTCGTACCTTCAACCTCTTCGCCAACGTCCGTCCTTGCAAGTCCATCCAGGGTTACAAGACCCCCTACGATGGTGTCGACACCGTTCTCATCCGTGAGAACACCGAGGGAGAATACTCTGGCATTGAGCACGTCGTTGTCGACGGTGTTGTTCAGTCCATCAAGCTCATCACCCGCCAGGCTTCCGAGCGTGTCCTGCGCTTCGCCTTCCAGTACGCCCAGGAGGTTGGCAAGAACAAGGTCCGCGCCGTCCACAAGGCCACCATCATGAAGATGTCCGATGGTCTCTTCCTCAACACCGCCCGTGAGCTGTCCAAGGAGTTCCCCAACGTCGAGTTCGATGCCGAGCTTCTCGACAACACCTGCCTCAAGGTCGTTACTGACCCCACCCCTTACAACGACAAGGTCCTGGTTATGCCCAACCTTTACGGTGACATTCTCTCCGACATGTGCGCCGGTCTGATCGGTGGTCTTGGTCTTACCCCCTCGGGTAACATTGGTGACGAGTGCTCCATCTTCGAGGCCGTCCACGGTTCCGCTCCCGACATTGCTGGCAAGGGTCTTGCCAACCCCACCGCTCTTCTCCTTTCCTCCATTATGATGCTGCAACACATGGGTCTCCACACCGAGGCCAACAGAATCCAGAAGGCCATCTTCGATGTTCTTGCTGAGGGCAAGGTACGTATTCTTTCTACCCTTCACTATCGCAACACAACACTAACTCAAACCCTTAGNACCATCACCGGTGACCTTGGTGGTTCGGCCAAGACCCACGAGTACGCCGCCGCCGTCATCCAGAAGCTCGCTTAGAATACCACTTCATCACTGGAGGAAAATGAATGGCATGAATGGTGGTGAGAGGGGGAGAGAGACACTGACGAAAAACATATCTATAAATTTCCCTGTTTCTTGGTTCCTCGATTTTCCCACCTCGTTCGTGCTCTTCTTGTCCTTTTTGTTTATCGTTGTACAATACACCCCTTGTCATGTTTTCTAAAATACCAAATCACTTTTCGTTCTTCTCTTGCTGGCGTTCAGATTTGCATGTGACCCTGTTTTTGTGCAAATTCCATGGCTTGGTAAAGTGGAGGAGGTCGGGTCGACGGGACGTTTCGGTTATGATGTTTTTGTTCTCCAAGCTCCGTTACGGCCCGAAAACACGGCAGTCGTGTTGGTAGGGGCTCCCGAGAAGTCCATCTGATAACAGCACCTTCGCTGAGCATCGGTGCTAAGGATCTGGCCTCACCACTTGTTTGCAATCAAACAGTTCACATGAATGCACACGATAGAAAAGCAATGTTTTGAATGGTGAAAGTGCTTCAATCTCAAATGTGTTATGCTAAGCAATGTCCTAAAGACAATGCAGTGAATGCCCTTTTCTTCATGTGGTCCTTGGATGATTACGCCTGTATACGCCAGAGCCAAATGCAAACTCAAGAGAAAGAAATCAAAATAAAGCAACCAGGCCCTCTTTCCCCTTGTTTCCCATGTTTCATGTTTCCATTGACCTTTTTCTTGCGTGCCTCCGTAATCAATCGTGATGCATGAAGAGTTGACTGATGCTCTCACCGTGGTGGTTGCGGCGGATGGACTCGGCGAGCAAGGTGCTCACGTCCAGAATGACCAGCTTGCGAATGCCCTTGCGCTTCTCCTCGGGGATAGGGAAGGCATTGGTGACTACGATGGCGTCGATTTCCTCGCACTCATCCATCTCGCGGAGGCAGTCACCACCGAAAAGACCGTGGGTAGCCATGCAGTAGACCTTTGTAGCGCCACCTCTCTTGACGACGGTCTCGGCTGCAGCAATCCAAGAACCAGCCTTGTCGATGATGTCGTCGACGATGAAGACGGGACGGTTGCGCACGTTGCCGACAAGCGTGATTGTGGTCTCGAGCTCGGGGTCTTGAAGGGCTTCTTCCTCTTCGTCGTCGGATGCTGTAGCGTCGCCGGTGCCACCAAGACCGAAGTCAGGGCGGCGAGATGATGTGTTGGACATGAAGGAGTTGACCATGTGGTCAGGAATCTCTTCGTCATCAGAGCCGGCGCTCTTCATGGGGTAAAGGCCAGGAGTGGATTGTGACATAGCGGAAATGACTGGAGATGGGAAGTCATCGTCGACAAGATGACCGTGAATCAGGCGTCCGGTAATAACGTTGCGGGCACGCTCATCTGTGTATTCGTCTCCATCCTCCTCGTCTTCGTTGTCGGTGCTGGGTTCGGCAGGAGGCTGTACAGTGCCGAGAGCGGTGGACATGCGGTGCATCTTAGGGGGGCCGTCAAGACCAAAGCTAGGACGGCTGGGTTTGTTGGGCGAGGCATTCTGATCTTCCTGTTCCTCCTCCTTGTTGAGACCGTCTGACGAGTCGGGACGTGAGAATTGAGCCAAGGGGCTAGGGAGAGCAGGGGCACCTAACAGCCTGCTGCTGAATGAAGTGACAGAACGCTGCTTTGCGGGACGGCGGGAGAAATTGTCAGGGCGAGCTTCGGAGTTGGCGTATTCTGAAGGCTTGCTGGAGCCCGACTGGGGAGCAAAGTCGTGCTCGATCGGGGGAGCGTGATCGAGGTCGATGTGTTGTTCGGCTTCGACTTCTTCAGTCGCGGCAGACTGGACTTCGATTGGGGGCATGTTTTCGCCAGTTGCGGATTCGTAGATGACGCTGTTGTACATGCTCTGACCCATGTTGGGGCGTCTTCTGTCGGTCGTGACAATGCCGAAGCTCAGCTTCAAGGCATCGGCCAGCGAGGTCACACGCTTGGTACCACCAGGGTTCTTGCTCACAACGACACCCTCCTTCCAGTTCTGAACGGTGCTGCGGATCCAGCGAGCAAGCAGAGGCTCGGCAACCAGATTGTCGACGGGGCACTTGAAGAAACCCTGCATCTGGCTGGCGTGGAGATCAATGGTAATAACATGGTTGACACCAGCAACATGCATCAAGTTGGCAATCATGCGGGCGGTGATGGCTCCACGGTGGCTCTTCTTCTTGGACTGACGCGAGTAGGNGTAGGGCATGATTGCTGTGACAGACTTGGACGAGCCTCCCTTGCAAGCAGCAATCATAATGAGCAGTTCCATGACATCGTCGTTGGTCTTGTTGGAACCACTCTGGACGATAAAGACATCCTGGTCGCGCACCGATGTCTTGATCTCGACACTGGTCTCTCCATTGGCGAACTTTCTGAGCTCGACCTTGTCGGGCTTCCTGCCGAGCTTCTCACAGATGAAATCGGTCAGCTCTGGATGGCTGCGGCCGCCGAAGATACAGGTGCGGCGCATCGTGGCTGTCGACGGTCGAGGTGGTTGTTTGGGTTACGAGGCCGAGCGACGCGCGGGTTCGACTTTCGGGCTTCTGAATTGGTCGCGTCGAGGCGAGTTCTGCTTCACTGCTCTATTCACATGATGAGGTAGTGAGCTCGATCGTTTTTTGCTCCACGAAGTTATTTGCTTGCTTGCTCTCCGTTATCGCCGCTAGTGTCCACATCACTTGGCACAACTGCCAATCACTGAACACAAACACTTCATTGCCTCGTTGCTGGCCATACAATGTAGCACCTAGTTGTGGTCGTAACATCAAGTCGAGATGAGAAGTCAACATTTGTGTGCGCCGTAAACCCGAGTTGTCTGCCACCTGTTCTGGCTGCACGCTGTGGTGTGATAATATCCTGATCTAGACGCCCGGGACAACACTTTTGGCCCAATATGCAATCCCTCTGATGTCGCGTGGCTGTATATTACTGCTCATTCTTTCAAGGCCCAGATCAGGAGTCGATCTTATTTCAACGTGTGAGCTGCTTCTAGCAGCAGAGACGCCTTGAATGTATAGACCAATCTTGCTAAGTTAGCAGCTGTCCATAAGCTTTCACCTCTCAACAGCCATTTGTTGTTCTCTAATGGAGAGCGCTCTAGTAAAGTAGCGGTCAGGCTTCACTTCCTCCAACCACATGTCGTTCAGTATCCCTCACTACAAGCCACTATACATATTGCGCGGGGCGGTCACTCTGAGGCTGAAGCTCTTTATCTGCTGACCATCTGCCATCTTCATCTTTCTTGTTCCTGTTTCTTCTCGACCTGACGGTAACACTACTCGCCAGACTCTGTCTCATTCACTCAGCAGCAACCACTCTCTCCAACCGTCCCAGCCATAAATCTTGTTTCTAGCAGCAATGTCTCACTCATCCTGTCCCAAGTGCGGTGCCGCCATCTCGGGCGGAAAGTCTTGTGGCTCTTGCGGCGCTGTATGTTCTTTTCATACGCTTGCCTTGCCTGACATACTTTCTGACCTCAATTTTCAGACCTGCCCCAACTGATGCCTTTTAATGCTCGAGGATTCGCACGCGCATCATGCTCCAGAGTATCAATCTGCCGATCATCGACTTGGTGTACCCCGCGGAACCCCTCCAACGAACGCTTGCTCATTGCTTCACGTTTTTCCACCTCTGACGACAACGCCATGACGAACATCACCAATTGATTTTATTTTGGAAGACACTCCCCGGAGGTCATCTCCGCATCTGCTGAAAGCTCGACAGCTTGTTGCAGCATGATGCCGAATTTTTGGGTTCCTACTATTCTTTCTTCTCGGGTCGATCGGGGTTTGATACATTGGACTGCATCATATACATGTCAATGAAGCTCCTTCCCTCCCTACTTCCAAAATGTGACGTATCAATCATATTGTGTCCTTTTTAAAGCTGTTTCTTTGCTCTTGGATTAATTCGAGCCTTGTTTTAACATACAAAACAATCCCTAGTTCTAACCATGTCTGAAATCCCTACCACAGGTACCCGCAGCCAGCTGCACCCCTCTATCCAGACCTTCTTGAAGGAACACCCAAAGCTCCACCTTGGTGGTCAAGAAGACTTCCACGACGAGAGAAACCACCACCTCGAGGTGTTCGGTATCCACAAAATCCCAAAGGACAAGGTTCATCCCATCGGCGAGGTTGAATTTACTGCCGTTCGCGGTCCTCATGGAACCATTCCTGTTAGAGTTCTGTATCCCAAGAGCGGCGAGGATAAGCGTAAGAATGGCCAGGCAGGAGCTTTGGTCTACTTCCACGGCGGAGGATACACTGTTGGTTCCGTCGATGAGTTTGAGAATGGTCTGAGGTTGCTAGCAGAGGAGAGTGGAGTCCAGGTAACCGCTTCCTGTTCAAGCTCATCCTCCGAGACCATTAATTCAACATGTAACAGATCNTACGCAGCAGACTACAGACTAGCACCCGAATACCGCTTCCCAGTCCAACTAGACGAATACTCCGCCGTCATCGATTGGCTCCAAGGCGAAGGCGGCAAGGCTCGCGGCGTAAACCCTTCCAAAGTAATGGGCGGCGGCGACTCAGCAGGCGGCAACATGACAGCAGCAATATCCCTGCGCCGTCAAGACAACAAGCAGAAGCCCATGGCCGCACAAATGATGCTCTACCCGGAAGCCCGCGTTCCCTTTGACACACCAGCCGCCGTTGAAAACAACACAGGTTACTACCTCGAATGCAACGGCATTTTCAGTTTTGCAGACCACTATCTTCCTAGAGGCGTGCCTCCATCGAATCGCTACGTTTCTCCTGGCATGCAGGATATCAGTAAGCTCGGCGATCAACCTCGTACAGCAATCTATACCTCTGGATTTGATCCTTTGCGTGATGTGGGCGTCGAGTACGCGAGCAAGTTGCAAAAGGCAAAGAACGAAGTCAGGTGGCATCACTACGAAGACATGACCCATGGATTCTTGCAAATGACTGCTTGGAGCGACAAAGCTATCGAATGCGTCAAGGATATCGCAAAGGACATGAAGGAGTTTGCTTATGGCTCTTGAATTGCTCAAAACTGGGAAAGGGAACATGTTACACTTCAAACGAGATATGTTTTTACGATCAGAAATCACTAGGCGTTACGGACATGGCTTTTCGTCCTCTTCACGGCTTGCATCGGGAAGGCAATCTTCTCCTTCGTCAAAGTCTTCATGCACATGGCTGTGATAATTACGACACTTTTAAGCCTCCTCGTGTGCTAAAGTATATAACTTCCACCATGTTCCGATTGTAGCTAAGAGTACAAGTAGACTCTAAAAGACACAGTCCTTTTTAGAAACAAGGTGTTTCCAGAGTCGACGACTTATCGCTTCTTAATGGATACTATATTGTTTTTGTTGTTATTGTGTATTTCTACAGCCACACGTGTTACATACTTTTGCACACGGGGAGCAGGGATAGAGCAGTGGCCATTGAACTCCTCGTGCATACGGCTCTCTCTCTATCTGTGAACGCCTATGCTTCAGATGTAATTGTGTGTGTGAGTGTACCCCAGCATATGTAGTTCTACACATCCATGAACTCTAAAACAGATTGAGAAAGTCTCGTTATCATGCAAATATAATTATACCAATGGGTAATATGTAACGCGACCCCATGACTGAAGAAGAATATCCCATGAAAAGCGTTCCAAACCAATATCATCATTTGACTCCTGCGATGTCTTATATAAAGACTTAAGTGTAAATACTCTCAGTGTAGTAGTTGACTGCAAGTCCCTTTTCAGCCATCTCCGCGTTCTCGAGGAAGTGCAGCGGCATCCAGACGAGGTGTCCCTGATCAAAATTAGTACGCATGATATTGGATGGGTAAAAGATGAATCCGACTCACTCTGATCTTGTCGAGGGCACGTTTCACCTCATCGTCCGGCATGTACTTGTTATACAAATGACCTTGCTTCCTGGAATTAAAGTATCGTTAGCACAACTACAACAAGTCTGGACAGCATATAAATCACGAGATTGTCTGCCAAGTACAATCAAGTCCGCAAAACGCCACTCAGTATACGCTCTTCTGAACAGTGCTCTAATAAGGCAATTGGACAAGATGAACAACCTGACTGGACATCTGGTGATGGATATGCTTTGGTTCAAACTTACATGTCGTTCCTCGGGAGGAAGTTTTGGTAGTCTTCGAATGTACGGATGTTGTCATCAGGATCCGCATGGAACAGATGACGGAAGACTTCGGTGTTAGTGGTCGCTTGTTGAGTCCACATATTCCAGACATCGTCAGACAAGGGATCTGTGACAAGCTTGTCCCACTCATCTCCTTCGTTCCAGTTGTTGGGGCAGACATCTGGAGGTTGAGCGTTGGGGTCCTCGTTTGCATCCAGGGGCTGTGCAGGCAACAAGCCCAGGTGTTCACGCCATAACATACGACGCAGGGTTGCAGCGTGGTGACCAGCTTGGTACTCGCGACCATCCATAACTGACGGAAGCGCTTCGGTGTCCTCCATGATGATTGTGAGCTCTGAATCGTGATATCCAAGTTGAGAGCGGTCGTTGATGTTACTGCTTCCACAGATAGCAATTCTGTCATCGACAATACATGNTCTGATAAGAGGTTAGCGTACTTATGTAGCGTTCGAAGACAACAATGGACTCACTTTGCCATGGACGTAGAGCTCTTCTTGAACCCAGTTCGCCTTCTCCTGCTCCGGGTCATTTTCATCCCACTTCTCCTCGCTGACCTTCTTCTCCCCCAACATAGCGTTCTTAGCCACACTGTCTTCGCTGATGACCTGATCTTTTCTAAGGCCAGCTGCCGCTCTACGGGCCTCAAACTTCTTCTTGCGGCTCGAATAGTGCTCTTTCTCGTCGTCTTCAGATTCGCCCTCATCTGATGAGGATGATTCAGCACCTCCGTGAACACCCGAAGCCATGATTTCTTCAGCTTGAGCACGTTGTACTTCTTGGTAAGTAACACCAGATTCATCTTCCATCTTCTTCATCGCTGGTGTTTTGTTGAGTCGATCATAGGAGCGAAGGTTGAAGACGAACACATGGTTCTCCGGATCCACGCCTTGTTTTCTGATCTGACCAAAGATGGAGTGTTCACCTCTGTTGATTGACTTGTATTGATAGTCCATAATGGCTCTNNGGATGTGTGTCAGCATGTCTTCGTCCTGAAATCTGCATGCCCGCACGACTTACCTGGTTCCGGCAGCAGCATTATCTCTCAGGTCGCCAGCAAATCCAGGAATAGCTGGAATGACGATGATGACTCTGAACTTGCGTCCCTCCTTGCCTGCTCTGACACAAGCATCAACAATGGCCTTACCAATCTGGTTGTGGATGGGTGCTTGTTCTTCTCCAGTCGAAGTGATGAAGAACTGGTTTTCGATGTAGACAAGGTGCTGAGCGTTTCTGATGATCTCACAGTATGCGTTCTGGATACTGTGCTCGGTCAAGATACCACTTGACCAATCTGCACTGCTACGCACAATTTGCGCGTGAACACTACCTTGGATATTGTTGGGGTCTGGTCTACCAGTCTTGTCGTTCATCGGCGAGATGGGGTGGTGAATATATTCTCCAACAGGATGCTTAGGCCTCTGGACTCCGATCAAATCCTCATCTTCACCTTCACGGCCCTCGAGAGTAAGCCAGTCGAAACGGTCGTCGCGCTTATATTTGTCACGCTTGACGAAGTTCCAGCGCAATACGAAATGCTCTGCAATATCATAGACACAAGGTCCGATGACACCCATGGCTACATCATGCCATGGCATACGCCCATAGTCAGCCTTGCTCAATTCGTTGCTCTTCCAGTCTTGAACGTCCTGGAAGTCCATGATTCTGTTGTTGTTGAAATCCTGTCCAGGGAAGATCTCATTCTCGACACCTGCAGGATGAGCATCAGCCAATGGGTGTTGCCACTGATCCCAGCGACCGAAGCAAAGATCCAGACCGCCGATGAAGGCAAGATTGAAGTCAATGACGATGAATTTCTCGTGATGCGCCCANNGCTGCCCTATGTTAGTGACTATTTGCTATGCTGCCGAGCTGACTTACTAGAAGGTCATGTCTCCAGCGTTTTCGAAGATGTTGTGATCAGGGTGACGCATNNGCTGTTTGGTGTCAGTAATGCGCTTGGGAACCTTTTCGAACCCCGCGGGGATCGATTGAGAATTGCTGATGTAAACTTACAGATGGATGTTGCCATGGCCAGGAGTACCTTCAGGGCAAAGAGCACGAAGGGCACGCTTGGTGTGCGCCGAGTTGCAAGTAAGAGCTTGGTTCACCTCTTTGTACACAATAATGTAGATCTGAACACCACGTTCGGCTGCACGCTTCAAGACATGGTCCAGACGCCAATCCTGGGTGGTGAAGGGAGGCCTACGCAAGAAGAGTTCGGGCGATAGCCACCAGTCCTCGATATAGATGGTTTCCTTTGCTCTTTCAAGTGCGACCGATACGGCATGGAAGTAGTCACGCCCATCGATGTACCATTTGATCTTGTTTCCGTCTCTCGGNNGAGCGAAACTCTCGAAGCGATGACCGTCGGCAATTTTGGCTCTCTTCTCGTCGGTTTCCTTTTCGTGCTCTTCGTCGTGACGGTGGTTTGGATTGACCAAGTTCTGCCACTTGCCGATTTTGTGTTTCGCATGGATAGCCTTGACCTTAATGTCGTAAAGAGACGATTCTTTCAGCTTCTGCCTGAGGTCAGAGAAAGGATGCTTGACGTGCTCGGCAGCACCCTTGTGCTGAGCATCATCCGAATCGCGGGTCTGCTCGGACGGGTCGACGTGCGACGTCTTTCCAATGAGTCCCATCCTGGTACGATGTAACTGGATCGGTGCTTAGATTGCGCGCACACGACCTCGAATATTGGATTTGCGAAGAGGTCAAGTCAAAGGCCTCAATCGACGGTGATCCAGTTGGAGGTAGGATAGAGGGGAGGGAAGAAGGACAAAGAGAGGAAAGACCGGCTCGCCTCGGAGTGTGATAACGTTCAACCTAGAAACTACCTAGGAATTGGAAGGAACGCTGCAGCTCTCAGAAAACCTGCTCTCAATACGCGCTCCTCGGTCCACAAAGTCTTGGTATGGTGTTTCGATCGACCTCCGGACGATAACTGCATGCCCCGCGCTGCGTCATCCTGCATGGGCCAAGATCAGATCTGTGGATGTTGCTGTGGCTTGCAAGGGGCACCAGCCATCGCAACCATCACAAAAGCCTTAATTACCTAACACCCATGCAATACTGTGGTCGGACGAAACGCGAATCACCTCTTAAAACATCGCTCAAATTACTGCAGGGCTTATGTAGGAAAAGTCATCTAAACATAAAACACACTCCACTTCACTCCTGTCTTCCAAGTATGCATGCAAAAACAAGATTATCAACCCAAAATGTACACCGTCATAGATCTATGTATCACGAGCTCAGAAAGCTGTGTGCCAGTATCTGACTCCAAACTGGTTTAGAATCCAACAGCCAGCATCAGCCCGTATCCTACAGTGATGATAACCACGTAGGCCATGATTGAGGCAGGTACACCTCGGGTGATGAAATGCTTGACCTGGAGGTAACGTCTGCCAGTGTTTGGCTCTTCCATCATGATTGCNNAGCTGCAGCATCACATGTCAGTTTCTGTGACACAAAACTCACCAGGGGTTAGGAACTTACTCATGTTGGGGAAACCCGAGGTGGGAAGTCCCATGGCAGCTGAGGCCATGAGCACACTGCCCATAACAAGAAGGTTGGGGTGAGGATCGCTCATACCCTCGCCAACCTGTTGGACCAAGGGCAACACAATCAGAGCCGCGACTGTGTGAGAAATAAAAGTGGCCACCACACCGATCAGTGCAGCAAACACGACCAATACACTATAAAGGCCAAGACCTTCGACACGAGTGGTGATGGATACTGCAATGGTGCGAAGAAGACCGGACGAGTTGACAGCTTTTCCAAGAGCGAGTCCACCAGCAGCCAGAATGATGATGGTCCAGAGGAAGTTGTTGAAATCCTCCTTGTTGAGGATACCCAGGCCGAAGAAAACAACCATTGGAAGGATGGCAACAACACCCATATCGCCAAAGATAAACTCCAGTTGATGACTGAAACACCAAAGTATGATGGTGACAATGGTGACGAAGCTGATGAACCATTGAGTAGGGGTAAACTTATCCTTCATAGGACGAATGGGCACAATGGTGGTGTTGCGACCAGGTCGGAAAGTTACCAGGAGCAGAGCCCAGATCATGAGGATGGAAATGATGCACACTGGAAGAGCAATAAAGAACCAAACACCCCAGCCAGGAGCCGGTGTCATGTTCTGCAATGCGATCAAGTTTTGAGGCGAGGCAATTGGTGAGGCCGCACCTCCCATGTTGGAGGACAGAGCAATACCCAAAAGCAAGGCTTTAGACATGTCCGAGTCAGCAGGCAGATTTCGGAGAATGGGCTATGAGACTGTCAGTTTTTCATCCTCAACTAGTTTCGGTTAAAGACGTACCTGAATGATGGAAAAGCAGAGTACAGGAGCGGCAACGTTACTGATCCACATACTCGCGAACATGGCCACGAACATGCTGGTGATCAACACATTGCGAGGTTTTGTGCCAGCCTTGCTGAGCACAAATGTTGCCATCATCTTCGCGATATTGTGCTTACTCAATGCAGCAGCGATAGTGAAACCTCCCAGCAGAAGCATGATGACGGGAGACCACATGGCACTGAAGATAAACGTAGCTGCTGCCTTTGATTCCAAACGGCGGTGAGGTTCAGCTTCGGACCTGACGACGCGCAAGACCACAACGAGGAATGGGACAAGCAGGGACGTCACGAACAGTGGGATGGCCTCGGTGGCCCACAGCAAACTGACCAAGACGACAAGCGCCAAACAGTTCTGCTCGACTGGAGACTCCATGATTGGAGCAAACAGTAGAACAAAGAACACGGCGATCACGGCCACCAGAGTGTAGAAAGTGCTTGACAAGAGGAAGCGTGGGCACCTGTACTTACCGAGAGGTGTCACAACCTCCTTGGTAGCTTCCAGCTCCTCGTCGCCCTGCAAGCGTGCCTTGCCACGATCTTCAATACCACCCAGCATGGTCTGACCGAGACCCATATTGGCAGCTTGGGCTTTGCGTTCGATGCCAATCATCTCACGCCAGACCGTGTTGCGCTCCCAAACAACGTGTTCTCGCAGATGAAGGCGTAGCTCACGGCGGGCCAGGTCGACATCGCCTTTAGTCACCAGATCTGCGTATGCTGTCTCGATCTTCTCGATGTTGACATTTAGGCGATCGATAGTTTCTGGTTGGAAAGGATAGGCATTGTCGACATTTGCCTCGATATAAGCATTCTTGAGTTTGCGATCCAGAGTTTTGTCGTACTTCTTCAACACTTTTCCGAAGCCAGTCTTGTTGAGCTGAATAAAGGAACGCAGCTCGCACAGGGTGACATAAAGGCTGACTGTGCGCTTCTTGAGAGTGACGCCTTCGTTATACAGCACATCAAGAGCTTGGTCGTCAAAATCATGGGAGCTGCTCGGTCGTCGGCGCGATGAAGTATCCACGTTGGAACTCGCCGACATATCGTATGGGTTTCCGTCTCGAGAGTTTGACTTGGTAAGACCAGTGCGCTCGTCGTCGCTGTCGGGTTCTTCCTGGTGGCCGCTCAAGGTACTAGCACGTCGGCGTCGACCAATGCTGAAGCCTTTGAACATGCTGGCCTTCCTCGCTTTTGCCAGTGTACCGTTCCGTGCAGCAAGCCCTGCATCGTGTTCTCCATCCTGCTCCCTTGTTTCTTCNNCCTCAAAATCGTGTTCGTCCTGAAGTAATGACTCGACTTCCCCATAAATCTCCAGCTCCTTCAATTGGTAGAAAGAACAAATCTTTTCGAGGTCGTGATCTAGAGCGCGCGCAAAGACTTTGTCGGGGTCCTCAGAGTCGCCAGCCAGAAGCGGCGATGACTCGACATCTTCGTGGACTGCATTGGCTTGGTGAAGCCTCTTCTCCAAAGAGTATANTTCTGAGGTACGTCAGTAGGCAGGAAACAAGGGCCTCGAACACGACGCGACAGACAATTTCTTGAGATTGCTGTACGAGATGTAGTTGTTACTCCACTCGGGCACGGCATTGAACTGGATGCTGTGTGAGAACTTCATGTCGAGAATGCGCGCGAGCTTCTCGAGGCGCGCGGCCGAATATTCGTTGTGCGATGGTGATGTCGTCGGCGGAAGTGGCACAGCGGATGCGGGAAGAAGAAGGCCGAGCTCGATGTCGGTATCGTTTTCTCGTCCACCCTCCAGGACGCCGGTGGCAATCTCGTTGTTCTTATTGAATCCGGTATCTCCTCACGTGAACATCCGTGTCTACAAGTGTGGATAGGATCAATGAACTGTACGCAGTCGGTCTGATGGACATCAACGTGCGTAACGACGGCGTGCCTCATCGATTGGCTTGCATTCCAAGATTCACTTCTGCTTGGCACCACGACGAAGGAGGAGAATCACCGACATCTGTAGACCTCCTCCCTCAACACTCACTCTGGCGTTTCCGAATGTCATTTGACCTTTTTGTGTGGCTCTGGACGTCCCAGAACTGTGTACCGATCCACTTTGCTCGCCGTATCAGGTGCGGTCTGCATCGTATGGCTTTGCACACGGACGCCATGTGTAATTGCGCTCTGTCACGCTTTCTGCACGATGTTTCGTGCCATCGCCATGTGTACTCGAAAGCAAGCCTGCCATGCTTTGGCTTACCATGGTCACTTTATCTGTAGGTACTCAGAGCAACGACATGGAAGAGTACATAAATTTACATAAGCTTGCAACGCTATCCGACGGCCGGAGAGCTGTTTCAAGAACAGATAAGCCGAATCCACGAGCTCGACTTAAGCCATAATCGTATGCAAAATGCCTGTATTCTGCACATTAGGGGCAGGTGTACTTGGATTGGTGCTTCCTCTTTGCACACATGGACGACATTTCAGAAATGCTCGGGATTAGTAGTCCCAAGCCCTCATTGTCATTCACCATCAGGGTTAAGTATGCGCTCTTCACCATTGCTGTCTTCTTCGCCCGCGATACCTTCCAGATCGTCGCCGTCTGCTAAAGCTTCATCGTCTTCAGCTGACCACTCCTTTGGTTCTTCTTCTTCGTCATGCGCGGATTGACTCTGCCCCTGCTCCATGTTGGGAGGGAGGTCGGGATCGACTTTGTCCCCAAGGTGGTTTTCTGGAAGGAAGACCTTGCCTTGCAGTTTCTCTGGGAAGTATTCCTGATTTACTCTGCCGTTTTTGTAATCCGGGTTGTACTTGTATTCTTTGCCATAGCCCAACTCTTTCATCAACCTGGTAGGGGCATTACGAAGATGTATCGGAATAGGCAATCCTGCGACTCCAGGTTCTGATAGGGCGGCATATGCAGCGTTGAGGCCTCGATACGAGCGTGTAGACTTTGGTGCTTCGGCAAGTGCAACCGCTGCGTGGCCCAGGTTTATCCTGCATTCCGGCATACCGATCTCTTTGGCGGCCGTATAAGCTGCTGTCGCCAATGGTAGTAAAGTGTTGTCTGCAAGACCAATATCCTCGCTAGCCATGACTACCATTCGCCGCGCGATATAAACAGGATCTTCACCAGATTGAAGCATTCTAGCAAGATAGTAAAGAGCTGCATCAGGATTACTGCCTCGAACACTCTTGTGGAAGGCGCTGATGGTGTCATAATGTTGGTCACCTTGACGGTCATATACTAACGTCCGAGTCAGATTTTCTTTGACAGTCTCGACAGTAGTCTCGGGATTATTAGACAAATCCAGAGCAAGGGAGAGGAGGTTCAATGCCGTACGAGCATCACCATCTGCAAAACTGGCAAGATAACGAAGCAGCGCATGATCGTTCCCTTCCAGCAAGTCTGCTGCATGTGGTGTTGTAGGAGGTTCAAGGGTCAGAGCACGCTTCAGGATGGCCGTGATATGCTCGTCGTCTAGCTTGGCCAGAGTGAAGGTTCGACACCTCGACAGAAGAGCATTTATGACCTTGAAGCTAGGGTTTTCTGTTGTCGCACCAATCAAGGTGATGACACCGCTCTCAACCGGGGCTAGAAACACATCTTGCTGGCTTTTGCTGAAACGATGGATCTCATCACAGAAGATGATGGTTCTGCGGCCAGTGAGAGAAAGCTCGTTGCGAGCTTCAGCGAATAGTTTCTTACATTCACCCACGCCTGAAGAAGTACTGTTGATCTCGACGAAGCGGTTACCGGCGGTCTTGGCTATCAATCGAGCGATAGTTGTCTTGCCAGTTCCTGGTCCGCCCCATAGCACCATGGAAGGGACCCGATCGGTTTCAATCAAGGAGCGCAAGATACCGTTTCGACCTACAAGCTCCTGACCTTGAACTTCATCCAGCGATTGTGGTCGCATTCGCTCAGCCAGTGGAGCAGCCTTTTCAAGGTTGATATTTTTCGATTTTTTAGGTAAAGGTTGAGGGGTGTCTTCGTCTTTGATGTCCTCTAGTGGCCGTTTTGTAGTTGTGATAGATGTTTGAGTAGACTTTGGAGGCGCAGCACCATTCAAGGCTTGTGTAGAGGTAGGAATGGAATGAGTACGCTTGGCTGCCGGAGTCTGGAAGAAACTGGCGACCTGAGTGGATTTGGGTGCATTTTGTTGTGTTGTTGGAGGCGAATCGTCGATAAAAGACTCACAGCCAGAATCGATATGTCGATTGATGTTCAGCTCCTTGACGGGCTTGCTACAGATTGGGCAATCGACGAGCTGATGAGATGACATGGGACGTGGTTAAGAAAGTACCTACATTGTGTGATAAGACAGACGCGGTTCACTAAGAAGACGCGTTAAGCTCTCGAGGCGATGAGACGAGCGACGCGCCGCTGCCGCTGCCGCCGCCGCTGCCGACGTTGCGGTATCGGGCCCATGATGTCGTGCTCGGGCAGAGTGGGGGAAACAAATATCTGGGGTAAGATAATATATCGCTAGCTGACTCTTGCCATAGCCATGAGACTGCTGTCCCGTCCACTTCCTTTCACAAGGATCGCACCTTCTTCGACCCTTCCGGCTGCCAGGAACCTCGTCAGCCAATTCTCATCGTCCAGCTTCAAGATGCGCAAAGATCCCTTCAAGCCCGCAGCTCGTGTGGCTGGCCAGAAGCAAGATGTCTGGTCCATCGTCAACGAGGCAGCTGCCTCTTCCAAGGTCTCTGACGTTGTCAACATGGGGTGAGCCACCTGAGTGTCTGTTTCTGCTTATCGATTCGAGAGCTAATACCACCAAAGTCAAGGCTTCTTCGGCTACAACCCTCCTCAATTCGTCATCGACGCCGCCAAAGGTGCTCTGGATAGAGTCGAATGCAACCAGTACTCCCCGACCAAAGGAAGACCCCGTCTGAAGAAAGCCCTCGCTGACGCCTACTCCCCCTTCTTCGGCCGCACTCTGGATCCTGAAAAAGAGGTCACAATCACAACTGGTGCGAATGAGGGCATGCTCTCAGCCTTCATGGGCTTTGTCGAACCCGGCGACGAGGTCATTGTCTTTGAGCCCTTCTTCGACCAATACATCCACAACATTCAGATGCCTGGTGGTAAGGTCGTCTACGTGCCCCTACACCCTCCAGAGAAGGGCGCCACTCAGACCACTTCCGCTGGAGACTGGTCAATTAACATGGACGAGCTGAAAGCTGCCATCAACGACAACACCCGCATGATTGTCCTCAATACTCCTCACAACCCCATCGGAAAGGTCTTTACACGGGATGAACTACAAGCCATCGGTGACCTGTGTGTCGAGCACAACATTATCATTCTGAGCGACGAGGTCTACGATCGCCTGTATTACACTCCTTTCACTCGCATGGCTACTCTTTCTCCGGAAATTGCTAACCTCACATTGACCGTTGGCTCGGGAGGCAAGAACTTCTACTGCACCGGATGGCGCGTCGGTTGGTTGATTGGCCCTGAGCACCTCATCCAGCCCGTTAGTGCTGCTCACACCCGAATCTGTTACAGCAGTGTAAGCCCGCTGCAAGAAGCTACTGCTATCGGCTTTGAGGAGGCCGATAAGCATGGCTTCTGGGACGAGACCAAGGCTGAGATGAGAGCCAAGATCGACCGCTTCGTCGCTATCTTCGATGAGCTCGAATTGCCTTATTCTGACCCTGAAGGTGGCTACTTCGTCCTCGTGAATATGTCCAAGGTCAAGCTTCCGGCCGACTACCCCTTCCCTGAGCATGTCGCAAGCCGTCCTCGCGATTTCAAACTCTCATACTTCATCATTAAGGAGCTTGGTGTCGCTGCCATTCCACCTACTGAGTTCTTTACCGATGATAATGCTCACATTGTCGAGGACTGGTTGCGATTTGCTATCTGCAAGAATGACGACGTGCTTGACAAGGCTAAAGACAGACTCAGAGGTCTCAAAAAGTACATGCAATGATAGTTAGATACCCATATATACTTTTCTATACGACATCCAATGTGTACAATAACAGTGGGATGATTCCTTGTGTGCTAAAGACAGTCACAGTTTGCAACTAGGTCTCCCTCCACTACGAGTCCGCTTTAAGGGTTATCATAAGCTATCAAACTGCACAATCATGATTCGAATATCAATCTGTCTATCGAGATAACCTTCTCGCACACGGCGAGGTCGGAAGCTGCGACATAGTCATAAACACGAGCATTACTTCAACATTTCTTGCAACCGTGTTGAAACTGATCACCGTTGATTGGCTTTCAGTAATCATATGAAGACTTGCACAGTCCTAACAAGCTTCCAAGAAGTATATTACCAAAGACGACAATCACGTTTGATCATGTTTCCATCGACACTCCAATATTTGTTGTGCTTATGAAAATGACAGACAGGGTCACCCTGTTGGCAACTTGGCAGATCTATCTCGATCCGACTCCTCTAGCGCCAGATCCGTACGTCATCACCGATCTCCATTGACGATCAAGACTCTCTCTTCCATTTTACGAACTAACGATTTACGAAAAGAAACATCGTCATAGCTGAGTAGCAGATAGGTTGAGCTCACACGTATCTTTCTCTTCGTCTCTGCTCGTTCAACCTCCGTGTTCTTCTTCCACTTTCAATTGATGCTTCGGACTATATTTCATACCTCTGCGAGATCCCTTGCGTACAAGAGCAACACATTCTTGAGTCCACACAAACTATCACCAATCTTACGATACCAAAGTACCATGGTCGCTGCGAAACGCAAGAGGAACGCTGCTGCGGTGCCTGATGCAGTCCCCTCTCCGCCACCTAATGGACTCACCAATCCGCAGGCGAATCCCGAGGTCATTGACGCGCCGAACGCATACAGAGCTTCACCGGACAGCGATGTGGATAAGCGTATAGCACCTGGGCCTATCAAGTCAGAGCCTGGATCAGAGTCGCCCTTGTCTGATGTACCTGATACTGAACCGCCAGCCAAGAAGAGGAACACCAAGAAGGGTGCTGCTAAGAGTGGTGCTGCAGTCAAGAAGGAGAAGGACGATGGCGCTGTAGATGCAACACCGGTCAAGAAGACACCGGTCAAGAAAGCAGCCAACGATGACATGGACGACCCGGAGGGTGAGGGTGAAGAGGATGCTGACGAGGAAGAGGTGTCCGCTGCTTTGTCTCGACCTCCTCCTGTCAACAGTGATTATCTTCCGCTTCCTTGGAAGGGAAGACTGGGATACGTACGTGTAACAGAATTCTGCGTTGCGAGAAATCGCTAATGATTTCAGGCTTGCTTGAACACCTATCTTCGCTACAGCACGCCACCTGTTTTCGCTTCTCGTACTTGTCGCATTGCCTCGATCTTGGAACACAGGCATCCTCTCCGCGATCCCAACGAGCCTGAACATCCCACCAAGAACCGTCCTGATCGCGAGCAGCCTGCCAGCATTGAGCGAGGTCAAAAGTATGTCGAAGCACTCGGCCTGGCCAATGCTAGAGATGTCATCAAGATGCTCAGATGGAACCACAAGTACGGCATCAAGTTCTTGCGTCTGTCAAGCGAGATGTTCCCCTTTGCTTCTCACGAGGAGTATGGATACAAGCTTACACCTTTCGCTGCCGAGACACTGGCAGAAGTTGGCAAAGTAGTTGCCGAGTTAGGCCATCGTGTGACAACTCATCCTGGCCAATTCACTCAACTGGGATCACCGCGCAAGCAGGTCATCGATAACGCTCTCCGCGACTTGGAATATCACGACGAAATGCTTTCTCTNTTGAAGCTTCCCGAGCAGATGAACAGGGATGCAGTCATGATCTTGCATCTCGGAGGTGTGTTTGGTGACAAGGCAGCCACTCTTGACAGATTCCGCGAAAACTACAAGGCACTACCTCACTCAGTGAAGAACAGATTGGTGCTCGAGAATGACGATGTCAGTTGGTCGGTTCACGAACTACTGCCTGTTTGCGAGGAGCTTAACATTCCCATGGTTCTCGACTACCACCATCATAACATCATTTTCGATGCCGAGCAAATCCGCGAAGGAACAAAAGATATTTGCGACCTCTACCCTCGCATCAAGGCAACTTGGGACAAGAAGGGTATCAAGCAGAAGATGCATTACTCCGAGCCGACTCCTGCTGCAATCACCGGAAGACAGAGGAGAAAGCACAACCCGCGTGTAGCCACTTTACCGCCTTGCGCAGATGATATGGATCTCATGATTGAGGCCAAAGACAAAGAACAGGCTGTCTTCGAACTGATGCGAACCTTTAAGCTGCCTGGATATGACACTTTCAACGACATCATCCCACATGTCAGAAACGATGACAACAAGGCAGCTATGCAAGCTTCCAACAAAAAGAAAGCAACTCCAAAGAAGAAGGGCAAGCAGGTCAAGGATGAAGACGAGGAGATGGAAGACGATGCAGGTTCCCTCGTAGACGGTGAGAGCTCTACCTTGGTACCTGAAGAGGAGGTCGGCATGGGAGGTCCTGAGGGCCGTGTATACTGGCCACCAGGCATGGAAGATTGGCTTCGACCCAAGAAGCGTGAAGTCAAGCCAAAGACAACAGGCTCAGCAAAGAAGGTCACACCGGCACAAAAGAGGAAGGCACTCGCTGATGCCGTAGCCCTCGAGGCTGCTGTCAAGGAGCAGCATGAGTCCGATGAAGAGACAGCGGAAGCAGCCACACCAGCAACCAAGAAAGCCAAGGAAGCTCTCAAGCAAGAGCCGCCGCTGCGCGAGCAAAGTCAGATGCTTTGCACAGCGTAACAGCCCTCCCACAGCCGCAGCATCAGCTCCTACAGCAGCAGCAAAACCAGCACCCAAGCGCAAGGCATCTGCACCAAAACCGAAGAAGGAAAAGGAGGAAAAGTTGAGGTCACACCACCGACCAGCGACGACTCAGAGCTCGAGTTGAACTCATCAGAAGACGATGCACCCGTCAATGTACCCAAGCGACCTGCTCCCCGTGCAGGAGCAAGATCGAGTGGCAGGGCAAACAAGTCCAAGGTCAGCTATCAGGAGGCTGATGTTAGTATGGATGAAGATTGACTAGATGGGCAAAGGGGTTTGATCTGGTCCAACATGCCATCGCCGCCGCACCCCCTGGAACTGTGTAGTAGTCATACAATAGTCAGAAGTATGTCATGTCTTGAGCAGCCTTCATTGCTGCGATAATTAAGAAGTGCTCACACAAACTTCCCAGTGCTAAAGATTGTTACAGCGTAGCTGCCGAGACACGCAATACTTTCGCCAAGGGTGTGGTATTCATGGAGACATCCCATCACAGGCACATCTCCGTGGCCAATCTAATAATTGAAATGCGACTATGCATTTCGATAGTGCATAAATTTCCATCATGAAAGCTCCTATATCATACACCAAGGCTTTCGCTCCGCAACAAAGGGGTCTCCGAACCAAGTCCATACTCAACATACTTGTTGTCGAATTCGTCTTCGAGCCCATGCAATCCCATACAAAATCGCTACCTATTGGAAGGGACATTGTCTTGGAGTATAGTGGAGACAGTATGCTGTCAGCCTTTGTCATCATGCGCAGAGTACCTGGTTCTTGAATCCTTCGCTCAAACACATTGGCTGCTACCTTCTTGCGCCCAAAGCATTGCTGACTGCCGTGCGCGTTGTTGTGACCGTGACCGTAGGAGCCTGTACCGTATTTGGTTAGAAGTGCGATATAGAAAGTGAATGTGCAGAAAAGGCTTACAGTAGTAGTGCTTTTTGCTCTGGTTGGACTTGTTTTTGGCAGCGTGATTGTACGTGAAACTGGTGTTCTTCTTCTTGTTGTCGTTCGCAGCAGCGGCAATCGTTTCAAGAGTCCAGCTGCCAAGTCCAATACGAGTCCAGCCTATGGTTGTATTTCTGATAGCAGGGTGAAATTCGAAGGTGGCATGGTTCTTCTGGTTGTTCGTAGCAGCGCCAACGATTTCAGGGGGAGATGTCGACGCGTTGTCCATTTATGTAGATGTTCATGGCCACGATGAGAGTGTAGAATTGAGGTTGATGTGCAGAATTGTAGATATTCTACTTCTTGAGTTCGTTCGTAGCGGCAGCAGCAACTTGCTCTGGTCGGGCTTGTTTTGGCAGCGTAATTGGTGTTCTTCTCCTTGTTGTCGTTCGCAGCAGCAGCAACTTGCTCAGGGGCCAAAGGTGTAGGAAGGCATCACGATAGTGTGAATGTCTGAAAGTGGAGGTTGATGCGCAAGTCTGAAAACGTCCGAGGATAGTGAGAATTGGTGGTGCGGTGACGGGCGGAAGTGTTGACAGATGACGAACAAAGCGTCGCTGCTTTATCAATTACGTGAAGCGCTGTTTTACTCGCAAAGGAACAAAAGGAAAAGAATAGACCAGTGGGTCTTTGATGGGTATTCGATGAATCTTGATGGTATCACTTAGGTTGGTTCGGTGTTGTCATTCGGAATGATGTTCTGTGCCGGTGGAAAATGTAGGCTGACTGCTTGTTGGAGGTATTGAGCCGGGATTGAATTGCATAGCACACAGATCGAAAGTCGCGTAGACTGGTATGGAGTATGACTGGTGGTATGGAACTCGTCGGACCCCATGAACTTCGCTCTGGCGCTCCACGTCCCTCTTTTTGGTAGGACGGTCGAATGTTCAGGCAAGGTCGTTCTCGAACATGATAATTGAACCACGGTTGAAGATGATAGGCGGCCTGCATCTTCTTGGGTTATCAGATGTTGTGGTAGAGAAAAGCTGTCGAATGAATGGCTGTTTTGTCATGATGCAGGTGCAAGACGATTGATGCAGGTGCAAGATGATTGTACCAGGTGCGAGATGATTGTACCAGGTGCGAGATGATTGACCCAGGTGCGAGATGATTGATCCAGTAAGTAGGTTCCTTAGGTAAAGTCAGCAGTGTTGAGAGGTGTTCAGTGACCAGCACTTACTCGAGTGTTTCGTGAGTGAATCTCGCTGATCCCTGTAATCAGCTCTTCCGTCCCGGTCCATCTGTCTCAATCCATTCGCCGTTAGTACACCAAACGTTGTCCATACAATCCCAGATCTCCCTCCCAAAACAAACAATGCCAACAAGATCCATCCAATCGAACTATCCCTCCCAAAGAAAACCAATGTCAATAGAAATCTCACCGTCGTCGAAATCAAACCTGAGGCTTCCACTGCTGTGGGTTCTTGTGTACCTCTTTCAAAGACCATCCTCTAACTACAATCCGTTGTTGCCAATCCGAGGTATCCACTGCCGTGGGTTCTTGTGGACCTCTTCAAAGGACTGACGGTGCACATATTTTCCCGTTGAACTGTTTGTCTGCCAATGTGGTTGTTTTCTTCTTCTTGTCTCTGATTCCTCCTCTTGTTTTCTGTAAAAAATTTTGTCTGACGTTCGCTTTTTCTCCTTGATGGTGCTTCGGTAGATGGTAATGGTGATAGTGAACAGCTGATGGCTTCGCAGAATCGAGCCAATGTCGCTGCCTGTGACGAGTGAGTCTCCGTATACACTGATGGAAGTAGCGGCAGGAATGATTTAGGAATATGAGCCCTGGCGGCGCTGTGCTGTTGACCCTGCTGTTGACGCGTAACATGCTCTGGAGAAAGCCGAGGGGCTGGCCTTGGTGCTCGTGGTTGGTAGGCTTGGAGGCAGCTGAATTTGCTCGCTTGGTGTCATGATGGCTGGTGACGGCTTGGAGGCTGCCGAGGTGTAGCTGTGCAACAGCTGACTATGCCTGCCTCGGAAGTGGTATCACAGAATTGGCTGTGGTTGCTGGAGGCTCCAAAGTAGCCAGAGGATAGGCTTTTGGGTGACTGAAAGATAGGTCTTGGAGTTGCCGAGGGGCAGGCTCTTGAGGAGTTGAGAGGTAGACTCTTGGGTAGCTCAAAGATGGGTCTTGGAGTTGTCGAGGAGCAGGCTCTTGAGTGGCTGAAAGATGGGTCTTGAGTAGCTGAGGTACTGGTTGTAGAAGTGCTAAGCTTTGGTTTCGGCGGCGCACGACACGACGTGTTGATGTATCAGATAGAGTTGTCGTTTGTGGGGTAGGTAAGTCGCTGGAATGCGAGGCTTCGAAGCAATCCTTCTGGAACATGATACAGCTCGCAGCATGTTGGCCAGGCATCGTCGGGAGTGGTTGCCAAGAAACGAGACGTCAGACTTCGACGACGTGTCCGGTGAAACCATCGCTGCGGTATTGACGACAAAGAGCTCGCAGCACCGGATGGCAAAGTCGAGACGATGAAGAAATCATGCGAGGTTGTTGTTAATGTGGCTCCAGAGAAGCCTGATAAACAAGAGCGCCCACCCCTGTAACGAAGGTCAGCACTTCGTCGACATCAAAGGCATATCACTGCTTACCTTTTTTTTGTTTTTCTGTTTTTGCTAATGTTAATAACGTTAGGGGATCTTTTTTTTTTTGTTTTAGCTCATCCCTCCGGTTCAAGCTCAAGGCTCTGCGGATGCAGGGATTATTGCTCTTACCTTTGAGGCCTGTACGATTCGAGTTCGAAACTCTACGCTTCCAAGGTCCTCTTAGCTCACTTTCAAAAGTCTCTCCGGTTCGAGCTCGTAGCTCTGCGGTTCGATGATCTTTTAGTGGCTCTTACAACGCCTCCCGGTACAAGCTCGTAGCTCTGCGGTTCCGAGGTCGTTGAGTGGAACGAGAGGGATTGGGAAGCAACAAGGAAGAGAGGAGAAGGATGAAAAGGGGTGGAAAGGATGAGAAGTTGAAATGCCACCACCAAAGGTCATGCCTCGGCAGAGCATAACGTAGACTATACCTCCCGAGTGCTAAAGACTGCTGCAGAGTAGCTGCAGAGATGCAGAAACATTTTACAAAGAGTGTGGCCTCCATAGAGAGGACCTCTTCGAAGGCTATCTCCCTGGCCAGACTCATGGTCAGAATGTGACTGTGCATTTTGTCAGCTTATAACGTAGTCACACCTCGGGACGGAGAAGGTCAATGGAAGTCGAGTGCAAAGAGCTGAGTGCTGAGCGCAGAGAGCGAAGCGCAGGAATGCGAATCGAACAAGCAGGCAGATGCCAGTCGGATGCGGCGACATCTCTGCGATGTGCGTTTCTGACCTCGCATGATGGCGGCATGTGCAGGACGAAGGGGATAGGTAGACTTACGATGATTTTTTGTTGATTGAGAGAAGAAAGAAAGAAAGAAAGAAAGAAAGAAAGAAAGAAAGAAAGAAAGAAAGAAAGAAAGAAAGAAAGAAAGAAAGAAAGAAAGAAGGAGAGAAAGAAAGAAAGAAAAGATTGAAGAACGCGCCTCGGACTTACCAGGCAGCAGCTGACTTGCCGCACCCCACCTCATGGGCTTCTCCGCCTACCGGTCGACGGCCTGCCAATTGCCCGACCTGAGGCAAGAACGACTGGACTTAACATACGTTGGCAGCCGCATGAGAATAAACTACCCTACCGTTCTACGACCGCGCCTATCGTATACGAAAGTCGTCCTTTTGACTGACAAGCGAGCACAGCGCAGCAATACGCATGGCACCACCGACGACAAGAGGCACGAGCATGTTCGATTGGCGACATGTTGCAAGGCCTGGTCGATATAGCCGACAGAGCATGAACTGACTTCGGCGACCTGCGCCAGATACCCCCTTCTACAGGTATGCGACACCCCCAATTGATCTAAGCACATGTTAACTTGATTCAGGGTGGCATCGATGAGACAGACACCTCAGGATACCGCACCTGATTACCAAACTTCCTGCAGCGAAGCCAACCACAACGTTGTATCACAAGTGCCTATCCCACGTCAGTATCAAGGCAGGAACCCAAACCTATACAATACGGCTTCTCCAATCGGTGTCGGACTGTTGAAGCATCTTTCTGTAAGCGAGAAGCAGCAAGCCAACGAATCGTTCTGGAACAATCTCCATCCACCGCCAGCAGCAGGCGTATCTTACACCGACTAGCAGTCAACATACAACAAAGATCTACCGAATCGATGGTGCAAGACCTTCCACAGTACAGAACTGAGAAGTCAAAACAAGAGGAGGTGGTCCACAAGAACAACAGCGGACGTTGAAAACATGGAGTGAAGTTCT